AAACCTTCCATGGAACCGGACTTAAATCACATAGGGTTCCCAATGACTTGGAAAGTATATTTTCACCCTCAATAGAAATCAGCAGCCAGGGTCAAGTAGGTACATCAAGCTACTTAGCTGCAGTCCCTCCACGTGCAGCATGTCAAAGTGGTTGCATCAACAGCGTCAGAACCACCTCTTCAAAATGGCTAGGGCACCAGCTAACAAACTTTTTTTTCTCGGTTGCCGCCAATAGGTATCTGCCTAGGTAGGTACTGTTCATGACAAAGGGAGATCATGTGACTTCGTGTACAGAGCCCGCCAGTGAAGGGCGCGTCTCAGGTTCCTCTCCCTCCCCTCTTGTCCGGCTTTTTTCTCTTCACAGCCAGTCTGCCCAATAAAGGAGTCTTTGGTGGCAATAAGACCGGTTCTTTCCTTGCCCAGTCATTGAACCGCCATTAACCATTCCCCCCCCTCCTTCCTTCCATCTACACCTTGCCCTTTCAGACCGCACCCTTTACCTTCACCGAAGGCCAGCTTGATTCGGCAATTCTCTTTTTCCTCTCTCTCTACAACCAGTCTCAATCTTCCCCCCCTGGCAAAGCGCACACAGTCTCTACCCTACTTCGGCGATAAGCTGAGACTGTTCGCCACCACCAGCCGAGCTTTATTCTGGGTCATCCCAACTTCCCTTAATTCAAGCGACATCAAACTTTTATCTTGTTGTGAATCGCGCGTCCTGAGGGAACTTTTTTCTTCCTCGTCTTTTTAGTGCAGAGGGTGCGATCCGACAAGTTCATCTACAGTAAAGCTTACGGCCACCGCCGAAATGACTGGTCGCCGTGCTCGTGCTGCTCTCGCCGCAGAGGAGAGCTTGGCTTCCACCCGAAGCAGTAAGTAATCACAACGCGCAATAATATACTCACTCTTTTCACATTCAAATAAATGTTACCGAAGAGGACATTCAATCTGACGTTATCTAGATTCACCTGACGCTGCTCCACACACTGGTACAGGCCGCCGCCTCACCAGATCTGCTTCGGCCAAGAACCTTGCAGTTCCGGATCAACCAGTCACTTCAGCCCCTTCCGTTGCGAAGAGAGGCAGAGGCCGGCCTAGCAAGAAATTCTCCCTTGCCAATGATTCGGCCTCCTCAGCTCCCTCTGCTGCTGCATCTGCCGACTTCACCTCAGCTAGCGAGGGCTCTACCCCGGCAACTAGCAATGTCGCCACACCCGCACCGTCCATCACTGCAGATGGTCTGGGGTCTCGCAAGATCGCCTCCAAGATTGAGGTACAGCTCCCCACCGCTGCTGGCCTCCAGAGTGAGCGCGCTCTGCGTCGGAGCCAGTACTCTATGGCACCCATCAAGCGCAAGCGGGTTGAGACTGGAGATAGCGATGACGAGGACGACGAGGAGTACTCCGACAATGATCGCGATGCTATCGTCGCTCGTCGTCTGCAGAAAGTGGAGAACCGCAAAGCGAAAACGACTACTCGACTTTCGGATGCTGCCCTCGCTAGACGTCTTCAGGAAGAGGAGTTCGGAATGGACAACCCCGATGCCCTCGTCACTACTCGACGCGGCCGACGCAACATGATTTCTACCCAGGCAGCTATCGCACCCAGTGACGCCGAAATGTCAGAAGACATACCTCTTGCTGCCCGAGCCACATCTGGCGGCCGCCAGCGAGGTAGACCTGCTAGGAGCAACGCCTCCCTTGCACAGCGACCTACGAAAAGGCAGAAGAACATTCTTCACCATGAAGACGAAGATGAATTGGCCGTTTCTGCGCTTGAGGACGAGCATGATGGCGCTGAATTTGGTCTCCCATCGGACGAAGAAGACTCGGGTGACGAGTTTGAACCCAAGAAATCGGCGTTCAAGGGCAAGAAGCCCGTCAGACAGACCAGAAACACAGCCTCTTCTTCCAACCAACCGCATGCGGCACTTGAAGAGCTTGTGGTTGACGATGAGGACGCCTTGTCGAGCCTTTCGGGCTTTTCCACCGATGACAGCGACGCTAGCAACGTCGCCTCGGCCGTCTCCACCGCGTCCGATAGTGATGGACGCCTCCAGAACGCCGTTGCCAGACAGTCTCGTGGGCGACGTGCTCTTCAACGTGGCTCCAGACGACGTGGTCAGCTCGAGCGTGATAGATTGGTGCATCATCATCCCGAGCTTCTAACCATGTGGCAGGAGCTCGAGGCTTTGCCGCCTTTGAGGCCCGAGAAAATCGCACAACCCAAGCAAATCTCGCGCCAGCTCAAGCCGTTCCAGCTACAGGGTGTTGCATGGATGATTGCTATGGAGCAGACCGACTACAGGGGGGGCCTCCTTGGCGACGAGATGGGCCTTGGCAAGACCATTCAGGCGGTGTCGCTGATAATGTCCGATTTCCCCTCCAAGAAGCCCTCTTTGGTCTTGGTACCGCCTGTCGCCCTAATGCAGTGGCAGTCGGAGATCACCGCCTACACTGACGGCACGCTCAAGACGTTTGTCTACCACGGTTCCTTGGCCAAGGCAAAGAACGTTAGCCTCAAGGAACTGAAGAAGTTCGATGTCATCATGATGTCTTACAACAGCCTAGAGTCCATGTACCGCAAACAAGAGAAAGGCTTCACCCGCAAGGATGGAATCTACAAGGAGCGGAGTCTGATACACCAGATTGAGTTCCATCGCATCATACTCGATGAAGCTCACAGCATAAAAACACGAACCACCATGACGGCAAAGGCCTGCTTCGCCCTCACGACCGACTTCAGATGGTGCTTGACCGGTACCCCGCTGCAGAACCGCATCGGCGAGTTTTTCTCCTTGGTCCGTTTCCTACAGGTCAAGCCTTTCGCCTCGTACTTCTGCAAGCAGTGTCCCTGCGCCAGCTTGGACTGGGACCTCGATGATGATCATCGATGCCGCAAGTGCCACCATGCCGGCATGCAGCATGTTTCCGTGTTCAACCAGGAGCTGCTCACTCCCATTCAGAAGTGGGGCAACAGGGGAGAAGGTGCAGATGCTTTCCGAAAGCTTCGCACGATGACTGATCGTATCATGCTTCGCCGCCTGAAGAAAGATCACACGGATTCCATGGAGCTTCCCGTCAAAGAGGTCTACGTAGACCGCCAATTTTTCGGCGAAGTTGAGAACGACTTTGCGAACAGCATCATGACGAATGGTCAGCGCAAATTTGATACCTACGTCGCTCAGGGTGTGTTGCTCAACAACTACGCCAACATCTTTGGTCTCATCATGCAGATGCGCCAGGTTGCCGATCATCCCGATTTGATCCTGCGGAAGAACGGTGAGGGCGGCCAGAACACGCTCATGTGCAACCTGTGTGACGAGGTTGCTGAGGATTGCATCAGGAGCCGCTGCAAGCACGATTTCTGTCGCGCCTGTGCCAGAACCTGGCTCGCGGCTAACGATCAGCCCGACTGTCCTAAATGCCACATTCCTTTGGCCATCGACTTGGAGCAGCCAGAGATCGAGCAGAACGAGGCCGACGTTAAGAAGTCGTCGATTATCAATCGAATCAAGATGGAAGAGTGGACCTCTTCGTCCAAGATTGAGCTCCTCGTCCATGAACTTCACAAGCTTCGCTCTGACAACGCGTCTCACAAGTCCATCATCTTCTCGCAGTTTTCGTCTATGCTTCAGCTCATCGAGTGGCGACTCCGCCGTGCCGGCATCACCACCGTCATGCTGGACGGCAGCATGAATCCTGCACAGCGCCAAGCGTCCATCAACCACTTCATGACGAAGACGGACTGCGAGTGCTTCCTCGTATCTCTCAAGGCTGGCGGTGTTGCCTTGAACCTCACGGAAGCGTCGCGTGTTTTTATCGTCGACCCGTAAGTATTTTGTGCCCTATGGTCTGACGTTGGCTAACAAACATCACAGCTGGTGGAATCCTGCCGCCGAGTGGCAGTCCGCTGATCGGTGCCACCGTATCGGCCAAACCCGCCCTTGCACCATCACCCGCCTCTGTATCGAGGATTCTGTCGAGAGCCGCATGGTCTTGATCCAGGAGAAGAAGACAAACATGATCAACTCAACTGTCAACGCCGACGACAAGGCTATGGAGTCCCTGAGCCCCGAGGACATGCAGTTCCTCTTCCGTGGATCTTGAGCTTGTCTGGCCAGCGGAAATTCTCGCAGCAGCCAGTGGGTATGGTTTGTCGATGGCTTTGAGGACCAGGAAAGGATACGCATTGGGGCCTTGATCCGGGTCGCTATGGAGTTGGGCGTACGTCGTGTCCTTGTTATACCCTTATTCCCGCGGCGTTATAGCTGCGATCATGGACCGCATTTCTGAAACATGAGAATCATGGTTACGCTTTGGCCTTTCAAACTAGGTAGACTTGGGTTCGGCTAGCTAGGTCCACATTGCTCAATGAATCTGGACGTCAGATCCAGTTGTTAGTCACACTTCAGTGTCCCCTTCGACTGCAGCGTGTATGAGGCGTTGAGCGTCCCGCACAAGCGAGTCCTCCCCCGTGTCGCTGACCAACTTGTTGTCGAGTTCCGCGTTCAATATACGAGGAGCGCGGGCCTTGCCAATCTTGGAATGGGGGAGTAGCGTTGAATCTAACCAAACTGACTGTTTAAGGCTCCCGGGATGGCGCAATCTAGTGGCGAGTCAGGTATTACCTGGTTCCGGGCCCTAAAACTACCTACGCATCTCGGACGGCGGGGAATATTTCAAAGGTTCCCGACACCAATACGGATACTGTCGTCATGGTATCGTTGCGCCGAGAACACCCCCATCGCTGAGTGTCGCGAAGAGAGAGATGAAGTAGCGAATTAGAACGTCGGAAGTCGGCAAAGATGAAAAATCAATAACTATTTACGCGGAAATATGTCTCAACCACGGGGACGCTGCAAAATCCTGGTTCCGATATCCTCTGATAATATCTCTGCCCCAGAAAGAAAGCTCGTTCCTGCTTTAACGGCCATGCCGTGATATATGTGCCGTTTGGTCCGTAATTATGTACATTATTAATAAGTCGGGTTCTGCGATTTAAGCCTGCATAATAGTGTTGCTGAACTCGACGTCTTGAGCAGCCCAGGCCGCGAGGCGCGCCGCGAGGTCCTCATCCGAGATGTCTTCCTCTATCGAGCGGAGCTCGAAGCCGTCGGCATTGCAGGCTTCAATATCGCGCAAGTAGTGCACGTGAGCGTCGGTGTCGAGTTTAAGTGTGAAGCGGCCGTTGCACTCGGTGTTGCGGTCGCCCTCGCAGACCTTGATGTCGGCAAGGGTGTAGTCGATCGTGGTGCCGTTGCCGGTAGACAGCCAGTACTCGGGGCTCGTGTGGCGGTAGCCGAATAGGATAGGGGGCAGGCGGGGGACAGGGTCATCGACGTGAGTGACGCGGTACTCGGCGCCGGGCTGGACGGTGACGAAGTTGGTAAAGGCCTCGTTGCCGACGCGAGGGGAGCCGTAGGTGTAGATGTCGACGGGATAGCCGTCAAGACGGAGGTAGGCGGCGGCAATAGTGACGACAGCACCGCCGAGGGAGTGGCCGGTCCCGACGATGGTGTAGCTGGGGTTGGCGGTCTTGGCCGCCTTGATGGCACTCAAGACCTCCCCCTTGACCTCGTTCCAGGCGTTGGCGAAGCCGGAGTGGACTTTGCAGCCATCGACCAAGTCGCAGTCTTCTAAGCCGAAAAGGAGATTGGTGAGCCAGTTGCGAACGTTGCTGGAGCCGCGGATGGCGAGGACAATGTTCTCCCTTGTGGGGTCCAAGGCGACGAAGCCTTGGAGTCCGGTAGTAGCACCGCTAAAGGTCTGTATCAGCTCTGAGCTAGGAACCGGTAACCGCAAAAGGTAAACTCACGAGAAGGTGTGAATCATCTTTGCACCGTTGACTTGGACGTCGGGGCAGGCGTCCGCGCCGCAGGTAATGGAGGTATTGGCGGCAGTTTCGTCGTTGCAAGAGGTTGCTGCGACCATCTGGACGTAGTACTCGAAGTTGGACAGGTCGCCAGCAGTCACGGTCACGGCTAATGCAAAGTCAGCAGCTGCTCCAAGACACTCTAACCGGCGCTCTTACCTCTCTCGTCGAGTGCAGCCACCGGAGCTCTGGCACCAAGCAGGGGAGTCGCCGCGACTGCGGCGGACAGCAGAGGAAGGAGAGACAGCTTGGCCAACATGATGAAGGGCGTGCAGAATCAGTAAAAACAGCAAAAACGGAACTCGAGGACTTGCTCCTGGGGCACAAGGAACAGAAGGGCGGTTGGTTTAACCATCGTCGCGCGGCCCACGACGTCTTATATATCGCAGGGGCGGGGACGGGAAAATAGAGTGCGGTGGGCCAGCGCCCGCTCGTGGTCCTTGACGGACGGTTGGGTCTGCGGTGGTATCCCACTTCTGAATCCATTTCCCCTCGAAGGGGGATTGGGGTCTGGAAGCAACCCTGCGTGTTGACTGGAGGTGGGTGTGCCGGGATAAGACTCTGAACGCAAGGCCTTGTTTATTCCGGCCGTTCCTCCGATATCCAGGAGCCATATCGCGGGGCACAACTTATAAGACAGGTGGGAAATCGACGCCAAAAGCGCCAGCCGCTCACGAAATGGAAGCGCCTCGCCCCTGCAACGGGCAGTTCCATCTACAAGGGTGTGGTCCTACCAGGAGGGGGGAGCGGTGCGGGATAGATGACAGCTTCGATCATTGGGTGGTCTGGTCAGGCTGACGTGACTGGATACAGTGCACAAGCAAGTGGTGAGGGATGAACGGCATCCATTGTCCAATGGGCTGTGATATCTCCCCGCCCTCTCACTCACCGTTAAGTCCCATACCATCCCATATAATGTACTATGTAAGATTCAACCCCACTCTTCCTTCACCAACATCCTGATTTCCTTCAACCTGTATAGAAACTCTCCTAAGAAAAATTAAAATTGTAGTAACAACGTGTTACGTGGCGTTTCTTAGGATTAGGGTAGAGTTTGGGTTAGGGTACACCTCTACAGGGATTATAAACGTTAGTGATTTAGTTACTAACCAGAAGGGGGGAGGGATCAGTAGGTCAGTATACTTATTAAAAGGTGTAAAATACGCTATATCTAAAGTACTAGTACTGTATCCCTCCTCTATTATCCTAAAGGTACAAGGCTGTAACTGTAGGAAGAGTTACATGGAGCAGCACATGACTCCTATAGACTCTCCTTACTTAGTAGCTTCAGTAAGTAGTTAGGTAGGTTAACTACTCTATAGGTAAATAGTAGGCAATATATAGCTGGCTGGTGATAGTGATAAAGTCATAAAACCTACTAGTACTAGTACTAATCTTTATATGAGAAACTCTTATTAAAATAAGTACTGCTCCTTGCTGTTGTATGTGGGGCATCTCACTGCGCTAACGTTTATAATCCCTGTGGAGGTGTAGAGTCTGAAATGTGGGAGGCGTGCGGCTGTTCGGCATGGTCAGAGGTTAGGACAAGGCTCAGCGTGGCTGGGTGGCAGTAAGTCGCGACAGTGAAGTCAGAGACTGTGGGGAGCCATTCACTACATCGTATGTACCAATAGGCGCCACGTGAGCCAAGCCTCTCCGTCGCGGGGCTTGTTACTCATTGAGCAGCGTTGTCTAAATGGTGGTTCCTGAGCTGTAACGAGCAAGGGTGTTGCTGGGTAGATTCCACTTCTGTTGGACTTTATCAAAACAATAGCGCCTAAGTCGGCAGAGACCCAAGTGGTCACAAGCTGTGACGAAATGGTTACCGGTACTCGACCGCGGGTGCGCGCGGCCCACCTATATGTTCATTGCAATATAGAAACTCCAGTTCGATCCTGCACGTGGCACGCTAAAGCTCAATAAAATGCTACCCACACTTGGGGGTTTGTGTCCGAATTACCGTTGAAGGGCCGGAGCACGAAGACGCATTGAACCGTTCGTGTGGTAAATAATACGTGTAATACGTGGTGGCTGTTACAGGTGGGCAGCCATGATGTCGCGCGGGCGTTGCGTTGCCAGCTTCCGATTCGAGTAAGTAAATCGGCCAAGTAGAGCTGATTCAAGGAAATGACGGCCATTGCCAAGTTAAGTCTGATCATGTCCGAAAAAGACAGGAAAAAGCATGTGGATGTGATTGGAGACGAGCAAGATGCAACCATGCGCCACAAAATGGCAAACTATTGATGCGCGCGAGAGTGAGGCACAGAAAATAAATAAATAAATAACGATAACGTGTTGTTCAAAGGAGTGGGATATATTTCATATGCCTGCCTGCCCAGGTATGATCTATCAGATATGTACGTACTATGTTATGTCATGCCGCTTCCTGCCACTTCTTCCCCCCATGTTCATATGTATCCATCCATCACTATCTCTGTCTCTAACTCTCTCTCTCTCTCTCTCTCTCTCTCTCTCTCTCTCTCTCTCTCTCTCTCTCGTCTCCTGCCTTCCCCGCTTCCATGCGCCGACCTACCATACAGAAATCGTCTCTTCATCCTTTCGGTGCCTGATGATCGGATAAGCATGGATGCAGCAACATAGGTGCATGCGTGCATGATGCAGCTGCGAAGCTAGGCAAGGCTAGGCAAGATTATGGACAATTCCCGTGGTCACGTCTGCAACTGAGGTACTTCTGCTCGCCCTTCCCCTCATCTACCATCGTGATCGATTCCATACCGGTACATCCGCGTCTATACCTCTCGTGCCTGCTTGCATCACGCGCAGATTTCGATGGTTCTCACCGTCATCCAATTCCCCTGTCTTCATGCAGCCATGGCAGTCAACAGCCGAAACCCAACATGCGCGACCCCTGTTCCCTGTCATTGACCTCTACCGCTGGTTTGCGTTGGGCGATCCGCTCTTCGCTTGTAGGTTTCCTTGTAGTTTTCCTTGTAGTTTTCCCTGTAGTTTTCCCTGTAGTATACTACTATGTAATATAAGGACGCCTCAGGGACCCGACCTCGCTAGCTCAAAAGGACGCTTCAGAAAGTCCTCGGGGCATCATAAACTAGCTGACAACCACGCGCGTAATGCAGTGCCTGATGATCTGGCAGCCCTTCCCCGCGTCGGAGCCGGGCCGGATGGGACAAGCATCTTACTGACCGCTCGGGGCTAGTCAGGTCTTCCTTCCAGGTCACGCACACGACAAGTAGTCATGTTTGCATCTATTCCCCGTTCTACTGAATACTACTTAAACCAAACCAAGGTAGCATCGCTGGTCGGATGTCGGATATGTCGACATTTACGGTGACTACGCCCGCCTTGCCCAGCTCCAGAAGTGGGGCCTCTCAGGGGTTAATCTTGTATTTTCCGCACCTTCTCTCAACGCCCTACTTCGCGCCCGGCAAGCATTTTCTCAGTCGAGGTCTACGCAGTAGGAATGAATGCCTGAGAATGCTGCCGCTTCACCTGCTCCCCCTTTTCTTATCTCCCGTCAAGTCTCATAAACATTATCGACGGACGTATATCCCTCCCCGCCTTCTGCTACTAAGTAACTCTACCGTGACTACGGAGTACGTTGTTTCGTTTACGCTATATGCCGATCGACCGGCCTATGCTAGACCTTAACAGGCGTATACCCAAAAGCCCAGCCGCCAAGAGTGCAGTGTGCAACCCTTACATGCTGCAATATTGCACCCTCGTGCCCGCAGCCCCCTTTTGGCCGGTGTCGAGTTCGTACGAACCATCTGCTTTCTGCACGCCTATCCTTGCATCCAATATCACTCGCGCTCTGGAACTGTGATTGGGTCCGTACGTCAACATGTCGAGTGTGAAGCCGATGAAGGATTAGCTCCCATGTATATATAATAATGCTACGCCCGGGAAGTCTCACAGTCGCTTTGGATCGTCTGCCCGCGTCACCCTTGTGCCATCGCACCACGTATTTCTGTGCTCAAGTTCTACTTCGACTGCAGCTCCAAGTAGTGTCAAGGGCCAACCAGCACCATGGCGAGCACAGTCTCTGTCAAATCACTGGCCATAGCCCTCCTTGCCAGCCAGCTTTCCTTGTGCGATGGCGCCGTGATCAGTGCCAGAGCCGACGTACCTGCTGGTTATGTTGCCGCGCCATACTACCCGTCGCCGTACGGCGGCTGGGTCTCGGACTGGTCTGCCAGCTACGAAAAAAGTCTTTCGCTCGTCAAGACGATGACGTTAGCGGAGCTAACTAATATAACTACTGGTACTGGTATATATATGGGTAAGGATTATTAGTCTCCAATGTGTGCTTTTCGTTCAACTTCACTAACACACATGTAGGGTACGTCTTATCTGTCCGTTTCACCAGCTCGTACTGACTAGGCCAAGCCGTTGCGTTGGAAACTCCGGCAGCGTCCCCCGGCTCGGCATCCCTCAACTATGCCTTGCAGACTCGGCAACCGGCGTTCGTCTAGCTGACAACGTCACCGTATTCCCGGCGGGTATTACGACTGGAGCTACCTTCAGCAAGGACTTGATGTACGCCAGAGCGGTTGCAATGGGTAAGGAGTTCCGGGGCAAAGGCGCCAATGTGTTTCTGGGACCGGCCATTGGGCCCATGGGCAGGAAGCCCAGGTGAGTGAGTCCGCTCGCGAATATAACGCCACCCTTCTGATCCCATCTGCAGAGGCGGCCGAAACTGGGAAGGGTTTGGAAGCGATCCTGCGCTTAACGGTCACGCCGCATACTTGACTGTGAAGGGAGTACAGGAGCAGGGTGTCATCGCCACAGTCAAGCATCTTATAGGCAATGAACAGGAGATTTCAAGGATGTTTACGCCCCTTTGGAAAGGTTACAGTTCCAATATTGGTCAGAGCTCCCTCTCGTGTGAGCAAGATGTTTAACCACTAACCGAGTTAACCGAGCAGATGACCGAACGCTCCATGAGCTGTATCTATACCCATTTGCTTTGGCCCTTAGAGCAAGCCCTGGATCAGTCATGACTGCCTATAACGCGGTGAGTTAATTCCTATCATATGACGCTGTGAATAGCATCAAGTTGTAGTATCGGTTGTGAATGTACCCTCTGTGACTAGTGCAGGCTGTGGCTTGTGTCGGCTGTGGCTAGTACCCGTTGTAGCCAGCACCGGCATCGGTACGACTGCGCCTCACCGTACGCACAGATCACTTCATGTATTATGTATTACTACTGGCGTCGTCTCATGCGTAGTCTGGCGACGACAACCACCTACTTTACAGTCCTTTTTTCTCCTTTTTGTTTTTTTTTCTTCTTCCTTTTTTATCTACTGTTCATCACATGTGAAGTTCTCTGACTGACATTTCTAAAGGTCAACGGTTCAGCATGCAGCCAGAACAGCTACTTGATCAACGGCATCTTGAAAGACGAACTCGGCTTCCAAGGATTCGTCATGAGTGACTGGCTTTCGCACATGTCAGGTGTTGGGTCTGCCCTAGCTGGGCTTGACTTCAATGCGCCAGGCGATCAGCAGATACCACTCACTGGGTACAGTTATTGGGCATACGACCTAACGCGTGCTGTTTTGAACGGATCGGTTCCTATGGACCGTATGAACGACATGGCCACCAGGGTCCTGGCAGCTTGGTACCAGATGGGGCAGGACGATTCGTTTCCGGCTACTAACTTTGATACCAACACCCGTAACAGGGTGGCAGACTTGTACCCCGCAGCGTGGCCCTTCTCCCCAAGCGGCGTCGTCAACGAATATGTCCAGGTGCAGGCCGATCACTACCTCGTCGCAAGACAGGTCGCGCAGGAGGCCGTCACACTGCTCAAGAACAACGGTAGCCTTTTGCCCATCACGGCCTCAACACCGATCAAGATCTTTGGCACCGGCGCACAGACAAACCCCAACGGACCCAATGCTTGTACCGACAGGTCCTGTAACAAGGGCACTCTCGGAATCGGCTGGGGCTCGGGAACGGTTGACTACGAGTATTTGGACGATCCGCTTACTGCCTTTAAGAAGAGGTCCAGCAATGTTGTCTACTACAACACTGACTCTTTCCCGTCGGTCTCGACGCCCACGGCCGACGACGTGGCATTTGTGTTCATCTCCTCCGACTCTGGTGAGAACTCGTACACTGTAGAGGGCAACGCCGGAGATCGCAGCTCGACTGGCCTCAATGCCTATTACAACGGCAACAAGCTTGTAAAGGATGCGGCCGCCAAGTACCAAAACGTTGTGGTCGTCATCCATACAGTCGGTCCCGTCCTCGTGGACGAGTGGATTGATCTTCCCAGCGTCAAGAGCGTTCTCGTCGCCCATCTTCCCGGCCAAGAGGCTGGTGAGTCACTCGCCTCCATCATCTACGGTGAAGCCTCTCCCTCTGGTCATCTTCCGTATAGCATGACCAAGCAGGAGTCCGACCTGCCTGACTCCGTCACCAAGCTGCTCAGCGTCCAACTTTTCGGCCAACCCCAAGACACCTACTCCGAGGGGCTCTATATCGATTACCGCTACCTCAACAAGAACGGCATCAAGCCGCGCTTCGCCTTCGGCCACGGACTGAGCTACACCACCTTCTCCTACTCCAACGCGACCATTAACTCCGTGACGCCCCTGACCGCCACACCTCCAGCCCGGCCGGCCAAACAAGGTATCCTTGAGTACGACGCCCCCATCCCCGCCTGGACCGAGGGCGTGGCGCCGGCCGGCTTCAAAAAGATCTTCAGGTACATCTACTCGTGGTGCACCGAGTCCGAGGCCAAAGAAGCCGTCGCCGCCTCCACGACGAAGACGTACCCGTATCCAGAGGGATACAGCACTACGCAGAAGCCAGGCCCCCCCGCCGGCGGCGGCGAGGGAGGAAACCCTGCGCTCTTCGATGTAGCCTTCACTGTCTCAGTGAAGGTGACCAACACGGGCGCCCAGTACTCGGGTAAGGCCTCGGCGCAGGCGTATGTGCAGTTCCCCGATGGCGGACCCGAGACTCCCGTGATCCAGCTGCGGAACTTTGAGAAGACGGCAAACCTGGCGCCCGGGGAGAGCACCACGGTGACGCTGGAGCTGACGAGGCGGGATTTGAGCGTTTGGGATGTGGTCAGCCAGAATTGGATTGTGCCCAGCCCGACGGGCAGGTACAAGATCTGGGTCGGGGAGGCGAGTGACAAGTTGTTCTTGGCCTGTTACACGGACTCTGGGAACTGTGAGGAAGGACTCGCGAGCCCCGTCTAGCTTCAGTCTGCAGTGGTTAGAGTCAACCTGGACCGAGACCGAGGTAAGATGGCGTTGTCTTTTAATCTAAATTCTTCATCGACTAGCCATGGTGAATTCCATTTATTACTAATTACTTAATAAAACCATACGAAAGACTTGATACCTTTTAGTCTGTTGTGCTGGGCAACGTCGAAACCCAGGTGTTTCGTCCGCGCGTTAAAAAACAACAGAATGTTATCCCAATCAGAAGCGGAAGCTGCGGCCGAAGCTCGCTTTCATATTCACAGTAACTGCTGTCGCGACTTATTGCGTTTGTCAGCAACCGTCATTCATCCATGGAGACTTTGCGAGGTACTGCCTTCAAAAGGCTTTAAACTGACGGAGAACTCTTTAAATCATTCGCTCCAAAGCCGAACCTCAAAAGAGGCCGGTGGCCAGGTTAATATCTTCGGGTACTGGAACAACGTGAATGACGCTACAGTGAACAATCCGCGGCCAAGCCCCTAAGAGCCCCTCGGTGCCACCGGGAGGGTTCAGAGACTTGACCGAAGTGTATTCACACACACACACACACTATGGTAAGTACTGTCGGAAGCGCCTTCTTCTTCGTAATGATTCCAACAGTGTGGTAAGTCAACCGTAATCGACAGACAATACAAACACAGACTGTAGCTATGATTCATTAACTTCGTTTGAGATTGCCTCCTCATTGTCTGTGTGATTTATCGGGTCCTGCTCTGAGTGAATGCCTATCTTCTCATGCGCGGCAGCCAGGGAACCCTGAATTACCCTTTTGCTAAGGGAGGCGTTGAGCTCTCTGATCCTATATCAAGTAAGTAATCAGACAGGAGATAGGCAAAAAATGGGTAGAAGACAGACAGTAAATGGATATGAAATAAACATACCTTCTTGGGGCCGCTCTGCGTGTTGCGGCCGTCCTGTAGAGTAATTAGAGAAGCTGACTGAACAAGAGATGTACAACATGCCCGCGCGTCAGGGCTATTCTTTGAATTGAATACATTGCCAGGCGGGAACTTTGGCTGGTACTGGCCCTGGTTCTACCCAACGTGGCATGCAAGAGGGCCAGCAGATCAAAGCGGCAGCCGTCCGACTACTCGATGCTGAACACCGTCAAACGTCCAACAGCCTGATTCTTGCAATGGGGGAATGGTGAGGTTAGGGGTGCTGTCCTCGGTGGTAGTTGAATGTGACGCCCTACTTAGTCGCCAACCGAAGTGCTCGACGAAGACGCGTTGCTGGACTATCCGACATAGGAGTTAAGGGTCTGAGGGAAAGGCAAGGTCATAGATGCTGTCCTCATGGTGTTGTTGACTGGGACGTCCTTACCGAAAGTGTTACTTGGCGAACAAGAAAACGCGTTACAGAGGACTTGGGGTCTACTTCAGGTAGCCGATTGTCCAAGTGGTCGAAGATGAAGACGCTATCAAACAGTCTCAAGATTACCAACAGAGAAAAGAGGACGATGCATTAACAAAAGGCATGGGGCCAGAGATACTGTCCTCGAAGACAAGGGTGGGGGGGGGGGGGGGGTTGCTAAGTGCGGTGTCCTAGTTCTTAACAGTATTGCTTGACGAAAAGGAAGATGGGCTAACGAAGGGCTCGGGGTTAGAGATGCGGTACCTGGGCATTAAATGAGCGCGACGTCCTGCTTCAGGCTGAAGGCCCAAGGAGTGGTTGAGGTTGACCTACTGTTCCAGTTCGCCAACAGTATTGCTCGACGACGAGGACACATTGCCAAAGGACTCAAGGTCGGAGATGCTGTGCTCAAGGGTAGTTGAGCGCCACACCCTGCTTATCGCCACCAGTGTTCCTCGACGGAGACAAAGACGCGCTGCCAAACAGGCCTGACATTAGAGAGGAAAACATATGACTGAGGTGCCTAAGGGTGCCGTCCTCAGCGGGGTTTGTCAAGTACAACGTCCTGGTTTAGTTGCCAACTGTGTTGCTCAATGTAATTAGCAATACTAGCCCTAACCTACGAGTCCATATTCAATACGCCTAGCCAAAGAGACAATAATATAGACTGACCTCGACTTGAATATTTTTTGCGGGAGAGGAAGACTTAGAAGGATACACACAGGACGGATTCTAATATAGGCCACATTGAAGTAGAAATGCCTTCAACAGCTGACTAGTTAAGCCAGCTAACCATGTTGCCTTCTATTTATTCCTCATTCCCCTATTCAGAGGATTGTTCCTATTACAACTTCAACGAGGAGTTCCTGATAAGCGCAAATCACCAGCTTGCATTGACTACGTCCCTGCTACCTATACACACCGTCTGTCGCTACTACCAATTGAATATCTCGGAGAGAATTTCGAACTAGCCCAGAGAGATGAACAATAACTACCTCAGAGAATGGCATCTTACATCTGACCTCACCTTTCTCCGGGCCAGAATCAAGCTAGTGACTCTCGCCGTGTCCCTTTGGGACAAGAAGAATAGAACATACGAGATTGCATAAAACAGCCAGAGCGAGGTAAAGTACGACCACGTTAGACTTGTATTGATCCGTAATTCTTCAAGACGGGAGATTCCAGTGCTTCATCCGGTGATTAGCTATATCGTGAATCATTCGTACGAGAGACAACCAGGTTGCCGCTGCTGTGTTCATTGATCAGAAGGTAGCAGTCGCTTCGCAGCACACTGTTACGGCAACAACCGCCTACTCAAAGAGAATTACTGAGGCTGGCCAGGTCTTGAGGTTAGGTAGTGTTGCGATGCTGGAGGCTTACTCGTCTTGCTGAGCCCTTCTCTAGTTTCCTCGACAAGAAAGTGTTGAATCGAATTTCTTGCCGTTCACCACCAGACCGATGTCAGTGCTGAACTGGGTACCAGCACTTCTCTGTGTACGTAATGCTTCGATAAACTCGAACCGAATCGTATGGTAGCGTCAGCGTTGCCTTCCTAGAGTCAAAAGGTAGACTTTAACTTGTGAGTTACCGTCAGTTGGCGATCAGACATGAAGTCCTCGGTGCGACTGCCGATTGGCGAATTCCTCGCGTATGCACATACTAATTACATACCTACCTACCTAGGTAAGCCGCACCAATAAGCACAGACTGCCAGATAAGCCACAGAGGCGACGGCAGCTAAATACGGGCGGGTATAAGGTACCTACCCAGCGCGGTAGTTGTGACACGGGAAAAGGGACCGTTGGACGCCGAAGCAAAGGTTCGTCCAGATCGCCAATCTTCGACCGGGCGAACATAGTCGGCCTTGCCGACCTCGCCGAAGTCATTGCTCTTCCAGCCAATGCTTCCAGTACCCGGACTGCTAGTTTCTCTTTTCTGTTATTTACTTAGTGTCATGTTTATTCAGGTAGCTAATCTGATGGTGGTTGGGTAGGATAACATTTATAAGGCACCGATGAAAGATTGGAGTTTCGACGCTGCCAAAGCAACAGGCTGTATACGAATTGGCAGAAGCCGCAAAGCCTTGTGACAAATTTCAAAAGTTTCTGTTAGTACCTAGGCCGAAGGGGTGACAAACAGTTGGGATATGGTGGCCATTTTCAATAATTGGTGAAGAAAAGAAGCTATCGCTGGTTACCCTGGTGAAATATGAGATGATACCCACTGTACTAGTGGATACTGTGCCGTATTGTACATAATCCTCTTACCGGCGATAGCTGACGATGTCCGGCATCGCTACAAGTTCAACAACAACGCAGCCAAGTTTCACCAGCAAGCTAGACCAACGCTCCAAATCGCAGAGATCACAACCGATCTATCCAGGCATCATGAACATGCCGTTCTTGATGGCTTCAATCTCCTTCTTCCCCAGAGGGTCCTTGTTGTTGAACGAGGCCCTCTTGCGCTCCACGCTCGGCCAGCTCGTGATGTCGAGATCGTCGCCGCCAATCTTCCTCCCCTTCTTATACTCCGAGAAAGCCATCTCCCAACCCCAGAGATCGTCGCCGTGAGTTTCCTTTGGCAGCTTGACGCTGTCATCCACGTCCGCCAGCAGGTTCTTGAGCCCGGGGACGTCGCGCAGCGTGATGCCGTGCTTCTTGGCGTAGGCGGCGACGTAGTTGTCGAACGTGTCCTCGTCGAAGGGATACGGTCACTTCTTGGTGGACTTCTTCATCCGGGTCTCTTCCTCAAGGAGGAAGTAGTTGCGGAAGATGGCTGCAACCTTCAGCATGCCCGCCATAACGTGGCCGAGGTCCTTGACCTTCGAGTCCGGGGTCAGGACGCACTCGCGCTCGAGGCGGGCGAGCATGGCGAGCATGGCGAGGAAGAGTTTGCCGATGAGGCGGGCGGTGTGGCTGCAGAGCTCGCCGTCGTCGGCCCTGTGACGGGTTTATTCTCGTCAACGAGCCGGCCTCGATGCAGATTGCCTGACAGGGGAGGCCGTGGAGGGGAGAATCACTTACATGGCGAAGTCACCGCCGGAGAGGTACCAGATGAACGGCACCATGGCCTCGCAGATCAACCACTGCTCCCTCCAGTTGTCCTTGGCCTCCTCGAAGTCGAGGACGAGGTTCTGGATGACATGCAAGACTCTACACGTAAAGGCCAAAGTTATCGGGATCGCGAATCTCGCAGTGAATCTGCTGGGTTATGAGCTTGCGGTAGCCGGCATTCGTCATGAAGAAGGGCGCGTCGGGGTGCTCTTCCGCAGGCTTCGTGCAGAGGCAGGTTTCGTCGCCGTCACACCTAGGCTGTTGATTGCCTTCGTCGTCTTCATCATCCCCATATTCATCTTCATCATCGTCGTCAAGATCTCCTCCGGGTTTGGCCCCAAAGGGACATCTGCAGGTGTATGCATAGGCGTCAATGTCTTCCAAGGCCTTCTTATAGTCATTAAGCTCCTCTTCAAATCAACTTTCTGGGATGGTTAATTCATATAGTCACTGCCGAAACTCAAATGACAGCAATGAGCTCGTTCATTGCTGTTTCTCGACGCGCTCTGAACGCGTGTCGAGCTTCCCTGGATTGCTATGGGTCTTGAACCCCTGACCGCATGTGACAGGATTTGGATTGCAATCTCGATGTCTTTTTTTTTTCGCGAGCCAGCTATATTGCTCACAGTGGGATGGGTGTCTCAGTCTGGAAGAGTTTGGGGGTTTCGTGTTGGCTGCGCAATGACGCGATCGCTTGTTCTCCAACTGGGTTGGTTGAGGAGACGGCAGGCAGGGGTGCAAGCGGCATATGCATTTGTTCCCTTGAGATCGATACGTGCTTGTGTTTGCCCGTTTCTCTCATCGTGAGCATCCGATAGTGACGAGACTGGGGCCTGGGTGCCAATTCAATATCAATAACAAGGAATCGGTGAGGCGTCAAGCGTTGAGAGAAAGTGCGGGCGCGGACAGTTGCTGTTACATGCCATTACTTATCTTCCCAAGCACTGGATGCTGCGTGCCTACCTATGAGTGCAAGCCTTTACTGCTTGTTTGGGCTTTGGGCGACACGAGATGATATCCGAGATGATATGCTATGAGTTAAGCCTCCACCGCGTGTCAAAAGCGAGCCTCCAACTCCTAGTCCTGCCACGCCATTTCCGCCAAGCGCAATTGTCGATACCGGACCTTGAAGCAACATGTGGTTGGTATGTTGTACATTTGACTTCATATTGATACATATTGAACACTACCTCTCGTGGAGGCCCTGATGTCTAAATCTCTAGGCCATGCCTAGCCCACAGCCATCCAAGCCAAGCTCGTCTATCGCCTGCGGCTTGCTTGAAGCTCAACTTTCGGATGACAACGGCCCGCCTATGCTTCGGTTAACGCTGCTATCCACGGAGATTCTTTCGTTTTTGCTGTCGCCCCTGGGCAACGCATCACTCAAACGCCCAGCTTCTTGCGCCCCTTCGCCCGTCTTCGCGCCACAATCTTGCGACCGTCCTTGGACTTCATGCGCGAAAGGAAGCCGTGCCTCCTCTTCTGAATCAATCGGGTGTTCCGGTTCATCGTGTTACGAGGGCCGCAGCGGACCTGCATGGCGCCCATGGCAGGGTGCTCTGTGATGGCGCTTGTCGGGACCACGTCGGCGGCACCAGCTGTTGAGGGGGTGAAGGGCGTTGCGGTCGGCCGGCGGAAGGCGGATGTGAGAGGCGTGATAGAGGGACGCAGCGAGGGAAGAGAGGAGAACATCCTAATGGCCAATGTTAGCTGATCAAAGCATTGGCTGGTCCAGCGAACTTGTGGCTGGGCCTTACCTTTGCGAGCACGCCTGTGTAGCGACACGGACAGGTTGGGTTGCTGGGCGGGAGAGGAAGCCCCTCGCCAGACTTGTGATGGGCTGGCGCATCATCTTGGCAGCAGTCGTGTGGTCGTTGTCGTGGACTGCGTGGAGCTCTCACTGATCGCGATCACCAAGCTTGAGATTTTGCGGAAGACTTTCTTCCAACCCGTCGGCAGTTCCCGTCTCTCATGCATAAAACGGGGTACTGCGGCTCATACGGGGTATTTCTGTATGCATGAAGGGCATTGCATGAGGCGGATGTTTCAGACAAATAAAGTCGGGGTAGACTAGGCGGGTGACCCCACTTGGTTGTCGGTTCATGTGGACAGCTTGCCTTAGCTTGCTGCGCCGATGGGTCTGACCAGCTTACGAAAAAGATCCAGAGCTTGGCCCTGTTTCCTCATTCAACATACTCATCATTCCTGTCCCTCCTTTTGTAATCCCTCTGGATCCCGTCGAAGAAGCAAGTTGTGGCCACAATGGATTTCCTCCAACGTCTTGCGCGGTTCCTGGACCAGCCGCTCTTCCCATGGAAGCGCCTCATCCTCGGCTTCTCCATCGGCCAGTTCGCCTTTGAGAGCCTGCTCTCGCTGCGTCAGTACCAAGTCTTGAAGAAGAGCAAGCCGCCCAAGGTGCTCGAGCAAGAAGTCTCCCAGGAAGTTTTCGACAAGTCGCAAGCCTACAACCGCGCCAAAGCCGAGTTTGGTTTCATCAGCAATCTCTGGGGTCAGATCCAGAACATCGCCTTCATCCAGTTCGACGTCCTCCCCAAGTTATGGTCCTGGTCCGGTAACCTGCTGCTGAAGTTCGCGCCGGAGCGCTTCACCGGCGAGATTTCCCAGTCCATCGTCTTCGTCCTCGCTTTCATCATGATCCAGCAAGTCCTCTCACTGCCCACCTCCATCTACCAGACCTTTGTGCTCGAGGAGAAGTTTGGCTTCAACAAGCAGACACCCAAGCTTTTCATTACCGACATGATCAAGTCTCAGTTCCTCGCTTTCGTCATCGCGCCTCCTGTTCTGGCCGGTTTTCTCTCCATTGTCAAGAAAACGGGCAACCAGTTCTTCTTCTACCTATGGGCGTTTGCCGCTGGCCTGCAGGTCTTCATGATCACCATCTACCCGATCGCCATCCTGCCCTTATTCAACAAGCTGTCGCCTTTGGAAGAAGGCGAGTTGAAGAACAGTGTCGAGAGCCTCGCCAAGAGCTTGAAATTCCCCCTTCACGAACTTTACGTTATCGACGGAAGCAAGCGCAGCGCTCACAGCAACGCCTACTTCTTTGGTCTTCCCTGGAAGAAGCACATTGTCATTTACGACACCCTCATCGAGAAGAGCGATACCCAAGAGGTTGTTGCTGTCCTTGCCCACGAGCTTGGCCACTGGAGCCTTGGCCACACCACCCGTCTCTTTGGAATCTCCCAGGTATGTTTTGTGTGGTAATATATTATGGGGTATCACACAGCTAACACCTCACAGGCCCACTTTTTATACATCTTCACCCTCTTCTCTGTCTTCATTAGCAACCAATCGCTTTACGCCGACTTTGGGTTCCTTAAGGAGCACCCCATCATCGTCGGCTTTATCCTCTTCTCTGATGCTCTCTCGCCCATGGACACCGTCGTCAAGCTTCTCATGAATATTTTGAGCCGCAAGTATGAGTTCCAGGCTGATGCCTTTGCCCAAAAGCTTGGCTACTCGGCTGAGCTGGCCCGCTCCCTCCTTAAGCTCCAGATCCAGAACCTCAGCTCGATGGACGCCGACTGGATGTACGCGACCTACCACTTTTCTCACCCTCACTTGTCCGAGCGCCTTAAGGCCCTTAACTGGAAGTCTACCAACAAGGTTACGACGGATGAGCCGACGGTTGCAAAGACGTCGGGAAGGGATGAGTTGTAGGGGTTTGCAATAGAAGTGCTTTGGCACCGAGAATTTAAGGAGGCAACTCGTTCTAGAATCCTTTGTACAATACTATGCTACGTGTAAAACAATGGGCAGTCTCCTCATAAGTGAGGATCACAAGCAATAGATCATCGTATGTTGCGTGGCGAAGGCCCTCTCCCTCAAGTGGGAGAGTTCATTTTCACCGTCTTGGAGCCCTCATGTTGGCCAGCACTCGTGCTAGGAGCTCCTCTCGCGTGTCGTTATCATTGGGAAAGAGATTCCTCTGACAGTTGTAAGCAAAGACCACGATGAACTAGTTGAGATTGCGCGCATACCGCGGCCAGCCATCTCCTCATCTCCTCTCTGGTCCAATTTTCTGGGTTGCCGGTCGGGTCCGGAGCAGCAGGAAACATGTCGCCGCCATAAATGGCCCAGACAGCCGCGGCCGTCACCAATCCACCGAATGCTGTGGCACAATGAGCACCAAATTCACGAGTAACCATTTGATTCGTATACTCACCAAGAACTGCACTCTATTTAGAGTGTTAGCAGACTCGTCAAGGAACCAAAAAAGGCGAGGGAAATGAATACTGACTCTGGACTTCATGGCATTGTCTAAAGGCGTGGGCATCTTATCGCTATGGGTATCTGTGGTGGTGCGCTGGTTCTCTGCTCCGTGTAACGAACGGAACGAAGCTTGGCTTGTTTTCTTGCTTTCTACAAGCGCTACCTATATAAGGACAGAAAACGGGAGGGGAACAGATTGCACAACTGCAGCAACGTGTTTGCAAACAACTTTGAGTTGGAAAGCGTCGTCAACCCACCCCCCGGTGCCACGGGACAGACCGAAGCGGTTGCTCACTGTCCCAGCGCCACGCCTTGCCCGAGAGCTTTTGGCTGACGCGTGCCACAGTGACGTTTCACTGCCACCCAACTTTCCGACCCAAAGCCCCAAGTGGCTGCTGCCTATGGCAGAATAGGTGCATTGAGGCGGAGTGACAGAGTGGGGAAATATGGGGCTCACTCAGTACGGAACCCCCGACCAGCCCTCGGGCTCTCCCGATAAGATAAGGTCGGCACCTCGATAGATTCAACCCGACCTAGTGCCTCGAGTCCAGTACTCAAGAATGGCCCGTGCACCCTTCGAGCGAGCGCTCTCGCCAGGGGTCCATCCCACAAAATCATTTTTGCCCTCAAATCCCAAAACCAAGAAAAGACAACCACCCACTCCGACCAGACAAGACCCCCTCCGTTGTCGCCAAATCCCCCCCAAATACCGCCAAGATGCCTCGCGAAATCGGTGATATCAAGCAGGTACGCTCAATCCAGCGGCGAAACGCTGCGTGGTGACTGTTATCTGGGAAAGATTGGCTAACAATTGACGTTTCTGTAGTTCATTGAGATTGCCCGGAGAAAGGACGCTTCCTGTATGCAGATTCCCTTAAACCCCCACTGCCACCAAAGACTCGAAAAGATGCTGCCCTCTGTCCCAAGACACGGCTGCGAAATTGTTGTGCGAACGGAAAACAAGGGATAGGACAGTCTTCTAACGCTTTCGTGATGTAGCCGCTCGCATCAAGCGCAGCAGCAAGAGCGCCCAGATCAAGTTCAAGGTTCGCTGCCAGCGCCACCTCTACACCCTTGTCCTTAAGGACTCCGACAAGGCCGAGAAGCTCAAGCAGTCCCTCCCTCCTCGTACGTGTCCCTCTGGCCTGAATCCGGTCGCCGCTCTTGGTAACCCATGGAGAGGTGTCGAATTGAAGGAAAGGATGCTAACTACGACCCAACCCAACAGAGCTCCAGATCAAGGACGTCCCCAAGAAGAACCCCAAGGGTGGCAAGGCTTCCGCATAAGCGCTCTCCAACACTGGAACTGGGAAAAGTCAAAATCGCTTCGATGGAGGAATGGAAGAGCATGAGTAGCCCATCTTATGAGGTCTATGGAATGACTTGGTGAGGGGCCATTGGCCGGTGGGTCCTTGGGAAAAATAAAGTGACGGGTTGTGTCTGTTTCCTCGGAAGAGGAGTACGGACCGTCTGTTCACACAAGACATACGGCGTCAAGGGATTATTACCTAGGCAAATTGCGGATTGAGATGGACCTGTCTACTCCTTGCTAGTCGGACATTTCGCCAATGAAGAAATCATTGAACACAACCAAAACGCAGGCCTCGCGAAACAAAACATGAAAAGTCGCGACGAAGATGCCACCCCCGGCTAGGCATGCTTACGCTTATCCAGACAGCCTCGAGCTCCATGGTGGCAAAAATACCTACATGATCCTCTGGTAATGCCAAATGTCAGTACCCGTGACAAACTCCTGAATGCCAGCCCACTCCTTGAACCCCTCGCGCTGCGCAATCGCCTTGTGCTGCTCGACCGTCGACCACCCGCAGTACATGACAAACTCCTCGAGATCCTCGACTGCCTTCTCCATCCGCCACCCGCCGCGGACGGGGTACGGCCTCGCGGCTTCCTCGACGACCCACTTCGACTCGTAGTACTTGCTGGTGAAGTCCTCCTTCTTCTCCGACCGTACACCGAAGCGTCCGACGCTAAGCACCGGCGCCGTCAACAGCGAAGGGGTCTTCCCCTCGGCCTTGCTCTCCGTCTCTGGTGCAGCGGCAGCGGGGGCTTCTGGGTCCTTGCCCTTGGACGTCGTCTCCGCGTCGGTCTCTGTCTTGCTCCCCGCCTCTGCTGCGGCGTCGCCGCCGCCCGCGTGTTCGCCGTTGGCCTGGGTCGGCTGCGCCACCGGCGTCGCAAAGATGGGCGCGTCGACGTGAAAGAACAGCACAGCTCGCGGGCCCTCGACTTGGATGTGTGGCATCAGCTTGGCCATGACATTCTGGTTCTCGGGCGACGCGATCCAATCGAGGTGCGCCTGCTGCGAGTCCCACTGCGCTGCGATGAGGATCACGCTCGGGTCCTCGACCTGCTGGAGGATGGCGGTGCCGCGGTCTACCCGGGTAGGCGGGAGTCCTGGCTGCTGGCGCAAGACCCAGGTGTCCTGGACCGTCTGGCAATAGTCCAAGAGCTCCTTGAGCTCTTCAGTCAGCGGCTCATTGAACTGGAGAAGTGCGAACTCCGTCACAGTCATCTTGGGCTGTGGGTGTGGTGGACGAGGTCGAAAAGATCTGTAGCTTGTGGCACGAGGCGACGTCGGGAATACGGAATACCGGGGCTCGCGGGGTCGAAGCTCTCTTTACCTACCTAGCTACCTAGGTACACGGGGTTCGGTACGGGCCGGAGGCTGAAAGGACAGAAACCAGGGAAGCGGTCTATTCGTACTTTTTGCTTAGAATGATGTCTCAGAAAAGAAGAATTTCACGATTTGCTGAAGACGGTATGTTTTCTGCGCACTCTAGCCTGCCGTCGGGGACTGGGAGGGTCCACTCGGCGGGGTAGGCAGTTAGGCATGCAGGTCAACGTCCTCGCACAGAACAAAGTGACGTTGCTCGCTAGACAAAGTGCAGCACAGACAGAGACAGACTTGAGGGCCACAGGGCCCCGAGACCAGGTACGAGCAGGTGAGCGGCCATTTGTTAACAGACGCGGATTGACTTTCCATGCGGCCGCATTGATCTTATCTCACTAATCGAAATCCCTTAAAAAATTAGAAATAAGCAAGCTGGAGGTCACTACCGGTAGGTAGCCAGTTGGCAAAGACTGGTACGTACGCCATCTTGACCTTAAGTTGAAGATGAATAGGCGCTCATTGGTAGTCCGTGGGACACGAGGCATCGCAGCCATGGCCAGGCAGCTCGCAATATCTCTCTTACTCGCGGGAGGGAGCCTTGAAATGGATGCCTGTCGAACAGATGTCGCGGTCCAGGAGTGAACACAGCTGATTTGACAGCTTGCGGGCTCCGGATTCCGCGGCAATGGCACGCACTATTGGCGCGGATGTAGATGGATGCATACTTACGTACACTCACGGAATGAGCACTCAACCATGACCTCAAACGGCTGGGTCAACGTAACTCGATGGCTCATCTCACTACGGACACCACACAGCCCATATGTATCTGCCAGGCGTCGGTTTGTCCCTGGCCGCCGTCCGCGGCGATCCAAGACCAGGGGAGGAGAGGCAGTGGACCCGTAGAAGCACTGCGCTTTCATCTGAGTGATCAGACAAGCTGATATTGCCCCCCCCTGTCAACCCGAGAGTACTGTGCATAATAACAGCAATAAAGCTCAGCAGACAGTGGATTTAGTGATAACACAACTATCTCTAGAGGCAAAAGGGATAGTTTTGGCCTATCCTGACCCAGAGCGCAACGTAGGAAGCAGGGTGGGTTAGACTATTCTAACCCTCCCTAGCGGAGCCATTTTGGAATTAAAAAAATCTAAGAAAACTGGATTTGAACTGGATTTGAACCTGCAGCCTTTAGGATATGAGGTTTATTGCTGTTATCGCTGTTATTGCGCATAGTACTCTCGGGTTGACAGGGGGGGGGACACTATTAGCTTGTCTGTAGACTCCTTTAATCTTGGAGCTGACAGCTTGTGTCGGTAAGGTATCGATAAGCTCTGCTTACGTGTGTTACTCATTCCGGAGCAGAGAACAATTCCCTGGCGGCAACGGTTTCTTCTATTTTTCTTATTTCTTTTCAGCAGAAACAGACTCTCCCAGGCCCGGCAGTCCGGCTACATTCGACCTAGCCGTTAGGAACTGGGCCAGTTCTCCAAATACCATGTTACGGCGGGGCAAAGCGGTGTTCATCTTCCGAGACACGGCCATGCCAGATCTTGATGTCATGCGAATGGTGTCTCGAATGGAGAGACAAGTTGGCCTCATGTGACGGCATTTCGGTTGTTCCCCTCTTCATAGTATCTGCGCGACCCAACGAAAGACTGACTACCTTGGATACGTATCTCAGTTCTCCTTTGAGGTCGTGATTCTTCACCGCCTCCAGTACCGTATCCTCTCATCGGATGCAAAATCCGCACAGATCATACGCTAGTCCTATAATAGAAGGCGGTCAACCTTCTTACATCCACTCACCCATATAACCCTAACCCTTGCCACTTAACTTGCTGCTGACGTAAATGACTCTCTGCATTTGCTACATCTAGATCCCTGTTTCTGCCAGCCCGCTTACCCCTTTCCAGCAGACCGTGACCCGTGCGGATCTTGTATTTGATGAGAGGATACGGTAGTTTGTTGCTCTGCCTGAATCATACTGTAGGCCAGCAAGGTATAGGGTAACTCCTATCGTCACCCGATTGAAGGGTGCATGAGTTTGGCTCCAATTGAGCCTGGCATCGAGGCTGTTGTTCGCGTCGGACTGCCATTGTTGGACCAGAGACACTTAGCCATCCGTTATGGGAAGCCACTCCCGTCTCGACTCCTCTCGAGGGATCAGACAAAACGGCACTGGCACTCGGCGGCATCAACGGTAATATGCTGCTGGTGACCTAGAGCTCATGATTGGATGAAAGCGTACTGTGCATGACTTGCTGGGTCAGTCTTAGCTGGCTTCAATGACTGTGGTCGGAAGCTTGAGCCACGCAGCAACTCGCCGTAAAAGCTTCCTTCTTGCAACCATGACTTCGGCATCCTCTGAAGTTGTTATCAGATACTGTTGTCCGACTCGCCGCTACTATTTAAGATTTACCGATGGGTCTTTACAATAACATGTAATGCTTGCTATGCGAGGCGGAAGCAGGATAGCACGCAGTACGTCAACATTCAATCTCGCAAGGTATCTCGCAAGCTCGTGAGGACGTCGACGAGCGATGGCAGAGACTGATGGTGCCCAAGCTCCCCGACACCACCGTCAGGGCTGAGCGACTCGTAGCACCGGAGCATGGAATCCCAAAATTGCTTCCAGATTGCGGCCGCCGTCCTTCCACCTGCAGCAGCCCCTGTCAAACCCTTGTCAATTTGCTCGGCGTTTGCCGGGAAAACGCCCATCAGAACGGGAGTGTCGTCAGGGGGGAGGGGCAATGGCCAATAGAGCCGCGCATGAACAAAGCAAGGTACGAATACATTGGGATGAAAAGGTGCAGGTTGGACAGTCCCTGACAGCCTGGCAAATGTAGAAGCAAACCTACAGAGAAATGCAACGGTACCGTATCCTCTGACTTAACTGAATAACCGCACAGACCATACGCTAGACCCCTTATAGAAAGCGGTCAATCTATCTCTACACACACCCACCCATGTAACCCTAACCCTTGCCGCCTAACTTGCTGCTGACGTAAATGACTCCCTGTATTTGCCACATCTAGATCCCTGTTTCTGCCACCACGCCAGCCCCTTTTCAGCAGCCCGCGGTCTGTGCGGTTATTCAGTTAAGTCAGAGGATACGGTAATATACCTACAGTACCACGTTAAGTTGAGCGTCCGTATGTAAAGACAAAGCAATAGGATCATAACACGGTACACCGGTCATGAGGTACTAATCTAGCGAGTCAGAGAGACAGTCGGCCTGCACCTCGAGGGCATCATTGTGTTTCTAAGAACCAAGTCCCAACAAGACCTGCAGCGCCGTAGGCATAGCACAACGCGTCGCGGCGCAGCAGCTTCTATACTGACACCCAAGCTCGAAAGGCCTAGCAGGACAACCAGGAGGTGAGATAATACGTTCCCGCCCAAGACTGACGTTGCCATCACCCGTTTGCCTGCACCGAATTCTGAATCAAGTGTCAGCTCCGCCACGTTTATTTAGGTTTGGTTCTTCCCTGTCGGTTACAAAAGAAGGAGGGGAGAGTTCACTCCAAAGTTCCACTCATCCTTGTTGGCCCCTCCGTGTCTTCCATCCGTACCAGTAAGGCACTTTTGTTATGGGATTACTCTGCAGCTGTCCGTCATGTTCCCCTCCGTCGTGTCTTACGTACGTGTACGGTACTGTTACCGTAGATAGATAGTCCTTGCTACCTAATTATCAGCCCCTCTGGTGATCGTCTTTCCTCACGTTGCCTGTGCTATAGGTGCCAGATCCGTTTCCGTGTTAAGCTCCAGCAACCACGCCGCGGAATTAATTTGCTTGTCGACAACCCCCCGGGACCTGGGAAAGCTAGATTGGCCAACTAAAAGTCTAATGTCCCGTCCTCTCGTCCTCTAATCAAAGTGCTTGTATTACTGTATTACACTGCACACCTTACCCCCAAAACGCCACCACACCCTCTCCTTCTTCTACTTCTCTCTTGCGCGCCGCTATCGTCACTCGCATTGGCCTCGCTTCTCTCTCAACACTTTTTTTTTCTCTCCCGCTTCGCTGTTCCCGCGCCGGTATTTGCGCTAGCTAACACACCCGACTTTCTCGACCTTCCACGACGGCCTATCTTGCAGCTGCAGTCTCGATTCGTTCCGCTCTTGGCACCATCCACCAATTGGCCTCTCAACACCAGCTCCTCGGTTCCTAGACGACCCTGACGGTTGGTTTGCGCCACACCTCCACGAGCTCATTCGACGACTGCGCGACGACCCCAAGGTCTCTCCTCGCGCCTGCCGATCCCTTCACCGATAAGATATCATGGCTGTTTTTGCCCCAGAAACAGAAACGCGGGATGGGGCTGACACCATCGCCGTCAATGGCGTGTCGGCCGCCTCATATGTAAACGGCAATGCCAACCTGGCCACCCGTCTCAAAACGAGTCGTAAACAGTCGAGCCCCATGATGCCTGCTTTTATGGTCTCTGCGCCCGGCAAGGTCATTGTCTTTGGAGAACATGCTGTGGTTCACCGTAAGGTACGGTTGTCCGCGACGCCCCTTTTCCTCGCTCATCCCGTCGCATGGACTGACTCGTAAAACAAACAGGCTGCTATCGCTGCTGCCATCTCTCTGCGATCATACCTCCTCGTCACCTCTCTTTCTAAATCGAGGAGAACGGTTACGCTGCGCTTCCCAGACATCGACCTGGAACACACTTGGAACATCGACGAACTGCCCTGGGAGACCTTCCAGCGCCCCGACAAGAAGAAGTACTACTACGATCTCGTGACGGAGCTTGATCCAGAACTTGTTGAAGCCATCCAGCCACACCTTGCTGAAGTATCACCGCACAAGTCCGAAGAAGTGCGCAAAGTGCACCATAACTCTGCCTCGGCCTTCCTCTACATCTTCCTCTCCTTGGGTTCCCAGTCGTTTACAGGATGCCTCTACACCTTGAGATCAACCATTCCTATTGGCGCCGGCCTAGGTAGCAGCGCATCAATCGCTGTTTGTTTAGCGGCAGCTCTTCTTCTGCAGCTGCGCACGCTATCCGGCCCACACCCAGATCAACCTCCTGATGAAGCACGATTGCAAGTGGAGAGAATCAACAGATGGGCCTTTGTTTGCGAGATGTGTATACACGGCAACCCTTCCGGCGTTGACAATACCGTAGCAACGCAGGGCAAAGCTGTCGTCTTCCAACGGACGGATTACAACAAGCCACCTGCGGTACGGCCACTTTGGGATTTTCCCGAACTGCCCCTTCTTCTCGTCGACACGAAGCAGGCCAAGTCAACGGCATTCGAAGTCGCCAAGGTCGCTAAGCTCAAGAAGACGCATCCCGAGCTTGTTGGCTGTATTCTAGACGCCATCGACAAGGTTACTAATGCGGCAGATAAGCTCATTGGTGATGAGGAGTTCGATAACGAGGAGGCTGAAAGTCTGCGCAAGGTTGGAGAGCTCATGAGCATCAACCACGGCTTGCTGGCCTCTTTGGGAGTGTCGCATCCGCGTCTCGAGCGGATACGAGAGTTAGTGGACCACGAAGGCATTGGTTGGACTAAGTTGACCGGCGCTGGCGGCGGCGGTTGCTCCATCACACTGATTAAGCCCGATGTGGAGAAGGAGAAGCTTCTGAAACTAGAGACCCAACTGGCGGACGAGGGCTACGAAAAGTTCGAGACGACCCTGGGTGGTGATGGTGTTGGTGTGCTCTGGCCAGCCGTGCTCAAGAATGGAATGGACGAGGACAATGACGGAGGTATGGAAATTGACCAGGAGAGCTTTCTGAACGCCGACGGAAATGAAGGCGTCGAAAAACTGGTTGGCGTCCACGGAGGGGCAGGGGAGCGCGAGGGGTGGAAGTTCTGGAGAGTTGAGAGCCGATAGTCAACGTGGTGACGCTCGCTTGGTCTGCTTCTAATAACACTACTGTGCTCTACCAGATTTGCCAGGGCGCAAATTTGGGCAGGATCTTTTTTAACTTTACATTTTATTGCCGGACGACATGATAATGGCGCTGAGGGTGGGGACAGGAACATTTAGCAGGCCACGGTCCATATGTGTAGTTTGGATTAGTTTTTTTTTTGTATCGTACACCTAGATCTTAGAAGCCTACCTAACAACGGTGCTTGAACTTATGCCGTGTAGGTTAAATCGAAACTGGATTGTTTGATAGTTGTGTGTTGGGCATTCGTTCGTATTGTTTATTACATACACCTAGATGTTCAAGAATGAATGAATGCCTTGCCTTGGTCAGGCCTGGGTGGCTGTACCTACTACCTAAGGCAAGGTAAGGGAGGTAGTCCAGGAGCTAGCTGTCTGTGGTGGGGTACTGCGGCTGTAGGCGTAACGTTTCCCATAGTCAGACCAGACCTCGCCGAATCATCCAACCCCGCCATCGATTCAAACCGGCCGCAGACATGCCCGCCAAATCCAAGGTCAGCTCCAAAGCCAAGGAAGCTGAGGGCAAGAGTGAGTTTTTAGCAATTACTCAATCAATCGCTGCTTCTTGCAGCGTCTCTTGGCCTTTGCGCGGCTCGAAAATGCCGAGGCTAGCCTTTCCTTTCCCCTGTATGTGCTAACCTGGCTTTGCTGAAAACAGGCAAGCAAACACAACCTGCTGCCCAGGCCCCGGAGCCCCCAAAGACGGTCAACGAGCGCTCCCTTCAACGTTACTACCAGACGAACCCTCACGAACGGAAACGGGAGGAAGCTGGTGGCCTGCATAGCCTCACACCTGCCGAACGACAGTCGTGGGTCAACGCAACTCTGGTACGCCGCGTAGCGAATAAGGACATCTACCTCACCAACAAGGCGGAGCGCGAATTCTGGAAGCAGGCCAACCGCGAGAGCCCGCCGATCCGCCGCCTCGACCGGCACAAGACCGAGAAGGGTGCCGCTGTCGTCTACGACTGGGGTAAAGACAAGAACGGCCGCGACGTCGGAGAATACTCGCTCGAGCAGTTCGCCGCTCGGGCCGCGAAACAGGCACAGCTCACAGCGCTCGGGGTCCTGCACCGGCGTTTCCTCCAACGGAGGGAGTTTGCGAGGAACGGTGTGACGGACGCGACAACGGGAGAGGTCACGCACATCACCCAGGAGGACATCCAGGAGGAGACGCAGAGACGACGAGAGATGTCGGCTATCAGGAAAGAGCTTTACGGTGACAAGATGGGCCCTTATGCGACGGACCCGGAGTGGGACGACGTCGTGCCCATTCCCGCCGACGAGCCCGAGGGTGCACTGGCTACTATCGCTTACCCGGAGGATTACGCTGAGGGTAAATAATTCAAACCTACTTGTGTCTCGGACAGTGGCATGCATTCGGGGCCTCGTTTTCACTGACACACTGTGCGTTTTCCCAGTCATGAGCTACCTCCGCGCCGTCATGGTGGCCGAAGAGTACACCCCACGGTGCCTTCGGCTGACAGAGCACGTCATTTCCATGAACCCGGCGCACTACACAGTTTGGCTGTACCGCTTCAAAATAGTTGAGACCCTCAACATCCCGCTCGCCGATGAGATCGAGTGGCTGAACGCCGTCTCTCTCGAGCACATCAAGAATTACCAGATCTGGCACCATCGACAGCTGCTGCTTGACCACCACTACGAGGCCATCAAGGCGACGCCAGATGAGGTCAAGCGCTTTGCCCGGTCCGAGGTCGAGTTCCTCACGCGCATGCTCGAGGAGGACACTAAGAACTACCATGTATGGAGCTATCGGCAATACCTCGTGCGAAAGCTGGGGTTGTGGAACCTGTCAGAGCTGCTGTCGACGCAGAACTGGATCGAGGAGGACGTGCGCAATAACTCGGCCTGGTCGCACCGCTTCTTCCTTGTCTTCAACGACCCGGCCGCCTCCACCAAGGGCTCGCACGCGACGGAGCCCGACCCAAAGGTTCCCGCCGACGTTATCGACCGCGAGGTAAAGTACGCTGAGGAGAAGACGCTCCTGGCGCCGCAGAACCAGGCCGCCTGGAACTACCTGCGCGGTGTGCTGGTCAAGGGCGGGCGCAAGCTCGAGACGGCTGAGGCGTTTGCAGCACAGTTCGTTAAGGGCGTTGGCGAGGGCGACGACAAGGAGGAGGTGCGCAGCAGCCACGCGCTAGACTTCCTGGCAGAGGTGCTTGCGGAAAAGGGACAAAAGGCCGAGGCGGTAAAGTACCTCGACCGGCTGGCGGAGAAGTGGGATCCCGTGAGGGCAGGGTACTGGAAATATAGAAAGCAGCAGCTGGAGTAGTCCATTGTAGCAAACAATGTGCCTTGAGGTATTTCTTATTTTGATCTGTCCCGACTTTGAACGTCCACCGTAGTGTGGTTCGATAAGATTGATGGTACCTTGTCCATTCATTTACATCATGTCAGTGCCACGCCAATACCGTCAGGAGCCCGGCCCCAGAGCGTGGCATCTCTTCATACTCATTTCTCGGTTCTGTGGATGATCGGTCAGGACGCCGGAAGTGCAAATCGATGAGATGAGGCAAGCAACCATACCTTCTAATTCGTTTCTCAGAAGCAAACCCAACACCAGTGATGTCGCTTGCAATTTTATACCTACTCTCGTTCGGGAATCTCGACGCCTCACAACGCGCGGAAGTTTTGGCTCATGATCAACCACCGCCTAGCGCCTCTCGGCGGGTTCTTGCCAAACGTATCCCAGTTCGGCACCAGCACAAAGACCTCGTTGAACGTCTTGGCCGGCGCGTCGCGGCCCTTGCCGTAGTAGATGCGGCCGGTGACCTGCGCGGCGATGCTGCACTTGGCGCCCTTCTCGTCACCGCGCTGCAGATGCTCGGGACAGCCGAGCGAGAAGTCGTTATTGACGACATGGGCGTCGAGCGCCTCGATCTCGTAGCGCACGTCAGCGCCTTGGGTATCGAGGAGGGCAATGTACTCGTCGGGCCCGCCCTGCAGGACGGCGCCGTTGATGGAGATGTCGGGTGGCGAGGGGTATTTGGAGCAGGTTGTCGTGTAGAAGTTTGAGAGGGTGCCGGCGGGCTTGCGGCGGTTAAGGGCTTCGTAGTAGGCGTCGGCGAAGTTTGAGGCCGCTTGAGTCTGTGAGTTGAGGATTGAGAGGGATAGGGGGTTGAAGGGGGAGCGTACCGTCAGCTGACGCTCTCATTTCTGTTTCGCGGGAGGGAAGCGACATGATTGCAGTTGTTTTTTCTGGGTACTAAGTCGCAGATTCGCGTGGATGAGGTAAGTCATGGTAATGTTTATTTGGTGATGTTGTCGCAAAGTACTCGGGCAATAAGTTTGGCGGGGCAGCATGGACCCTCGGCGGATAAGAGCTCTGTACCGTTATCGGAGAATAAATTAGTACGGTATCCTTAGCCTGAACAGCATTACCAGAACACCACTCCAAGCTCGACATATCGCGTAATTTTGAAGTCTCCTTCAACTGCATGCTCTCCAAACGGCGGACGCAATCCTCCCACGCTCAATGAGACCAGCGAGAGTACCCACAGTTTCGGCCTTCCGCAGCCGTCGCTATGCCCCGGCACTACGACCAACCTGGTCTTGTCCTTCATGCAGCCATGGCCAGACATCGGGTCGCCGGTTCATGAGCTCTGACAGCAAGAGCGATAAGCCGTACTACGTGACGACGCCGATTTTTTACGTCAATGCATGTATGTGAAGCTGTGCTTGCATCTCAATGCCACATACCGGGACTAATTGATATCATTGTAGCGCCGCATGTCGGCCACATGTACTCGATGCTCCTCGGCGACGTCCTGAAGCGCTGGCAAGTTCTCAAGGGCCGGCCTGCGATCCTCTGCACCGGCACAGACGAACACGGCTCCAAGGTACAACAAGCGGCTGCGCGTCAGGGTGTGGCGCCCAAGGATTTCTGCGACACAACGGCCGAAAAGTTCCGGGACCTGGCGCGCGCGATTGGCATGGACAACGACCACTTCATCCGCACGACAGACCCGGACCACAAGGAGGCGGTACAGCACTTCTGGCATCTTCTTAAGGAAAAGGGTTACATCTACGAGGCCAAGCATGAGGGATGGTACTGCATCAGCGACGAGTGCTTTTACGCGGCCAACGAGATCGAGCGCAAAGTTGTGCCGCAGACGGGAAGAACGGTGATGGCTTCAATCGAGTCCGGGAACGAGGTCGAGTGGATCGAGGAGAAGAACTATCACTTCCGCATGACAGCGTTGAAGGACAGACTGTTGGCGTTTTACGCGGCGAACCCTGACTGGATCGTGCCGAGGGCGCGTATGAATGAGGTCGTCGCGTGGGTGTCGAACAATCTTGAAGACCTCTCCATCTCGCGGCCGGTACAGAGGCTGGACTGGGGCGTGCGCGTCCCCGACGACCCAAGCCAGACCGTTTACGTGTGGGTAGACGCACTCATCAATTACCTCACCAAGGCGGGCTTCCCCGGGTGGCAGCCGGGTCGTGAGCACGAGGGCGGGTGGCCCGTAGACGTGCATGTTATCGGCAAGGACATTGTGCGGTTCCACGGCGTGTACTGGCCGGCGTTGCTCATGGCGCTGGATCTTCCGCTTCCCAAGCAGCTGCTGACCCACGCGCACTGGACGCTGGGCAAGAAGAAGATGTCCAAGTCGCTCGGAAACGTCGTGAACCCTTTCTTCGCGATCGACCGCTGGGGGCTGGATGCGATACGATACTTCATGATGCGCGACGGGGGCATCGAGAAAGATGCCGACTACGAGAATTCACTTGTCTTGGCGAGGTATCAGAAGGACCTGCAGGCAACTTTGGGCAACTTGCTGAACCGTGTCGCAAAGAGCAAGGTGTGGAAGCTTAGAGATTCTGTGGCATGGGCGGATCAGAATGGCGCATCCATGGGACGCACCGTCAATGGGAGCGATGCGCTAAAGGCGACAGTTGATGGGATGGCGGCGACCATGTCGAAGCACATGGACGAGCTGAAGCCCAATGCCGCTATTCGCAGCGTGCTGAGTGTTCTCGAGGAGGTGAGAAGAACCACATGGATTTCCCCTATGGGCTGAACTGACTCGACAACTTAGGCGAACAAGTACATTAGTAAGACGGCGCCGTGGAACCTGGTCAAGTCGACCAAGGCCACGGATCAGGCCGCGCTGCACGAGATCATCTACCATGCCTCGGAGGCTGTTAGGTGCGCGGGGATTCTACTTCAGCCCATCATGCCAGCTAAGATGGGCGCAATGCTGGACATTGTCGGCGTTCAAGTCGACAAGCGCGGGTTTGACCACGCAGTGTTTGGCGCGGATCTGACGTACGGCGCACCGGTGATTGACCCAGGACCGCCTGGGGAGTGGGACAGCCTCTTCCCGCCGCCAGCTTCTAAGAAGTGAGCTTGAGGTTTGGGTATCAATAGTCGCGATGACGAATGTACTTTTTTATGTCTGTATATCTGTAATTTACCAAAAACAGGAGCTCTTTATAAGATTGTATGTAGTACTGTGCAACATCAAAGTGGCAACATCACAAGAGCCGATTACAGAGTTCGGATGACATTTCGGGGTGACCCTGCTCAAGATAAAAACCCATGAGGTGACATCTCCAGTGTTATTTGGTGTCACGGTCTGATGGCATTTCCGAAGACCGGTTCACAATCGTATTTCCTGGACAAGAGGTTGTTCGTTTATACTAGTTTCCTGGAAAACCAACGAGTCACTGCAGTAGCTCGCGGCAGCTTGCAGCTGAGCCCCTGTAGAGTTCTCCACACCACTTGTCAACGGCGCCCTTTGCTTGACGACAGCGAAGTCACTTTGCTGCAAACCGTAACGTGTTAATATATGTTGCCTCCCTGAACATATCAGAAGTTTCCAAGAAGTTGGTTGTCTCTATCTACATTCTTTCAATTCACACTAGTCTTTGGGGGTTTCTGGGTAAATTTTCACACCTAATACAATCATGGGTTCGCTCTCCTCAAATGCCGAGAAGCCATGGATCGAGACACCCTGCATAAGATCGGCAGCCCTATCTCGCATAGCAGGATGGTGAGTCTTCAGCCTACCTCATAGCAAGGACCACGCTAACACACTCTCAGTAACATCTACCTCAAGCTCGAGAACCTCCAGCCGTCAGGATCGTTCAAGTCGCGCGGGGTCGGGAATTTGATGGCCCGCGCTGCGGAAGCCGCCCCGGAGGCAGCAGACGCCCACTTCTACTGCTCGTCCGGCGGCAACGCCGGCCTCGCGTGCGCAACCTCGGCCATCGCGCTCAAGCGCAAGGCCACCATCGTTGTGCCCAAGACGACGTCGCCTCTCATGATCTCAAAGCTCAAGCTCCTGGGCGCGGACTGTGTCCAGGTCGGTGAGAACTGGGCCGAGGCGGACCGACACCTCCGTGAAGTGTTGCTGGCAAATGACCCGGCCGGCGTATATGTGCCGCCCTTCGACCACCTACATATCTGGGACGGCGCATCCACCATCATTGACGAGGTGGCCTCACAACTTGGACGCCGCGAGATCAACGGCATTGTGTGTTCTGTCGGCGGTGGTGGCCTGCTCGCTGGTCTCAGCCAGGGTATTTCCCAGTACCACTGGATCAACCGGCCTGTGCCGAGGCTGCTGGCGGTCGAAACCGTTGGCGCGGACAGCCTAAACGCCAGCGTGCGTGCCGGAGAACACGTCACGCTCCTGGGCATCACATCCATTGCGGGCTCGCTCGGCGCGGTTCGTGTCGCGAATAAGGCGTGGGAACTTGTGCGGGATTTCCCCGAACGGCACAAAAGTGTGACGGTCACTGACGCAGAGGCGGCCATGGCTTGTGTGCGTTTCGTTGACGACGCCCGGTTGGTAGTTGAGGTCGCTTGCGGAGCAACGATTGCGACTGTGTATAACGGCACTCTGCGTAAGCAGCTGGGCCACTTCATGTCGGACAAGGAGTGGGCGGAGATGAACATCGTCCTCATTGTTTGCGGGGGGTCAAATGTGACCATGGAAATTTTAGACGGATACCGTGCCACGTACGGCATCGCCGTGTGAATGGTATATATGTATAACCAATGAACTGGGTAGCTACGCAGTTGATCATATGCTTGTAGATTAAAGGCGACGCCAGAGGGGCGTATGACCTCTATAGACGAAATGGGGCTAAGACAGGTTGTTAGGTGTGTTCATGTAACGCCCCTCAGTTTACTGTTTAATCCAGGGAGTTGATTCTACGGATGAAGGCTGGGTTCATGAACACAAACGAATTTACGCACAACGAACAGATACTGGGTTTCTGACCATAAATAGAGATTCGTATATATCAAAAGGGAAATAAAAGGGAGAAACCCCTAACCTTCTCCTCCTGCCTGATTAATAGACATTTTCCGTTACTTTAAAAGAAACTTGCTCATCGAAGTCGTGTGCGTACGTACGTACAAGCACAATCCGGGCGTGGACGGTGGACCTAGTAGAACCTTATTCCAAGCGACCTCTTCACCAATTCTTTGGTGGGTGCAATGTTTAACGTCTTGCACGGGATGTTTACTTATTGATAGCTCTTGAGAAATATCCTGCTATCGGCGAGGCGCTGCATAGTGCAGCCAGCGTGATGGCTTGAACAAAATGAAAGATGGATAGTATCAAAATGGAGGATGTGTTTCATAACAACCGCTAGTCAAGGTGCCAGAGTGGTTAATGGGCTGCCCTGCTACCAACCTTTGGTTCCAGTTTAGGCAGTGGCTTCGGTCGCGCAGGTTCGAATCCTGTCCTTGACGGTTTGTTTTTGCCATTTTAGCTCTGCTAATCTACCACCTAATTAATCTAGTGCACTTGTTATTCCTTGATATTTACTACTTGTTGTAGTGGTAAGTAAGTATCCGTAGGCCTGTTGTAAAAGGAAACTGTTGCATGTTGCAGGAAGTGTGTAGATGTGGGGCGTGGAAGGGTAGAGAGACAACCACGGACAGCTGTTGCTACCTCAGTGCTAGAAAAACATAACTAAGATAATACCAAATGACTCACTCCAACCACTCGCTCTCTGTGGCCTCACAAAAGACTGCCTGCGACGAGAGAGAAAAAAGTAACACCGTCAACGACAAGATTCGAACTTGCGCGACCGAAGCCACTGCCTAAACTGTAGGGACCAGATCCGAGGACCGAGAATCCGTAGCAGGGCAGCCCATTAACCACTCTGGCACGTTGACATCCACTCAGTTAGAGCTGTTGTGCAACCGAGCAGAATCAACTCCACACTTGACCGTTGTTTGTCTGTGACGCACTTCCTCTTTGGGACGCCGGCAGGAGAGAGCGCGGAGCTGCAAGCGGGCCAGACTGGCGAGGTCTTGGTGTTTGCTTTTAGGCTCCCAGAGTTGAAGTGGAGTTTTACGAATATAGTTATTACAGATTATGCAAGCACACAATGAGGCTGAACGAACATTCAGGCATGTCATCCACTCCTGCTTGTGTCAAGTCCAAACCACAAGACATCTTGAAAGCCAGTATTTACTTACACGTAAAGAGCAGCCATTGCGACGCCGCGGGTGACTCTGGTCCCATATGAGGCGAGACATGTAGAGCGGTATCATGAGTGGATGAGCGACCCAGTCAGCAAACCCCCCAGCTATTCCCTCCTTTCATTTATGACGGCTTCGGTGAAGATGGAGGATGCAACGAGCTAACTCCACTCATTGCTCGATATAGGACATTCAAGAAGCCACGGCCTCAGAACCGTTAACACTCGAGGAGGAGTACGAGAACCAGCAGTCGTGGCGGACATCGCACGACAAGCTCACCTTCATCATCTGCCATCCGCTGCCTGCATCATCCGAGACGAAGCTCGAAGTGGTACAGGCTGGGGAAATTGACGCCCCGGGGCAAATGATTGGCGACATCAATTTCTTCATTTACCCCAATGACGACGATGGCGATGACGATGAGGCAACCCAGGCCGCGGCTGAGAGCTCGTACGTCGGCGAGGTGGATGTTATGATTGCGTCTAAGGATCATCGCGGAAAGGGCATTGGACACGCCGCGGTGACGACACTCCTGACCTACGTACACCGCAACAGGGAGCGCATTATTGCCGAGTACGTTGAGGGCGAGGGTAAGTCTGGCGAGGGGAAGGCACCCGAGCTTAAGGGCTTGATGGTCAAGATCAAGGAGACCAATGCGGCGAGCATCGCGCTGTTCAGGCGGTTGGGCTTCGTACAGAAGGGAGATGTGAATTACTTTGGAGAAATTCAGATGGTCATGGAGGACCTGGGACAGTTTGTGGCGTCTTCTGCTGGCGTCAAGGCCGCCGAGGAGTATAGCGAGGTCGTGTATTCTAGATGACCAAGCATCGTAAATGACATAACGAGAAGCCTTGGCAGTACCGATCAATCCATGCCATTATCCTTTACGCATCCCACTTAACAACTTGACCAATATTATTATTTCCTTGACTGGTGAAATTCATTATATCTGTCTCATGCGGCGACAACGCCTTGTTCTGACAGCCAATTCTCTACTTTACCAATCGATACTTCCAGTAGAACACAAGATTGCTAACGCCAGTCAACGGGAACTTTCTATGCCATACACGCTCTTTCTTTAAGGGTCAGGTAATTAGATACTCTTTCCCTCCTTTTAATCTACTGGCATACCCCCTAGACTGCAGATACCTCATGAGTAATATTAGAGGGATACTCCTTCCCCAACCATCTCATACATAATCGTTAGCTTATCTCTCACCATAACAACCACCTTCCTAGCTTGCTACTCGAAGATCGGGGCTGGCTTCTTTCTACAGGCAGGCGAACAAGATATCACTACGTGCTGGCCTCAGACGACTGAACTGCAAAACACCCCGATTCCTTTCTCAATATTTGGCTTTAGGATCAGATTGCTATCACGTCTCAGTCCGGCTATCTCCGTGCGCTCTTAGGAAGAGCCCTCGGTTTCGGGACTTCTTCTCGCGACCGCAAATACCTTTCCAGGTCGGTCGTTCTTCCCTATAAAAAACTGCGAAAAAGGGTCCTACAGTAGAAACGACTTTGTGCCACAGGTTCCTTTTTTATCTTTGACAGGCAGAAAAGCCGTATTTCTAACTTTCCTCATGCCACCAAGTTATTATACACCAAGACAAAGCACCGGTTAACGGAAAAGGGCATTTGTCCTTCATAGCCACGCAAAAGTTACACCAAACAAACACCAAGGCCTTTTCTGCCACTTAAGCTGATGCTTTTCTCAAGGCCCATGAATAAAGGATAGCTTCATTCGACAACATAACAAGACTATCTACTATTCGCTACATTAAACCCCAAGACCCCAAGCTCAGGTGAGCCGCAAAGTAGAGGCCTACATAGATCAAGTGACGTTCGACGGAACTCTGATCTTAAGTTCCGTCACTCGTCCTCCACAATCCTTTATCAGGTAAGTACCGATAGCTTTCAACCAATTACTCTTGATGAACCCATACTCACTGGCCTCTCTCTCAGCCTCATATCCTCGCAGCATGGCTCCAGGTAAGAACACGGGAGGGGCCAAAAAGAAACAGGACTCTGCTGCTGCATCTCGGAACAAGGCCAACGTTTCTAAGGGTAAAGGCAAAGCACCCAAAGTCAAGGCTCGCGCTTCTGCTTCGAAATCCAAGTCTACAGGACGAACCCAGGCTACGAACAGCGACGGAAGGCACAAGCGCCCAATTCCCCTCGACGAGGAAGGCAGCAGCGATGATGGCACCATCAGACCTACCAAGCGACGCAAAGGGGCCAAAGCCCCCAACCCTCACGACTATCATGCGGTACGTGAGATGCCTCCAGCGCGGGACCATGGTGCGAGCTTTGCAAGAAAGTCGACCGCCCTTTACACATGGGGAGCCAACCCCAAACTTTCCCTTCCGTCTCAACTCAAGACTCAGCCGAAGAAAGCTGAGAGAGCCGTGGCAACTACACGCAAAGAAAAGGCAGCGGTCTACCCTACGAACTCTCCGCAGTCAGGTTTCCAACCTGGTCGTGGCGACCTCTCTTCGAGGATGACCAGCCCCAAGACACCAGACGATGAGAACGCCTTCCCCTTGATGAAGCTTCCCATCGAGATCCGACGAAAGATTTACAAGGAAATTCTCGTTGTCAAGGATCCCATCCGAGTTCGACAAGGTTGGTCCGCAGTCTACCCTCGCAATCGGCCTATGGTCGAGACGAGCATCTTACGAGCCTGCCGCCAGGTCAGAAACGAAGCAGTAGACGTGCTCTATGGCGATAACACATTTCTCTACCTCCTCAGAGAAACCGCCAAATTACCAGCCACCAACATACTGGGTGAGAACGAAATTGTGGTTCATCATCCCTTGATGGCAGATGAGCTTCCCCTTTCAGAATACGAGGGCAGCAGCGAGGACGAGTATGACGAGGACGACCTGCTTCCAGCGGCGCGATCAGCCCGAGACCCCGAAGTCGAGATTGACATCTGCCGCTACGGCCACAAGTTTCGCAATCTCATGATCGTCGCAGAACCGAACCGCTTCGACAAGGGATACCTCTTGAGCATGGCGAACGCCATCGGCGTCTTCCGCAATCTGAAGCCTCTGAGGGCCCGCGTGCATACCATCACCATCGAAATCACACCTATCCGCCAGGTTGATACAGGCGAGATCAGCTTTCTTGACTTTTTCGAGAAGACGTCCGAAGTCATGCGCGCACTCAAAGGGCTGCCCTGCCAGTTCATCCAGGTCCTCGTCAACACAGGCGGCGGCAACCAAGAGTGCATCCGGCTCAACATGAAGTACGCGGCCAGAATCCGGCGCGCGAAGCGCGGCCAGGAGGACATTTGGAAGAACGACCAGGTCATGCAGTCGTACCGCAGCATGAAGGCGGGCGAGACGCAGCGAAGCCTCGAGAAGCTGTCGGTCATGGTTCGTGATATCTGGGAGGGGCCGAACGGACGGTTCGTGGGCTCTCGGGCTGGCGATGATGAGAGCGACGAAGAAGACGATTGGGGTTTTTGAAGGAGAGTAGTTGAGGGGACGGGGGTGCGTATCATCTCGATCGACTCAGTTGGCGCGAGGAAGAATTTGCTTTGGGTTTTGGGTTCACGGGTGTGTATATGCATTTGGGAGGAGATCCCAGGTTAGGGCGATGGCTGCGTCTGATCTCTTCGCATTTGAGGTTGAACGGGTGCGTGCAATAGGCAAGATCGCATCGATCTTCTCCGGGACAGGCGGTCGGGGGGTACTTGGCATGATTTCTTCACATGAAAGCGCTTGGTTTTTCTGAAGGGCCGATTCATTAGGTAGCATTAATATTCACTCCACGAATCTAGACACCTGCGATTTCCATTTCCTTTCCATAGCTTATGGGGGGGGTATATCAAATCATAACTTTCTTGGTGAACGTGCTCTCTCTCTCTCCTTTTCTTTCTTCAACACTCAAGTCTCGACTTGCCCATCATGATGCTGTCGCAGCTGCCGTGGTGATCTTGACCTTGGAGACCTCCAGCGTTTCCGTGTCAACCAGGACGAGCTCCTTGGTCTCGGCGAAGGACGGCACGGTGATGAGCCGGACCTGCTGGCCGTCGCTGCCCTGGATGACCTTTGTCGAGAACTCGGGCTGGCAACCGACGAAGTAGAGGTGGGGGGCGTCCTTCATGACAAAGGGGTCATTGTCTTGGAACGGGTAGGCCCCTTTGGACGAGCGTCAGCAAAGCGTCGAGGGAAAGAAGGGGGTTATAGTGGGGGTTAGTTGCTTACAGAGTGTGTCCGGCGCAGTGGGAGCGCTGCAGCGCCACCTACACATGGCCTCCATCATGCCCAGGCGGTCGTCGCTGTCGACGTACTTGAAGACGTCGTCGACGTTCTGGCCGCCAGTGCCGAGGACCCGCCACCCGTCGACCTCGCCCTCCCAGGGGTTGGTCACGGTGTCGAACCAGCCGGGTTCCTTGGCGCCGGGGGCCGCGCAGTAGGGCCGCGAGCGCGGGAACATGGCCGCGTGGATGGGCTGCTGCGGGTAGCTCGCATTGGCGGGGTCCTCGGCGCCGGGCATGAGGGTGACGGGGATAGAGGGGAGGAGGTCGGCGAGGAAATCGTCGAAGAGCTGGCTGGGGAGGGGGTTGTAGGCGCTGGCGTCGTAGCCGTACTTCTTGTTGGCCGCGGCCCCGGAAGCCGGGTTCGCGGTGGACGTGGAGGAGCTGATGGAGTTCCCTGCGATGATGAGGCGGGAGATGTGGGCGAGCTCGGAGGACTGGGCGGCCGGGGTGAGGGCCTCGCCGAGGAGGAACTCGAGGAGGAGGGAGAGCTCGAGGGCGTAGGAGGCGTCGGAGCCGGAGAAGGAGAGGCCCGAGACGATGGCGATCTTGGACGAAGGCCGTTGGGATGGGTTGGAGGTGCCGGACATGTCGTGGTCTTGGGAGGGGCTGTCGGTGAGGGTCCAGCGGGAGGGCTGCGGGGCAAGGTCCGGGAACTTCACGTCGATGACCTCGAGCTCGCCGTTTGCGTTCTCGATGCCCATGACGCCGATGATTGTGCCGGTGACGAGGTGGATGGACTTGAGGACGTCGCCGACGAGGCGGACGCGACCCGAGTCGTCCTCGAGCATGATGGTGTTATTGTCGTCGTCCGAGTAGTAGCGGTCCGTGGAGACGGGGGCCGAGATCCAGCGCTGCGCGGGGTTAGTCAGTTGCGGCCCTGCGGTGCCGGGATATGAAGGGAGAGACGTACGTCCTTGGACACGTCCTCGAGGATGTTGGGCTTCAGCGCCATGTCCATGTAGACGGTGCCCGTCACCCAGCAGAGCTCGCCCTGGCGGACGTCGAGGACGCGGTTCACGTGCTTGGCCTCCTCGCCGCCGATGACGGTGCCGTCCCAGGCCTCGGCGGCGACGGCGTTGACGGCGGGCTGAATGGAGGTGAGGCGTAGGAAGTACACGTCGGCATACTGCTGCTGGTACGAGCGCTCCTTGGGCAGAGCGAAGGTGTTGAGGGGTTTGTAGTGCGAAGGGGCGCGGACGAGGGTCGTGGAGGCTGCGGCTGCGTCGCTGCGGGCGGGAGAACGTACGGGTTAGATGTTTGGTGGGTTTCTTTGCATATCCATACACGGTTGACTTACGCCGGCTTTTGGAGAAGCGCGGTGGCTTCTTCGAGGGTCACCATGATTTTATTTTACTTTAATTTTCTTCCCTTCTTTTTCGGTCCGGCTTGTGACGTTGCGACTGGAGACTGCTGATGTACCGTTAACGAGGTCAAAGAAGCTCTTGGGCGGTGTCAATGGCTGACGGCAGGGCGTTGAAGCTGGGGTTCGGCATTGCGAGTAAAACCCGGACGCGTCGAAAGAGCTTCGGACCGGAAAAGTCGCGAATTTTGGCGTAAATGGGGTTGGGGCGGGGCGGGGAGGGGTCTCCCGTCTTTGGCGGTCCGGTGGATCGGTTCAGAGACTGGTTCCCGCCTATTATGTCATCCCAGTGCACGGAATGAGGGAATGAGAATGAGGGGCACTGTAATTTTTTCTTTCTTGCTGACAAGTCAAGGAAAGGGCGCGCGGATCCAATTGCCCGCCTGGACCAGACATCCTAGACTTCCCGTGTTATCGCCGCCGGGCGTCCGGTCAGGTCATGACGCCTTCAGTCGTGGGCGGTGTGAATGCTTGGTTGCTTTTCTTCTCAGAGTGCTCTCTATTAACTTTCCTTCCTCACAACCGCACATCAGCCTTCCCCCCCCCCAGGTAATTCGCCTTTCTTCGTGACACCCTTTCTCGCTCTACCTCCCGCATTGTCGAACCCCGCCCCCCCTCCTTCACGCCCACCCATCATGGCCCAGAAATCCCCCACCATTGAGGTGACCAACCTCAGCTACAACTTCCAGGGTTCCACCTCGGGCCTTAAAGACATCTCCCTCTCCGTGCCCTCGCGCTCGCGCACCCTCCTCATCGGCGCCAACGGCGCCGGCAAGACCACCCTCCTCCGCCTCCTCGCCGGCAAGCGCCTCGCCCCGCAGGGCGGCATCTCCATCGCCGGCGTCGATCCCTTCAAGGAAGGGCTCGAGGGCGTCACCTACCTCGGCCTCGAATGGGTCCTGAACCCCATCGTCCGCACCGACATTGGTGTTCTTGAGCTCCTCCGCTCCGTCGGCGGCGATGCCTACCCGGACCGCCGCGACGAGCTCGTCTCCGTCCTCGATATCGACACCGCCTGGCGCATGCACGCCGTCTCCGACGGCGAGCGCCGCCGCGTCCAGCTCGCCATGGGCCTCATCCGCCCCTGGACCATCCTCCTGCTTGACGAGATCACCGTCGACCTCGACGTGCTCAGCCGCGCCGAGTTCCTGGCCTGGCTCCGCCACGAGACGGAGATCCGGGACTGCACCATCGTCTACGCGACCCACATCCTCGACAACCTCGCCGGCTGGCCGACGCACCTTGTCCACATGCACCTCGGCACCGTCCGCGAGTGGGACACGGCCGGCAAGTTCCTCGACGGCGTCGGGGGTGGCACCGGGAACAGCACCCTCGGCGAGCTGGTGCTCGGCTGGCTGCGCCAGGACCTCAAAGACCGCGGCCCGAGGTCGCAGTCCCGTGTTGAGTCCGAGGGCAAGACGTATGCCGCTGGCGGGTACGGGGGCTACGGTGACGAGTCTGACAAGCTGAAATAAGACTGTCGGAGGGCAGGGGACAACCCGCTTGCGGCGGTTGCCTGTGGATCGTGTGGTTCAACAATTTTGCTTTTGCTTTCTTGGGTTAGGAGTGGCGAAACGGCGTCTTGGGCACTCAACTGCTTTCTGGACAGCGTTTTGCGGTCTTTGCCTCGACTGGAGATGAGCACCGGGTCCACTCCGTATAGGTGTCTTTTTCAACTTAGACTACGGGGATATCAGGTAGTCGGTCTCGCATGGGCAAGGATTAGCGGGGGAACGCGCAAGAGGAGAGAACGGAGACGGATACGGAAAGGGTACTCTCAACTGGCCTTCCAGACGGCTTTTAGTTGCATAGACCTTGTTCAACAACGGGCATACATGTCACAGAGGGGGCGGCTTGGTTTCTTTCAGGATTTCCGCGGCTTTCAAGATACCCTAGTCTTCAACCATAAAAGGGGGGCTTTAGATCTGGGCGGAGGAACACTGTCGACTCAACGAGACAGACATACAAACACTTAGATATCGGCGAGATATAGAACGCCAGAAGCACAATTCACCTTCGATGCTGCAGGTCTCTTCTCTCATAAGGGGGGTATCATGACAATATCCATCTCAGGCCGGAAACCGACCAGCCTTTGTTGCCCCGGCGAAGACTGCGCAAAGCCAGTCTTTACGCCACGTTCTTTGAGCTCATGAGGACCTTCATGGTATTCTTCATCAACGCCGGAATGCCGCTTAACCCCTTGCTCTCCAGCGCCCGCAGTACGATTATCCTATACTCAGACCACGTAATGCGCAGGCCTCGCGCTTCGGCCAGCCTCGCCAGACTGTTGGCAGTAACGGGCCCTGCGTGCCGAGTAGAGATGGCGTCCTCGTTCGCGGCCTGCTCACGGTCTTCGAGTTCGCGGACGCACTCGATGGCCTGGAAGCTCAGCAACGGCGAGTACGAGAACCCAAACAGCGTGGGTAGCGCGAGATCCATGCCCAGGTCCTCGACATATCTCTGCAGGCGCAGGGTGACCGAGCGAGCATTGAGACAACCCAGCGCATTCTTGTCGCCGTCATTGAAGGCCTTGCCACGCCAAAGGCAGTTGCAGATGTCCATGAGGAAACCGTTGAAGTGGTTCACGTAGCTCGGGGCGTATATCGTCGGCTGCCGCCTAGACATGGCCGTTTCGAAGCCCTTCTTATACGTGGCTAGAACGGCGCAAAGGCGTGAGACATTGGCGAGAGAGTGGCTGAAGAAGAGGAGGTAGATGAGCTGGGCCGGCGGGTTCGCGATGCGGAGTAGGGGTTGGAGGGTTGGGTCTGAAATGCTGGCGGCGGCTTGTTCGTAGAGGTCGAGCACACTGCCATGAACAGCGACGCTTGGGGAGGCCTGGACAAGGCTGAGGGCAACGATACTTGCGTGCTCCATGACATCATAATAGGCACTGACGGGCGTATCTTTGGGTATCTGATCGATAGACCTCAGGACAAAAGTCCAGCGGCGGATCAAGTTCTGGTAGAGGCTGAGAAGAGCCACCTGAGAGTCGGGTGTGGGAGGGAGGCATTTTTCCAGGGGCTTGAGGACGAAATCGTACAATTCTGTGCTGTGGTCAGCGGCGCACCTGAGTAATCGTCCCGAAGCACTTGCCTTTAAACGCCACCAGCGGTGCGTAATGGAGAATGCTCATGATAGGGTCCCGGGCATCGACGCCGTTCCATGTCGTAAAAAGTTTGGCGAAGAAGCTCAGGAGGACAAATGGGGTTTCCTGGATAGTCAGACAAGCCCGACCACATAAGGGGCATGGAGACACTCACCTTGACGCGCGAAACGTAGTCCGCAAGAACCTCCATTGTTTCCCTGAACAGCTTCTCGTCGGCGTTGCCATTGAGGACGTCCTCGAGAACAGCGTCGATCCAATGGACCACACGTTTCGAGGCTGCATGATCGTTCTTCAAAGCGATAAACTTTTGAAGCAAGGGATCCGCCAACACAGCCGCAAGCTGATTAGGAAGCTCGATCTTTTCAATTGACTGGACAAAGCGATCGGCACTATCAATCTCTTCCAACGTGACAGAGTTCTGTTACGACCGTCAGTCTCGAGATTGTTATGGATTTTCTTGTTGGTCCATCTCACCTCCGTAGCCTCTGAAGTATGGACGGACGGGAGATTATGTGCCTTGCCTCTCCGCGCCTTCAGAGCCAGGTGGTTGACACTGAAGCCATTTCGAGGTTGGCCGGCAGCCTCAGCAGCACGCTGCGAGTGGTCTCTTTGGATCTGGTCAAGCCTCTCCCTCCATTCTGTATCGGGATGCTGCAAAGGTCAGACTAGTTTCCTCAGGCATGTGTTGCTTCCTACCTTGAAGACCGATGCCCTGCCTCGCAGTGCATCGCTGACAATGATTTCGGGATAGTAATCTTTGTAGACCCGCAGGAGCCCTGTCAAGGCTGGATCATTGCCCGTGTTCCTGGAGAGATTTAGTCTGAAACGTAGGGTTAGCATCAAGCAAACTGGCGGTGTGATCAGGACGTCACTTACAATGCTTGGATCCTGAAGGGCCGGACGTGTTTCCGGCGCGTTATCAGGGCGAGCAAATGACACAGTTGCGGTCTGGCCCGCGTTAGCATCCTTCTTTACGCAGTAGGCGATAATTTCTGACCGAATAGCAGCCGTTTCGAGCAGATTGAACAGTACAGCGTATGCTTGCGACAAGACAACCGGCTCCTCGATAACATGATAAACCATGATCAACCATTTGAGCAAGTTAGATTGTAGGGCCAGTGACGGCTTCAGCTCACCGTGCCCTAGGCACCCGACTACCCTCAATACGACATCCCTGGACAGGCGAGTCGCGGGATACAGATTCTTCACCAACGCGTTCAGGCTTGCCTGGTCCAGGTGGCTGGGCCGTGTCAGCAGGTCGATGAGTTCGCTCAGGGGCTCGGGCAACAGCCCTTTGTCATAGGCGAAGGCCGCGATTGTCTCGACGGTAGGCTTAATGCTGGCAGCTCGCCGTTTGGCTGGCAGCTTGGAGGCTGAAAGATGTGTAAGTATGATTGTGTGCTAGAAATGACACGATTCGCAACTCACCCTCGATGACATCCTCAACCAAACGGTGAATGTCCTCAACGCCTTCATCCAAAGACATATCGCCAGTGGGCGAAGCCATTGTGGCCGGCGCTCGTGAAGCCAAGGACGCGAAGGCTCTCTAGTGGCCCTGTAGCCGGCTCTCAAGACGTTTGAGGCTGCAGGCGGGGGCGCAGTGTCGTGATGCCCCTGTAACGACAATGATGCCGAACCGGACAGACGCGTCAGGGGGTCAAGACCAAGGTGAGCGCGTTCAGACCGGAAAAAGAGGGACCGTGCACGGCCCTCATCGGCTTGTCATCCCATGGGTGGAAACGGCCGGGGGGGTGTTATCGTCCCACATTTCAGTGCCTTACAGACCCAGGGCGGAGTACCGGTAGGATGTATTGGTAGGTTCGCAACGCCTGTGGTTCGCTCGATGAGTGCAGCTGCTGCAATAACCAACCAGAGCAGCATCGGCAAGTAATCATCTGCCCTCGCAATATACCTATGTACATGTGCGGGGTTATCTCGGTCAGTGTCAACCAGTGCAAATGTAATGTGTACGGAAGGGGGGATTATTGGCAGATGGGTCTCAATCAGCGAATACACAGTAGGCGAAGTGAGACGGGCCCCTTGGGTTGGTGCGTTGCATTACCATGTTGTTGGTTTGGTGGGTAGTTGGAACCACAGCCAGCGGTTGGAGTCAAGTCGTTTCAAGATCCGAGGGTTTGGCCATTGTGGTTCATGTTGCAAGAAGACGTAGCTGGGGTCGACTATCAGACATGACATTCGGACGACCCAGGACTGCAGAGACGAAGGTGTGGCAAACGTCCAGGCCGTGAGAAGCGCGTATGCCGTCTTGGCCGCCATGGTAAGCTCAAAGACACTAACTAGTGCAGCCGGATTTATGTTCCAAGGCCGGGAATTGGTTTGGGGTCGAAAGAAGAATGAGCTCATGTGAGATGTGAGCTGCAGCAGTAATTTGGAGGGTGGCGATGGGGTAAACTACCTGGCAGTTGGCCTGCCTGTTCACAGTCTTCTCCCCCTTCTTCTTACCTACCCAGGCACTAACCAGGTAGGGTACCCTACCTACCACCCTACCTACCTACCTAGGTAACGTGGACATTGGACATGGACAAAATGCAAGAGCGAGCACACGACAACAACAAAAGCGTAAGGAAGGTGTCATTCATCGTCTCATTTAGGGTTGCACAAAGCGCAATTGTAAGGATAAAAGTGGAACCCCAAATGGAATGTAAGCAAGCACGCAGGTACCTGTACTTGGTTGGATACTTGGTAAAGGCAGCTAAAAACAGATGCATTCATTGTCTTGCCATACATTACCTGCTGGCTCGAGGCTTACGAAGAACTTGGAGGTGACTGACTACCTATACAGATTGATTGCCCAGGTGCCTACCTAGGTAGGTAGGTAGCTAGGTAGGTAGGTAGATAGGTAGGTAGGTAGATAGGTGAGCTTAGGTAGGTAGGGTAGAAACAAGGTACGGAAGTGCAGACGTTGTTCGAGTCAAGCGCGCAGGGTGTGCCTACCTACCTAGGTACCCACCCACCGTATCTGGTACCGTACTATGTACGTACCTACCTACCTAGGTACCAGGCATACTGCTGTATCCCATCCCGCAGGGCCCGTTCCGCAACCAGCTCTCAGTCTTGGTCTTGTCGACATGACATGATCGTCCCGAAATGTGCTTCACTGCACCACAACAACTCCACCATTGTTGGGATTGGTCGGCCTGGCTGACCGGGACACTAGGCGGCTCACCTGCTTTTTTCTCGCCATCTCTGCTTTGCTTGTTGTTCCACAAGCTGGCTAACTAATGCCTCGTCAGAATCCTTCGGCCCCTTCTTGACCCATCACGTCAACCAGACACTTCATCCAACCTCCACCTACTGCTGCAGGACGTCATCCGTGCTTCTCCTCACCCTACAGCTTACTTACACAACTGTTTGTCCATCGAGGAAGGTGTCGCCGTCGTCGTCGTCGTCGACGACGTCTCGTCAGCATCCATCCGTACCCGAACTGTATTTCCACGATCCATCACTGACGTTGCCGCCAGCTCCACCTCACTCACCTGTGCCCAAGGTCATGGTGCGCTGCTGGATGTCTAGTCCACCCCGATTGCCAAATCAATAAGCGGCCGCCGTGCATCACCCATCACGGCCCGGTGTTTCCACAGTCAAGACGACGGATGACGACGAGCTGGGCGAGCTTTGATGTTTATTCACCCTTGTTGCACGGATACACTGTTGCTTGTTCCCCGTCCCTCATTTCACCAGTGCGATACTCCCGGCAAACCCTATGTTTCTGGCCCCGACAAGCATAATTTTAGCCCTGAAGCCTGTTTCTCCTCTCCTCTTGGTTTTTGGCGGGCCTACCCCGGCCCATTGTTGGTTGAGTGGCCCCAGGACCGTGGTCGTGGATGATTAGGGGGTGTCACGGAATCCAGAAGCGCGCTTCGAGTGACCGCTTCGCATGACCGCATCCAAAAGGCATCAGAGGCTGCTATCGCAACTTGCTGCTCGGACGCACTCTTCAATCCCCGCTCCTGAGCCATGGCTCTGGCCCTGGCCCTGACCCTGGCCAACGAAGCAATCTTCTTTTCTCTGCCGTGGGGGTTTTCTCGGGCCGCTACTAAGTCTTGACTGCGTAGTGTCGTATGTCATAGCCTTGGCTCTCTGTCACACGTCGGCCGCCGTGTGGCGGTGTCTGCGTCTGCTTACCCGTCTTACCTCACCTTCTCTAGCTAGCTAGGGATACTGAGGCGCCTCTACGCTGGGCGGAGGATTCTGGACGCCAATTTCGTCTGCAGAAGCGTTTGTGTAACCTCGTGCCTCCACTTCTCGTGTTTTATAGTCGCAAGTGCATGACTCCCCAGGTGGTCAGCATAGTATTGATGTAAATCCCCGTCTTTCTCATCGTTTGGTGATTTCCCTCTCCCGCTTCCAAACCTAGGACGACGGAGATATTGCCGCTCCGTAACGCGTCGGTTACATCGGGATCCATCCATCCTTCCCGCCCACCACTTCTCATTCCATGGGTACACACACACACACTCACGCACACACACACGCACGCACGCACACACTTGCGCTCGCTCGCACACCTACGACCAATCTGCCATCACATCAGTCAGACGGATGTGCCCCAGACCAGACCAGACCAGACCAGGAACCGCGGGGCTCTTGATTTGATTAACCGCTGCCACCAAGACCCACCACATACGGTGAGAGGCGTGGCGGCCCTTGGAGATTAGCCGCTCCCTGTTCGTCTTCCGCTCACCTCTTGTACCACCTTACTCACTCTTACATACACCTTCGCTCAAGTTCGGCATACTCAAGTTATGCATCCCGCCAATGATGCCCCCATGCAGATCCCCTTCATTCAAGATTTTTCTCTCCCTCTCCCCCTCTCCCCTTCGCTCATTTGTGTCCGTGTTCCATCCAACCTGGCGGGCTGGCTGGCTGGCCCTGTCCGCTGAGCCGGTCGCCTCTGCCACACACACTCACACACACACACACACATACCCCCACTCCGGTGCTGCTGCCCCGATGTATTCCCTCCCACACCTATCATGATAAAGATCTGTGTCGAACCCACCAACTTTGACATTCCCGCCTGCTACTAACCGGCCATAGTATGTGCAACCTGTCTTGCTGCTCTCCGAAAATGCGCCTGCTAACATTTAGTCTTACTCTCCCCTCCCGGCTTACACTACCGTAGTCCGGCCGATGTTGTATCTACAGCAATCTTTCCATTTACTGTGTTCATTGAGAACGGTCAAAGACTTTGTTTGCACCTTACATACCGGACAGTGGACGGCACTTATCTCCGTCTTGACCGCTGTTACAGCTTCGCTCAACCGCAACACACCGAATTGCGTCAAATCTGGGGTTTCTATAGTGAACCTTGTCTGACGTCAAACGACTGACATCCCTTCATCTGGTTCATGCTCATCGACTCGCCCGTACTTCCTATCGGCAGTATCATCTCTTATGAAGTGAAAAATCCAGGCTATTGCTAAATCGCTGAGTGGTCACGGCTCTCCTCTACCGGGTCGCATTCATCTGTTCAGGCGGGCCTGAGCAGAAAGGGTGGCTTTGGATTCGTCTCACCACTGCATGTATGGGCTTATTCCTCCCCTGGTAAGAATTGAAGCCTTTGGTCCCGGTATAAAGCTTACTCAACTGGCACAACACTGGTTCGGGCAACCACGCACTAACTTTGAATAGGAATGACCTGAAAGGTGCCGCGTTCTTATATTGCTGCCCTGAGATATTCCCCGGAAATGCGGATCGACCGCCATGCTACGTCCAGAAATAACACAAACCCCAAGCAAAACCTCTCAGCCATGTTGTTGTGGGACCGGCAATACTGTATCCCCTTGAGAAAGATCCTTTCCGAAGACGACGTCATTGTCCTTCTCACGCCCGTTGTCGTGCCTCACGACAGACTCGCAGACAACGACAAGGACCCCTTTGAACCACTGGGCCGTGCCATCGCCTCGAGGCACCCATTAGTCCGACACGTCCCATACACGAAGCGAGGGGGCATCACCAGTATTCACTTTGAGTTTATCAAGAGAGCCAAAGCCATTATATTTGTCATATCAGGGGCTCCTGTAGGCGACGATGTCTCGCAAATCGACTTGGCCGATGCTGCCAGGACAATGGCAGACGAGCGCCCTCAAATCATAGTCGCATGCTGCAACCTACAAGCCTACAACCTGCATGTTGACCATTTTGCCACAATTGTGCAAATTCAAGGCTATTTACCGTCGGAACTCGAGATTGCCGCGTCCGTGATTTTTGGGGATGCTCGACCATCCATGGGACACGCGGTTCCTTTGCAAAATCTTGTCATTACGCCGCAAGTATGGCCGGTTGAGGTTTGCGGTACCGACATGGCACCAATCCACCAGCTTTGGACAGAATGTCTTCCGCCCAAATATCACCTCCCGCAGTATGCACTTGTCCTTCTCCTCCAACGAGATGGTTTTTCCAGGCATTACGTTGTCCGCGAACTCGAGAGTAAGCAGATAATCGGCTTTTGCGCCACGTACACCACGTATCCCGACGGAGGTCAGGACAATCTGCTCGGTTCACTGGCCATCCTGATGGTCAAAAACTCGTACCGAGGGCGTGGGGTTGGTCTGAGTCTTCATGACCACGCGCTCAAACAGCTGCAGAGGACTCGCGGCGTGAATAGACTGCAACTCGGCTCAGCCTTTCCGCGCCTTCTTTATGGCGTTCCCTCCGACTCCTTCTCGGTAGACTGGTTTTCGCGTCGGGGTTGGCAGATGAACGGCGTTCAGCCCGGCCAAGGGCTAGGGGTTTCAGATTGGCTCCTCAAGTTTGATGATATGCCGTTGAAGACCTTCTCGTCAGCTGGACTGACGTTCAGGCGATGCGGCATGGTTGAGTATCACCGGGTTTTGGATATCGTGAGCCGAGATGCGGCCCGCAAGGATAACATGGGGTGGTACGACCAGTACTATACACTGGATGGCACGCCACACATAGAGGATATCATCCTTGGCCTAGAGGGCGACACCATCGTGGTCATTGCTTTGACCTACACTCCCAACTCTGGGAGTCCAGCAGACAACGATATTCCGTGGGCAAAGGCTATTGGGGCCGATGTTGGGGGGGTGACATGCATTTGCATCATAGGTTCGTGACTAAGCTGGGAGACTTTGGCGGTTCTGTTCGCTCACCCCAACTCAGATGATCATCCCGAGATGGTGAACAGCCGAGACTCAGTCATGATCAGGTTGCTCGACACGTGTGTCAAGCTGCTAGCCGAGCAAGGCATGCGGCATATGTTCATCGATGGCGTCAGGGGAGGAGACGCAGGGTTTCGGTCCCTGGGTAAGTGCCAAGCAAACAAGCTGTACTCGGTTTTCTAATTCTGTTATACAGGCTTCCGGGAATGGGCGAGATATAAGGATGTCTGGCGCAAGGTTTGAGGAGAGACGCACTCGTATGTAATACCACACGGTCAACGACTCCTCGTCCGGGCCAAGATGCGGCATGTTGCAATCTGCAGACTCTATAAGCGATCTCAGGAGGCCGTGGAGCCGCTCGGTTCACCTCCTAGGCGGTGAAGTCTGACAACCCGTTCACGACATCTATCTCCCCACGTTGGGCGCTTGGTTCAGTTCATGTCAGCCCCCAGCTGGTAAATCCTGGTGGCTCATACATACTTCGAAAGGCATGGTAGTCACATCGGTACCAGCCGCCAAAGCATCCATGTTTGGAAGAAGCCCACACAGTGAAGTGCGCCTCAAATACCAGCACGGATTCACAAATCAGCAGCAGGGTGGCCATCCTTTCCTGTGACCCTAGACAGGGGCCGCGGGACAGTAAGCAGAGCGCCCAGTCGAGCTCCTTGGCTCTGCTGACCGTGTCTGACATGGGTACATGATGGGGTAATCGTGACACCTATCATGGCCACCCTTCATTGACAATGGTCACTTCGATTTCGCCCTGCCGTGAGTCCTCATGTCAGTTGACTATTTATCTCCACCTTGATTTGAGTTTTGGCCTGATGTCATCCGCCTCACGCTATTCGTCACCCGAACATCAGGACGCATGTTTGATACGTCGGCACCTAGTTCACTTGCAGCCGCCTTTGCCTGGTTCGATGGCTCTGAATTGAACCCAACAAAACTTCGTTGAGGGTCAGCGGCAAACAGATACCTGGGAGTGGTCCTTGAGGGAGTTCAGCAAATGGATGTGTGTCCCAGACAGCCATCTATTCAAACATGCGGGTTACAGGGGGGGGGCAAACACGCACACATTAGAGCCTACTACAATAGATACCACCAGCCCACCTATCGTACAGCAATCATATAAGCATCAGCTTAACAGAAATTCTCTTACAAATGAATTAAAATTTAACATGGACTTTTAACGCTTCTCATTAGTTGTTTATCTTTTGTATTGGATATCTGTAGGTGCTGAGTAACTATACCTTTTTGTTGTTAGTCCGACGTCTTATTATGTTGAAGTGTGCGTTCTTTTTTCTTACAACCTGCATGCCAACGTCCTTAGATAAGATTCCAACTATGCCGAACAGATTTGAATTGCATGAGCACACCCAGAGACTTAGCAACACCTTCGCTTTACCATCTGCGGCGGATAGGCTCAATCTAGACACACTTGGTATAAGCAGTAAAACTCGCACATCTAGACCCTTCATCGCCGGACTTGCCCGAGCTGCAAGCCCGAACTTTGCCTCAAGTTGGGGGGTAGAAATTGGCGAAATACTGACTGGGGGCTGCCGAGACAAGCCGTGGACGTCCGCTACCCTGTTCGGAATGGCGGAGTCATCTCCGCTTTATGGTCCACCTAGTTCGTCCAGATATGTATGGTCATCACCCATGTTCCCCAGACCCCTGGTCGCAGGTTCAGTCACGGTTAACATCAAGAGCACGAAATGGAGAACTTCTGCAGCAGCAGCTCCGGTAAAAGTTGCCATCGGCTGGACTTGCCTGGTGCCGGTTCAACAACAGTCAGGCATCCGAGATACATACATTGGTAATTTAAACACCACGTGAATGGTTGTAGGGCGCGTAGGAGAAGCATGAACATGGGAACGTACACATCTTGACGACGAGCCCAAAGCAGCGGCAAAGGATTCTTAAGTGAGTCATGGAGCACACAAACCACCACTACTGCGTTGTCTAAGCGGCAAAGTGGACTTGGGGAGACCCCATGCCCTAAATTTCTTTCCCGAGCCCGTGGCTGATTCTGCACCCCCTTTGACCAGCAAGTACAGAAACAGAGCCCTCGGCAGCCTATCTTAGGGGTAAAGCAAGTGGCAGCGGCCGCCCTGGACGCAGAACTGAGCCGGAGAGCCATCCCCAACACCCTTGAAGCGGCCGGTTAGCAATGCCGACGAGTAGACGACCAGGGTCAGTGGTGGGAAAGGAGGGTGACAAGGGCTCGAGAAGGATGCTACAGACCGTGGGTGTCTCGAGGATGCGTTGGATCACCTGTTGTGTGGCCACTTGTCGAGATCAAGCGCCTGCTCCAGTAGACACGACACACACACACATACAATCATCATCTGCCCCAAGGCCTCAATCTAACTACACCATTTTCACCGTCGAACCAGGGCGTTATAGGGGCCTGGAACCGAGCGAACTTCACAACCAGGGAGTCTCCCCAGCAAGTTCTGGTGGCTTTGGCGAGGTGAGCAATCCCATCTCCACCACAGGGCCGTAATCAAGGAGCATCGGCTACCTGGCACAAAATGAGCAACTCCTTGGCATCCTCGCCCACCACTGAATACTGGGTTCATGTTGGAGACAGTCTTATCTTTCCCCCTTTCTCTATCGACACTATAAACTTTCGGGCTTGCATGTTGCTCTATCCTCAATCTTGGAGACAGCCTAGCTCCTGAAGCTTCCAGCACTAGAGTACTGGAGCATAACGGGGACAAAGTTGCCTAAACAGGCTTTAAAACCCGAGTGGCATCAGAGAGAACCCGAAGGATACATATCAGCTGCCGGTATCACAAACAGTCGTCAGCCAAGCAGCCTTGGAGACGGTCTTGGCCTTCCGATTTGGCAGTACTGAGGCCGCTCAGTACTCCCAGCATCCAAGCTCGCCCACCAGCGTCCTCCACCGTAATTTCATGTGATAAATATGCCTGGCGGAGATACAGCATGTCAAATTATAATGCTACCCTGATTGTTTGCTCAACAAGCGGCAGTGTGTCTCTGAGAACGACGGAAGTTGTCAGGTTAGCCCTGAGTCAGTCCACCTCATCGATCCTGCTCAAGACGGCCGTTGATTTCGACCTGGAGTAGCATTCTCACGACTGCCTGTATTTGCAGGAGTCAATCCGAGAATTAAATGGCCCGCAGGTTCATTTGGTGAAGGCACCCGTCTCGGAGGGACGCCACCGCTGTGCTGATATTGGCTCACGTTGGGCCAGCGTCTCCAGAACGAGAGCGCACCCCCGTTGGGCAGCGGGATATCCGAGTTCAAAATTGTGAACTCAGGCATAGCATATTACACTTGGTAGCCTTGCGCCGCCTAGACAACCTCCTGGGCTTTCCCAAGCTGCAGGAATTTAGGAGATGTTCCCACGGGTGAAGTATTTTGCTTAGAGAAATAGGGGAGGAAGTTGCCTATTTATAACAAAACCAAGCTAGCCACGTGGATGAAAGGACAGTCCCATTATCCACAGCTAGTATGTCCGTTTCCCCTCATCACTGTTTTATAATGCAGTATTGAATAACTAACAAAGGTGCTTCTTGTTCTGGTTATCATCTCTGGGAACTTTTTCGTGAAAAAAATCATTGACTGTTGGTTCGTGGGGACTGGACAACAGCTCGGGCCGGCCTCCCATATCCTACCCTCAACCCCTCCAATGCCAAGCCATTACGACCAACGGAACATGTTGGCTCTAACCTGCAAACAAGTGGAACCGTAATTTCAAAAACAGGTGACAAGGTCGGCGTGGATCATGACCAAGGTCAAAACATCGTGCTCGTCACGTCGACAGGCCAAGTCGCGCTTTGCGAGCTGCTGTTCACGCCAAGGCGGATAACGGTACCTATAAAGCCTCGCGTAGAGCGGCAACATCCTTTTTGTGTCGATCGACTCCTCTGGAGGGTTACGGGCGCCGTATAGATTTTACCCGGTTACAAGAAAAAGGAAAACCTTAGTCGCACAAACTGAAAGTGTGCCGCGGGAGGGGTGGACGGGAAGACGTTTTGGGCCACCAAGTAGCCAATGAGCGCTGAGGAGCGGCAGGGGGCACTTTTAGGGAACGTCAGTTTATACATTTTTAATCTTTTTTCTTCAAAGTTTTCTTTTGTCGCTTTACCCCAATGATAGTAAGAGCCTGGAACGGGGAAGAGGGATAGACATGGGACGAACGTGAAGCCCAGAACACACGATCAGGGCTCGTAAGGCGATGAGTGATGACGTCAGCTTTGATGCTGGGTAAGTATGAATCTTGAACCGCCCCCTGGGCGACGAATTTCACCTACCGAGTCTATGCCGGCATCTATTTGAGGGCATAGAAGCATCGAACGTAGGCCTCTAGGTTCATCGTAACCTTTGTGCCCTCGGCCTTGACCCTACAGAAAGCCACCGCCATTCCATTGCTAATATCGGCTTGTTTACCTGTGACTTCGCAAAGCACTTTTTCTCGTGGGCATATGGCCACATTCCGTCTTCCTCACCACACGTTTCCAGGGCCCTTCTGACAGCTTCACTATATGCATCTCGTTGGGAGATTCGGATTGTGTCCTGCGCTGGAGGATACCGAAAACTGCCATTTAACCCTATATCACTTTCTCCTCCAACTTCATCGCAGGAATACTGATGCGTAAAGCAGAGCAGAGTCTCGCAGTCCTCCCTTGTTGTCTGACGTCGCAGCTGTTCACACCTTACATCCTACTTTGGAAATAGCCCAGGCTTCGGGATAATGGGATATTTGATCTCGTTGACGAGTAAACACGTGGGCGCAGTGTCGCCATGTCCTTGGGCATTAGCCACGTACGATTGGAGAGGCCTCATGCCCGTTACACAGCCAAAACAAGAAGCGGGACACAAAATGGCATTGAGTTTGGTGGGAGAAGTGGAACAAATCTTTTTCGCGTCAAACTAGCCTACACACATCAGGACTCAACAGTTTTTTGGAAGAGCAAACAACAAGAAAAACAAAAAACTTTTGGTGGTATTCGTTCCCAAAGGTCCGCCGCCCTCATTTACCCCACATCTCCGTGCCTAGTAAGAAGTCGTCAAAGACGCCATGTGTTGAGTGTTTTGATCCGGTTTTCGTCTTTCGCCATTAAGTCCAACACACACATTGACGCCTACTTTTTGTATTTCGTTTTTCGTCGTGGTGGTTTGAGAAGAGATGGCATATCACTGTGTTACGCCCACTTGGAAAAGTCAACCGACTCGATAAGGGATTCGATGCCGTTTCCTGGTGAAACCTCCGTGTCGTTGGTCGTGGTAGAAAGCATTGAACTTCGGTGACTAGTCTGTTCGCTTGTGCTAGTGAAGAAGGTAGCAACCGAAGACCGACGCAGGCTGCTAAAGCTGTCGCGCACATTCGCCGAAGACTTGGACGCATCCACACCCTGGGCGGCAGAGAGGCTGTTGCCAACGACTGCGCCACCCAGGGATGTCGGAGGCGGTGAGGGCGTCGAAGCGCTGTTGATATGGCCGAAATGAGGATGCGACGTCTGATGCATGGTTGGCGCGTTCTTGGGGCCGTACTTCTCACGTAGCCGCTTGATCTCCCTGAGCCTGTTGCGCCAAGAACTTACATGTTCGCCACCTTCTCGATTGGCCCAGACCAGACAAAACACGGAAGCGTTGAGTGCCAGCAACCGAATGAACCCTGGCAACGCCCTCAGGCTAACCATCTTGGTCTCGGATGCTGGGGAGATCTCCGGGAAGCCTGGCTTGCTCATGACTTGGACTTTGTAGAAAGGCGGATGTTTTCCTTCGCTCGGCGGGTTTTCCCTTATGGTCAAAAAAGATGCCCTCGCCTCTGGGGTGATGACTATGTTGACGTAGTTGAACTCGCTCGGGAAGGTATCGAATCTGAAGGGCATGCCAGAGTCGTTGAAGATGATGTTGACAAAGTCGTTGCCAATGTGGCGTTTTTTCAGGATGCATTGAGGATCCCGTTCCAGATTGGTAGGCATCTGAGTGATGACGTGGAACACCATTTCTGTTACCTTGTCACGCCAACAGAAGGTGTACTCGCCGTCGGTATCGTATTCTCTGTCTAGTCCCTGGGTATTGAACTTTGAACCCTTGAGCCTCGTCAGTGTGCCCAGCCCATTGAGGAAAGCCACGTAATCGCTGCTGCCCGAGACATTGGCAAGGATCTCCGTCTCTTGCGTTTGGCCTTCACCGATGTACACCACTCCGACCTTGTGCCCATCCACTGTCGAGTTGCGGTCAAAGACTCTCATAGCTCTCTGGATCGCGTCGTCGTCTGGGAGAGGTATAGGCCGACCGGTCTCCTGAGTTTGAGGAGTAGAGGTCATCAGCTGGACCATCAGATGACTAGGCAAGATATTGTTGTTGGTCAACTGGCCGTCTCTCGATACATCGGAGATGTACGGATCTTGGTGCGCTGGGCGTGGGCGGAAATTCTCGTGGACGATGTATGAAGACGTTCCCGAAGGCTGTCGCTTGGTGATCTGAGCCCATCCAGTCGTTGTTGATTGCTCTATTGTCACAATGCTGTTGCCCATCAGCCATCTTCGCTTTAAAATCTCGCCGAACCGCTCTCTAATAAAGAGAACATCTTCCGAAGATTCGTCTGCGTCAGCAAAGGCGACTCTTTGCATAAAATCGAGCGTGACCAAGGCCTGCTCTTCAGGGTTCTGTCCGCCATCCACGTCGCTGAGTAAATTCTTGGCAATCCATCCGACGTGATTGGCACGATCTGGTAGCTTCAAGGCCAGAAACCAGAACGTGATGACATGGTACGCCAGAGCATATACATACTGAGGTAGGTCGTCTGCAGCGTTCGGATGCAGAAGATCCGGGGTGGAACTAGTCGGCGTTGATGCTTCGCTGTGAAGACTGCTTCGCGGTGTTTGTTTTTTGTCTCGCACGTACTGGAGGTAGCGGACGCAGATTCCAAACACGATGCGGTACTCATCTTCGCGGAAGTTGACGTACAGATTCTGCATTCTGCTCAGGCAAGCAAGAAACTCCAGAATGTGCATGGCCACATGGGACTGCGTGATGATTTGTGCCATCTTCTGCAACATTTGCACCAGCGTTTTGCTCGTAGATAGAGGCAGTTCATGGCAGCATATTGAGAGTGCATGGATACAATACTTGGCGCACCGCTCCCAAGTCGAAATGCCCTTGACGAAAGCCTGTACAATTTCGTCCTCTTGATCCTTGAGGAAAAACTCGTGATAGCTCAGAATCATGGTCAGGCTGTGGAAGAGACAGATAGCCACATCAGCACGCCGCAAGCCTGTAGATATCGGTGGCTCCTGGAAGTTGTTTGTCCGTATCTGCTCGCACGTCACTCGCCGGAGCTCTTGTATCTGCGGCACAGCGCCACGGAATATCGCATGGTTTGTGAGTTGCGAGGGCAAATGGACCAAAACCATACTGTACACCTCCCACTCACAGCCGTGCTCGATGATGTGTACAATGGTGTCGAGCCAAGCATTCATGTTCAATACGATTTGCTTCGCTTCAACAGAGGATGACTCGCTTTCCTCCACGGTCTCCGATCCCAGGTCTTCAACATACGACGCTAGAATGGGGCTTGCAGTGGCTGTTGGGGTTTCAGGCAGGGCCTCCGGATCTGGCAGGACCCATAGTTGTTTGTAAGGATACGATGATTTTGCCCCGCTAATGGAACGGATTGGAAAGACTCTATCCTGGGTTCCGGAGCTGCTAAATGAAATGCCTCGCGTAGTCCGTGAGACGGCACCTTGTTCTGCTCTTGTGGCCCGAACGGGTTGCGATGCGTCTTCGGCCTGCTTCCGTGCCCGGGAAGAGGCTGTGTGTAGGAGTGTGGCCGCAAGACCTTCGGATTCAGTGTCATTGATCAAGAAAACTCGGTTTGCCCAATCAGCTCGGAGTCGGAATAGTAGTTTCATCGCCGTAAGTCGAGCATCAGTCTTGCAATGATTTGTCTTGGCGATGTTGACGAGAGTGTCGTAGAGTTTAATTGACTTGGCTCCGTCGAGGTTCATGCATCGCATGAATAACTTGACATAGCCCCTCGTAACGACTCCCGAGGCCGTGTGAGTCTTTGGGGGAGCTGCTTCGCCACCGACAGGAGTCGTGGGCCTAGACGCTGATGATGTGACGGGAGACAATAGACGGTCATTCACGACAATCGTCCTTAGCGTGTCGGTAATGTAGTTGAAGAGCTCCAAGTCCGAGGAAACAGCGACAGAGACCATAAAAGCAACAACCGATTCCAGTACAAGAAGGTTAGTCTCATCAGCTATGTTATTGAGGAGGTCCCTGATAAGCTTGGGAACGCAATCATTGTCACCGAGCTCTTCTCCGACCAGATCCATCATATCGTAAGATTCAGTCGCCGCCTGTAGAGACAGAAGGCGGGTTTCAGAACTCCGACTTCGGTTTGCATAAAATTCTTTCAGTACCAAGGACAGGTTCTCCTCCCACTGCAGGTCTGAAGGTGAACAGCATCGGAATTCTTGGAAATAGGTCAGCACCACGCGGGCTGTCGAGTCCGGGAGTCGATTGTGAATGTCAATGAAGAACGTGATGATGGTCTGCCGCGGGACGAACTCGCCCGATTTGCGGCAAGCCAGCTCTTCCAGTCGCTTGATCAGCTTCAGCAACTCGACTCCGATGGCTTCATCCGGCCGGTCAGGCTCATTTGCGAGGGCAATCATTTCGCTCCCGACGACGATGCCCGGAGGTGCCTTTTTGGAGCATTCGGCGGCGATGGACAGTAGGGTTGACCAGTCCTCCTCGACAATCAGGCCGTGAATCTTGCCGTCGCCGTCCCGGAAGAGAGAGTTGATCAGCTTGAGGACGGCGCAGTGGACTCGGCCGGAATCTGTGCTGTTGACTGCTGCTACCAACCCATCGAGGAGCAGTGCGAATGGAACAGGGGGATAGCCCCTCTCCGTGCTCTTGGTCAGCAACTTCTCCAAAACAGCCAACACACCCCGAATATCCCTGGTGTCCTTTCCTTTGCTGCTACCATCTGCCGGGAGGTGCCGCAACAAGTCGATCAAGACTCTCACTGCTGCAGGGCCACTGTGCGATTTCAATAGAATGGATATAGTGTGCCATGCGGTCTTGGAAAGCCTTGGCACAAGACAGAATATCGAGCCCAGCACCAAGACGCACTCTTTGAAGCTTGCGGCGGGTAAGGCGCCGAAAGTGACAACAGCGTCAATGACATTGATTGAGGCCCGCAAGTCGTCTTCGATGGTTGTGCTCAAACAAATGGCGATCAGAGTGTCCATCAGAGCAGACATTGCAGTTTCCTCAGCTACGTTGGAACTGAACTTGATGACCTCTGCGATGAAGGAAAAAAGCTGGTGCAAGTTCTTCTCCTCTCCCGCGGCAGAGGCTCTAGCCTTGCCGGCGTTCTTCTTAGCATCACGGCTGGCTTGCTTTCGTGCTGCCTTGACTGCCTGGTATACCTCACGGAGCCATCTTTGCAGCACCCCGATGACTTGATAGTCGAATCCAGATAAATCACGGCCGTGGTTGGTGAGGTCAACAACGGCAGCAAGTTGCAGGTGGAAATCTTCGGGGTTCGCAGGAGCCGTCAGTGTGAGGAAGTACTCTTGGCGCTCGAGATCTGTAGACGACTTGTGCTTGACACACTCCGAGAGGAGCTCCCAGCCAGCGATTCGCTCAGCCTCCGACTTTGACGCATCAATCATGCCCTTTGCGGCGTACCAAATCTCCAGCACCGGATTCATGGGGTATTCCGCAATGGCGTAGCGAAGCGAGTTGGCAGCCGCGATACGATCGGCGATGCTGCCATTCCCATTCTTGAGCAGCTCGAACGACTCCATGTGGTTCGGCGATAAGCCGGGTAGGTTCGTGCGAGTGGCATTTACGTGATCGGCGAGCGGGGATAGGATCGAGGAGGAGGACTGAAGACTCGGTGGAGGGGATTTCGTCAACTTGGCCCCGGTCAGACCCTTGAAGACGCTCGCCAGGCCGCTGGGGCGGGCCGGATCTGGCGACGACGGCGCATCGCCTGGCGAGGGCGACATGTGCTCGTCAGGGTGACGGTGCTCCGGCTGGTAGCCCTTGGACAGGGCTATGCGACGGAGCGTGTTAGCAGAGTAGCAACGCAGCAATTTCCATATCAACTTTGGGTTTTGGGAAGGGCGGGCGGGAGTGGGCTGATACTATCATACGTGTTGCAAATGACGACGATAGACTTTTTGAGGGTCCACAGCCTGCGATGTTGACGGAAAAAGGCAATATGAGAACCGGCGGATGGGCCTCAGAAACGAGGCATTTGCAGATGACAACTTACAGGAAAAGGTTGTATTAAATCAGCTGGGAAAGTTGTCGCAGATGTCTGGGAAGGTACGATGGCCTGCGATCACCCATTCAAGGCAACGAGCTGAGCTGCAGGCCAGATGGTCCCAAAGTGGAAGTGGGAGGGAGCGGGAGGGGTCGGGCGAGCAGGCGAGCAGCAAGGTCCCCGGCGCAAATGGACCGGCAGGCCTAGCGACAAGACGAAGGGAGAGGATAGCGGCCGACGAATAGTGCAAGGATGGGTGACCGGCGACGTAGAATAGTGGTCTGCAATCAGTAAGGGTGGTCTCTTTGGGGGAAGTTTTGTGTCGGTTGTGCTGCTAATGCACTATCACGACATGATATCGCATCGTGGGCTTTTGGTAGAGGTTTGGGCTGGTGGTGCAGCTAGTAGGAAAAGTGACCGGGAGGAAAACTCGACGGAATGCTGATCCCATCGAGTTGGCGCAGCTAAGGGGGGTGGTCTATGGAGTCAAGAAATGCGGGTAGTACCTGCAGCAGGAACCAACAGTTCATGGAAGCACCTGCTCTTTTCCACTCAATGCTATGCCAAAGAGAGCGTACCAGTTTCCAGTGTTGTTCCCCGTTGCAGGTCATTGGGGCCCCACTTGCGAAGCCCAGGTGATCTTGTGTGCTCGGCACCATTATTGTTCCGGCTTAGAGGCCCGGGACCTGCCTTTTCAGTCCCAATCACCCCCCAGTGGTGACGAAATTCTGTGGCGGTGGCGTCATCCAGCGTGTTTGACGCCAGCCCGGACCCAGCATCGTGGGGTGGTTAAACCTAGAGCTATGTACGATGTACAATACCAAGAGGTGGACGAGGTGGGATTGATTCTGGTGCTGGGTTACGCAGCCTATGTACTCCGTCCCAACACACGGAGGCTTCAGAATGGCGTATGCCAGGAACCACAAATTCCATCCAATCTGCCTTCAGAAGCACAGATGCTACCAGTAGTGTATGGCAGCAGATGAAAGAAGGCAGCGGCCAGAGAAGCAGGAACAGGGGAGGAGCCCCGTGTCTCTCGTTTACCTCTTTCATTGTCAGTTTGTCATCCCATACCTGAGGTACCTAAGCCACCATGAAATCTAAGTACTATGTACGTGTTTTGAAGATAGGAAGGCTGGCATTCCTAGCCAAGACATTATCTTCGGCAGCGGTGGCTGTGGCGGCTTCATCTCTCTTTTATCCGCATACCGAACAAACAGTTGTCTGGATGTACAGGACCCCCTCCCTCCCCGCAGTTTTTCCGACTGCATCTCACTCGGACAGGCACTTGTCAGTGTCTTGTCGGTCACCAACCAATAACGGCCACAGCCCCACAGCACCTTCCATGTCTTTTCCACCAACTAAGGTACTGTGAAGGCAGCCTCGTCCCCCACAGCAACACATCCCATCCCAAAAAGTTCCGCGCAGAAAAAGAGTCCAAGAACAGACACTTTTCACCGCCCCTCTTCCTCATTACCATCTACACGACGCTGTGAGCTCTGTCAAGATGGCCTCCCAAATGGGCACCATTGCCCAGCTGCTGGATGCAACTTTAGATCCCGGCACCCATAAGAAAGGTACACCAACCCTCCCGCGCTGCCCTTTTACCCCGCCAAGTTTGTTTGCGTGCTGAAAAACAAACGTGCAAAACAGCCGAGCAAGCCCTCAAACTCGAGCAGGCCAAGCCTCAATACTCCCTCCACCTGCTCAACATCGTCGCCTCAGAACCTCTTCCTCTCAAGACCCGTTTAGCCGCTGCCCTGGCCTTCAAGAACTTCATCCGTTCTAACTGGGTCGACGCCGACGGCAACTATAAGCTCCCCGGCGATGAGGTGCAAACAATCAAGTCCCAGCTCATTGGCTTGATGATTTCTTGCCCACCCACTATTCAGACCCAGCTCGGCGATGCTATAAGTATCATCGCTGACTCCGACTTCTGGGAGCGCTGGCAAACACTGACCCAGGAGCTCGTCGAGCGTTTCTCTCCCGTCGACCCCAAGGTCAACATTGGCGTCCTCGAGGTCGCCCACTCCATCTTCGTCCGCTGGCGCCCTCTCTTCAGAACTGACGAGCTCTACACCGAGATCAACCATGTCATCAGCACTTTTGCACAACCCTTCGTGCAACTGCTGATCCAAACTGACGAGCAGATTACCAAGAACACCCAGAACAAGGATGTTCTAAAGAGCTGGTTCGAGGCTCTCAGTCTCATGATCAAGATTTTCTACGATCTCTCCTCTCACGACATGCCCCCAATCTTCGAGGAACACCTGGCTTCCATCTCCGAGCTTCTCCACAAGTACCTCACGTACACGAACCCGATTCTCGAGACCGACGACGATAGCGAAGTCAGTGTTATCGACACCGTCAAGGCAGACATTTGCGAGGCACTGGAGCTCTACACGCTCAAGTACGATGAGGACTTTGGAAAGTACACCGAGCCCTTCATCACCAACGCCTGGAACCTTCTCTCCAGCACCGGGGCCGAGACCAAGTACGACTTGCTGGTGAGCAAGGCTCTGCACTTCTTAACCGCGGTCGCTGGCACATCACAACACTCGGGTGTCTTCGCCGATGAGAACGTTCTGGGTCAGGTGGTCGAGAAAGTCATCCTGCCCAACGTCGCTCTGCGTGAGTCCGACTTGGAGTTGTTCGAGGATGAGCCCATCGAGTACATCCGCCGGGATTTGGAGGGCTCCGACACCGATTCCAGACGGCGGTCTGCTACCGATTTCTTGAGGAGACTTCAAGAAAAGTACGAGCAGCTGGTCACCGGTGTTGTCTACAAGTACATCAACCACTACTTGGAGCAGGGCAAGTCTGATTGGAAGGCAAAGGACACAGCCGTATATCTCTTCATCTCCATCGCTGCCAAGGGATCTGTCACAGCTGCTCAGGGTGTCAAGACGGTCAATTCTTTGGTCAACGTCGTAGACTTCTTTGAGCAGCACATCGCAGCGGACCTGATGGCGAGCGGAGGCGTCGAGCCCATTTCCAAGGTTGACGCCATCAAATACCTGCACACGTTCCGCAGTCAGTTGACAAAGGAGCAATGGAAACTGGCGTTCCCCCCTCTGATCCAGAACCTGGCCTCCGACAACTACGTCGTCTACTCGTATGCCGCAATTGCGGTTGAGCGCCTGCTCTTTTTGACGGATGATTCCGGCAAAGCCATGTTCCCCCGCGAGGACATTCAGCCCTTCGCCAAGGACTTGCTCGACCACCTGTTCAAACTAATCGAGAAGGAGAGGACGCCTGCCAAATTGCAAGAGAACGAGTTCTTGATGAGATGTGTCATGAGAATCCTCATCGTTCTCAAGGATGGCGCTGCCCCTCTCGTTGAAGGTGTCCTGATTCACTTGGTTGCTATCACCAACATGATCAAACAGAACCCCAGCAACCCGCGCTTCTACTACTACCACTTCGAGGCTCTCGGTGCGCTCGTCAGATACTGTTCTTCCACACATGCGCCCCTGTTCAACCAGCGCCTCTGGGAGCCGTTCAACCAGATTCTGGTCGAGGACGTTACTGGTGCGTTACATCGTTTGCTTTGATGCAATTACAGAACATCGCTGACAACTTCACAGAGTTTTTGCAGTATATCTTCCAAATCCTCGCACAGCTCCTGGAATCGAGCCCCGCAGAAGCCATCTCAGACAACTACCGGGCCTTCCTGTCCCCTCTCCTCGAGCCGGCGCTGTGGGATACCAAGGGCAATGTTCCAGCCTGCACCCGGCTTCTCTCATCAATCATCCCAGCAACTGCGGCCTACGTTGTTTCCGACAACAAGCTCGAGCAAATCCTGGGTATCTTCCAGCGTCTCCTCGCCCTCAAGAAGTACCAGTTATACGCCTTTGACGTCTTGGAGTCGGTTGTGAAGTCTCTTGAGCCGTAAGTCATCACCTCGCCGTGGTTTTGTCGCACTTTATGCTAAGTGGATCTAGTGGCGCCGTCGACCCGTACTTCGGTACTATTCTCAGCTTGATGTTCACCAAGCTACAGGGTAACCCTCCCGACTCGCTGAAGCTCCGCTTCGCTCGGTTCTTCCATCTCGTCTCGGCCCGCGTCGAGGCTGGTTACGGAGCCGACTACTTCATGCAGCACTCGGAGAAGATCCAAGAGGGCATTTTTGCCAAGGTGTACCCGCCATTCGTCTTGGCCGAGACGGAGAAACTGGCTCGTCCTGTTGACCGTAAGCTTGCAGTGGTCAGTCTTACCAAGACTCTCTGCGAGTCGCAGGCTTTCGCACAGAAGTTTGCCAAGGGCTGGGCCAACACGTGCAAAATACTCCTTGCCCTGCTCGTCAACCCACCTATTGTATCGGCTGGACTTGGAGACGAGATCATCGCCGAGGCCGACGTCGACGATATTGGCTTCGGCCTATCGTACACGGCGCTCAACACCTGCAAGCCGATTGCGCGCGACGATTACCCAGAAGTCACAGCGGTGGCTCCCTGGGTCAGCGCGTACATCAGCTCCGCCAACCAGCGCCACAATGGCGCCATCGTCAACTTTGTCAATACGCGTTTGACGCCCGAGCAGCAGCAAGCACTGCAGCAGTACTTGCAATAGGAGACGCTACCGAGCGGTGGGATGGGTTTACCAGACGATTGTGCATTCTCCACGGCCTATGGTGGATGGAAGAAGCTCCAGTAGGGGCCACAATGTAAGGGGCGTAGGGGAGACTAAAATGGTGCAGGACAGCGTCACCAGTGAGGTAATGAGAAGAACAGGAAAGGGGCTTCCAGAAGGAACCAATTGAGTTATGGCGTCTGTCGCGAAGGAAATATCATGAGCAACTCGATCACGGCCTCTGAGCAGACGATATCAATCGGCCCAAAAGACACTGGGCTTGCCGCTCAGCTGTTCCAGTGTTTTCAGCGCGAGAGTATGTTGCAGTGAGCCCATGGAGGTGTTGACAACACGTGTCTACACCCTTTTAGAATCGAGCATAGAAAAAGTAAAAAGCAATTCGTTACCCCAAAGGCTTTATTTAGCCTATGCCCCCCTCCGATCCCAGTGCCGGCGTATACATATACGTGCGTGGCCTTTGACCGCCCTGGTGCGGGAGCGAAAATGGCTGGGCGCCAATCTTTACTGGGGCTAGGAGGCATGTTGTCTGCATCACCGGGCGCCGACCACTAGTTGTTCCGCACGGCCCACACCGCTCCGGGCCGACCAGGCCGGGAACGGGGAACTTTTTATCCCCAAACCTTGGTCCCCCCCGGATGTTCGCCCCCCCCTGGACCCCTGGTGCCCGAATGAAGTGTCTATCGCATTACCCAGGGCCTGGCACTTCGTCGCGCCTTTCATCCAGGGGCATGGCACTTTCCTTGTGGCGTGTAGACTGGCGAGACTTGGCACGTCAAGCTACGGATAGCACGTCGATTGTTTGGTCACCGTGCTTTCCATCCCCCTCTCCCGGGATCAAGAAGCCTAGACTCTACCAGAGCGCATTATCATCATCTTCAGCCGTCCCACCCCCTCCTGCTCCTTCCCCTGGCTCTTGAATCTTTTCTCCATTCCCTTTTTTCCCTTGTCATCATCGAGACGACAGATTCGGTTACCGTATCCGCGCGTTTTGCCCCTCCTTTTTTTTTCTTTTTTTTCCCTTGCTTTCGCTCTAGAAGGTGTGGAGATGGTGGGGGAGGGTGGGGGGGAGGGGGGAAGGGAGGGAGACTATCCGTAGTATGTTGAGAGAAATTCTTCACCGACTCCAGGCCCCTGGTCCTGGAGCCCGTTTGCGGTGACAAGGGCCATGTCATCAGTCAGCGGCGAACCCCTAGAAGTATTCTTTTCTCTGGGGGTTTCCCTGCTTCTTTCTTTCCATCGAAAATCATAATGGATACTCATCTTGATGCTCCGTAGTGGGAGAGGACCGGGGGTTAGAGTTGGCCAAGGCGCTGCTCGGCTCGTCCGGGATACCCTCTTTGTGATCTATCCGCCTGCTTGGATTTATACACTAGTGTACTAGTGTAGAAAAGATATGGTGATGATGGTAGAGTACTATTCGTATCCTGGCTAAGAAGGGTTTTGCCGTGGAGGATGAAGAAACTATTGGTGCCAATCCCAAGAGCTATCGGCCCGGAGGGGGGGGGGGGCCTCAGGGAATGGAGACATCATAAGATGAACGGGGCCACATTGGCGGGGCGTCATGGTTGGCAGTGAGGCCGTTGACCGCCGCTTCAATCTCCTTCACTGGTTGTCGATTCGTTCAGGGCTTTTCAATGGAGATGCCAAGCGTTTCATAGGCAAGGCTTTCTTAGAAATTATTCATTTACTTTGTATGTATCATGCGTTGACTCTTATGTACTATCATTTCTATATGTTCATAAGAACGTAAATCGGTCCCAGATCAGAAAATCGGCACATCATGAACGTCCCACAGACATTCCACATTGTAATGAGATGGTGGCATACACCGCTGTCTGTCGTGTGCATACCGGAGAAGGGTGTGCGGTACGAGGCTGTCAGATTTGAGCTGCTCCATTAGACCCCTGGTAATAATGCTTTTCAAAAACAAAACGGACAAGGGAAAAGTCCCTTCTGGAAGTCGCGTATAAAGCCGGGCTGCAAAAGCAACGCGGAATGAACTGAAGCCAAGATAAACGCCAGAATCCATTTCTGTGAACCGCAATCATAAGTCGTTATTAGATGCGAACAATGGTATCGTAAGATCAGAAATCGTACAACATATGTCAACAATGTTGTAGCTTGTGTTGGGTATAAGGCCGAGTGTAGATGGTAGTGACTTAAGAAGATCGAGTCGGGTCCGGCCAGATTTGATGATGATGATGATGATGATGATGATGATGATGATGATGATGATGATAATGATGGCGACGACGATGAGGGTTGATGAAAGCTGACGGGCACCGTCAGATCAAGCCGCCTTCTATGAATCCGACGCTGTTCCGCCATCCATAATGCCGCTCCTGTTCCTCACGTTCGACATCGTGAGGCTTCGGGGGAACACCCCTAGCGTTCAAAGCACCTTTGGGTGCCAGAGAGGGACTTAGGTCGTATTCGCTGCTGCGGCGACTGCTCCCGCCGCTGGTGTTGGTCTGGACGAGAAGTAAGCTGCTGGTGCTCGAGAGACGCTTGGTGAACTCGGTGAAGCTAAGTCGCTTGGCGCTGGAGCCGGACGCCCGCTTTCCCCCGCTGGCTCGGAAGTTGGCATCTTCGGATGTCTTACCGGATGAAGAGATCGGCACATCGAGCCTTTCCTGGCCCATGGACTGAGTCTGGCTGGTTGTCCTTTGCGTGACGCTCGACCGCATCTTGGAATGAGCCGTATGTGGTCGGGCAGGAGCCTGCAAGGGGACACTGAAGTTGGCGGGCGAACTCCTCATCACGGCTGACCGGGGTGACATTGCGTCGTCTTGACGGCTGGCGAGGAATTCGAGAGCGCGCTGAGCATTTGGCGGGATCAAGGTCTGACGGTTGCCATTGGCATCTGCTTCATGCGCGTACTCTTCATGGTCTTCGTCGTCGTCGTCTTCATCATCCTCCTCTGTCTCATCCTCGGATGAGTCGTCATCCTCGTCAAATGCGCTTAGCATCGCCATCTTCTCGGCGTGCGCCTCCTTTGCCTGCTGACGCATCTTTTGGTCTGCTTCGCGCATCAAGGCATCAAAGCGGGCCAAGGAGGTGAGCTTCTCTTCACCCGGCGTCTCACGTTCAGAGCCAGGAATACAGCGCAGCTGGAAGGCTCTGTCAAGGATCGTCTCTCGTTGATTTGGTGGGGAACTGGAGTCGGCCCCAGGAAAAGGCTGTGCGCCGCCAGAGCTGACGCTGCCGCGTCCGCGGATCGGCGAGCTGACTGTAGACGATCTCCCTTGTGCGACAGTCCAGCCCTCAATCAGTTCGCTTCTTTGATAATCGCTCATCGTAGCCACAGGCGAGGGAATATCGGACGGGAGCACCGTTGTGTATTTGTTGGGGTCCGGCATGGCGAAGCCCATGTGGGCTGGGTGGTTGCCGCTGGTTGGTGAAGAGACGTCACTCGCCTTTGACCGTAAACTTGGGGAATCGGAGCTGTAGGTAGTAGGGCGATCCCGGCTAGAGTACGTCTGCACCGAGTTCTTGTGCTGCAAGGTGGTACGGGAATTCGGGTTTCCACTGGGAGGTCGTGGGAAATAATCGACATCCCGCGACCGCTGCTGTGTAAACGGATTGGTGAAAGATGGAGAGGCCGGGCTCTCGGGGCTCATGGGGAGCTTCCTCGAAAGAATGAAACGGGCCCAGTCGTGGAGACTAATGTGGTGATCATCGGGAGGTGTGCGGAACCACAAGGTGGTGGCGGAAGATTCTTTGCTGGAGATCAGACCAGCAGCTCTACTAGAACGCCGTTTCTTCTCCTTGTCGTTGATCGTGATGACGAGAGTCGGCAGGACGGGGCCTTGTTTGCGATGGGCGAGCATTTGGACTTGACAGTCCACGACAGAGCTGACGGAGTACTGATACGAGGCTTCCCAATCGTCCTGCAAGTTCAGGAGGCTTAGGTTGGGGCCAGAGAACTCCGTCATATTGAGCCTTACCTTGGGCTTGAAAATGGTTATGTAATAGTCGTCGTTGGCGGGAATTTTGGGCTGGATCTTTGGAGGGACGCCATTGCGGTTTATGCCTGTGGTTTGAGGACCAGTCGGGTTGGTGAGGGCTTCTCTCTGGACGTTGCGAGGCCCGACAACTACATATCGTGGCTAAAAAGATGGGGTATCAGAGGTTGGCATTGTAAGGAAGAAAGAGGCGAATGGGCGGAAACAAGCAAATGCGTACCTTCCAGATGGCGCGGCCCAAGATCTGACCGCGGTCAGGAGGGATCAAAAGAAGTCCCTCGCAGGTTTCCATAGCTGGCAGGCTGTCTTGGATTGTTTAACGACAGAGGAGAGGTGCGATAGGCACCGACGTTGCCTTTCAAGAGAAAGGAATGAGATGTCGAAAGTGGTTAGATGGTGTATTAATGAGGCATACTGGAGCAAAAGGGTCTCGGTGATGGTGGACAGAACGCAGTAACGAGGGATGGCGAATGGGCATGCGGAAGAAGAAACGGCAGCCGGTGGTGACGATGGTCGAAATCGGGGTTCGGTGTATGCCGGTTCTGTAGAGAGGGACGAACCAGTTGTGGCTCTCGGTTCTCTGACTACCCCGGAAGCCCTTGAGTTTGCACGTCGGGAACAGGGGGTTTGCGTTCAAACAGAGCTATGGACGGCGCGGAGGAAAAGAGAGGTGAAGAAAGGCAAATCGGCCGGGAGAGGTGAAGGAAGAGAGAGGTCGGAGGTGGTGGGAGAGTGGCCGTCAATAACAGAGGGGAGGGGGGGGGTGGGGGATGGATAATCCAAGTGGAAGGGGGGTGGAAGTGTTCCTAGATGTTCTAAGCTTGAGGTGCAGGAATGCGAATGCAAGAGGTTGAAAAGAAAAACAACTGGGACAGGGAAATGGAAAGGAAGGCGGTTTTCCCCCCTCTTCCCTTTCCTTTCCCTTGTTTCTTTTTGCCTTTCTTCTTGTCTTCGACGGGTACAGAATTCTTTTTGTTTTAAGATTATCGTCATTAACGGCGAATGGAGTGGACGTGCTCTTGGGGGTGGGCGGGCGAGCGGGCGTTCTTGGATTACAATTGTCGAAGACGGAGGGCCATTCCACATATAACCCGCAATGATGGAGCCGGAAAGAGGGAGAGACTAAACCAAGGTCGGGAAGGGGGTTTGAAAAGGATAGGATACAGTACGGTACTACAGGTAGGTAGGTGGTGTACGGAGTAAATGGAATATGGGATCTATGCGGTAGGCGAAATTAAAGCAGACTCGCGCACCTCCATGGGCCAACGCCTCCTCCGTGTGTAAGAGCTCTCCTAACAGGTAGGTAGGTAGTGTGGGGTCTGAACCCATATAAACCGTGTCTCTCACTGGTCAGATTTGCGGTGGATATGCATAATAATCTCCAGTATCCATCGCTGACATAATTGAAGAAGCGCAGCCAGATACCCGAATAGAAACCGCAGTACGGAGTATCCGTATACCTTTCATTTCTCCCCGTTCTCACTGCTGCAATATCTGGGGCCAAGACCTCCGAGGGTGTGTGGATGCGCCGCAATGGGCTTCCAGGGTCAGGGACCAGGCTAGCCGTCAAGATCAAGGGGAAGAAGAAGAAGAAGAAGAAGAAGAAGGGGAAAAGAAAAAGAAAAAGAACCGGGCACCCTTGAAAGCCAAACAGCACGGACGAACGGTACCTGCGCAAAGCTAGGATAGCAGGTGGGAGCTGCAAGTACCAGGACCCGGCCAAGGCCGATTGAACGTGGGAGGAAATCACCCCTTGCCCCCTGTCAATCCTGCTTTTGAGCTCCATTACGGTGGACATCTGCCATAACAGTTTGGGCTGGCCTTTCGCGCTATCCAATAGAAGAATGTTTTCGGGAAGGGTTGAATCGAAAGGTGGGTACTGCGGAAGAGGCAAGACACGAGACACGGTACACTACCTACCTACCTAGGTAGCTAGGTATACCGCCGTGCGGATATACTAGGTAGGTAGGTACTTGGGTAAGTACTGTACACTACGGGTACGTACTCTGTATCGCTCCTCCCCCCTTCTCCTAATCTCTGTCCTGTTCTGTTCTATTCTGTCTGAATACATACGGGCAGGAGGACTGAAGCTGATATTGCTGACAGTAATTGGTATCTCAAGGTAGGAAGGTAGGTAGGTAGGTAGGTACCAATTGGCAACTACCCTTTTCCGCCTGCAATCGAGCAAGTCATAACCAGTTGCTGGTGGTTTCTCCCTCTTTCTCAATCAATCAATTAATCAGCCAATCAGCCAATCCACCACCAGACAGACAGAACTGGCATGGTCAGATGCCCCTCCGAGTCCGGTCCCGTTCCGTCTTACACTCACACACACAACGTTCACGATTGCCTCCCAGGTCTCTCTCTCCCCTGAACAGGAATGTGCTCAGAGTGGAGACGAGGAAGCCTGGGACGACCGTGGTCCTTCTCCTCCTTCTCTTCGGGCCTACTGTTATTACCGGGCATGGTACGGAGTATGCCACCACCACCATCACCACCATCTCTGGGGAGGGACTCGTCTCCTGGGTGCCCCAGCATATACAACGTCTCCTGTCGAATTGCCAACGCTGCTCCGTACCGACCGACGGACCGACCGCATCGTGACGCTTCCACTGTGGCTTCCACTGGGAGGGGCGGAAACAGTCGAAGGCTTCCATCGCTAAAACAGAAACACACTATTTAACACCCATCGAGCCACGCTAGTCCGGGCTCATGCTCAGCCGTCCTGGTCGGCTCTTGGCACCTTGCAGCCACACCCTTGGGTACCCTGGTCGCCCTCTCTCTCCCCATGGCCGTTGATTAATTAGCCGTCCCGTATCTAGGGCCACTTACTCGCTGCCATCTGCCTGTTTTCAGACGACCCCGGGCTCTGTTGCTACCCCAAGGCCGCTTGCGGACATGCAAACTGCCGCATCATGATCCGCCCAACGCCTCGGGAGTCAGTCGTCAGGCCTACGCAGTTGTCTTGTTCACGCCGCCTCCTTCCAACTCATTGCCGGCTTTTGCTGTCTGTGTGGGGTCCTTCACCTTCCACCACCACCCTTTCCCACACCCGGGCCACGCTCTACCGCCGGCCTTGTCGCACAGTTTCAGGCCGCCTTTGCTTGCCATGCAGAGCACCAGGAATGAAGGCACCCGGATCGCACCCGGCGTCACACAAGACCAGAATTGGGATACTATTGGAACTTGCTTGACTCACCTTGCCCCCATCACCTTGTCCGACGCTCGATAATCACCGCTATGTCGGTACCGAGTGTCTTTGCACCACTGCATGACGACCTGGTACGCGGGGGAGGGTTTCAACTCGTCGTCGACCTACGTATCAGACAGATGCAAGACATATGCACCTCCACGCGCTCCCTCCTCGGGGAGACACCACCGGCGGCACGGGAGGCTATACGGCGTACTCGGGCCATGGTCTTTTGATGGCGCGCAACCGGTGCCCGCTCGTTGGGCTGCTTCATGCACCACTCGCTAGGTTGTCGAGGGCGACAGGCACAAGCCTCTTATGAAGCCGCGTCACACAAGTCAAGTTCTGTTTTGGGGTTCGACTCGCTTTGCGCCAGCCCAGAAACGGGTTCCTGACGCTTGTCATCTGCATCACACTAGTCATTCTGACATGCGGCCTCGAGCCTCCAATGCAACACAACACCACCCTTGGGTCATGCTCTACCACATTTGATGGCTGCTCCTGCCGATCGTCGACGATGATGACAAAAGGAAACGAAAGAGAGTGCCAAAAGGTCGACAAAGGCTTGACCGGACACTTTCGTCGGTTCGACAATGTGCGCCCAGGAATGATCACTCTCACTCCAGCACGGTTGTCAGAGAGACCGACACGCCATATTCCCCCTACCGTCACTTCCAAAGACAAGACTGAGGTGTCGAACCATGCCTCAATCAAGCCTCCTCTCCTTCCCCTCGCCCGTGCCCGTCACCTTTATTAGCCGTGCGAAAACGACGTCCCATGTGTGGGAATTTGCAGTGCGGACCTTACGGATGCCAGGGACCGAACCGTCGTCTCCTTCCAATCCCCACACGCCCTCTCCACATAGGTTTCATTGCCCCTCCGCCATCATCGCGTCCGTTTGTCAACCTCGCGGTCTAGTCCTGGGCAGGGCGCAGGTTCTTGCAGGAAAGCTGCAGTTGGGCGGGCGCCCTCGAGCATGCAATGCAGCACATGCAGGCAGCGCAGAGCAGCGCAGTGCATCGCATGGCATCGCGTCGCATCGCATTTCCCATCGACGCTAAAAAAGATTTAAAAAATAAAAATTTAAAAAAAAAATTCCATGTGGTCTCTCTGCCTTCAGGCCAGGCCGTCTTGCACCGCGCCTGACTGGCTAGTCGCCGTCATACCATCTACGTAGTATATAGACTAATGAGCACTAGGCCTGCGGTTGGTCCGAGTAGAGACTTGGCCAGTCCGTCCTACGTTTGCCAATTTGCCAACCCCCTCGCCATGATGCTGCACCATTGCGGAGATTTCAATGCATGCAGCGTAGCGTACGTACCCAGACTTTCCGAGGATCCATACATTGTGCCTTGCCTCGAAATGTGCGTCTCCTGAACTAGGCAGACCAGCCTGCACCACTTGTTCCTGGCACACAAACTGGCTGGCCTGTGAGGCTAAAAGGTCGCTGGTCAGGTGCGGGAACCGAACCAGGGCCGTTGACGCTTGATTGCCAAAGGTGGTGTCGACCTGTTTGCTCTAGTGCAGAAGTTCCGGCAATCAGCTACGGACAACATTCTACTTTGGATGGGCCCGTGCAGCTGACATCCCCTCTCAGTCGTCTTGTCATTGAGATGGATTTTAACTCTAGAGCGTCACGGTGCGAGACAGGTGTCACGACACCTGGTTCCTCCGATTGGCCGGTACTGTCTCCCCGTCATCTTGGCTTACATTTGTTGGAACAAACACGCAAGCCGCTGCATCCCCTGATACCGCCCGGCTCTGTTCGTGAGGAACCTGTCAACGGCTGGAGTAACAACGGGTATGCTTTTGCCTAACACAGCCTTTGTGAAAGTTAGGCACAAGCAAGATGTCTGGTTCACCCAGTGTGTGTGCCCCCGGGCCAATGTCACCATTCTCACGAGGCACGCAGGAACAGAATCGTCTAGCTAGGATCAGGGGTGGCGCCCAACGGATTTACAGGAAGCGCCCCAAATTCGGAGCCGAACATTGGGTCTGCTCTGTTGTCGCCGGAGCAGTTCTCGGGATAATTAATGGCCATTGGAGACAACACCGACATCAGCAGACAACCTCGCCGCTGTTATCTATCTACCCCTAAGCCTGCTCCTGATAGCCGCCCGAAGCCGTCCGCAAGCCTCCCGCTTCGTGCACGAGCAACGATCATCGTCCTGGCTTATCACCGCGCCACCTTACTCACGGTTGACCCACGATGGCGTCCGCCGGTGCCTCGGGTGCAGCCTCTCTGCTGACTACAGCTGTAATACAGAGTGAAAGATGCCGAAGTCCCAGGGGTTCGTTGCATGAAGCATGACAGAACAGACTGATGGTACCCCTAATCGGCAACTCACGTCGAAGCAACTCACTTTCTTTGTCTTCTTCCGTCTAATCACATAGAATTGAGTGCCTTGCATGGGTACCAATTGCATGACGACACGGCCATGGCACCGACATGAAAGCTTTTGAACATCCAGCTTACGGGTGGCATACCAAACATTGCCCCCTAAAGGCCCGCCAAGCTCCCGACCAACATCGAGGTTCTTGTGTGGCTTACAGTATGTGCCGATAGCACCGTCTGCTTACTCGAATGCCTCGTTCTCCTTCCTCCCGTTACTCCATCTGTCAGCTGTGCCGCTGCCGCCACCTCTCTTGCATGCGACGACGTTGACGATCTGAGGAGCCGTTTAGCTGGCAGAAAGCTAGCGCAGGCACACGCCCTGCTTTCACTAGAAGGCATGTCTTGTATCAGGGAGATGAATCCGTTCTTATCGTCCGGATACAGAACGCCCCCCCCCTAGCCGCAGACAGGATCAGCCACTATCTTCTCAAGCCGGCAGTGTCTCACAGGCAAGCAAACCCCACGAATGCGATTGTGTTGTTACTTTGCCCCCCCCCTTTCTTTCCTGGTCTTGTCTTCATCGCTATTGATTACACCCCTGCCGATGAGCACACAAATCGCCCTATGAGCACTAGCTAGCCTGCTGTCGCATTGGGGGCATTGTCTTCAGAACGTGGGGAGACCGGGATGTTGACTCGTATTCTGTGCTAAAGGCCTACTATGTAAAGCACATGGACGACTGGGCCCATCTCGCCTCCCTTGGGCATCACGGAGCCCTCCTCATATGGGAACTTCGCTCATGATGATTCCACAGCGGCTCGTCACACCGACGATTTTGTCTGAGACAAGAACTTGAATGCCTGCGCATCAACGAGCATCACCCCTGAGTGAAGTCCTTTCCCAGCCATCCGGTCTGTAACCCACCAAGGCCCCAGCACGACTTGGACAAGTTTTGACAGCCGAACAAAGTTCAGCTGCAATGGTATCCAATCAACCGGGTCGGTGTCACATAAGAGCTCGTCCTCCGTTTCTTGTTTACCGTGCAAGCTGAAAATGCTCGCGGCAGAGGGGGCAACTTATGTTAACTATCGATAGCCATATATATCCACCCCTCCCAAGCGAGGACGATCGCGAGGTCTGGCGAGTGCACTTGCGACAAGCTAACTTACGCCCCCTTTTCTCCACGTCGTTAATCATCGATGGTAAGCTTACTGCTCTTGCCAGCCCTCAGATCCGAGACACCCGGATCTAATACTTTCGCGAGCTGACTGACAACGGACCGAGGGGCCCAGACAAGCCCAGCTTGGCATCGAGTCAGTTTCTGTGTTTACTCACTAAATCCTGAGTAAACATGGCTTGGACAAGGAAAGCTCCGACCCCGTGCATCTCGGGCTCAGGCTGCATCGCCTGCTTGTCTCCAGGCATTCACCTTACGTTTGTGGCTGAAAGCCATTGCAACGTTTGTTAGAGGCCGGCACGAGTCGAGAGGTCATGGAAGCAGGGGGAGAGATGTGCTTAGTAACGATGCTTGGCTGCAAGGCCACCAGCAAGATGAGGAACGCACGAACGTGCGAAAGGGTGTCAGAATTGTTGTACAAATTGTTGCCCTCCCCCCACCTCCCCGGGATGTACCCGAAAGTGATTGATCTTCCCTAGTCGAGAAAAGCCCGGGTGAAGACTTTCATACCTGCAGAGGCCCAGGCAGACAGGTAGAGGTCATGGAGGCGATGGGACATTGGCGTCTATTAGGGGTCTTGCCAGCTGCAAATAAGCCACCGCAGAAGGCTGCCTTCGATAGATAGTTGGCGCTACCATCTTGTAGCCATCACTCTTGCGGCGGGCTCGAACAGCGTGGCGATACCTTTTATACGTGCTGCATGTGTTGACATCAGAGACTGAAAGGAAGCCATACGTTCCGACGTCGAGGCGGACATGACTGCGAGATATCCCTAGTTTCATTCGTATTTTACAGTAACCGTCAAAGAATACTCTGATAGTGTCGAGAAACGTATCTAGATGTTAGCCAGTATGTCGAACTCCACGTGTTCTCACCACATAAAGCAATCACTAGTGCTCCCTTCTTTTTTTCTTTTTTTTTCCCCCTTGAACCGGAGTCTCTTGATTTCTTTCCGTTTCCTACTGATGTCTTCGCCGAGACAAACCCATCACCCATGAGGCTTGAGTGGTTCACGCCTCTCTTGGCCATAGGTCCGCATGCAGTGGTCTGGCTATGTGGTGGCGGGTCATCGAGACTGGGCATGCAAAACAGACAGACACCTCTCGGCATTCCGAGTTAAGATAAAAAGGGTGAGCAGGTCAGTTCTTGCATTTGTTTGACAATATTTCTCAGCCCAAAGCCTCCTCGGTTTTTCATAGATAGACAGATGCAGGCTGTTCGACGTGCAGCTCCAGACGAGAAGGGGGGTTCTCCTCTGGTGGCTTCACTCCTCTCGTCCATGTCGACTAGACTATCTAGAAGCCGAAAGAAAGGGGGAAGTCATATAACAATCTCATCGTTTTGTCTACCACATACGCCCTGGGTCCAGATACGCCTAGCCACCATGTTACGCGGCGTCTCACTACAGGGCTCATGTCCTATTAATATCATTACCCTTGGCCGTGCTCCATGGTTTCGCTTGTGGGTTCGTTGTTCGATGCGCTTTCTCCCACGCATTATACTCGACTATAGGTGATGCACCTCGTCGGTAGGTGTACGGGTTGTCTTTGTGGAGGTGGAGTATCAATAGCACATCAGCCAAGCCCGGCACGCCTCGGATATATTTTGAGTGGCAAGGGAGACGATTCAACTACTTACGAAGGGCACTGTTCCCATGGCGAGCTCTTCCTCTGACGTTGTTGCCATTCACTTCATCGTGGTGTAAGTGGACAATCCAATCATATCTGACGCCCTCGCACTTCTTCTGGGCCTCGATGTGAAGACGTGAGATCCCCGCCGGGCACATCCAAAAAAACAAGCTCGCGTCGTGCCGGCCTAATTTTCTCCAAGAACATCCAACGGCAGCCAACACGTTTCTCAACCCCTTCCCCCCCAGGGTCCTACCCTGCCTGCATCAACCTAACGCTCACCAGCAACGACCCTTTTCTGCTCCGCATCCAATTAGTGGCCCTTCTGGATGGTTGTGATTTGTTATGTTCAAGGGCCTGCATCAGCGTCGTTGTATTTAGCGAAAAATGGCCCGATGCACGGGACACCCCGGATCGGCGCGCATCCGGCATATGGTTTCGGGTTGGTGGACTTGAAGGGGCCTTTCCCCTCAACCTCTTCCGCGGGCGGGGCGGTGAACGGTAGACGAGACCAAGACTATTGAGAAGAGGGTTCTCTTTTGATGTATCAAATTTTCAACTGTGAGAGAGGGCAAGAGAATCGGTGTTTGATTGTATCCTGTTTTCTTCTTTTTCCCTTCCTGTCTCGACCACAAGGAAAGAACAGCGAGTCTCGGAATTTTCCCTCGTCCCCTGCGACTTCCAGGTTGCCTTGCAGCGAGCATTGTTCCGTTTCTTGGATAGGACAAAATACGGCTCAGCCAAGGAACGGTTCGGGAAGTGCTCTCGGCAAGTTGCGCAACTCGGTGTGCTTGGACGGCGGCTCGTCTGGCTCCTAGGGGTTCCTAGCCCGTTTTACGGCCTTGGCGATATATGCCAAAGTATTTGAGGGACAACAAGGTGGGCCATGTCCGCTCCTCTCTCGACTTCGGCCCTGAGGCGGCGGCTCCGGACAGCTATAGAGGACGATTCCACCAGGCGGCGGCTGTGGAGCTGGGGGAGTGTAGAAGAGTGTGGGAGGAAAGCGGGGAGGGAGACTCCCCTGCTGTCGTGGGAGGAACTCCGTAAGTGTCCTGTACCGTAATGATGTGATCAAAATCGTTTTCTAAGAGGCTGTACAGCCGAATGGCAACAGTGGGTTACGTGTCAACTCCTAGAGGGACAGTGACTTATAGCTGTGATAGATGCGGGAGCGATCACATCAAGACCGGGTATCGGTAGGTCAACTACCCGATGGCCGTCGATTGAGACTGGCTTACAAACTTGGTTTATAGAAAGGCCTGCAATTCGGTGCTTGAATGTTTTGCGAGCTGGGCTTATATTCACAACGAGTCGAGTAAGAGACCTCGGCCCCTTCGTCTTGCGGCTTCGCCCAATTTAATGCTCTGCGTAGTCAACATCTACTCCCATGTCTTTGGCGCAGTTTTGTTCGTCTTGCTGCCGTTCTACGTCTTCGGTAATGGGATCCCGCCCAGATGGGGCATTGCCTCGACAGCAGACGTTGTCGTCTGTAGCGTCTACGCCCTCGGCGTGACCGTCTGCTTCGTCCTCTCAACCGCGTGAGTAGAGCCTGTTCCTGGTCTTTGAGCTGGCCCGAGTCTTCCATTGTGCCTTCTTCTAATTTTGGCCCTGGGGGCTTCGCGAGAGGGTCCAGGTCGACCGTCAAAGTTCGGGGGATAGCATTCGTTAACCCGCACAAAGCTTCCACACTCTCATGTCCCACAGCGAGGCCGTCTATCTCTCGGGCATCAAGGCCGACTTCCACGGCGTCCTCGTGCTGATGTGGTCCTCCGTCTATCCCCTCGCGCACTACGCGTTCCCGTGCAGTCCCCGCACGCGAGACGCATACGTCGCGTCGACGGGCCTGCTCGCTGCCCTCTGCGCTGCGGCGACGGCGCGGCCGGACCTCGGGGCCGTGGACCTGGGCCACCACCGCGCGGCGCTGTTCGCGGCGTTCGGACTCGCGGCATTCGTGCTCCCCATCGGTCACGGGGCGGCAGTGGACGGCGCCGGCGAGGTGTGGGAGCGGGTGGGTGGCGGGTGGGTTCTGGCGACGGCCGGGTTCAACCTCGTTGCTGTTCTGGTATACTGGGCCAAGGTGAGTCGCTTGTTGCGAGAGCATTTGCGGCGGCGAGGGAGGCTTGGCGCCCGTCGCCGGGAACGAATCCTGGCGGTGTTTGCTAACCGTGCGAGAAGTTTCCTGAGCGGTGGTTCCCGAGAACCTTTGACTTGGTAGGGGCGAGCCATCAGATCATGCACATCATGGTGAGTGGAAAATGTCCAAGTCGAAGGGATATCTGCAGCTCCTGCAATGAAGACCTAGGTTGCTGAGTGATGACAGGTATTGGCTGCGGCTCTTGCGTACGCCGAAGCAGTTATTGTCGCCTTCGATTATAGACATGGACGAAGCCTAGTGTGTTGAGCGTCGGCTCAGCCCATTGCAAACCCCCTTTGAACATGCAGAAGGCCGCTCGGGTGGGTAGTTTTTACAAACCATGGATGTTGGGTTGCGGACAACAAAAGAAAGGCAGCTCGCCATCCCGTACATATCAACATTATTCGATGATGAGGGGCCCGTTGTTTCTTCATACTCCATATATACCATAGAGATATAGAACGATGATCAAAAATATACAGAGTAAAGCATTCTAGTCTATCTATGCAGCCGCCAGTAAGGAGAAACGTTTACTCGCCGTCAACCTTGACAACAACCTTTCCTCTCGCCCTCCCGCTCCCAAGGATGTCATACCCGTCCGCAACCTGCTCGAACGCAACCTCTCTCTCGATGACAGCCTTGATCCTCCCGTCCGATAGCATCCCCATAACGTCTTCCATCAAACCCTTACCGGGGTCCATCATGGCCGTTGCCGCCCACCGACGGCCCGTGCCGCCCAACCAGGTCGAACGGGGCCAGAGCGCGTTCATCTGCATGTGCCAGACCGCCTTGGCGAAGGCTCCATACGAGAGAGTCGCCGGCTTGATCCCGACCGCGGAGTACACACCGTCGGGGACGAGATAGGCGGCGCAGTTGACGTAGACGTCCTGCACGCCGACGCAGTCGACCACGGCGTCGAACTGGCTCCCTTCCCGGCCGAACCTCTCCCTCAGGGACTCAGACACGGGCGACGGGGACGCGGTATAGTCGATGACTTCATCCGCCCCCAGCGCCCCGGACCATGTCGGCGTTCCGGCCCGAGCACACGCCGACGACGTAGCCCTCGGGCCCGACGGCGGCACGGGTCATCTGTACCGCCAGAGAGCCGACGCCGCCGCTGGCCCCGTTGACGAGGACCCGTGCTCCCCTCTTCGGCGCTGCGGCGCGCAGCGTCATGGCGGCCGTGCAGCCCGCTGTCAACAGGCTGCTCGCGTCCCGAAGCGATACGTGCGGCGGGACGGGCACGGCGTACCGCACGGGGAGGATGACGTGTTCGGCCAGGGCGCCGGTGCCGGTCGGCCAGCCGTAGGATATGGGGATAAAGGCGGCGATACGTTTGCCTTTGGCGAAGCGGCGGCTCTTGTTCTCTGGTCCTGCGCCGTACACGGGCGACGCTTCCTTGTCCATTGTTCTCGGCGTTGTCGCCGCCGGCGCCTCTCCCGGGGCGGATGCGGACCCGGGGATCCACACTTCTGTGATGGTTCCGCTTAGATCCATCTCCGGAACGGCCGTGCTTGCGCGGGCGAACCTGGGGATCAGGGAAATGTAGAACTGGCCGCCGTGGTTCAGCGCGGCGTATGCGACCTTGACGCGGAGCCACTCGTCGCCGTCTTGGGCGTGGGGTACGGGCCTCGCCTTGGCGAGGAGGGAGGGCGCCGGCGGGAGGGTGGGGGTCGGTCGCGGGGCGAGCGAGAGGACGGAACGGGGGCTGCCGCGGGCCGTGAAGGTCCAGGCACGAGAGGTCGCCATGGCTCTGTGGCGATGGAGGTTCCGTGGAGCTGAAAAAAAGGAGTTATTTTTGTAGGAAGGGCAGGTTGACGGTGTTTTCTTGAAGGATGATGAGTGATATACTTGATGAGAATGTAAATGTGCTTCAAGTTATCTGTCTTCCTCGACCTTCAAGTGAGAGATGGACTAAGGATTGATAGTAGGAACTGGATTGCAACACCAGATCCAAGCGCGTCTAGTTATCTTATAAATCGCGTGCCTAGTGATACGGCAACCATCGGCCGGCAGATTGACGGAATTCGATGCATGTAAGTGTATGCAGCATAACGCCTAAGCATAACGGCAACGTCCACCCCACAGGAGGAATGGCCTGCAGCACCGCGCCCTCGCCCACAGCCAAGGCAGCAGACTCGGCGACATAACGATGCGAGCACGTCCACCTTTATCCTTTTCAGGAACTCTTTCTTGCACATCCGTGGGCGCGTGGGTGAAGTTATGCTGCCCTTACTGGCCTGCGTAACGTCAGAGTTTTGCGGTCGTGAGACATGTAAGACTGACAGCCCAGCCCTGGCCGCCGTTATCATCGCTGGGTCCCTTGGTCAGAGACTCGAGGTTGCCGTTATATCATGATTGGCAGCATTCTCGCTCAACAACCTCTCGACAGAACGGCCTTCAAGTTGGTGAACTCGGTGCGAGGCGATAGGATATGGGATGGGAGTCGGCGTATTCAGACTCGTCTGGGGTCCGGACGATTGACGGGGCTTTGAGGGTCGTCCGTCGTCTGAAGTGAGCCAGCCCAGTGGTCTGCATCAGCATCGGATGCTTTCTGGGGCAAACGAAACAGTGACTAAGGCCAAGAAAGAAATTCCGCGTTGTAATTCCTGCGGCGTGGCGGACCAAAATAGGTACTCGGTCTCGCGAAACTTGGTATCTGTCGCCAAGCGTCCTTGGCTCGGAATGCAGTCAATCAAGTCCGGGCGACTGCCTAAACCACGCGGCAAAAGCCAACATGCCCTTGACACGGCCACTGTGTCCGAAGCCGCGGCGAAGAGAACAATGACAAGAAAGATCCGATGCGCACCTGGCAAGGCTCGCCTCGCCTCGCCTCGAGCCGGGCCGGGTTCATCGCATGAAGTCGGTGGCACGGGAGACGTCTCGACAGTGGGACGAGACAAGCCAGCCGTGAGTCGTGATATGAGCCGAGCCACGCCACGCCAACGCCACGCCAACGCCACGCCACAGAGCCAGCTGGTGGGCAGATACGGTACTTGAAATTCAATACATAGGTAGGTAGGTGTCTTGGTGTTGAAACTCAAGTGGGTAAGATAGACTGGGAATAATAGACAGTGTCGAGATTGAGAAAGCTAAACCCCCCCAACGATGACTACCTCCCTCCTGGGGTGGGTGGCCAAACCGTTCTCCCTCATTGTTGGGTGGCTGACGCCGAGGGGGGCGGCTGAGGCTGCCCCAACACGATAGCTTCGCTAGCGGCTCTGCATTTTGCATTTTGCATTCTGCAATTCAATTCTGCCTATGTACCACGTTTGACCGAATGTGACGGGCCGCATTGCGCGCTGGGTGGCCATCCCGCGGTCGGATCTTCGTGGGGGAAGGGGGGAAAGGGGGGGTTTTTTATGTTGAAAAATAAAGAATAAAAAAAATAAAAAATAAAAATAAAAATACCATTTGGGACAGGAGGACCCTTGGGATGCCGGTTCCAGGGCCTAGAACCTTGTCTAGCCGAAATACAACATACTTACTGTGCCTCCTGCGACATCACAACGACGCCTGACCATTCCTTTTTCCAATCTTTCTCCTTCACCTCCACTCCCCGTGATCGTCTCTCGTTGATTTTGTTTGTGTGTGTTTGGTTTGTCGTGGCTGTCTGGAAGTTCGCTCACTCGCTCTGCTCTACACCGTCTCCATCCATTTCTGTATCTCCGCATCTATATCCATAGTCGATCCTACTGTGCATCACCAACCCAGGGTCCCTTTATCGCCCCCAACTGAGGACATCCTCCGCCTCCCTCGAACCCCCTTTGCCTCTGTATACAAAACAAAGCATCAACACCCGAAAATGTCCATGCCAGGCGCCTTCTCCCCGGACTTCTCACCTTTCGAGCCCGACTCCAAGAAGGACGCATCCTCCTCCAATAACCCTCCCGACCTTCGCCTCGACCAGCCCACCGACGCCTGCTCCCTGCACACGAACGATCCCTACTTCGACGACGTCGCTGCCTCCTCCTCCTCCTCCTCCTCCTCGGCCGTCGCACACGACCTCCCGCCATCATACACGGATGAACCCCAAGACCCGTCCTCCGCCTCGAAGAGCCCCATCACCTCATCCACAACCGCCCTCCTCGCAGACGAAGCCGGCCCCTCCCCGCTTCTCTTCCGTAAAGACCCAGTCACCGGCGCCGAGATCCACACCTCCCGCCGCCTCGACACCGACCCGACCTACCTCGAATCTTACATCACCGCCCTCGCCGAGCTCCCGCCCAGGCCCTACGTCCGTGTCCGCGGCACCCACAACGAGAGCGTCCGCAAACGCGAGGATAAGACCGAGTCCAAGACCGTCGTCGACTTCGACGTCCGCCTCGACCTCACCCCCTTCCTCTACCGAGACATCACCGCCCGCCGCTCCTGGCGCGAGCTGCGCACCGTCGACAACTTCCAAAAGGTCCGTCGGGGCACCGTCTTTCCCACCCGCGCCCCCGGCTTCGGCGGTTCCTCTTCGTCCTCCCACACCGCCGCCGACGGTAACAGGCAGCCCACCCTGCGCGAGTGGTGCCACCGCTACTGTGCCTCCCACGCCGGCCTAAAGTCCTTCACCCTGCTCCGCACCGTCACGGGCTTCGACGAAGACGAGAAGCTCAAGGGCCGCCTCGAGGACCTCGTCCGCGCCACCCACTACTGCGGCCACATTGAAGTTTCCTTCCCCGTCCAGGACGCCCGCGTCGACGTCTACAACACCTGCCGCGTCAACCGCTGGCGCTGGACCCCCTGGGTCCGCTGGCTGTTCTACCTGACCTTCCTCTGGGTCTTTGCCTGGCCCTACCTCTTCTTCCGCACCAAGTGCTTCGAGGTCGTCGAGGCCGAGTGGCCCTTCTCCCGCCGGAGGAGGGACCCGCAGACGGGAAGGGTCACCGGGCGCGAGTACGTCACTCTCTCAGAGCTCGACTGGTACAACATGTGGGGGAGGGCCATCTCCAAGGCCGTCCTCGAGAGGCGCCAGGGCGAGCTGGACCAGCGCGACCTAAGGGACGCCGAAGGGAGGCAGGACACCAGCTTCGAGGAGGTCCTGGCGGGCATGGAAGGGGGCGCGACGAGGGGCCTCGTGATGGCCGGCGTGAGCGCGATGAACGTTGTCAACCGCCACTTTGGATGGGGGGGTAACTGCTGAGCGACACGCTGTCGAGGTGCACGCTCGGGCATTTTCTATACTCTCGACTCCTTCGCTGTATGGTCTATTTTGCATGGCATGTTTGTTTTTTTCGCACGTTTCTTGCTGCTTTCGTTTCTCCTCATGGCCGGAATTGCGGGTGTCTTTTGGGTTTTCTTTCTCTCCTCCCCCCTCTCTCTATCCGTCTACTTGCATCGCCACAAAACGTTACCCAGATTGACGCCTTACGATTTTTATTTTTTTCTTTACGTCTCCTTGTTTCGGTTCTCTGGTGTTGCAAGCCAAGAGATCACTGCTTTCGAGTATAATAGCGAGGGTCGGGAATACTTACACTAAGGAAAAGCATAACTCGATATACCTACATATACACGGCCCAATCGTTACACTGTGAAGAAACATTATGGCCTAGCAAGATTAGAAATCAGCCGTATCGTTAGAGGTGTGTCTGAGAGGATATTTGTACAAGTTAAAGTCGGCCGTACGCGGCATACGCCACAACACAGAAAGAGAGAAGGGAGGCATTTAAATGAACAAAAAGACGCTATACTAAGCATGCAGCAGCCGGAGCTTCCGCACCACGTCGTAGGGTCGCTAGCTCCCCTGCTGCACGCTCGGCCCTAGGTACCTAGGTGGGTAGGTTCTCGGCCAAAAGTTTAGGTAATCCATTTTCCAACCCCCGGTCCTGGACCCTGCGTCCCGTGCCCCGCCATTCCCTCTCCCACCTCGCCGCCCGGGAGCCTCAAAGCTGTCTTTGATGCCTTCGTCACACACCTGCTAGACAACCCGTAGAAAGATCGACGGAGAATGGATATCAAGAACCCGCGCCGGGTCCTGGCTGTCTCGCTCGCCGACTCGAAACAGCACCTGAGCAGAGTCATCAAAGGTGAGTCCCGTCCGAGTTTACTTATCTTATCAACGCCGATCCTCTGACGCGGGATGCGTCCTGCACCGCCGTGACGCTTGAGTGAGAAAGATCAGTGAGAGTGAAGGCGAGCATCACGGGCTCGATGAGCCTCGCAGCGCAACCGCCCCCCCCCCCCCCCCCCCTCCCCCCTCAGACAAAATTAAAATAAAATGGAAAGGAGAGGCGGGAAAGCAGCTCTGGTAGAACCGACGGGAAAGAACAGCATCTGACGCAAGAGGCAGACCTGACGGGCAACCACCCGGAACCCGCATCAACCACACTCGCCGGCACAACGCACGTCCTTTCCCTCAAGACGAGCTACTACAGTGCCGACGTTCCAATCTGGTTGGACCTCATCTCCTCGCCGGCGGAATGGTCCGAATCTTTCCTCTCGCCCGAGGCCAAGGAGGTCCTCTCCGTGCTCGGCGGTATGGCTGTCGTCTTCGCCCTGCCCTCGACATCATCGTCCAGCACGGCTGCACCCGTTGCTGACAAATCACCGGTGACGGCTACAGCGCCTGCAGCACCTCCGGCACCGCCATCTGCAGACGAGACCCGCGCCCTCATCACCGAGGTCGGCAGGGTGGTCCGTGAAGGGCTCGGCGGCTGGGGGTGGGACGGCGTCAGCCTGGGCATCGGTGTCGGCGACGGCGACGCGGACGAGTGGGAAGAGCTCTGTGCCGAGTGGGGGCTCGAGTTTGTTCAAGTCCGAGGAGGGAAGAAGGACGAGGGAAAGAATGAGTTTGGAGGTTCGTGGGTTGATCCTTCCTTTCTTTCTTCCTGGATTTCTTCTATTATTACTCCCACGCCCCCTCCCCCCCCCCGTTATGCCCACTCATTCCGAGCCTATGGCTTGGCACATAGCGGGTGGTGTTACTACGAATGAACGATGATACCGAGCAAGGACCTGTGCTGACACGACGGCCTAGAGAAAATGGGCATCCCCCGAGTCCTAGAGGCCCTGGAGTCCAACGACTGGGATGCTGCAGACGACCTCGACGGCGGGCTCTCCGACCTCGACTCCGACGAGGAGCCCCCATCGGGCCTCCCCAGGAGCCGCAGGCCCCTAGCTGAGGCTGACGGCGACGGCGATGAGGATGAAAATGATCTGGACCCCGAGAGTTTGGACTTTGGCTTCGACAAGTCCGACTTTGAGGGTCTGAAGAAGGCGATCTGGAACCTGGATCAGGAGCAGCAGCCCGAAACGGACGAGGCAGACGATGACGACTACAACGAAAAGAAGTGTGCCACGCGAGAGGCCTTGGCCAAAAACAATACCGAAGAGGGCGCCGGGAAGAGCAGGGACGGAGACGACGAGGATGAGGAGCTGGACGGCGACGAAGTGGAGAAGATTGAGCGGATGATGCGGAAGCTGCAGGCCGTGAGGGACATGAGTGCGGGGTTGCCGGAGGAGCAGAGGCGAAAGATGGCCAAGAAGGCCGTTGGGGAGGTGATGAAGGAGCTGTGAAAGCCTTGAGATCAAGCCATCCCGGCCGTGGCTCTCGGGCAGTATGCAGAACGGTGGACCGCCTCAAGCAACTTATTGCATACCGAAACCTCTGTCTATCTGCCTTGGGCGAGCGAGGCCAGCTGCTCCGGAGACCCGAATGGATGCATCCATGACCTGACGGGCTTCCAAGCCACAACGCAAACTTGCATTTCGGGCGAGCGTTGAACGCGTCCGACATCCGAGCGGGCCACGAGAAGGTCACTCATCACCTAGCTTTTGCTGTGAGCCCGCTACGGCTGGCTGAGCTTGATAGTTCCAGAGTGGAACGTTCGACACGAGGAGTTATGTATGCATACATATATATACGAGGAAAGCTACGCCTAGTGAATGGACGAGATATCTCGTCCACAGTCGCAACTGCAGCAAACACATCCACACGCTTTGAGCTATCCGCGCATACACTAAGCTTCCATCTAAGACATAAGGTCCCAGACCGTATGTCGCCTTCGATATGCGCTACAAGGCTTGACGTTGAGGTTTTAAAACAAAGCACCCCAAAACTTCGACACGGCCCAGAAACCTGTCTCGCAGGACAACGTTTGGGGCCCGTGTCCGAGTAACCCGCCTTGCAGGTGCATATTGATATCTGACGTTTCAACTTCTCTGATATCTCGGGGGGTTGCATCGAAAGAAGACCTCGAAGCTCTTAAGACTGCCACACATGTGCCAGTGCTTGCTAGCACGAGAGACTCGAGCGAGACCACTCGGCCTGGTGCACTGGGGAGTCGGCAATCTCGAGAGCCCGCCTTCCATCTCTATTGTACGTTACTTGATCCCGCTGGGCTCAACTTCGAGAATTCAATCTTTAGGCAGATGCAGATGGTTGTATAATGTCAACGCCGCCGGCCCCATTTTGCCGCTTATCGAGGCCGAAAGAGTGGAATTTCAACGGCGATCCATGCCCGAGAGGTTTGTGTTCGCTGTACTTATCTGGGCCGATTCCAGGTGTTTTCTCACGTACGAGCGTCGATGGAGCGAGGCGGAAGGTTTACATTGCATCAGATGAAGCGAATGCAAGTCGTGCTAACCTGGCGACTGAATATATAGGCCGAGCAAGTAGCCTTTTGGTGTTTTCTTCTGACGGCCCAAGAAGCTGGCATCGTGGTCTCAACATTCAGACATTGTAGTGCTTTCCGTAGCCCTTTGACGGATACCACACTCAGCAGCTTCCAAAGCGCAAGCAAAGCAACATCGCGTTCAGATTCCCAGTCGGCAGGTTCCGAGCGTTGTCGTGCCCTTTTCCACACAGACCACCAACCTGCTACGACGCTGCGCGGGATGATGCTTGTAATATCTATATCGTTGTCTCTTATACGGCTCCCCCGCCACTGTCGAATTAAGATCTGTCGGACCGAGGCGGTGCCTTGCTAGGCAGATACGGTGATACCGGCAGTCATACATACGAGGGCAGACCTTATGCGGATCGGATTGCAATGTAAGCGGCAGACCAACAAGGCGTGCGTAGAGATGGTTGGAGTCATCATGCAACAACATATAGTTTTCTCTTCTGTAGGTAATTCTTGAGTACCATTTATCCCAGTGGGAGCGTGTTGAGTCATGTGCGTCTACCGCTTTCGGATGGGCCGAGTCTCACAAGAAGCTGGGACTACCCAGAGACGATGAACTGGCCCAAACACCCTTGGCCTTCACACTCCATACCGGTCGAGCAGCTGTCAACGGCAGGCCAGCTAGGGATCCCGTCTCGGACAGGGCCGGTGAACACCAGACGATCGATAGCGTCGATCGCTGACAAGCCTTGGATGTGTGATCCTTTACGGATGCGCGACGTCGACGTCGCAGACAAGACGGCGACAGGGACCACGCCGGCACAGTCTCCCTCGTGAGGCCCATAGACTTTATGCTGCCGTGGTCTCCTCCCCCTCCCCTGAAAACCCGAGCACGGAGGTGTTGGCAACAATGTTCTGATGCGCATCGCAAAACAATATGGCGGAGCCGCGTCGAAGCTGGTGTTTCTTTCCGAATCCCCTTGCACCAGCGGGGGGGACTAGACTGAATCGGAAGTTTCTTTGTGACGCCTGCAATGTTTGTCGAAGAAGCGAAGTCTGGTCAGTTTCAGCAGTCTTAATTGGGATTGCTTGGCCCGGTGCCACGACAGGTTTGTATGCCCTGTCAGTCCGTCACATTGTCAGATTCAAACTTTTAGACGAGAAATTTTCCGAACAACTTTAGTTGACTGGTGTGAGCCATGGTCTTTGACTCCATGTCGGTCAGGGTCGTTTCGTAATGCCAGACTCTTCCCGTAATAACTGATACGTTGCGTGCAGCACATTGTCGGGGCGAGTGTATCGATGAGATGTTTAGTAGGAGTCGATGTTCGAGCTCAAAGAAGTACGGAGAAGGGGGAAAAAAAAAAAAAAAAACACCGGGCGCGTCGGAGCGCGTTCTTCAATGCCATATTGAGGAGGCGTGGTGACCTCTCATGCCTCAACGGGATTCTAGGCTGCCGCGACCCAACCACTGTTCGAAGTCGGGTGTTCTGCGCTCTTGATACTCGCTGTGGAAGCTGATGCTCATCTGGTACGATGGCAACCTACAAACAACAATGGGCACAAACCTTGGTTTACCAACTGGGCCCAAACAAAGGAAAAGGCGGTTGTTGATGCGCCACATTATCGTCAAGCCAACCGCCTGTCTTGAGGTGCTGACGTTGTCGATTTCTTTTTGACCCGAGTCTCCTATTTGCCAGTTACTACAGCGCAGGTTTGATGGTGGCCAGCTGTCAAGCACACGTCTGAGAGACATACCCTGCGACGCCGCATTTTCGTGATGGCGGCTTGTCAGCAACGGACCTCCAGGCCACTGGTTCGATTAGTGGGCTAGTGCCACGGACGTCGCAACGGATAACGCCAGATCAGAGATACCTCTGACCGCCCCCCCCCCCCCCCCCCCCCCTTTTGAGCAACTTGCTTGCAAGCCGCCTCGTCTACTTCATGCGGCAATATTACGCGTTATCCATAAAGGGCCCAGCGACAAGAGTCGGTCGTCCCAGGGCTTCCTGTAAGCGAGGTTTAACTTAACAGGGCTTCAGATAGGGGGAGGGGTAGGTCAAGGGAGTAATCCAGGGATCTCAGGTTCGCAGCGTTCGACGGTTATTCTGGAACGACTTTGACCGACCAGGCGATTGGGGGTCTGGTCCAGTGGCTTTGGCCATGGACCCTGAGCGAAACGGGCAGTTGTCGGCGTTATGAAATTCCATCATGAGAGCAGCGGGTCTACGTCGTACGGGGTATACCGTCAACTTCCGCGGGCTTCAAGGGCCGAGTCAGTAAAAGAGCATTGGAGATTCATTGTCTTTGCATCTACACTGAAGCCGCCAGTGAGTGAACTTTGCACATTGACGATCTCTCCAAAGTGCACGGGGTATTGTTACATGCGGCTGTTGCTCGTCACCGCTCGACCGCTTGCCCCTATCTCCTTTATGCGACGACAGTCCTGTTTAAAGACACCGATCAATGTGTCACGTCTTCTCCAGGGACCATGGATGGTTCTGCGGAGAAAGAGAGAACGGCGGCCGCGGTTTGACGGGGCTCTGGGAACCTGACAAGTTGGTGTCGAATGGGAGCAGAAGGCAGACCGGGACCAGGATTGTAGGCGAGAGAGCCTGAAGCGGGAGGAGGAAAGATCAGATGAAAGAAGCACGGTGGAGACGAACTTCGACGACTATGACCACTCACCATTTCCTCTGGTGTCTTGTCATTTTGCGCAAGATCTATGGGCCTCGAATCTTGAGCATTGGGCCTTGAGCTTTGAGCCATGAGATGCCACGGCAGTGGCTCTCTTGGTCTCTCCCCTTGCTTGACTAACCCGGTAAGGTAAACTTTCGGCGATCTTTCGCCTGACTCAATTCGGGCAAGCTCCAACCGTGAGAGCCAATGATGACGACCCTCCGGTCAATCTGGTCAATACCCCTGTCGGCTGTTTCGAGATTGGTTGGCTTGGTCGCGACGCCCCCTTGAGATGCTGTAAGGTACCGACACCGACACTCAGGGGTAAAAGTGGACATTGCTGAAGACAAACCTAGAGCCTTGATACCTGACGAGGTTTCGGGGACAGTCTCATGCATTCCTCAGCACTGTGCTGCACCACTCGCGCGCACGCATGGTGGATGTCATGGATCCTGCCAGCGAGGCTCCTTCTAGTGTAGGAAACGGAGCCGATCCATCATGCGTAGCCGATTCCAATGCCGCCTAGGGAGTCTGCTCCGGGCATTCGTACAGTTTCGATATTGTGGTGCTGACGGAGGTGCTTTCTCGTTCTAGCATAAACTTGCTAGAAATGCATTTGCTCTTTCACAGGCGTATGCATTCGACATGGACTAAGATGTGGTCGTCCAGAACAATGGTAGTGTCGTCATCAAAGTCTGGCCTGGCTGAGACAGGAGACGAATATGAACATGAGCCGGTGAGCCGCTCCATGGGTTTCGTCTGCCGCTGAAGCCATCCGGTCCGTTGCAGAACACCTGGATAGGTAATCTTCGCCGTCGACATTGGGCAGTCTGAGGAACGCCTGACGCTACCACCGATCTCTGGATGTTGAACTACATCGTAGCCACCTTTGCAGGTGCTTCGGCGGCTTATTAGTAGCGCACCGACGCGTGCGTGAACAAATTTCGATCGCGTGAACCGTCAGTCGACGGCGTTACGCCCTGAGAGACGATGCTAGCGGCAGCGTACGCCGGCCAACGTTTGGTCAGAAGGGTGCGACTAAACCCGGTGTCCTTTCATCAGCGGAGAGGATCGGAGCAATCGAAAGGGATCTGATCAAATATAACCAGCAGTGTCCGTAGTTGATGTCCAAGCTTTGGCACTTGTACCCGGAAGCCGACTGCCCCGTTTACAGCCGTGAATTGCCATCTAGAGTTGGATTCGAAAAGGTCTCTATTGGATGTTTTGTACGGAGCTGGTTGAACGGCCAAAAACAGTTAGCGCCGCTGTACGAGTGCCTTGGGCGCATGTGGGACACTGGCGTGTACTACGTAGTGGTCAAGCTGCATGACGCTTCTGCAGGTACGATGCAAGAGAAGCTGCGAACTCTCGAGAATCAAGGCCGAAGAGCAGTGCTTCGTAGAGCTTCCTGCGAGTGACGATGACGGCAAATCAGAACCTTCCAGCTAGACATGGGATGCAGAAGTAGCGGAGGGAGTGACAGGGATTCCACAGTTCGTCTCGAGTCTTGTGCAGGAACGGCGACCCGTAGCAGATGGTATTGGCTCTTGGGATGTTTACTGGAACGCTTCGAGGTGGACACAAGGCCCTCGGCCGTGGACAGCGGCCTTTGTGATGCCCTGTCTGAGACATCCCTTTGGTTCCAAGAGGAATGGCGAAGCAAGCGCCTCGACGCGTTGTTGCCCGATGCTGGCTTTACAGCTCCGTCCCAGGCGTGAGACGGACACTGCCATAATACTTAAGGGAGACGCCGAGCATGCAGCTGCGACCAAAGCCGAAGGGCAAAAAAGACCAATGCCAATTGTCCATGAACCGTCACGGTCGTATAGATCAGGCGACCGCGACTTGAATTGGCGTGACCACCCCTTCCCAGACATGCCGTTCGTGGACGTCGACGACTGGCTATCTGTTCCAGGACGCGCCGCCAACTGAGCCATTGTGGAAGCTCTTTCAAGTCCAGTCTGTCGTCTCGCACGGAGATGACTGGGGGGTTGGCAGTCTAACGGGAGAACAGCTTCCGGATCTGCAGCGCCTGTCTTATTGAGCCTCGAGTTGAGCAGCCTCGCAACGACAGGAATCAAGCCAAGGGCACCGACGATGTCAGAGAGCCGCCGTCAATCAGCCAACTAAAGCGATACGGAGGTGAAGACCAAGGCCGCCTGTCTTCTGCCCGGCCACCCAGCCCACCCAGCCTAACGGGTGGCGGACAGGCAGGTGAGCGATTGCCAGAGGTGCGAGCGAACAGTGTGGTTACGATCATGCACCAGGTCATTTCCAATACTGGGTTGCCTTGTCTGTTAGTCGACTTCCAATGCGTGCCGAGCGCGCCAACGGCGTTCTTTGCATGGCCAAGTCGGCGTTCTTCGTTGTCGACCAAGTCCAAACCGGCAACGCAGCTTTTACCACCGAGACCTTGCAAGCACTCGGCGATGGGCGCACTAGCGCAACTTGAAGCTGTACAGGGTTCGGTCCCAAGACGGATGGATCCACTAGGCTCGCAAAATCGGGACGCCAGCATCTGAGCGGGCGCTTGACTGCCTGCAAGAGCCTCGTCGTCCAACAGCCTGACCATCCCGTCATCGGATGGCAGCTGTCTGCGATGCATTGTTGTTTTGCCACCGCCAGCGTCCCCTCTTTCGAAGACTCCGGGAAGCGGATTGTTGCAGATCCAAGCTCCAAATAGTATGTGTGTGCGTGGTTGAGGAGGGGGGCAAAGGCGGGAAGTCATGGCATCCCTCTCCACAGGTATGCGTGGGACGAGGGGTCGGCTGGAGCAACGTTCCACGGCCGCAGGTGCGCGATGAGGCGATGGGTGGTGCACTCTGTCCGAATGCTGGACGATGATTGCTTGAGGCGGCGAAACGTGCTGTGCTATTTCGAGAGATGCTGGATTGATATGGTGCCCTTGCTGACGTTTTGTTTGGGATCGGCTGCAAGACAACATGTCGGGATGCTGTTGGCTGTTGACATGCTGCGAACTTGTGGCTGCTGCTGCCGCCATTGTGCACTCGTCCGGAGAGACCTGACACAGCTCGTGTCGTGTGAAAGAAGAAGACGCGTCTTGGGTCCTGGAGACTAGAGGGGACAAGCGGAGAGCCGACCAGACACGGATCGCCAGAGACAGGGACAGGCTGGGTACTTGGATGAAGTACAGTGCGGGCGCACAGGCTGACCACACGCGTCGTGCATCAAGTACGGTGTACACCACGCCTATGGTATAGGTAAGGCATGGGTGCGCAGGCGCATTGTCCAATTGCCCGTGCAGTGATGCAGAGTGATCGACCAGCGCCAACCGAGAACGACTGTGGAGCAAGAGAGCGAGAGCAAGAGCAAGAGAGAGATCCCGACGGCGGCAGAGGAAGAGGAGGAGTCTGACAAAGTTCCAGAGCAGGAAGGGACGAACGGACGCCAACAGGGGGACAGGGGTCAAGCGCCGAACGTCTGTTGTGACGGACCCGCTTGCAGTCAGCTGGGTGTCTCTCCTTCCTGTGACTTTTATAGTGCAAATGCGAGAGTAACGGAAGACGGGTTAGCCGCGCACAGTGAGCGCGCCGGTGTGGGTCCATCGCTGCTTCCTCACGAGTCCAAGCCCTCCCCGTGACTGTCTTTTCACAACCGACCGAATTCTAAGTTGCGAGAGTGTGTCTGTCTACCTAGGTAGGTATGTATGTAGGTAGGTAAGGTGCCTTTGGGGTAGGAAGCAGGGCTCGATTCAGCGTAGTAGTTTCCCGATGTGGGCGTGACACTGCAACGGGAGGCAGCCCAGAATGATGGATGGATGGTGGGTTGGCTGGATGGAAAGTGCGGGATAGAATGGAGTATGTGCATACTATCCGTATGTCTCCGTACTATAGTAGGAAAGACGGGATGGATTGGCGGGACAGAGGTGCACCCGGGTACGCACGCACATACATACTAATAGTACAGAGCACGATATGGCAATGCATAGCAAACGACAATATAGGTAGTGTAAGTATTCGAAGTGCCCTCCCTCCCCTCCCTACCTTTATGCCGGTATGGGCTAACGGTTGGGATGTTCTCGCAGAAACAAACCCCTGCTCAAACAGCCCCGACGAGACGGCTGTGGCTTTGCAGTACTTCTTCTGGCGTTGCTTGAATCAATCACCTTTTGCATGATAAAGGCCCGGCACTGTTGGTTCGTACGAGAGACGGCTCCTTGGGCGTGTTTACATACCTACCCAGGTAGATGGGTGCGAAGCAGTATACCTACCTGCTGCTCTATGTCGGTCCTTTCTTGCCTGTTTCTGTTTCTGTCCTTTCCCTGCCCTGTCTTCTTCCTCCCATCCATCCCGTCTGCTGGAGTGACATGAGTACGTACCTCAACGGCGTTACTCACTTCTACTGTACATCCCTGACCGAATGCCCCACTCGGCCCCGAAGAGTCCGTTCTGACCCACACAGTCCCTCCAGCCACAACAGCAAGTAACTTTTTTCCCCCAAGCCCAGTTGAGCAGGTTGCGTTACGCTGGATCTTTCGTCCATCGTTCCACTATCGACTCTGCTCTCCCCCATGAACAAAAGCGATCGTCTGCACAAGCACCAGGCACACGCGGACCCCGGTCCTTCGACCCCCCTGCCAGTGTGAGCAGCGGAGCGAGCAAGTGCACTGTCGTCTCTTCTCGGATGCTGAGCATGAGGCGTTGCAGCAAGTGACTTTCCAGACGGCCCCCAAAAAGGATGGGGACATACCCGTCTGATGAAAGAGCACCATAGCACGCACGTACGAGGCTCGCGGGTATCGCAACACATTTGGCGTGTGCCTGCCTACCCGGCCACGGTCCACCGCGTTTCCTTCTCGACAACACAATGAGCCTAGGTCATGTCCTTCTGGCCTCGTGTGCATGCATAACATCCGTCGCTAGCTTTCCTTCAGCAGTGTGTCTGTCCGTCTGCCAGCTTCACCAAGTACTCACCTAGCGACCACCGCAGTTTGACATGTCGCGCTTCAAAACGGCAGCAGGTGGTGAAGTTGCAAAAACTGAGCCATTGGCCCATTGGGGACGACGCGCTTGCCGGTGTCTCTCCCTTTTCCTTGCCCGCCCGCCTGCTGGGATCGGCGGTGTCTTTCTCCGCCGCTGCGTGTTTCTGCTTGCCTCCACCTTTTCATCGACACCCACTGGACACAAGGAGCAGCCCAGTCAGTATCAAGACGGCAAGGAGCTGCAGCAGACGGTGCAGGCCCGCCAGGTTGTCTAGCAGGGCCAGTCCATGTGTGATGGGATGCAATGATGTATATCTCCTACATAAGCTAGTACCAACAGCCCCGCCAAACCAACGGGCGGCGGTGTGGGAGCTGGGGTGGAGCGAAGACAAGAACCAAGCCGAGAGACCAGCTTGCCTGGAGCATACGGACAGTGATGCACAAGCAGCATGTCATGTTATGCCATGGCACGGCACAGGAACGGGAGACGGAGGTCGAAGAAGTACCTGTCTATCCATCAATCATCCATCCGCGCTACGTAAGCCTACCTAGCAGACAGACAAGCTCGAGAAAAGACTAAACGGGGAGGGAGGATGCCCGCTAAAAAGCCACTTGAAGCAAGGTTTACAAGCTTGAAGCAGGCAGAGGTACGTACCGTTCATCGGCCGCAGGTACGAACGGTGGAGTGGCTTTTCCCCACCAATGAGAGAAGGCGCGTACCTGACACTACCCCTGTTTTTTCCCTTGTCGTATGTGTGAGAGGGTGTGTGTGCCCCGTTCGAGTTGCCCACACATCCAGCCCCGGTCCACGCCCGCGCGCCATCCTCCACTGCTGCTTCTCCGGCTGTCTGGCCTTTTATATTTTTATACTATTTTATCTTACTCCCCCAAACTCTCTCCTCTCCCATTCCCTCCCCTTTTTATCTATCCAAAATTCATATCCTTGCGCATTCTCTCATCCGTAGTACACATCTTAGTCGCCGTTGTGGATCGTCTCTGACAGTGGGGGAAAAAGACTGAGGAGCCAGACGAAACGAGAGAGGGAAAGGGGGAGGCGGGGGCAGAGGTACATGAAGCTGTCAAAAGGGGGAGAGGGGGGAACGGGGAGGGTTATGGGAGTACATGCGTAGCCTTGGCCGATGTGTGCGGTCTCCATGTACCTTGCTCCGTACCTTTCTGACTGGCGATTGTGCAGGTTGTATCCCTCCATCCCATCCCCATCCCATCCCGCACACACTACTGGCTACTGAGCCGCTGCACACCCATCCATCCATACCCCCCCTTGTCCCCAAAATCCCACATCCACACCTCCCACTCTAACTCACGCCCTCGTCCCTCACCCATATTCGTAAGTGCACAAACACATACACGCCTCGCTTCCCTAGGGGGCTCCTCGCTGGAAACCGACTCGACTAGGCTGGGCTGGGCTGAGCTGGCTGTAGACTTCCCTGGACTATGAGGGGAGGAGTGTGGGAGGGAGGGAGGGAGGGAGTGCGTGGGCGTGAACCGTTCCCGACAGAAACCAACCAGCCTAGCTCACTCACACCCACCATCAGAGGAGAACGAGTGGACTGGCACCGGTTCTTTCGTCCGTTCGTCTGTTCCCTTTTTTTTCCTTCCCAGCTGGGGGGATCCGCCCTCCACCTCGCGCCCTTTTCCTTTTTCTCCTCTCTTGCCCCCCATCCCTCCTCCTTCCTCGTCGTCCCATCTATCTCCCCATCGTCATCCTCGTCGTTCACGGCAATCCCTTCCTCTACTTTTCCTCTTCCCCCACTCCTTTTTTATTTCCTATTCACAGTCACTCCTTCAAATAATTCAACCATCAACTCAACTTCCGAATCCCGTCACTCCTTTCCGGGACTTCTCATTACATTCCTTCCAGTCTGGTCGAAGTTGAAACATTCATTCTTCGCGAATCCACGACACTATTTACACATCCCATCTCTTGATCCTCTTGTTGGATCTCGGACCACGCTCCTTAGCATCTTTGCCTCGCGGCTCCTTCTATACCTTCCCTAGCTGTGCAGCACACCATTTTACCACCTTACCCTCCACCTCTTGTGCCTTTGAGCGTCCCCGAGAACTACCCACCCTATTCGAACCCTCACGTCGCCTTCCGGACACGGTTTATACCGAGCCAACTCGACTCGCAAACTATCCGTACCCTGACCGGACATACTCCGCGCTAGAGCGATCAACCACCTTGCCTTCATCTTATCGGACGGAGAAGCACGAAAAAGACTAGCTATGGCTACTGAGATCGATATCCCAGTGGCTCTTGCCCAAAACGCCTCAACTCCTGGCGCTTCGTCTCCTCAGGACACCTCCCCCACGTCCGCGACCAAGATGAACCAGACCCCGTCTCCCTCGGCTTCAGGCCAGAACGGCCAGGGTTCCTCCTCGCAATCGAGGCGCCCGCCTCGCAAGAGTACCCTGACCCAGCAGCAAAAGAACCAGAAGAGACAACGAGCCACCCAGGACCAGTTGACGACTTTGGAGATCGAGTTTAACAAGAACCCGACCCCTACTGCCACCGTTCGTGAGCGGATAGCGGAAGAAATCAACATGACCGAAAGGTCAGTCCAGATCTGGTTCCAGAACAGGTATGCTGCCCGTCCCTCTTCACCGTGCCCTCCCCGCCAACGTTTCTGACCCCCTTCGCAGACGCGCCAAGATCAAGCTTCTGGCGAAGAAGAGCCTCGAGACTGGAGAAGACATTGATTCGATCCCCGAATCCATGCGAGCCTACCTCGCTATGCAGGCGATGGAGTCTGGTAAGGGCCTGGGCGGCCCCTTCCTCGGCCGAACCGGCCTTCTCCCCTACGGCCACAGCAACATGCTTGTCGGCGGCGACCAGAACGGCCAGGGCAAAGTTTGTAAGTGATGCTAGGCTTCGAGACTATTAAGGCATCCTACTAAACATCCCCAGTGATCCACCATCTTACCTGCCGTTCTCTCAGCATCGGCAAGTGGACTCGCGTCGGACAGAACACGATGGATCTCATCATTTTCTACTCCCCTGACAAGTGCACCATGACCTACTACATCAACAACGAACAGGCAGGTTACAAGATCGAATATCCCTTTGCCTGCATCAAGAACATCTTCCTCGAAAACCAAGAGGGCGACCCCAACAAGCCTGGTGGCATTGTCATCGAGCTGAACCGTCCACCCAGCTTCTTCATGGACTCGTCCCCTCAAGCAAACGGGTTCTTCCAGTGTGGCGACTTCACCGAGGACCAGCAGGCCTCGCACTGCATGGTCCACCACCTCGGCGGCAACCCCAAGGTTCTGAGTGGCCAGTTGGCCAAGCTCGTTTCTCTGGAGGCTTTCATGAACCGCAACAACCCCCACCAATTCATCGACCAACAACACGCCCTCTCCGTGTCCGCGCCCGTGTCGCCCACCGGACGTCCCTCGTCCCAGCCCAACTTCGCTCAGCCCCACATTGGCATGTTCCAGGAGTCTTGGGGTATCAACAACATGCATCCTGGCATGCGTGGTCCTGGTCACAAGCGCCAGCGAAGTCGCTCGGTGCCCATGGCCGTTGACTTCTCCATGCTTCAAAACCCCATGCCTTCCTTCTACATCCAGCAACCGGGTGAGATGTCGGCTCCTCAGACTCCTGGCCCCAGCATCTACGCCCCGATCCCCCAGCAGCCTGGTGGCTTGGGTCCGAACCTGAGAATCGACACTCAGGCTGGATTCGGTCTGGACATGAGACAGTATCCCATGTCGGCAACGACCGCTTCTCCCTCCGACTTCCCGACGAGCCCCAACTTCTTCTCTCAGGGTCCGGAGCCGAGCCCTCTCCCGGCCTCGAGCTACAACACGCCGTACGGCAGCGCTTTCCTGTCTCCGATGGCGAGCCATTCACCAAGCATGATCCCGCCTTCCGTATCCCCTCTTTCATTCGGAAGCCATCACGGGGAGCCTTCGATTGTTGAGCAGTCGCCCCCCTTTTCCATGCCAGGCAGATCGGCCTCGGCCGACATCTACCAGCAAGGCGACAACGGGTCATGCGCAGTGTCTGACGACGGCACCGGCCTGAACGAGATGTACTCGAAGCACACCATCAACCTGCCGATGCATCCTCACTCACCGGCATATGGCGACCAGGGCCACGCCGACCTTGACATGAACCAGCTGGTTCAGTTTGACAACGTCGACCCCAACTCCATGTCCCCCGAGTCCATGCATCACACACCTCACTGAGTGGTTCTTTCTACTGCCTGGCAGGGCTTAGCATACCAGAGTTGACTGGGAGCTCCTAGGTATAGGACAACATGGCGTACATACAAATTTGGGGCGTGCTCCCAGATGCTTTCTTGAGAAAGAAAGGGGAGTTGCTTGCCTTTGGTCATTCACAGCTGGCGTTGAGGCGCTCGATATATACCAGATGGGTTTCGCTTGGTTTGCTTCCAACACCGATGATTGCATTGCGTGATCCAGTTCTCGCTCATTCACCCATCGGCCACGACGACTCTGCATGACGATACTTCTATTCGGAATCTCGATCATGCATGTCTGGCACAAGCGATCGTACAATTTGCACGTCGTTTGGATATTACTCCAACACTCGAGTCATTTATTGTCGCGAACGAACAAACTTTGCGTGCTGCGATGGTTAATGGCATATGTTCGTGCCATACTTTGTCATCATTATCATTTTTGCCACGCCGATTGCGAACAGACGACGGCGTGACCCCTAATAACAATTCCCTTCGTCCTCGGTTGGCTTGCGCTGCACATTACTGTCTCGTTCATCTTTTTTTTATCTATTCATTTCACCTGTCGTCGTTCATGAAACTCAGATGTCCTTGGCTGCAGGCTTGGGAGGAATGGAAAATTGGAGAAAAGGCCCGGGTGGCTTGGGATTTCTCCTGGTTCTTAGTCAGTCACACACACTTTTGTGAGGATATACAACTCTCCGACACACTATTTTGTCTCCCTTATACTGTTGGGTATTTTCTTGGGTTGATGGGCTGTGTGGGAGAGGCAGGGGCTTTTGTGGCTTGCGTGTTTTGTATGCCGACATCGCAGCGGCGGTAATGGGAAGCCGCCTGCTCGAGGGTCGAGCAGCGAGGAGGCTTAGCCAGCCGTTGCTCGAAAGAGACGGCTAGCTTATAAGCATTGACGATAGAGTTGAGAGACAGACGGGCATCGAATCCCTATTTTTTCTCACTTTGCACCGACATGAATCCTTGATTCCGTGAAGTTGAAATTTGCCCATACAGTGAGTCGCGAATTGTTGGGGATGTGGAGCCGGCCGTGAAGACTGGCGATGATTTGCGACTAGTGCAAAGACATGGGATGATGCTCCACGGCGTTCGGTTGATCCAGCCCATCGCAGCGACACGATGCGACAACGTCCGGGGCGAGTCGAAGCCCGATGTCCCAAGGCAGGTGACAAGGGTTGATGCGAGATTGCAGAGTTGGATCCGAAGCAGATCGGGGTTAGGAAAGCGCAAACCAGAGTCGGCTGTTGGTTGGTACTGCAACCAAATGTTGAGAGCAGACGTAACATTAATTAGACGGACCTGTTTGTTCTAGAAGGCGCGCGGGGGCTCGTAAGACGCGGTTGTCGCCATTTTTCTCACGTTTACGGTATGGGTATCATGCCAGGTGGGCGCGCATTTAAGCACGGCTTACGTATAGCAATACTCCGTAGTAAGGCTGAGTATGCGACTCAGTTTACGTGTTACGCAAGAATAAGAGGGCACCGCCAGCAGTTTCGTTGACGCCGGCGTGTCCATCCCCCGTTTTCTCTCGTATATGTTCCTGATCTAAGGAACACTGCGAACCTTGTGTGTTGAGTGTCGGCCATGTCACTTTTACTGCGTTTTTCGGACCGTGTTACTGTATCATTTGTGGACTCGTAAGGCTCCGAGATGGACCGACCGCCTTGGATACGAGCGTCTGCGCCACCACGGCAGCCAGAGTTAGTTCTGGTTTGTTGTGACATTGTTTGTGAGCGTGGCGGGGAAGACGTCCGGAACGCGACATCATGTTGGTCGCTTTTTTAGCTCGTCTTTCTTGGCTGGGGTTCCCCTGTGGCAGGACCCGGCATCCTAGCTGTGCGGCCACGTTCGTCTGAAGGTTGAAGGTTTCTGATGCTGTCAGCAGAGGGGCACTTCTGGCCGGCCTAAATCAACGGCGGGCTAAAAATAATGATAAAACGACAACAAGAAGCAAGAAAGGGGAGGGGATAGACACATGATCCATGATGTGAAGGCTGACAGCACAAATCAGTTTGTTTGCCTGCCAATGCGGCCATGGAATCGGCAGCGGATGTTTCGGAAAAACACAGAAACATGACGGAGAAAGTGTGGTGGAAGTCATGACTGTCGCCAAGACGTCTTGGCTTTTTTACCCTTTGGTGGTTCCCGCGGCTTCCGTACTGAGTGGGCTCCGTACGTTGAAGTGCAGTCGCATCCTGGCATCTTCTCACCCGAAGATGCGCACGATGCGGGGCACGCAACACGTGAGATGCTTACTACTTGGGCGATCTGTGCTATGACTACTTCGTGGGTCGTCACTGCACTACGTAAGGCAAGGTAGGTAAGCAGTCCTTTTCTCTGCGTGTGTTGTAAGTGTCCTATGCGGACTGCATACTACCTAGCTAGGCATGTACTCCGTACATACCTGGCCTACCCTCCACTCCATCTCACTCTCCATAATGCACCAGGCAAAAGGGAAGAACAGTGATGGTGGTGGCAGTGCTGAATGCGGGCCAAGACTCGTTGGAGCCACCAACACCGACTCGAGCGTCGTTCCTCACCTCGTGGTTGGATCCCAATGGTTATCTCACCCTACCTACCTACCTACCTAGGTACCTTAGGTAGTGTATTCCTTACCTACTTCCTCACGCCGACGCCTTGACTCTCTCTCTCCCCCACTCCTTCCTTCCCTTTCCAATCCGTCACCCCCTCCCTCCGAATATGAGCCACTGCCACCCACGTCTTGACTTTTTGCCAAGCGCCTTGTTGCGCCCGAATCTCTTGCGTGTCAATGGTGGCACAGCGCAGCCTCTGGACGCTGCCAACCTTTTCCGCGTCCCGCCAGTGACCCTATCTCTTGTCCTTGGCTCTCCCCATCCGCTGCTTTCTCTACCATTCCCAAAGGCGCGACAGAACGTAGGATCGGTCGGTCCCCATTCACGGGGTCTCCGCCGACGCTTACTTCCGCGACTTTCCTCTTTGTATGCCGCCCGAGCCATATTCTTTCTTTCCCGCCTTGCCTTTCTCTGTTGCATCACATTGTCTTCTTGCCTCGACTCGCTCAAACTCGTCTGACTCTGATCTACACCAGACGATTTCAGCCCTGCCAGCATATCTTCCATTCTTCGCCCGCGGCCCTTAGTTAATTAATTGCGCTGACCCGCTGCTTGGAATCCTCACGCTACCAGCAGCCACGTCAGATCTAGAAAGGAACGCGCCACCACAACCGCGCCGGGGCCCAATGAGGAGGGACTTCATGGCAGAGTCACTGTTGTGAACCCGGGCCGCCATCTTAGGGGATCTGGAATAAGCCCAAATTCGCTTCCCGTCTAGTCGCAAAAGAAAACCCTAAAAAAATTAAATAAAAAAAACTAGGTAGACTCAACCACTAACCCCGAGCGCGCCCCTCGATCTGCACTCCTGGCGGGTCTAGGCCGAGACGGCCACGATCTAGACGGGAAATGGCCAAGCCTGTTCCCTCAAGAATGCCCCGACGAGACATGGCCGACGCCCCTTCGCAGCAAGATGAAGACTGCGACCCCGCCACCACCGTTCCATCGAGCTCAAACCTCTTCGACAACGACACCCAGGAACATTCTTATGACCTGCTCCAGTCCTCAGTGAACCCGGCGCATCGCCCAGCGCAACGACTTCACCCGAGACGAGCCGTCACCGATCCGATGGGTAGCAAGCGCACCCTCGACGGCGGCTATGTCCGCTTCTCGGACGAGCTGCCTCGCGACGTTGTGCGCGGCTTCGACCCGGATGAATCCCACCCGAATATGAGCAACCCGGGACTCTACACAATCCCCTCTAGAGGTGACCTGGAAGGCCATCTCTCGCCCGAGCCGTCCTCCTCGCGGCGCGTCCGCCCAAATAGCGACCAGAGCTCCGCTCAACCCTCGGATACCGACCTCAAGTATCCCGTTTACCGGCCAGAGCCGACCAAAAGGACGAAATGGCGTGTTGCTAAGGAGTCGATGAGCGACCAGCTCAAAAAGGCTTATCATGTCTACATCGTCCAGGGGCTGTTGCGCCAGAAGCCCCTTCCCCACAGCGCAGACGGACGACACATCCCGCTTGACATGTCGAGGAAGCGAAGCGACGTCCTCGTTGATGAGCGCACCAAGAAACCGTATGCAAGCAACTTCATCCGATCTAGCCGATACACGATATGGAGCTTCTTGCCGAAGCAGCTCCTGTTCCAGTTCAGCAAGATGGGCAACTTTTACTTCCTCCTCATCGGTATCATCCAGGCCATACCGGGTCTCAGCACCACGGGACAGTGGACAACGATTGCGCCTCTCGCCGTCTTTGTGTCGTTGTCGATGGCCAAGGAAGGCTACGATGACTACCGTCGCTATCTTTTGGCCAAAACTGAAAACCTAAGCCGTACCTGGGTTCTGGGAGAACGGTCGAAAAGGGCGACGGCAAGGATGAAGAGCCGTAAGGGACTCGAAATGGCCGAGGCTTCGGTGGACGGGTGGACCGAGATTGAATGGCAAGACCTAAAGGTCGGCGATGTGGTCAGGCTTCACCGCGACGATGACGTTCCGGCCGACATTGTCTTGCTGCATGCAACCGGACCGAACGGCACAGCCTACATCGAGACCATGGCTTTGGACGGAGAAACGAATCTCAAAGCGAAGAGGGCATCCCCAATCCTGGCCGAAAGATGTCAAACTGTGGAGGGAATCAAGTCTTGTCAGGCGACCATTGTTTCCGAGGACCCCAACATGGATCTCTACAGGTATGACGGCCGTGTGACCGTCAAAGAAGAGACGCTGCCGTTGTCACTCGACAACGTCATTTATCGCGGTTCCACCGTCCGCAACACCACGGAAGTGATCGGTATCGTCGTTAACTCGGGTGAGGAGTGCAAGATCAGGATGAATGCCCATAAGCACGTGCGTACCAAGGCGCCGGCCATGCAGCGCGTTCTCAACAGAATTGTCATCTGGCTCATCTTCGTGCTCCTTGCGCTGAGCAGCGGACTGACGTTGGGCTACTATCTCTGGAGCGACCCTACCGAGGCGGCGTCCTGGTATCTCATGGGCGACAGCATCAGCATGAGAAAAATATTCATCGCCTTCATCCTGATGTTCAACACCCTGATCCCGCTATCTCTGTATATCAGCTTGGAGATTATCAAGATCATCCAGTTCTACATGATGGGAGATGTCGAAATGTATGATCCTGTCACCAACACACCCATGGTTGCCAACACCACAACTATTTTGGAGGACCTTGGTCAGGTCAACTACGTCTTCTCGGATAAGACGGGTACTTTGACCGAAAACGTGATGCGCTTCCGAAAGATGAGTGTTGCCGGTACTGCCTGGCTGCACGACATGGATATCGAACGAGACGAGCACGCCAAGCAGAAGCTTATCGAGATGGCCCGAAAGAAGCGTAAAGGAAAAGGGAAGGATAAGAAACGCGGAAAGACGACAATCGATAACGAGCATGGCTCGTCTCAGCTACAGCCGGCCCAGGGACGTCCGTCCACCAGTTCCTATGGCCGAGGGCAATCCGCCAGCAAGGCCCCTCGTGATGAGCCAGAGCTCAAGACCGAGGATCTCCTCGACTATCTGCGACGCAAGCCGGACACCGCGTTCTCCAAGAAGGTCAAGCAGTTCCTGCTCTGCATCGCTCTCTGCCACACCTGCCTACCCGAGGTCAAAGACGACGGCAAAATTGATTACCAAGCTGCGTCCCCCGACGAGTTGGCCTTGGTCGAAGCAGCGCGTGACCTAGGATACCTCCTCATCGATCGACCCGCACAATCGGTTGTTTTGCAGCTCCCAGAAGCCGATGGGACAGCCAAGAGGGAAACGTACCAGGTCCTCGACGTGATCGAGTTTAGCAGCCAGAGAAAGAGAATGTCCATTATCATTCGTATGCCTGATGGTAAGGTCTGCGTCTTCTGTAAAGGCGCCGACAACGTTATTCTGCCTCGTCTCAAGCTCAGTAGCTTAGCCACGCAAAAAGCCAATGAAGTCAATCGGAGAGCTTCAGTCCGCAGAAGCGTCGAAAAGGAAAAGGCTCAGCAGCAACGCCTGAGCACCAGCGGCACACCTCGCAACAGCTTCATGATTGGGAGAACGTCAATGTCGGACCGACGCAGCATGATGAACCAGAGGATCTCGGGCGACATGTACAGACGTTCGAGTGTCGTCAATGACGATCCTGAAGCCTGGTCCCCACGTAGAGGGTCGGCAGATATCCTCTCACCCATGGGAGCCCACGACATGTGGTCATCCCCCCGTCACAGCATGGCAATGTCGGCGAGTGAAGCTGAGGTCGACGAGCTCATTGACGAGACGATCGCGCTCAACGAGGGCGCAATGTTTGAGCGGTGCTTTCAGCACATCAATGACTTTGCCTCCGACGGTCTGCGGACTTTGCTCTACGGTTACAGATACATCAGCGAAGATGAGTACAGCTCGTGGAGGAAAATCTACCAAGGTGCCACTACCAGTCTAGACAACCGACAAGAGAAGATCGAGGCCGCCGGCGAGTTGATTGAGGATAAATTCGATCTTGCCGGGGCCACCGCTATCGAGGATCGCCTGCAAGAGGGTGTGCCAGACACCATTGATAAGCTTCGTCGTGCCGAAATCAAGGTCTGGATGTTGACGGGAGATAAGCGCGAGACTGCCATCAACATCGGACACTCTGCCGGTCTGTGCAAACCGTTTTCGGAGGTCTTTGTTCTGGACGTCACGATGGGCAACTTGCAAGACTCTATCCTGTCGACCCTTGGCGAGGTTGCGCGTGGTATGGCCCCTCACTCTGTAGTCGTGGTCGATGGCCAGACCTTGAACGTTATTGAAGGGGATGAGGACCTCAGTTTCCTCTTTTTCGATCTCGTGGTGAGAGTCGACTCGGTCATTTGTTGCCGTGCCTCTCCCTCACAGAAAGCCTCTCTTGTGAAGCGCATCCGTCGACAGGTGCCACATTCCCTGACCTTGGCTATTGGGGACGGAGCCAACGACATCGGCATGATCCAAGCTTCTCATGTCGGTATCGGCATTTCGGGTCGTGAGGGTCTGCAGGCTGCTCGTATTTCCGACTACGCCATCGCACAGTTCCGCTTCCTGCAGCGTCTCCTGTTCGTTCACGGGCGCTGGAACTACCTGCGAACCGGCAAATACATCCTCGCCACCTTTTGGAAAGAGATCGTTTTTTTCCTGCCGCAAGCCTACTTCCAACGATACACGGGTTACACCGGAACATCTCTGTACGAAAACTGGAGTTTGACGGTGTTCAACACGTTCTTCACTTCATTGTCGGTCATCATGCTCGGTGGGTTGGAGAAGGACCTGCAGCCAGAGACGCTCCTCCGGTTCCCCGAGCTGTACACATACGGCCACAAGAACAGAGCTTTCAATATCAAGCTTTACATCGGCTGGACATTCCTTGGCCTGATTGAATCGTTGATGATTTTTTGGGTGACTTGGGCTGTCTACAACTCTCTGCCGTTCGACCAGGACACGTCGCTCTACGCGATGGGCAGCGTTCCCTTTACCGTCTGTGTAGTGTTCATCAACATCAAGCTGATGTAAGTCAACCCTGTATGAAGTTGTACCTGAATCCCCCTCTAACGTTCATCCAGGGTTCTCGAGATGGAGAACAAGAACGTGATCATCTTGATCGGGTTTATCATCTCAGTTGGCGGCTGGTTTCTCTGGAACATCATACTCTCAGCCTCTTTCCAGAATGTCTTGCGCAGATACCAAATTCGCCATGCTTTCCTGCAGAATTTCGGTCGAACGCTAAGCTTCTGGACCACGATACTCCTCGCGCTTGCGGCTGTCATCTGTCTCGAGTTAGTGGTCAACGCCATACGCCGCATCTACTGGCCCTACGATGTGGACCTGATGCAGCGTCTGGAGAGAAAGGGACTCGACGAAAGCGATAGGGAGGCCGGACACGGGCACGCTTCGGGAACGATATTAGAAGCAATGGGAAGCAAGACCAAGTCGGTCGTTGGTCAAGAGGAGGAGGTGCGGCTGTCTAACTTGGATGGTGCCCCTAGATTGAGCCATGCCAAAAACCGACCGTCGTTCCACCAGACACGGCATTCGAGAATGTCGAGGGAGGAACATGCTCCCAGGCCCTTTACGCCCCCGGTTGAGGAGAGCAATGGAACTCTGGAGGCGGAGCAGGATGAGCAGAGCTCGCCCAAGAAATCACAGCTTTCTTTGGCAACAAAGTGGTTGGGTAGCGTCAAGGACACCCGTACGGATGGGCCGATTGAGTTGCAGTCCACAAAGGGATGAAGGACGTTGGGTTGGACGCATTCACACAATTAAAGATGTATATGACGTGGGGGTTCGTAATCTGTTGGCATAGGAGTTAGGGTCATGATAAATGGGGAACATACGTGATCTGTACATGCAAACGGTTGCACTTGGGAAGGAGGGCTTCAACCTTGTAGCAGCTTGTGCTGTACTTTACTTTGGTTTTTCTTTCTCTTCCTCTTTTTCTCTAGATACCACGCAGAGGGAGACCTAGGGTCCCCGTGCCTAGCACATGTAGTAGGCCGAAAAGTCAAACACTTAAAACAAGGGGGCTGACTGAATGCATTGTACGTAGCACCCAGGTCGCAAAGAAATAAAGCTTCTCTCCACTTGAAAACCCGGCAACATGGGTTCTCCGCCGACATCCTCTCACCTTTGGATTGCTCACGTTCAGGGAGACAGCGGCGGCTTGCAGGATGTCAATGAGTGAAGCCAATGGGTTCTAGCACAGGGATGTGTGCCATTATGCATTAGAAAAAAAGGGGCAGACATGAAGTGTCGCTTCTATGTACACGGTTATAGTGGGAGCAAATCCCTCTGCCCTCCCTCACAATGGACAAGTCGTGGGCTCGTTTTTGTAGCGTGATTGTGGGTGCTGAGGGCAAGCTTGTCACAATCATGATTGCGCGGAGGTTGAGGCCGGCGGTGAAGGGATCAGTTGCCCTTCTTGTCCTCAGATTCCTCCTTCTTGTCGTCGGGCTTTTCCTCCTTCTTGTCGTCCGGTTTTCCCTCCTTCTTGTCGTCGGACTTTTCCTCCTTCTTGTCGTCGGACTGGCTCTCCTTCTTGGAGTCATCGCCCGACTTCTTGTCGTCCTCGGGCTTCTCCTTAGGCTCATCGCCGGACGATTCTTCCTTCTCAGGCTTGAAGTCTTCTTTTGAGTCCTCGGACTTCTCATTAGAGTCGGATTTCTCCTCCTCCTTCTCCTTGGGCTTGTCCTTGGACTCTTCCTTCTTAGAGCTGTCCTCGGACTTCCCTTCAGACTTGTCCGACTTTTGGTCCTTCTCCTCTTCCTTGGGTTCCTCTTCAGCTTCCTCGTGCTTCCCCTCGTGTTTCTCCTCGTGCCCAGCGTGGGCGCCGTGGCTCTTGGGAGACGGACTGTTCCAAGGTTGGATGACGGCAATGCCGGCAAGGAATACGGCTAGTGAGCCAATGGCACTATTGTGAAAACACTTATCAGCAAAACACACAGAAGAAAAAAAACGAAATAAAAGGGAGGGAGAGAGGCAAGGTTGAAATACAGAGGAAGCTCGCTCTGGGGCTTTGCGCCGTGTTGGCTGGCATAAGTCCTCTGGGCGAGCTGAGGACGGTACTGGGGCCGAATTGTACGACGCGCCGAAACGCGGAGGGCGGAGCGAATGGAAGCAGCTCTGGCGAAAGACATGTTGAAGAAAACAGGAATTGGGCTTCAGAGAGAATCGATATGTCTTGTAATTGCAAGAATATCAAGTAGAAGAGCTCAAATACCAGTCAATTGAGTCGGTGGAAACGTATTCCTGTGATAATCATGGAGCGAAAAAGGACAAAGAATCAGACAGGTGCGCTTGGAAGAAAGGCAAGCAAAAGCAACATTCAACCAAGCCAAGCCGGAGCGGGAGGGATTTCGGGCGGCTGGCCAGGCCTGCCATCCGAAGTTGGGAGTTCGGAGCTGCAAGCTGCACAACAACAGCCACAAAAGCTGGGGTGGAAACTGGATGGGGAACGAGCTTGGAGAGCATCGACCAATGGAAGCTAAGAAACTGGATGCTTCCAGATGCTGGGGTGGGCTAGTTTCCCCATAGCTTGTGGTGACGACATCGCCGGGGATGGAAGCACATGGGCGCAGACCGATCCCGACTTAGGCCCAAAGCTAAGGCCGATTATATAAGCAGACCGCGTCGGGAACTGGATATACCAAATTTCCGACACCTCCTGTTGACGGAGTGCACTGCACGGTGCTCCCGGCAGCAGCTTCAGTCAGCGGAGGTCATTGCGGGCAGGTGGGGTCCACTCCGCGGGGCAGGAACGTCCTGTAGCAGACAGTGAGGGACCTAACCTTGACTGATCTTCCACCCAACGGAGCCGGACCATTCTGCCTGGAGCTCGCTCGCTAGGAAGACATCACGAACCCCACCTTAAAGCGCCTTTTGACGAGGGGTCGATCTACTTCACATACAAACAACAAATCACCCCAATCCGCCTACCATATCCTTCTCAAACACTCACCAATCTTCCATTCTCGCAGGACGGTCCATTTTATCCTCGTCCTCTGCATGGTCAGAGCCACCGAGTCCCGCTAACACGCCACCTGCTGCGACCTCCTCCTCCTCCTCCTCCTCCTCCTCCTCCTCTCACGTCTTGCTTCCTTCCACTGCAGTCGATAGATACCCCCGTCAACCTGCGCCAACGCGACCATCAAGATGTCTTCGTCTAGCGTGCCCCAGAACCCGACGCCCCAGACGGTTATCCAGCTCGTCCAGAAGCTGGGAGATGCTGACCCAGACTTCCGCTTCATGTCCCTCAACGACTTGCTCCAGGTTCTGGCCAACGGCAAGCCCGACTTCTTGCACCACGACTACAATGTTGCCGCGCGTACCGTCGATAGTATTATCAAGACCCTCGACGACCAGAACGGCGAGGTCCAGAACCTGGCCATCAAATGGTACGAGCAGGGCCCACTCCCAACCCTCCTGACACCGTTGGAAAGAGCTGACCGTTTGCCGCTGCAGTCTTGGCCCGCTGGTCATGAAAGTCCCGACACCCATTATTGCCCCGATGATCGAGAAGCTCTCCGCCATCAAGCTGAAGAACTCCGTTGACAACGCTGTGCCGTCGTTGGCCCTGCGCGCCGTCATTATGGCCCTGCCGAAACCCACACCCGGCCTGCCGCCTTCGAAAGAGGTCCAGGAGTCCTATCAGGCCGTCAGCCGGGTGCTCATCCCGCGACTGCTAGGCCCCGGTGGCAAGGTCCAGCTCCAGAACCCCTCCAACAACATTCAATTGCCGCCTGTTCCGCAAGGGCTCCTTAAGGTGGACAAAGACCTGAGCGCAGAGTCGGTTGATATCCTCATCGAGGTCGTCAGGTGCTTCGGTACAATGCTCTCCGCCCTTGAGGTTGAGGCGATGCAGGATGCGGTCATCAGCTTGCTGGAGAACGATAAGACATCCTCGGTCGTCAAGAAGAGGGCCGTGGTGGCGATCTCGATTCTCGCTGTACATCTATCGGATGATCTGCTGAACCAGTTGGTCCAGCGGATGGCCAACGACCTTGGCAAGCCCGAACTCTCCACCGTAACGCGTCGCCTATATATCTCCATTACCGGCTCTCTCGCGAGATCGATCCCCGCCCGCTTCGGTACACATCTCGCCACGCTGGTGCCCTTCATTCTCCAGGCCCTTAGCGAGGATGAGCTTGAGAAGCACTTGGAGGAGATTAGCGACGGAGATGATGTCGGACAGGACTTCAACGAGGTGCGGGAGTCTGCCCTAGTGGCTCTAGAGTCATTCCTGGCGGCGTGCCCGACAGAGATGCGCCCTTTCACCGACGAAACCATCAAGGCGACCCTCAGATATCTCAAGTACGACCCCAACTACGCCATGGGCGACGACGATGACGAAGATATGGAGGTCGACGAGGAAGAAGATGAGGAGGATGCGGACGACGAGTTCGAGGACGATGCCGGTTTCGATGATGACGACGACGCGAGCTGGAAGGTCCGTCGTTGTGCCGCCAAGGCTCTGTACACTCTCATTTCTACCCGAGGAAGCGGCGACTTGCTGGAGAACGGTGTCCTATACAGCCAGGCCGGCCCCACGCTGGTCAAGAGATTCGACGAGCGGGAAGAGAATGTACGTCTCGAGGTTATCTCCTGCCTGTCCCTGCTTGTCTGCAAGACTGGCGAGGGCATCTACCCCACCGATCTATCGCTCGACGACCAAGAGCCGGAGGCTCCTAGCTTGATCCCTGTCAGCCGGAAGCGTAGACGGCAAAGCAGCGGTGGCGGATCTATGAGCGCTCCACACACTGCCACCGGTCTGACATCTCCAACCCTTGAGAGAATCCCTTCTAGTGGCCCTCGCGCCGACCTAGCCCGCTTTACACCGACGATTGTCAAGGCTTCCACCAAGCTGCTCAAGGGCAAGGTCATCCCTACGAAGCAGGCCATCATCAACCTCCTGGACGACATCATCACGGTCCAGCGGGGCGGCCTGTCGGACTACTTCAACGATGCTATTGGTCCCATCATCGAGTCCATCAAGCCCACCGGAGCTTCTGCTCTCGCTTCGTCCCTTGCGGCCTCTGGCGGAAATGCGTCGGCCACGCCCAGTACCCTGCGTGTTGCTGCTCTGAAGCTCACTAGCGATATTGCCAAGACTCATTCTTCGAGCCTTCTGCAGCCGTATCTGACCAAGATCGTTGCCGGTGTGACCGCGGCAGCCAACGATCGATTCTACAAAATCTCAAGCGAAGCCATTGGGACGATTGAGGAACTGGTGAAGGCAATCACACCTCCTCGTTCGAAGATGACGGCTCAGAAATTCAAGGGCGAGCTCCAGAAGCTTTTCGACACCATCATGGACAGGATCACTGCAACCGATGCCGATGCCGAGGTCAAGCAGCGTGGCATCCACGCTTTGGGCGTGTTGCTATCAAGGACTTCTGGTGCCGACGGCGCTGGTTTGATCCAGCAAGACAAGCGTCAAGCAGCCTTGGTTGCTCTGCTCGACCGACTGAAGAATGAGACGACCCGCCTTGCTGCTGTCAGAGCTGTCGACAACGTTGCTGCCTTCAGCACCAGCAGTGGACAGCTCGAGACGTCGTGGATTCGGGAGGTTGCTTTGGAGCTAGCAGGACAGCTGCGCAAGGCCAATCGATCCCTTCGTGGTTCCAGCATCATCGCTTTAAAGCACCTTGTCGTGTCGCCGACGGCTAGAGGCGAGTTAGATGCAAACACCATCCAAGGTCTCGTCTCGGCATTGGTACCCGTGGTTAGCAACAACGATACCCACCTGTTGGGGCCAGCCCTGCTCATTCTTGCAGCCCTTGTCGAAGAGAGTGCGGATCTTGTTGTTACACAATCAATGACTGCTACCATCTGCAGCCTCCTCAAGTCTAGCTATGCTAGCATTGTCTTGGACCAGATTCTCATTCTCGTCACGAAAGTGGGCGAAAGCGGTGTCGGCCAGCCCCTCATGCAAGGCCTTCTCAAGGATGTGAGCATCGAAGGCGACCCAGTCGTGGTTGGCAAGGTCATTGGCGCGCTTCTTGTGGCCAGCGGAAGTTCTGCTGGTGTTACGGTCGAGAGCTTCATCTCCGAGCTGCAGACTAGCTCGAATAACAAGGACGACGCCCGACTGAGCTTGGCACTGGCAGTGCTCGGCGAGGCCGGTCTTCGTCTTGGGGCCAACTCGCCCTTGAAGCCGGACCTATTCTTGCAGCAGTTCCATGACGAGCCCGACAAGGTCTCGATATCGGCCGCAGTGGCGCTCGGCCGCGCGGGCTCGGGCAACGTTTCCGAGTACCTCCCAGTCATTCTGGAAACCATGCAGAAGGGTGGCAACACGCAGTACTTGCTGATTCAATCGATCAAGGAGATCTTGCAGCAAGTCACCGTTCTGTCCTCGGAGGTTGCCAAGTTTGCCGGCGACATCTGGCAGCATCTTCTCTCTGCCTCAACCATCCCCGACAACCGTGTTGTTTGCGCAGAGTGTGTGGGCCGGCTGACCATCATCGACTCCCAGACGTATATGCCCCAGTTGCAGGTGGGTTGACGCTGTTCGTGACGAGAACGAATGTGTGCTAACCTTTGGCAGTCACTTTTGAGAGACCAGAACCCTGATATCCGCGGCATGTCGGTGCAAGCCGTTCGTTACACGCTGCCTGACAGTGATGAAGCCTTCGACGCCATGCTCAAGAACGTCCTTGTTGACATGCTTCTCGTCATGCTCCAAGACTCGGAGATGGACAACCGCCGCCTGGCCATGTCAACATTGAACTCGGCGGCCCACAACAAGCCCGACCTGATTCTGCCTCACCTTGGCGAGCTGATGCCGTTTGTGCTGGCCGAGTCGGTAATCAAGCCGCAGCTGATTCGTGAAGTTATGATGGGCCCCTTCAAACATATGGTGGATGACGGCCTTGAAGTCCGCAAGGTATGTTTCATCTTAATACACGGCTTGAGACTATGCTGACCATGACTAGAGCGCATACGAGACTTTGTACGCTCTTATGGAAACGGCTTTCTCAAGGATCAACAACATCGACTTTTACGACCGTGTGGTCGCTGGTCTGAAGGACGACAATGATATTCGTAGCCTCTGCAACCTGATGGTGTCTAAGCTTATCGTCCTCGATCCTGATGAGACGAGCCGTCGCCTGGACTCTATCGCCGAAGCGTACCGCGCCATTCTCTCAACGAAGTTGAAGGATGGTGCCGTCAAGCAGGATGTGGAGAAGCAGGAGGAGGCCAACAAGAGCGTTCTCAGAGTGACGCTCCTCCTTGGCGACAGGCTCAAGGGTGCCAAGGGTGGTTCTAGCAAGGCGGCAGCAAACGCCAACGCGGGCGGTGCCAGCCAAACTTGGAACGCCTACTGGGAATGGGTTAATAAGGAGTTCCAGACGCAGCTTAGAAATTTGCGTGAGGAGAGCAAGGAGAATCGCGTGTTGTAAGCGAGGAAAAGTTCGAGATTGGTCTGGGAACCGTCAGGCGTCAATTATAGCGATATGAGTAGCAGAAAAAGAACCTGATTCCTGCATTGCCCTGGTGTTTTCCACGCCTGTGCGGTTTTGCCACTGACTCGGAAGGTAGACTAGTTGGTTTCCTGTATGACTGTCAGCAACATAAGAACACATGTGTGAGGTTTGTTACAAGTACTGGTTCGTTCCGAGGAGAGATTCTGCTTGATAACTATCTATTCTAACTACCTACCTACAAGCGTACGCCCGCCTCGCAGGCTCTGATCGCTACACGGAGATTACATTAGGTTTTACTTTCTTCGAGAAGGGTATCGTGTTCTGCTCTACAAATGACCAACCCGGCCACTTACCTTTTCCAAGCTCTGTTGATTCTGTTCGTGATCAGTTTTCTAGTCTTTCTTCGTTGCTCCGGGCTCCGATCCAACAGTCGTCACTTCATCCTCCTGAAGAGAGACTGCGTTGCTGTTCAGCCCGCTTTCCACCTTGGCCGGAGCGACGCCGCCATCCACGCTTCGTTCCCGGAGCTTCTCGTCTTCCAGCTCCTTCTCACTCTCCTCATCAACTTCCTTCTCCTTCCGCGCCTCCCCGGCAACGGCGGCCGCAGCGACCCCGGAAGTCCCGCCCACCGCGGCTCCAGCCTGGGCCGCTTCGACGTCTTCGGTGGCCTTCATCGTCGCCTGCTGCCCCTTCTTGACGCTCTTCCACTCCATCCCTGCCGCGCCGATCAGCGCAGAACAGACCAGCACCAGGCCGACCACAAACACAACCCTCAGCGCCTCGTTGTAGGCCTCCAGCACAGGTCCCCTCACGTCGGCCGGCAGCTTCGTCAGAGTCGTGGCCCCGGTCCCCTTGAGGTCGATCCCTTGGAGCCCAGGGAGGCCTCTGACGCGCTTCACGAGCTCGTTGTTGAGCACGTTCTGCCCGACCGAGATGAAGACGGCGCCGCCCAGCGTCTGCGAGAAGAACATGGCGCTCGCGCCGATGGGCACGTCCTTTTTATCCAGGACCGTCTGGGCGGCGAGGTTGGGCGCCTGGAAGCACATGCCCATGCCGACGCCGTAGATGACCTGGTACCCGATCCACTTGCCCGGGCCGGAGTGGACCTCAAGGGTGGTGAGGAGGCCGGCGCCGATGGCCATGATACTGGCGCCCACGAGCATGACGGGGGTGTAGTACCCGATACGGGTGATGACGCCGCCAGAGACGCCGGCGAAGACGGTCATGGAGAGAACGAGCGGGAGGGTACGGATGCCCGATTCGACGGCGGAGACGCCCTGGATGGCCTGGAAGTAGATGGGGATGTAGTAGGTGAAGACCATCATCTGCGCGCCGATGGAGAAGGCGGCCCAGGCGGCGAAGGCAATGGAGCGGTTGCGCAAGATGCGGGGCGGGATGGTAGCGGTCTCGGGGAGGAGGATCTGGATCGCGACGAAGGAGGCGAGGAGGACGAAGGCAAGGACGAAGAGGGCGATAATGCGTGAGTTGTTCCACTGGACGGTAGTGTTAGTCGTTCGTTCATACGAAAAATGCGCGAGCAAGGATTCCAGAAGGACCCTTGGGGAAAAAAAGGAAAAAAAGGGGGGGGAGGGGGGGACGGTTTGGGTGAGACTCACTGCATACTCGACACCTCCCCATTGCAACGCGAGAAGGAGACACACAACACCGGGGATGAAGACGGTCGTCCCCGCAAAGTCCAGCTGCCTCAGCTTGAACCACAGCGAGGTGTCCTTAAGATCCTGTTCCGGCGGGCTCATGATGAGGGCGATGACGACGAGGGCAACGCCGCCCAGGGGTAGGTTGATGTAGAAGCACCACCGCCACGTGACCTTGGTGGTGAAGGCACCGCCGAGGAGGGGGCCGACGACGGAGGCGATGCCGAAGACGGCGCCGAAGGCGCCCTGGTACTTGGGGCGGCGGTGGAGCGGGACCGAGTGGACCATGACGACGATGGTGCCGGCGATGATGCCGGCGCCGCCGACGCCGGCGATGGCGCGGCCGGCGATGAAGGCGGCGCTGGAGGGGGCGGCGCCGCAGACGGCGGAGCCGACCTCGAAGAGGACGACGGACGAGAGGAAGACGTTCTTGATGGGGAAGAAGGCGTAGAGCTTGCCGAAGAGGAGCTGGAAGGCGCAGGTCGTGAGGAGGTAGGCGGAGCCGTACCAGCCTATGTCGGTGACGGAGTGGAAGTCGTCGGTGATTTGGGGCACGGCGGTGGCGATGATGAGGCGGTCCTACGGTGGTGGTGATGGTGGTGTTAGTCTGGTGAACATTGGAGAAAGAGGAGGAAGGGGCTTGCTTACCAGCGCGACGAGGAACATGGTCATGAAGACTGACATCAAGACGAGGAAGAGCTTGAGGCCGGCAGGGTACTGCATCTCGGAGCGGGATGTCGCGGTCTGAGTGAGGACATTCTGAGGTTGCTGTGCTTGCTGCTGCTGCTGCTGGTCCTCGTCATCGTGGATCTTGCTCGTCCGCGAAGAGGCGGGCTGGTCGACCGCCGTGGTCGTCGTCGGGACGGCGGCGCCCTTGTCGTGTTTCTTGAAGGGCATCGTCGTCGTAAACGCTCGAGGTATCGGTATCAAAAACAGGGTATGCTAACTTCGCCCTTTACGATATTTCCTTTTGGTCTTTCGTGATATTGTTGATATGACTGATACTAGCGACAGGTCTCACACCCAGGACGAGTCCGGTATGGAGGAGGGGGGGGGGGGGGGCGGGGGGGAGCAGTTCAGTTCAAAACTTGACCTTTTTGTTATGAAACGAGAAAAGAAGAAGGAGTAATGGCGATGAGAAGCAAGCAGGCAAACGGTATGCCAAGAAGGATGTCGCGTCTATATGTTATATCTCTCATCTTGATCGCTTCAGTCCTATCATCCCCCCTTTGGAAGTAATGGGCGCGCCTAGTCGAAACGAGAAAAACGAACACAAGCCTCCCCCCCCTTTCCCAGACACCCCTAGTACGCCATTCGGCCTCGAAACAAAAGTCAACGACGTAGATGTTCCGCCTGCTCTTCTTTTTTTTTCGGCCCAGGTTCCCGTTCCTACGCTAGAAAGAGCCGCCTCCAATCTTGGCTCCCGCCCTCCCTGCATGTTCCGGGCTGGACCAATCACAATGGCGCGCGTCGGGCCCAGCACCTCGATTCCGCATCTCTCCTAGCACGGCTATGGCTAACTCGCATGCAGGCAGGGCCGGTCTCATGCTCCGCGAAAGACAAGATTGGATGGTCGGGTGAGCGGCGCCTCTTCCCCCCGTCCACCGATTCATTCGCGTGTCTGGCCCTATTCCCGCCTGCTTGCTGCCTGTCTGACGAGAAGCGACGACGACGACGGCAGGGCATAGTTCAGATTTGTTCCATGCCCGCGAACGCTGAAAAGGAGGAAGAGGCGCCTCCCTATTATCAAACGACAAAGAAGAAGAAAAAAACAATAGATTAAAAAAACAAGCCGTCATGTCAGACGGGGCCGTGCGGGCCGAAAAAAGATAAATTAAAAGGTATGCACGCATGGCCTAGATGAGATTTGCATGCCAGCGATCGTCGGGGCGGATTCGTGGTGGCTACCTACCCACCTAACCTTAACTGGCGAATTCGGTCCCGAGCCCCTCTAAGAGGGGGAGCGGCCGGATAACGGGTAACTCTAGCGCCGAACTCCGAGGGTTGTTTACACATCGGGGATATGCAAAGCTCCACTCCGTCGACTATCCGTCTCTCCCCCCAAAAGTCCTTTTTCGGTTCTTATGGTGTCAACTAGGTACCCCTCACTCAAACAGTATGACTCTTTCGTCTTTTTTTTTTTTTGTTACCCCCCCTCCTTTTCTTCCAAGGCACGTGGTTCCCCCCCCCCCCCCCCCTCCGAACACAACGAATGGCGAGCCGATGTCTCGGAACTGTTGAAGCCTTGACATCCTCCCTTCCCCATCCCTTCTCGCGCAATGGGACCCCATGTTGACATAGTCTGACAAGGAAGCCCTTGCTCGCTGCCTTCAGCCGACTTCCCAAAACGGTCGCGCAGAGACGTGTCGACGGGGATTGGGGCCAGGCGCTGCGTCTTCAACGTGATTCGAAAGGTAAGACGGGACAAACGTCGAGAGTCCATGACGCACCCCCGCGAAGGAATATGCAAGTCTCGTAAGTTCACGGGCTGGTTGGTTGGAGGCGCGCGTTCAGGCACCGGCGGCGCTCGTCGCATCGCGAAATGCCGCCGGAAACCACCGATAGGACCTGGCACCATTTCACCTTTCCCATTTCGTTTCGTCGCAAGGCCAATGACCAAATCCATCACGTAGAGCAGGAGCATGCTGTCGGTCTTCATAGTGCAGTCTCAAAGGGGTCTCTATAGACACCTGTCTTGTTTACCGTTCGGTAGTTTCGTCATCTCATGGCAGTATCGTTACAGATGGGGGAGAGTTGTCACTTTGACTCCCAAACACCGGAGAAAGACGACCCAAAGCCAAAGGGCTCCCCTGGTACAGCCCGCCTTCTCTTTTCCTCTCTCTTTCTCTCTGAATAACGAGACATGTCCAACCGGCACGCAAATGCTCCTTTCTTTTCCAGTGTCCCAAGCATCATGATGCAAACCCATGCAATTGATCACCAGCCTCTATTCGATGGAGGCACGCCAAAGTTTCCAAACTGCCCAAACATGTTTGCAGTGGACTGCTGGTTCATGTTGCCGTTGGGGACCCCCAAGTCCGCCCACATGTCCAAGTCGTAGAAGTTTGTAGTGTCAAGGAAGTTGCCCAGGAACTGATCCATGGGTTGTTGATCTTGCCTTTGCGGTATATCCGCCTTCACCGTCTGCGCCGGGGAGGGTCCACACGACGACGCCTCCGAGCTTGGTTGAGGAACGATCTCCTGCAGTCGCGGGATGGCGACGGGGGTTTCGTAGGGCAGGCCAATCTGGGCCAGTGCCCGCTCTCGTGCCCTCCAGGCTTTCAGCATGTAGACACCCAACTGCGTGTTCTCCTTCTTCGACATGTCCCACAGTTCCTCGTGGTACTGGTATATCTTGTCAACAACTCTCCAGGCGCGATCCGCCAGTTTGCCGGTCGGTCTCTGAAACAGCTGCCCGGCCATGACGATGAAGACATCGATCTGGAAGTGCAGCTTGAAGAACCATACGAAGCCTGTGTTCTCCATGAAGCTGTACAGCTCGACATTGTGCTCGTGGTGCACCAGAGATATCCGAAACATGTTGTCCTGCAAGTTGAAAACCTCGGTGCCCCACTCCGGCAGTTCGCGCATTGGTATCATCATGGTCCGCAGCTTATCGAGGATCATGGAACGGATCTTGGTCGCAACGATGTGGATGTTGCCGGCCAAGGGGTCGCAATATTGCTTTTCCAGGGCAATGAGTTTCGCGTCGAGATTATCGACCAGAGCCCGGTACTTTACTAAAGACGCCTGCAATGCCAGTTTGGAGTCCTGGGTATCGTTGTCCATGGCGCCAAGGACAACGGCCTCGAAGTCAGGGATTCGGTTCTCGACGATGAAGCGGCCCACCTCGTACAAGAGCAGGCAGAAGACCATTTCCGTAGGTCCTTCTCGGGGCTGGACGGGTTCGGTCGACCCGGGGAACAAGTCGGCGTCGTTTACGTTTTGCGGCGTCTGCGTATCCCAGTTCCAAGGCAGCAACGTGTCGGAGAAACCCGACACCAAGGCGTACTTGGTGTCCAGCATGATGATCTGCCACCAGACCCTCCGTCGCATTTCCGTCTCGTACGGTGTTAGGTTGAGAAGCTCGCCGTCCCTGTGGAGACCCATCTTTTGGGCGATTCTGATCAGGATACCACTGAGGACCCAGGCCGCATGGCGGCTGTAGCGGCCCTGAAGAGAAATCTGGCGACAATTAGCAAGTGCGGCTTTTGGATCCGACGTAGTCATGCAGACGAACCAGATACAACAGCAAGGCTTGTAGCGTCATCAGGTCATGGTTCTTGAGAAAGTTGACCTTGGTCAGTGCCGCCTTGACGCCCGCAGTAAACTTCTTGAGCGCCTCCTCTCTAGAAATATCGAGCATCTGTTTCGCTTCTGACTCGGTCATGGTGAGGGATGCCACGAGGTAAATGGCAAAGAGCAAAGCTTGACAATTGTTGGCGACATTGGGGTGATTCGCAGCCGCCTCCACAACTAGTGGCTGTAGACTAGGCACGTGGATGAGTTTGGTGATGGGGTTTACCCTTTCCAAGAAGACCTGCCAGAGTCTAAATATCTGAACAGGGGAGGGCGTGACATCCTCCAGGTCAATCGTGGCAATATCGTTCAGGAGAAGGTCGACGTTGTCGTCAGGGGTAAGGGCGTCGGATCCGAGGACACTCTGTTCTTCTTCCTCGGCCTCGATGATTTGTCGCATAGCCGACAACTAGAAGCAGGTTAGAACGGACTGGCGCAGGTTATGCGGCCACGGACGGGGATTACGCACCTGATCATGGACGGTTGCCCAGACGTAGCTGTCCATGAACCTCACACTGCCATCCTCGACCACTACTTTGCCAGCGGGCTTCCATGACGTAGTCGGTGGGGAAGTATCCTCAGACACTGAAACGGAGCCCGAGGGTAGAGGCAGCTGAGGTATGCTTGGCGAGGGACCAGTTGACGAGGGCGTGTTGAAGGTTGGGGGTGAGTGGGCGCTGGGCGGCGTTGCGGAGGCGGTGGCATATTGCTTTAGCAGAGCCTCACATCTTGCCAACCTTTCTTGCAAGTCCTGGTTCGGCCTCCTCCTCTTGCGCGCGGGAGCCGGTGTAGAGGGAGTGCATGTGACGTTTGCCTAAAAAAATAAAAATAAAAAGTCAGCGCACATCGGGAGGCGGCACAATGAGGGGGCGGGGCACCTTGATGCAGTTGGAGCAAGGAGTGTTCCGGTCGCATTTGATCTTACGATGCTGGCAGAGGACACAAGCCAGAACCCTCTGGCTCTTGTTGTGGTTCGGATTGGTACTCATTGGCAGGGCCGAGGCTGAATAGCCGAATGGGGATGCAGTAGCTGCCACGGCAGGAGCTGGAACTGAGACGAGGTCGTCCGTACAACGGGGTTAACACAACCCAGATTTTCGGAACGTGTGGGCACGCGGCCCTTATGGATGATTCCCTGGCGGGAGCTGTCGGCGACGAAGTGGCAGGGGTTCCGTTCCAGGTAATAAAGGCTAACGGATCTGGACGTGAATGACGGGAGGGGCCTCTTTGGCGAGGTCTGCCCCAGTCGAAAGCTAAAATAAAAATTAAAGTAGAAAATAGAATAAAAAAGTTTCCCGACTTAGGCAGAAGTGAGATGCCGGGTTGCCTTAGGCGTCGGACGCAGTTGATGACCAAGCAAGTATGGGCGCGCGCGCGCGCGAGAGAGAGAGAGAGATACTTTAAAAAACCGTTATGGCAGCGGATGAAGCGGGAAGGGAAAGGAAGCGAAGGGGGGCGACTATGAGTCTTTTAGGACGCTGCAGGCATGGGTTGATCGCAGGTGGGGCCGGGAAGCGCGGGCGGGAGGCCCAGAGTCGAGGTTCTGCTGGGCTGGCAAGGTTGGATAAGTCGTTTAGATTGTGCTGGCGTGAGATGGATCAGGGCGCTTTGTTGGAGACAAGGCAGGTGATAGATATGGACGATGGTTCCTTGAGCCCATAGATTGGCTTACGTGGTAGTAAGCACAGATACCAGTCGGGTGTGAATGGGAGTGCGGGAATGGGCGGGGAGTTGGAGAATCGGTGGCGGAAATTCGAGGGTAGAATGACAAGGGCCAATGCTTGTTGAGGTGTGTGAGTGTGAGTGTGTGAGTGTGTGTGCTAGAGGGAGAGGGAGAGGGAGTATGCTCGGTTGGCGGCGGTGGGCGATGTTGACAGCAGAGCGAAGGCGGTCGGCGCTAACACACACACAGGTGGCTCGATCTGGCTCGTTCGGGATTCCAGCAAAGCCGATGCAGCGCAGGGCAATCTACCTAGCCAAGATGTCGTGTGCGTCTCACTACTAGTAGTGGAGGAGGGGATTCTCTCGCTCGTTTGGCTGCTTCGTTTACCTGTAAGATGCCCTACTGCTGACGGTTTCGCGTCTGTTCCGTTGAGATGTTGACCAAGTAACTCGGAGAAGCCCGGCTCCCCTGTGATTTTTAAAGGGACCGCATTACTGTTGCAGGTACGAGTAATTAGAGAAGAATAAGGGGCAGGGCAGATCATGGAAAAGAGACAAGAGGGGGAGAGGGGGGAGGTGAGGTTGAGGCCGTCGGAAGGAACGGACGAAAAGGCCGAGGAATGACGCCAAACAGCTAAGACAACCTACCTAGGTAGCTAGGTAGGCAGGGCTGTGTAGCATGCAAGGAGCCCAGGCGGACTTTGTGCGTGTGCTGCAGTCCGTCTCCCTTTCTCCCCTAACACCAATAGCCAGTAAGTCCACAGCGGGCCGGCGGGGGGTTAACAGAACTTTGAGACACCACTCAGCAGATGGTGGTTTCTAGAAACACTGATGTTGTGCCGCGTAGCAGTCAATGAGCAGATGTCCTGACCGGGAAGGGATCGAGGGTCGACGAGGGGTGTAGCGTAGACCACCTCCAGACTTCATTGTCAACAATTGCAAGGGCTCCTCGGTCGGTCCGTCACCTAGGTACGATGCGATGCCGACTCAGGGCGCTGATGGAAGAAAGTTGGATGAATGGAAGTCATCGCCTACACACACGATGCTGTCGAATGAATGTGACGCGCCGCGGGGCCGGGATAAGGAGCTCGGGAACAAAGGGGGGAAACGTGGCAGAGATGGGCCATGTGAGCTGAGCCTTCCAAACAGACAGACTCCGGGTCAAAGAGAGGGCGATGATGGCTTGGTTTGCGGAGAGCAGACAACAGACGAGGGCTGGATGGCGGGGGAAAACTCAAAAGCGCGGAAAGAGGCCTAAGATCCACCAGCGGCATATGCCATCATAAGCCATCATGAGCCAGATCCCATCATCTTACCACACCTCCTCATCTTACCTCCTCTCACATACCCAAGCTGCCTCGTCGAGGCCGACTGCCCAGGATAAGGGATAGTGCATCATGACTGCCAGCTAAGTACTACATGAACGGTGAAGCATAATCCGGTTGCGCTTGCTTGCGTGGCCTCGGTCGTGAAAGCACCAACATCCTCCCCCACCTAAGTAGGTACAGGGAGCTGTGTCAAGGTCACACACGTCTTTGCGCCGCGCTGTTACGCTAGCAAATGACCCAGACACCCAGAAGAGTTACGGCAGCTGCAGGCCGAGCACAGCCTACCCCAGCTATTTGTCGTTCCATTGCATGTTGCATGTGGCCTATGGACGGACTTATGCAACGCCAAGCAACGCCAACTCCCGGGGAGATTCACTAACAGCTAAGCTGGAACATTGCCTAGGTAACTTCGGCCTGGTACCATCGTACTATTTATGCAACCTAGGTAGTAAACCAGGATGTTTGGGCCGCCGAGCTGCGGATGCTTCTCGAAACGCGGCGGAGTTTTCTTATCCACTCAGTCTACTCCGTATGGCTTTTTATCTCCGCCATCCGGCTTGCTGCCGGGCCTGAACAACGTCGTATTCCGTGTTCGTTCCCGGTGGTGGGTCAGGGAGGCTGCCTGCATATTTTGTACAGAAGCTAGTAGCAGGGACACGCTGACATACGTAGTAGATAGATGATCGTGAGTAGATAGACAAGCTGATAATGTCCCCACCCTGTTAACTCAAGAGTACCGTACGTTCTAGCCTATACAAGCCTATATCAGTAGGTCTATTGGTTACCTTTTTAGCTATATATCTACCAACTAATACTATATATATAACACTTAAGAATAAAGAAGTTACCTTCCGTCCTAGCTTCTATACGACCTCGGCCCGCCACCGTCAGAATGCGCTCCATTTCCATACCGAGACCGGCCCTACCGCCACCGACTTTCTCGTCTCCAAGCCCACCTTGAAGATTGAGAACCCGCAGACCTTGGTCGAGAAGATTGTTCAGCGATACGCAGTCGGCCTCGCCCCCGGCAAGAAAGTACGCGCTGGCGAATACGTAACCATCAAGCCTGCTGCATGCATGACACACGACAATTCCTTCCCCGTCGCCAAAAAGTTCATGGGACTCGGCGCTGAGAAGATAAGGGACCCAAGCATGGTCGTCTTCACAATAAATCATGACGTCCAAAATCGATCACCACAAAATTTGGAGATCGTTTAATCTAGGAGTTTGCCAAGAAGCACGGCATCGATTTCTATGGTGCTGGCAGAGGAACTGGTCATCAGGTGATGGTGGAGGAAGGCTATGCCTGGCCAGGTACCATGGCCGTTGCATCGGATAGTCACAGCAACGTTTATGGTAGAATCAGTTGTCTCGGGACGCCTGCTGTCAGGACTGATGCTGCGTCGATATGGGCGACTGGCCGTACCTGGTGGCAGGTTCCTCCCATTGCCAAGATCACGTAAGTCGTCTTCTGTCCGTAGCAGGCGTAGGTGTACTTACTTTTGCAAGACTTCCCATCGACGCGAGGCTGACGATATCAAACATGTCCACCGAGCATGGAGCGTTGTCCGCCATGTTTGTGAGTATACCATCTCTTGGGGGAAGTCCTCTGTTGGCTGACTTACTGCTCCACTAGCCAATTGCTGCGACCTTAGAAGCCTGGCTGAGGGCTAGGGCAACAGTCTCAGCCATGATGAGCCCAGATAGTAAGGCGCACAGCCGCCTGAGTCACGAACGCATCGACAGCCTCTTCGAGAACCCTAAGGTTTTGACGCCTCTCAAGGACCTCGAGGCCCAAGATATCAAGATTGACAAGGCCTACCTCGTTTCGTGCACGAAATCCCGCGCCTCGGACATTGCAGCCGCAGCGCGTGTTTTCCGCGAGGCCGCTAAGAACGGTCAACCCGCCAAGACTGCCCCTGGTGTCAAGTTCTACTTGGCTGCTGCGTCTTCCCTCGTACAAGAGGCTGCCGAAGAAGCAGGCGACTGGCAGGTGCTCCACGAAGCAGGCGCGGAGCTTCCCCCTGCAGGGTGCGGGCCTTGTATCGGACTGGTTCGTTTACCGCCTTGTACATCAATCTTATACTTTCACTGATTCTGTAACCAGGGTACTGGTCTTTTGGAGCCCGGCGAGGTTGGCATTTCGGCAAGCAACAGGAGCTTCAAGGGCCGCATGGGCTTTACCAAAGCCAAGGCACATCGCGCTAGCCCCGAGGTTGTCGCTGCTAGCGCCCTGCAAGGCAAGATTGCTGGCCCCGGCTGGTACTAGAAGCCGGAGGGGTTTGACAAGGTAATTCTTGGCGCGGGCGTCGGCAATATAACTGCCGACATTGCAACGTCGATTGAGGATGCTCTCGAGAAGCTCATATCCCAGGCCGACAGCATCATCGCCGAGTCGGAGAAGGGACTCTCCGGCGCCCCTGCCAGAGATACCGCTGCGGCTGAAGGCGAAGAGACGCTGACCGAGATTCTGCCCGGATTCCCCGAGAAGATGTAGGGCGAGATTGTTTTCTGCGATGCTGATAACCTTAACACTTACCCTGGTACGTTTCACGCCCCGTGCATCCATCCCGTGAAGCGCCCACTAACAAACCAAACCAACAGGTAAGTACACGTATCGGGAAAACGTCTCGGTGGAGAAGATGGCCGAGATGTATGGAAAACTACGACCCATCCTTCCGCGACATCGCCAAGGCCGGCGACATTCTCGTGTCCGGCTTCAACTTCGGCACGGGTAGCTCCCGTGAGCAGGCGGCGATGGCGATCCTGGCCAAGAAGATCCCGGTCGTGATGGCGGGTAGTTTCGGCAATATCTTCAGCGGCAACAGCATTAACAATGCGCTCATGGGCGTTGAGGTGCCTAAGCTCGTGCAGCGGCTGCGCGAGACATTCAAGGGCGAGGGCGACGACAAGGTGCTAACACGCCGCACCGGCTGGAAGCTGAAGTGGGACGTGCGCAGGAGCAAGGTCACGATCACGGAGAAGGGCGGCGAGACCTGGAGCGTCAGGGTCGGCGAGCTGCCGCCCAACGTGCAGGAGATCATTGCCTGCGGTCCGGGGCAATGGGTAAAGGCCGATATCCGGAAAGAGAGCGCCAACAACTAGAGATGGCAGAGAGAAGCAGGGGATGGACTATACCAACAGTACTGTGTTTTGAGTACGTACTGATACATATGGGAAACTTAGGGGCTTTGTGTAACTATGGGCTCTAGAAAAGTACTTGATGCAACCGAGAAGTTTGACTGTTGTATTCGGGATCTGGCCTCGCTGTGCTACCATTCCGATGTCATTGGTTCGCCATTGTGGAAGGGGTTTTTAACCGTCCTTCACAGCATTTTAACCCACCCAGAGGGGGAGCGACGCCGGATAACTACAACCTATAGCAGACTTGGGCTCCATGTAGCCTTCCTCAAATGTCAAAAGCTCTTCAGATGGGTTAAAAACGTAGTGGACTTTCGTATGCAAGAGGCCCCCAAGGTAGATTGAAAGTGCCGCATAGGGGTGAACGGACGAGCCAGTAAATGGTAGGTTTAACCTCCCGTGGAGGTCCAGATCTTCATTCCACAATGTGACGCAGAGTTACATTAGAGGGGTCTGTAAGGATGTCGACCCTGTCCCGTAAAACCAAGACGAAGCTACTCCATGAGGGGGGAGGGGGAGGCTTCCAAAGACAAAAGTCAAGCAGGGGCACGGGATCCATGATGATGAGTCGGGAAAGGAGCTCGAAGTGGCGAGCCCTCGATAAACGAACCCGAGGAGATGCGGAGAGAGCAGAGCTGCCGAACGCGAAAGAGAGCCAGAGCGTAAATAGCGTTGGCTTCAACATGCGCGGTCCATCCTGAGATGAGGGAGGAATCCTGGTTCGGGTGAGGGACTGACCACATCGGCTGAGGAGGAAGGAGGGGGGAAGGCCATGGGATGCGTGACTGCAGACCCCCAAGACGAGCCGAGACACTTGCGCCTTTGCAAAAGGTACGTACACGTCAGATGAACGGCGAGGAATGCCGAGATCAGCAGAGTTTCTTCGTATTTCTATTCTTCTGTTCCTTTTGTTATGTTTCGCTTCCGCTTTCTCTTTTCATTACTTCCCGATCTCTTGACGGCGTTCGAGATTCACGCAGGGGCATCGAACATGCCTAGCCCACCGACCTCGGGACTCGAGCCCCTGTCCGCCACTACGGCATCCTCCTCTCGCTTGGCCTCGACCGGGACGACGGCCAGCGGTCTCTCGGCGGCAGTCAGCGCCCTCCTCTTGGTCTTCTTCAGCAGCACATTGTGCCGCCTGCTCTTAACGTGCTTCGTCCAGTCCTGCTCCGTGACGCACGTCGTCTTGCAGACCTCGCACGTCCGGCGGCACAGCGTGCGCGCCGTCTGCGCCGTCGCCTCGCTCAGCACGTCCCGGGCCGTCTCCGACAGCCCCGCGGGCGCGGGCATCTCTTGGCCCTGGAGGAAGCGTCCGGCGATGTCGACGGCCGGGTCCGCGACATTGGCCGACCACCGCGAGACGTCGGTGCTGTCCACGACGAAGAGGTGGTCCAGCGCGCCGGGCCGCTCTTGGAGGAGGGGTACGGTCTTTGTGCGGATCCAGCGGGTCTGGTACTTGGCGTACTGCCGCGTCGACGTCTTCATCTCTTCGAGCCCAGTGGCCTTGAGGGCCTCAAGGGCGGAGGGGTCCGCGGGCGGATCACTCGCGTTGAGGGCCTTGAGGTAGGGCGAAAACTCCTTGAAGCCAATCGACTGCCAGATGCCGCGGGTGTAGTCCACCTCCTGACCGGCGGCCTCCTTGGCGCGGACATACTCGTACATGGACTGCGTCTCATCGTTGAGGCCGACGGCAAGCATTTTGTCCACGCGCTTGTCGAGACGCTCCTTCAGGACCTCGGGGTCCGAGTAGACCCAAAAAAGCAGCGCCTGCCAAGGGCCGGCGCTTGCGGTCTCCGTTTTGCTCTCTGCTGCCTTGCGCTGGCGCTGTTCGGCGTAGATTTCGGACGCCGGGCGGCCGTGTTGCAGGTAGATCTGTAGTGAGCGCGAGATCTTGCGCCTGTCGTTCGGGTGCCAGCGGTCTGCCATGACAGGGTCTACCTCGCGCAACTTGGCCAGTATGACGTCGGTCGGCTCGTCGAGGATGGGGAAGGCGGAGGCGTCTTCGTCAACCTTGACATCGTCGTCCTTTGTCTTGTCGTCGTCGGCGCCGACGAGGGTGTCGTCGAAGAGCAGGGCGTTGGTGTAGTAGTGAGTGCCGCCGACGACGATGGGCAAGTTACCGCGGCTGCGGATCTCGTCGATGACCCTGTTCGCTTCGCGCTTGAAGTCCTCGACGATCCAGGTGGGCTGGTCGAGGCTGATGTGGTCGAGCAGGTGGTGGGGCACGCCGCGGCGCTCTTGGGGGGTGATTTTGTTGGTGATGATGGGCAGGCCCTTGTACATCTGCATGGCGTCTGCGTTGATGATTTCGCCATTGAAACGGGTAGCGAGCTCTACGGCGAGCTATGCCGTGTCAGCATACGGGCAAGCCGTCGCGTGGCCAGAGCAAAGAGGAGCGCGACTCACCTCTGATTTTCCAGTTCCTGTCGAGCCCAGGATGACGACCAAAGGGTCCGAGGGCGGGACATTTCGGGCTGTCATGTTGCCAACAACATTGTGTATGAACCTTCGGCTGATGACAGACCGAAGCGTCATGCCCAGGAAGCCGCCGAAAACAAGAACAGCGAAGGGGCCTCACAGCATCGCGCGATGCTACTTCGTGTCCTGCGACGGGTGACTCAACCTTGGGCCAGTAACTGACTGACTCTGCCTGGTTGACTGAATATCGTTGTCCCAAAACGTGGCATCAGAACGCATCGGAACGCGCCAGAAGGAAAAAGTTTAGCGGGCAGGCAGTGGATTGGGCCACGGTAGGGGGGATTCATGGATCCTTGGTGCCTCGAAGACCCCTTGGAATAATTAAGCACTGGCTGGCCTGGCCTGGCCTGGGAGCTCTTTTCCGAAATGTGGAGGGAACAGCGGTGGTGGTGTGCCCCTTCCCCCCTGTCTCCCCCTTCCCTTCCCTCAGCCATCCATAACGGCTTCAAGAAGTAAAATTGCATGTCAATTGGCTACGGTCACGTGCCATAGGCTCCACTGAATTTTGGACACATCGACAATTTGGCGTTTCTTGAAGCCAGATCGCAGCCGACCCTCTTTTTGTCGCCGCGTCCCTTAGGTCCCAACGCTGAAGCTGTCCTTTTGCTTCCTCTCCCCTTAATAACCTAAACCTTCCTCCTCTCTCCATCTCCCCCATCACCTCCCTCCCCCCCCCTCCCCTCGCCACAACCCCGAGCCATTGTCGCTCTCTACCTCACTCTCTTCTTCTGCCTCCCCTTCATCTGGATGAATTAAGTCCTTTGTTTATTGTTTTCTCTCAGTGTAACAACCCATCATGAGTTCCCGTAAGTTGCATCCCCTCCCCATGCTCCATGCCTATAGCTCCAAGAAAGGACACGCGCGCGATAAATGTTGCAAACCTGCCCAACCACGCCCAGCCCCCAAGACAGCAACCGCATGACATGAAAGAACATCCCAATGGCTAACGCACGCGCTTTCGCATCACAGTACGGTTCCTCGATCTGGTCAAGCCGTTCGTGCCGTTCCTCCCCGAGGTTCAGCAGCCGGAGACCAAGATCCCCTTCAACCAGAAGCTGATGTGGACGGCCTTGACCCTTCTCATCTTCCTGGTCATGAGCCAGATGCCTCTCTACGGCATTGTCTCCTCCGACAACTCGGACCCCCTATACTGGCTGCGTATGGTTATGGCGAGTAACCGTGGAACCCTGATGGAGCTGGGTATTACCCCCATCATCTCCTCTGGCATGGTCTTCCAGCTCCTCGCTGGTACCCACATGATCGACGTCAACCTCGACCTCAAGAGCGACCGCGAGCTGTACCAGACCGCCCAGAAGCTCTTCGCCTTTATTCTCTCCGCCGGCACTGCCACTGTCTACGTCTTCACCGGCCTCTACGGCCGACCCTCTGATCTCGGCGCCGGCATCGTCTTCCTCCTCGTCCTCCAGCTCTTCGTCGCCGGCATGATCGTCATTCTCCTCGACGAGCTCCTGCAGAAGGGATACGGCCTGGGCTCGGGTATCTCCCTCTTCATTGCCACCAACATTTGCGAGTCCATCATGTGGAAGGCATTCTCTCCCACCACCATCAACACCGGCCGTGGCCCCGAGTTCGAGGGTGCCGTCATTGCCCTCTTCCACCTGCTCCTCACCTGGCCCAACAAGCAGCGCGCTCTCCAGGAGGCCTTCTACCGCCAGAACCTCCCCAACATCATGAACCTTCTGGCCACCATCCTCGTCTTCGCCGCCGTCATCTACCTCCAAGGTTTCCGCGTCGAGATCCCCGTCAAGTCTTCCCGCCAGCGTGGTGCCCGCGGCTCTTACCCCGTGCGCCTCTTCTACACCTCCAACATGCCCATCATGCTGCAGTCCGCTCTGTCCTCCAACGTCTTTCTCATCAGCCAGATGCTGTACTCCCGCTTCTCTGACAACCTCCTCGTCCGTCTTTTCGGTGTCTGGGAGGCCAAGGACGGTTCCGCCCAGCTCTCCGCCATCTCCGGCCTGGCTTACTACATGTCTCCTCCCTTGAACTTCAAGGACGCCCTCCTTGACCCCATCCACACAGCTGTCTACATCATCTACATGCTGGGTGCCTGCGCCATCTTCTCCAAGACCTGGATTGAGGTTTCTGGCTCCAGCCCCCGCGATGTTGCCAAACAGCTCAAGGACCAGGGTCTCGTCATGGCCGGTCACCGCGACCAGAGCATGTACAAAGAGCTCAAGCGCATCATTCCCACCGCCGCTGCTTTTGGTGGTGCCTGTATCGGTGCCCTCTCCGTTGCCAGCGACCTCATGGGCGCTCTCGGTTCCGGTACCGGTACCCTTTTGGCTGTCACGTAAGTTTTAAAGTCCCATTCCACGTCAAAGTGCAGTACCTGTCGCTAACAGCATCCCAGTATCATCTACGGTTACTTCGAGATTGCTGCCAAGGAGGGTGACCTGGCCGGTATGAAGGGCATGATTATGGGTTAATGTTGCCAGCCAACGAGAAAGACATGCCCTCTTCAGAATTATCGAAGCTTCTTCCTTTGTGCATGCGAGGCTTCCAGCAACCATTATTATCAATGGCGGCTATCTGTGTAATATCACGGTATACATTTGTTTTAAAAAAGAAAAGTCGCAAAGAGGCCTTGTTTCCTGGTTGGAAAACAAAAGCTATGGGATTTCATGATGATGGGTTAAGGTAGCATTGGGCAACGGGGGCGAGTTCATTCTAGACAGCCGCTCGGCATGGCATGGCGGGCCAGAAGGGACGCCGCGGACTCTTGACTGAATACGTCGTGGTTCGAGGAGGTCCTTGGTCTGATTGCTACTGGGAGCCGCTGATCTAGGAGTATTGTATCTAAAACCACGAATGCGAACAAATCCATTTCACGAACCCCAAAGACCGGACCCTCATCCCACATTTGACTTGCAGTGGCAATGTTATGTGGGGCTCTACCTTTTCGGACCCGATCCGTCTGGTCGACGCTTTCAACGGCCAAGGAGCGGACATGATTCTGCCGCCTATGGTGCGAGAGATATGACATATCATACAGCAAAGCAGCAAGCGAGTCGTCATTATGGGCCGGCCGTAAGAAGGCTGGAGGTAGAAAACCCGAGTTGGTAACACGTTCGCGTCTTAACCGTAATTTACTGGACAAGAACCGAAATGCACAAAGACCCAAGGCCATGTAAGCAACCCCCCCCCAATTGGCCATAATATTCAGCATAAGAGGGACATGTTAATCGAATATCTACTGAGGTCAAACCCGCCCAATGATGTTCTCCGGAGGATGGGTTAGGGTAGTGTGAGCGTGTATGTCTTGGCATGGGGGCTCAATTGTACCCAGACTGGTGCTGGAGGCGTCGAGCCGGCGATGTTGGCCCTCCCTGGTGGCCTAATTGTATATACATACTCATGCGTGTTGACTCAAGGTAGACGGTCCGCCTTGACAGCGCTTGCCGTGGAACGGCTCAGTCTCGAACACCGCGGCGAGGCGACGTTGAAGCTTCTGCATGAGACGGGGGTTCATCCATTGGCATCGACCATTGCTCATGTCTTTGGTCGTTTGAAAAGAGACAGCTGACCACTCGAATAACATGAACCTCCTTGAGGGGCAAGAGGGGGGTGCATACCCTGAGGCTACGCGATGACTGCACTTGATGCTGCAAACTGCATGCCCTGGATACCTAGGCAGCCGGATGGGAGTATATTACAAGCAGTTGCGGGAGGTCTGGCGACGGTTGATGTCCGCAGCTGCGGGGACTTTTAGGCAGCATCGGCACGGGAAGCCGGGTACTGTAGCATGTTCATGCCCCCTCCCGAGAACTGATATCTGCCGAAAAGGCTGCCGCCCCCCTTATCAGCCAATGTGACGCACACCGGAGGTTCCGAAAATCAACATGCGGTCGAGTCGTGAGTGCTTCCTTCACAAGTCATTGTTTTGGCTCAAGGTGGGACATGCAAGGGCCTTTGTCTTTCTCTCTGGCCCGGGCTCCGAGTAGTATCTGAGATCTGTCTCAGGTTTCCATTCTTCTCGTCGAATTCTGCAGTGGAGTTTATATGAAAGGTCATACGTGAGGCATGTCTCCTGAATTGCGCATACCAACCTAGTTACAAACCACTCCCGTTTCCTTCTTCCCCCCGCTCTGAGATGCCGGTCGAGGATAGAAAAGACGGGTGATTGACGAAGGCCTAGGGTTCCCCAGAGAAGCCAGCCTTGTGCCAAGCTGTGCTGCAACGTATAAAAAAAAAAGGGAGTGAAGTGACAGACAAAGCTTTGTCGACCCTGCACTTGCAGAAAGGGAAGAAGAGTACTCCGTACCCTCCCTACCTCTAGGGCCTTGGCTGGGGCAGTCCGATCTGACCTTGGTGCGTGCGCTGCTTCTCGATACACCCATGCTGTTGCGTGTGCTTGCCTGCAAGCCGTCCAGCACGTGAGGGACGGCTCGGCCAATTGACAACGTTGGGAACAGCAATGGCTGACCTGCAGCGCGCTTCCGACCCTGCAACGGCGGGCTGGATGCAGCCGTGGTCGGGTAATTAGTAGCGTTCTGTCCCCCGTTGTGGCCGGGGCAGATGCCAGGACTGGCCAAGGCCGAGATGCTCGTAGCATCAAGTCATCTGAATGGCGGTGAAGGTGACTCATTGGCCGGTTTGTGGTCGTAGCCCGCAGGCCGTATGGACGTGATAGGGATGGACCGGTGAATGGAGTTCGAGCGAAAAAACAACTCAAAAAGGATCGGCCTCCTAGCAGTGCCTTGCCTCAATTGGAAGGTCAGCAACTAGTGGGGGCGGTGGTGGTGGTGGTGGTGGAGGAGGTGCGGCAGGTTCGTTTCCCAAGGGGTCCAGAAGAGGCTCTCGGCTCAAGCAACGCGATACGTGATTCAGTGCTCGAGAAGCGGGAGCACGACGACGAGATTGATGGTAGTGTACAGGGTCGAAGACCAACCGCATGACTTGTGAATAGGCAGATCAGTTGACACACCAGAGCCTTGTATGTCTGTCATGAAAGAGAGCAAGATCGGAGACAGATGCATTGTGGCTCGGTTCTGACCGTTGTTTTCTGCTTCTACTTCCATTTCTATTTCTAATTTTGTTTTTATTCTTATTTTTTTTTTTAAATTCCATTTCTTCATTTCTCGCCATTGTTTTTATAGTATAAGTTGGCGGTACCACTCGAACAGCCAATGGCTGGTGTGCAACGCATCGGGGTAGACGGCGCGTCTGTTCCTGGTACCTGGAGTAGTTTAGACGTTGAAAACCTTGGGCCTGGGACGCTAACAGCGGACTGACTGGGATGTTAGCAAAATCTGTTCCCTCGCTTGAGAGAGGCAGGGAGGGTGTTGGCAGCCTTCCCAGCAAAGGCATTGTCACGGATGGTTATTGTCGACCGGGTTAACATGCAATGGAGGTGCCGTGCTCGGCGATAGGACACTGGTAGACGGACGAAGCGTGCTCAAGATAAGGTGCAGACGAGAGGGACGAGCACACACAACAGTCATCATGCTCGTTTCAAGCATCGACAGTGGTGGCGCAGGCGGACGTGACAAGAGTGCCAAAGTTGTTGCTGTAGTGCGGCCCTCCGTGTCGGGGGGTGTCGAGAAACGGTCCGGATCCGGGTCTGGAGTCTGGCTTGGCTTGAGACATGCATCATCATGCTGATGGCGTGGACCGTTGTAGGCGGCAGCTGTCGTTGGCAGAAGCGTCTTGTCTCTACACTGGGCGAGTGTGCCAGGACTTTCGCTGCTGATGACACGAGCGTTTGCCACCATATCCTGCAACAGCGCACATTGTCAAGTCGACGGTTCAAGACAGGCATCTGCTTGTAAGGGAGCTAGGCTGCCGGGAGCAGCAGCAGAAGCTAAGGGTGCATTGCGAGTGTATGTGTGAGCGGCGGTGGATGGATGTTGTGTTGTAGCAGTAGGTACGTAGGGAAGGGGGAGCATCGTGTGGTCAGCAACTGATCGTTGGCTGCATGGTCACCATCCTACGAGTATGTATGTATGCATGATGGGTAGCTATGGCATGTATGTACCTACGGTAGGTAGGTGGGTTATGATGCATCTAGAAGTGCAGGTGCGGCCTGCTCTTGTTCTTGCTTGTTCTGGCTTTTGCACCTGCCTCGAATGGACGGGGTACCACACACAACAGCACGGACTGTCGGTTCGGTATATACGTACCGACCTACCTAGGTAGCTTACCTACCGGTAGTCAAGCTGGGTAGGTACCGAAGACAAAGGAAAAGAAGACTTCTTTCCATTTTATTCGAAGCAGTACGCTAGAGTGTGGGCCCGAGCTTTCCAACAAGGTGGTCTGGCCTCTCTGGGGGGGAGGCAAGAAGAAAAAAATCGATTACAATAAGATAAAACGGCGAGCTGGGAGAACCACAGTGACGCAAGAACCGATTGTTTGTCCGAGGCGGACTTATACATCAGCAACAGCATCGGGATTCGGCCACGGTGTTTCCTGATGTCATTTCATTCAAACGAGAACCTTGTCTGTAAGTGACTCAGGTCAGGTAGTTCACATGCATGTTATCATCGCCGACCGGACTTCCTTGTCTTTGGGGGGGGGGGGGGGGGCAGAAGAAGTTTTGCATTAATAGTATCCGTACACAGATACACTGCGCAGGGTGCCGCATGCAAGCAAGCTACGTACATCCCTACTTTGGAGCGTACCTATCTGATAAACGTTGCGAGTATCTATACATGCTTGCTGCCAATTGAAGCATCCCACTGGCCAATATTTTGTTATCATGGTGTGTATAGCGGGGACATGATCCCCCACCACCTTCGCATCCTGGATGGGTCTTGGAACTTGAGGGACCCGCTGCTAAGGTGTGCAAGTCAGAAACCAACTGCAGCTGACCCGTTGTTGCTCGCCGCGGATTGTCGTGGGTACTGTGCCATCCTCTCGCTGAACCTATCTGCAGAGTACGAATACCTTGACGAGGGGGTTGTGGTTTGCGTGCCTGTCCACGCATACCTAATGCAAGTGTCACTGTGGGTTCTCATCCACCAGCCGCCCACCTCTTCCGTTCCAGTTCCAACCCAATCCACCTAGGCCAGACAGGCAAGCACGCAGGCAGTCGGTCAGTCAGTCAGTCAGTCCGGCATGACACCACCAGCATAACAAACCGGCACAGGCAACTGCTTTTCACAGACCTAGACGCAGAATAGGTAGTAGGTACTGCTTGCTACCCGGAACCGAAACAGAGGTAGCTTTAACCTCCCTCCCCTCCCCACTCCCCCCGAACCTCTTGATTCTGCAACAGTGTGCCCCCGTCCTTCATCCTCCTCTTCTCTTTTCCTCTTTTTTGTTTTTTTTTGTTTGCATCCTTCCTTCCTCCCTCCACCCCCAGGACCTCACCTGTCCGCGCCGCAACTCCGGTCTCGTCTCGTCTCGTCTCTTACAGATCTCCCTTGCGTGATCTTTGGAGTCCGGAAGACACGGCTTGCCGCTTCCTCTCCCTCACTCTTTCCGCCCGCCCGCGAGGAAACAAGCAAACAAACGCCCTGCCGTTTCTCGTTTCTTCTTCCGCCGCCGCCGCCTCCTCCTCCCTTGCCTTGCCTTTCAGGGCTCCGACCTCGGCCATCGCTCCCGCGCCCTCTCAACCGCTGCCAACCGAAGTGTCTAGCCCGTCGCAAGTCATATTCGTATTACCCCAAACAGCTCCAACCCGCCGCTGTGCCGTCAGAGCTCGACCACTGACCGCTGTCTCTTGGGTTTTTATCCCCGCCACCCGGGAGTGCGGGTACCACCAAACATGAGCAACTTTGCTCAGTGCAGCTGGCCGATATGGGACATTGATGATCTCACCCCGTGCTTCCAGCAAGAGTGAGTCGCCCCCCAATCTTGTTGCGCCCTGCCTCTGCGCATCGTAAACCCAACTTGCCGCGATGCTATCTACCACCCCGTGATTCATCCCGATATAGGCTTTGCTTGGCTTGACTTCAGTTGCTGACCATTCATCTTCCGCAGCTACCTCAAGATTCTTTTCCCCTTAATTGTTATAGGCTTTTCCATCCTCCACCTGGGTCTGCAAGCCATACGAACTATCGCCAAACACCGCAAGCATGGCTACGAGCACGTTCCCCAAGATCAACATCACGGCCACACCAACATCCCTCCCGAAGAAACCGCCGACGGGTATGAAGATGAAGACGATGAGGCTTTGACTATGAACGGCGGCGGCCGCCTAGCTCTGGTAAAGACCACAACCAAGGGTTCCATCGTCCAGGCCGATAGTCCTCCCGCCCAGAACCTGACCATTGTTGTCGAGGAGATCGCAATTGCCGGTCTGATTGCGCTTCACGTTATCGCCTTGGTTACCGGCACCGCCCCTGGTCACCACGGCCTGCTCGTCGCCATTGTCGGCCTTGTCACCTGGGTCTACGTTGCCATCCTCGTCACTCTGCGTCTCTTCCTCGGAAACACAAAGTGGCGCGTGCCTCGCATCTGGAACCACACCGCCTTCATCTATCTCTTTCAGTGGATCTTCACCGTTGCCGTATTCCGCTCCGTCATTGTCCACCCTAGCAGCCGCCTTTCGCAAATCCTCACTATTGTCGAGTTCGCCCTTACCACTCTCCTTTTCGGCCTTGCCATCACGACGAGAAAGGGAAACAAGACGGTGCTGTTGGAGTGGGAAGATGGAATCGAGCCGTCGCGCGAGCCCCTCGCCTCTCTCTTCTCCCTCGCCACATTCTCCTGGGTCGATCCCGTCATCTACCGCGGTTACAAGGAGACTCTCGAGTTGAAGAGTGTGTGGAATCTGGTTCCCAAGGAAAAGGCCGCTGCCGTCATCGCCGACTACCGCGCTCTCAAGAGAACGTCCAGCCTGGCCTGGCATTTGATCAAGTACTTCAAGGGCGAGCTTTTGGTTCAGTTCGCTCTCGCTTCCTTTGCTGGTGTGTTCACTTTCGCCCCAACCCTGCTGCTCAAGGCCATCCTAGAGTACGTCGAGCGGCCCGAAGGTGCTCCCATCAACGTCTTGTGGTTATACGTGATCCTCTTGCCCGTCCTTGACCTTGTTAGATCCTTTGCGGACAACTACGCTCTGTGGATCGGCCGCAAGATATGCATCCGCATCCGAGCCATCATCATTGGTGAGATCTACAGCAAGGCCCTCAGACGCAAAGCCTCCGCAGGCAAAGACAAGGAACTCGGCCAAAACAAGAGCCCGGCAAAGCAGGGCTGGTTTGGCAAGATCAAGGCGAAACTTGGCTTCAAGAAGGCCAAGGCGGATGCCGAGGCAGCTGCCAACGGTCCCGCCAAGGACCCCGCCAAGGACGACGAGCAGGCCAACTTGGGTACCATTATCAACCTCATGTCCGTCGACAGCTTCAAGATTTCCGAGGTCACGGCCTACTTGCACTTCATCTGCGCATCCGCCCCGACCCAGCTCATCATCGCCATCATCCTCCTTTGGGATGTCATGGGACTCAGTGCCATCCCCGGATTGATTGTCATGGCCCTGCTGCTCCCCATCAACTACAGCTTTGCCAGAGGCTTTGCCAACACTTCCAAAAAGATTTTGGCCGCGACCGACAAACGCATCAACGTCACCAACGAGGTTTTGCAGAATATCCGCATCATTAAGTACTTTGCCTGGGAGGCCAAGTTCGGCCGCATCGTGGACGAGAAGCGCGCCGCTGAGCTGAAGGCGCTCCGATCCCGCTACGTCATCTGGTCTTTCGCTGTTGCCGTGTGGAACTCGGTCCCTGTCCTCATCACCTTCTTCTCCTTCCTGATGTACACCCTTGTGGAGCACAAGCCTCTCTATCCATCCGTGGCCTTCACTGCCATCTCCCTCTTTATGCTCCTCCGTGTTCCTCTCGACCAGATGGGCGACATGTTTGCTCACGTCCAAGAGACCAAGGTTTCACTGGATCGTGTCGAAGAATTCCTCACCGAGGAGGAGACCGAGAAGTACGAGCAGCTCGGAGAGGACAATGTCGACGAAAACGGCAACAAGGTCATCGGTTTCCGAAAGGGCAACTTCATCTGGGGCGGCAAGGACGTCGTTGCCGAAGATGGCACCATGGCTTTCCGGCTTATGGACTTGGATGTCGACTTCCAGATTGGCAAGCTTAGCATCATCTCGGGACCCACTGGTTCTGGAAAGACGTCCATGCTGATGGCCCTGCTTGGTGAAATGACCCTCGTCGGCGGCAAGGTCTACTGTCCTGGTGGTCGAAGCCGCGAGGATGTCCGGGCTGATCCCGAGACTGGCCTTGCTGACACGGTCGCCTACGTCGCGCAGGCCGCATGGCTCGTGAATGCTAACATCAAGGAGAACATCCTTTTTGCTGCGCCGTACGATGAAAAGAGATACCGGGACGTTATCGTCGCTTGCGCGCTGGAGCGTGACCTTGAGATTCTCGACAACGGCGATGAGACCTTGGTCGGAGAAAAGGGTATCACTCTGTCTGGCGGCCAAAAGCAGCGCATTTCCCTTGCCCGTGCCGTTTACTCCAACTCTCGGCACATCTTTTTGGACGATTGTCTCAGTGCTGTCGACTCCCATACTGCGCAATGGATTTTTAACAACGCCATCAAGGGTCCTTTGATGGCTGGCCGAACCTGCATTCTGGTTACCCACAACCTCCAGCTCTGTGCTCCCTCCTCTCACTACATCGTCGCACTGGAGAATGGCAGGATTGCTGCCCAGGGCCCCTCTGCTGAGCTGATCGCCTCGGGCAAGCTTGGCGAAGAAATTCAAAAGGCTGCTGTTAACTCGGCCTCGGTTTCCCGCATCCCGTCCCGAGTCCCTTCTAGCGTCGGTGAAGATGGCTCGGAAACTGTGGTCAACCCTGGCGACGAGGGCACCACTGACGCGCGGGCTAAGAAGAATGAAAAGAAGAAGGAGCAGAAGGACGCCATGGAGGAGAAGAAGGCCGAGGGTTCCGTCAAGTGGCCCGTCATCCAACTCTACCTCTCCTCTATGGGTTCCTGGTGGTTCTGGGTCGTAGCTGCCGCCGTGTTCGGTCTTCAGCAGATGTCTGGTGTTGCTACCAACTTCTGGGTGCGAGAGTGGGCAAACCAATACGTCGATGAGGAGGTGGAGCGGATCGCTTTCTCAACCTCGTCCCTCACTTATAGCCAGCAATCGTTCTCCCCGACCTACCTCGCCTCCATCGCCAACTACGGCAGCCGCATCGGCTCTACTGTTTCTGCCACTGCTGCTGCTGCTGACGTCGACGTCAAGTACTACCTCACCGTCCTTGCCGCCATTGGTATCGCTGGCTCAGCCGCTGCGTTCATCAGAGACGTCTGGGTCTTTTATGGCTCCTTGACTGCCTCCAAGAAAATCCACAACGACCTGATTTCCCGTGTATCCAGAGCCAAGTTCAAATTCTTCGACGTCACTCCTCTCGGCCAGTTGATGAACCGCTTCAGCAAGGATCTCGAGGCAGTGGACCAGGAAGTCGCTCCGATCGCCATTGGCGTCTTCGGCTGCGCCCTTGGGATTTTGGTGACAGTCGTTTTGATCACTTGGGTCACCCCTGGCTTCTTGGTTGCCGGCGTCTTCATCACTGCCGCATACTGGCTCGTCGGCGCCTTTTACCTGCGTGCCTCCAGAGACTTGAAGCGTCTTGAATCCGTCCAACGGAGTCCCTTGTTCCAACAGTTCGGAGAGACGCTCTCAGGCATGACAACCATCCGAGCTTATGGCGACGAGCGCCGCTTCATCCGGGAAAACCTGTCCAAGATCAACGTCCAGGCTCGTCCTTTCATCTACCTCTGGGCTGCGAACCGTTGGCTTGCCTTCAGAACCGATGTCCTCGGCGACTTGGTTTCATTCTTTGCCGGTGTTTTCATCATCATCAGCATGAGCACGGGCACCGTCGATCCGGGTTCTGCCGGTATTTCCCTTAGCTACGCCATTGGCTTCACCGAGAACGTCTTGTGGCTCATTCGCCTGTACGCCATCAACGAGCAGAACATGAACTCTGTCGAACGCATCAAGGAGTATCTGGATGTCGAGCAAGAGGCCGAGCCGGTCATCGAGAAGAACCGCCCTCCCGAAAACTGGCCCAGCCAAGGCTCTGTCGAGTTCATCAACTATTCCACCCGCTACCGCGCCGACCTCGAACCTGTCCTGCGGAACCTCACCTTCAAGATTAACCCCAGCGAGAAGGTCGGCATCGTCGGTAGAACGGGTGCCGGCAAGAGTTCGCTGGCCCTGGCCATCTTCCGCGCTCTCGAGGCCGATGAGGGCAAGATTCTCATCGACGACATCGATATTGGCTTGATTGGACTCCGCGATTTGCGCGAGGCAATTACCATTGTGCCACAGGACCCCACGCTCTTCATGGGCACTATCCGTTCCAACTTGGACCCCTTCGACACGTACACCGATGAGCAGATCTTCGAAGCGCTTCGCAAGGTGCAGCTTATCGGCCCCCACGAGTCGACCTCCAGGCCGACGACACCATCGGCCGGCGCAATGCTGCCAACCACGCCCAACCTTGGACTCATCCAGGAAAACGCCAACTCGAGCTCCGGCTCCTCGACTGCGCCTACCAACAAGAACGTCTTCCTCAACCTCTCATCGACCGTCTCAGAGTCTGGTTCCAACCTATCTCAGGGCCAGCGCCAACTTCTTTGTCTAGCCCGTGCTCTCCTGAAACGACCCAACGTGCTCGTCATGGACGAGGCAACCGCTTCGATTGACTACGCCACCGACACCAAGATCCAAGAGACCATCCGTGAGCTTACCAGTACCATCATCACCATTGCCCATCGGCTGCAGACCATTGTAGACTACGACAAGGTACTCGTCCTGGACAAGGGCGCCGTCGTCGAGTATGGCCACCCGTACGAGTTGATCCGCAAAGAAAACAGCAGCTTCCGAAGCATGTGCGACATGAGCGGAGAATACCAGGTGTTGCTCAAGGCTGCCAAGAAGAAGTGGGATTCGGGAAGGTTGGTCGATGTTGACGATGAGGAGGAGGTCACCCAGGACGACAGCAAGACCAAGGCTGTCGAGGACGAGGCTCAAAAGGCCGCCGAGGAGGTAAAGAAGCAGGCCGAAGCTGAAGCCAAGAAGGCCGAAGCCGAGGCTGAAGCGCGGAAGAGGGCAGAGGAAGACGCCAAGAAGGCTAGACAAGCCGAAGAGGAGGCCAAGAAGGCCGAGGAGGAGGCTACGAAGAAGGCCGAGGAGGAGGCTACGAAGAAGGCCGAAGAAGAAGCCAAGAAGAAGGCGGCCGAAGAGCAGGCGAAAAAGCGTGCTGAAGAAGCGAAGAAGAAGGCTGAGGAAGAGGCCAAGAAGGCGGGCGGCGGATAGATAGACGGCCCCTTGGTCCTACATATAAGCGCCCCCTTTTTGTTCGTGTACTATTGTTGCTTGACAGCGACCAGCACGGGGTTGGCCTTTCTTCTCGGAAGCTCTCCCCGACTGTTTGTCTTATCTTAATAAGGGCTAGCTAGTCAGAGATTCGTAGATACTTGGGATAAAAAAAAACTTTCCTTGTCTGTTCAAATAATGGCCTTGCTGCGAGATTGCTCCATTGGTGAGATTATACATGTATGATGGAGAGCATGATGAAGTTGCTGGAGTCCACTTCTGCTCTACTACCTTCCCAGATCTCACTTCTCCGAGGCACCTTTCAGCAGCGAGGCATGTCGCACAAACGAAGAGCGTTATGTTGCGAGTGGTCTTGAAGAAGAGGCAGACGGGGGACCGGGGGGGGGGGGGGGGTCCAATGTATCTTTGCATCAAGCATTTAGACTGAGCAAGCAGGAGAGCCCTGGTACCCAACGGGGAAAGCCTACTGAATGCTATCGTGTAATGACACCGTCGACGATCCAAAAGATCAGCCGCACGCCACCTTTGTGTAGACTCGTGGACGGAGAACTCCCCTCAAGGGCAACTAACCACTAACTTTTAAATCTTCTTGACCGCATAATTTACTCGCTGACCAGACCCAAGGCCCAAGATTCTCCCTTCAATCACCACAACCCGCTTGCCTCATCTGGACCCGAAATCACGACCCCACTAACACAATCTTCGTCGCCAACCCAACTTTTCTACCGCCCCCCTCCATGCTCAACATCCACAGTCCCCGGGCTTCCAGTTCCACAGTCTCTCTCCATCCGATATGAGTTCACAGTAGGGGATGGTAGGCATCGCCTTGTTGGCTCAGTGGTAAAGCGTCTCACTAGTAATGAGAAGATCGGCGGTTCGATTCCGCCACGAGGCATTCTCGTGAGCATTCCGGGGGGGTTGACGCAGTTTACCTTGGAACGTATCTTTTGAAACTTTTTTCTTTCTTTCTTGTTGGCCCCCTCCCCCTCCGAGAGATGGAAACACGTTCCCCGTTCTGCTTGCGGACCTCACTAGGTATTCGGGAACTCGAACAGTTTACTTCCCTCGTGTGTGTGTGTGCCGCTGGTGCTGTTGCTTGTGCTAGTATGGCAGGCTCTCGAGACAAATGCTTTGAAGGCGTGGTGCGACTGCGGCGAGTTCCCGCATAGCTCGGCTACTTTTACTGCCGTTCACGGTTTGCAAGGCAGACGCCGTCGCGGGCTGGTCAAGTCTTGCCCATGTATTCCAGAGATAGAGACCGACGGCCACGTTGGCGCGGTCATTACGGGATTCGAGCTCCGCATGGCATGAGACTTGCAATAGACGTCAATGAACATTGATGTCAACAACATGTTGGACCCCCACCCCCCTTGACCAGTATAAGTACTTCATCTGAGACTTGTTCACACGACAGTGTCAACCCCCATCTCTCTCCTGCCAGCGGTATCACCACACCGACCGAGTACGGCGTGCCTTGAACCATTTTTTTCCCCAGCCTTGTAGCGGAGACTGCGAGTCCCCTTTCCGCAGCGCTCCGCTTCAGCGGTGTTTGAAGACATCTGGTGGACGTTCGTTTCCGTAGATCTCGGGAACCAGCGGCGTATGATTCCATCGACATAGTGCGGTGAAAGGGAGCAAAGCCTCCCCCCAGTCTCGCTCTGGTGCTCGTTCTGTATATTTGCAGGGTGACCGTGTTTGAGACATAGCCTTTTTGATAACAACTCATAGTTTGCCTAAAAACCGACTGTGTGGGTTCATCGTGCAGTCCCGCATGATAGACACACCTATCTGTAGAGGAAATCTCGCCTTCTCGTTGCTGTCGTTCAAACCAAGTCCGGAAGGACGAAAATTCCACCCTGTGAGGCGAAACTGTCGGTCTGTTGTATGTCGCTCCGTCCTCCTCCCTTCTTCTTTCCGTGCCGGGGTTGAACTCTAGGTTTCTAGATTTGCGTATATGCACAAGTAGGATTGTCAATCTTTCTTATACTTGTGGAGTAGGCGGGAGCAAAGGAAGTCGAGTCAACATCGTTGACTTAAAGTCTAGATTACGCTTTAAGCTTATTGTTATCGAAAGCAGGCGACGCCCGGTATCTCAAAGCATGGGAGTTGCCAAACCTACAATAACGTTTGCGCTCCACAGCACCACCGGTCACTTATTTGAGGATCGCGGCAAACGGTTTACCAAGCCGCAGCAAAATCTGCGGACCAGCCGCCAGGACATACACACACATACACACACAGAGCCGGGGCCCGGATGGAAACCACCGGCCGAGTGCCGGTGCCGCCCCTTTTCAGTATTTCTCTCTACAGCAAACGGACATCAAACACAAAGACGAAGAAGAAGAAGAAGAAGAAGAAGAAGAAGAAGAAGAAGAAAAACATACAAAGCGAGCCAAGAACTCTTAGATCACGGACATTGAGACGCAAGTTGGCAGCAAGGTATTCTGAACGACCGCGTCCATCGATGACACGCGGCTGTTGCGCGCGGCTTACGTCTGGGGGCCTATTTCCGGCAAACTTTTCATTTTTATTTAATCTTTTTTTATCGTGGTGATTTGATTTGCTTGGACCCTGCATGGCTCAGCTCGGGTCGTATTAGCCAAAAGGGGGAGGGGGAGGAAAAAAGAAAGAAAAAAGCACCATCATGAACTCTAAGCACCGACCACGGCCTCATCTATCGGCGCCCTGCGAGCCGGGCGGCAGAAGCATTCAGGCAAGGCCCCTTCCGTCCAAAGCTGACACTCGGGCCCGGGTGTGGCGGCACCTGCTTGTTCCCCCCCTCGAATGCCGTGCCCGCGGGCCGCCGGCAGAGAATCCCAAACCCCTCCGCGTCCCAAGCTGTAGGGGGTTACGATGCGGCGTCTCCGACGCCAGGATCTACATGGTAGACACTAGCAATATTTCACTTATCTTGCCGAAACGGTCTCAGCGTTGGAGTTACGAGCCGGTGGGAAGCATCATGCCTTTGGTTTCTCTTTCTCTCCCCCCCCCCCCCCCCCCCCCCCCCTCTCTCTTCCTCCCTCTCCACTTCCCTTCAATCACCACACGTGGATATTGTGCCGCGGAAAATCAGACACAGGGCATAGGAACCATGCTGCCGACTTGGCGGATGAAAGACTCCGCAAGACTGGCGGGGGTTTACCTGACTGACTCGTCACGAGCAAGCATCTTGCCTACTACATCCACTTCCTCGTATTGCATTGCGCGAACGAGCTCAGATAAAACGCTAGCAGCAGCAACTCGCAAGAGCGACAAGTAACCGCAGGCGCGAGATACTTCCGCGGCAGCATCGAATCGCGAAACCCGCTCGTACGGAAGAGTTGGGAGCCGGAGGATGCCCGATATCGCCAACCTGCATATGGCAGATGGAAGAATCGCAAACAGGGTTCTTAACCTCTCCTCCTGCTGACCTCGTCTAACTACCTGTATGTGCCGACCCTCAGATGCATACAACTGGGGAGGAGGGGGGGTGGAGATATGGGAGAAGGAGAAAGAGAAAGGGAGAAAGGACAGCTGAAAGAACGCCATCCAAAGCTTGTGGTTCGTGATGCATGGTGCAGATGATATCTTTCCTCAAATTGTCTGTTCCAGAACGAGTAACAACCCTTGTCGTAACGCAGGCCACGCTCTTGTCGTTTTTGAGTGTCTGCCCGGTATCAGCCGGTCCAGCGTCTACCCCTCCTCGCCTGCACGTCGTGTAGAGTGAGAAAGATAGAGAGAGATATACAAATACCTCAAGCAGCGAGCTAGAACTGCATAGCACGTCTCGATCGGGCACGGCACGTGGGGGCGGGGAGGTTTGATGCTCGGTTATCGTCTCTCCAATTGGGAAACCAGTCTCTGCCGCAAGATCAGCAGTAAGTGAAGCTGGACCGAAGCTTGAGGCAGCACGACTCGGACACCTGGTTTCTCATCGTTTGGTTCACTGCGTCAGTAGGCGGAGAAAATGCCAGATTGTGGACTGAGCGCGAACGAGAGACAACAGATCAAGCCAACCGTCGGCATCCCCCAGTCTAGTCCAGCCAAGTCCAGTCCACCAGGCGGACCCCCCTACCTCCCCTCCGAACGCAACCCGTCTGGCGGGTTTTCCGTCCTAGGCTAAACCCTTCCTCACATCCGTCGAGGTTGCAATGCCTCAACGCTCGTCACCTCTTTTCACTTTTCGCAATCAGTCTTGTCATTTCCGGCCCGGATGGGGTTAGAGAGGCATTCGAACAAGTGCCATCATGTCTTTGCGTCTGTGCCATCAGGGGCAAGCAACCCTCTGGTCCGTCCACGACGTCAACTCGTAGGCTACCCGGTCAGCTCGTTGGTCTCCGACGCTAGAACACGACGGCGGCATCCTACTACCGGTAGCATTCCACTAGCATCCAACTGACATTCCACGCCAGGCGTCGACGCCGTGAAAGGGCCGGCCACCACGCAACTATCCCCCTAGCAAGCCACAGCCATACAGCTTGGCAAATGAGCTTGGCTCTTTTTTTAGCTTCCCCCTCTTGCTGCAACCTTGAACCGTCACGCAGCGCCTCAGTCCAACGCATCAGTTCGTTTTTCGGAGTCCGTATCCCATCCCACCTTGGAGAATGTTTACTTCTGACCCTCGGGTTGGGACATTCGCATGCGCGCACTGTTCTGGGATGAGATGAAAAATCTGAAGAAGTGGGCGCGCACAATGATGGGATGGCGCGAGGGTAACCCCGCCAGTGCGTGCATGAGTCGCTGGTGTTCCGTTTGTGGTGAAGCCTGCGTGCATTTCTTCGTGTGGAGGCAAGTGCGCCACGAGTTGGGCGACGATGGACGACGATACGGTATACGACGAATGAGGGACGATCTGTTTGCCCCTTTGCAGATGACATGTTAGTCCGACTCGTATGCTTGCCCTCGGCAGAAGCAACACGGTGGGGGCGAGTCCGGGATATTTGACCGCTGAGAGGCACAGCAGAGGGATTCACGATGATGACTGGCACGTCCTCCCACTTCCCATTGCAATGCACATGCAGGCCGCGTCAGGCCAGCCGCACAAGGTGGAAGTGTGGCCCCGAATAAATAGGCTTGTGTTGTGTTGTGTTGGCCACGAGAGCCAAGAGACGGAAAAGTGACCCAATAGATGCAAGCTTATCTCGTAGTCTTCCGGCTCGTCATCGTGGTTTTGCAAAAAGGGGGCGGGGGGATTGGGCAGACGACAAGAGGGCAAAACCGCAGGACCGCGACGAGCAGCAGGGCTACAGAGTGAAAGGTGACAGCGCGCACTGAACCACAGGTTCGCTTGGGCTTCTCTCGTGATAGGGGTCGTTCTGGAAAAGTCAAAAGGTGTGAGCTGAGTGGACCGTGGTTGGATGTGCCTTGCATTAGTGGCGAAGTTGTGGTCCTGGACAGTCGGCGACGACGAGAATGTACTGCGAACTGCTGTATGTCGGCGCGCAGAAAAGGGGCCTTTCTTTCCCCTCGTTTTTGCCGGCCAGATTTTGCGTAGTCTGTACGGAGCAGACAGCGCGATTGCGAGAACAAAATGCGGTAATGCTTCAGTTCCAAGCAGCTCATTTGAAAATGGATGCGAAATTTGAGATGCGACACAGACAGCGGCACCGCAACGGTCGACCGCCAACGGCGTAATCTGTTCTGTCTCGCTCCTCATCATGGCGTAAAAGAAACAATGTGTGTGGTATCCGCCATGACGCAGGGAGAAGGGGTCTCTCCGGGAGGACCATAGTTGACGCAGTAAGCGAGACAGGCGGTAAAGTCAAGAATGGGTCCTGTCTGCATCATCCAGAGTCCTGACCTGATGTTAGCTCCAGGGTTGTTCCGCAAGCTTTATGAATGGGTCTTGGATGTGACGGAGCCTGGCAAGCCAGGAGTGACAAGACAGGGGACGCATTGGCAGCATTGTCGGTCATGATTTCAATTTGGGAGCATATGCGGTTGAAGATGCCCGGATGGAAGGGTATTTGTGGGGAGGAAGAAACAGGTAAATGCCGCCATGGAGACGCCGATGAACGGACGGGGACTCGGCCGGATGGCCGAAAAGAACCAGTAAGGAACTGAGCGTGCATGTCAACAATACGAGTGTGCGAGAGGACCGGCGGCAGGCATAATAATCAAAATAGATGTCCCAATACGCCGGGACAGAATGCAATCAATGGTCCTGACTTGCTGCAGCCCAGGCTGCTGCCAGGACGTACGGTAGGCAAGAGAGGGAGCCGACTTGGTCTGGTCCTCTTTTACTGGCTAGGACGAGTATAGATTATGTTGGATAGGACCCGGGGGTGTAAGTGTAGGCGACAGATGGGTGAGCCTAGCTTGCACTTGCAGGCCAGGCCAGAAGCGGGAGAAGGCAGTCGACATTCCCTCATCTCGGGATGAGTTGAGTGAGAAAAGGATAAGAAGCACCAGACCAGCCAGCATATTGCGGATTCGAGGTTAGTAACGCGTCGATGGGCGTGGAAAAGACGGAAACGGCAAGAATTCCAGTGTTTCGTCACCGGCGGTGGCTTGGCTTGGAGGTGGTGGAGGTGGTGGTGGCGTCTTTTGGTTTGGTGACTGACGCGGGCGTAGTGTAGGTAGTTAGACAGGAGGAGACGAGACCAAGACTTGAGTGGCATTGCTGAAAGCTTCTTGACGGCGGCGACGACGACGACGACAACAACGACAAAGGGACGCTGCGGCGTCGGCGCCAGTGGCTGGGTAAGAAGTCTAATAGGAAGGGACGATTAGGCAGGCATTCATGTGAGGATGAGGGGGCAGCAAAATCCACGTACCTGTCCAATGCGCCGGAGTGAGAGAGAGGAGCTTGATCGAAGGAGATGGATGGCGATATGCGCTCGCTGGCTGGAGAATGGAATCCCCCTGCTTGCTGCAGGATGAATTGAGTGTGGTGTGGTGGTATGGGCAAGCGGTACGTACTTATGCAAAGATGTGCACTAACCATGAAAGGCAAAGATGGGTCCTGCCACCCGCTCGACAGTCGACGACACCACACCCACAAGCCAGGAACGAGATGAACCAATCAGAATAAGAGGGGAGGTGTATGTATGGAGATGAGATTGCCGCTTGTGGTCTTCATAAAAAAAGAGGAAAGGAAGCCAGGGCCAAAAACAGCAGCGCAGATGCTGAGGTGACCAGAACCCACAATCTTGCTCATCCAAGCAAGGCAGGACCACCAGCACCATGACCAGGATGGTTCCTGTTTGTGGTACGGATAGCGCGAACCAACCCATCGCAATCGCTGTAAGAGTATCCGTACTAGGTAGTAGGTAGGTACGTACTGCAACCTTCTTTCCAGGTGCGAGGGAAGGTGCGTAGTTCTTTCTTGCTCCTTGAGCTATCGATCTATCTAGGTATCTCCTTCCCCCAGTTCGAGCAGGAGCAGTAGCAGTAGCAGAAAGACCCGCATGAAGCAAAGGAAGGAAGACCGCGGAAGGGGGAGGGGCTTGAGGAAGTAGACAACCGTGCTCCGTAGAACCAACGTGGAATCGACTGCGTGGTCGCCGTCCGACTTGTCCTCCTCTTCCAGCCGGCTGCCGCGCCTTTTCTCCTAATGCTTTGACTGACAAGGTCGTTCGCTGCTGGTCTAGCCTAGCATCGTCTTGGGTCTGTTTACAGTCATCGTCGCCGAACCGAGTCGATGGGCCGAAGGCGGCTCCGTTTCACCCATTGTTCGCCTCCAGTCCACCCAACAACCCACCTAGGCACCATGGCCTTCCTCGACGACCTGGCGACAAGCTGAACGAAGAGAGTGTAGTTCCCCCGCAAACACACAGCTGAATGTAGCCTCTGTCGGCCTTGCACTAGCGACGGCGCATGGCGGGGTGCCTGGCCTGGCAAGTTCCAATGCTGGGCCCCGTGGAGAGTTCACATACCGGTAGTGGAACTACTTACTGCCTAGATACCTAGGTAGATAGGTAGATAGGTAGGTAGTGGCCGGCTGCCTTTGTCACGGACATGTGCCATGGTCGCGCGACGGTCAGACCCGTCAACCGCTGGCTCCCTTCTTTTCATCCCGTCTACGGCCGACGGGATCTGTTGCTGGCTGATGCTACCGCTCTGCGGGATGCCGCCGGTCTCGTGCGGTTTGGACGGAGGGCCTTGCGCCGCTGAGATGACTCGACCAAAGATTGCAATAATGGACCCGTCCGCCCTCGAACAAACCATGAGCCCCAACCGATTCCACGAACCACCACCCGTGACCCTTGTCCAGCTGGTTGGCTTCGAAAATCACTGCTGGCCCACACGGCATGGGCCCACTCATCTGGAAAAGGGGATGCGCCTCCACCACCTACCGAACCGACAAAGAGATGCTAGTGGTACGTACTTGACCCAGTCCGATTTACGGGCTTTGCAGTATCGGTGAACACATCATTACTATGTAGGTACGCAAACCTACCGTTAGTGTGTATTTTGGACGACCAAAGAGAAAGAAAGAAACAACAGGAAGGGGAAGACGAGAAAAAAAAAAAAGATGATTATGGAATGAAAACGAAAACGAATAAGGCGAAGAAGCGAAACGCTAAAAGGAAAGAAGAGTAGAAAGTAGAAACACGCGCGGCCTGGAAGTGCGTTGGACATCAGTGCGTGCGGCTTCTCGACGCATTCGCCGCTGCCGCCGCCTAGCCCTAAACCCCAAGTGCCCCAAGCTCCAGCCTTAGGCCCTGCACTGGAAACAATACCTACAGTAGATGTGAACTTTGCATCAACACCCGGTCTGTCTGTCTATCTGCCTGGTTCCTACTGGTGTTGTGTTGGGGTTGGTGTCGCAGCTAGACCGAGAGCCACAGCACTCGTTTGGCTGGTGGGGCTTACCTAAGGTACGTATTGGTGGGAGAGAAAGAGAGAAATGAAGATACAGTCCTCACGACACACACACGCGCGCGCGCGCAAAGAAAACGACGGGCAGTGGAAAGACGGGAGAAGAGGCGGGAAAATACTGTACCTAATGTACACTGGCACAGTCGTATGCCAAGAGAGGAGAGAGAACCCCGGCCGCCAAGGCTGTACCGCACAATCTTGGCTCCATTCAACTCTTCTCACCCCCAGTAACTCTCCACATGGACTCCCTCCCCCCCAGTCGTCTGGCACTCTCCCCGGGCTAGGTCCCAGACCTCTCTGGTCTCTCATCGGCCCATCTGCCAAGTGCAGGCGGTACGTACCCCATTATCGTGACTACTACGGATACTAGTACAGAGATACACTACCTAACCTAGGTACCTACCTACGTAGGCTGATAACCTCCCCCTGGGTAGAATGGTAGCTACGGTAGGTGCTCCGTACGCAGGAGCAAACCGAGAGATACGTACCGATACGTACCGGGTGTTCCCTGAGCGATGCACATCCACAATCTCGCCCATCCCATGTCTGTCACTCATCAAATCGCCCTCTCACACCACAGAGGAATCAGACAAGCTGATATTGTCCCCCCCCTGTCAACCCGAGAGTACCGTGCACACTGGTCTATGCAGAGTCCAGCAGACAGTGGATTCAGGTGATAACACAACTATCTTAGAGGCAAAAGGGATGGTCTTGGCCCATCCCGACCCGGAGCGCAGCGTAGGAAGTAGGGTGGGTTAGACCATTCCAACCCTCCCCGGCGGAGCCGTTTTGGAATTAAAAAAATCTAAGAAAACTGGACTTGAACTGGATTTGAACCTACAGCCTTTAGGATATAAGGTTTATTGCTGTTATCGCTGGTATCGTGCACGGTACTCTCGGGTTGACAGGGGGGGGACACTATCAGCTTGTCTGTAGACTCCACACCACACCACACTCGTGCTGCTCTCCTCCATCCCGTGCATGTCTCCCATCTGTCTCTCTCTCTCTCTCTCTCTGTCAAAACCCACACGCGCAATCGCTATGCCTGGTGTAATAAAACCATCGTGACACCCCCGTGCCTGCACGCTTTCTCTCCTCTCAGTCCACTCCTTTCCCGCCCGTGTCTTGTCTTCGAGGGTCCAGCTTTGCAACAAGTCCGCCAAGCCCCCAAGGTCGAGCCAAAAGCCCTGCTGTCAAACGGGCCGACACTTTCTGGTTTCAACGTCGTTCAATTCGCCATCCTCGTCCCGTCTTCGCTGCTTCTCCCTCTCCCTCTCTCGCGTCCTTCGCTAGGCTAAAACACCCTCCTCTTCACTTCCACCACAGGCTGGGACGAGATTCCGACAGATACTTAGCTACTTCTGCTTCTGAGGACCCTTCTTCTACCTCGCTCCCCCTCCTCCCTCTACTCGCCTCTCTCCATCTCTCCCTTTCCTCGCCTCGTGCCTCGCTCCTTACAACTTGCCGCCAACCACCATTCATTCCATTGCCAGGTTGACATCACCATACCGACCCTCCCTACCCCGAAGACTTCGATTCCACTACCCGCCTGCCCGTGGAAAAGACAATTCGGCTTGGTACTTGCACAGAACCTTTCTAGCGGCTTGATATCAGGTCACTGCTCCATCACGAAAACTACTCCCCCGTCGGCCGACGCTGTCATTCTCCATTCCTTCCATTCCAGACTGCCTCTCGGGGGTATCTTCTGATGTACGTCACCCCAATTCTTCCCGTCGATTGGATGGATCCTGTTGATCTCAATTCCTGCCCTGCCTTGCCTCCTTCCCCCAGCCTCTCTGGCCGATTCATACTTCTCGACCTCGTCATGCCCTGACTAACTCGTCTTTTCCTTGATAGACTTGGGCAACCGCTTGTTCTCTCCATTTCTTGGATCATACACCTCGGGACACCGAGCTCTTTTGACTCCTCGACACGATACTGTGACCGCACATATTGTTAGCCCGCCTAGCTAGTCTCGCCGAAAACATCCCCTCCGCACCCATGGCCGTCCCGCAGGAAAAGGTGGCTGTCCACCACCAGGTCACCAGCGTCGCCCTCCCCGAGAAGGCAGCGTACGCAAAACTCTCCGATGGCCTCACCTCCGGCAACCTGACTCCCGTCGCCTCGACTCCCGAGAAGAGCTTGGAGATGCCCCGTGACAGCAATCTCTCTACCCCGCGGTCGTACCGCAACGATAACCCCTTTGATACGGATATTGAGGCTATGATCACCACGACGTCATCCACCGACCCTTACGCCATGAAGAGCATCACAACTACAAAGGACTGCCCAACGATATGGCCCGGCAAGCAGGATTGGAAGGCCAAGGCAAAGGCTGCGAAGCGTGACCGTGGCTCTTGCGCCTGCATGGCCCGCATGAGCAAGAAGAACCGCATCATCATGAAGGTCGCAATCGGCCTTCTTATTATCGGTATCGGTGTTGGCGTGGGATTCGGCGTCAGCAAGCCTCTGGGCGCACCCATCTGGGGCGATTCTAATAAGAGCCACTGAGGGAAATACCTTTCGCACCACTTTCCAACAGAAGTCTGCTTGAGATCTTTCTCACCATTCTGCCGATACATATATCGAATGCTCGCCAAGGCATTCACCCGCCACCACCACCACCACCACCGCCGCCGCCGGCCCCACCACTACTACTTTCGATGCCGTACATTTGAGCCGCTTTTCCCTTCAGCTTGTATCATATACAACAACTTTGTTTTACGATCACCCAAAGGCCACATCGGGTGGTTTTCAGCCTCATATTCTCTTTTTTGTCGGTTCGTGTCATCAATCACAGGGAAAATGGGCCACCATAATTACGACCAGGCGTTTTTCGGAGTCAGGGCATGGACAATCGATTACTAGCGAGCAAGCAGTGGCACTTTTTCGATTCGGTATCCTGCCGAGAGGGTTTTTCCCTGGGTCATAATATACGAAAGGGCAGTAGGGCTACGAGTCGCGGAGTACGGGTTGAGCCTCTGCGTGTGCCGCAAGAGCAGGGCTTCTACATGTCGATTCTTCGCTGGGAGAACAGTACCACCACTTTGATGTACAACGGTTTTGGGGAACGTTTGCAGTCTTGGGGGGAAAAGGTGTGTAGTTGCGTCACCACTTGCGAATTGGGAGGAAAATGGTGTACTGTAAGGGATATTACTGTCCTCCTTTTGTTAGACGGCCACTCCATACATTTGGGTGTTTGGCAAGGGAATCAAAGAGTTCACAGGGACACCGCAGTCAAGAAGCGCTCTGGCTGACGGCTCATCCCTCATCATTTCTTTTCGCTTACACACATCTTTCATACTCGATCTTGGTCTTCATTGAATGTCTAGACATGGGTCACCCTTCCCATTAACATTTTGGCTAAAGCGATGACATGAAACTCCACACATTCGTTAGGGTAGACCCCATCTCCCCCCATCAAAAGATGAGCGCTGACATACAAAGCTGGTCCACATCGGCGATCACATTCATGCCATAACCATTGTGAAAGGGGAAAAGAAAAAAAAGCCACAGATACGTGCCGAATCCCGATCTATTCCCACAACAGTAATAGTTTAGGTACCAGTACTGTACCAGTATCCTCGCTCTACACGCAAACAAACTTCGGCCGCCCCTCCATCTCATCCAAGATCCAAGAGGGAACTAAACTATAATGAAGCCACACGCACATGTTAGAAAGGTGTGCCATACTAAGATGGGCAGAGGGCATGTATGTTACCTGTCTCAGTCAAAAGAACAGGGTGGCATCGTCGTCGACCCTGATGCGTAAATCGACGATGAACTCCAGCATTCTGACATGGAAAGCTAAGTCGCCTAGACGGGCCGCAGGGGCCGTTACTTTTCGTCCAGAGAGTTCTTGCAAAGCGATCAAAGCCCATCTCGCCGGCAACCCTGTTCATCCCCCTCCACCGCACGCTTACCGAGCCTTGCTTCCTTCCCGAACCTTGCTTCCTTCCCGAACTTTGCTTCCTCTCGCACGCGTTCCGCACACCACTTTGCCGTACCTTGGCGCTGATGGGGAACAGACCTACCCTACCTGGCCACAGCCGGAGCAGACACGGGGCCACTCGTTGGGCGATGATCTGCGATGGCGCTGACGCCCGATCTCCGTTGCCGCAGTGGCGGGTTGCTGGGATGCCCCGGAAGAAGAGGGGCTGTCGGCTATCGGGCGCCGAGCGGGGGAGGACGACGAGGAGGCGTAGCGTGATGATTCAGCACGACCTCCCGATTTGAATTTGCCTGCACAGCTGACTCCAGGTCTGGCCTCAGCCCCAGCTTTGGCTTTCGATCCGGACTTGGCGGCGGCGGTAGAGGTACCGGAAGTTCCAGCTGCGATTACCGCCACGTCCGGGCCATCGACCTGGTCTCGCCCGTCGTCGCTGTTCTAGGGCTTGACGGGCCGCTTGCCGGCTCTGGTGCTAGGGTCGGCGTAGTAAGAGTGCTGCGGCTCGGCGGGCTGACCACCGGTCTCGTCCTCGGAGGAGGAGAGGTCGAAGCGGTTGCGGCTTCGGTCGGCGCGGCGCTGGACAGTCGTTGGGATCTCGGCCTGGACCTGCGCCTCAACCGTGTTGCTCGAGCCAGCACCGGTGGCGCCGTTGCCCTGAGAGGGAGAGGGCTTGGAGACGGGGGACACGGGGAGGGGTAGGTTGCCGTAGTACGAGGGGATGTGGGCGGCCCAGGGGTTCGGGCTAGCGGCCTCGGTGTTGCCGCCGCCGCGGACACTGCTGATCCAGGGGCCGATATCTGGAGAGGCCCGGCCGGTCGTTGCGGTGACGGAGTCGTTGTCGCTGGCGGTCTCGTCGTCGACTTTGGTGAGCTCCTCTGGGTCCGCGTTGCGGCGGGACCCGGTTCGGCCGTAGATCTGTTTGTCGGAGTAGTCAGCGACCGCTGCTTGTCTTCTGCGTTGGGGCGTCAGGGGGTTCGCGTAGGCCGAATGATAGGCCGCGACTTCCCACCACGAGTGGCGGCGGCCCCAGGAGGGCGGGTCGCTGTAGATGGTCACGGGGGGCATGGGGTCCTCGTCGGAGGGGTGCCACGCGTCTCTGTGTTCCTTCCGGCTGAGGCCTCGGGCGGCGGCGGCGGCGGGTCTACTTACCTCGTTGGGTACCTCACCCGGGTCGAGCTCGCGCCAGGGAAACCAGAACTTCTGGAAGGACTGCATCTCGATGTCCTGGTTGGAGACGCGGCGATGGCGGTCGCGGTGGTTGCTGTACAGGGCGACGGCGAGGACGACAAAGGGGACGCAGATGAGGACGACGTAGGACCAGGTGAGGTCGCCGTAGACGGGGTCCCGGTGCTCGGGCTCCTCAGGGGCCGAGGTGGTTGGGGTGACGTAGACCGTGGTGTAGGAGGCCGCTCTCGGGCCCAGGCTGACGACAGTTGTCATCGAGGGGACCCGGTCGGCGGTGAGGACGATAGAGGTGTGGGTGAGGATCATGAAGGTTGGGGTTGGGGATGGAGAGGGGATGATGGGGAGGTAGGTGAATCTCAGAGCGGCAGCCATCTTGGCGAGTGAGAGAGAGGCTGTTGCTTGTGTTGAGAGCGGTCTTGAGTGCCGTGTGAGCGTGATGGGGTTAGGTGAGTCTCGAGGTGTTGAATTGTTGCCGTCACTGACGTAGGCCGTATTGTGAGTGAGGTGAGTCTCAGTGTGCGAGTTGTAGCCAGTTGCTGATTACAAGACAAAAGTCAGGTAACCAACTGTTGATATTCAATGCCAACAGTGCAAGATCTTTCACTCAAGGACCTGTGAGAGTGAGATTGTCAGTATTCTAGATAAGACTGAGTGAAGGTTGGTGAGGAATTGTTCACATACCAATGGAGCTGCAGGGTGAGTTTCGTTGTTGTCGTTGTTGTTATTCTCTTGTTTGTTTGCGAGTGCAAAAGGAGAAAGAACGCAGTTCGCGCCTCAAAAAGGTCTGGGCCCTGACGTGCTATATATCTCGCTCTGTTCTCAGGTCTCAAGTGAGAGCTCACGAGAATATATCAATCTTGAGTGAACGCAAGACGCAAGTGTGTACAGGTGAGTAAGGTAAATAATGGCTTTTGAGTGTAAGTTGGAGGGGCTGCGGCTGAGGAGGGAAGGCGCGTGGATATCGGCCTTGTTCGGTCGAGGCCCCAAAGGGAAAAAGTCGGGCAGGCTCAAACAACCACTGTGTAAGAGCAAAAGGGAAAGAAAAGGAAAATAAGAATAGAGAGTCGGCTGGATGAACAAGGTAAACAGACGCGGAGACGAGGTTGCTCGCGTCGCGCGCCTGCCGTGGAAGGACGGGAGCCTGTTACAGAATGACCCGGGAGAAACGGGTTGGTTGTGTGTGAAGAGCCCGAGGCCTTGATGGAAGGAGATGGAAGGGATGGATGGAAAGAGGGCGAGAGAAGGCGAGGTTCGTTCTCCTTTGTGGACGTTTGTGTCGTGCCCGCGGCCTTGTTCAGGGGCGAGGGGCTGCTTTGTTTGCGAGAGGGCGTATATATGACTGCGCGGGTTCGATGACTGGATGAAGAACAAGTCTCCAACTGTACCAATACATACAATACACCTGGGTTATACAAAAACGCAGAGCACCTCGAGAGGAAGGCCGGGTTCCATCATCACCAATCAACATCGTCACCATCCGCTTTAGGTTTGCTTGCTAACCATCGCGCTTCCTGGCACACAGGCCCCCGCCCCCAAGCGCTTGACAGGCCCGTCAATGTGTCCCGACCCGACCCCGCCGCGATCCGCCGGGCACGTCACCCTCAGCAGGACGAGGACCATCGAGACGCGGGTTTCGGGCACGGCGGAGCGGAGCGGAGCGCCGAGACGGGAGGAGGGGCGCGCGGATATACCAGCACGGGCCGCGGGCAGCGACGGGACCGGGCGGGCGACGGAGTCATGGACCCTCTCTTGGTCGTCGCCGCCGTGGTCTCCGCTGTCGTCGTTCTTGCTGCTTGCGGGGTTGGAGCGGCATTTCAAGTTCGGAAGGAGATTCGGCGACTGGCTGAAGAGGATAAGAAGGTGATGCAGATGGTTTCTTAAGGGGGAAGGTGTGATTTGGGGAATAAGGGGTAGTTGGGTACGATATATTCCAGGACATATGCTTTTGGTGTGTGTATAGACGTCATTTATATCGTGGAGTAAGTAATTAGGATGTGGTTTCTGTTCAGGAATGATCTCGCGCAATACAGTCTGTCAAGTGACTCAGAGGCTTCAAGAAGGCCAAGTGTGTCATCGTTCTCGCGTATCGTACCACATGGTATGTTGTCCTGTAGCTCTAATATGTGCACTTGGGGTTTTGTATGCACCATTCAAGATATAAAAGACAGAAGTTGCCGTAACAAGAAATGATAACATAGTGAGGGCCGGCCTCGTCAGACTTGACTACATTATTATGGCTCAGTATTGTATCAGAAATCCAAGAGCGTGTATATAACAGAAGTGTTCGTCATTGGTCCTCGTGAAAGCAACAAACAACCCTTTTGTCTCGTAGTCGACGCGGCTTAAGAGGGATTGCCGTTCAGCCCCTTGCCCGAGATGGCCTGTTATCAACCGACGAACATAGATTGTTCCGTTAGAAGCGGTGGTCACAAAGAGCTCGCCTGACGCAACCATGGCCGGTCTCCTGGTGCCAGATGTCGGGTCGAAGACAATGATCTGACATTTATGGAGATCCGCTTCGCTGGCAGCGGCGGTAGCGGCAGCAGTGTGACTGTCCCGAGGCCAAGTGCTTATATACGGCGAGTTCCATTGGAAGAACCATGGAAATCAATTAGCCATTTCCTTTTCATGGCAATAACTAGTGAATATTACCAGGTTAGAACAGAGGAAGGGAAGGTACACGCTCTAGGCCAGAAATGAAAGGGAACTCCAGGGCACCTATTCGGAAGGATCTTGGAAGTGGAGGACGATGGGAGGCCCCGAATGGTTCTTGAGTTGGAAGAGAAGAAGACGATTGTTAAGTTAGGCTATTGTTTCCCTTGAGTTCGAGACATCGAGGGGACAGCGATGCTGACCGGGGCACCTGCTTTGAATACAATGGTAGGTAGTAGAGTAGGCACATGGGAGACACGCGACTGCTGCAGTGTAAATATCCTCAGCTGGGCCAGTAGAGGTGCGGTTGCTCGCGTACCTGGGTGCCACAGCACATGACCAGCTTGGTATTCTGGCACAGGAAAGAACAAAAGAAAAAGAAAAAAAGAATACTCAAGGTTGTGCAAGGATGTGTGCTCTGGATCGGTGTCATCCCCCATGTAGTATTAGCCCTACCTACCGCTACTGCCGTGTCGCCCCAGAATCGCTTGACATGACATGTTACCTTGCCACGAGGAAGTTGGCGTTACCAAGGCAGGACCGAGGAAGCCAAAGACCTCTCTGCAGCTTCCCGAGATGGTTCTTTCCCGACGGTTTCCTTGCCCGCCGTACCTGCCATACCTGCCATGGCAGGACCCGCGGTTCACTTCCTTCCATGAACGAAGCGTCGGTCGGTCGGTTTCCATGAGCATCTACTGATTTGGCTTACGGCGGCTTCCTTCTCTCCTCGGGAGAGGCAGTTTATCTGTCGAGTGATCTGTCGCCTCGTCCACCCTCCTGCTCTCCTATATAACACCCCCAACCCAGACCTGTCAACCTCTGCCATCTTCCATTCTCCAACTCCCATCAACATCCACACTTTGCCCTCTCTTTTTTTTGGAACCACCACAGATTCTCACTTCATTGCTTACTAGTAACACGTCCTCGACACACGCCTACACCAGCAGACGATCCAACTACTCATCAAGATGGTTTGCCCTTCTCTGTCTCTTGCCACCCTCTCGTTGGTAGCCCTCGCCGCCGCCAGTCCCATCAGCACCAAGCCTCGGCAACCCGGCCATGGCAAGACCCCGGCCATTCTTCCAAAGCGTTCGCACCCCGAGGTACGAACCAACAATGGAAAGTCCATGGATTCCAAGATGATCCCCGGCGTTGGCAACAATTGGCAATGCTTCGACGTAAGTTTGTCCTCTCATTGCTCCTCTACTGTTGGCACCTCTTTCCATCGGCGCGTGACACATCCTTCACTTGGAAAATTATTGGCCTGTGGTGCTGGCCTTTCAACATGTCACGTCATGCTGGCTTTTGCCCTGACACATCAAAGCTGACAAGACGTTTTAGCCCGTCGGCACAACTCCTCGCCCGAACCCACTTGACTGTCAAGCCCTCTTCGCTGAATGGAACGCCATGGGCAGACTCACGTTGGAGAAGACGGGCGGCTGCGACTTCAAGCATCATAGGTCATGCTTCACGTATGTCTGCGCCTTGAAAGACACTGTCGAGGTTGACGCCTCGCTGCTTGCTGCCCGAATGATGAACCCGATGCAAACAACGTGCGTCGTCAATGGAAAGAATGGAATTTGGACCAACGACGAAGAAACTCTCAGCATTGTTGTCGGGGGCTCCTCCGACGGCAGTCGCTAGAATCTCCAGCGACACCAATCACGACAGTTTGACGAGGACCCGGACGTCGAGATCCCCGAGGACGCCTTTGAAAATGGGGACTCTGACGACGGCGACTCTGACGACGGCGACTCTGACGACGGCGACTCTGACGACGGCGACTCTGACGACGGCGACTCTGACGACACTGACGAAAACAACGAGTCTGATGACAACGACCCTGATGACAACAACGACTCTGACGACACTGACGAAAACAACGAGTCTGATGGCAACGACCCTGATGACAACGAAGGCGATGCTGACGAGGACTCTGGTGACGAGAACCCAGACGATGACAACACCAACAACGAGGATCCTACGGACGAGGATGGTGACGATGGTGGCGATGACGCGGGGTCTGATGATGAGATATCCTGGCGACGACGGTTCTAGCTCTTTCTTCTGAGAAGAGCCTCGCTGGGGGTTATCTCCACGCAAGGCTGCAGGCCAGTGAGAGGACCCGACTACCTGATTACCCATATAGTATAGCAATAGAATTAATCCACTCGTGCAAGCTTGCAATCCTTCATGTAGCTGTTTTGTGTGAATTACAGACCATTGAAAGGCACACAACGTTGCTTGTCTAGTTGTCTAGTTTCAAAGTTGTCATTTTCTGGCTATTGACATTCATTTCAAGCGCAGCAGCTTCATGAAGAAGGTCATCGGTGTGTGACTTGGGATTATGGTGGCATGGTGATATTTGGTGAATGCGTGTATGCCGAAAAAGATTGACCAATAGGCACTCCATTCGAGGACAAAATCCATCTGGTTGCAGATATCAAGATATGAGATGTGATAGTCCCGGTCAAGTAAAGAAGAGAAGGGCGGGAGGAGTTGGAGGTGGTGAGGGTAGACGGACGTGCGTGTCCACACCTCGGTGAAGATGCACGCTACGCAAGGTGACCCCTGCTAGGACACTGCCAAGTAGTGGGGGGTTCAAGATTGAGCTGGGCCTTGAGGTCTTTCGTCAACATCAGCATCAACACCACAATTCAACTTCGATTTCTATGATAGCCGAGATTGCGGCACCGTCCCTTGCCACGACAACCCCGCGATAAAAACAAAAGACACTTGGCAAGGCACTTTGAATACGCAACAATGGGATTGGTACTTTGTTCTCCTGTTGATCCGAAGCTGTTTGATGGCTAACACCATTGCTTCCTCACCATAGAACAAAGACGCGAGCCACACGTACGTGCACATGCATCGCGCCCGCGACGCCGACCTGTTTGAGGACTTTTGCAAGGAGAAACTGCCCGACGACGAGGTGTACGTGCCGCCGCAGCACCAACCCATCAACCCCGAGGACGAGGACGACGTCGTGCCGGACCAACACGCGGCCTTTGGCATCACCAAGGCGACGCAGAGGCAGCGCGAAGCGGCGTGGAAGGACCTCGGGCTGGGGGGCCTGATGAACCGTGGCCCCCCGCCGCCGGGCGGGTGGGCGCAGGACAAGGGAGCAGCAGGCGGTGCCGGTGTCGCTGGCGCGAAGAGGCTGCCGCGGTAAGAGGGGGAACGATGGCCCCCCCGGGCGATGCGCCGGTCGGAGAACGGTTATTGGCGTTATGGTGGATACCCGGGAAATTTTCATTTGGACAACAAAACAGCGTGGTGGCGTCGAGACGGGCCTGATGGGCTAGGAAGGGAGACTTGTCATAAGCCGGGGGGCAGGTCTGCCTATCTGCGGAGCTGAGAAGCCCGCTGGCGAGTAACACGCGTGAACTACACCATGGACACATATCGCTATCGAGGACAACGCTTTTCTTGTTTTTTTTTTGTCCGGCCTTTTATTTTTCTAGCCGTCTTTGAATCCTGTAAACGTTCACTCGAATGACTCGCGAGCAACCACCAAAAAAAAAGGACACCATAAGAGTCCCGGAATCTTGCCATCGCCCCAAACGCCGCCGATGCTGCCCTTCCCTCCAGAACGCCATTAAATACGCAAACCGCCCTCTCATGCTCGCCGATGCACCTCCCCCTGGGCCCCCATCGTCCGTTCAGCTCTTCCCGAGATAGCCCTCTCTCTCGAGGACCTCGGGGCGGAACTTGACGAGGAAGACGGTCTTGCCGGGCCACATCTCGTGCTCGTCCTTGGCGGCGATGTTGTGGGCGCTCACGCGGGCGGGGAAGCCGGCGCCGTCGCAGAGGCCCTCGACGATGCCGGCGACGTAGGCGGCGCAGTTGAGCTGGGACATCTCGCGGGGCACGCTGATGTAGGCGTTGACGAGGGGCTCGTTGTCGATGATCATGTACTCGTCGGGCTTGGCGGGGTCGGCCGACTTCTCGAGGCGGTCGGCCTGGCGGCCGAAGAGGTGCTGCCAGCACGACTGCTTGATGAAGTGGAGGAGGGCGATGATGGTGAGGGGCCGGACCTGGGTCCGGGGGGGCTCGCGGAAGAGGAGGAGGTCGAGGAGCTTGATGCCTATCGAGTGGCCCTGGACGTTGAGTCTGTGCAGGGTGTTGTTAGCTGAACGATTCGCGGGAGCAATGCGGAGGAGACGTAGTGGAATGGGGAAAGGCAGAGAGAGAGAGAGAGATGGAGAGGAACACGCACCGCTGCTCCAGCTCGGTAATGTCCTTGACGTTGCGCTGGGCGTACGAGACCATCTCGCTGAAGAGGTAGGCGAAGCTGGACTGGCTGAGCTCGGCCGTCTTGGTGCGGTTCAGGGGCCGGTGGTAGATTGTCTTGCCGTTGGAGGGGTAGCGCAGCCCGGGCGTCTCCTTGCCGGGGATGGTCTTGGTCGTCGGGAGGTTCGCCATGGTGCGTCGTCGTGGCGGTGTTGGTAGTGGTGGTAGCGGCGGCGGTGTTGCTGTCGTCTCGCTATCGTGTGGTTTCTCTGGCGGTCGGGGTGCGAAACGGGGGGGGGGGGGGTCCTGGGCGCGAATGGGTCAGCCTTATCGGCGATAACGATAAGAGCTCGCGACGCTGTCTTTGTATCTTGGCTTTTGGCCCTCCCCATCTCCATTGTCGGCCCTGTCATACTCAGCACGAATCAGGAGCACTTTACTCAGAAGCATTTCGTTTTGCTATAACTACCTAGTATATAGTAGTGTTGCCGGGGACATAGTCAAAGTAGGCAATACCCAGAGCAAAAAACCTGTATTAACCTAATGTCGCCTGACCCTATGGTGGCCCCCCTCTATCTTCTGAAATAACATGAGCGATTGAAGCTCTGTCTAAAATTGCTTTTGAATATCCACGCGAGCCGCATGGCACATCATCCTCTACAGCCCAATCATCAAAGATGTCATTCCGCAGCGGGCGTTGCCTCGGCAGTAGCGGCAGCACCAGCACCAGCATCAGCATCAGCACCAGCACCAGCAGCGGCATCAGGGGCGCGGACGCCCTTGGGGATGGCACCGGCGAGGTAGTCCTCAAGCTCGCCAATCTGCTTCCCGCCGGCGACCCAGCGCGCCGTGCGGGCGTCGCGCCTCTCCTTGCACATGCGGTTCAGGGCGGGCCAGTAGACGCTGTGGTCGTACTCGAACTCGAGCTTGCCATCGCTGAACTCGGTCCACAGCTGCTCCTCGGGCACGTACTGGCGCATGTCCTCGTTGTACTTGAGCTTGTCGCGGGTCATGGGGTCAACCAAGGGGGTGATGAGCTTGAAGAAGCCGTTGACCATCCAGGGGACTTTGTACGGCCGTCAGCGCCAACTTTTTCTTTCTCTACCAGCTGTGCACGCACGCATGTGGGCGGAGTCACGTACCGTTGATGATGAGGGCCTTGCCCAGGCGCTCCGGGTAGTGCGTCTGGAGGATGGACAGCACCTCGCGGGCCAGGCCCAGCCCCGGGGCCGTGTTGGAGCGGCTCTTTGAGGACTTGAAGTTGATGAGCAGCGCGAGCTTCTCCTGGCCGGCGGGCATGAGCTCGATGACGCGCTCGAGCATGAAGACAAGGTGCTGGACCTGGCGCGGCGAGGCATCCGTGTTCTGGCGGCCCGGGCTGAGGTAGTGGCACGGGCGGCGCTCCTTGTCGAAGCCGAGGATGATCTGCTTGCCCGTCTCGTTCTCGGGCGAGATGTGGTCGGGGGTGAGGCCCTCGACGCCGTACTCGCGGCGCCAGGCGAGCGTCTCGAGGAGGCGCTTCTCGGCGTCCTTGGGAACCCACTTGGTGGCGCGGAGGTAGCGGAGCAGGCACTCGCGCGTGAGCCACTGGCGGTCCGAGTCGGTGAGGGGGCCCGACTTGTCGGCGTGGGCGGGTGCGGCGCACTTGACCTCGGTCCAGGCGCGGGCCTGGGCGAGGAGGCCGTCGTACTTGGACTGCTGGTCCGGGCTCAGGGGCGGGACGGTTGGGGTGGAAGTGGCGGCGGCCGGCGAGGCGATGGGCGTCTTGAGGGGGCCCAACGACGTCGCGGGGGTAGCCTTTTCTTGCAGGCCGGTGGAGGCCGGCGTTTGATCAGCGACGGAGGCCATGGCGGGCGGAGGCATGTGTAATGGATGGGTGTGGTCTGTCTCGGGAGATGGGCGACCCGAGCGGCTAAATGAGCACCTAAAGTTTGCTCGATGGGGGCGGGGGGGCTTGTGGCGGCAAGAGGGGTACGGATTGAAAGGATCCGATATCTCGAGCGTTTACGAGTGGCTGTCACCTCACTAGAAGGGATTGCACCAGGGGCTGGCGTGAGCTTGCAGTTGTCAAGGCAATATCAGCGCTCTTTGGGGTGTTCGTGTGTTCAGATATGAAGTCGGGAAGCGGCTGTGATGCGGGTCGTAAGAGTTAAGCACACTACACCGCCTGGGTGCAGCAGCAATGGATAAGTTTGTGCGGTATGGGTTTAGGTTGAGATGGAGATGAAATGAGATGAGCTTATGCCGGGATGCTCAGTTCCGGCCGTTAGTGGCCTCCAGGGACCTCCCCCAAAACGGCACTCCGCGCGCTTTAGGTTTGGGCGTCAAGTGTCGCGTAGAGCGTCTATCGAGAGCCAAGAAAACGAACAGACAACGAGCGATTGTTCATGTTTACAGGCACCATTGTGACTTGTGGAACAACCATTGCATCTCATGACGCCTCAAACTTGGTCGAATGTATTACCTAGTATGGAAGTCAGGTCACAGAGTCGGATCGGATTGGCGACTCGCCGAATACCTACGCGTACGTGGGAGGCACAGGTAACTAGGTAGCTTACCTAGGTAGTTGGTTAGTTGTCTCAGTGGCAGGTGCCTTAGGTAAGTATGGTACTGTAGGTTAGGTAGGTAGATAGATACGTACCTACTCTCACTGCCACTCGAGCTTTCTTCCCAAGGTTCCGGGCCTTCCACGTCATGGTCACATTGCACAGCGCTAAACCGGATCGAGGCGTGCCCGGTTCCACGCAGCGTTGGTTGAAGGGTCCCTCCTTCCCCACGGAACGGGTACGTACCCTTGGGATGCCTCTCTCTCTCCTTCTCTCCCTTCTCTATTCTCGCTGTCCCTAATGCATACATACATACATTTACTTCATCATCGATCCATATCCTCTTACCGATAACACAACATACGTACGGATACTCCTGACGCGGATTGATTAATCCCGCGCGAACTCCAAGGCTACGGTACCAATAACGAAAAGTCTATACTATTAGTAACGGTGCTCGTTGGCGGTGCGATCCATGCAAACGTTAATTTTCGTGGTTGCCGGATCGCTCTACGTGAAACCTCGGATCTCCATCAGCCCTCCAACTCTGGCGCGCCCATACGAAGTTCCCTTCTAAATTCTGACAACGGATCAGACCCGTTCCTGTCTCCTGCCGAGTCATGCCGTGGTCACTACGGATACTGTCAACACCGACCCCACGGAGCGCGCGCCCGTCATCCTCTTTCCAGACCACGGAAATGGCCGAACCAAGGATCACCATCATCACTTCCGAAGTTTCCGTCCCATACTCGCTGGCGTTTGATAGGGTCCCCGAATGACGACTGACGAACGCACCAAAACACGCGAGCACGACACCACCACAACCATCGTCGCTGCCACCACTGTCGCTTGGGACTGGAAGCGCTTCCGATCGACCCCGTTGAACAAGCAAGCCTCTATCCGCTTGCAAGCCCCAACGATCATCCGTCATGCCATCTCGTGGCCAACATTGCCCGAACGAGCGACTCAGGCATGGCCAGACGGGCGGCGTTAATCGAGGCGCCGCCATTCCTCCCTCTGCCGGTCCCTCGGTTTTCCGTGTCCGTGGCTGATCACGCTGGTCTCGTTGAAGCCCGCTCGCTTCCCAGCTGCCGGAACTCCAACCATCCGAGCTGTGGCTGCATCCGAGCGTCTGGCTTCTCCTACTCCCGAACCCACCAAGGAGCGAAGGGTTGTCGCTCTCCACCTCATCCGTCCAACTTCCATCCATACGAAGCACTCGGTTCTTCGTTTCCGAGACTTGACACATCCCTCCCTCCTCTCGTTGACTCGCCCGCGCCGTCTCATTCTGGAAGCCGCCGGCCTTTTCACGTCGCATGCTCGACAAAACTTTGTTTGCAAGCCCCCACTCGTGCGGGCGTGCGCCGCTGCCTCAGATGTCTCTTAGTAGTAGACATACTACGTAGTACTATCTAGGAAATTAACTGGTCTCCAGCCTCCTCCCTACACGATATTACTACATCCACTTCCGCTCCTACTACATCCTGGTTACCGGTCATTCCATGCAACCTAGACATCATCCCTGTTGAACCGTGCCGGCTTCTGGACGGATCGTCACCGCAAACAAGCCCCCCCCCCTCACCGCAACGAACTGCGAGCTCTGCCGTCGGCAACTTAACTGTCCAACCCTGGTCGGCACGGCTCCCGGCGTTGGAAAAAAAAAAAGAAGAGGACTGGACCGTATTCTCCCAGAAACCAAGAACCCCCCGGATCCATGGCCGGGATATTACCCAACAGTAACCTAATGTTTCAGCGTCTCCTTGCCTTCTGCAGTTCTGCCTTCAGAATTCTTATATGATGGTCGCCCTCCTCCATTCCCTCTGGCCTCATCCATATCTCAACAAAGTATCTCACCCGTCGTCGCTCGACAGCCTTTCTTCCTGGTACAACAACATGATGTCCCCTACCTATCTCGCCCAAGCGTCCATCGCGGCCTTGGTGGTAATGCTCGGAATGCAGATGCAGACAGCCGCCGCCCAGGTAGCAGCGCCAACATGCTCGACAGTCGACCAGCCAAACCCCATCTTTAGCCAGTACCCGAACAACGCGACAGGCGTTCTGAACGTTACGATGGCTATCATTCCGATCCCGATGACGACGGCGCGCCAAATTATTCCTCAACAATACGCCATCTTGGAGAGCTCCTTCCGGGCCCTCATGCCAGACTTCCCGACTGGCATGTATCCCGTCGTTGTCCAGGCTGGCCACGACCATGATATCAGGTTCCAAACCTTTAGCATTGCCGACTTCAGTGTAAGGACTCAGACGCGCACGCTCTGGCTAGAGGATGCCGGCTAATACTGTGGAATTTTAGAGAGCTGGTTTTGAATTCCCATTCTTGGACATCTTGGGCGACGGCGCATCTTCGTTCCGATGGGCCCCCGCGCAATTGATTTCGGCCAGCAACCCCACAGCAATCACTGGCTCCGAGGCATACGGAACCGAGGTTCACGCCGCTACCTTTGCCCCGGAGTGCGATGCCCATGCGGCTCTCCCCCAAGGCGGCAACTTCTTCAACGCCACGGCGGAAGGCACCTACATGTCTCTGGAGATGAAGAGCTCGTGTGGCTCCCCGTACACGCTGGCCATGTTCGACACCATCATCAACCAGCCGATTTTCGCCAACGGTACGCAATGCGACCAGCAAATCCGCTTCTTCAATACGTCCGTGACCCAGGGCGCCTTCGCACCGGTTCCCGTCCGCGGAACCATCAAGTCCAACCTAGGACCTTTCAAGACGGACGCAGCCTTCGCCGACGTGGCGGGTTTCCAGGTTGCCACGGCCTTTATCGAAAACAACTATCTCTCGTGCGAAATGTTTAGAGGATACAACCCCGTTAAAACCACATGATACCCTCCCAAATTGTTTCGGTTTTATTCTTTATTTTTCTTGGAGTCAGTAGAGCTTCCGGAGCCAATGGGAGGTTCCCACGATCTGATGATAGCCATCCATTTTTATTCTAATACCCTATTGGGCCCGCACATGAAGGGCCGTCATTAATAGACAGCGTGTGCCGCCTGGCAACGCGATTTATATTTTATCCCTACTTTCTAATCTGTCTTGACTATGGTGAATAATTACCGCGTATAACAAGCGAATTACCGCGTATAACAAGCGGCATGGCGAAGAATCAAACGTGATGAGCGAATTGCATGCCAGGTCTGTGTCAATGCAGGAAACCGGCTGCTCGATTCTTTCCGACCCGTCATGGCCCTGGGCGCTGTTTCGCCTCGGGACGAACCATTTTGGCTCGCGACAGTGTCCGAGCCCCCCTTCGTCGGACAATACGCATGCTTCTTGAACACGGACATGTAGAGCTAAGGTATAACTGATCCAAGCCGGTCCCTCATATGGTCACACAGCTACGCAATATCGATCATACCCAATTATAGAAACACGGCGAAGGTATCATGCCCGATAGTTGACACAACATAAGATTTATAAAAGAATGTCATGGCGGTATCCAGATATCTACCATACTGACCGCAGGCGGCAGCCAAACCGTAAAGGGACATGTAGAGCCCGGAACATGTAAATACTTCATTTCCGAGTGGGCTAGTCAGGGTTGGCCACAACCCCGTGGAAACATAGGCGCTCGTTGGAGCAAAAGAATTGGGACCAAAATGTGTGTCTAGACTTGAAGAGACTAATGAAGAATGGAGAAGGGAAGGAAAGGAAAAAACACTTTGGTGCAGTGCAGTCGGTGCAAGAATACTTGACACCCCGTCATCTTTCGGATGCGGCTGAATGGGCAAGCCAAGCTCGGCAGCCTGGCGTGGGGGCATTCGCCGTATGGCCCCACATCATCCCACCGGGCGTGCCGGGAAGCGCATCTTTTTCTCTTTCTCTTTCTTTTCTTTCTTTTTTTTTTTTTTTTTTGCTTTTGCTCTGCCAGAGCTTCGCCGCAGTGAGGAAAGGGGAGGGCCGGAAAAAGCATAGCTGGACGTCCGTCGCACGAGAAGAGAAAAGAAGGAAACAAGGAAGGGGGAGGCAAGCGACACACATGTGCAACGAGACTGACCGCCACATAGGTACACAGGGTAGAAGAAAAGAAGCGCGGAGCTGAGATGGGGTATCTAAGGTGGTCTTCCTCGTTGGATCGCACAGGTTCACAGTGATTAAAAAAAAAAAAAAAGAGGAAAGGGAAAAAAGTAGCAATGAAGCATCGCGCCCAACACCCTAACAAGATGGGAGGGTAGAAGCGCATATCATGCCAGGCAACTGTTTGAGCCATTGGATAGGGCTATGGGCACCGTTGGGGCCGTATCAATTGGCCAAGAGAGTCTCGAGATGATACATTTTGATTGTTGCTTTTTTTTTTCTTTTTTTTTTGTCATGACATGCCGAGGTGAAGAACAGATGACCAGACAGTCACAGCAATAGGTACTAGGTATAGCAACTGGGGGAGTCGTCTCCAAAAACTCTAGCAGCAACCATGGTTAATAGGGAGGTCTACTCACGATATTCAGCTGGTACCGAACTCCTTCCGGAAACACAGCCACCACCGCCACCTATTAGCCACACTTACACAGAATTTTTAGGCATTCAAACCTTGTAGGCCGACAAGTCCGTAAGCCGACGACGACGGTGAGTGGGAAGATGGAGTTGGGAAAGGAGAAAACAAAACGGTGGGGAAATTTGAAGATGGAGATGATGGAATATGCGAGCAATGCGAGCATTGCGAGGAATCTAGTGGAGACAGTGATGGCACCTGCTGAGCTGGGAGAGGCTGCGAGTCATGTGACCCAAGCCAAAGCGGCAGGAACCCGAAATTGGCCCAGTCGGCCGAAATTCGCATCGGTTGAAAGGGTTTTTTTTTTTTTTTGGGGGGGGGGGGGGGGGGGGGGTAACGAAGAGATAAAAGGGGGGGAAGGAACAGAGTTTTCAGCGCGAGAGTGTAACGGGCGACTAGAGCAGGGTCCGAAGCTCGGATATCGTTCATGAGCGCAGCTCAATATAGGCGGTTTTGGTCATTGTGCTTGCTCAAATCACACACGGTGAGTTGTGGAGTCGACGATAGGTTTGTGGATTCCGGATGTGACTGTGCGGAGCCACATCCGGCTTTCACCCTTGTGGCGCAGGTGGCTGTAATGACCTCGCGTCGGTGTGCGACGTATACCCTGTATAAGTTTTGTTATCAAGGTCCGCGGTGGACGTCTCGCCGGATCTGGTGAGATGGTCGCAAAAGATCAAAAGACAGGACAGGGGCTCGCGTTGGAAGGGAAATGCTGCCCCCTTTAGCGCTGTGCCGATTTTATGTATTATTAGGGCCGCTCCTTCGCACAGGGCGGGCTGGCTGTCGCGTCGAGTTGTGCGTTTCGGGATGATGCACGTGTGCTTTGGTGATCATTCTGCCCCGAGTTCCTCAGTGTCCCGGTAGTCGTCTTTCGTGGTTACAAATGTGGGTCATATATCCGTACCCCATGTGTACCCGGTACGAATTATGGGGGCGGGCTTGGGGGTTTATACACACGCACACACAGTTTATCACGCCCTGGCTAAGCCATCAAGAGCTCTTGTATCTATCTAACACGCCCCCTCGTTTAGCGTCTACCCTGGTCTCAAATAAGCCCATATGCAAAGTCCATTTCTGTCTGTGTCAACCTTGATTACTCCTTCTAATGTTTGCGGTTTCTCGTAGGGTTAGTAGCGAGAATCTCAGGGCTAATTCCTCTAAGTGTTCAGGTCCCCATCTTCAACAGCTAAAGCAAACCCTACTGTCAGTAGCACAAGAGTTCATATGCAGTTGGTTGTAGTTGATGTTGGTAATATAATGTAATCTTGTTTCTATGCTATGCTTAATTAATCTATATGTTGATGTTGCGATATCACCAGCCGGCCCGACCGGTGGTGAAGTGAAGCCGCTCCGAGGTTAAGTGGCCTACCTCGGTTGCTCACCTTCACCATGGTGATATCCACGGCAGTGGTCATCTTCTCCTTCTTCTTCTTTGTTCAATCAGCAGCTTCAGCGAATAGGCAATATACGCTATTGCTGATATCGATCAATCGCCTGTGATACTAACAGTTAACTTGTCCTATTACTATAGCAAACTTTACTATTTCTCTTACAAAATCTATACACAGTAACTAGTCGTGAGGGTGAGATATAGCTTTCCCCCCTAGACAGAATAAAAAGTTACTTCTATATAGTGAGATAGGTTGCTATGTCTTTGTAGTGGTATAGTTGTTTCTATCTGGTTTCTTTAGCAGAATAATCTTTATGTGTCTATACTGCTTAGGTAGTTCTTCTGTATCTACTAATACTTAGAATAAGGTGTGCATCTAATGCTTTACTGCAGGATACGTCTGCTTCTACATAGCTACTAGCAGCCTGTCTTCTCTAGGTGCCTTCTATAATTTCGCTACGAAAAGCTGTCTCTCTACCTCTTCTAACGTTCTATTAGGGAAGGGTACAGGCGGCTGCTATAGACGTAGTCCCTTGTTCTTGATGTTGCTTAGGAGTAGAGGGAAGAATGCCAATAGTAGTTCTTTTGCTTACTCTCTGTTCTCCTTAGTCTTCAAGCTAAATAAGGCACCTCTGTTAGCACCTAGATACTTAGTAGCCTTCTAGAAGTTTATATTGTTAGTTAGGAACTTAAGCTAACTAGTCGTTCTTCTTCTGTTGTTAGATTATATTATAGTACCGCTTTACTGCTGTCTATGCTTGCTCCTCTAGATCTAGTGGACAGCGGCCTACCTGTGTCTCTGCCCTAGCCTGGTTTCTCTAGAACGTATAGATCTGATGAAGCTGAGTGAGGTTGGTGTCTACTATATCTTTGTATACCTAGACAGTTTTGCTGTAACCTGTGGGCGTTAGCGCCTCTACTGCTTCTACTGCTGCTGACATGAGCTGCTGTCTGTTGCTGCACTGTGCCTCCTATAGGGACGTGCTGTAGTGCGGCCTCAACCCTGGTATTGATTGCTGTCGTGAAGCTGGAATGGCTTCGTGTGGCTAGTATCAGTGTGCGTTAGGCAGTGTTGCGTTAGCTGTATGACTAACTGTATTGTTAGCTTGGCTGGTTGAGGGGGTTTAGGTGACGGCGGCATAGGATGGCCTAGAGCTGCTTTGCCCTAGGACTTGAGTTGTAGATTCTTCAAGCTTTTTGCGCGTCTTCCTGTTATTGTCTTTAATTTGCTGCTTTAGAGCCTGTAGGTTGCTGCAGACTGTCTGTAGCTTGTCGTTAATTAACTAGAGTTCCTTGTTTGCTAACTAAAGTTTGTCTATAGACTACTGAAGCTTAGCTTAGATACCCTTGTTCTGTAGTTCTGACTTCTTCTATACGTTAAAGACCACTTTTAGTAATGTGTGTAGCTCTTTTGTTTGCTTTGCTATGGCTAGGAGCAGTGCTCTGTTGTTGTCCTTAGTTGCCTTAGTCCTTCCTTTTACTACTAACGTGACCCTAGTGGACGTCCTCTGTCTGCGTGCTGTTTCTAGCTAAATTACTTAGTTCTCTGGTGCTGTTGTTGATATTCTCCCTATTTCATTTGCTTAGTTGGGCCTTGGCTGTTGGTTTACGTAGCTGTCGCAGTAGCCGCTCCGTTCTACTGACGTCCCCCGAGTCAGAGCCAACGTCGATCGTGTCAGATTCGGCCTCCATGTTGCGCGACGGGACGCGCCGCAAGTGGGTCTACCACAGTCAGTTGCGTTGTGTCCAAAACCTTAAGCAGGGCCTGTGTGTGAAAAACACCTAACTTCTGAAAACTAAAAAAGCTAGAATCTATAATATATACTTAGATAGTAAAGGTAAAAGTATAAGAAAAATACTATTATGTAGATATAATGATAAAGCATGTATAGTATTTTATTGCTAAATTATTACTATTTTCCTAGCTTAAATATCTCAAATTCTAGAAATAATATCTAAAATTTTAGTTTTGGGAAGTCATGTGTTTTTCATGCACGGACCATGCTCGAGGTTTTGGACGCTGCCAACACAACAGACTGTGGTGCTGCGCCACGCGTCCTGGTACCGCCCCTTTCGCAAAACACACGATTCACCCTCAACAGCAACAACAAAAGATGATAAAAGCAGATTTTCTCAAAACGATTCTTAACCCTCGGGGCTTATACAGGTACGGATATATCGTACCACCATCGTACACTTGTGAGATGGGGGTCGTGCACTGACCGAGTTACACGTCGTGGGAAGCCAAAAGACCATCAGGCGCACTGGAAAAGAGACTATATTCCTTAGATCGGGGGGCTTGGTGGCATCTTCTTCGCATGTCGTTGGTGTGCGAGTTGAGCGGCGTTTGGTGACCAAGAATAGGTCCGACAGACATATTATATTTAGTACCAAGGCCCATAAGTAGCAAAGGAGAATGAGGAGTTGGGATACGATGAACGAAAGACCAGAGGAGGATGAGACGGACGGCAGCTGAAATGGAGGCCAATGACGCGGCTCACAAGGCGCAACGATGGGCGGATCACAAAACGCAAGACACAGCATACGGGTGTAGGTGCCACCACACATGTTTCAAGGTTGGGGGCCGCTTTGTGGGGCGGGGGTTCGCTGCCGCAAGCTCTGGCCCCTGCCGCGAGCTTCGGCCCTTGCCACTCATACGTCCGTCCACCAACTCGCATTCTACCTCTAATGCCTACTGGCCCAAACTCTACTTTGGACGCGAAACCTAATCTCTATCACAACCAACCAGCCCTACGTAGTTAGTCCCTGCGCAGTAGCTTATTTTTATTGTTTACCTTGAGTTTTCTGTACATTTTCCACCTACAACTACGTAGGGGAAATGAAATGGTAGCTGTCGGGAAACCTCCGAAGAGTGGGGTAATATATCGAATTAGCGGCATATTCCCCCTGATCCTTCTTGTTTGGATCGCTGGGGCGCTGGACTACTGAAACGTCGTCTGCTCTATGTGGCAGTCACAGCCGTGACTGGTTCCTGCTGGCTAGGACGCATCTGCAGGCGGGAAGGCGCGCTGACTGGTCAATGAAGGAAGAAGCGGCAACTGGGGACGGCGCAAAGAGCCCCATCATCCTGGATATTCCTGTGTCTCCCGCCATCCCGAAATTCCAACCTCGGACTCGGTCTTTCCCTTTTCGTCTCTAGTGCGTACGTGAGTGTGAGAGAGAGAGTCTCCCTTTTCGACCATGAACAGCGGGTTAAGTCATCCTCTATCTACTTGTTGAGACTTCATTCTCCCCTGTCCCCCACATTCCGGACTGTTTGCCTACCTACTCAATACACTTCGCATCATCCTTATACTGTGTTTATCTAACTGTGTTGAGAGTATTATTGTGTACCTTGGATACGTACCTCAGTCTCTCTCTCTCTCTCTCTCTCTCTCCCGCTCCCCCTCTCGCTAGCATTAGCCCATCTCTTCTTCAGGATGTAGCATGGGATGAGATGAGACAAAGACAGGAGAACCACGAAACCGCCGCCATGGTTGTGACGGTTCAGACGGGGCAGAGAAAGGGGGGCGAGGCATACCGACAGAAAGAAGATCATAATACCTATCTACCTACGTATCGGTCCACGAGATACTTGCACCCGGCCCTCGCTCTTCTCTTTCTTCCCTTTCTCTCTTTCTCACTCCCTCACCTCCTCCCTCTCCATTCGCTTCTCTGAATCTATTCGTCCCTTCCTCTCCTTGGCGCTGGCGCATTGTCTAAACACGTCTCTTCCGTGCGGTTTATTCGATTCACTAATATATTATCGTTTGATAATCGAATCGGTCAAGTTATCCATCTCTCGAAAACAACAGACGGTTGATCCGTCATCACTCTTAGACTACATCAATACTTTCTGCTTCCTTCTTCTTATTCTTCTTCCCCCTTTCCCCCTAAAATGGACATGTCTGAAGCAAAGTATGCCAACATCGGCCTCGATGACCACGACTGCGATGACCGGAGCAGCACCGAGGTCGAGGAGTCGCTCATTGGCGACGAAAAGGCCTGCCGCAGCTGCCTGACCAAAGAGTACCAGAGCCCTACCGTGAGGAGGACAAACCGCTGGCTGTCCATGCTCAAGTCGTCACGCTACTTCGTCGACACCATCCTTCTGCTCGTCATCCTCGGCCTGCTGGTGAGGCAACAGACCCAGGCTCCCGCCCTGAGCACCTTGACACCCGGGGATGACCTCACTGGCGTCAGCGGAAAGTGTAAGTACAGCCAAACCCATCGACCGGACCCCCGGTTGAAAGGGGAGACACGTCGTGGTATTGCCAGGCACTTGGCTAACGTCGATATTACAGTCTCGACCCAGATCAAGACCTTCACCCCCGACTACGAGGGCAAGTATGCGCCCAACGACACTTCAAAGTTCTTCACCGATGAGGTCTTGAACAACTGGAATGAGCTGATGCCCTGTAAGTCGCTGATCTGGTCCACTATTCCTTGGCACCCGAGTATGTATACTGACGCCACCCACAGACGGCATGGGCTTCCAATGGGTCAACGACACCCACAAGTACCACGATCTGCCCACCCCCATCGTCTGGCCCGAGAAGACCGTCTTCACCACTTCCCTCACCCACCAGCTGCACTGCTTGGTAAGATCCCTCCCTCCCCCTCGGGCTGTCTCCACTCCCTCTGACTCTTGACACAGTTCGCCGTCGTCCAGACGTATTCCGGCCTCAGCTCCGGCCACGAGATCCCCGACGACCACCACTGGCACATGATCCACTGCTTCGCCTATCTGAGGCAGACCATCATGTGCAGTGCTGACATGGCGCTCGAGGGCCTCGAGACCACTTTCCCTGACCACAACGGCGGATCCGACGGCTGGGATTCCAAGCATGGTGAGTTGCCTCACCCCCATCGTGATGAAAAACTCGTAGTGTCCGTATTGGCTAACCGCATATCAATAGTGTGCAAGGACTATAGTCAGGTTAAGAACTACCTGGAAAGCGTCAGGGCATACGACGACAGAGAAATCTTCTAGACCACTGGCGTTTCATTTCAAGAACATACAATGTACAACATAGATCTTTTCAAGCGGAACCATATCCACGTGAATGGTCCTAAATGATTGATGATTAAAAACTTTCCGAAGCTTACCGTATCCTTCTTAGCATAGTGCTTAGTTTCGATACAAAACGGCCTTGTGGGTCCGTTTGTACTCCTTGATGGAACGGGCCAGCTCAGGATGCCTGCTTTCCAGCCACGGCGATTTGAAGTACTTGATCTCCTCAATCTCCTCCTTCGGCTCCTCTTTTGTCAAGAGCTCCCACTCGGGAACTTCGGAGACCGGTAGCGGGAGACACAGAGCGCAGTTGCTCCCCAGCTGACAGTAGCACTCGTTCGGATCCAACCGCCCGGCGTGTCCGTAGCCCTCCCACCGCTCTCGCTCCGCCATCGGCCCCGTCCACAGCTGCCTCTCGAACTCGCGGCCCGACCTCCACACCGCCGCCCGGCTCTCCGGGCTCGTGTCCAAGACGCCGTTGACGTCGGCGCTCTTGTACGCCACCTTGGCGCGGATGCGCTCCCAGACCGCGGGCGTGACGCCCCTGTCGTCCGCGGGCTCGCTGGACCAGGCGCTCATCTCGCCCGAGAAGAAGAGGGGCGTGTGCGAGGCCTTGACGCGGGCGAGGGCCCAGTAGCTTGTCTGGAGGAAGCCGCGCTGGCGCGCCTCGGGCAAGGACATGAACTCGCCGAGGAACCTGAGGGGCAGGCTGCATAGGACGTGGAGGAAGCGAGACATGACCAGCTCCGGGTTCGTCTCCCGCACCGGGGCTCTCTGCGAGGGGTGCGCCCGCTCGCGCCTGTTCCGCGGCGTCGCGCGGCCCCTCTCGGACCTGAACATGGTGCACCGCAGGCCGTCGAACCCGAAGCGGCCGAGCGGAACCAGCCGCGCGGCCGCGGACCTGTCCAGCTCCTCGCGGTCGTCCCTCAGCCGTGCGCGGAGGTCGCAGAACCGCTCGTCCGGCTCAGCGCCCCAAGTCCCGAGATCCTCGCCGTCCGTCAGTGGGTTTCTCTCCCACCTCGGGCCGACATCGTTTATCCCATCCGTTTTCTCATCCCCGATCACGGCATACCAATGGGACTCGTTGGGAGCCGACCATGCGTTGTCGGTACCGGAGGCTCGTGATTGGGCTGGGGACACTGTGCGCAAGTTCGTCAAGCTGTTGAAGACAAGTGTAGAGTGAGGCTGTGATACGGCGGAGACCACAAAATATCATGGCATGTCCGAGTTTGACGAGGTGCAGCAGATAAATTACGGTGAGAGGTTAATAACCTGCTCATGATAGATAGATGAATGATTGCTCCAATAAATACTGCTGTTTGATTGGGACGTTGACTAGCTGACGATCGCTATTTTGAATTGACAGGTCATACCGGGAGAGTTTACAGATTGCCTCCATATAGAGGACCACCAAGAGTCACAGCGCGTTTCTAAGGATGTATGAGATACGCCAAGCTAAACTTGCGATGCTGGTAAGCTGAAATAGATATTCAGCCAGACATGGTTGACTTGCAGAACTAGCGCGCCCGCAATGCACCCCCCCCCCCGGTTCATGAAGTGCTCGCGCGGCGAGCCTAGTAAGACTGTACCTGCCAGGGTCTTTCGCGGGAGATGATATCATCAGGGCTGACACAAGGCATTTTAGGACGGCGATCGGCAGCGTGATTGCGTGCTTTGGAATGCTTACTGCCAGCCAGATTGGCATCCTACAGGTCACTCTCAAGGCAGCCATTTAGCTTCATATGATATAACCCCTGCCACCAAGGGTGGCTTGGTTGGCCAGTGGCTGCATTCGCCTCCGTCTCACTGCAGGCGAAGCGCTGGCGTGAGAAGCTTGAAGAGAGATACGCGCCCTTATCACTGCGCGAACTGGTCGTCTATTACCGTGGGTTTCCTGACATTCCGCTGCCTACGGATACTTAATGTTCGGTCGTTCCCCAGCCATGGTTGCACGGAGCCGTGGTCACATATGCTTCAGAACAGCTTACAGCCAATCTCATACCCGGGCGAGAGTCACGGCCACAACTACACACGAGCATGGGCTCATCGGAAGCGATGGGGGCGGAAACGCCATCCACCAGATCATTTGCGCCTCTCCTTGTCCTTGAGGGACGGTCCCCCAGGAAGAGCCCCAACCTGCAATTCAAACTTGCAAAACTCCGGCAGCGTATGTGGGATAAGAGACAGTGGAAGAAAGCTGCAACGGCCGCATGGAAGGATGTCGGAGCCATCGACTGGTTCGCGACTCTGACCTCAATGTTTGCCCTGGGATGGATCACAGCACTCATTCTTCTAGCGCTCTTCCTCGGTGCCTTGTCCATGAGACGGTGGCCTGAGGCCTGCCAACCAGATGGCAGCTTCGATGTTTTTCTGAATCCCTATAACCTTTGGTCGGCATCTGGGTTCTTCCAGATCACGCTGGGCTGGGGCAGGATGTCTTTCGCAGACGCGAAGGCCATTGACGTGGCGTGGGACGTTGTAAGACTTCTCCGCTCCGAAAACATGTTCCCCATCGTGGGTCAGTATCATCATTAACAAGTAGTTGATAAGGTGTTTGGCCGCGGCGGTCAAGCCTTGCTTGCGTCGATCTCTTGGAGAGCGTTCGCCGACTACACTTCAGTCTCCATGCAAGCCAGGCCTGTGACCTACCAGACGTTTCAGACGATTTTCCTCCAGGACCAACCCGGCATTTGGTCAACGTTTTACCTCGCACGCGATTTTGCTCGTTCTCGTGGATTGCAATCTCGAGTAATGATGACCATCATGGTCTTTGTTGCGGTTTTCATCATGTTGTTTCCCACGCTTGGGAGTGCAATGACTGGATACTCGGCAAACAACGCCGCTTATATCATAGGATATGACGGCAGCCTGAAACCGTTTTCCGATTTCAAAATTGCCGCGTTCATCATTCATGAAGCCCATAGAATTAACATGACTGGCGATGTTGTGCTCACGTATCCTTCCTTACAAGGTGAGTCTTGGAAATGGCACGGATCAATCGATGACCGATCTACTTGGTTGCAGGGCACTGACAGGCAAAGACTCCACAATCTACAATAGAGACTATAATAATGGTGCATCCTTATCATATTCATACAGATGCATAGATGATGGTTCAACTCGACTAGGATATGGGCGATCAAGCCAAGAAGGAACACCCGCTGTACCTGTAGGGGAAAGATGCTCCATGCATCGCAATGTCTCTGACTGTATGTTTTCCCGGCTTCTAGAGTGACGCAATCTTGCTGACACGTTATCTGACAAGACGTCCAGAAATACGGATTTTACGGATTGGAGGATAAAGAATCCACTTGGATGGGTCAATCTCTTCCAGCGCCCGTCCTCAACATTTCGGCAACGTGGCTGCTTCCATCTGCAGCAATATATGGCTGGAACTGGACCGACCCTCGTACAGGCCAGCAACCATTCAGAGACGGAAATCGAGCGAGTTATGCGATTGGAAATGAAACCTACCTCCTCAGCTATATGAAAGCAAACGGAAGCTGCCAGCCCATGCGCGACCGTGAATCCAGCGCCGACTCTGTGCGTGAAAGCTACGAATGGGGCTTCTCATATCTTCAGCTATTTATTCTGACAGTCCTCTTGCTGGCTTGGACGCTCTGCCTTGCCTACATGTGGATCAAGGCTCGTCTGACGATGCGGATGAGGCGGAGATACGACGTGCCAAAAGAGTACAAGGGTGTTTTGGAGCTGTCCAAGGCCATTCGGAAACAACTCCAAGAGTCCGACCCGGACGACCTCTCTCATGAGCAGCTCCGCGAGGAGATCAAGAAGCGATTGAGAGGTGGGAGGATTGAGCTGGACAGAGTAGACGCGCCGGGAACGTACAATCTCTGGCGAGGGACGTGGACATATTGCAAAGACGAAAAATGGTGGCTGTTCGCCATACTGGGTATGTTAGGGCCCTGTATGGCGCTTACCTTGCGTTACAATTCCTTCGGATGGTGGATGCTCGTTCCTATACTGACCGCGATGCTTGCCATGCTCGTGGGCCGCTCGATAGAGAGTAGATGTGTTCTCGTTCTTGTCGGTGCTAGCCTGGGCACCATCATATTTTTGGGAGTCTGGTATGGTTAGTGGAGGCCCCAATCGGTCTGGTTATCATTCGGTCATTCGAGTCTACCTATATACAGAAGCTTACGGGCAAAATAATGTTTGCGATTGGAAAATTCACCTTAGATCTAGGAAGCTTCCTCGTTCTGGTTAACAGTTAAACAACGCAAGCAGTTACTTTGCATCATAGACGCACTTTTGTCAACACTAAAGACCTGATCAAGAACTTGTTATGCAGAATTACAAGGTTGTAACCATCGTATTCATGGCCCATTGATTATTATCATTAGTCATCTATCAAAACACGCTAAATAGGAGATATATATGAATGGACGTTTGTGCTGTTCGTCCCTTCACTCGTTGGGGATACGGCATCGCTGAATGTTGTCGCATGTCCCTGCGAAGTCCCAGAATTCGGGACCCAATGCTCGCTCAAGCCAGCCTCTTCACGCTGCGCGGGTAGCGGACTCGCCAGCGGAACGAGCTTCGAGCACGACGAAGTGTCTGCGAGCTCGTAGGTCTCGCCTGGCTCTTCGAACTGTTTGTAGTAACTATCGTTCTCCCCTTGTATGGAGTTCTGCCGAGGCCATTCAGCCCTGCTGTATGGTGTTACCGGCTCTGCCAACTCCGCTCGCTGCGCAACAGGTATACCAGGGTCACCTTCGAGCTCCATGTGTTCGCCGGGGTTTGCGTGGTGAGCGTTGTCGTAACCTGCAAAGGGAAGTGGACTGTTTACGTGGCTTGCAAGGCCGTGCCCAGGCGGCCTGGTGGGAGGAGAACCGTTTGCGTGGCTGGTGTAGTCATGGACCGCCAACCTGGTGAGGTGAGATCTCGTTGAATTGTTGTTGGCGTAGCCATAACCCGCAAACATGGTGGTAGAGGCGCTGGAACCTGGCGCGTCACGCTTCTCGTTGCGGGGAATGGATCTAGAAGCATCTCTAGACTGGGGGTTGCGCTTGCGGTGCCTTGACCAGATCCACAGCCCGATGAAAAAGAAGACTCCCGCACCGACTGCTACCGGCACGCCGACCTGGATGACAAATTCCGATGCTTTGCCATCGCCCGTCAAGGTGCCATTGCACGCTGCTGTGATGCGGTCAGGTAGAGTTCCGTTGCCAACTTGCGGGCTGAGCCAGAAGCTCCCCGCATCATAGTCAACGTGGAGATAGTTCTGTGAGAGAAAGACGCCGCCGAGAACGGGGACATTCTCGCCCAGATCGCCGATCCCGGACGAGACGGTAGTGCTGAGTCGCGTGTTGTTCAGCACCGAGTATTTGCCCTGCGGGTCGGTGCCGCGGACGTTGCTAACGAGCTCGTAATGTGGAATCACAGTTGTGTAACCATTGGTCAGTCTGATCGTCAGAGTTCCAATCAAAGGCTCGCTATCCAGTGGAAAGTTAGACTCGTCGAAAGCTTCACCATCGGATCCGGCATGGTTGCCGGTGTTGTTGCCGATATTCTCGAATTTGTTGAAAATGGCGGGCGTGAATGCGAAGCTGTTGTGGACGGTGTCGATGCACGCCGCCACTCTGGTACCGGGATCGGTAAGGGGGTGATCGCCGTCCTTGTTGGTCAGGATGATGTCGGCAATGGTGACCTGCAGCGGGCAGGCAGCCGGAGCGTTGGCTCCCCACATGCGGAAAGTGGAAACTTGAGAGGCGTTGAATCGAGCCTCGTTATAGCCACCGATGATGAGTTGACCATCGCGGGGATATAGTTCAGAGGTGGAGCCATAGTCTAGGCTAAAGCTTCTGGCGGGCGCGACCTCGTTTCTCAGGAAACTTTCGAGGGTTGAGGAGTTGGGCCCGAATGCCACAGCGCTCTTGTTCAAGGCATCGTAGTCGGCCCAAACTTCGAAGGGATAGCCAAAGGCCACAGCCGGGCCGTCGGTGAAATTCGCGGCATCGTATCCGTGCAGCACTGTTGTACCGCCATCATCGGGCTGTTGATCGACGGTTCTGTTGGAACTGTTAGCCGCTTACGAGATATAGACAGGAAATGTACGGTGCCGTACGTCACATTCCAGTCTTGAATGTTGACAACCTGGATAAAAGAGCCTCTTGTGGTGTCGTACACGCTCCCAGAAGACCCTTGGCAACCGATGAATGCAAAAGTGTCGTTGTTTGGGCAGTCCAGACTATTCCTCACGCGCGTGTTGTTCAACATGGTGGACATGCGCATGCCTTGTAGTTGGCCGCCAAGCGTGAGCTTGAGGCCTCGATTGGCACCAATGCCATTCGGAAATGTGACGTTCTGTAGAGACGCACAAAGTCAACAAAATGCAACAATATAACAACAAAACACACGGGTGGAAAAGAAAACAGACATGTCGAAGAGACCGTATGGCTCTCGCGAGATCCTTACCTTGATGGGCAGTATCAGTGGTTGTGCAGAATTGTAACAACTCTCGACTGCGAGAACGGGCGGGCAAAGGACGCTGGCCAGCAGGAACGCCGCCCAAGGCGTTGAAGGCAACAACATCACAAAAGTTTGCGGTCTAGATGTCTGTTGTGTCGAGGCATGACGGGCGGCCAACCAAAGCGAGTGCATGCAAGCATGTGGCTCTGACGGCGGAGCGGCCTTTTTGAAAGGTGTTGGCAACCCACCATCCCGGGGCACGTTATAAGTTGAAAGATGCCGACACCCTGTAAGGGGGAAGGAAGACGAAACCCACCTGTAAACTCCCAGGGTGTTGAAGGGGCTTACGGTTTGACACCTTGTGGAAGTCTAATCCCGCTTCAACAACTCGATGTGCTTCCGAGCTTTAATTGGAACCCTTCTGTTGTTACTGTTATATCTTGATCAAAGCCCAAGAGTTTTTGGAAAATCGGCTAGATACGATATCAACTCCAGTGGTACCGAACCGAAAGCCAGGACCACATAGCACATCGCTAAATCTTATGTTTGCTACACCAAAATCTTCAGACGACTGAAACGCAGAGATGCGAGGTGCTTGTCAGTGTCGACGATCACTAGTCATAAACCATGCTCGAAGCATCAAAACCCCTGTCGTCGGACTCCCTCTTCGCTCGGGCTCTGCGGACGCCGGACGGTAATGAGCTTGCAAGAGTGATTCTACACACTATAGCAGGGTCGCATTGCAATCATCTGAAAAAGGGAGCGGGCCTTGTCACTCATGGCATGCCGTGATCCGGCGCTGGCCCAGCGAATCGCTCTTGCCGACATCGATGCGTGCCTGGGTAACCCTTGCGTGACCTACACACCATAACTCCTCGTAGAACAGATGATCAGCATGTTCGCGGACAGGAGGGATTGATGGCCGTGTCTCAGCTGCCGTGGCTGAAGCTGTCTCGACCCCTGAAGGAATGAACCGATTCATACGGCTACCGCTCTCTACTCCAGGACATTGTCGTTTCTTCGTTGACGTTGAATCATTGATAAGGAAGGTCTGCGGATTGCGCACCGCGTGCGTCTTGCCCTTTGAATAAGAGAGAAAGTTGTAAATTTGAGTTACCCTTCCACCTCGCTCTCGGGAGTCCTTGCAGAATATGTGGGCAAATTGCCCCGCCTGCTAACGGCCGAGGGCAAAATCTGGGTCTGCTTCCTTATGCCACCCGGAACCGACGGGACGCCAACGTGGCACAACGTGAACGGACCAGGGAGAAAGGTTTGGCGGCGTTCTGAATATTAATGGCAAATACGTGCAACCTGACAGCGCGCGACGCGTCAGTCTTACACAACATGCTCCTCGACCGTTGCGCCAACAACGGCGTATGATGATCCTAGTTTGCCCACGTGGTAAGACACAGTAAGTAAGCCTGGCGTGCGATTCTTGATCCTGTCAAACTGGATCGCTCAAATCGTCGCGCGAACCAGCCGGAGTTTAGGTTATAGCCGCCCAACCTTGGATGGTTGTGTCACTGGAAAAGATTTCACCAAGTCCTTTGAGCACTGGTGCTCTTCTCTCATGCCGACAACTTACATGTGCCATCGCGACACAGAAGCAGCGTCCCGTGGCTTAGAGAGCCAACGTCATGACTACATGTACTGCGGATCAACAGTTTGTCACCGGTCCATCTACACATTCAATCCTCTGGACCGTAATAAGTTTGTTTGGTCTATAGCCTATCTTCGGCATGTGGGAAGGTTGGGTAAAGTACGTCAGGCTGGACTGCCAAATTCAACTCAGGAATCGAATGAAGCGATTTTGGCTACCGGTTGGAGATTTTCATTGCCCCTTAAGATACGGAGTAGAGAAACTCTATTGAGATAAAAGCCTCCACATTTGGCGTCGCAGGGGACCTATGCCGCTCAGATATGATTGGTGTGGACACTAAGGCGTTGCGGGTCATGCCTGTGGACTCTGAGGTCAAACAAGCTTTGAAGCGAGTTTCAGGCAGCAAATCTGGGGATATAACAGAGGGAGTCGAGCCGTCAAGTTCTCATGGTGAGATAATCAAGATGGTTTCTCACGCGGTTGATGGTACGTAGCATATTTCCCAAATCTCGCCGCCCGAACATCCCTTGGTTCACGACCACGGAGCTCTGATTCCGGCCCAATGGTCTAGTGGTATGATTCGCCCTTCGGGTTATAATACAATCCTCACGCTCAGCGTGACTGGGCGAGGCCCCGTGTTCGAATCACGGTTGGGCCCTATTTTTACTTTCGGCGACGTCCCTATGTATGGCTAACTCAAGCCCCACTATAATAAAGCTATACTTTGTGTCTTGTCCTATTACACAGCTTAAATTTTGACTTGTCTTTTTGTTAGTACTATATGTTAATTAAACTATACCCTTTCTAACTTGGTATAACTTACTAAGGCTATTTAATTATATGAGACTTAATTAAGTAGTAATAAACAATAGTTACTTTTCTACAAGCCTTGTAGAACGTAGCTTCTCCCTATTCTATGCGCTTAAATAGGAGTGTTACACCCGAGTGTATTGTACTAATGTCATTACATAACACACTGCTTACTTAAGGGGACATTGTAGGGTTGTAATCAGTTGCTAGTATGCCGGGGTCACGTCGGAAATGGCTTCAAGGGCATAAATGTATTCCAGTTAAGTCCAATATTGGCCAGGCATACGTACGATAGAAGCGTTGAATTGGGTGAAACAGAGACCAAATATATTGGATTATGATGTCAGGAACTGGATGCAGCGTGTTCGCTTCGGGTCGCATCTTCGGCAGCATCTTGCAAGTTTGAATGGTTGCTATGAACAGCGCGTAAGGTTTAAAGAATTACCTTCCAAGACACAATCGAGATGGGCTGTACCACAGAATTAATCTGCGTTCGCCGATTGTGACAGCGTGTTCCGCCCGCAATCGCTGCTGATGATTGCATCATTGCAGCTCATTGCGTGTAACGAACGTCATCATGACTTCGTTGATTCCTCGAGTTTCCGGGCTCTGAGTGACCAGCCAAACCCCCATAATCATTTCGCCCAATTCAACTTGGTAACCTTGCTAAAACACTACTTTGATAATTCACGAGCCCAATATGTCTGCTATGAAGCATTTCACATTGAATCCAGCTCACAGAGAAAGACTTCTCCGAGAGGGCATTCAGACGAAAGAGCCCGCAAGCCTTCCTCTCGGCAAACAGCACGTGCATCCCCGCGGCATATTTACCGAGGATGAAGACGCGAGTATATCGTTCGTTGGCACTGCGACGACAATCCTCGAATGGCAGGGAATCCGCATCCTAACAGATCCGAACTTTCTCCACGCTGGGGACCACGTTCATCTCGGACCTGGCGTCACAGCTGAACGCAAGACCAACCCGGCGATCGACCTCGAAGAACTTCCACCATTGGACGCGATCCTCCTCTCACACTATCACGAGGATCATTTTGACCGCAAAGTGGAAGACTCGCTGAATCGCAGTTTCTCCATTATCACAACGCCGCATGCTAAAGCTTGTCTAACATCTGCGGAGAAACCCGAACCGTTTAAAAATGTGGTGGATCTCGACTTCTTCCAAGATCTGCGGCTTGAAGTCGCCCGCTCTCCATCAGGATCACAGGACAAGCACGCAGCTATCAAAGTCACTGGCATGCCGGGCAAACATGTCCCGCCCGGCTCTTTATCGGCTGCCAACGATGTCTTGAAAGCTGTACCTCCGACAAATGGATGGATGTTGGAATTGGGGTATTGTCCCAGTATTGGCCCACACGCCAATTCTGCGGCATTTGAGACTGGCTACCGCATATACATATCTGGCGATACGTTGATGGTCGACGAACTCAAGAAAATCCCCGAGTGGCTCAATGATGAGCGTGTCGACTTGATGCTGGTTCATCTCGGGGGTACCACGATCCCAGGCCCTTCAGTTCCTTTGTTGATGGTTACGATGGATGCCAAGCAGGGCATGCAGCTTATTAAGCTGGTTAATCCTGATGTCACGATCCCCATTCATTACGATGACTACGATGTGTTCTTGTCGCCGTTGGAAGACTTCAAAAAGGAGGTTGATGCAGAGAGTATGAATGATAGAGTTGTATACTTGGATCGCGGGGAGCATTACCGTTTCAAAGTCAAAAACAACATATTGACATGGTGATTTTACAAGTCACTGTTATTTCATGATGTACTTGATTTTATACAATTCAAATATTTCAGATACAACAGTAGCAAATCCTGATGACATAGACTAACGAATCATCGTGACTGTTAGCTATCTTCTTGTTATCACTGCTTCGAAGAGGGCTTCCATCGCAGTTCATCGAGTTGGCCTAAGCATGATTTGGCCGACTGTAACTACCTGGTTGCTCTCCTTTCATATAGGGGGTACCGCGGCTGAGGAATGTTTCGGGGAGTTTCCTAAAAGTCCACGATATGCCTCGGTCACAAAATGGGTTCTCGGCCACGACATCGATGGAGGCTGACTAGATGCGTGAAACTCAGATGCCGAACACGGAATCTAAGGTTCAATATAAAAGTATGTAAGACTTGAGTGATAACGGCCAATGCTTGTGCATTTCGTGAAGCTTAACTTACCAACGTCTAATTTGGTGTTACCGTCAGACTAGTGCTGTAGTAGAAAGTCAGACTATAAATTCAGTTTCTTCAGTGTAGACCGGAATCTTCGGCACCTCTGCGGTACATGTTCAAGAGGGCCTTACTGCTGTTTAGATACATATGTATCCATTTATCAAGTCGCGGAACAGATCTCATCGGCGGAAAAAAACATCACTCAGGGTAGTGTAGCTTATAAGATTCGTGAAAAAGAATCTGCAAATCATGGTCGAGAAGTCGGTGTATACGTATTGTGATCGAGCTAGATCCCATGCGCTTTTCGATACAGGTGTACAAAAAATCACATTTAGTTCACGATTCCACTCAACGGCTACCCTAACTAGCTTGTAGCCGTAGAATTTAGCCTGATGATTCTAAGCCATACAGAGCTGCCTAATCAACTACTTCATATGACATGCTTTGATCTCGTGACCGATGGCGTATCCTGATACGAGAAAAGAGGTGTCCCGCGTAGGCTCACTAAGGTGGTAGTAATATAGACGCATAGTCATAATATGAGCAGGCTTAAATGTCACTGTTCCTCACGAAAGATTCCACACCACCAAATGGCCATTTGTATACTGCTCGTGGGATGCAAGACAAAAACATAAAGCTAAATGGACACTGATTAGCATACTTTGAATACTGAAAGACAAGCTCGGTCGCATATGATTTCTACTTACATCACTACCACTCCGTCTCGTCGGCTCCAGGATGGCTACCTAAACATACAGATTACCCTGGTACCAGCATACCACCCAAGGCCTTAGGAGAGTGGCGAAATAAGCCGTGATAACTTTGTCAGAGAGCTAGGTTCATGAATTCCGCATCTCGGATGGTTAAATTCTCTTAAGTATGTGCCGCAATTCCTCAAAGCGGCAAATGAAAATGAAGGGATTCGTAATCTTGGGAGTCGGTAGCTGCCGACTTGGTGGGTGTCCACCTACGCTTGACAAATTTGCCGTGGAACGACGGGTGGGACTACTTTACCAGCGAAATTTGTCCCGTTGGATATAAAGCACTTGAACCGCAATAGTCTTGGGCAGTAATCGAGCCGAGCCTCATCCACCTCGCGGTTCGATTCCCGTCAACCTCGTCAAAACATGTGAAATCGTCGACGTTTCACCTACGGAACCTAAGGAGCCCCAATCAAGATTTCGGCGAGATGCCGATCGGAAGGTTTAATAGTATCAGCCTCACCTACTGGTTATATAGGTGCGAACCTGGCTTCGTGTGTCACGTGAAATATAAGGCGTTGATTACTGCCCGCAATTATTAACAGCGTAATTTCCGATCGCCGGGTCATTACCTAGAAATGAAAGGCTGCAAACTTACGCACAGAGGTTTAACGGTCTTGAGGTTCTTGGCACAGTGAACTCTCAGCATATTTCGTGACGAATTGCGTAGTCTTGGAAGTCGATTGGTGTCTTTAAGTTTCCTGTAACGGGAGATGTACGTGGCCCGCGAAAATCGAACCCCGCCCCTGGGAACCCGTTCCCAGCTGGTCGGGCTCGCATCGAGTGTAAACTTGCCAAACCCCACATGGCGCCTCGACTATAAGGTTCACCGGCTGGGCTTACATCTGACTCAAGAGAGATGCTGCCCAATGGGGTCCTTCGGCAAGAATAAACGCTGTCACTACGGGAAGCTATGCAGTCAGTATGACTTTGAGTTCGAGTCAAATGACCGACTGACACCTTTCTCTGAATCTTTTCGTCTCAAGATGCTTAGAACATAACCCAAAGGTAATATACAAACCACCTACACCAATTGAGGAAGCGTAGAGACTACATTCAAGTACAGTCAGTAAACACCACGCCCGCATGCCCGCGCAGATTTGTGACCCGAGACACGCAGCCGGGCTTTCGGTCATTAATTGACAGGTGAAGATTAAGTCACAGAACGACGATGTGCCGAAATCAAGGCGGAAATATGGATCGTCTCGGACAACCAGCTTAACCTTGTTGGTCGGTTCAAGTTTGTTCAACATTTATTCGCTGGTACAACATGTAGCTTCCTGGTACAGACAATATGATCCAAAGAAGGCGAGATACATTAGCGCAGAGGCTCGGGTATTAAAGAAAGGGGAGACCACCAAGTTCTGAAAAAAAGAAATCCATCTGGTGAATCTTTTGTAGGTTACCACAGAATGAAGGTTCTATTCCGTCTCCCCATATCATATCATCGCTCAACATGACCTCCCTTAAGTTTATCATACTCTTTACACTCGTCTTGAACATCCTTGGCGCTCCTCTCATCCGCGAAATTGAAATTAGTGGAAATTCTGCTAGTGACCTCCAAAGTCGCGGTATCAGGGACCCAGCAGAAGCAGCTGGAAAGAACATTGACAGCAGCTTTTACTCCCGTGACTCTGGAACCTTCAAAGACATCCAAGATTCTGATGAAAAAGAGCCCAAGGAGATCAGCGAGATTTCTTCCATACGCCGACCGCATGAAATTGACGAGGAAGCCAACAACCTTCAGAACCGCAATTTAGAAGTCGACGAAGACTTGGCCAACATTGAGGGTCGCAACGAAGACCAGAACAAAAAGAATTCGGATTCTGCAGCCAATGCTCGTGTAGACAAGGAGAAGAATGAGGTCAAAGATATCCAGGCCGCGCAAAGGGCACAACACCAGGCGGCCAAACAAAGCGAGGATCGTGAGCGAAAAGAGATTGATGACGCGCGTCAAAGGGAGAAAGCAGCTACCAATTCTCGAGACAAGGCGGCAGCCAAGAAGGATAAGGCCAAAGAACAAGCGGAACTAAACAATGTGAAGCAACAGAACCAGAAGGACAAGGCCCGCCTTCAGAATGAAAAGAACAAGGAGAAGCAGGAGTTGGAAGACGCTAGGCGAGCGCAGAGGGGCAATAACCGTGTTGTAGATACCCAGTACCCCGGATCTCTCGGAAACTACTACAGTCCCACAAAACGGTCTGAGACCTACGACAAGGACCTCACATACAAAATGCCTGAGGTCCAATCAAAGGGCTACCATGATGACTATGCGACACAAAGGGCTAATGAGGATGAGCGAGTTCGCAAGGCGTACCTCGCTAAAGACAACTGCGGCGATCGGAGTCGATACCTGCAAGGAGTGCGACAGCAACAGCTCGATATCATCAGCCAGGCTCAGCACGAAAAGACTCAGAGCCAGGCCCGCGTCAGCGAGCTTCAGCACCAAAAGGCTTACAGTCCTGACAAAGACTCGATCGACCAGCAAATACGGGCAGAGGAACGGCGTCAGCAAGATGCAGACCGAAGAATCAACGGGGCACAAAACAGCAAAGAAGCCCAAGACCAGTTGATTCGGGCAGACGAGAAATGCCGAGACCAACAGGATGCGCTGGTCAGGACCGATCAAGATAGGAAGAACAGGGATGATGAGCTGATCCGCGAGCAACAACAAGCCAAGGCTGCCGAGGACCTGCGCCTTCAGCAGCAGCAAGCCAAAGATGCCGAGTACAGACATCAGCAGCAGCAAGCAAAAGATGCTGAGTACAAGCATCAGCAGCAGCAAGCCAAAGATGCTGAAAACAGACGCATCCAGCAGCAGCAAGCCAAGGATGCCGAGAATAGACGTATCCAGCAGCAGCAAGCAAAAGATGCTGAGTACAAGCATCAGCAACAGCAAGCCAAAGACGCGGAGGACAGGCGTGTCCAGCAGCAGCAAGCAAAAGATGCTGAGGACAGGCGTATCCAGCAGCAGCAAGCCAAGGATGCTGAGTACAAGCATCAGCAGCAGCAAGCCAAAGATGCTGAGAACAGACGTATCCAGCAACAGCAAGCCAAGGATGCCGAGAATAGACGTATCCAGCAGCAGCAAACCAAGGATGCTGAGTACAAGCATCAGCAACAGCAAGCCAAGGATGCTGAAAACAGACGCATCCAGCAGCAGCAGGCCAAGAATGCTGATCAGAAACAGCGTGAACAGCAGCGAAAGGAAGACCAGAGGCGCATTGATCAGGAGCGTCAAAAGAATCAGCAGCGTAAGGAGGAGGCGGATAGGCTCAGAGAGCAGCAGCGCCAAAGCGACAACAAGCGCAAGGCGAAAGATGGCAGCTGAGGCTATGAGGCTTGTTCCGAGTTTTGGCCTTTGGATCAGTAATGACACGCGATCCAAGTCTTTGGCGTTGTGTGTGATACGTGGGGGTTTCTACTTCCTTGTGGACCACTGGTCAGTTGTTAATTGGGATAGTAATGACAAAAAGTGATTCTTCTCCACAACATTGGCTATAGACTTGAGGTATCTGTCAGTATGAGGACTAGAGTATCATAATCCTGCTTGGTGGTGAAGATACAAGGGGACAACGAACGCAAACTGGAAACGCAGACATCAGCCCGCGCGGTCGCTATGGCTGTGGCTCGGCAGCTGAGGTTCGTTTCTTCTCCTTCTCAAGTAGATCGAAAAGTGACCCTTCTGGCACATCGTCGCGGTCCATGAAAACCTCAACCATTCGTAGCCCTTTCCCATTTGACGGCATCTCACCAAATATTGTTTCAAGTTCTCCCCAGGTTCTCGCCGACCGGACATACGTCTCCGCGCTGCCTCCAAAAAAGGCGGGCGCCTGCAGATAACGCCAGGAGGCAACATCATTATACGGTTGCTCCAAGCCGTGTATGCATCGCTCAATGGTGTACCCGTCGTTGTTGACGAGGAAGATGATGACGTCCAGGTCGTGACGAATGATGGTTGAAATCTCTTGGACGGTCATTTGAAAGCTACCATCGCCGATGAAGAGGATCGTGCGCGCGTCCTCGATCTTGTGGTATCGGTCCGACTTTACGAGTTCTCGCTGTGCTAGGGCGGCGCCTTGCGCAGCTGGAAGCATGTAACCGATGGAGAGCCAAGTAGCTGGGACGAAGAGTCTAGTATGGACTGGCAGCGGCAGCAACCGGCAGCCATGACCAGATGTGCCCGTCTCTCCAAGAATGATGTCTCCTGGGCGGATGAGATTGGATACAAGGTGCCAGAACCTGGAATGGCTTATCTTTCCCTCCCTAGGGACTTGCGAGAAGCGGATGCTGTAGTCTCGAGGGAGATCCGGGTAGGGTGCATATTGATAGGGCTTCAGAACATCCAGCTTCTGGAGAAGCGAAGTCATGACGCTCTTGGCATCCAAGTCTCGGAAGACCTGGTCGGCCACCCTCACTTGTCTGTCGTAGAAGAGCACTGAAACGTCTGTCTTCGGGATGCTGGAGAAGGCGGAGGTGTTTGTTGAGCTGAAGTGAGGCCCAAAACACAAAACAAGGTCCGCACGGTCAACGAAATTCTTCTCAGCCTGCTTGGCAAACTTCCCTGAATATACTCCATGAAAATTCGGCAGGGTCTCGTTGACTAGAGATTTCCCAAAACTACTCGTCCATGTAGGCCAGCCAGTGGCTTTAACCAGTTGATTAACCTCTTCAATGATGCCTAGAGGCCTCACTTCCCCGTCGACAAGAATCATTGGCTGCTTCGCTTTTCGTATCCTCTCCAATACCACCTCCAAAGCAGCCTGGGTCGCCGAAGTTGTTACAGAGCCCGGAACCTGGATAGGGGTCTGCAACTTAACGGCCGAAACGGGGACGGCCACCAGGTCCTGAGGGAATTCAATATAGACTGGCCGGCTCTGAATGAGGCACTGCTTCAGCGCTTCATCGACTTGGTCCGGTGCAAGCAGGGCATTTCGCAGGTCCGCCTGCGCGACGGTAACGTGGGCATGCATTTGCGCAAATCGCCTATATTCCCCATCGTTGAACCCGTGATGTATCATGAGGCGGGCATCCTGCGTGTCCCTAGAGGGGGTGCCGACGATGTGAACAACTGCCGCGCGTTCTGCGTATGCACCGGCGATGGCGTTGATCGCCGAGAGCTCGCCGACCCCAGAAGTCGTGATGAGGGCTCCGATGCCCTTGATGCGAGCGTATCCGTCCGCTGCGTACCCGGCGTTGAGCTCATTGGTATTGCCGACCCATAGCAGCCCCGCCGGTTCGACGTGGTCGAGGAGGTGCAGGTTGAAGTCCCCCGGGACACCGTGGATGGCACCTATGCCGAGCTGGTGTAAGCGGGCGAAGAGGTACTCCGCCAGCTTCACCGTGGGCCGACTGTCGTCGCGCGATTGAGACATCTTTTTTTCTTTTCTTTTCTGACGTGTTTGATGAATCAGACGGGAACCGAAGAGGCGGCAGCAGTCCTCGGATGATGAGAAATCTTAGTTTCCCATGTGCATAGTAGATCAGCCTAGTGGCAGTTTCCCCTCATCTTAGTTCGAGAATCACGGCTATGACAGCGCCCGTGATATGCGGGGCACCTGTGTAACTCATTCCGGTACTCCAGCGGCATGCACCGGTACATATCTAGTCCATCTTTTTGTTTATGCCCACGTGAACATGCTTCAGCCAACCCGATATGCGAAGATCACAAGTCGGGATTCGAAGGGAGTTGCAGGCATAGGCAAGAGGCCTGCAACGTGTTCGATAAAGGAATAGCGAAGTTGTGAGCGGGACAGCCATATACTGCCGAAGGTGGTTGAGCGGAGATTAAGAATGAGACCGCGGCCCAAGGACTGCATGGCTCTACTCTTGGTCTGGATTGAACGCCATTTAGGAAAAAGGAAAAAAGAAGAAGAAAAAAAAAAAACTCTAGCCAAGAACCAGAATGACTTCATTAGAAACACGTCGCGATAGGCGCAGCTCCCCGCCTGAATCTTTGTTTGTTTCGACATCTCAAAAACACCGTCTGGGCATGATCCACAAGGCTTGCAGGATGTCAGCTTTGGAGGCTGATCGGCCTGGCCGTGTCCATGAGATGTCTATTACAGAATCGGTCAGTGGAGAGTCGCGTTATCAGTCGGAGAAACATGCGGTCAAGATCATTCAGGTCTTCGCACAAACTGTCCACGCAGGCTGGACAGACCCTGCCACGAGTTGGGACCAATCGCATTACAAAATTCAAGCCATCATCCACCTAGTAGTAATGCGACCAGAGGTAAGTCGACAGCAAAGGCATTAACTTTCAACCTCATTCTCTTTTCCGCTTTTTGCGTCTTGCAGTAGGGTTGCCCGTCAAGCCAGATATCTGCCCAGAGGCAGCGGAGTGCTCGTAGTCCCAAGTAAGTTACATTTAACATGGACGAGACCTGAGATGCACGACAGACAGCATGTATGAGAGCATCTGGAAGGTTGGAGTATGAGAAAGAGGAGCACGAGGATCGAAGCGAGATAAATGCTTGGTTTGCCGGGCCGGGTGATTGACTCAGTCGCGACCCAGTTCCAAGAGGGCCTTGTCCTGGTGTGTGATACGGATGCGTGTACGGAGTAAAGACGCGAGTTTGTTCTTTTGGCTCCGGCTATGTCCGCATCCTCACACCCAGGGTCTCCTCTCGAGGTTTGAGCAGTGTCTTGACTCGGGAGGATCGACTGGGGCGCGGATACGAGGGATACACTAGGCCACAATCACTAGAATCATACCAAGGTAGTTTTTTATCCAGTTTGGTTGTTTCTGGGACCTCCGGAAACAGCTGCTGATCTTTGGCCATGGCGTTGGGCGTTCGGACGAGAGGACGGTAGAACTGTGGAACTGGTTAGGCCCAGGAGGGGGGGAAAGAACGGATAGCTGATCGCTCGAAAAAAAATGGGATGGTTGACGATCATCCAAGCTTTCTGGAAACCCTCTTGGCCAGTAATGCACAATTCCGATCCCATCCATCCACCTTGGGTTGCTAGGACAGGCGGGAAATAACAATACATAGTACTCCGTAATGTTAACAACAAGGTTGTCAGGCTGGGAAGGTAGCGGTTAACAGGCAGACACATTGCGGGGCAGCACTTGAGTCATCAAAGTACCTCTTAAAGTCTCTCGCTTAATTCTGCACAGACATATGCACAGACCAGCTTACCCTTTTCCTACAGAAAAAAGAAGAAAACAGAGATATCTCTATTAGCTTAAGGTATATCTAGAATTTAGTAACACAAATCAACTTTTTAGAGAAACTTACCCCTAGAGACAGTCTCCTATATATAGAGGATACTAGGCATAGTATAAAGGGTGTAGTATATACTATTAAAAAAGCTTTTTTTTTTCTTGTTGACTTAGTGTTAAAATTTTGAAGTTGGTGGTGTAGAGAATTTGGAGTTGGTGGTGTGGGGACAAAAGTGACTTAAGAGGAGGTGGGTCAGTACTTTGAGATAGTCTGAGATGCTAAGGTTTGACCCGCAAAGTGTCTGCCTGTTAACCGCTACCGCTGGGAACTGGGTAGGCGGGGTGAGATGGATACATGTCTCCATAGAATACCTATTTCTGTCCCAACATGACATGAAAGTTTTGGGGACAGGAGGCTGTCCGAACACGGGCTCTCCGGCTTGGGCAGGGTAACGGTTCTGATCAGGCCATTAGAACCGGGAGCGGCAAACGAGGAGAGCGTTGTTTCTCAGGAGGAGATGAGTTGCACCGCGAACAAACAGCCCTTTCTCTACTCCGTACCGTCATAGCTACACTACGTTGCCAGACAGCGCAGGCAAACTATAGTAGAGGACCTCTACGGAGGCAGTTGACCACAGCGATGACGATCGCGCGTGTTCTGACGGAAAGCCGGCGAATCGCGGGGTCATTCGCCTCTGAGCTAAACCTCAGCCGAGGGGCTTGAACGGCGGAGTTGTAGAGAGCACTAGGGATGATGCACTGATCAGCGTCGACCGAGTTATTAATAGTTAAGGTTCGTCGGCATGATGGAGGGCCAAGGCTGGTGGCGTTGGGTTCGGGTAAACTACCGTAGAATCTCTCTCTGGACGGTCCCAACCCCCCTTTCAGAGTACCTAGCGTCCGGGACCCAATTGCCTCTCTACCTGCATGCTACGTTGCCTCCCCCTAATAGCGAGCGGTGTTTGCCTCCCCGGGAGAATGTGACCCTTCGGCCCTTCGGGGGCATGTAACCTACGCAGGGAAAGGTGGAGAGTAGACTACCCACCTATGCCATCCATGTGTTGAGACATTCGGTGGTATGTGCTGACGCCTTGTAACACGCCTGCTATGTCCTGTAGATGCTCTCTGTAGCGCGCGCATGGGTTGCGACGCGGCTTTGAGGTGGGCGATCCAGGGATGTTGGCAGTATAGTTTCCATACATAGCCACCAAACAGCTGTGACAGCCCAGCCTCCCCCTTCCCCATCCAGCGGCCCATTCATCATCTATGTGAGTTTCCCGGGTTAATGAAATGACGGCCCAAACCAATAGGGTGCTTTGCAGGCTCCATCTGCAGATGCTGCGCTTGCTTGTGTTGTCTCCTTAACGGTGTCGTCAGCTTGGTCACGGATACTACGTACGCAAACTATGACCTACCACGAGCTGTACGGAGTAGAAGAAGGGTTGATCAGAGTTACGGGGCCAACGGGATGGCGCAGCAGACGGTAGCGGCAATGCCGAGAGAGACGGATAGCCCATCGCCAAGCCCAAGCCCTGCCCAATAGCAGTAGACTGACTATTACTCTCCCCGCCTTTGTTGAGGCTCCTCTCGTATTTGCCATGTTCCCTCCCTATAGGCACACTATACTAGAGGTCTCTATGATGTCAATCGGCTCTGCACTGCCCATGATTGGCATCACGAAAAAGATCTCCGCTGGGCGGAGCACCCCCGCGCAGCCTTGCCCCTGCACCCCATGATTAGTTACGAGGTGATGGTTGACGGACGGGACGGGGTTCCTGAGAAAGCTCTGATGGCACCACGACAACCGGTGGGTATTGCCATTGTGAGCCATCTTTGATATAAAAGGGATTGGATAGAGCCGCCGTAATACCGGTTGTGACACCTCTCACTCATTCCATCTTCGCCCTCATCAACAGTCACTCAACTCTAATACCGATCTAATAATCAACCGACCACACCAGTCTTTACATCCACACTCACTCGAACAACACCCAACCCTATTACCAGTATGCAGTTCACCAACGCCCTCGTTGCGGCCACCTTGGCCTCCGCCGTCTCTGGCGCCTCCATCCCTTCGCAAGTCTACGCCCGTCAGAACGGAACGGCCAACAGCACGCTGCCCGCCTACTTCAAGCTCCAAGTCGTTGCCATCGACACACCTCTCCACCTGCAGCACTTCCAGGCGGCCCAGAGCAGCATCTTCGTCGGGCTCCCCAAGCAGAACGCCACCTGCGACATCACCCCGGACCAGCCTACCGAGCAGGAGGCCACCTTCACCTTGGACTCTGAGGACAACGGACTCTACCTCTACGCCGCCTCGACGACGCCCCAGCAGCTCTTCGCCGACCTCTCCGGCATGGGTCAGGGCAAGCTCGGCTACACCACCGGCGCACAGCCTGCCCCCCGCAACGCCCAGCGCACCGGCTGGGAGCTCGACGAGGCTGGCCACCTGATGTTCGATAACGCCGGCTTCACCGCCTGCCCCAACAGCATCGAGGGCTCATGGAGCGTCTGGGTTTACAACAGCATTGACAACCCCGGCGGCAACAAGGACTGCGTCCGCATCGCCGCCCGCCCCGTCGCGATCCCCAAGCCCAACGGCTGCAGTTACACCTCCTAAGCGGGGGTGCATATCGTGCTTGACAACGAGCAACTCACCCTGTGAGAATCGATAGCGGTTAGACAAAATAATAACGGACCAAAAGGTGGGGGGAGGGCATGACGGCCAGCCCCTGTGATATCTATATAATGGCGGGGGGGAGGGGATAGGTTTTGTATTCTTGCCATGGCATAGCATGGCCGACATGGGCACGTATGTGCTTTTAGTGTCTTCTATACCTAAAATAACATCACATTTCTCACGCATTAATTTTGCTACAAAAACTTTGTTTTTTCTAACACGATGTGACCGTCACATGTTCGACTTTGTGGTTTTGGGACACCCGACTCGTGTACGTGCATGCGCCTCAACTCTCTCATTTAACAGGGGACCTGTCATCCTGGTCGGCTGCTGCAGCCAAGGGAGAAAATATCGCTGGTTCCTTTGATTGGCAATGCTTCGGTCGTCCTTGGCACGGGGTGTATGTACTCTCGGTTGTCCACGTCTGAGGGGCCCGAAGGAAGAATGTCTTACTGGGGGGATGCAACGACGAGTGGTAGCTAGCGATCGGTCGCGGACACTCATCCCGTCACCACAACCACAATTGAAATGGAGAAAATAGGTAGGTGAAGAGAATGGATTTCGGCAGCCTAGCCCTACCCCGTCTAACCCTCAACCGCGGCGATGCCCTCCTTGTCCCCCTCTAGCTTGGCCTTGGAGAAATCCGGGTCGTTCGTCGGCAGCTCCACGTGCCACTTTGACATCTGCGCCGCGCTGATCTCGACGTCGCCGTCCGTCCCGAGGGACAGGATGTGGCCGCCCTGGGTCCGGTCCTCGGTGATGAAGTGCAGGTGGTCGCCGGCGACGCTGATGCCCATGGTGTACTCGGGGGAACGGAAGCCGATGACATAACCGCGCACCGGCTCCTCGAAGGTATGCGAGACCTGGTTCCTGCCGACCTCCATCAGGCCCTCGCCCGGCCTGGTCTGGCCGGCGGCGGTGCGCACCGTGATGCCCTTGAAGACGCCCTCGATGCGGATGGCCAGGAAGAAGTTGCGCGAGTCGGGGAAGCGGCTGGACAGGTGGGCGAAGAGGGCCTTCTTGTCGGCGAAGGCGGCCTTGAAGGTGACGGTCGGGCGGAAGCGGGTGACCATGGCGAAGGGGGCGACGGCGTCCGAGGCAGGGCTCGTGTCGACGGGGGTCACGGTGTTGTCCGACTTCATCTGGTAGAGCTTGCCGTCGAGCATGACCATCTCGCCGCGCATGTAGCGGAACGTGCCGAGGCCGTGGTCCCCGTGGGAGACGAGCTCCGAGATCGGCAGGCCCTCGGAGGCGACGCCGTCCATGAGGGCCGAGATGATGGAGTACTGGAAGACCTCGTTGACGGCCATGCTTTTGTTGGGATGAAGGATGGATGAGCGAAGTCGAGAGAGAGAGAGAGAGAGAGAGAGAGACGAGGTAAAGATGAGAGAGCCCAAGGTTTAGTAATTGAGCAAATAGAGTTTAGGTAATTAGACTTTCCGTCTGAAAGGGATATACCGACTCGACTACGGTAGGTAGACTAACCCTAACCCTCGCACCTTGGGAACTGCCTTCTTGTCTGTCTCTGGTTCCTGATTTGTTGAGCCATCAACAGATACGCCTTCCTGGTCCCACACGACGACTTTGGGCTGTTGGGCGCTGACGTCAGTCGCACGGCATGGCATCGTCGGCATCGTCAGCATCACCGCCTCACATACACATACACATACACACACATACACATAGACACACTCTCTCCCCCTCTCCCTCTCTGCCTGTTCCTCTCTGTCATCGTGCCGTCGTGCCGTCATTGAGAGATATTAAATCCTGCTGCATGCGTGCTTATCAACGTTTTTCGCCAGAGTCCTTTTGTGTTTGACGAAAACGGCCTACTTCCCCCAACATTCATTCCATCATCAGAGCGCTTGATTGTTAAATGCCACCCTTTTCCCAAACACTTGATTGACCCAGCCGGGCTCTCGTCCCGCTAAGAAACCTCTAATAGCCTACTGCATCGCCGAAAAATGTCGACAGAAACAGTCGACGTCGTTATCGACTCCCTCGTCAACGCCGGCGTCACCCACATCTTCGGCGTCCCGGGTGCCAAGATCGACTCCGTCTTCAACGCCCTCACCGACCGTCCCGAGATCAAGCTCGTCGTCTGCCGCCATGAGCAGAACGCCGCCTTCATCGCCGGCGCCATCGGCAGGATCACAGGCAGACCCGGCGTCTGCATAGCCACCTCCGGCCCCGGCACCAGCAACCTGGTTACCGGTCTCGTGACCGCCAACGACGAGGGAGCCCCCGTCGTCGCCCTCGTCGGCGACGTCAAGCGCATCCAGGCCGCCAAGAAGACGCACCAGAGTCTGCGCGGCGTTGCGCTGCTCGAGCCCGTCACCAAGAAAGCCACCGGCGCCGTGCATCCCGACCAGATCTCGGAAATCATGCTCGACGCCTTCAGGACCGCTGCCGCCCACCCCCAAGGCGCCACCGTCGTGAGCCTGCCAACCGACATCATGACGGTCGGCACCAAGACCTCCATCCCTGCGTTGCCGCCGAACGCCTTCATCCCGCCCCAGTACGGCACGTCTCCGTCCGCTTCCCTGAGCCGCGCCGCGTCCATGATCCAAAACGCAAAGTTTCCCGTGCTGTTCCTCGGCACCAGGGCAGCCACCCCAGAGGCCGTCCAGGCCGTCCATGGATTCCTGCGGAAGCACCCGATTCCCGTTGTCGAGACCTTCCAGGCGGCCGGTTCTATCAGCCGAGAGCTGGCCCATCTCTTCTTCGGCCGCATCGGTCTCTTCCGCAACCAGCCGGGCGACAAGCTCCTTGCCCAGGCTGATCTCGTCATCGTCGCGGGCTACGACCAGTCGGAGTACGACGCCGATGCTTGGCATAAGAACCAAAGCCTCGAGATCCTCCACCTCGACTGGATCCCCGCCGACTACGGCACCTTCTACAACCCCAAGCTCGAGCTCGTGGGCTCCATTGCCGCCAATGTCAAGGCCCTCAGCGACATGCTCGCAAACGTTTCCCGGCCACAAGAGTCCGAGCTGGCAAAGGCCATCTTTACCGAATTCCACGCCTGGGAGCAGAGCCCTGAGGCCCTTGGCCGAACGGGCGACGGCCCGGTTCACCCTCTCTACTTCATCAAGCTGATGCAGGGCATGCTGCCCCCGTCGCCAACCGTTGCGTCTGACGTAGGCAGCATGTACATCTGGCTCTCCCGCTTCTACTTCGCCTACAGCCCCAAGTCCTTCCTCGTCTCCAACGTCCAGCAGACCCTCGGCGTCGCCCTGCCCTGGGCCATCGGCGCATCAATGGCCCAAGATCCGCCGTGCTCGCGGAAAGTCATCAGCATCAGCGGCGACGGCGGTTTCCTCTACAGCGGACAGGAGCTGGTGACTGCCGTGCGGCACGGGTGCAACATCACGCACTTCATCTGGAACGACGGAAAGTATAACATGGTGGAGTTTCAGGAGGTGGACAAGTACGGACGCAGTTCAGGCGTCGACCTGGGAGGGGTCGATTTCGTCAAGTACGCCGAGGCGTTTGGCGCCAAAGGCTTGCGCGTCAGCCGTTCGTCGGAACTGGAGGCTGTCATGAAGGAGGCGCTGAGCCACCAGGGGGTGTGCGTGGTCGATATTGAGATTGACTACTCGCATAACTCCGAGCTCATGAAGAACGTCATCCAGGACAACATTAGTTAGAGTTTCAAGGGGAATGGATAGAGAAATACTATACAATGCGCAGTTGCGGTCAGCTGGCCGTTCCGTCTGTCTGTCCATCGTATATCAAGCAACCCTTACCTTTTTTCTTTTTCTTTTTCTTGAACCCCCCTCCTTTCCCTTTGCGCCTGAAAGACGCGATAAGCCTCGACGGGAGCTCGGAAAACCTTGCTTTACTATGTCCCCGAAAGGGCACGGCAAACGGAATTGGAATTTGACCCGAGTCTTCACCCTCTTTATTCCTTTAGACGGCCGCCACCCCCGGATTGGTGTAATCTACTTGAAGCCAGAGTGCCGGGTCTGACGCGTCTTATCGAAGACACCGGAGGTTTTACCACATCGTCAGGCCTGCAAAGTCAAAATGCGAGTGTTGGTTGTTACTTAGCCAAACAGACAACTTGGCTTGCCTGGCGCCCTCATCCCTCCTACCCTCCCTAAAGGCTGTTTTGTTTCTGTCGCAGGGGTCAAGAACGGCAAGGCACAATGACCGTCGCTTTGAGCAGAATAGATCCATTCAGCTCTACAAGTCTCCCAAGGACTCAAGGAGATATGTGGTAAACTCCGAGGGTTCCTGTCAACCTGCCCCCCCCCCCCCCCCCCTTCACCCACCTCAAGACCTGGGCACGCACCGCAGCCCGGCCAGAACCGACGAACCCGCCGGCCGGACAGAGCCATTGCAGCGGTACGTACAAGCAGATGGCCAGTTGGTGACCAGAGCTCCAGAAGCGGCCATCTGTTTCGGCTTTGTGCTAATGCCAGCACCTTGAGGTGATTTATAAGCCGTGATTGGTCATGTCTAGCTAGCTCCCGTCAATGCAGATTCATCTCATGACGAAGTGAGGTGACGGCCAATGCATCACGACATTGGCTGTCTAATGATGCAACTTGAGACCCATTGCTGGGAATCGGTAATCAGCTATCGGACGCTCCATCTGTTCCGTTCCGTCTGTCGCAATTCACTCAAATATTGGGCCCCTCTCAACCTGCCAGCTAGTCTTTATATGTAACCAGGGAGAGAGAGAACCGGCCAAGCCCTCAAGTTTCAAAACATTCACGAACCCCGCCTCGCAGCTAGACAGACCAGAGACACATATCGCCTACATTGCCATCCACCGCCATGTCCACCGCCGCCCCCAGGATCAAGCTGTACACTAACCACAGGTGCCCTTGTAAGTGAATCCTAGGACAGCATAAACTCATCATTGGGCCCGTCCCCGTCTATGTTTTACAAAGCCCCCACCCCCACCCCCCCCCATTCCCGACCCCCTTCACACCCTCCTCTCCGTAGAGCACTCCGGTCATGTGCGGAGGAGCACCGGAGCACGGCGATAGAATGCTATCCCAAGACCATCCGCTCCGCGTTCTAACACGACCGCCATCCCAGGGGCTCAACGTGTACACATCGCCCTCGCCGAGCTCGGCCTCCCCTTCGAGGAGGAGATCGTCGACCTCTCGGTGCCCCGCACGCAGGAGTACCTCAAGATCAACCCGCGCGGCCTGGTCCCGTCGCTCTCGTACGACGGCGAGATCGTGACCGAGTCCGCCATCGTCAGCCAGTTCCTCGCCGACGCGCACCCCTCGCACCTCCTCCCCGCCGCGGGCTCCAAGGACGCCGCCCTCCGCCGGGCGCGCGTCAACTTCTTCGTCGACACCTTCTTCAGCAAGGCCAACTCGCTGCTGCTCAAGATGCAGCTTGCCGGTTCCGACGCCGAGGTTCAGGAGTTCGCTGCGAACTACGTCGACGTCATCGCGAAGGAGATCGAGCCGCTCCTGAAGGACGCCGCGCCCTACTTTGGCGGAAGCGATAAGGTCACCTTGGCCGAGGTGAGTGAGTGAGAGAGAGAGAGTGTGTGTGTGTGAGAGAGAGTGAGAGTGAGAGTGAGAGTGAGAGAGAGTGAGAGAGAGAGAGAGTGAGTGAGAGAGAGTGAGTGAGAGAGAGTGAGTGAGTGAGAGATAGAGAAGGGGGGAGAGAAGGAGATCCTACTAGTGGCGCGCTGCCCATTGGGGCGACCTTGCGTGGAATTACCAAAGGGAAACGGACACATGCTGAGAAAAAGTACGCGTGCTAGGTTCTCACCGGCTCCTTTACCCTAAGGCTCGTCAGCTTCGCAAAGCACGGCCTCATCCCGGAGAGCGTCCTCAGTTCCCTGGAGCAGAAGGCCCCCAACTTCTACAAGTGGGCTCAGGCAGTGAACAACACGCCCAGCGTCAATGGAATCTACGACGAGGAGAAGGTCGTCGAGCTTACGAAGCAAAGACTGGCCAACATGAAGGCTGCGAAAGTTTGAAAAGAGGAACCTCGGCCCCCCCCCCCCCCCCCTACGTCACCTCGTAACCCCCTCGTCCCCCTCCCATAAAGTCATTACGAAATAGCGTCCTGTCGCAGGGCTTTCCGGAAGTATAGCGGTTCAGTCTAGTTAGCATCAGAAAATACTTTGTTCCCTTTGGGTGCCGCCTCACTTTTTGAGTTGGTCATTCCCACTTCGGGATGAAGGTCTGCTGACAGGAAAAAGCCGATGGATCGAGCGTTTATCGCGAGGCGTGTCATTGTGAAAGACTGTTCTTTTGGCTGGTTTTGGGAAGCGTCTTCCGAAAGACCTATTCCGGCAGGTTCAGTTATCAAAATACATGCTACTGTGTTTCTATCCAGAGACCTTCCATTTTGTGTCCAGCCTTGGCTGCGTATCTCAGTTGTCGATAGACCGTGTAATCAACAAGTGAAAGCCACGCCAGCAGGCTTTCGGATTTCTTTTTCAGCGAGGACTTATTTGATACTGTGCCATTTTTTCAGATCGCGCCTTTGAAACCAGTTAAAACTACATGTGCTTTCTGACGGTCTGCCCGTGCAGGCTATTGGCCTTAGCAGACACATAGTTTCAGCGACAAATGATCACCGTACGAGCAGGACAATGCTTCAAGCACTATACGGGATTGTCTCCAACGCCCTGGTCAACCCGGGAGCCGTTGATCAGCTTGTTTTGCTATTTACCCACTCCCCCCCCTCCTTCGCCAGCCTTTCGCAGTAGGCAACACCTCATCATCTGGTGTAAGCGAAGCTAGATAGTGAAACTACAATCCCATCATGACCAGAAGGCCAATTACTAGAATACCGAACTGCACAGGAGGCAGAAAACCTAATCGTGGTGGGTTAACTGCCGATGTTTGATATTCACATGGCTAATGCAAGAGCCAGCTGGTTTGGTAGAAAGTCTAAAACCATTTCAGGCTATAGGAGCTTTCCACGGTTGCCCTCGTCACAAGAAGACAAGTCCGAAGTATCACTTGGCACACAGCTCCGTCGTTCGACCAGAATCGCCTCCGAGAGGCAGCACCGACTCGGTGTCTGACGCGGTATCCGTCAAGACTGCGCGTACGCTTGACGCCGCTCTGGAGGGAATCTGCATGCGCTAATGGCCGAGACCATGTCCCGCTGGTTTGACTTTCTCGTTCCCAGAAAAGGGTAGGAGGAATTTCCTAGTTCAAGACGGAGCTTGGGGCCCCCCAGATAGTTTTTCCCAGGATCAAGCTCACAGCGAGCGGAAACCGATTGGAGGTCAAGGCCAAACGCGCCCACGACACTGCAGCTTCGTTCGCGGGAGGAGGGAGAGTATGGACGAAAAAGAAAAAGCGAATATACGCCGCCGCCTTCTCCTGGAAATCCGCCATCACTCCCAGCACGTCCATCTTACAACGATATCATATTCCAGACTATAATATTAACCCGAACCCTGACCTCTGCCCTGTTAGATTCTACGGGACAGTAATTCATTCGGTAGAGTTTCTATATGGATTAAAGTAGATAAGGATGTTAATGAGGGGCTATTGAAATAGAATATGGGACCGTCTAGAGTTCAGCGGCGGATGAGCAGGAGTGGGCGGCGGGATATCACAGCCTAAATGAAAAGACACGATTCGGACCCGACCCCTCCCCAAGAATCTGACCAAGCGGAAGAGGGTTCCTCGACAGCCCCGGCGGCGGCCCCCCACACACACACACCGAATATCGAGCAAAGGGCAATTTATCTCCAGATGCTGTTGAGGACGACCAGCGTCGGATTGTGTGACAGGTTTCGTTTCTGTTGGAAGAGGGGGGTCGCAGGAATACATCGAAGTCTAAAAAGAGTTTCTACTTGGCCACAGCGGGAACAGCTGCAAACCAGACCAAGCATTGACCCCCCTCTGCTTCCAGGCATTGGCCTCGGAGCCTTTCTCCAGTATCAACTATGAGTGGTTGGTTTGATGGGGGAATAGATAGACAATGGACGTGAGAGGCTTGGCATCCTTCTCGAAGCTGTCCACCGAAACACGCCAAGCGTACAACATCAGGCTGTACATGTACCTACATCCCAGCCGGATAGAAAGCAGGGATGGCGCTGCGGAGGAGCTGGGACGGGCGCAACTCTAGACTGCCTTGCACTAGTAAACTACAACCCGATGCCATGAGGACACGGGCTTTGCAGCCCGGCGTATGGCATATTGCTGGGCGAGAGGACGACTGGAAAGGAGGGGGCTATCATGCAACTCGGCCGCTTGTCGACCGACAATACATAGGGCACATACTAGATACTTCAAGCCAGATACATACACACAGACGCAGGTCCAATGAAATTCCTGGCACAGAAAGCCAGACGCACACCTTATCCTCCTCGGAGCTTTCGTCCCAGCACACACAAGACCATGCAACGCCTTAGCCATTGGTGCGGAGCCGCAACGTAAGGGGGGCGGAAAGCTTGGTACGCTTGGTCCGCCACAGAGGCCCATTCGCGTTGTTTTCCGCAGCTGTCCAAGCCGTACCGTCTGAAGCAGAGACTAGTCATCCTTGAAATCCCAAGCTTCAATGGGCGAACCTGTCCAGCTGCGAACGGTACCCTTGGGGAGGAGATGGGGAGGCGTTGATAACATCGTTTCTTCCCACCCCCCGCATCGACCCGGACTGCTTGTATCTCCAGCCGACTGCATCCCATGAAAAGCTCAGCCAAGACGGGGAAAACCCATTTTGCTGTTTTCTAAACCTGATACCCGGGGAATTGGTAACGTGCCCGCCCCCAGCGTGTGGCGAGCTGGCTGGCGCCTTGCCCTGCTGACGTCGATAGCGTCGCTTCGACCCGCAGATCTGCCAACGTCCAACCTGCATGGAGTTACGCGCGCCAGCGGCGGCAACGGATCACTACTTTGCTACTTCGATATGAGGTCACTAATATCGGCGGCGGCCTCAGTTGGCCTGCTATGGATCGTGTGTTTTGCTTTCTCGATAGCCGGCGTCGCCGGGGACGATCATCGAGAAATTTACGCCGAACAAAACGTGCAGCTGCTCGCGAGACAGCAGTTGCCTGACCTCAGCAACATATCAACGTGTGGAGTGAGTGGTAGATAGAGCAGCGGTCGGGGGCATAGACTAGTCCACTTTGGCTAACACCATTCCACACTCAGTTGAACTGCCTCGTTCAGGGTATCCAGGGGGTCGGATGCGACCTTACCAACACGACATGCTCCTGCGAAAGTACCGATCTGGGCCAACTGGTTGTCCCTTGCCTGTTGGACAACTGCACAATGCAAGATTCTCTAGGTGGGTGACCTAGAACCGGACGCTGGCGCGCCTGATGCCCCAGAGACGGAAGGGAACGCTGACCACAGTGGCAGACCTCGCGAAGCTCCAGGCCAAACAGTGCAACCTCCCACACGAATCCCAGACGACAAAGGTTCTCGCGATCCTCATTACGGTGTTCGCAACTGCATCCGTTGCTGTTGGCTTGCGGCTTGTTGCAAAGAACATGGCGAAGACATGGAGTCTGGATGATGCCCTGATAATCTCCGCCTTGGTGAGCACACAAAACCCATTTAGATATGAGTATGGCACCTGCGAGCTAACACATTCTACAGGCTCTCTGTATTGCCCCCGTGACCTTTATAATACTGAGTATGTTCCATGGTATCCGGGCATTGTTGGTACGAGAATGCAGCTGACAGGCCGCAGTGGTAAAACAAGGATTTGGGACGCATATTTACGACCTTGAGCCGGGCGACCTGTCCGACATATTACGACTCCGTGAGTGAGCCATGCAACAATCTTTCTACCCGTGGAGACAGCTGACCCAGATACAAAAGTATACGCTGCCGAAATTGTATATGTCATTGTCTTACTCTTGGCGAAACTCTCCCTGGTCATCTTCTACTTGAAGATCTTCGTCGTAAAAATGTTCCGCATTGCCGCCTACTCACTGATTGGGTTTCTCCTCGTCGGACAGGTCGTCATCGGGTTTCTTACGGTGTTTTCCTGCCACCCCATTGAGAAGTTCTGGAACAGGAACATTCACACGGGCGGCTGTCTCGATGTCAACCAACTGGCATACGCCAATTCTGCCTTGGCCATCATCCAGGACCTGATCATCCTTGCGCTGCCCATAGCGATGCTCCCAGGGCTGCAGATGAACCTCAACAAGAAGATTTCTGTCGCGATTGTCTTCCTTCTCGGCTCGATAGGCTTCATCTCCACAATCATCCGGCTGCAAGTCCTCTCCGTTTTCGGCAACTCCATCGACCCGACGTGGGATTACGCCCCCGTGGTGTGGTGGACGACGGTCGAGCTCGGCGTGGTAATTGTCTGCGCGTGCGCGCCCATGATTCGCAACCTGATCGAGAAGGTGTTCCTGGGATTCACCCTCTTCAGCAAATCGACAAACCAAAAGTCGTCGAATAAGGGCAGCTTTTCGTCCTCGAGCGGCAGCGAGAACTTGAAGAAGATGGGGCATTGTCAGAAGTTCGGGCGAGTCCACAGCCCACTTCAGTTCAGCGATAACTACGTCCGCGATCACATCACCAGATCGGCCGGGCAACCGGTCCCACCGAAAGATGGCCGGACGGTCCCCTTCCGCTACCGAGACATGTATGCCTATCGGGGGTCAGAGACGCCCAAGGTGCTGGAGCCCTCGATACAGCCGTTCGATCTCTCGTGGAGGTCCACGAACCCTTACGGCATCGAGAAGGAGACGCTCAAAGACAGGGTTGGGAAGACGAATTATGACATAGACATTGAGATGCTGGAGAGGAAAGCGAAGAAGGGCGTGATTGTGGAGGAGGTCGAGCACTGTCCTCTCTGCGGGTGGCGGGAATGCGAACACATGTAGCAGCATCGCGCATCTTCCGAATAAATCGTCAAATATCCATTTGATTCTGAATTGAAGCTCACCCAATAGACGTGTTAGCATGGTTGTTGTTGTTCTTGTTATTGTTGTATCGGTAACTCGTCCAACCGGAGGTAGTCCGGTTGGGCCCATAATCCATCCGGCCGGGGCGGGGCCGGTATCCGCCCGGAACAAGCCGGCGAGGGCGGTGTGGGTTATACCCGTTTATGACCGACGACACTAGCTGGCACTGATAACAAAGTATACCATACTCCCTATCATCAACCTTTGCTCGTTATCTTTCTTCTGTCGAAACGGAATAAACAAAGATACGCGGAAATGCGGGGCGTCACACACATCGGGCATGGCGTTCGCGCCTATCTCCTCACTCGAACATTCCCCCGCCCCCCTCCCAAAGCTGCGGTCTTGGTTTGCTCGCCCATCCGTGTGGAAAAGAGAGGCCCGATTCCATCGATTAGAAAAAGCTCATGACCCAGCGATCTTGGAAACACAACCCAAACGGCCGGGCTTTAGCATCGATAAAACAGCCCCTGTAGGGATACGCGCACAAACACCGAACCGTTAAGGTTTGTCGCTTCCGCCGTCGCGTGTTTCGCCAATCCCAAAAAAGCCTCCTCCGAGCCTTGGCTTGAACGAATCTGGGTCGAAAGCCGCGTCGCATCTTGAACTCGCAGCGCGTCCGTGAAACATGCGCGTCCTCTCCCTCCAGTCTCCGAGGCTGCTCACCGCGCCCCTCAGCCTCCTCTTCCTCCTCCAGGTCTCCCCAACAATCGGGTGCGTCAGCGAATGCAGCGCCGCGACTTCGCAAGACCCGATCACCGCCCCGCGGCTGGTGGTCGAGGGGGACGATGGCGTCAGCCTCGCCACGCGGGCCTACTGGATGCGCCAGGCGAACCTGGCGCTCCCCAACCCCTGCCCGTTCGCGGCCTTTGGCTCCGTCGTCGTCAACCACACAGCTGCGGGCTTGGGCGAACTGATCTGCACTGGCGCGAACAACAACAGCGTCTCGGGCAACCCGACGTTTCATGGTGACCCGTCCCAACCCTCCCGGCTCCCTCACCGAGAGCAGGGTCTGCTTCATCCGTTGACCCAGGCGTGCTGACTGTGAAGCAAGGCGAAATGGTGGCCATCAACAACTGCTCCGCGATATTCGTGGACCCCCAGGGACCGTTCAAGATGACGCCGGCCGAGGCCCTCGCCGCCTTCGCTGACCTGACGCTCTACACCAACGCCGAGAGCTGCCCGATGTGCGCGTCGGCGATCCGCTGGGCCGGCTTCAAGGAGTACGTCTACGGCACGAGCATCGACGCCCTCATCGAGAACGGGTGGGGCCAGATTAACGTCAGCTCCAGCTACATCTTTGAGGAGTCGACCGGCCTGCCCCGTCAGACGGGGTTGATTGGTCCGGTCTTGACAAACGAGACGGACGTATTCTTCGGTTGGCAGTACGTGCCTGATGCGCCGTGTCCCCAGGGCTGCTCCAGGGTTCGGGACCGAGGCGTGTGCAGTCCTGCATGAGGTGTCAGAGTTGACCGGAATGTTCTATTCGGGGGATTGGGCCGTGGTACAGCAGCGAACCCCATCCCACTGAGGCAAGACCACATATCTGGCAGGTGACATCGTCCATAATCGCAGCTTGCCGATGTCTCATACATGGACCCAAAGCGTTCATATGTCGTCAGCATTGGCCTCCAGCCACCTGTATGTGAATTGGGTTTCTATGTTAGAGCTCTGGCACTAGTGCGGCGAACTCACGCTTGGCTGGCAGAGATCCAGAGGCACGGAGGTATCTCGCGATAGGAGGCATCTCGCGATATCATATGTCAGTCAACAAACACTAGAGTAGAATACACGAGTAATTTTTCCAACGGGCAATCAACAGAAATCACACCCTGACCGGAATGAAGAGACCTGCAGAATGAAACGCGAATTGACGATCGCTTACGTCTTATTTTAAAACTCGAGGCCCTGCTCTCATGGCAGAGTCCAATGAGGCGATAGTCAGCTACCGTAATCCAAGTAGTTAACAGTCTCAAGCATTGTTTCCATGTGGTTCAAGGATGGCCAGGCTGAGCCGAGTTCGATATGGGAAATGCACTGTAACATAACTTTCCCAACGTAAACATTCGACACGAATCTTGCCTAATTGTTCTTGGAACTTGCAACTTCTAGCGGGATTCCTTCTTGGATATATTGCTTAGTTCGAGGCCGACCCATAATCCTGATCAAACAACCCATCCGGCACCAATGGCTAGCTTGCACTGTCATCGGGAGCACTGCTACTAGCCGAGCGTGATCGCCGCACGTGAGAATCACAAAGATGGCGTGATTGGATAGCCGCTGCTCCGCATCCTGACTCGTCGCACCCGACTTCTCCTCTCAATCTTCAACCTTTACCTCAAAGTTGGGCCAAGAACCGCAGACCTGCTCCAAAAAATGACCATGGTCACACATGCAACGCCTCCAACGCCGCAAAGTGATCTGAAAACAGTCGTCGAATCTAGGACTCGGGAGTGGCACTTCCACATTTATTTCCTACTCCAGTCGCCCAAGGAGACTGCTGCCGCACTCGCCCTCCGTGATGCCGTCTTGAAGCTGCGCCGTGATGGTAAGTTGGACGAATGATACACGAGACAGGAGGCGTGGCATTGCGAGTCACTGAACTCTCTCACTAGGCGCCTTCGTTGCTGTTCCCTTGTTCAGGGTTAACGAGCATCCCATGGGACCGCACCCCGCAGGATCATATGAAAGTGAGTCAAGTTAGCTTATAGGATAAGATTGGACGTAGTGGATTGACTTGGGTTGTATAGTCTGGGTGCCGGACTCTTCATTCTCCGACGTGTTCTTCTACTTGGCGTCGAACCGAGGCAACTTGAGGTGAGTTCGTTTTGGGCCTCTTCCTTAACGCAGCCTTACGATCAATCTCGCTCAGCAATTACGGTTAAAATGTCCTTGGGCATCTTTCTAACACGTTCAAGTGTCCTCGTCCACCCTCTAACTTCAAGCCAACGACGAGATCACGAGACCCGGAACGCCTGGATGGGTACGCCGTGGCCGATTTACTTGGATGTTCTGCCGGCTGAGGGTGACATTCCACTTCAATACCCGGAACTGGGACTGGGATGGTCCACGTCCCCTAAACAGGAAATTTCCTTGGAGGAGCGGCGTCGGAAAGGCGCGGAAGTTGAGGCTTTACTGGCCAACGATCCAGAAGCTGCTCCTGCGCCCAAGGATCTGTGACAATCTGATTTGCTCAAGACACTGCGTCAAGGCCTATCGATGTCAAGAGTACCAAGGACGGTGATTTCAAACCGAGTTCGAGGCAATAGAAGCCTGGCTAGGCTCCAAGCCAAATAAGGAAGCGAAAGCTGTGGCAACCCAGCATCAATGGAAATCAGTCAGGTTCTTGTCTGCATCCGTTCTGGGAACAAGTAGTGACTTGGCCCCATTAAGTCTCGCAATGTATCAAAGTATAAAGCGAGCCTAATCGGATGTCGAAACCTACCCACTTCCAGATTCGCAGTTGCTGTAGTCTACAGACTGTTGTGCAGCATAGATCCCAGTGAGATGATTCCAAGGAAGAAACCACCACCACTGCGTGAAAATTTTGCCCCTTCAAAATAATTGTTTGGACTCTTCTTGAGTGACGTGTCTGAAGAACCCCTCCCTAATATTGCCCCAAGCAGGATTTCAAACTGGTAGTTACTTTGGGATTTCATGCATACATCCGGGAATAGCTATGGTCTGACGGATTCAATCAACACCCTTGGACGCCGGACCGGTATACTAGTAACGATTGGGGAATTGCTAGCGGCTTCTTTGTTGTCTGCTGGTTTGTAATGATAGCTTTAGACTGTTTGCCTCAGTCCAACACAGCTCCAGGGACAAGTAGCACACAAGAATATGTTTGCAGGTCACCGGGCCAATATAATAGTCATCTTAGGCGACGTGCAGCATCTGTATGAGGGGTCGCGGTAGCTTAGGCTTCAGGCATTGCGCCCTTTGCATTCAGGCGTGGGACAATGTTACAACGCAGCCAGCGTTATAAGGACGTATCTCACAGCCAGAGATATCTCCCTCTTTTCTTTTCTTTTTCACTAAATCCTATCAATAATTCTCACAAGTGCCCAATCCGGCGTTGATTTGCTGCCCGTAAGTTTAGATCCTATGTCAAACCGTCTCGATCGAGCAGATCCATTATCTGGACTTCGGCCTGATTGCAGTTTTACCCAGCTAGACACTGAGCACTACATGAAAAATGAAACAAGTTGCCTTTATGGTCGCTACAGTGTTCGCAGATGTGTCTTGCGCGGCCTTCTGTGCTGCGTCTGCTTACGTTGGGTCCGGCCGGCCCGGGAGCTGTACCGGGCAGAACCTCGCCTACGGAAACTTATCCCGAAGGGGTGTCAGCGATTGTTTCACGGCAATAAACGGTGCCTGTGGCCTGGTGGTTAACAAGGCGCGAGGAGGTGGCTGTAACTGCAGCGTCAACTTTTTCTCCGGGGGAGATTGCAATCAAACTTTGGTGGGCACACTGGCATGTAATAGAATCGGTTCGTCGCTGCAGGTCAACTTCGATCACTTCAACATTGGATGTTATTAAACCGGAGGCAAGATTCACCTCTAATTACAAAGAGATTCGGTAAGAGGACTTCACTCATATCAACGTTATCTTTGTCCGCGTATCAGAGTTGGTGCAGGTCATCAGCTTCCACCCTCTCATCATTCAAATGCGTGTGATGCCATTGCTTTGCAGTACAGTCATTGTATTTATAATGTCACCCCATAGACCTGACCTTATAAATCGCCTACCAAGGATACTTTCGCACCTCTTCCTCCTTTTTTAAGTCCAGCCCTCGATCCAACTGCTTTTGATGCTCATTATCAAGGTACTCCAGCAGAACCTCCCCAAACCTCTCTCGACCCTTGTAATTCGCTACTTTCTCGTCCCAACTGCGAACAGCGCTTGCAAGTCTGCCAGGGACGTAGTCCTCTGAAGCCATCTCTGTGATAGGATGGAAATAGGTGCGAATCGTGAATACTATCGCTTTGCTCTTGGGAAGGCGACGTAGGGATTGCCTTTCTGAGCGGAAGTAGTGATGCTCTATGGCTTTGTCTTTCTCGGCCGTACTCCAGCTGACCACAGGACTGTCCTCTCCACCAATGCTCCAGCTCCATGGCAGCGAGTCGTCGAGTTGAATGAAGTAATTGTTGCGGGAGTAGATTTGGTCGCAACGTAGGCGCTTGAAGAAGCTGGCCATACCGTTGTGCAGCTTCTCCTTGTAGTGGGGGACATCGCCTGATGTGTGGATCTCCTCGAGAGACATACCGAACTTGTCGCGCAGTCGCCAGAAGCCTGCGAGGAGGATGGCCCCGGCGAGAAAGTAGTATTTGCCATCAGGTCGCTCCATCATAATGGCAAGATCGTCTTGGACCAGCTTAGCAGCAATAGCCATGGGGTCTTCTTTGAGCGGTCTTTCAGTAACGTTGAAAGACTCTCCAGACCATATGTTGTCAAGTCCAACGGCGGTGCGCTTGAACAGCGTAGGATATCGGGCAGGCAGGTACTGAGCCAGCTCTTCCAAAAGCTCAATGGCTGCCGGGTAGGCCTCGGGGGAGGTTGCGAAACATTTATCGCCTCTTTCCTGGATCCGATTTGTCTTGTCGCTGTAGAATTTGGGGAACTGGTTATCGAGCTCAATCCATTCATCTGGCTGGATCGAGCGAAGTCCCATCGTTGTATTGTACTTGGGACCGTAGCGGAATGCGCGATAAGGGAGCGGCTTCGTGTTATCGATGGACCAGTTAGGGTAAGGACTGGGAATTGGCATTCGCCATGATTCGGACTCTTGTCTGGACTTCTCATGGCCTTTCCTGGCCGGGTTGTTATTGTTTTTGAAATTGGCACCTTTGTTCCGTCGCAATGCGCAATGTGATCGCCAAAGGATGAGTGCGGAAAACAGAGCGAGGAGCACGATAAGCAACTTCCACTCCTCTAGGCTGAGGGACTGTGAAGCCAGGAGTACCATGATTATTAAGTGTAGGATCAGTCTATCTTGTCAGACATAAAGTTTGCAATAAACAAAAGATGTCAAAGCGCCTTGCAGCCACATCAAAATCAGGCTTGCTGTGAGGGCGAAGGCAACTTATTAATGACATTGTCAGTCCAGACAGATCTCTTACGCAACTTATGTGTTGGAAGAATGCCCGCGCGCTTGATAGATCCTTTAGCCGATTGGCCTGCGTTAATACATCTGTATCCGATCTCCAGACCCGTTCCCCGCAAAGTCAGCCGCCTATGAGAACGGATTCCCCCCCACCAGACAGACATTCCCGAGATATGGATCGGAGCACTTGTCCGGATGGGGTAATTCTACCCTATCGAACTGTCTGTCGAATCAAAAGGTTGGTGTTCAACCTGTGCGCAGACTTGCGGAAGTGAAACCAACCTTGTTTCCGAAGTTGATTTTTATCACCGAAAGGTATTCTGTAGAATTTCCCAAAGAGGCATCTTTAGACAGCTCCATCTTTAGACAGCTCTTCCCTCCAAGCCATATATAATTATCTCTTAAACCCTGCAGCCTGCATGCACATATCCTCCAATACATCGAAACAACATCCTATCATTACCTTCCATATCTATTCTATTCCTTTGAGGGTCCAGCAATCACAATGGCTGCCTTCCAACACTACGCCAAAGCTCAGTCGACGTTTCAAATTCCCCTCCTCGGTGGTGACAATGCCTACCTTGGCGATGTCTTCTCTAGTGACGAGACGAACCCTGAAAAGCCCATCTCCTCCGGACTGTTCCGACTCAAGAAGGGCGAGCCCCTCACATACACATACAAGTACGACGAGATGAAGATCATTCTCGAGGGCGACTTTACGATATCCGATGAGACCGGCCAGAAGGTCGAGGCCAAGCCTGGCGACATTTTTCACATTCCGAAAGGCTCGACGGTTACCTTCACAACAAGCGACTACGGCCTAGCCTTTTACGTTGGTCAGCGGAAGAAGAGCGATTTCTAGGGTTCATCATGCGGCTTGACACCATCAGGTTTTCAATGCAGGCAGGTGCGGCGGCACAAAGGGTGCAATATGTAGAAGCAGTCATACATAGAGAATCCGAGAAGCACTCAACAGGTATACGGCTCGCAGAGTTCTGTTCTACTATACTATCTCTGAAATGTATTTCCTGAACGTTGTAATTTTCCACAATTTTCTTTGAACAAACTATTCAGATAACAGGCGTGCGAGTACCGAACATGAACTCATTAAAAGCCAGGTTCACCGTTATCCAAACATTGAGCGTAAATCATTATCTTCCATGACATCGATCCAATGAACTGTAGGTGATCCAATATCGTTGTCGTATGCCCGCCAGATACTCTGAACAAGCTCCTTCGCCACCACAACGGGCGTTGGCGGGAGACTACTCTCCAAAATGCTCAAGCGGCTCATCACAAAATGCCTAGCACTGCCAACGTCAAGGGTCATATTCGTCACCGAAGCCTCGTGCGCTGGTGCATCCGCCATCTGACTGATGTATAATGACAGGTTCTGGGAGTCCAATAACGGCGGCGGATTGACGAAAATTGACGCTGTGCCCCCCGCAAGATCTTGCTGAAGAGAAAGAAAACCGTGCAGGATATCGGGGACAGCCGGGGTGTCATGTCTTAGTCCTGTACTTGCTGAAATGTACAGCAGTGGCTGCACAACACGAGTCCCCGAAGTAGCTGGGATGTGTTCAAGCACCTTGACCAGTCGAAGGGCCAAAGGAATAATCCATTTGTCCCACGGCACGGAGCCACTCTCTGTCATGGGCGATTCCGCAGGGAGTCGTAACGAGACTAGGTCGGGAAAAGTTTGATAAAGGTGTAATAGCGAAGAGAGTCTGTATGCTTCGGCAATCCCGGCAAGGTGGGAAATGGGGGTGGAACTGTCGCCGGTGTCGACTTCTGGGTTCTCCGAGGGGATATCCAGTTCCAGGAGTTGCTCTTCAAGACGTTGGGCCACTATCAAATCTTGCAACGCACTTGAAAAGTATTTTTGAGGATCGATGGCCCGTCGAAGACGATGGCGAGCACGTCGACAAAGCCGAATGGATTCGGAGAAAAGTCGCGTTGTCAGGGTAGATACCCCCGTCCATGGATGGGGTGAGCGTTCTTCTACGACTTGAAGCTGGGCCGCAAAGTCTTCGTTGTCTTGGTCGAGAGGTTCGTCGTCGCGAACTACTGAAAGAAGCATCTCGCAGTAAGCTGAGCTCTTGTTGAAGAACAACAGCATATCCTGGTTTGAGCTCGAAAACATAGCTGACTGTGCATTAAGACGTCGAATGAGGGATCTCGCTTCTCTGAGGAAGGGCAGTCCGTAAAGACGCGAGTCTACCCAGCAAAGGGTTGTGCCCAGACAAAATAGAGAGAATATGAGGCCAGTCGGGACGGTTCGATATTCAGGCTGGGCCTTGACGACCTGAAGCTCGGCTTGGATGAAGTCCGTCGCCCTCTGCATGAGTCGTAATGCCGACTGCCGCATGCCCGGGAGACGCGATGCAAGGAAAGCGGCAGACATGGCCTCGAGAGAGCTGCAAACCGTTGCCGACGTCCGCCACAGGTCAATGGCTATTTTACGGTTGAGGTTTGTATTAGAATCAAACCCAGACCATGCCGGGCAGACCTGGTCAAACCAATTAATGACGAACGCAGAAGAAGTGTCGGCAAGGCCAGGAGTCAAAGAGTAGGGCGCTAGAGGGTCTTGATTGTTGGCCAATGGAGAATTCGGCGTTTGCGCCAACTCACTAACTGCCGTACGTCGAGGTGAGATGGGCTCTTCCAATGGCGCGCTTGTGCTCTCTCCGAACCCGCCGTCGTTTAAGCCGACTGCTTGCGGACTGTGTTCCTCCCTCTGTTCCCCTGTATCGTTTCGACTGGAAGTCGTGGAAGATGAAGATGAGACTGAATGGTGGCTTCTTGGGGAAACGGTGTCGTACGGCCCGGGTCTTGCCCTTTCGGCGCAAGCTCGACCATTTGATTCATCGTTCGTCGGCCGCTTCTTAGCTGTCTGCGTTGTGTTGAAATCCTCGAACGTCGAAGTTTGAAGAGCGGGCTGGTGTTTAAACGACCATCTTAGACCCTGCGCGAATCCTCCGCACTTGATTCCTTTCCGCGTACACTGTTGGCATGCTGGTCGCTTCTCGTCACATTTAAGCTGTACCGTCAAAAGTCATTAGTCCCCAGAAATTACTTGGTTGGATGCTCGAGAACGACGTACGTGTTTGGCTTTGCAAGTAACGCACCCTGATCTCGACCTGGAGCTGAGACCGGTTCTGGTTTTGATGACAGGTTTGGAATTCTTCGAGGGCACCATTGAACTAAGCAAGCTCGATAAGGTAGATGAATACGCGGCACTGAGCAATTACCCCGTTCCAAATGGCGGGGATATCGTGTCAATAACTCAGGCTCGCCAGGCACGCAGAGTTGATAGACCAGGAAGCTAAAAGCAGACGGTCAGATGTTTTTTCCAAAGTCACCAGTCGCCGGCCCTCATCGTGATCGGAAGAAGTCCCGCTTCATAGCGCGGCCCATGTACGGGGCCAGGAACGCGGGGGAGGGCATCTTATGACGAATTATGTACGGAGATTATGTAGCCCAGGGTACATTGGATGGTCGGCGATAAGCCTGTACCTTGGTTGATTGGCCGTGGAAAGCAATAGACACGAGCCTGCTAAAAGTAGGTCGCTGATGATCCGGGCTGACGTTGCAGGCCGATATCGCACAGAGTTCGTCAACGGCCTGCCTTCGCTGTAACCTCAGTTCTGCAGCGGCATAGCATAGGTGAGCGGGAATAAAAACCCATATTCGGGAAGTCCTGGTTGTGGGAAGATCATGATCTCTAACAGCGTTGAGGTTGAGCAACATTAGCCTGCATCAACTTTCAGGCGCGATCGTGTAGTATGACTCGAGTCATTCGCGGGGCACAAATACACAAGCGATAGACCGCGATTAGCCCAGTGTCTTTGACATTGAGGCATACACTCCGGTCTCCTCAGTTTTGTTGGGGTCACGGCGATAAGAAAACCAAGATCCAAGGAGTAACAGACCAAGAACACAGCAACCACCGGGGGAATCCCCGCATTATGCGGGCATCTGATCCAATCACGGAGCCTTTTGTTGTCTTCTATCTCTCCCGGTGCTGGGTGCCGCTTGCACAAGATAAGCCAGCAGCAATCTTTCCGTCTAGGCCAATGCATTTATACCGTGGTCACCGGAACCTTACAAGAAGTCCGCAGAATCAGCTAACGTTAGGGTAAGGATTAGTTTAGGGTTAGTTTCCAGTAGGATTATTATTTCTGTCTGCGTACAAAGGCTGCTGCTACTGCCTAGTTCTTGATGTAGTTAGAGATCGTCTACCAACCAGGAGGAGACCGTAAATCTACCTGCTATCATCGAGCCAGGAGAACCAGGAAACTATCTAACACTGTAGAGCTTTATTTCATTTTAAACAGGTGCTAACAAGTATACGTAGTAATGAAGTTCCGTTCCCGAGTAACGATTTCCCCAAGTTCCACGGATATTAGTTAATGGTTTCTACCTGAATCGTTATACCGCAATATCGCTCGGCATGATGAACTTGGTGTGTTCTGTTTCTCCACAAAACATACGTAAAGCAGACCAGCGACATGGCTGGGGGAATTATGATAATCTAGTAGTATATAACCCAGTACTTGAACCACAGAATGCGCACCATGTTCATAAATGACCGGCTCATGTTGCAGACTTTATTCTACAGTCCACTTCGTCTCCCGTCCTCTGAAAAACGGTGATTCCGGTAGAGTTTGAGTTTCCCAATTTCTCTCGATAAGACCGCTTTCGATTTGGTACCTCTCGAATTCCATCAAGGTTGGCTTCGCAACGTGCTCCACATGCCATACGCCTTTATACTTGAGAATACTTTCTTTACCCTCGTTAAGGACCTTGAGCACTATTGAAGGTATGTATGGCTCGTTCTTGAACTCATTGAGCGGGGTGAACAGAGCTTTGAAGTTGAAGACGACGGCGCCGGACAGTGGAAGACGACGCAACGTCTGCCAATCGACTCGTAGATAGATATCCTCAGGCTTCAAGTCGGGTTTTTGAGATTCACGATGAGCAAATTTAGGGTCTTCTGATGGCAGAAATAGAGGCTGGCCCACTTCGAGGCCCCATGACCCCCTTTGGATGGGCTTGTTTGTCGGCATCTTGGTGAAGAACCTAACCTGAGGTGAGTAATGGTTGGTATAGCGTAGGGTGCTTCTTACCGGTCCATGCTAAATTGCATCTTCTCCTTGTAATCAGGAACGCCCCCGTGGATGCCAGGGAGTCCCATGCCCAGTTTCTCACTAACCTTCCACCCGACAGCTGAGCACACAACGCCAGCTCGCAGCACATAGCGGCCGGTTTCATGATCCCTGATCATGACGGCAAAATCCTCGGGGATATTGTTCAGCAACACAACAAGCGGCTCGGTTCTTGAGAGGTCAGTCGTAGTTCCCAAGATGTTGTTGAACAGGATGTTGTCATCGCGCTTGAACTGGTTTGGATACCTCGCGCAAACGAACTGAATGGCCATCTCCATGAGCTCTTTGCAGGCGAGCTCCGAGCCCGGCAAAGTTGCCAAAACATCTTTGCCGTGCTTAGCATATAATTCTTGACGCTGGGCGATTCGGCTCTTATAGCTGTTTTCAAGCTCGATCCAAAAGTCCGTGTCCATCTTTGTTAACGCTTATGGTCGGCACGTGAGCCCAAGTCTTTTTCGACCAAATGAAGCTGACTTACACATGGTCTGATGATAAGCCCATCTGAACGGTCGATACGGCCGCGGGACCGCCTTATCAATGTTGAAACCTGTCAACGGCGATGGCAGGGGAACACCGGAGAGCGTTGCGTAGTCAGGGAAATCACCGAGAGACTGAATATCGGCGATGCTGAAACCACTAAAGTTGAATTCATCAGGGCTGGCAGTGCGGTAGTCTGCATCCAACTTGAGGAGAGGTTTCGTCGCGGTGGCCAAGTCAACCTCCTCCACGTTCGCATGTTGTGACCCAATCTCAACGAGTTTGGCTCTCTGGGACGGCGGAAATGAATTCACATAACTCAGATCCTGCCCCGTCTTCCCCAGAGTTTTCTCAGTTCCGTGACTAAATGAAGGGGCGCGGTTGAATCTCGAAAAGACCTTGCGGCTGTCAATGAGGGCGCTGATGAGATAAACCAAACAGCCAACAAAGGCAGCGATGCCAAGGGCTGCCGTGGTGGTATGGGAATTGCTAGTCTCTAGAGTAAAAAGCATCATGAAAAGAGGTCTTGCACACGTGGCGAATCAACAAGGACCGTATCTTTCTTCAGATGAAAGCTACAGGATATGAATCAAGTATCAACGGCTCATGGAAACATGAGTATCTGTTAGCTTCACTGTGATAGCAGGTTCGCGGTAAAGATGTATCAGGCAGATTTAGCCAGCTATCACCACGCGCTGTTGCCCAACGTGCCGCACGTTACATTGTACAGACCAAGAGCGTCGTCATACGGGCCTCTTCCTCCACACCATGCCCGGAAGCGGATAAATCATACGGCATGAACTCAAACAACTGCGGCGTGGCTGAGTCTAACCCGTTTTGTCAATTCTACCCGGCCGCCGCTTCTGCCAACTAACGATGCCGCGATAAGGAACATGGACATTGGGTGCGGGATAACCCCGCTTGATGACCACCCTCTCCGCCCAGCGCCCCATGCAGCGGCCGTGCAGACTCTAGTGATAGTACTGCGTAGGCACACAGTCAGGGTTCCCTTGCATGACATAGCCGTCAAGAAACATCTGGCTGTCTCAATGCCGAGCTGGCAAGTATTGGGGGTGAGGATCGGATGGATTATGACGCCTTGCTACCTCCCTTTTTCATGTATACACTCCGATTTGTTGAATCCAATTAATATCCTTTACCCCTGAGCCTCGCTGCTATTGGTTAGGATCATGAGTCCTGTTCCAATAGGTTACCGTATCCTCTCAGCAGATTCGTACACCGCACAGACCACCCACTAGGCCAATTTCGAAAGGCGGTCAGCCAGCCTAGCCACCCACCTAGCCATCTAACCCTAACCCTTGCCACCAAACTTGCTGCTGACGTTGACTAACCCTTGCATTTGCCACTTCTAGATCCCTGTTTCTGCCAGCCTGCTAGCCCCTATCCAGCAGCCCGTAGTCAGTGCGGTGTACGAATCTACTGAGAGGATACGGTAACCCGGTTGATTGCTGACAGGTAAACCCGCCGATCCTCCTCCCTTGCAATGGCCCCCCCTAAGCAGAGACCATGGTTCATTGCCCGGGGACCTAGTTCAATGCATCTTCATCTGTGTAGAAGCATACTCACCTCTTGTCTCACCAAAAGCTTTGTGAGCTTTCCTAACCAATGATCGACCTTATCCTTATCTCGATATCTTGCGGCGATGGAGGCTAAGACAATGATAAACATGCTTGGACTTTGCTACAGTGCTGGCGTGTGCTCTGTCTTATCTGCCTCTAATTTGAAGCTGTCGGACCCAAGTGATACCTACCAAGGAGATACAAACACAGGCTAATGGTAGCAATTTGAGAATAACAAATTTAAGCACGTGGTTCCCGTCGTTCCTTTTGGAGTACTTTTGCTCGGTTTCGTGGTTATGGTCCTTCAGCACCAAAAGAGAGCAAGTTGGCAAAGTATTTGACGATCTGCATAACACAACCCGCTGAGCTCGACTTCTGCACATCATGGCAGAAATTATCCCGGTGACGGAGTTCCCGGACTATGCCGTCGACCCAACAGGCGGCAACCCCATCACACATGATCTCAATGCGCCTTATGATAAGGTGAGCGATCATCGGCAGTAGCGCGAATGATTCATCGCTGCTATATCGACTACCGGTGAAATATACGCGTCTAACAAATGTATCCAAACTGTTTAGGGCGACCTCTGCTGGATGCTGGTATCCACCGTTCTATGCTGGCAGATCACGCCGGCCATTGGCTTTCTCTATGCCGGGATGCATCGTAGAAAGGCCGCAATGACGATGATATTGCAGTCTCTTTTTTGCGCTTGTGTTTGTGGACTGCAGTATTGGCTTTACGGCGCCTCGTTATATCAATCACGAACCACGAATCCTATTCTTGGCGACGTGTCACAGGCGGCCTTTCACAATATCTTGGCATCTCCATCCTTTGCAAACAAAGATATTCCGGATATCTTATGTAAGATCACATTCCAAAGCTGCGAGGCCTTTTCACTCATCAGACATGGAACCAGATGCTGCTTTTGGGTTTACATTCGTTACGGCGACGGCCATGATCTTGGCTGGCGCCATGCTTGAGCGTGGTCGCCTTGGTCCCAGCATGCTGTTTATCCTTTGCTGGACAACATTCGTTTACTACGTGTAAGTGGAAATATCATCGAGCCCCTTGCCTCCACGGCGGAGTATCCTGACGCTGTATAGTCTGGCATATTGGGAATGGAACCCCAGCGGCTGGCTCTATCAGCTTGGCCTTTACGACTTCGCCGGCTCCGGTCCGGTACATATTGCTAGCGGCTTCGGAGCCCTTGCATGGTCCATGATGCTGGGCCCCCGCATCGACGACAGCGGCTCGACGAGCAAGAGGCATATGCCCCATTTCAAAGCACACGACCCGCTGCTCATGACCCTCGGTACCGTTCTCATTTGGTTTGGGTGGTTTGCTTTCAACGGCGGCAGTACCGCAAACCTTAGCCTGAGGTCCATTTACGTCGTCGTGAACACCAACTTCGCTGCCTGTGGCGGCGGTGTGGCCTGGGCTGTATTGGACTACTTCTACATCAAGAAGTTCAGCCTGGTTGGCTTTTGCTCCGGTATCATCTCGGGCCTGGTTGGAATCACGCCCGCAGCTGGCTACGGTGCGTAATGTCACTCGCTTCGGTCTTCACCTTTTTCACGAAACGTCGGTCTAACACGTAGTCTCCAACAGTACTCGTATATGTATCACCACTGATTGGCATGCTGACAGCAATCTGCGCTTTTTACACAATCCGATACCAGCATCTCCTTCGCGTGGACGATGGCCTTGATATCTTCGCGATCCACGGCGTTGGCGGGTTTGTCGGTGACGTGCTGACCGGCATCTTCGCCCACAAGATGGTTCCTGCTCTTGACGGAGTCAGCGGGGACACGTACGAAGGTGGTTGGTGGAACGGCAATTTCAGACAACTGGGTCTGCAGCTGGCTGGTGCGACAACTTGTGCCGCCTGGTCCTTTTTCGTCTCATGCATTTTGCTGTTCGCCATCAACAAGATCCCCGGCATGCGTCTTCGTGTTAGCGAAGAGGACGAGATCAGAGGTCTTGATTTTGCGTATATCGACGACGTCATCTCGGATTATGATGGCGGCAATATGGTTATCCATAATGGCCAGGTTGTCGAGACACCGAGACCTGCCAGTTATTCCAAGAGTGCCTAGACCTTCCGTCGTTGTCATGTTTTTTTAGAGGCTTACATACACGCATATGATAGGCATTCAATAATTGCCTGCTTCTATGCATCCGCATCGTACGCTCTTCTGGGATAATGGACATGTCTAGAAGGAGAACTGCCTCGTCTCTGGAGGGCACAGCCTAAAAAATACACCGAAACACCACTTCGACTTTGTTCGTCAGTTGATTAGGTTGTAACACGACAACCGCGGAGCCAGCAGTGCACTATAACCCAATTGCAAAGATACAATACAGTGATGTGGGAAGGGGACCCTAGGCACTTGTGAATGTGCTAGTATCGGTTACTGGCTTTGCTTTGTGGCCAACGTGGTAGACCTGAGTGTTGAATATTGCTGAACGGGTTCTAGAAGGGTAAACTTCGTGTGATATCTGAGATAGATATTTTGTATAGACGTTGAGGACATTTTCCTATCCCTCTTTGTCTGATTATATGTATCTGCCGCCACAGCTCCAAGAACCGCGAATTGCATGCAGCTCCGTAACTTGAGAACATAACGGTTGCATTCAAATTAAGGGTCAGAAAAAAAACTCCGAAACCAACGAGAGCGGATTTCCCGCAAGGATAATGACTGTTATTAGTGATGAAAGTATCTACGCAGAGGCGTTTAGGGCAGAGTGAATATAATGTTGCTTGGGGAGCCCCTAAGAATCGACAAGGTGGCCAGGGTGTTCCCGCCCTATGAAGTGGTTCCTGTGTCCGGATTCAGCCTAAGCTGAAGCGGGTCACAGTTGTCAAATTACTTGTGCGACTCATGGCTCCTCGTCCCTCACATCACCCTTTAAACACCTCGATTTGATCGCCATTCGTGACCCTCACGGGACAAAAAGAGCCACACCATGGAAACTGAGGCCAAGGAACCGCTTGAGCAAAAGAGTTACTTGCCACTCGTCAACAAGGTCGACAAGTATGCGCCTCGGAACTCAACCCCTCATGAGAGTCACCTCATCACTAACTCAATCCTAGTGTCCCCTTGGACTTCGACTTCGACACGCTTTACAAGCTTATGCTCCCCAGGGACGCCAGGCCACATGGCTTCATGGTCCCAAGCACCGTCGAGCGCCTCCCCTGGACCTCGGACTTCCGCGTTGATCACGATGGACGCAAGGTTTACCTCCTCGACACCACTGGCAAGGGTAGCGAGGATCCCGGCAAGGCTTGCACCGCTGCGTTTCAGCGCGTCGTAGACGCCGCCATAGCATCCGAGTCTTTCCCCACGCTGAATAAGATGCACAGCGAGCACTTTCGGATCATAGGCGCAAACCACTTTGTGTCGATTGAGAGGTTCCCCGCCCCGCTGTTCGGAATTTCGTCGCGGGGTGCACACATGACGGCATTTGTGAGAACCGGCGACGAGATGAAGATTTGGGTTCCGAGGCGGAGCGCGCATCTGTTCACGTTTCCGGGCCTGCTTGACACAACTGTTGCAGGCGGAGTCAAGGCCGAAGACTCTCCCTTTGACTGCATTGTCGCCGAGGCCACTGAGGAGGCGTCGCTTCCCGTGGACTTTGTCAAGAAAAATGCCCGCGCGGTCGGGGCGGTCACGTATGTCAGTATGAACCAGCAGAAGGGCACATTCTTCCCGACTGTCCTCTACGTCTACGACCTTGAGCTTCCAGAGTCGATCGAGCCCGTACCTGGTGACGATGAGGTCTCCAGCTTCATGCTCATGAGCATTCCCCAGGTCAAAAGCGCCATGTTGGAGGGGCAATTCAAGCCCAATTGTGTTCTTGTCATGCTTGACTTCTTTATCCGCCATGATATCATCACTTCGGAAAACAACGATGAGTACCTGGAGATCGTCACGAGATTGCGGCGACACCTGCCTATACCCACAAGCAAGGAGATTAGGTAATGATACGAATGATAGTTACCATAGCCAAGAATGAGTCACACTGAGGTCCTTCAGATAGGAATTCTCCCGTTGGATCATGGGGGTTATTTTATTACATCCACCAATGTGCGTCTATAGATGACTTCAGTCCATATTCAAGAGCCTTTCACTGAATCTTGTGCCATACTTGAATTCGTCCCAGTCCTCCGCCCCAGGAGTCATGACGGCGTAGGGGACACCATTGGGGTTGCGCTTCATGTAAACCCTGAGCAGCGTCGACCTATCAGTCGATGTTAGTCATAAATCACCTTTTGAAAGTGCCCCATTGTTGGCTTATCTCATTGACATAGATGTTTCCCTCTGGCTCAGCCTGCCCCATGGCGTCTCTCGTCTTGGATGTTTCTCAAGACGTTCAGCAGTCTGCCCTCTTCTCCGGGCTAGCACCAGCGGGAACCGGCATAATGTTGATGGCGAAATCAGTCGCAACTCTGAAGGCGGCATGCGTGGCGATGTTTGACTCGGGCCACCCGTAACCAGCGTTCCACCTGTGTTCAATCGTGATTAGTCCTCTGGCTACACGTGCTTGGTGAGCAGTTTCGGGGAAGTCACGTACAAGTGTTCCACCATTACGCCGCTATTCCGCGAATCCTTGCAGTGACTGATAACTGTCTTGAAAGTACAAATGACCTGGTCATTGAGTTTTGAACATGTATGCCAGCATGGCTAAACAACTAGCCGCCTGTCAACGAGTATGCGCCCGCCGCCCTTAATTCGAAGAACAAGTCATTGATATCCTTGGCCGTTTACTATAACTTATATGCCGTGGGCGATGATGACCTCAAACTAGGGACGTTGTTTGCGGTCCTGTCGTGGAGGGTGGTCGACGGACTGTGGCCGCCTCCCACAACGAGACTACCGACAATTCCCACGTTAAGGCATTCACCTGTGGCGATTACAATATGAAGATTTTGAAAATTTGCCGCCCCCAATAGTGCGTGTCCGTGTACGTATGCCTGTCCCAATTGTGACAGTATGCTGCCGGTGTTACCGCCGCGACCAGCCCACCACTGGTCGAAATTGATATGAAACAGGCACCACGACCGGTGCTAAGGCCAGTGAAGTCGTGATATGTGTTGCTAATGATCAAGCTGGGGTTATGATCCCGGGCAAAATGGATGCCGGCCGTGATGTGCTGCCTTTGATTGCCTTGATCGCATAGAGACACCGTAGTTGTCTCGCGCGCATCGCTATACAGGGTTCCCTGTCGGTTGACTCGTCGCATTGATAACATACTTACAGAGGTTAAGGCCGTAGGGTTCAGCCACAATCGACCTGACGTTTGCTAGGACCAACAAAGTTGATATCGACACTCTAGGTTGTAAATATGGACTCACAGTCAGTGGCGGATTATATCAAGCTCGGAACAGGTTCCGTGAGAAGCTGACCCTTTATCGAGCGTAGTACTAGAATCACATTCTAGTGTTACTAATTAGCTTTATCGATAACTGCTTGCACTTGAGACTAATAGGGAGCAAGGTTCAGATCGTGTCTAGCCCAGATTCATGGACGCAAAGACAGCGTTATAGCAGGAATAACAGAGCACCTGAGTGAAAAGAACCTGATTGACTGATTTATGTACCATGAATCAACCATGTATGTAAGTATTGCCAGACATGCCACAGTGTGAGCTGGCTACATTACGCATATTTCTACATCTTCAAGAGATAGCCTTTCGGGACACCCGCAGACGCCACAAGAGTTCAATCTCTGACTGAGCAGAAAAACAGAGAGTATCTAATGTAACACACTTCTGAGTATTCGTTATGATTCTCAGGATCATTGGTGGAAATCACTTGGCTCCACCCATTCACTTCAGAAAGCTCAACATAATATGCCGCAGTGGCTTTGCCGAAGACCTGACCGGCGTCGAACCTCCTCACGCTAGACCTTAGAAGGCATTTTTATCATGCATAGAGATTACAAAGATTGTACTAATGCGGAGACTGCATGTCGGTCAGAGGAAGATGGAGTGTCAAGCTGTCGTCTCATGGGCTTGTCGACTTGCCGGCAGGAGCTAGGCGTCAAGACAACTAAGAGAAGACTATTTATGATGTGTCAAGCTGAGAAATGCATGAGACTACTGGTTTGCGCATGGAACTTTTGAAACGGATCCAGTGATGGCGTGACATTGAATCAGTTGGTCACCTGAACGTGCCGCTTCAAGCAGGCTTGGGTCCCAAAGCTGACGACATGATAGCATACCACACGAATCCTTGGTCCTCACCGGAAGATAGACTCATTTCACGTCTGCCCGAACCTCAAGACCCAAACATTGAGACTTGCAACCTTATTCTTCTTCAACGGTTTTCTCGGCCAGATTGCCTCGTGGTTCGCCTTAGGCTCTAATCCCTTCTCATCAACTTCAACATGGAAGATAAAGCAACAAAAGATTTTTGCCCAGTCTCAGGAGCCCTCTCTTCTTGTCTCTTTGCTTCAGTGATGGACTTTTGGTCGCAGCTTCTTCGACAAGAATCTTGGTTGTTAACCTTTTCACCCCAAGTTCCAGCTCCCGAAAGTCTTCAGAACTATAATGGCGAAGAGAAAGAACCAAACTCTCAAGACCTGAACATGAATTATGAGTCACGTTATTCGGAAGACAACGCATCGGATATAACAAGGTTTCTTCTGAGTGAAGAGCGTGATCGCTTGTGTCTGTGGAAATTTCAGTTCAGCGACGAGGATTTGGACCTTCTTAATCAAATCGAGCCCAACGTGTTCGGCGGTGCTGTTGTTCAATGCCTTGTAAGTATTGGCGAGGCGTTGACCAAAAATACAGGTATGTCGCCAGTATAAGTCAGAACCTCAGACCACTTGCCTAAGCTGATCGCATGAGCTTCTCCAAAATATGACACTCTATTCAAGACCTTGAGATGTTATACTAACTGTAAGCAGTTATCAGCAGTTGTGGGGAGTCAACTCATGATCTGGAAGCCAGCAAAGCGACTCTGGATGCAACTATTCGGGAGGGAAAGCGTCACATTCAAAGCATTTATCATGATGACGATATAGCCGAGACAATAGCCAGTACTGGGTATGAGGGCTCTGTTGCAACAGATTACACAGTTCCTGACGACAAGCCAACGAGCCTACATGAGAGTGTGAAGATCGAAATAGGAAAGCTACAAAGACTGAGCTTTCCGATAGCACAGACACTTGCTGGAAAGAAGGGTTAAGTGAGTGATGAGAATTACAGACAAGTTGTCGCCAGCTAATAAGTGATCAGTTCTATGTGTGAAATGCAACGAATGAGAAGCGATAACCAATTCGACGGAGATGGCAAATAACTTTTGAGATTCAAGACTGCGGGTCTGACACTGCGTATGAAATCCAAGGACTTTAGACAAAACCTCGGTTAATTCAAAAAGCTCTCTTTAACACCCAGAATATGTGAAGTCGTTCAGTACAGAACGTGTGAGAACATGTATTCTTGCGAGGCTGCAATTTCCCTTCCGAACCAGAACAATGAGATTCGCGGGACAACGTGACATAGAACGAAAACAGCTGGCTGGCAGCAGCCAAACAAGGTAGGTTCTTCGTCAACCATCCATGCCTGGCAGTTTCATGTGTTTGGTAAGATAAGCCAAGTTTTTTGCTGATGTCCCACCCCCAAAAAACAAGCCACCTTTCTTGACCACGTTGTTCTCAATGATGAGCTCGTCACGATGGTGGATTGATGTCTCATCCCCGCCGTCTCTGCCTAAATCGCCCCCAAAGAAAGTAGCGCCTTCGACTTGGTTCCGCTGCACCACGCTTCGAGTCTGGCCTGGGGCCAGGGGAGCGAGCTTGTAGTAAGGTGGTGGGTTCTGCAAATCTGCAAGATCGTGGTCGGTAAGATGCAACTCTCCCTTTTTATCCTTCCATGCACGTTGGTGAAGCAACTGCGCAAGGCGCAGCCCCTCCTCCAGGCCTGGGCACGTCTGAACGCGCTGGTCGACCTTGGTGACAAGCTCAACATTAACAATGATATCGCCCTTGCCCATCGATCTGATCAAACCAACCTGTGCCATTTGCAAAGCCAGGATCAACGTGGTCTTGGAGTCACTCAGCTCTGCGCGTAACATTTCAAGCCTCCGTTGCTCTCCAGGTCCTTTTTGGAGCTGATCCATGAACCTTTGGAACCCACCACCATTCTGAGACTTGTCCCTCAAGTCTTCTATCAGATTGCAAAGATCCTGGCCTTTTTTCGCCACCTGATGGGCTGCCTGGTTGACATGGTCCTGACGCAGTTCTGGCTCAGCCGCCAGAAGCTCAAGAACGGCGAGGGTGGCCTTGACGTCACCAATAACGCCATTGAGATACGATACTCCATTCTTCTGACGCATCCAGGCGTTTCTAGCTTGTTCAAGGAGGAGCACAGAACGAGTGAGGATGTCTATGCATGCCGCTACGGCCCCGAATGCTTCCTACACATCAGCCATAGATAAGCTTCAAAGTCTTTACAGCTACATTGACATTGAGGTTAGGACTTTGGGACCTACCATTTTGTTGATTTTGGGCACTTTTCGTCACTGCGGGTTATAAGGCCGAACGATAGGCGTTTTCAAGGACGGTATTCTTGGTTGAAAAGTGGAAATTCCACGAGCAAATGATCGAGGAAGAACTGAAGGGGAGGCTCCCAATACGAGGAACAAACCCCGCAACTGTAAAAGGGATAGCTGCATTGCGACTGAACTGGCATGATGCAGCGACGTGTGAATTGAGATGCCTCGAGTGACAACCACATGTATACTGAGAACTTGGCTGGATGGTTCGGAGATACGACTCTTCCCCCGGATAAATGGTTCGCATTTCGCGAGTCACCTGCCGAGTATGACACGCAGGCAGCATAATATGCATGCAGGTGTCGAACGCTGGAAGCAGGCTGTGGACTTGGAGGGGTAAGCTGAACCCACACTTGGAGGAGTTACCAACAAGAGAGTCTGCCCTTGAGCCATTGATAAGCAAGCCACAGGCTCGTGCAGATGGAAAGAAAGGGTGTGATCCGATGGCTGTGGCCTAGTGCAACACAATACTGTGTACTTCGGTCGCCTTCCACCCTCGCGAGCTCAACGAGACTATCGTGAGAGGGTAATTGATTGGTTATTAAGTCCCACGTATCTTTTCCCGAACACGAATGGTGTAAGGCCGGATCAAGGAAGAATGGAAGGCAGTAATACCTCTGGGCGGCGTTTCCCCAAGTTTGTAGCCGAGCTTCCTGGGGGTCCCAGATCCGCAAAAGCCTTCCTCAAATCATTATTATATACATCACCTGTATACCTACATCTATTGTCCCCGAGCTTTTCTCTTGCCTGCTCGACGGACGCCATAGTTTGGTTTGATCTCTTTTACTCACTTTCCCAAAATGCCCTTAGTTCCGGCTACGCAGTTAGGTCAGGGCTCTCAAGCCGTCCATGCCCATGAGAACGAGATTAGCACTGGTAGCGTTATGACAACCGCCCAGAGCCGGAACATCACAACCGCCCCAACTGGTGTCCAGAGCGAGATAGACAACAAGTCTGTTCACCATATCATCGTAAACGGTGGCACTTGCAATTGGTATCAACCAACACATCAACACGCGGAAAACTCCAGCGGTCAGGACATGAAGAACGACCAGCGATTATCATCAGGCTCGCCTATTCAGCGGCCCACTTTCGGCGCCGCTGATCTCATTACATCCACGTCGCCATCAGGCTCTGCTTTGTTGTCCCCATGCCTTACGACAGAACCACAAAGCCCTACTCAAAACGCGTGCTTACCTCTGCCGCCGCTTGAGTCGCCGTCTCTCGAGAAACATGGTCAGCGCTATGAGATGTTTTCTGTTCGGGTCGAGGGGGCCTATGATACTGTTCTTAGTCAACTCGACTCAAAGCGTTTCCGGAGGTCCAAAGAGACACGTCGTCGGTTCGACATCAAAGTCCAAAAGGCCTCATGCTTGAAGACCGTAAAATCTTTGGTCGGAGTTCTGGTCAGCCCGCCGCTGGAAGCCGCATCATCGCAAGACGCGAGCATCGAAGTCTGCACCCAGATTGATGATGCTCTCAACAGCCTCTGGATTCAATTGAGTTATCTTGCTCGCGATATCGCGAGATTCGGCCAAAGGTACGAGGTACGTTTGTCAAGAATGCGGTCTCTGTGCCCATTGACGTCTCTCAACTCACCGGATTGTAGCAGGACCGCCAATTGTCTCCTGAAGTTAGCCGGAAAGATCTTGTAGATGGATTCAAAGCACTTGAAACTGGTTTTGAACGTTTTGACAACGTCGCCTTCCAGCTAATCCAAGAACTTTCCCCACCCGACCTATCGTCGAGAACAGCAAATGCTCGCCATAACGACCTGGAGCTGAAGGAACTTGACAAGCTGTCGACCGAGGGTCGCATTTCAGCCATGCTCTACCAGTGTCTATGCAGAGCGTGCCCAGAACAGTGCCACACTCTGCACACCGCTTATCTCAGCCTTGAGCCAGAAGAGGCAGACACCCGCGCATCGCCAGACCCATCAGACACAACACGGATAATGTGGCGGTGTCATATGGCGTTCAAGTCCACCATAAAAAAGAAGATGCAGTTGATTTGGTACAGAGTCGTTTCATCTGAAATGGGCGACTCGGGACACCAAGAGCTAGCAATAGTTGATGAACAAACTAACTCAGAATGCGGCACGGAGCAGCACCAATTGAACAAAGAATCCAAACACAACCCCAAAAAGCGGCGAACAACGTCGACTCCCGCAGAGCCCCCTTCGAAAGTATCTAAAACGCGACCGGATCAAAGCATTCGAAGGATTTCCGAACCAGCTGCCTCTGGGAGTTCCGAGTTACCCAGTCAATTTTCAGTCTGTCCCGAGCTACTCGTGCAGCATGACCTCGATACTGTCGTCATGAAAATGACTGACGCCAGGGGATATAGTCATGATGTCTTTTACCTCCCCAGAGACAAGAGACCGCTTCACGACACCAAATTCGGCGATCCTGTCAGCCTTTCGGATATTCTTGGCAAAGGCCATCTCAAACGCCAGTACGACAAACTGTGCAGCAAGAAGCTATCGATGATCCGATTGTCCAGACTTATCGCCGAGGCGGTCTTGAGATTCGATCTGCGGGACCGGGATCCGAGTCCGGAACACAGTGTTGTCGTTTACATATCCCCCGAGAACGACCTTGCGCCATTCCTGGAGAGGGTCCTCACGAGAGCAAAAATGCCATCGATTGCGGCTGAAGACGACGACAATGCTTCTCAGCAAAGGTCTCTGCAGTTGCTCAAGCTCGGTGAGATTCTTCTACAGCTGGGGCTTCCTAAGCCACAACGAGTGAGAAGCCCGCCCTTGGAACCAAAAGACCGCAGGATATTCATCAAGTCGGCTGTGTCGGGTGTCCGCTCCAATATAAACAACGCCTTCTCCGATGTCATCATCTCGTGCGTTAAACTCTCGGCTAGATACGAAGACACAAGCAAGTGGCCCGAAGAGAATTTTAATCAAAGGTTTTATAGGAATATCGTGCAGCCGCTCAAGGATATTGAAAGGAATCTATCGCAGTATCAAATAGCCAAATATTGAGTGTTGGTATGAGGAAGCTACACCGTAACACAACCACAAGTATCAAAATGAGGATCGAAAGTTACTGTTTCTCGATTCGCGTGGCGTTGGTCTTGTTGTCGCTCCCAATCGTACCAACCTTGCGCACTCTTCAAACATGAATGTCAACCCTATCGGGTTCCATAGTTTCCTCGTCCATTTCTCCCAGTAATTGCTTGATCTCTTCCTTGTCCTCTGGAATGTGAAAAATTCCCGACTCAGAATACAAGGTACTTGACCCTATGGACATGGCCTCGGCGTTATCCAGTTCTGTGTCTTCTGTTTGCGGAGTCCTATATTGCGCCAAAATCTCCTCAAAGCCATCTCCATACTCTGATACGGTCTTGCTTCGATAAGCACCCATGGCCACTTTTGTGCTCTTCTTCCGAAGCGCTTCAATCGCTAGAGATGAGAACCATGTTTTCGGCTGATCGGTAATCGTGATGACTGCATGTAAGCGAAAGACAATCATTCAAAAACGGTGCAAGGCTACCAATCACCAGACCCTAGGATGATCGCATTTTGAATTATTAGCGGCAGGTTACACGGAACGGTGCACTGATGGATTTAGCGGTTGCTGTAGTTGGGGTTGATTCCGCCCTCCTTCGTTTCGTGTGGTGAGTAAAAGTGCATCATTCACATACTGTCACGAAATGAAGGATGACATCGATCGATGGCCCAGGGCCAACTGAAATGGATGCAAGCACTTGTAGGAGGAGTACAGGGATCGATCAGGACGCATTGGTGCTTATACCCAAGAATCTGGCTGCTGGTTTTCACCCTCGAAGACCGAACGCTAATTTTCTTGTTTCCTCAAGCCAACATCCAGCATGACACTATCAAAACAACTCCGAGCGATATGCCGGGAACAGTCCTTGCCCCGAGTGCCTCTTCTTGCACCTGTTCTGCGAACCGGCCAATGATGTTACCCCTCGGCCAGTATTCGCATACAAGGTACCACTGCCCGTCGTCGCACAATTTGCGGCCGCAGCCGACGTCGGTGGTGTTCTTCCACACGAGCTGCGTAAAATGGCCCGTTTTCTCGTCAAACTCTCCCCTATGGAAATCGTAGTCATCGCGCTCGTCGCCCCACGCCTCGACGCTGCGTGTTGCGTTGGGGTACCCCTTGGCCAGGTTCTCGCCATAGGGTCCGCCAGAGTGCTCAAAGTCGCAGCTGTCGCCCGGCATGTCGTCGAGGTATTCGGCCGCGAAGCCGGCGAGGGTGCCGTTCCAGGTCACGTCGGAGGCGTTGTGCTGGTAGCGGTATGAGTTTGTGCTATTGAGGACCGCCGACGTGAAGGCGTTGTCCGATGTCCATTCCGGCTCCGCGGTCGGGCTCGGTGGCCCTCGTGTTATTGTCACCACAGTCTGGGCCGACGCAAGCCAGGTGGCAAGGGAGAGTGCGGCAATGCTGGTGAGATGCATGGCGTAGGGCGTTGCCAGGTCGGTTTCAGTGATCAGCTTTACTTGCCAAATTCTACCCGTTGTGGCCAAATATTGAGATGAACGAATGCAACAGTCCATTGACGAGTCCCACGTCGTTGGGATGATACGATAACAATGGAGACATGGTCACGAGACACTAAGTAGGATACCGATTCCCTAATGGCTTGGTCAATAAAGGATGAAAACCTCTCCTGACCACGAGTCCTAGCCAGATAATTGGGCTGTCAGTCCGTGAGATGACGCATGCCGATCTTGTTAGGGGGGGTTCCAAGACTCACTGCCTGACGTTGACAGCAGTCCACCTACTTGCCGGGCCAATTGGCCGTGCTCCTCAGTGCCTTGGCAGCATCCCCAGTTTCTTGGGGCTGTTCATCCGGAGCTCTCGGGCAATCATGGTGGCGGCGGCGCAGGGCATGGGCCTATGCAGATCACAAAGTCTGCTTCATACCAAGGTGCGAGCCATGCTGTGCTAAATGGGCGGCGTGTTGCGTGTGCAGTATGATTCCATATTTGCTATGGATATGCTGTCGTCAGCTTGGGCGGGAGCAGAATGCGGACGATAAGCATTATACATGACCATAAAACAATGCACTGGAGGGAACGGATATGGTGAAGTACTACCTTGGCGTGAACCAACTAGACCGAAGGTGCGTCAGCCCCCGGTAGTTTGGACACAACTCAAGAGCCGATCATCAGAGCTGTATATAGTAGATCCTAACCAAATAACAGTCAACTTTAATGGACTCTACTCCGCAAGTGATTTTAGTAGGCACGCGGGGCCGTTGCCTCAACTGCTACAATAGACTGCATCTCTACCATCCGATGTTAGGTCAACAATAGGTCGAAAATGGTTCCGAGCCTGGCTCACCATTCGGTGAGGTCGGGAGCCAAAGTTTGATCTCATTTTGAAGACCTATTCTTGGAAAGGATAGTTTCGGGCCCCAACTGAACCCGCACGCCTTCGCGCCACCAACTCATATCGTAACACTGTGTTTTTGACCAGCTGAGTGAAAAGGAAGTGAGTATGTCTATCGAGTCTGGACGCAAACTAACGCAATGCTCGAAACGCCCTGCTTGTTTTACAGGAAACTACCACAAGGAGGTTTTTTGCATAGCCCGTCCGTCAGCGATGGTCTTCGGCATTAGATGCAGCCATTTATAGAAGCTCTCGAACCGCTCCGTCACGGAGATCCAGCCCAAGACGCCCCATTTTTGCATCAGCGGCGTTGCGATGTAAGTGAGAAAGATGCTCTGGACAAACTCAAACGGCATGGCGTACCGCGCCATGAATCAATTCCACCACGAAGCCCGTTCATGCATCCTCGTCATACGGGCCGAGGACTTGCGGTATGCCTGTACCTCCTCCTGCATCTCCTTCCGGTGCTCCTTGAACGCGCGCTCCAGGGCCGAGAAGTCAGTCGTCGCCGCGCCCGCCGCCTTCTTGCCGGACTCCTGCGGGACGTGAAGCTTTTGCAGCTTGTCGCAGACCATGACGACGTCCTGGATACCGGTGTTGGAACCGTGCCCAACGTTTGGCGTGAACTTGTGCGCGCTATCGCCTACGAGGATGATGCGGCCATCCCGGCTCCAGCTCTCGCATATGCCCTCCTCCAGGCCTGCGCCGCCGACATTGAAATGTTCTTCGAAAACGTCCTTCGAAAACGTTCTTCGCCTTAAGATCTCTGCCACATGCCATTGGGCAAACCTCTCGGGTGTATTCTTCAAGCTGCTTACTGCATATGGAGAAGGTGATGCGCTCTGCCGTTGGCTCGGGCAGCTTTTCATAGAGAAAGACCCATCCGCGCTCTCTGCCAGCTCAGTCCATGGCAGATCTATCGTTGCTTTGCATCTCGTAGCTCTGGCCGGATTCAGAGGGTCGTGGGAAGGAAGCCCATAGGCACTGATAGTTACTTTTGGAAGGCATCACGGGATCTCACCTACTCTTGGAGGAAGACGTCGAACAACAACCTGGTAGACTTGAACACCCGTTCATCGATGGTGAAGGCCTTATTGTCGAATAGTTCAGCGCTAATCTTGACAAGTTGATCGAAAATGCCGAACTGGTGGAGGATGCGCAGACTCGGGGCCGCGGGGACCAAGCTCGAGCCAAGGTCCTCGACGACGTTTGTCCTCCGCTCGAGCACAACAAAGTCGATGCCAGCGTGTTGTATGGCGTAGTGGCGGCTAAACCACTGGGGCCGCCGCCGACGATAATGACTTCAAACGGGTCGTTGGCCATAGGTCACGGTCGCACGGATTGTTAGTAGTCTGAGATTCCGGGCCTGGAATGACATGTTGCTAGATGATTCACATATTTTCTAGAGCTGCATAGTTCCTGAACAGATCAATATACCTACCGCTCTTAGCCTTTGACTACCGCCGTCATATCGTGCTTTGTATATTATGGCAATTCCACGGGATCGGGGGGAGCGGGCGTCCGTTCAGTGGTGCTACCACCTGATATGTGACCAAAATGGCTTTGTAATAGCCAGCACAATAGTAGAATAAAGTGACAAAGCCTGAGCTATGATATTCTAGACTTCCGTGGCACGTGAAATTCGTTGCCCTTCAAACCCCATGACTTGGCACATCTCCGAAGAATCCCCGAGTGAGTTGAGCCTGGGCCTCTTACGGAATGCATAATATCCCCATTCACCCGGTGATGGCACTTTATAATATGTCTTCTCTACGATTCCCACAAGACGTTGTAGGTTTTGGCAACCTTTTAGCTGATTGCCTTGCATGATGCACCACGCCCCGTGCTGGCAAGATCCCCAGCATGGATCTCGAACTCCTACACCTAGTCCGACTTGCCTAGCTTGTCCATTGTACTTTTGAACTCGTCAGCAGCCTTGCCTTCCCTGAGCATGAAGAATTGCTGTACCACTGCCCCGTCCGGTGCCGTCATGTCCTCGCGATCAACGGTGTGGAATCCGTATTTTTCATAGATGGGCTTGGCCGCGGCCACGGCCTCCAGAAACACCAGCTTGCCTTCCTCATCCGCTCTCGAGCAGCCCCATTTCATCAGAGGAGTTGCGGCACCCTTGCCCTGGTGCTCCCTCCGGCAAATGATGAGCTCCAGATAATAGTGACGGACCTCGCCCATGATCTCGGCATGCTTCCTCCCGAGGGTGCGGAAGAAGTAGTCGGCGAACTCCGGGTTGCCTTCCTTTGGCCATGTTTCCTTCGGAGGCATTGGCTCGACGTTGTGCCCACCGTTTTTGGCCGGGTATACCCATTTTGCGCATGCGATGGGGAGGTCGGGGTCGTCCTTGAAGTCTGAGTCTGTGATGACGAGCCACTGGAACCGCGGGTTGCCCATCTCCTCGATGAAGGACGCGGTGAGGAACTGGCGGCATGCTTGAGAGCTTGAAGGGAAACAATTTGTCGCCACCGGGCTGTCGTGGAACGCTGACAGGTAGATGGCGACTAGGGCCGGGCCGTCGGCCGGCGTAGCAAATCGCAGGTTGAGAGGCATGATTGGGCCAATCCGATCCTAGTCGTCGGCGGGATTTGTCGAAGAGAGACTTGCGCCGCCACAAACAACGTTGCGAAGGACTTTGCGCTTCAAATTTGAGCTTGGGTTTCAAAAGGGATCGAAATATCAAGCTGGAATATATATGGTCTGCTCAATCATTACTGACGCGCATAACGCGCCATTTTCTGTTTACGATGCGGGAGTGGCGCATACAACTTCTTCTTTTGGCAGTGAGTTGCGCCGGTGATTAATGTTGCCTATTATTACTTAGCTGATGCCGCGCAACAGCGGTAATGATGTTGCATAAGTGGGAAAGAAACATGACTGAAAGGATAATGTAAACAAACGATAAGTATGTATCAAAAAGTGTAAAAAACTTCTATTTGCGACAGAGATGAGATTTGAACTCATGCGGCCGAAGCCATGTGATTGCGATTCGAATTCGAGTCACACCCATTAACCACTCTGGCACTCTGCCCTGGTTGGGTGAACGGTAACGTCGGTATAAAGTTTTATATTCCATACCTAGTAGTACCAAGGTGCGAGTTTGGCCTGCGAGAATAGGGAGTCTCGAGGACTGGAGATGTTACATGACATATCACATTGCCGTCTCTGGTTATTCCTATAGTGGTGCTGTATTATCTTTACTCCTTCCATGTAATATACTAGAGACAGTTATATCCAGCCAAATGGGCCAGTTGTAACCCTGCATGCAATAACGCAGACAAATGTCTGCCTCTAGGACAACACATGTGGAGCTTGGTTGCATTCAGCCTAAAGCCTAAATCCAAGCTTAAGCGGCAGGTCGCTTCATCCTGGCAAGCGTGTTTTTCGGTTGTTCTCGGCCGCGGAGTGAAAAGGCGATCTGATCAACAGTATCCGTAGACCGCTCGCAATCAATCATCCACGCTCTATCCTACCACTATGCGTGCACTGCATGTATGCGACCCTACAGAGGCAGTCTTCGCCGGGTCTTAAAAGACTAGCTACAACTGTGGAGGCTTAGAACAACCATACCGTGATTGTTTCTCAGAGATCCAAGCAAAATTAAAATGCCATCTGACAGGCCGAGGTCTAACTGAAGCTATCGCGGCCCCTACACAGCTTAGAAATACGTTGCGACTGTTCAGCCGGATGGTTGCATGGCTGGTTTTGTGAACTGTAACATCGTCACCTGCAGTACCGTTGCTCTTCGTTCTGGCTGACAGTGCCTACTGCACATATTTACCTCAGGGTCGCTCACACTTGGCACGACAAGATCCGGTGACAGCGGAGGTACTTTGACTAGCCACGGCAGCACAACGAATCAAAAAGGCAGAACTCTCAAAGTCCCTCGGTCCAAAAGCTCTGCTGTGGTTGACAAAAAGTGTCAAGAGCTTGCGACATCGTAATCACCTTTCCCTTTCATCTAAGCAAACAATAAAGAACCTCTGTTGTGCGTTAATCACCGACAGACCACCCACTAAATGGCCTTATTTGAACGACGTTGTCGCCATTGCTTGGTCTATGCAGATCCTGCGCGATGATATGACAGGCGCTGAGGTGTCCCATGCAGGCTTGTTGCAACCCCGCGGACCACTGCATTCTGGAACTTTTGCGACGTGCAATGAATATCGCATTTCTTGGCTTGAGCCATGCATATGGGCAACGCAAGTACAAAAGGAAGGCCCTTTCTTTTGGTTCATTCTTGAAAAGTCTTGCTGTGATCCGTGTTGCCCTGCATTCAGGGTCCGACTTGTGGCTGTGTCTGCGTTCAATCACCCATCAAGATGAAAGCCGTACATTTGGGTCTTGCGATGAGCGCCCTCTCGGGGGTCTCCATCGCTAGGGAGCTGGAGCCCAACGCCGATCTATCAGCTTGGTATGACAGTGGCGCCGCCCATCAGGAGAACATGGACTACAAGATTGTATATCGGACAGTCGAGCCAATCCATCCGTTCAAGGGCTAACGTCGCATAGGCCCAATGGGAAGAAGCCGAGGCCGACGGGAAGTTTGACTCCGCTCAATGGACGGGACGCGTCAAGGACTATGTTGCTTGCAAGGACGGCAAGGTGGAGCTCGTCAAGGATGACCCTCTCCAAACCTTCAAATGCAAGGACGTTAGTATTATCTTGGGCCGGGTCAATCTTGAGATGAAACATCGTCTTACACCTACCAGATCGACCTCTACGACTTCCAGCCTCATGCGGCTTTCGGTAACTCTACCGGCAAAGGCTCAGGTTCTTGGGGTTGGACGGCTCCCAATGGCAGAGAGTTTTTCGCGATCGGTCAGCTAGATGGCACCGCCTTTGCAGAGATCAACAAGAACGGCAAGCTGGTCTAACTCGGCACCCTGCCGTACTACTCCGAGCCGAGCAGGTGGCGCGAGATCAAGACATACAAGAACTACCTGGTTGTTGGCAGCGAGGCTCCTGGGCACGGTTTCCAGTTCTTTGACTTGCGCAAGGTTAGAACTCGCCACCAATATCCCCAGGCCGCAGTGTTTGGGAAATCGGAATGAGCTGACGCGGATGAAGCTTCTCGACATTGACCCCGAGAACCCAGTTATATTTTCCAACGAGAAGGACTTGACAGCGCACTGGATTGAAGCCCTCCCCCTTGGCCGCAGTCATAATGTCGTTGTCAACGAGGAGAAGGGCTTTGCCGTTGCTGTCGGTGCCCAGCCTCGTCGTAACCTACCGTGCGACTCTGGTCTGCAGTTCCTCGACCTTGCAGACATTGCCAACCCCGTCTACCTGGGATGTGCTGCCGGCGACGGCTACGTGCATGATGCTCAATGCATTGTCTACCGCGGGCCCGATGTGAAGTACTGGGGGCGTGATATCTGCTACGGATACAATGAGGATACCTTGACCATGTCCGTTTCCCGCGGTCTTTTGAACACTATCTGTTCACCTCAAAATATGTGGACTGACCGCCGTGATAGCCACGATGTCACCGATAAGAACTTCACCAACATCATCTCTCGCACCAGTTACGAGGGCGCGACCTATACCCATCAAGGCTGGGTGTTCGAACCCAGCTGGCAGGAATTCCTCGTGCTTGATGACGAGATCGACGAGCGGAACAAGGCGGGCCCCGCCGCCGACGGCTTCCCGGTAACGTACTTCTGGGACATTCGGTCTCTCCAGAAACCAAAGCAGAGCGGCATCTTCAAGGGCACCGTCCGTAGTGTCGACCACAACCAGTTCATCCACCGCGGCCTGACGTACCAGAGCAACTACGGCGCCGGCCTCCGCATTCTGGACGTCTCGTCCGTTCGTTGGGACCCGACGTCCAAGCACGTCAAGGAGATCGCCTACTTTGACATCTTTCCCGAGGACGACAACGAGCCTGGCGGCGGTGCCAACAACTACACTGGTACCTGGAGCCACTACCCGTACTTCAAGAGCGGGTACGTCGTCATCAACACCATCGAACGCGGCGTTTGGGTTGTGAAGCGATCGAACCCGTGGTGGTGGCCGCGGTGAACTCTCATAGCCGTAATGCGCCAAATAACTGGAAACAATGACTCTTGGGACAGAGTAATGACGAGGAAAAAGAACTAGGAAATTGTTAACTTCTCGGTATATAGTATATCAGACGCAATGCAACCTTTTTATTCTTGAGCCTCTTCACTAATAATTCTAGTCCGCAATGTTCCGCAGTCATCGGCGCCCATAACGTTTCAGGCAAATGTTAATGGAGTTTATCATTGGAAGATTAGTTCCGCCTATACATTATGCTGTTCTATTTGATATCATCACTGATGTATGGTATGAAAGTGCCCTCTCACTTGACATCACTTTGCGATGGATCGACAGCCACGGTCATTAAAATGCCATGACAAACTCTGATGATCAGGGATTCAACACTTTCTGGAAGAAAAGTAAAGGAAAGCTAACCACTTGGCCCTTGAGAACGAATCTTTCTCCGGCAGAATATGTGCAAGTAGGCTGCCAGCACGGTTTTGGACGATATGGCAACGCGAAACAGAATAGTGCTGTCGTTCTCTTTGATCAGGCAATGTTTATCAAATACACCAGTGCCACTTCGGTAGGGAGTCTCTCTGAAATTGATAAATATAAACCTTAGCTGAGGTTCCCGCGGCAGGCTTGGTATTACTGCATCAACGTGAACCTCCATTCTCGTGCCAGTTTAGTCTTCATAACTGCGCCACACCAAAGGTGTTTTGAAGGCGTATTTTGTATGAGGAACTGAAGTTGGGTTCAACGACTGATGTAGCAGGGGACTAGCAATGGCACGTAGTCTCCACTAATTGCTCCCCGCACAGTGTAATGTAAGCCACTGGATGAGTATGTACAGTTGCATATCAGGTTACGTTGGAGGACTCTCTCGGCAAGCGTACCTTACTTAGTAAAGCAGGCTGACAGGGGGGTGTTGGACCCTTTGATAGGAAAACCGTCTCCTGTTCCAACAGATATAAAGTGGTGCTCATGATCCTCGAACCGTGACTCAGAAACTACCTTCTTTACACTCGATTGAAACCACCGCTAGAACCCTTGTTATCTTATCCACCCCTTAAGCGCAGTAACGGAGCTTGATAAGTCTTACTAAACCTGTCTCGACGCATACAACTACAATGGCGTCTCAAGACTCAACAAAAGTCCCCCTCGAAGTCGTCACTCCAAGGCTGATCATCCGCACCGCTGTCCAGTCAGACGCAGAGGCTTATCTGAATTATCTCACGAATCCCGACAACTTCCCGTTCCAGGAGCCCGAGAAGAACCTGACGATGGACAGGCTCCGCACGCGTATTGACAAATTCGCCGACTTCACGAGAAATGGCGAGAACGGCTGGGTCGTCATTGTGCTCCGAGACACGAATGAGTTGATCGGCAACGGTGGTTATAACACCTTTGAGTCCCTTGACCCCTCCGAGTTCCTCCCCGGGACAACGACCCTGCCGCCAGGGAAGAAGCGCATGACGGACCTCGGCATCGGCATAGACCACAAGCACTGGCGCAAAGGCTACGGCCTTGAGGCACTCGAGGGATTGGTTGAGCATGCTCGGTCAAACTTGGGCTGCGAGCTGTTTAGGACCGAGACGGGCGACGACAACCAGCCATGGAGGTCGCTGATGCGTACCGCCGGTCTCGGCGAATTTGAAGCTCGCAATCAAGCCAGCTACGACGCCAGTCAGGAGGTCTGGGTGTGGAAATTTGACGCGGGTCATTGGAACCAGTCGATGAACAAGCTTAAGGGAGATGGGAAATGGCTCATTTAAACGCTTCGGTCGGACGTAGATGCAACCGTAGTAATTGGCCAAAAGAAGAAACAGTTTTCAGCCGCTTGACGTTATCATCAAAACATCTTCACGGTTTTGTTCAACTCCGCTTATCTGGATTATCTAGTGTCGAGATAGTGAAGATATGGGAGAGCCCTCTCCCGTATGGACTATCCTTCGTGATATTCGCCAACATGTCTTCTTTTCATATTGGGATGTTCTAGGGCCGTACTGGGGCCTGTCCGGACGGCTAGCAAGGGATTTCTCGGTTGATGGGATTCGACGCCGATTTCAAAGAGAAATTACAATATTTCGATGATTAATTCGAAGGGGTTGACAGACATTAAAGCGAATCTTCGGTAGCCCGGGTGGCAATGTTGGGGCAACTCTTGAGCTAACCATGACCATCCACCTACCTCGATACATGACTCTGGGCAGAATATTAAAGTCATAGGCAGGCCTCACCACACTCGACACAGGCGGAGTATATAGCCCATAGGTCGCGGCACAGAAACTGGTGTTGCAACAGTATCATCAGGACTGGAACAACGTAGACATTCGTAACATAAAGCCATCCTTAAGGGCTCTCAGCCATCATTCCCGCATCAACAATACTGCTTCACTCACAATATAACATACCTTGAACATATTCACAAGATACGCAGCGCATAATATTGACACAAGAAAAGGTAACATATAGGTAAAGAAAGGTTTTTCTACGAGCAAGGCAACTAATGACAAACTCCTTAGCAAGTTAGGCTTCTTACGCTACGAGGGCGGCGACTGTGATACCGAGCTCGGCTACCTTGGGGTCAAATACTCACAGATCCACAACCTTATTTACACTGTGCCGATTGAGGTTGTCATATTTGCTACACCGGCGGATGTGTTTTAATCGTGTTGGAGACTGCATCTTCGATCCATGAGAAACCTAGGTCGTTGATCTCTCCAGCACCCCAATTGAGTTATGAGTATGAGTTTAGTATAAGAACTAATGTGACCCTATTGAGTGTGGATTGAAGTTGCCCACAGGAATAGGCGGAATAACCCTTGAAAATAATATCCAGCTTTCTGTATAGCTCGTCTTAAAGGGCCACAGCCCTGTGTTTGGAGAGCCATAGCAAGAAGCACCCTAGGATACTTTATGTTAAGGCTCTATTATAGAGCTTGGGGCCGGCTCGCAGTAAGCCTGGTCAGCCCGACTTGCTGTTGACGGAACGGCTCCCGAAATCGAGATGACCAGGATTAGTGATGGACCGAGCCACATCCTCTTGGCAATGAATGCTTTGAATGGTACGGTGAGGAGGGTTACTACAGGAGACAAGCTTGCAGCGTAAATAAACTAAATGCATGCTATATATGGGGTTGTGAACAGAACTGACGCAACCGGTCTCTCAGTTTCCTATGAGACTGGTTATCAGTGCTCTTACGCCTATCATTCAAAAACAGGTTCTTGTTTGAAACGTATCTATGTTTTCTGAAAAGTCCAAAGAAATTTTTTGTTACAACATACAGAATCATTGACTCTTGGCAGCTTTCTAAATGGCAATGTCCAGTTCAGTTCACGGCAGGGGGAGGTTGTTGGCCAGGGAGAGGAATGCTCTGGGGGTGAGCGGTGAACATGCCCTCGGGGTCGTACACAGTCTTGAGCCGTTGGAGCTTGGCGTAGTTCTTGCCGTACAACCGCTCGCTCCATTGGTCAACGGTAAGGGCGGTGTCACGATAGTTGACAAAGCCGCGCAGAGGCACACCCTCAGCCGCCAGCTGCTCCCTGAAGGGCTCGAGGCCGTTCTGCAAGTAGGAGAGGCCGTCGGCGGGGAACTTTGTGAGACCGGCCGCGAGGCGGCCCTCCCAGCGTATGAGCCACAAGCTGTTGGCGTGGGCGAAGGCGGTGTCCCCGTCCGAAAGGGACTTGGCGGGCTTCCCGCCCCAGAGGTCGATGAAGCCGAATTTTGTGAGGTCGGTGCGGTTGAAGGCCAGAGTGGTGAATTCGTAGAGAGCGGTGGCAAGCGTCTTGGTAAAGGGCTGGTCCTCGCGAAGGACGAGGGCCTGGAGGTAGAAGCTACGGGGAGGGTAAGCGTCGACGGGGACGTCGATGGATGGGGTGGCGACGTTCTCGACTGCCCAAAAGTCTTGAACGGTGCGGGTGAGCTGGGTGCCGCTCGGGAGCTTGTCGACGAGGGGCTTGAGCAGCGTGTCAAAGTCGTCGGGGTTGCCCCAATAGAAGCCAGAGCCGGTGTAGGGAGGGGCTGTCAGAGACCAGCGCATAGTCAGCTCATCAGGCCACCGGCCGGCGAGGTAGTGGTCCTGGATGGCGAGGAGGGCATCAACGCCGGCTCCGGGGGAGCTGTCGGTGAGGGTGATGGTGTAGTTGATGGCCTGCTGGTACGTTGGCTTCCAGGTCTTGGTGGTCAGATTGAGGATGATCCCGTACGAGCTGCCGGCACCCTGAAGAGCCCAGAAGAGATCGGGGTTCTCCGTGCGGGATGTCTTCACGACAGTACCGTTATATAGCATGTACGTGGCGCCCTCGAGGTAATCCATCGGGGTTCCGAGCATGCGGGACAGCGAGCCGAACCCGCCACCGATGGAGGACCCGACGAGGCCAACCATGTTGGCGCGGACGTGGGGGAACCGGGCACCGTGGGTTTTCCAGAGCCAACTAACGACAGGGCTCACGAGAGCACCGCCGCCATAGGTGAGCAAGCCAGTCGACTCGTCATAGCTGACCTCCTGGAAGTTGGTCATGTTGATGGTAAGGCCGGCGTTGGGGAGGCTGTACGAGCCATAGCAGTGGCCTCCATCACGGGCGGCGACGAGGACCTTGGCCTCCCTGGCGCAGGCAAGGGCGGCGGCGACCTCGTCAGCGGTCCTTGGCCAGGCGACACCAGCCGGGGTGGGGGTGATACGGCGTTGCCATGAACGTATGTCGTCGGGAAATGATGCGTTGGTCCCGGGAAAAGACGTGATGAGGCCGGCTGACTCGAGGCAAGTCTCCAGATCTTGGGCATGGGCGAACGCAGCAAGCGTGGCTATCGCGAAGGCAACGATAGCGGAAAGGCGGCCCATGATCGGAGTAGCGTTGACGTAGTGAAAGACTGAGGTTTTAGCTGACGAGTTTGGGAGAGAGGTCACCCAGGGCCTCTCGACCCAAGCAGGGAGAATACTCCTTTTAATATATCAAGTCGATTGTCATTGTAGCCTTTGATCATATAAATCTGTTTTCTTTTGTTATGAAAAGAACTCGGCCGCCCCAATCGTGTCATTCCGGAGCACGCGGAGAGAAATCAGCTAGCAGAAACCTTATAAGGTAGTATCCAATTACACATTCAGCCAGCGCTGCACGCCGAATCAGGGATGTACTAAGCTGGCAGTTTTGAAAACTGCTACTTATTGTAGCTAAAGCCGTCCATTGAAATGAGTGCCAAGAGAGCTAGTCAATGCAACCTATTCTTGAGGAGAACCCTTAGCGAAAGTCAAAATTGTTATCTTGTGGAGCTTACTTACTGTCTAGCGAGGTGAATATCTCATCACCAGTGTCATTGAGATCAGCCGAGTCGATTGGTGGGTTAAGGAAACATTAGCTTTTGCTTAGGATGTCCTTGATAGGTGATATGTGATCCTCCGCCAATCACAACAGCAGCACCCATAAGGTTACTGGCCATTGGGTTGTATAGTGTAGTGGTTATCACTCCAGATTTTGATTACATCAAGATTTCTGGTAACCCCGGTTCGAACCCGGGTACGACCTTGACTTTTGCTTTTTCTTTGTCTACTTACTTACGACTGTTAAACCAGGCTTTTACTAATGTTAGGCTTATTTTTTTACCCTAGCACGATTTGAGTGTAATTTATCCACCTGGCTTATTTCACTGCCGCTAGGTAGTTGCTACGTAATAGGGTTAATGTGAGATGACAAAAGCGGATCCGTAATTGCCACTACGCAATTACGGCCTATATCACGACAAAATACTTTAAATGCTCTGACGCTGGAAGCAAGAGTGAACAAACTGGGCTAATAATTTATTTGCATCCCCTGATTCCACGTGGAGTAAGTGGAAGGATAATGCACTTTGGTCCGCAAGATTAACCTCCGGGTTGTTTTGTTAAAATTCCATTCAGCTGCTGTTCAGCTGCTGTGGAAAGCATCATTAACGCTCCTCACTTAACCGGGCAAATATGTGCATTAGGACTCTGTACCAATGCCTCCTTGCGTAAATCATGATAGCCAAATGGCGTTTAGTTGAGACGCAAAGTCTCTCGGTCCGGCTCTAGGGCACGTTCTAATAGAGACTCAGGTTCCACGTCTATCTAACTCCAAGGTCCGCCTGGGTATACTAGTAAAGACTCTATCAACAAGCTTTTTAAACCTATGAACACGACGAATGCTGACGTTAAATACAACCTTAGCCTCGGTTTGTAGTTTTCCTCTGGTTTCCTACACTTGAAAGTCTACAGCTACCGGCTGTCTAAGTTGTAGACGCTTCAGCGTTTAGCATTGAGTAGATCTCATGTGCACTGCCCTAGCATCGAGGACCTCCATGGATGTTTCCTCTATAATTCCTAAAAGGAAGTGACTGTATTCTAGTGGCTCTGTGCTGATCTTCTGAGTGATGACGAGTACTAAGGCTTTGATCATAACAGTGAGGCAGCCTTTGGCTAAGGCGTTTGACTTTTACCTGGCCATTAACCAACGCGAGGTGTAGGGGGATATTCCTGGCTCTTCTTCTAGAAACAAACCTGACGACGAGATATTGGTTCCGTCTGCGCGTACCTTGTCTGCCGCGGTGGGGAACGTGCCGGCGCGGTTTACCTCAAAGGGATAATAGTGCCGCTAGACATTCAGCACTTTGCTCCCACAGAGCCGTTCGCCAAAGAGCTGACGATCAATAATGGGAGTTTCAAGAAGCAGAGCGGAAACTGTCCACGCCGATACCCAAAGGGGGCGGGGGGGCTATTTTGATACGTCTTAGAGGGTTCCCGAGCTACTGCGAAGGATATTGGTGGGGAACTCGGGAGCATGCTGCTTTTTCCTTTCCCGGGATTAATGAGTCGTGGCTTTGGAACGAGTCAACTTGCGATAATTACAGAAATCGTCCAAGGGAGGCATATAATTGAATGAGTTATGGGTGGGAGAATTGACGAGTTGGGAACTTACAGTTCACTTTGACGGACGCGAAGGTATCAGTTGCCGGTCAGAGCGCCGCATCGTAATTAATCCTGCATTTTCCCCTCGTTGATGGCCCCCGCAACTCAAGGATGCCTCAAGTTCAAAGTGTGCTTCCGATATATTTCATAAACTCACATTCCCTTCCTATTTCTGTTGTGGTAGGTTCACCTAGCCACGATATCCCCGCGCCAATAACCTAGCAATTCCAAATTGGGCCACACCATCCATGGTGCTGGGAATAATGTAAACTTGTTTTTCGTTTTTCATAGTCGCACGAGCCATGTGGGGGGACATTGTCAGTGAAGTTGTGCCCACAACGCAGCTTCGCGAACTGGTATCACTCGTCGGCACGGCCACATTAGTCGCGAACCCCTCTCAATAACAAATGATAACCAAGACCTATCGCGTTCGACCTTGACAAGCATCCAGCACTTCGCGTTTGGTTTCTGCGACGCCGTCCGCCGGAGGATCCCTGTCTCGATTCTCGTGCACTGTCCACCCAACACCCCCTTCGCGCGGGATCGTACATCTTCCCGCTCGACATTTACGCATCCCATCCCTCGTGCGCTGGTAAAGTACGGAATGATGTGCCGCCAATGCAAATCACGTCGAGACCCAACAGGCGCCGAAAGCCCGGATCCGAATGTAACAGGCTCTTGGTTCGGGGAAAGATGGATTTGTCAAGACAGCGATACCACACATGCTGTAGCTTTACCTGCGGAGACAACGTTTGGAAATATGCACGTCTTAGCGGGGGGTAGCAGCTAAGAGAACCTCGTCGAGGGGCCCGGAACTGGAGATGTCACTGAGAACCACAGGCCTTAACAAGAGTTTCTTTTAACCTTAAATACAACGATGCGCCGTTAGGAGTTGTCTCATAACGCGGCCAGGCAGTCGGGCGTACCATGTCTTTGCTGTGCAGCAGCCGGCACCCCCCGTTGCTGCGTGTTGCTTTTGCGTCCCATCATTTCCTAGTGATCTGGCTTCGCAGCCTCATTCACTCTCGAGAATGACAATATTCAAGTCATCTAAGTCTCCACTGCAACCGGAAATCGACATCGAGAAGGCTCGTTCGCCAAGCTACCTCGATCGCCTCCAGCGTGGCCTCGGCTTCCTCGGCCTGGCAACGGTCGGCGGCGGGACGGCGCTCGTCCTCGGCATCCTGGGATTCCTCCTCTTCCTATGGACGGCCGAAGGCCCAGATGACGGAAGAGGCGCGGCTGTCCTTTGGAGATGGATCATGCTCCGCCAGTATGTCACGCAAGCCATCACCTTGTTGACGGTCCTCCTACGCGTTGCCATCACCGCACAAGCCTCTATCTACACCAGTCTCATCGCAGGTGTTGTACTAGAGAGACATGGGGTCCCCCTCTCCCGAGTCGCCGAGATGTCTATTATCCGATGTATCAACGACGGGCCCCTGAGGTTGTCATGGCTGCTCGTCACATCAGCACGGAAGTCGTACATACAGGCTGGGCTGGTCATGCTGCTGCTCCTCACCACCGTTACTATTCAGTTCTCTTCAACATTCCTTGTTTCCGACTTGGGCGTCTCCTCCCTCATTGGGGGCGCGACGAACACGACTCTCCAAGCATACATGAGTACCGAAGTGATCTCGCTGAACCGCCAAATGAACAATTGGCCCCTCCGGCCGGCGTCTTACATGCCTTTTGGCGAGGCCCCCTCAGAAGCGGATGCACAGCCGAACCAGTTCGGTGTCAGCGACACCAAAGCTGTCCGTAGAACGTTCCTCCCCGTCCCGAGCGCGAAACTGTCTACACTCCGCCAGTACAACGGTGGCACATATGGCTTCGAATCGCGCTTCGTATGCATGCGCCCTTCAGTCTCTGCTGCCCTCTCGGTCCGCATGCCACCGCCGTTTTCAGACACGGTACCCTTTTTCCTACAAGTGAATGGCAACTTGTCCTACGGCACCATGTTCCGCGAAGCGGGCTTGCCGCTGCCACCAAACTGCGAAGATGGGAGCTGCTTTCCTTCCAGCTTCAATTGCTCCATACCGCAGTTCCAGTTTGCCCAGGCACAGGCGAGACAGGGTCTCGCAGACAGCCTGTGCGTCCCGAACGGCACCAACGCGCGGCCCAGCGCGCAGAACTATACAATCTCCGACGAGCCCGTGACCGCCTACTCCCAGGTGTTCCTCTTCTTCAGGAATAACGGCACGCATGACCTATGGCGAGCTCCCGGCAGCCGATTCCTCGTGGGCAATTTCGGGCTTAGCAACATCTCGGCAACCACCAACGGCGAATGGATCACATGGGAGCGAGCAATAGGCGGACGCACACCAGAGGGAGAAAGGCTCGAAAAGGGCGTGCTGAGGCTAGACATGTCGATCTGTTTCCAACAGCTGGCTTTCAACTATGCCGAAGCCGAGCTCTCGAGCGAGAAGGACCTGGGCGGAGCACAAGTCTCGTGGAACGCAGAGGCGATGACGTGGAACACCACAGGGGTGCAACGGCTCATGGGCATCGGGTCTTATATCAACACAACCGCGGCGGACCGTGGCATCTTTTCGGTCGTATCGACCAGGAACCCGCGCCACCTTAACGCGACGCAGTACCTCACAAACAAGCTCATCAACGACTTATACAACTCCCCGCGCACCAACAACATTTCCATCTTCATGGACCCCCAAGGGAGCGGCATATCCGACGTCAAGCCGCACGTCGAGTACCAGGCCATCTTCGCCGACATCCTCATCGCGACCAACCGTCCCGGCGTCGCGATGCAGTCGACGCTGACGGCCCTGTCGGGGTCCATCATCCAAGAGGCCATGCCGCAGTTCGACGTCGGGGATAACGCGACCATGACCCCGTCGGAGCGGGTGCTGACGCCCCAGGGCTTCCGGGGGCTGCTCATCGTCTTTGGCGTCGTGGCGCTGAACATGGCGTGCGGCCTGGCGGTGGTGCTGGTGTTCATGGTGCAGAGCCGGCATTCCAGCCAGGGGAACTACTGGCAGGCCGTCGCGCAGGTTGTTTCCGACGAGACGGCGTGGATCTTGGAGGGTGCAACGAGTTCGAGCGATGGGCATATCGCGGATGAACTGAGATGTGCGGACAATTTTGTTCTCATTAGCCAGTCTGAGAGAAGCGGCAGGGTCCGAGTGATTCTCAAGGAATGACAGAAGCAAAAAAATGTCCCCTTTGTCTTCCTTAACGATCATTATGATGAAAATGCTTTCCAGTGTCACGTTCCCTCATTGTGACTCGTTTTAAGAAATTTCCTCGCTGACCTTGCATGGTTCGGCTTTGGCGTAGTGGCATGCAGTCTATCGGGGCTTCGATTCTCGCGGCAGGGTCGGAAGACAAATGGTACCTGCGGTAGCCGTAATCCATGTCACGATATACTACTAGTAGTGTATGAAGAAGCCATAATCAGCTTACTCCGTTCTCTTGATTGTATCTAGACAACAGCAAACGAGAAAGTCGATTCAGAAGACGCGCCCCCTCGGCAGGCTAAATATTGCCCACACCCAAGCACTATAGACCAAATCTCAGCTAAGAAGCCTGTAGTGAACATAGTTACTCTATAAGAGAAAAGGAGCTTGACATCTGTAGTTGACGCATAGCCATGGATAATCATCTAGCTTAATAAATGTTTTCGATATGTTGTTTTATGTAGTCTTCAGATAGCTATATGCAATTAAACTACAAATATTGTGATACATGTACCCCCGGCCTGGTTCCATCTACTAGGTGGGGGATTTCAAAGTTGGGTGATCTACTCAGACTACTTGATAGCCCCAAACAGCCTGGAGTTATTGCTGGGCTGTGGCTTGCCGTGCCGGCGACAACGACTCTGTTATACCGTACCTCAAATACACCACAAGTTTATCCAAAGACCAGGGGGTTACCGCATTTCACGGGATGATGTCGGAAGTGTCCGGGTTGCTCACCCGCACTTCGGCGCTGACTGGAACCGGAATACGGCCAACGATACGCGGGGCTGACCGGGCACCGGTTCCGGGGGGTCTTGAGTCTTGATCTTAATCAAGAACCTGAACATAACACTATCGCTATCACACTGGCTGATCTAGAACGCTGTGCGGTCAACCCCGTGTCAGATTCGTGCGGCACAAGTCACCTTCCATTCGGCTGGCTAAAGTATCTGCAGTCAGACTCCTAATCCCCGGTCCAATAGTTTGTCGTGGGTCAACCTTAACGAGACTGCCCCTCATAGATTGACTAAACGACGAGATATAAAGACATGGTAGGCTTGGCAATCTCAGTGAGAGCACACTAGCAGGGCGAACCTGGATACCGAGGATGGTCACACCGCCAATGCCGGGCATCTACATAGCCAGGAAGAGCTATCAGGCCTGGCCATCTCCGTCCATCACCGTGGCCATTTCTCCATAAACGCGGACCGTCATGCAGAATCACTCCAATTATCCCGTAAGCATCGCTTCCTTCTCCTAGGCAGCAGGTGGTGGAGCAAGAGGCCTCCATGCCTGGATCGGCGGTTCAAACCTCATCATCGGTCGCATTCCAGGAGGACCATGCCTGTTGAGAGGCCAAACACTTGCATCCACAAGGGATAAGTACTGGGGCTTCTGCGCAGAAATTACGCAAGCCGAGAAGCACATCGGCTCACCCTTCCGAACCTCGGCCTGGCGTGGTTTTTCCCGGCGCTCACCCGCCTCCTCGCCGCCGCCGCCGCCGTGGGTCAGGCCCACCCGTGCCGGAGACAACATTTATGCATCCGTCATCACGGCGGCGGCGTCCTCGACCGGGTTCTTCCTGGCCTGCACGTCCGTGTGGCGGTCGGCGTCGGCATGCTCGCAGTTGAGCGGCGTGACGCTCACGTACGGCGATAACACGATGAGAATTGGGTTCAAGCGAGTTTCTTTGGTCTACGACGTATCCTCCCCTTCCACGATGGCTTCCGAGAACTATGTTAGGGAGGGTGCTTCAGTGAAGGTTCATGACCGACAATTCTTTCAGGTCCGATTCCTATGACTCGGCCAACGCGCAGTCCGTGCTCGCCAGCTCCGAGTCGGCGGCGTGGTTCACGGCGATCACCGTCGTCGACGGCTACGACAAGCTTAAGAGCGCTAAGGCAAGGACCTCGGCTGCAACCTCGACCGACCCGGCATCGGCGGCGGCGGCGGCGGCGGCGGTTGCCGGCGGTTTGGTGGCGCTGTGTCTGTGATTGCGATCCTTTGAGTCATGTTATTTATGTGTGACGAGAGATCACAACTTGGGCGCCCTAGATGATATCGACTGAGCTCAGTGAGGGGAGAACGGTTGGGTAATGGCAAGCGACGCAATCCAAGAGGCCATGGGAACTAGGCCCGCAATGCTATTGATGGATGCCGGATTCGTTCAATGATCCAATCCGTCCACGCGAGCCCGTGCTTCGTGCCCCTGGGGGAGTTCGTTGCTTCTTCCAAAGGGGCTATATGCGGTTCGTACAGCTTTCCTGCGCCTGACTAGCGTCTCCAGATAGCCGTTATTCACATGGACGACGGGAACGCGGAATCGAGATATTATTCTCTCTCCTCGGCCCCAGAGATACATCCTGTATGGTCCTCAGAGAAATGGGGGCGACGGGCTTCCGTTTCAGACCCCCCCCTGGTCGAGGTTGACCGAACCTCTCTCTCTCTTGGTTGGTACCCAGTGGCCGCGACCAAGCATTACCCACAGCAGCGGCTACATAGCTGGTGCTTATTTCGTTAGCGTACTGTCGCGAAAGTATGTTCGGGATGATACGCCGTAGTGCCCCTCAACTCCGCAACTGAGCTCCCTTTCCTACCTGTCGGTAGCGATGGGCGCTTATTACCGGACGAGAGCAATGCTTATGTCCGTTGCTCGAGAAGTGGGCGGCCGGTCGCCTTCAGAAGGGTTCGTTTCTGTACAGACACTATAATGGGTAGTTTATGCCGTGCACATCTGCCGCACCACGTTGGGAGAGTTCAGTGAGAGTCAAAGCGACACTTGTCAGCCAATGTCAAAAGAAGTGCCACACTGGGTACGGACGAAAAGAGATGGGGATGGGCTTGTAATTGCAAGAACCCCTGCGAGAAAGAGAGAGAGGAGACTGCACAAATGGGCACCTGATATTGGTTGGCTTTCGTTATGGTGTTTGGGATCGCCATAGGATCACCGACTCAGGAACACTAGGGCACATCATCGTCTGCATCGGCCGTGCACCAATCCATTGCAGCGCGCAAGAGTCCTCCCGCCATCCATCGTCATCTCCCTCCTGGGGGGGAGAGAGAGAAGCATGACTGAGGGGCGCCGGTCCACCTTTCTCCTCTCCCACGTCTGAAAGTTAAGCTTGGCAGTAAGACGCAGGGGTTCGTGAAACCGCCAGCGTTGTCGTTGCCCCCCCCGTCATTGATGTGCGCGAGTCTGTTAGGTGCGAAGCCACCCTATCCAGGGGTCAAAAAGTCCATGGTCGAGGTCGAGCACAGAGAGACCCGAAACCCTGGGCCACCACAATACTGACAGCCTGTCAGTGATAGGGAGGCCGGTGATCTTTAACACGCTGACCAGCATGAGGTCTGCTCTCCCGCCGTCCACCTCCTCGCCTCCGTCTCAACCCAGGACCCATCTTGTCCCCTTCTCATCAGTTGTCCACGTATCCGGCTGTCTGCAAGGAGCCACGCGAGCCTCAAAGTCGTAACGCCCCTCCCTGTCGCCCTCTGACAGTTTGGTTCGTTGGCTGGCTTCCTGATCCGGCCGTGCTCCCGCACTTGCAACGCCTTGGCAGCTTCATCCCATCCATGCCGTGGGAGCTCCAACCTGGGCCTCGTGGCCCTTAGAGAGTGAGAATACACACGCAAGGCTGTATATTCGCAAGGGGGGCGTCTCAATTGATCGGCTCGCGGCCCCATGTCATCCCATGTTGGACAGCGTCTATTGGAGCATGTAATCCTGGCTATATTTTGGCTATCGTGAAAGGATTGGCAGATCGTCCGAAATAGTGTATAAAGATCACTCTCGATCTACCTCTTGGTTCCGTTTCTTCTCCTCTCTCCTTGTCACGCCCTCACAATCATTACAGCCTTCGTTTCATTCCTTCTCTTCTAACAAGCAGCTGCGCTGTCTTATCTCTTCCAAAGCGACTTGATCACTCTTTTCGTTTCTTCATCCGGGCCAGTGTCCCTCCTTTCGTGTCCGCATCATCGACTACTTCTTTCCACGCCTTCAAAAACAACCACCCCTACCCAGACCGCCAACATGAAGTTCTCTCTCGTCGCCGTCGGCTTCGCCACCCTCGCTGCCGCCGCGCCCCTTGCCGCCCGTCAGAACAACGTCTTCTCCACCCAGACCTACGACGAGCTCTCCATCAGCGGCGGCGTCGCCGGCAATGCGAAGCAGGAGGCCCTCCAGAAGCTCTCCGGCCTCCCCACCGACCTGACCAAGGTCAGCAAGGCCGACCTCGACTTCCTCAACAGCGTCAACCAGATCGCCAACGACGCCGAGACGGAGGCCTTCAACCCCGCCATCGAGGCCGCCACCGGCACTGCGGCCGACGCTCTTCAGGTTCGTGGCGCCCGTGCTTCCCGAGACGCTTTTCCATTCGAAGCGGTTGGCTAACTCGATCCACAACAAAAAACAAACAGTGCGGCAAGATCAAGAACAAGGTCCTCAAGCTCACCGCCACCGTGTTGAAGCTGCAGGCTCAGGAGGCCCAGGGCAGCGACGTCGCCTCCAAGCTGGCCACCGAGCAGAAGAAGCTCGACAACAACATCAAACTGGACACGGCCGAGGCTGGTAACGCCTGCACCGCCCTCAAGTTTGACGCCACCACGAAATAATTTGTCTATTGCGCCGCAATCAAGACGGAGGGTATATGGAGTAAGTCACTCCCGCAGCTCCTGGCTGGGAAAAGGGCTTTTCTAGGGGTTTTTTTTGAGAAAAGAAAAAAAGAGGGGGAAGGGGTCGATTATAAGATATTCACGAGAGAAAAAGATGCTGCGTGCCGGCTCGCATGATCCGACCAAGTGCTGGCCGTTATAATTATTGGGGAAGTACGGATATGGGTACGAATTAGCACACTCTAATAACCTAAGAGAAGAGAGAAGGAAAACACCGTTTGAAAGAGTTCTTATTTGCTCAGCCTGCTATGCTATTGCGAAGCGTACCGGTGTCTTTGCGCTCAAGACGGCTACCCCAGTGTGCACCACGCCATGCTATGATCGACAACTTGCAGTATGATGTCTTGCATGGATGCACCCCCGTGCAAATAAACAGCGCGCTTGTTATGTATAACGGTTCCATTAAGCCGAAGTTTTAATAGATTGGATCAAGAGAGGCTATTCGATGTCGGCTCAGTATGCTTCGGGATAAAAAGTTCTGATATCCAGTCGATGTACTTGTTCCAAAGTCCATCTACGTAAGCTGGTTAACCACAGACCATCTTCGTAACACCACTTTTCATGTAAACACATGATGCTGCCTGTCAAAGCTTCGATGTGGCTGAGAAGAAAGGCGATAGTAGGCTAAACCACCGGTTGAAGCGAGTGAGAGCAATGTACAAGATAATGACTTGTGTGACAACGCTCTGCGTCAATGCCCTTGGTTTTCACTCCGGTCACACCAAGTACTCTGTACGCCATCCTGGAGAACCTTTGTCCCGTTCATGTTTGGCTATGTCTTGGGGATCGTCGGGGTCATGTCGGCTCTGCCAAAGTTTGGGTGAGTTGGCGCGGTAGCTTTTACTCTCTCTCTGCCGTGTCACTCTCAGGCCTGTCCAACGTCATGTTTTTGCGCATCTACTAGGGACAGAAAGCTCGCTATAGACTATATGGCAAAGGCCATGTCGCGGTACACAGTGGGATGGTCTGAAGGGGCGGGGAGGTGGAAAGTTCCGAGTTCCACCACGGACTCATAACGCGGTGCGGTCATGTTCTTATATCCAAAGCCGGGATTTGTCGGGCCTGAGAACCAAAGCCGCTGCGCCAATATGCGCTTCTAGTGTTGTAGCTTTCTTTTCAGCGGAGCCAGGATCGAATTTCCTTCATGCATAAACATTGCAAATTGTTGAACACTCTCTCAGGCGCGTTACCCCGAAATAAGACAGTCATCCCGGAGATCGGAACAATAACTCTGCGGCCCAGGCAGCATCGTTACGGACCACTCCCGGCAGCTCTCTCTGCTCGCATCTCCGGCCGTATGCATTCCCTTTTCTTGACGGACCCAATGCCAGCCCAGCATCCACTTGTCGTTGGCTCCTGGACTCGATTCGTCCTTGACGTTACATAGTAAATAGCCTGCAAGGCCGTGCGCATGGCCTTGATCGCATCCACTTATATCCGTACTCCAGCCTGAAACCATGCCTCTGAGAGGGTTTTTCGGCACACAAATAAGAAACCCACACACGAAAAACCCGGGATAGGCCGGGGCTTGATAACCTGTCCGGAAGCCTGCCGAACCCAACAGCATCCTCTCGGCTCGCAAAAGAGCTCATCCCCGATGGCACAATTGGCTAGCGCGTCAGACTGTTAATCTGGAGGTTGGTGGTTCGAGCCCACCTCGGGGAGGAACAAGTGGTTAAATCCCACCGAGGAATCACTTTTGATATTTTTCACTTTTCTTTTTCCTCCTCATGTCAACGACTCGGGGTAACTGAGTCTCTACGGAGTAGTCTTATTCCTTTTTTAGTTTGATGACCCTGCTCCCTGGCCATGGTGCTTGTTGCCACTCAACTTGTACTAACTGACGCCATCTATCCCTCTCTCGGTTGCATCAACGCTGGGGTAAACATGACACCATATCATTCAGCCGATACCGCTTGGGTTCCATCGCGACATACTTGTCCAGACGAACTTGCACTAGTCGCTGTCGCATGCTAATCTACCACAGCAGTTTAGTAGTAATAATTGTCCACGGCAGCAGTTGATCTAATCTGACCTGACCGCTTCTTTGCCTTTTGCGGGAGGCCGTCAAGGCCCAATCATCTCAACCTGCTTGCCACATGGAGGCACTAAGACATGTGGTGGAGCTAGTGTCGTCACTTAGGAGGGGAGGATCTCGAGCCTCCCGATGCCTCCAGCCGTCAGGGCATATCGCCCTAGAATATACCTACATCGTACGTGGTCCCTCCATCGCTTTGTTGCATTATTGGTTGCGTTCGCAGCAGCCCGCGCTACTCTCCCTTCCACCTGTTCAGAGCTTTGGCACTTCCACGACATGAATCATGAGGTTGCACGCATCCGGTCCCCCTTGACAACAACAGCTCACGGTAAGTGAGACAGACCCTCTGGCGCGCGCCTCCTCGCACGCCCATGTGCGGACAAAGCCCAATTCAACCTGTACGACAATGGGCATTCCACGACTCAACGAGGGAAAAAAGGAAAAGAAAAAAAAAAAGTCTGGAGCTGGTCGGGGGAAAAGGGAAGGGGGTTGTTATGCCGCGGGGAGGTGTGGGCTCTATTATACGGGGGCGATCCTTACTCGCAACCCCAATCTAGGTCACGCCCTGCGATTCGGTTTCCGCGTTGGGTAAGATGCTCGTCGAGGATCCATCTGATAACGGGTTTATTTTATTTTATTTCTTTATTTCCTTATTTCTTTTGCGCTTCGGCTTCGGACACACGCCTGTCGTACCGGTCATGGACCCACGGCGCCTCTCGAAACGCCGTCATCATAAAGCTTTTTTTTATTTTTTTCTTTGTAGCTATGAGTGGAATTCAATGAAGGGCGGCCTGGCACTGGACAGGCGGGCGTGCGGAATTCTAATAGCCCGCATCCGTCTCCGTTGCCTCCCTGGCACGCCCGAGCTTCGATGTTATAAGACTCTTCCCGTCTTCCGGAGAGCGGGCAAAGTTTCTGAATCGTCGAGTTGACGTCATTTGCATCCAAACCTCTCGCCGGAGAGAAAGAGACAGCTCAATCAAGACCATTTATGATGTTGAGCACGGCCCTGCCAGGTCGGACTCTTGGCGGCGGCGGCGGCGGCGACGGGGCTTTCGGCACGAATCTCATCTCGCCGTCCCACGCTCTCCTGGTCGCCGCGGCATGCCTCCTATTCTACGGCCTCTACAGGTGGGCTCTGCCCAAACCGATCCCCGGCATCCCTCACAACGCGGCGGCAGCGAAGCACATCCTGGGAGACGTCCCCTCGCTGCTGGAAGGCATCGGCCGTACCGGCGAGTTCAACCTCTGGCTCCTCGAGCAGGCGTCCAAGCTGGGGTCGCCGCTCTTCCAGGTCCTGATCCGCCCGCTGGGCAAGCCGATCGTGGTCCTCGCCGACTTCCGCGAGGCCCAGGACATGCTCATGCGGCGCAAGGACTTTGACCGGTCCTCCCTCGTCGCCGACCTGCTCGAGGGCGCCGGCCCCAAGCACCACATCATCATGAAGACGGGGCCCGAGTGGAAGCAGCACCGCCGGCTCCTGCAGGACCTCATGTCGCCGCAGTTCCTCAACGAGGTGGCCGCGCCGACCGTCTACGCCGGCGTCATGCGCCTCATCAAGCTGTGGAACGACAAGGCGAGCATCGCCGACGGCCGGCCCTTCTCCGCCGAGACGGACATCTACTACGGCGCCCTCGACGCCGTCATGGCCTTTGTCTTTGGCGGCGGCTTCCCCAGTAGCGCCATCCGCCCGACGATAGAACTCGTCGAGGGGCTGGCCGACGACGACGTCGCGCGTCTCCGGCAGCGGGCGGACGACGGCAGCGGGCCCGTGGGCTTCCCTGAAGGGGAGTGCGACGAGACTCTCCAGGCGACGCTCGACGTGGCCACCTCGATCCAGCAGCTGCAGGGCTCGCCGATCCCTCGGATCAAGTGGTGGTTTCTCGAGAAGCTGCCCGCCATGCGCCGGACCTTCCGCATCAAGCAGGCGTACGTACGTGAGGAGATCGCCAAGGCGCTCAGGAGGCTGCACGAGGTTGGCAACGAGGAGTCCAAGGCCCTCTCGGCGGTGGAGCTCGTCGTGCTGCGGGAGAGGAGGATGGCGGAGAACGAGGGCCGACAGCCCGACTTTTTCTCCGAGACGATGATTGACGAGGTAGGGCGGACCTCCCTTCGGTATACTCCAAGATAGGTCATGTGCTGACGTTTTTTCGTTACTCAAAAGGTCTTTGGCGTCGTCGTCGCGGGCCACGACACCACGAGCACGACCATGTGCTGGGGCGTCAAGCTCCTGGCCGACCACCCCGGGACGCAGACGAGGCTGCGCTCCGCCCTCCGGTCCGCGCTCCCGGAGGCGATGGCCGAGAACCGCAGCCCGACCGTGCGGGAGATCTCGGGGACCAGGATCCCCTACCTCGACGCCGCCATGGAAGAGATCCTCCGCTGCGGCGGCGCCGCGCCGCTGCTCGACCGCGAGGCCATCTGCGACACGGAGCTGCTGGGCCGCCGCATCCCCAAGGGCACCGTGGTCATGTGCCTGAGCCGGGGGCCCAGTGTGCTGAAGCCGGCGCTGCCGGTCGACGAGGCGGCGCGCAGCGAGAGCAGCCGGGCCGCCAAGGGGCGGGCGTGGGACGACGCCGATATTTCGCAGTTCAGGCCGGAGCGGTGGCTCGTCGAGCCGCCGGCCGGGTCCGCTGCCGGCGCCGTCGCCGAGTTCGACCAGCAGGCCGGGCCCCAGCTCGCGTTCGGTCTGGGAACCCGCGGCTGCTTCGGGCGGAGGCTGGCGTATCTGGAGCTGAGGATCATCTTGACCCTGATCGTGTGGAATTTCGAGCTGCTCCCTTGCCCGGAAGAGTTGTCCGGGTACGGGGCCCGGGAGGGTTTGACGTACAAGCCGAAGGACTGTTACGTCCGCCTGTCAGCTCTTGGCGTGAAGGACAAATGAGTGGGAGGCCCGGTGACGGCGGTCATGGGCATCCGAGTGCTGCGAATCTGGTGGGGTTCAATCTTCTTCGTTAGATACTAGATAATTATGACTGCGCCGTCAACTGGCCTCACACGAAGTCGGACCCCCGAGCGGAGAAACATGGCTACTTCCTGTCTCATCATGCACCCCCTAGAATGATGTAGCGAGCGACAAAGACGACTCAGCGGTCAGGGTTGCTCGACTGCCCAGCAACCCAAGTGGAAAACACACCCGCCAACGCTACGAAGAAGGCTCCTGCGGTGTAAGCTACGCCCCAGTCCCCATGTATTACGCGGGCCACAAAGATGATGACGCAGAATGTGACGATACCCCCGACGACGGAGGGGCGAGGAACCACGTTCTGTCTCCCGTAAGGCCACTCTGAGAGACGGAAGCCTGTGAACTCTATCTGCGCCACGCTATGTATGACTTTTCTTTTTCGCGAAGGGATGATGGTCCTGAACGCACCGTTAACGCGACCCCGGCATCTTGCGCACAAAGCACTTACGTGGTGGAATGGTATATCCAGTCCTCCAGTAGAAGGTCATTCCCCCACGCTAAGCTTGGTTCCGCGAGGAACATGGGCCAAGTTGGTATCAATTCCAGCTTTGAGATTTCTTCTAGTCTGTCCCGCTGGTATTGTACCTTGCAATACCAATCGTCGCCCTCGACAATGTCGACAGCATCGTCGCAGAAATGCGAGTGGTTAACGCGGTCACTGCTTGTGTCATGCCAGCATCGGGTCTCAAAATCCTCATCCAACTCTGTAGGCCCTGTAATGTACGACCGAAGCTCGCTCGCCTCTTTTCGAAGCAGCGACAGGCGAGCCGCAACGTCCGCGGGCTCGAAGATTCCCTGGAATGCCTTCGCACGCGTTTCATGCGGGCCGACGATCCGGATCTGTGACGGACGCAATGTAAGCACAAATGACTTCGCGTCGAGCTGGTTTATCGGCCCGTCTGCACTCACAGTCACCAACTCAAGCCTCGCAGGGCTAACCCATGATCTCCAACGCGACACGTACTTCCGTGAGGTATTTTGGATGGCGGTCCACTGGTCCACCGCATCGGCGTTCTCGCCGATGGCCACCGGCACGACCACGGCACTCTCCGGGTCGCCGGTACACATCAGGACGAAGGGGGCCGTGTCGCAGAGGGGTTCGAGCGCTGTTTCGACTCGGTCCCGGCGTTCCTTGGCTTGATTCTTCGGCCGACGAGAGGAAAGCATAAGAATCCTGTCCCGGACCCCCGACTGGAGAAACGGGTTGGTCTCAGTGGCCGACAGGGCGGTCGCAACCGGAGTTGCATTTATCGCGGGTCCCCGGTTGGGGTTTGCCTCTGCGGCCACTCCGGCCTCTAGGTCTCTGACCTCAGAACCCCGACGATGTGCGCGCGGGGGAGTAACGGGCAACGGCGTGGTCGAGCTCATGATTGGCTATCGGTTGCTGACGTTCCTTTTCTGGAAGTGCTAGCTGCGGGATCGCACTCGGTTTGCGACGTGGGCATGGCGAGGCATCTTATCGTGCGGACCGCACCGATCCAGGACGAAGTAATTTGAGAGTCAGCCTAGCAAGGAGCCTTTTCCGCGTTGGAGCGGCTGCATAACCCGAGGGCAGGTTCACACCATCGGTGGTCTCGAGGCTGTGTTATGCAGTCATGCCCACCAGCCTGCTTCGAGGCCGCCATATAGAGCCGATCGTTTCATCAGGCTTGAATCCGGCAGGCTTGGCGGGATGTCGCGGTGCTGAAAGGTAAATATGGGCGTTAAGTTTACAGGCGACGTACGTCCAATTGGCTTCACAAGGAGGGGGGCGGAGGGGCGAGGGCATGGATAGAAGGTTGTTCTCGTGGTTCTTTTTTTACATTTACTGCATTACCATGTTACAGCTAGACAAACAATTACTGCCGAGGTTGGCGCGCACCCGGGTCAAAGTGCCGATTCGAGGCAAGGACTTATAAAGCCTCGTTCGACAACGGGTGGGAGCAGGCAGTGTGCTTCCCCGATATATACCCTGTGCTCTGGACCCATGCGGGGGGGGCACGAACGACGCCGGCGAGACGACGCAGCATGCAATGCGTCGACATGACATGGCCCTCTTCCAGGGGCAAGACGAAGGTCTGTCCGGTCCTTTCGGATCGGTGGCCATACCGAGGCGTCGTGCCGATACGCCGCCGAGGCTCGGACAGGTACTGCCCAGCCACTTTCAGCGGTCGCGAAGACAAGGGAGTGGACAACGACATTGATCGATGACGATGCCTGCATGCATACAGGGCCTGTCGGGAAGATACGTTTAGGGTTTTTGACGATTAGGACACTGCCCCGCCCGATCAGCATGCACAAGCTTTAAAGTGGTAGTGTAGACCCCATCCAGGTCGGTATGCTGCAGCGTTCCGGACTGAAGCAAGCGGCGGCGCGAGGCCCATTGTCCCATGGCCTCAGTGGTGTACGCTTGGGGCTTCGGGACAATGCCGGCCGTCCTCGCCATGGCCGACTGCAGCGGCATGGCTTGGTGAGGGGTTCGCGTGTCTTGGTGGCTTGTCTCGCTAACTCGGCATGATGCGTCCGACGTCTCGTTTCCTGGACGGGATGAACCAGGGCCGACCGAGCGAGACAGGCGGGGCGAGGCGGGTTAGGAGACGCGCGAGTGTTCCACCGACGTTCCGACCACATGTTCCGGAAGACGAAAAACAGATCATACAAAAAAACCGTTGAGTCGTCGAGCCCCACGGGGATGAACGGATGACAGAAAATTTGGGCATGGTCAATGGTCCCATCGTCAGCATAATCATCATCATCGGTGGTCAAGCACGCGGAAGATGGACGTGTTTTTGACGAAGCATTCCTCGTCCTGGGGTCTGCACCCAAGGGCTATCTTTGTCTTGCGCTCGTCGGCGCTGCCACCTTGCATGTCGGCGATGATTCGGGCGGCGGCATTGCAGGACATTTCGTGGGGGGAGAGGGTCGACAGATGCTGGTGTTGGTGTTGGTGTTGGTGTGGTTGCTGGTGGTGTGGTTGTTGGTGACGGTGCGGTTCGGCAGGGCGTGGGGGCGTCTGGCTCGTGCGGTCGTAGGAATGCGGGCTCCGCGAGGACTCAGACGAGGTGCTGGAATGCTGTGCGGGTGGCTGGGTTGAGGAGCGGTTGAGACTAGCGTCGGCGAGGACGGCAAGCCTGTCGAGGGCAGAACTCTGCTGGACGTCGGGGGTGGGCGTCAGCGTGAGCACCGGCGGCAGCAGGGCGTCGCCGTATTTTCTCTTCTTGGAGGCAGCGGCAGCGGCAGTAGCGGCGTCGGCGTCGTCGGCGGCGGCAGCGTGGTCGGGGTGGAAGGTCTTGCCAAAGTGCTCCTGCAGGGGCGGCAACTGCGTGGGCGAGGGCTCGAGGACGACGGGCCCGTTGAGGATGGGGGCGAGGGTGGTGTTGATGGAGACGGCGGACGAGCTCTTGGGGTCGTCGTCAAAGGAGCGCAGGTAGGCGTCGACCTGGTCGCTGGAGACGCCGCGACTCGCAAGCAGGGCGCGCAGGCGCGAGTTCTCGATGGCGACGTCGCGGGCGGCCTTTTGCATCTGCAGCGAGGCCTCGATGCCGCGCTTCTCGTACTCCTGGACTTTGCGCTGCAGCTCGTCGACGAACTCTTTATGACGGGCGCGAGAGCGTCGCTGGTTGTCGCGGATGCGGATCGCGTTGGCGGATTTGTCGGTTTGGAGCTGTTGCTCGAGTAGGAAGTCAGCAAAAGGGAAGCGGAAGAGGAACGAATGCTTTCAATGCACACGGATATGTTTGCTTGGTTAGATTTGACTGATTGATTGATCGATATCGATCGGTTCGGATGTGATTGGGAAGTCAATGGCTAGATGACTGGCATGTCACTCCAACCAGACAATAAAGAAACAAGGAAGAGAAGATAAAGAAGCTTGGGTAAAAAAATAAAAAATAAAAATAAAATAAAAACCTCCGTCATGGGACGCGTACGCGGACTAGAGAACACGCCCATTGATTCACTCACCCGACCTCGTTTGGCCTTTTTAGCCTGAGGGCCAAAAAGATCCTGATAATCTTGCTCCGACGACATTGTGAAGACCGTTGGCCGCCTGTTCCATCCGAAGATCCCGGGAGGATATGGACGCCGCGTCGTACATTCGGTGAGCGGTGAGAGGCAGGCAGGTTGATCAAGACCTGCCGTGCGGTGCGGTGTTTGGATGATGAGATAGAAACGGGGAGGGGGAGGAAGGGTAGCCTTTTTTTTCCTTTTCTTTCTTTTTTTTCCTTTTGTTTTTATTTATGTTGGTGGTTGGTCAGTGTCGGTGACAAACACGACAGTGAAAATAAAAAAATAAAAAAAAAGTCGAGTTATGGGCCCACTTTCCCTCCACCGACGTGTGGAACCACCTGCCATGATAGAGGTACGTACCCTTTACCGGCACATGACTCATCAAAATCAAGACCCTCTAATCAGCCAATGAGAAGCTATGGAACTACATCCGGGTGGGGCTCTAATTGGAAAAGCTGAAGCAGAGACATTCTAGTGTATAATGTCTCTCTTCCCCCCGACTTCAGAAACCATGCTTTCGTTTCCCAGCCCTGGTTCTCCCTTTTTTTGTCCATCATTGAGACAGATCCCTTGGTTTGGGAATAGAATGTCATGAGAGCAAAATGCCCCCCCCCGTTGGCCTCTCTGTCACTGTCGCGCTGGTTGGACGGAACCCCTCGGAGCTACCACCGTCCAATCGCAAATAGCCCACCGTGTCTTGGAGTTGGAGCGCGCGTAAGCACGTTGGCGTCATTGATATACCTCTCTCTATCCGGAGCTCGGATACTGCGTATGTCAGGTGTACTAAGTAGCGTACTGCCCAGCACGCGGTGGATGTGATGTGACACACACACAGTACGGTCCTTTCCCGTGTAAAACTTTTCCGTCTTTTGGACTGTCACTGGCCGCAGCTCCGCTCGCTTGAATGTCACTGGAAACGTGCTGGTCAATTTGGGTGTGTGTGCCCTCTTTCCGATACACTACACATAGTACCCAGGTCGACCTCGGCCCACAAGATACGGATCCATGGCCGCCGCTTACGGAAAGGCATCCCCACCGCCCTGCACGCGATGTATGTGTGTGTGTGTGTGTCTGCAAGGATTCATCCTTTGCCGAGTCCGAGTTAACCATCGCGTCTCCCTTTTGTCCTGTCCTGAACTGGTGGAACCGCAACATGCCTCGACACAGACCTCTTCCCTCGTTGGCTGCCATGGCAATTTCATCACTACATCTTTTTAACGGGCGCGTACTGTGCCACACATATCAATGCTACGGACCTTGCATACACTCGCTCACTCTATGGCTGGACGGACCACAGAAACTCCCGCCTGGGTTGATGGTACAGGTACCATTCGTAACCGGCCGAGAGTCATGGAGAGTGACCAGGACGTATGTCATCCATCCCGTTCAGCATGTGTAACCCAGCTCGCATCCTCTTTCTTCTCCGAGCTGCATGCTTCTGCGCCCTTGAACCTTCGTCTTTCCCACTTTCCTCAAATCGTCCCTCGGCCGCGATAGTGCGAATGCCGTCTTGCCTGTCTCAGCGCCACCTCGGACCTTGCGTTGTACACCAACTAATACCATCACTGAATTCCAGAACCTTGCTTTCTCCCAAGTATTGAGGCTCTCGCGTGGCGGACAGGCAAGGGAGTACGCCAATAACGAAACCGACGTTTGAAGCTCGCGTTCTGGGTCTTGCGGCCATTCAACTTGATTTAGGCTGGGGTCAGGTGTTATAATCAGGCCATATCTGTGTCGATCTTGGGCGAGAGCGCCAGAAAATGATTGGCCATGTCAACATCGCCGCCGCCCTTCAAGTATGTGAATCAATAGTACACAGCATTGGCTTGCTGTGATTGGTGGTTTTGACAGCGATACGCTTCCTCGATGGCCACGCCACAGGACATGCTGCTTAAAACCATATGCCGGGTGTCGATTCACCCGCCGCTTGAGCATGCTGTAAGATAGCATTGTCTTCCTCGGCTATGATGTTTTATGCGCAATATCTCGTTAAAGGACTCCACGCGAGGGGAGGGCAATCGTTTTCTTTGACTTGTTTGCGAGAGACCACCCGAGCAATAGTCAGCACTCGCTATTTATTATTAACAGAACGACGCCCTAAAGACCCGAAATAGAGAGAGGTGTTTCACAACGGTTGAACATCAGGCAAACATTGAAATCCATTGAAGAATGCCTCGGGTTCTGCGGGCTTATGATGCCATCAGCATCGAGGAGCTAGCCGGGTGCATCTCTTTCTTGTACCCCTTACAGCCTGAAAGGCTGGGTCCGGAAACGAAGGTTACGTAAACAAGTATACAAGATGAAGCTGTCCAAGATGGCTTGCAGTATAGCACTGTGTGATCAGCCGCAGCGTCTGGTTATCTAAGAGTAAAGTAGTGTCATGATACACTTATTTGATCACAGAAAGTCATAGGAAAACGGCTTGCCTATCTACGTTCTAGACTGCCTGATCTGGCTTGTAGATATGTGTCTCTATGGTGGATCCAGGCGGTAGGTACAGATTAATAGATGTTCCTGCTCCGTTCGAATCCCCACCAGGCTACTCGATGTGGTAAATTCATTGTAACAAGTAGTTATCCCATTAACAATCTACATATGAACTGGAGAATCAATAGTGTTGCGATGTTGACCATAGCCGGTAACTATCGGAGATATTGTCTTAACTCCGACGACCAACTGCCGGCTAATTCTCGGCTATTGGACGACTGGATCCACCGAGAATTCGCGGCAATTAACTGGCTGCTCAACCAGCCAGCCCACGATAGTTAGTTACCCTTCTTTTCTTTACGCATAATAGAGATCAACAGTTACCCCTAATATTCGTTAATAGCCACCGATACGTACGGTTAACTGTATTACCTACCTGTTTAAAACCAACAGATAGAAATATCTATCCTAAGTAGTCTGTGCGGGTGGTACGCCACATTTGGAACGGCCGCCACTGGTACTAGCCACACGACACTATTCCAGCTTCACGGCACATGACTTTAGAATCAATACCTTTTGGCTTACCAAGAAAAATTCGGCATTGGAGATACCGAGCTCCAAGTCGATAGCTTGGAGCTTTGGAGCAATTACGCTACTGACCCCTCAGATAACGAGTCTACGGGGACTTGAAAGCAAGCACATCGCCATCATCCGGGCGACACGAAAATTCATTCCTGGGCTAGGAACTGAGAAGAACTACCGGAACACGATCTGAAAGTGACAATGGAATGAAAGCTCATCGTAAATACCAACTGTAACATGCACGTGTTGTTAGTTTGTTCAGCCGTCATCAACACTTCTTCGAACCAGCCGTAAAAGTGGTCAAGATGCGGCTCTGATGTTTAGTGCCGCCTTCACTAACACGAACATCAGTGGTGAAGCAATGCCATTCCATCATTGTGATCGCATCATCATGATATCAATTCGCCGGTACATCAATAACTTTCCATGATAGAGAGCCTAGGCAAACTCAGAGAGACTGGGGTCCTTCGCTAAGGCCGAGCGTCAGGGCGAGATGGCCGGTGAGTCACGGACGCACGATGCTCTCCCGGTATTTTCTGATGCCATCATCATCAAGTATAATGACTAATTGGGTTCTTCCTCACTATGTCGATTGACGATCAGAATGCCGTTGATTCGTGGTTTAAAGTGGTGTAAGCTAAATATCTATGGCGTCCAAGAACTTGTCGTTAGTTCTCAGGGCTTGCAACGGAATTGACGAGCAGTTGCATAAGGCAAAGTAGATTATGTGCTCATCGGAGTCGACAGGCATGTCTATACCAAATACAGAGCGATCGATTATAACCAAGTATCACCTGGGAACCCATGGCAGTAAGTACATTCTGCCAACTTAATAAATCTTCTCATAAATATCGAGCAAACTACATCCGACCATGCACAACTTCCATCACCTACGCTTAACTTGAAATTAATTCAGTGCGTTTGATCATACTACATAGTGCAAATATAAGATATACGCTCATGTGTGCCATTCTCTGAGCAAAAGCAGCGGCCACATATAACTCAACGGCTACGTGAGCGTGCCTGTTACAAGCAAGCCACTCTGATACGACGAACGCAGTCAAGATGTTCCAATGAGTCCTTTTTTCTTTTTCATTTTGCATGAAACATATCTGGGCGGATTGAGAATACCTAAGAGGTTGAAAGTAGACCAGGAGTTCCTGGCACGGCACTGGGAACTGTCACCGCAGAGTCGTTTGAAAGTCAGTCACGGCAATGGCATATATTTCAATAACTGAAACTTCAAATAGAAAACTAGCCAGTTGAGACGGCTGGAGTTGATTCGAGGTCAAATTGACACGTCAATATGTCATCGCTGCCCAGACTTGGTCGGTGTGCCATCCGTCCAAGCTCGGTTGGGTAAAGAGGTCGATTCGGACTCTACAGGTCAGTACAGCTTGCCAACAGTGGCATCATCGTCACTGCGGTTCAAAGATTTGTTCTGTATCATTACATGATAGGCATGGACAGCAGTGGTTTGCCCGCGATTTCTCGATCGTGACTGAATCAAGGTACTCTATAATGCTGCATTTATGTCAATTCAGTCTTCTATCTTCACCCACAAAACAACCATATCAAACGCGAGGAACCGGATTTCTTCGAAAACCTGATACACGAGGTACACGTGTCGTGTTTTCTTTTCCTTTGCCTTGTGTAGGAGAATATGAGTAGTTTCCATACTTGGAATCGTTTTGGAATTCAAAACGCCTCCATCATTGAACCCAAACAGACTGGGTTAAAGAACCGAGATTGACAGAACGTGTTCTGAATCCGTGTTGAGCGCTCTTCCTTATTCGGAAACTGGCTAAAGATCGCAATAGCTTCATGGTCCGATCCTGACAAGAAACATCGTATGTTCTCCATGCTTTGGGGTTTGACGTAAATCCAGTCATTAGCGAAGCATTTTGGACGAAAAAGCCGCAAGAAACCTGCTCACTTTGAGTTTTGGGTTCAACTTTCGATTTTGGGGTGACCAATCACGGCTCTTCCCAATAGTCCTAAGGTAAGACAGCATAACTTGCATTGGGTATATCAAGTGCAGGTACTTGCACATCGGATTTTTCTTTGAGAATCTTTGCCTTTTTTAATTAGACACCATTATTCCGGATATGAGACAACCCACGTTACTCGCGTTGCCCTGGATTCATCCCCTGAAGGTCCAAACAGTTGCAGACGGACCGCATTTTCTCGCTGTTCATTCCGTACAGAACTTGTTAGGTCGATGCACCGTGCTAAAGGCCACCACCAATGTGCCGTGTTCGCTCCATGCGGAAAGATTTCATAGCACCGCATGGGTATTTGCTTTGGATTTTATACTTCTAACAAAGGAACATGGTAGTTGGGATTAGGAATTATGAAATAGATGCCTAAATGGAGCGACCGCGCATTGCTATCAATCGCCACCTATGCTAGCTGCTGAAGGCTTCAGTGCCCCCAGCAACATTAGACCAGTAGCCGCCATCATCATTCATCGGTCAGAAGCGGTCTCTCTAGTTCTTGTTGTCTTCGCAGTCCTCGTTGTTGACACTATCGCTCAGCTGGCCGCGGACGGCGCCGGGGACAGCCAGGCTGGAGTGGACGTCGGTGAAGAAGTCCGAGGGGCTCTCCTCGATCTGGCGGACAGTGAAGCCCGTGCCGGTGTCAACACCAGTGGCGTTGACGCCGGTGCGGAAGGGGCCGCTCAAGCAGCCGATGCTGCGGCGGACGTCCTGGGTACCCTCGACAGGTGCCGGGTTGGGAAAGGCGATGCTGGTACGAACATCAGCACACACTAAAAATCTCCTTCGTCTCTGTTGTTTCTGTCAGACTTACCGAGGAGGCCCGGCGAGGCCCTTCTTTGCCTGGTGGATGTGGGTGGCCGACACAGCTGGGGACTGGTACTCGCCCCTGAAGCCGACCAGAGTGATGTTGTAGCAGATGACATTCTCGTAGGAGTTGATGCCGTAGCTGTAGTAGCCGATGGCCCCGGCCAGGCCGCCGGTGAAGGTATTGTTGCTGTCGACGACCTGGTCCGGCGTGGCAATCACGTCGTAGGTCGAGGTAAAGGAGAAGGGACCCGAAGCGCCCTTGTGGCCACTGTACTCGCCTCCCTTGTTGTAAAAGCCGATGGAGTGGGCGACGTCTTCGATGATCTTGATGGGGTTGGCGGCGGCAACGGTCGCCAGGGCGAAGGGGAAGTAAGCTGACTTCATTGTGAAAGAAATTTGAGAGAGGTAGTGAGCGACTGGGGTGTTGGATGTACAAGGATATTTGGTGATAGATACTGAGTGAGTAGATGGAATGAGCTGCTGTGATGTGAACCAGACTTCGATAAGACGGGCAAATCCACTGCTCTATATAGCTTGCCCAGTGCCCAGGCCGGATGCCATCGTGAGGGTGCTGTGAGCACGCTCATTTCCAGTCAATTCCACCACGCCTCCGGAGCTCACTTGCATCGGTAAGATCTGGTGAGGTGTTCACTTCGCCAAGGACCGGAGCAATGGGAATCTGTCTCTCCACCATTGCCATTACCGTGGACTGGGCTTTCGTGATGAAGAGGCCAAGAGAATTAAAATTGCGGCACGCACCTGTTCATCCTGGCGCAGTACCCGCAGGGGCGCAGTGCTATTTGTTCTGGTTTCTCGAGGAAGAGTTGTTAGAGCTCCACGGTTGCGACGCCGCCGATCTCATGGGGTTCGGCAGCGGAAGCGTGAGTTGCCGCGCACAAGCGGCAGAGTCTATGTCTTGTTTAGTTTCGTTCTGCAATGTGGGCTATCGAGGCAAGCCCCTTGGCGCGTCCTTGGCAACCCTCTGCCCATCAGTTTCCCCGTATGCACCGGCCACTTCTTCCATAAAGAAATGAAAATTAAAAAAACTGGTCGAGGCAGTAGAGGCTGCTGACGTGGGAAACCCTTGGCTCCGCAGACGATCATTTGGAATCCATCAACCCAAGATTCTTTGTTGGCGGTGATGTCAGCGCTCACTGATCCCTGACGGCACTAGCAAGTCTACACAACATAGACCCTTTTTGCGCCTCATTAGGACTGGGGACGACTGAGCATCTCTCGGGAGGTTACTCTTCCGATGAACTGTCTAGATCCAAGAAGAAAGTCTTCTTGGCTTGTTCACCCCTACCAAGTTCGATAAGACAGTATGTCACCCGGTAGTCCACAGGAGAAACCTCCGCGCCTTCATTGGAGGAGCTTTGGTCTTGGCGATGAGGTAAAGCGGGAAAAACTGAGACTGTCTGGCATCGCTTACAGCACGTTATCCATCAGGAGAGATTCCGTCCAATTTCATCCAGTTGTACTTTCTCTCAGACAAACTTCTGATGGACTCCATTGCTGTATTCAAACGTCAGGTCACGGCCTCCGCACGATATCTGTCGTCAAGTCTGCCATGAAAAATTCTCCATCTCCTCGAAACGACAGTATCGACTGACTGTTGTCGTGTAAATATTCACGTTGTAACAAGTCTGAGGCGCGGAGTCTGAAACCTGACCAGAATGCGTTGGCTTTCGAAGGATGGTTCCCAACCGCATCCTGCAAACCCAGTCACGAGCAAAGTTTGCAGGCGTTATGAGTTCCTTCGTTTTCAAGCATCATGGATATCGTAGCACGCAGATTAGGCCATGCTACTAAAGAGACTAAGTATCAGATAACTGGCATATACTACTGAGCCGAGGACTGTTGCGCAACAGCATTCCGGGACCTTTCAATGGCGATTGGAAAGGACACGCTCATCGCTGCAGTCCCATGCATATGTTTTGCGGAGAGTTTTGGTGGATACGTAGCTTCTGGATGCAGGAAATGCAAATGAAATATGCACGTGGACTACGTAATTGCTCAAAGACCGCCCGTTATTGTACGCGTTAGAATATACTCGGTAGTCATCGGGGTTACTGGTAAAATGACGGCCCCCTTTTGGTATATTGACGGACCCCCCGGAATAACTAGAAATACCGCATGCTGTCACGCGAACTCTAACTAACCCTAATCCTAACCAAAATCCTAACCAACCCCAACCATCCTAACAATCCTATCTACAACATTCTAGCGATTCTGAATAAAATCTTCTCTATAGTTAGGGTAGTTAGGGTTGGTTAGGATTCTGGTTAGGATTCAGGTTAGGGTTAGAGTTAGTTAGAGTTCACGTGACGGAGTGCGGTATTTCTAGTTATTCCACAAAAGTGGCTAGGGCTGTGGCAGCTGTGGCAAGTGCCTGCTGAACTTACCTTAGAGGGCCGTCAATATACCAAAACAGGGCCGTCATTTTACCAGTAACCGTTACAAGTATGCCAACTTATCCCTTTAGTTGCGAACTGACCTCACTAACCCCTAGGTGGACCCACTCCCACTTTTACCCCTCACTTTTGGACATACTCCGTACATGACAATACATTGATTTTGAATGTTATTTTGTTAGCAACCACTAGCTATTTCGATATTATCACCAGCATCATCATTAAAATCACAATGTCTTATAATTCAAATACCTCTATTTATAGCACTATTCACGTGGAGGTCTAGCTAAAGGACCTTGCTGTTGCCTGCCTAGATAACTGTATCCTAGAGCAGTGCAATAACGTAATAATCTAGCCTAATAAGCCTCTAGTAGACCTAGGCCCTTAGGTCAATATCTAGTAACTGGCAATAAAAAACCTAGCAAGGTTACTTAGATTGCAATATACCTTTATGTAAAGGTAGAGATTGTTAGGGCCTTTAGTATAACTAAAACGCCATATATATAGAAGTACCTTAAAACTATTGGCTTTTGGCGTTAATTACCGTGGCCTAATTTGCTCCTACCCCTTACGGGGGTTAGCGAGGTCAGTTCGCAACTAAAGGGATAACATTGTCACATCACACAGCCTAGGAATATACAAAACTGTGTTTCAAGCTGACAGAGAGTATGTACCAGCCTGGAATTTTGGGAATTCTACACCTTTTCATATTTCGCAACAGACCAAATACTGCTTGCTTTGCCATGGCATATATGTGCACCTCAGACTAATACACAAACAGACCATAGAGAAGTTGACGTAGGCATTTGATTGCGTGTTTAACTCTATCAACGCGTCTACCTCAAGGGCGGATGTCTGGGGCCTGAAAAATGGAAACAAGCTTTCAAAAGTGATTGAATACGAGGCTTCTGACAAGGAGTATCCAAGTAGAATTACCGGGGCAGGGGCGATTATAACCCTCACAACGGAAGGCTAAGCGATTAGTTCAAAGAAGCTGCCTTTAGCGCTTACTGGATCGCCCTCGAGGGAAACCTTTGAACTACTACGGAGTATGCCGACGGACTGCTGTACTATGTAAGGGGCGTCTTTGCCGCTCATCCGGTAGTGCTTACTGTAGTGTAGCTTTGAAAGATCCCCTTGCATTATTCCAGCAGCGTTGACGTATGAGTGCGGTTATTAGGACCGTATATTTTCATTATACAGACCGTAAGTCGCCACAACCACATGCCCATTACTAGTACTATTCGCCTTGGTGGGCGCCTTCGCCTAAATGAATTAATCTTAATTCTAGTAATGATCTGATAATGTGCTATAAGGCTATAATAATAGAGACTCGATTACTACCTACAGCTGTTAATATATAATAATACGTACCCAAAGGGGCGCTAGTAGCGCTCTGTGGAACGAAAGTTCCCGGTCCCAATTACCGCACTCTTGAAGTATAGCTCCAAGAAGAAATATAAATACCATTCGCCAAGACCTTACAGAGGTTGCAAACTGGAAATGGTTACCTGATCACTCGGCCTCCACGACTTGCATTCAAAATACTTAACGAAATGATCAGCGGCATAAAACTAGCGATTCTGGCCCTCGCAGGCACAGCCGCCGCGGTGCCACGCCCCGAGGCTCAGGCCACGCCAACCAAGCCGGGCGAATGCACGACGACGACCACTTACCTTGACGCCGGCTTCACGGGCGACTGGAAACCAACAACCACCATCACGGTCTACAACACGACTGTCACCGTCACGAAACCCACCGATTGCCACGGCTGCAATCACATCACCTCAACCACGAAGCTCGCGCCCGGGTGGGGTGGTATTGGACCGCAGATCCCGCACGTCACCTACATCAGTGCGACCGTGCCGACCACCGTCACCACCTTGGTGTGCGCCACGTCAACAGTCTAAACAGATGAATTACAGCACCCATGAAATTGGCACTGCGAGGAGTATTGTATTTTCGTTATGGATCTGTCCAACGGTTCGCCATTGTGGTGGAATCGGGGTTTATTTTTATTATTGATATGAGGCGATGAGAGCATTGGGACTATCTACGATGGCTTAGGGGATGAACAGACATGGGTAATAGCAAACGTTTTTGGCCACCTGATATTCGTCTGGCAGAATTGGTTCGACGCATCTAGATAGTTGAAATGAGATATATTGGGCATTCAAGAATCGTTTTCGAATTGTTTGCTGAGTACCGGACTGGTGGAACTATTGGGCATGATTGACACGTCCTTAGAATATTTCTATATGTTCTAACATCTTGGTAAACATCCAATGGAAGTGGGCATAGCCGGCCGCAAAGTAGTATTCCCAGCGGCAATGACACCGCTGTCCTTGTCACTCTGTAAAGACTGTTTCGAATAGTTGCGCCACCTGCTAATAAGATATTCTAATACTGTGTATTCGAGCAGTCTATATGTACGTCTGAAGGGTATCCAAAGTCATTCGTAGCAGATCATGATGTGGCTTCGGGGTAGTGTTCTGGTTTTAATAATACACCCACGCTCATAATCACGCTTCTTCTCTGTCCATGGACCCCCCCCCTGAAAAGGGAAGAAGAAGATGGAATCGTCACTGTGTAAAACCTGCCTTTCGTAAGTTGCAACTTTGGCTCCGTGTCCTCCTGCACCCACCCCTTCCCAGACCTCAGCGGTCTCTCGGCAGCCACCCCCGCCCGAACCCCTGCTGTACTGTCGAGTTTGGGTTCGTAAAAGCCCCCGCATCCCCATTAGCATTAGGCAGCGCATCCCCTTCCGAGGTGGTCGATATCCCCAGGCCATGACGTGACGACATGGTGCTCGAGTCCGGCGACACGGGCGAGACGACCGAGCAGAGCGTATCGCGGGCCCCGGAGTCCGTCATCGGCGACACGTACGCAGGCGGCGGCGAGCCCGCGTCGAGCGTCGGGTCGTAGTTGTCCGCCGGCAGCTCGCTGAGCTGGGTGGCGGAGTGAGAGTCCAGCTCGGCGAAGTGCCGGTGCACGCCGGTCGTCCGCGGGACCGCGACCGCCGCCGCCGGGTCGAGCTCCGACAGCGAACTCGGGTCCAGTTCGGGGACGGGCCTCGGCTCGCCGTCGAGCTCCGACTTGTACGCGTGCACCGTGGGGTCTTGGGATCCGGACTTGACAGCTGCCGCCGCCGCCCCTCCCATTGCTCCGGCGGCGCCCCCGTTTACCGCTGCGGCTGCGGCGTCTAGCCGTTTCGCTCGGTACTTCATGAGCGTCTTGTACCCTATGAACATGAGCAAGAGAACGGCGAGAACGACGCCGATGGCGAGACCGGCTTTCGCCCCGTCGTCCATCCCCCTGTTTCCGTCCGGCGTCGCTGTAGTTGTAACGGTCGCTGTCGTGATGCCCCCGGCGCCTGTGCTAGTGGTGGTCGCCACTCTTGATGATGTCGGCGTCGCTGTGGTGGCGGTCGGGATTGGCCCAGTCACGTAGCAGTACCGGATCTGGCTGAAAATGGATGCGTATTGTGTGCAGCTGGCTTCTAGCTTCGTGATGTCGTCTAGGTCGTCGGTGTACCAGGAGGACATACGGTTCCTGAAGGACGCATAGGTAGCCGAAAGCTCGGCGCCCGAGAGCGTCGACGTGTAGTCGCAGGCGGTAGCACGCCATGGCATTGACGTTGTCGGCGCATTGTCCAGAATGTCTGCGAGGTCTTCGGAGCACTCTCTCTCGTTTTGTCGTCGTATGTGCTGCGCTCGGGCATAGACATCCGGCCGGGCTGCGGCCGGACCGGCAACAACCAGGACGCCGGCCAGTAACCCGAAGGCGTAAGCAGATTCGGGGCGCATCGGGTCGGGCAGGGTAGTAGGTCCGATTCAAGATGATGCTTATTTTACATGAGTTCCCCAGCGAGCATCAAACTCAATTGAAGAGGTGCGGGATGACAGACATGTGTTTGGAATCGAGGATTGTTCAGCTCCGTGGGGAAATTGCGCGGGAGAAGCTCAACTCAATGCAAGTCACGGCGTGGAGACTACGCCGCTCGTTGGGGTTAACCGGCTATCTAAGCCAACATACAGCTACCTACGTCAATATTACCCGTCATATTCCGTGATTGATGTTACCCTCTCCTGTTTCCACTGTATACGGATATGTGTGACCTCACGGGGGACCTCTATTCCCCTCCCCGGTAAAAGTCTGCGCTACTATAACTCCACAATGCAGTGCAAATCCATACACCAGAGGGGAAGAGGGGGGGGGGGTTATCATTGCGCGGTCATACTAATTATACGAATATGCATTTGCCAAGTCTGGGCCGGCCAGGGAACGGACCAACAACAGCGGTTCGTCCCAATTGCCAAGGAGACCCGGCTTGCCTCTCAGCCACGGTGATTGCGCTGGACAGGGCTGTGCTTGAGGGATCAATCAGCAATCGAAATGCCGAGAGGCTGGCGTTCTCCGAGCCCACCCAATTGGTCGACAGCGTTTCTCTGCTTGAAACGATATGGTAATCCGCTTTTTGGCCTGCCGATTGTTGGGGGTCCTGAAGTGCAGTACCTAAAGTGTATTCCTAGAGAGATCTGATGATTGGGTCTTTTATGTTCTTGCTGCGCTTGATAGCTTCCATAAAGGCGGGGTTTTCGATCTTGGTTGAGGAAAGGGTTTGGCGTGTCACCCACGTCGGCGAGCTCTTCGATGAGAGAGTACATGTCAACTGACCATTGTGGGGGGTATCTGACCTGACCTGACCATTGCTCTTACCTCTTTTGGATGTGGGTCTAGTGATCTCGTTTAATTTTAGGTAGGTGGGGCTGTCTAGAGCTTAGATACTCTATCTAGACAAATAAAACCCGAATTTTCGTTCTCCTCGGTCTACATAGTCTAGACAGTAAGTCTTAGCCTCCTAAAAATAATCTCAACCTCATGGGTTCAATTCCAGTTTTACTACCTTTTTCTTAGATTTTGAAATACTAACCTACCAAAAATTCCAAAACGGCTCCGCCGGGGAGGGATGGTATGGTACTAACCCACCCTGCTTCCTCCGCTGCGCTCGTGAACTCGCGCGTACGCTCCGGGTCGGGATGGGCCAAGACCATCCCTTTTGCTTAATTAGGCTAGTAAGAATTTTTAACCGATTGCACTAAAAATTAGGCGAGAGTGCTAGCCCCACATCCAAAAGAGGTAAGAGCAATGGTCAGGTCAGGTCAGATACCCCCCCCAATGGTCACCTGGACTACAGACTCCTTCGATGAACCGCAACCCAGTTCTACCTGAACAAGTTGCGCAGAGCTAGACTGGGATCAGGCATGCGGAGAAGCTGTGACCCCCCGTCAGAGCCAAAAGGAGCAATTGCACGCGTGACCTGTAGCTCAAGTCTCCGTAAATGGGCGAAATGAGTCCCGGGGTCACCGCGGTTCATGACTAGCTGTCGACATTTCACTACCTTGTGAGGAACTTTTTCGGGTCAATTCTATCGTCGTATCCCCAGAGAACATTGCAAAAAATGAACAGTCGGTATATTTCTCGCTAAAAAGAATATGTGGGCCAGAGATGGATAACAACCAAGCCCAAATGAACATTCATCTGTCCAAAGGCAATCGAATAGCAAGATCTTATTCTAGCTTGAACAAATGAGATCTAAGTGGTATCAAATGGTGTTATAAAACCCGGAGAAGAAGCCGTGTCAGACCCCCTTTCAGTAGAGAGCTGTCATGGCGACGGCCATGGGATTCAGCTTGGTCCCCAAGCTTTCCGCCGCTGCCTTTAAAGCTACACCCGCGGTCTCAGCAACTGTCTGTGTCAAGGCCCTTGGCCACACCTTGGGCCGAAGAATATTGCCTCCCCCCTCCCCTACCTACTCGTTGATGCGGTGCTGCCAAACCTCCTGTTCAGCCCTCGCGCTATAGGTGCTCGCGCCCAGGATACTCCTCATCTGATCGACACCTATGTATACGACTTGACGGGCGACGAACCATCGGATGCCTTCGTGGCAGGGCGGGCTTGTCAGGCTTCCCTGGTACGTCCAGAACTCGTTGAAGAGCAGCACGCTGCCGAGGGCCAGCGTATGGTCCATGCTGATCCGCTGCTGCACCCCCGCATCGTTGAAGCCAATCATCGACGGAAGCTGGCCGAAGAAGGCGTCTTTGCTGTTGGCGTTGCCGGGGTCGAGCCGGATGGCCAGCACAGCCTTGTCGTGGCCCCGGGCGTCGACGTGGACGAGGTGCAGCTCCGCCTTGGACCTGCCGCCGTTGACCGGGTGGTCCGCCGGCGAGTGGATGTGCCAGCCCTTCAGATAGACCGTCATGTTGTCGTAGGTGAAGGACGGGTTGCCGGCGTAGACCCCCTCGGGGTGCGTGACGGTGATGGCGGGGCCGTAGCCCCAGTTATAGAAGTTGCCCGTCGTCTCGTTGGGGTAGGCGAACTTGATCTTGTGGTCCAGGGCCAGGCCGTTGTTCAGACTGAGCGCGATAGGCGACTGCTGCGTGCCCGTTTGGCACAAGCTGTAGTCTGCGGCTGTGTCAGCACACTGGCCCGGGGAAGGCCGTCTTCGCTAACTCGAGCCAGACTCGCTGGAGCTGATGCGGCCCCAGTTGAAGGAGGCCTCGTACGCCCAGTCGGATGAAGTCTCAGGAGCCGACATCTTGCGCCTCCTGTCGCCTGCCTCGTAATGGTTTCCGTGTCCTGCACAGGCAAGGACGTGAGGTACCAGAAGCAAGAAGCTGACAAAAGACTGCGCGGTCATGACGGCGAGGCAAACCTTTCGACGGAAAGGCAACGCGCGAACGGGGACTGGCAGAGTTTGGTCATTGATTCTGTCACGTCCCGCAAGGGACCTTATGCCATTTATAGTTCCGACGAAGACCATGAACCGACCATGCGCATCTCTAAGGGTGACGGCCTTGATTCTGGCTTGTCGTCGTATGCAGCGGCTCTACCAGAGCATCGGGCGAGTCCAGATGCATTGGGGAGAGGTGTCTAGGAGCCGGCAGTCGAGCCCAGCTAGCAGAGTAAAATAAGTGTAAAAACAGAAATAAAAAGATTTGAGAAAGAGGGAAAAGAAAACCCTTACCGGAACCCCAAAACCTTGAAGTGCTTTTTTGATATACTAAGCAGAGGGGGGTTCTAGACTCGGGGGCCCAAACTTTGCGTCTTGTCCGCAGAATCCTTTGCGCGCAATCTTCCTGATAACATGCCGCTGCCACACACACACTCCGGAGCAGCCCACCAGCTTTTCAGTGTGAGACGCGGATACCAAAAAGGTGAACCGGAAGTTCGGCCTTCATCCGGGTCTCCGTGGCCGAGTCTCAGTTCCGCAGCATCTCGTTGCTTGGCTGACGTCTCTTCAAACGGGTCTTCCTTTTCCCCAAGACTTGCGGGGGAACGAGAGCGTTTGTTTGGGGTCATTCTGTGCCTGTCCCTGCCGTGGTTAGACGTTTCTCCGCCCTTTTTGACATTTTTTCAACATTTACATTTGTTGGCAGTGATAACTAGCCCTGGCGGACATGACCTGATGATGGCGGCTTTTGCAACATTCGTCCAGTGGTTACCGGTAGAATCGAAATATATTGCAGACGTTTCCCTCGGTTAAATAGTATCTAGGCCGGTAAAGGCTTATAGACACGTAATCTTTACCTAGAAAAAAGCCACTCAATCATCTCGTACTATCATTCATTATGATGCGATTCATGGTCTTTCCGCTGATCCTCAGTCGTGTCTTCTCCAGGTGTCACTGACATTCTTGAGGGTGGCACTTTTCCCGGGTTCGCATGCCTAACAGGTGTCTTGTCGTCGAGACTAACATGGAAAATTCGAGCTTTTGTATCATTTTTGAGGAGCATTAAGTCGCTTTGTCGGACACCTCGCACAGGGCAACATCTCGAAGCCGTCATTGATAAGTTAGGGAGAGAGATGTGAAGTAGCAAGAAAAATATCCTGTAATGTACGTGCATTGATGGAGTCGAGGGCGCCGGCTAATCGAACAGGCTAGTGGCTACGAAATGCGATTACTCTCAAGTCGTAAGCTACAGTGTGCTCGATATACCAGTCCCGCGAGGCGGTTGCATCGAGCTGGCGTAGAGCCGTTGTTCTTCCTCGGGGGCGGCCAGCTAGTTCTACCCGGGCCTAATCACGATGGGGACCCTTTTACCGTGGACGCAGGCTCGCTGAAATGAGCCGATATTGCCTTTAGGCGGGCTCATCGCGTCGCACTCCACTGTCGACTAGACGAGCTCGTCGGTCTGTGAGAGGGCAAGGCGGTTCAGCTCCATCATTGCTTGTGCCGCGACGACAAAATCAGGAGGGCTTCGGTGACAAAAGCCGTGTGGGAGATGCACAATCACCAATGTGGGGCTTCGGTCGTTCTTGTGAGGAAGATTCATCCATGGTTGCGGTGATGATGATTCTGCACAATGTGGAACCATTTGCAGGAGCTCGAATCAAGTCACACCCTTGACCTTGGGATGGAGGGAGGATAGGGGCCCTGAACAATGCAGACAGATCGAACGACTGCAGTGGCATGGACAGGGGCGTTCCCGGCCCTGAACTATCCGAACGTTCCGTCGCCTGGCGTCCCTCGCACTCGTTGACGCTTGGGGCGACGAGCTCGTCGAGCGGCAGCCACCCGGAGAGGGTTGCGTACTGTACTCCGAGGCCGGCCTCACGAAGAAGACCAAGGCGAAGCAGAACCTGGACACAGTGAGCCACACCTGCCGGCCCGACTGGCTGAGCCTGCGGGTGAACAAGTAAACTGCGCGGCCCGTCTTCTATACGGTCGATCCTTAAGCTAGCTTCGCAACGAGCCGGCCGGATAGGCTTATGCGCAGGATGCTACGCTTTTGAGGAAGCTGAGCTAATATGGTTGGTTGGATTGATTGTGCCTCCGGTTCGGAGTTCGTCCGAGCAGATAATGAACCAGCGAGATGTACTCCGTAGGGATACCTATAGCATGGTTGTGCTAAACAGTGTTTTAGCATTAGATTGGTGTGCGCTGAAAGGCGAGTGCGGGGCTAGCCCGTCCCGCATTCATTCTCGATGCTCATATAGGGAAACCGGAGTAGTGTTGCCAGGTGGATGCCGAACCGACGTTTCTGTTGAAGAGATGGTAGAAGACGAAAACGAGGCAAGGAATTGATTGACGTGATGGGGGTGCTATATCATTGATAAGCAATGCCCGTCTTGCTCTCCTGGACACTTGACAGCTCCCAGAGGCTCTTCTCTGACAGCCAAAGCACAGCACCGACACGGCGGAGAGACTTCATGCCCAGCTTCCGAGTTCCGATCCGCGGTCTGGTGGGGAGTCGCTGAATGCCAATTCGCATATATCGTCGACGGCCTGCTACTTGTCCGAGTTTGAACTTGATATTTCGAAGAGGGCTTGCGCTGACATGGTGCAGGTGCGTAGTGAGGGTACGGTATTATCTGCTCCGAAGGTCGCGAGCGTTGTCTAATGACTTGCAAAGTGGGCGGTTCGGTTGGGACATTGTGACATATCCAAGGGGCGGTTATACGGGCTTGAAGGACCGGAACAGGGTTGTTTGGCGTTTCGAGAGACGCGGGGATGGGTAGCCAAACGAAAGGCGAGAGCAGCACATTTGGGTTTCTTGTTGGATGTAGGCGAGACCGGACTAGTACACAGATACTCTCGTCAAGCTCGTCAAGGAGTGGATGACGGAAATGGGTGTGTTGAAGACCATGGTGGAATTGAACAGAACGAAGAGTCGTTTCTGTTTCAGCCATGGGTAGGACGGGATCGTGATAAGGCCTCGGCACCCTTCATGAGTCGGTGCGGTGCGTCTGGTAGGGGAGGGACCCAGACCGGGCCAGACCGGTGCCAAGGTTATTTATCATCTTCAGCTTCGGATGGAGCACATACCTACAAGGGAAGGGACAAGACAAAATAGGCAACGTGCGTGCGGCCCTTGGCTTGTTTGACCTCATGTGCATTTTTGTTTTGTCTTCACTCTGTTGTCTTTTCTGTTTCTTTTTCTTTGCATGTTGGAATATTCGATCAATTGCTTCATTCCTAGGTAGACTTGCATTTCCGTGTTTGAGGAAGGAGCCAGCTCCGATCGGTACCGGATTCGGCGCCACCAGCAAGCACACTTTCCCATACGCCCTTCCCCTCGCTTTTTAGCTCTTTCCCATCTTTTCGTTGGTGGAGGGGTTACCTGGCAAGCCCACCGGACGGTAGGAGCAAGCTCCTTCACGCTCCCATTGGCTGAAGAGTCTTCTCTGACCAATGAGAGGGGCTTGTTTTGTGCCCCCACGTGATGGAGTTTTCCGACCAGGGGGGGTGTATGTTCCCACCGATCGAGATCGCACTTGCCCAAGTCGAGGGAAGGCAACGAGCATCAGTGGGACCTGAGGCGAGAGGAAGGTGCTGCTTGCTGCTGCTGCTGCTGCTGCTGCTACCTTCTCTGCTCTGCTCTGCTCTGCCCTGCTCTTTCCTGCTCTGCTTTGCGCCGGAAGCACAAGCAAATCCCAATCCATTCAATCTCCCCTCGGCCAGCAAAACTGGCTCATGCTCTTTTCCCCTTCTCTCTGCCTGCCTCTCCTTCCCTTTGAACGAAGGAGACGGGGGGCGAAATATCCCTGCTGCGGGTGCTAAACACCACTACTGTTACTGCCCTAGAGAGCCCACGCCTCGTCTCGTTCACACATACCATCCATACCTGCTAGCTACTACTCCGTACCCAAGAGACAAAATCCGACGAAAAAAGCACCGCATTCGGCCACTTCGGTTCAATCTCATGTCGCTCCCCCCGAAGCGTCGTCGCGTCATTCTTCCTGCCCCGGGCGCTCAATCCCCGGGTTCGCTTCCACCTACGGCCGCAACTGTAGTAGGCCAGCAGGCCTCAACCTCGGGCCGCGACTCGGCCGGACGAGGGAGCAGCGACGGCTCCATCAACTACCCAAGCACAAGTACAGAGAGCAGAAGCCAGAGTGACGACTCATCCTCGGCCGACCCGAAGCCGCGTGCTGCCTCCAAGCGGCAGGTCATTGCCGTTGCTTGCGATAACTGTCGACGGAGAAAGGCCAAGGTGAGAGATACTGCTATTTTGTTTCTTTTTTTATCAAAAAAATAAAATAAAAATAAATCAAGGACACCAATAAAAAAGCACCATTTACACAAGAGACACACATACACCCCCACATTCTCCCGCGCCACGCAGCATCTTGCTTGCGCGCTACTTGCACCCCAAGGCTGATATTTCTTCTTCTTCCTTTATCCAGTGCGATGGCCAACGCCCAAAGTGCCAGCACTGCTCCAAGAGAGGCGTCGACTGCCATTATGAAGCGAACCAGGGCGAAACCGTGAGCCTCGCGCTCAAGCGCAAGGCCAGCGTCCTGGAGACCGAGAACGCCCAGTACAGAGACCTGTTCCGCATGGTCTGCACCAAGTCCGAGGATGAGGCAAAGGAAATCTTCAGACGCATAAGGGCCTCTGGCGACCCCATCAGGGTCTTGGAATCCATCCGTCAGGCAGAAATCTTGCTCCCCACCCCGGCGACAAACGACAGGACACGCGACATGAGGCTGGCCAAGATCGACGAGAGAGCTCTCCAAAGCAGCCTGATCAGAGTCCCCGCGAAACCTTGGACCACCGTCGCCGACGACGGTCTCGTGTCGGAGCTCGTCACCAGCTTTTTCAACTGGGAAAATGCCAGCTGTTTTCCAGCTATCGAGCCGACCCTGTTCATAGACGACATGCGCACCGGCAGCATCAAGGAAGCCAAGTGGTGCTCGCCCATCCTGGTCAACGCTATCTGCGCAGTCCGAGCCGTGAGCCTCGAACCCCTCTCGGGCTGTTTTTCGTCTTGGTATGCTGACCGTTTCCTCTCGACAGCCATTCCTCGAAAGCGCCAAACAGTACAGCGCCATCACGGGCCGAGACCTGTCCAAGACATTTCGCGACGAGGTCATGCAACTGGTTGAGAAGAGCCATGGACGAGCCACATTACCCACCATTCTCGCCCTCGTCCTTGTCGATTGGTCGGCGAGTATCGCCGGAGACGAGAGCAGCGCCAAGATGTACCGCTTCATGGCTTGGGAGCGGTACAAGCGCTTCAAACCTGACCGGAGGTTCGCTATGCTCAACAAGGACGACCCCGTCGATGCCAGAGAGATGCTCAGCATCTCAAAAGCCGTATGGTCAATCTTTCTAATGGAGAGGTGAGATTCAGTCCATCCCGTTGCTGGCCATATCGTCGCTCTGCATGCTGATCTGTGGGCATAGCCGCATTTCGTACTTCTACAACTCAGTTGCCGACATCCCGCCTCCAACGATACCAAAATTATTCGATAACTACGGCAAAGATGCAACCGAGCCAAGGGGCAACGTCGACGTCCTAGGGCGGCCATATATGGAATCAACAACCCAACTGCCAATCGTCCCAGGGATAGCAACAGTTATCACAAGCCTCGCATGCTTACAATACGACGTCATGCAGTACCTGACTTCCGGGAGCACCATAAAGGGCAGCATAGAAGACATCAGACGGAGGAAGCACTGGTACTGTAGGTTGCGCGAGTTTAGGAAAGCGTTGCCCGACCGTTTCCAGATGGAATACAACTTCACTCCCGGCACATGCTTCCTCAGGTAAGCCTATACTAATTGACGCCGAGACTTTTTAAATTGCTAACTTTGTCCAGGATGCATGAAAACGAAATCGCATACGTTCTGCTACAACCCCTCCACCCATCAACAAAGTTTGACGGCCCTTTTACGGGGCCATCCGCCACCGTGAAATCCCTAATCCTGCAACACTGCGTATCCGACACCACCCTTGCAGAAGCGTTCCTACTACGATACACCATCCACTCCTTCATCACCCGTCAAGTCTTTGTGACGATGCAGAACTTGATGCCGTTTCTGAACGATGACCACGCCGCGACAAGCGACCTATTCACGCGTCTTTGCAGGGTCGGCGGCCTCTCGGCCCGCGTCGTCCGCATGTCCATGTACCTCTTGCAAGCGCTCCAGGCCATGGCGTGGGCGATGAAGCAGGATATCCCCGCCTCGGCAAAGCAGTTTCTTGACCCGTGGGTCAAACTGGCGATACAGGAGACCGAAACGAAGCCCCCGAGTTACGCTGTGCCGGATAGGGAGGAGATCAAAGCCCTGTTGGCGGAGGACGACCAGAGTTCTGGAGGATCCGGAGATGGCGGCGCCGAGCTATGGGCCCTGGTCGAGAAGTGGGCCGTCAATAGTGGCAGACAGTCTTGATTCGGAGTCGTTGAGCGGGCGTTAAGTTGCACATCAAAATGGTTTGCCTTGAATTATGAGCGTGTTGGGTCGTCGGGCCGTCGGTTTTGGGTGTCTGCAGGTGAAGCTTTGAGTACTAGAACACACTCTTTGCTGAGAAGGCCACATATTCTCTCTATATAAATGATGAGTCCTGAGAATCAGACTGAAAGATATCCGCCACGAAACTATCCTACATTTATTTAATAGCATGGCCTGCAATGGTCTCTGATCCATCCTACCCCCTTTTTTCAATCTTCTCGTGTAATGTTTAGAGTGTAAGTGATTCGGTTGCTTGGGTATTGCTCTTCCATGTCCAAACCATGATGCATCCGCGGTAAAGGGCTATTGTTCAAACAGCTTTGCGGCGTTGCGCCTCCTGACGTCTTGAGCGTCATCCGTACCGTTGAAGACCTTTGCTACATCAATGTCAAACTTGGTAGCCAAGAGCTTCCCCGCGGCCCACGGGGTGAAAGGCACGTCGCTCCCCCACACGATCTTCTCGTGGCTTACCCAACGCAGCAGCGCCGGGATGGCCGACGTGACCGGCCACGGCCCGGCGAGGTCGAAGTAGAAGCTGCGCTCGAGGGTGGCCCTCATCGACGCCTCTGTCAGGTTGAGCTCGGGCGTGCTGAAGCCGACGATGCGGTCCAGCGTCGGAATCAGCGCGCCGCCGGCGTGCGGCATGATCCACTCGATGTTGGGGAACCGGGTCGGCACAGTCGAGTAGAACAGGTCGGCGAAGGTGCGGGCGGTCTCGAAGGGGAAGTCGAGCGTCGGCGCCCGCCCCAGTCGCGCGTCGGCCGGCCTGTTGAGGGCCAGCCACTCCTCGGGCGTGATGCCGGGGTCGGCCCCGGCGATCTGGAACTGCTGGTGGTTATGTTCGGTGCACGGGACGGCGGGGTGCTCGAAGACGGTCGCGTTGAGGGCGTCGAGCGCCTTGTACACCGGGTCCATGGCCGGGTCGCCAAAGTACAGGCCGTACGCGTTGGACATGAGCACGACGCCGTCGGGCTTCGGGTCCAGCCTGGTGAAGCAGTAGGCGATCTCGTCGACGGACGCGGCCACGTCGGGCAGGGGGAGAGAGGCGAAGAAGCCGAACTTGTCCGGGTACTGGGCCTTCAGGCGCGAAGCGTACTCGTTGATCCTGCGCGCGAGCGAGATTGCTTTCTCCGTCGCCGGGCGCGACGGCACAGACAGGTAGACGCCCGGGCTGGAGACGGACAAGTAGGACTTTTCAATGTTTTGCGATTCCATGAACGAGAGGTGCGCCTCTGGCGACCAATCCTTAACCCAGGGTCAGAGATGCCAAGGCCACTTGTGCCGGCTGTTGGTGAGAAAACCTACAGGTATACTGGGCATCCCGTCGGGGCCGGGCAGATGCCCGGCATCCCGCAGTGCTTGGGCGTAGAAGTCGGGGAGGAAATGCGAGTGCGTGTCTATCTTGACCGTCGACGGCTTCCACGAGTCGCCCGCGGCGGCCTCTACGGCCAAGAAGCATCCAAAGAAGAGCGTACGTTTCATGGTCGTCAGTCCGGGCCGAGGTCGAAGGTGGATCTGGAGAGTGAGATTGAGAGGAATCTGTCTTACAGACGGGAGATGTCGACCACTTTAAGTATCGCGACTCAAATTATAGTGTTCCGAGTTTATTTCCCTTTTGAGACGGCTTCTCGCGCCATTGCGTCAGTCGAAGACACGATCTTGTACAAGAATTTGTACTTCCCTGGACGGGAAGACAGGCGAAGGAAGCGCCATAAAGTGCGAGCATGACTGCAGCTAACGCGGCTATGTGGCACTAACAAGGGGGACCGTGAGGCCAACTTCTGTCGATCCCTGTTTTTTCTTTTCTTTTCTGTATGCAAACTTTTATCTTTTCAAGAACGGCGGTCAACCGGATTTTATTTCTTGGGGTTTGATACATTCCATCGGGGCGGACATGCTACATACGTGCCATGTCACACTCATGCTATACGCGAATCTACATAACGCTTTTGATGTTCTGGATAGTATAGAAAACTTGGCGGCTACAGCCTAAGACCTGGATCTTACCATTCACTTTAAATTATAGATAACCCTTCTCAAGGAGACCTATATGATCATAAAGTGTGTCCTGCGGCGTTTGTTCTACTCTGTGAAAAACAACGAGTGTGCCTGCATAGGTCTTCGAGGCTTTGAAAGGCATCAGCCATCCCAGCAAAGTACCAGTGCATGGCCAACTAACCAAATGAATGAATATGGCTCGAACAAGATCCCACAATTTCAGTTATGCAAGCCCATGGGCCAGGAATATGTAAATATGGCAAGGCGCAGGAAGAGGATGTTGATCGACCTAGACATGTTCCATATCGAGCTAACGCTAATTAACCGACGAGGCGGAAATAACCTTTGGCTTGTATCTGTGGCGCGTTACAGTAAATCCCGTGTTGAATCAAGAATAGATAGCTCGCGCAAGGATTCCCGGAAGGAGGGACTTTTGTACTTAAGCATGGGTTGACAAATACTCGCCTCAACTCCAAGCCAAGACCGAGGCTCTGCGCCGTTGCAATGCTAGCTGCCTAGATAGCTCTTGTTAGCCGTTGCATGAGGGCGTCCACGTCATCTCTGTTCCTGCCATCAGCTCTCCATAGCCTTGTAAGGCAAGCTTTCCAGTATTATCGCAATTTAGGCGAGCGGGTGTAAGCAGCTTAGCTCCAATGGCTTCGGATAGTCTTCAGATAATCCCTGCATAACCGGGGTGTGATGCTGCCTGATGCTTACTCCTACGTCCAGCTGAGGAGAACGAACTGCGCCCTTTCGAAAACATCGTCCCTTGCCCTTACGCTCGTAAAAAGATCTTTTGTACGCCAGCCCAAGTCAAGCGATCACAAAGGTCTTCCTACACTTGTGGTCCACCTCCCAGAAATCAAGTTTGCCCTGCGCGCGTTCGGCTGATCATTACCCCCGAAACAGACACTTTGCGGTTGCAAGCTCTTCGTATGGGTCCCACAGAGAGCTACAGATATCCCGGTGAGAAACTGGAGCTGGAAGATGCGTTTCGGCTCGTCGAGGTTCAGCCCGGGGAGCGTGATGCCCCGGTCGCCGTCCACCTCCTTGCGTCCAATCTGCACGGTTGCCCGCAGGACGAAGCTCTCTCGTACGCATGGGGCGATGCTACGCAGACCAAGATCATCCATGTTGTCACTTTCGCGTCGTGTGGCGATACCTCTTCGACGACGCCCCTGTCTGTCACCCGCAGCTGCGACTCCCAACGAAGCCGCGGATGTTATCTGCGTTGAGGCGCTTGCGACTCCCAACGAAGCCGCGAATGTCATGGATCGACGCCATCTGCACCAATCAGTCTTCTGTACCGGAAAGAAACCATCAGTTGGGTCTGATGCCGCGGATTTACAGCGAAGCTGCAAGCGTGGTAGTCTATCTGGGCGAGAGCAGTGAAGTCGAAAACAGCGACGACGCCATGGACTGGCTACGCGAATCTCAAGAGTCCTCGCTGACTTCGGGTCGTCAAACTGTACAGGGATCGATTCCGTCGCTGTTGCGGCGGCCATGGTTCCTGCGCACGTGGGTCTTGCAAGAGATTCAGCTGGAAAGGAGAGCGACTGTGGTTTGCGTGAGCAGAGAAGTCGGTTAAGGAGGCATTTGACGAGTTACGGTACATCGTCGATAATGACACGCGAGCCGAGCCACTTCCATACGCGGTGACCCTGGCGAACAAGGGCGAGATCCGGCAGGCAAAATGAGTACCGCCCTATCCTATCCTGTACGTCTGCTGAATCTTTTGCAGAACACGAGATACCTCGAAGCCACGGATGCAAGAGACAAGCTCTACGCCATCCTTTCCGAAGGGGGACTACAGCTGTTCGCCCTCCGAGACTTTCACCCAGCTCGGTCGAGCTCTGATCGACGCCCTCGGACTGAACGTTCTCCGCAGCGTCGTAACCCCGACTAAAGTATCAGGACTTCCGACGTAGGCCCCAGACTGGAGCACGCATGGCTTACGGTCGTTCCGCGGTACTATGCCGCCGATGGAGTTTGAAAGGCGGACAATGAGGGAAAGATATGCTAGCGGCCAGCTCATTTCAAAAACGACGGCCGACGGAGCCGGCCACAGGCAGTGGAGATTTCCAGAGTGCACCGCTTCAGAAGGAAGCCAAAACACACAGCTACACGTCCGGGCTGCAATCATTGGGACAATCGTCAAGTTGGGCGAACTATGCGACATATACGCCGATCACTTACCCCTGGAGCAGTGGGAGCATATGCGAGCCATGGCATCTCCAGAAAAGTCCCGTCGTACATGGCAAACACGCGGGGACGTCACCGGAGAGACTCCCGCCGTTTATCAAAGCCTTGTTTGGCACGTTGCTGGTATACCCAAGCGTGATGATGGAGGCGGTCCAGGAAGTCGGGGAATACCACCGTCAGAGGCCGACCATTCCGCTCACCTATATCGAGCTCGAAGATTTCGTTTACGTAAAAACGTTGTTGCTGAGGGACATCTTTGCGTCTTGGGTGGCTAGCTCCAGGAACACCAGGCTGAGGACATGTTTTCCACCTGCCATGGGCGGCGGTTTTTCGTTACGGACGCGGGGTTTCTCGGGCTCGCTCCGGATGCAACTATGATTGGGGACCGAGTGGTTGGGATAGAGGGCCTCGACGTTCCTTTTGTGGCCAGGTCAGTGGGAGACGGTGACGCGAGTCTCGCGGCTGTGCAGTTGGTAGGCCGATGCAGCGCACGCGAGGCGCTTGACAGTGCGGTTGGCTATGAAGAAATGACAATTCGGTGAAGAAAATAGGCTTCAGACATAGATGAAGACTTTGGACAGCCCACTGAAGGAATGAATGTGTACCAGTCTGCGCAGATTATGGAATCAGCCGAAGTTGGACCAACCAGCTGTATAGGCTTTGTAGAGACAACAAACATATAGATTCGGTGAGTTGGCTTCCTCGAAGCCGATACTTGATCTGACTCGTGCTAGCACAGATCATGGCCACCAAAACACCGAGCACGTACTTATGACATGAACAAACATCCACTCCACCCATTGCAGCTGTGCGAACCGCACAAGCTAGTCTGAATGACTACAGGGCTCGGCGAGCGTGATTCCTTGAGGATCCAACCTCTGGTTCGTTTCCATGACTCCTGGGGCTTACTTGAAATCACTGAGCTCTTTCCTCGGCCAGGTTCTGTGAGTAGGGGGAGGCAAAACCCGATCCCATGACCACTTCTTGGCCAGACTCTCTTCAAGAGACCCGTCCAGCATCTGCATCACATACTTACCCAAGATGGGCAAGAACTTCCAGCCGTGGAAGGACCCGCAGGTGGCGACGTAGAGGTGTTTGCTCGCCGAGTGCGGGGAGATGATGAAGTCTTCGTCGGGCGTCACGGCCTCCCTGTTCCGGGTGTGTGTGTAAGTACATTCATTTCTCACGCTTTGACGGGCTCCCCGATGGCGTAGCGCTTACCAGCAGATGCGGTAGTTCTCGTTCTTGAAGCCGGCGCTGCCTTTACCGTAGAGGCTCTTCCCCGCGTAGTCCACGTCGTCCCTCAGCGTCTTGGGGACGTCGAATTGCGCGTAGTCGGCGGCCGGCGGGGGCGCGGAGTACCGGCCTCCGTTCGGGTGCGGCTGCGTGTTCCTGAAGATGATCTGGCCCCAGAACTTGAGGGTCTTGTCTTTTGAGTGCGGAACGCTCCCGTTGCTGGCGCCTGAAGTGGTGTCAGAGGGCCCAGTCTGCCAAAGGGGGGGGGGGGGGGGGGGGGGTTTGCTACCGTGATCGGAAACGCACCTCTCGAAGGCGGCACCGTTGAGATGCCGACCGGCCCGTCGTACAGGTCCTTGGCATTCTCTCCGGTGACGCGCGTGAACCCCTCCGTCACAGCAGCAGCAACGAATCTGTCGCCGGCATGGAGCTCGGTCCGCTCGGGAGCGCTGTCGGCCAGCAGCTTGGCCGTGTACGCGCCCGTCGACAGGATGACGTGCGCCGCCTCGATGCTCTCGCCGCCGGCCGTCTGCGCGCCCGTCGCGGCGCCCGCGGCGTCGAACTCGAGCCTGGCGATCTCGGCCTCGACGTACTTGACGCCCAGCCTCACGGCCTCCTCGATCGTCCTCTGCAGCGCCTCCTTGGCCTCGCCCCACCCGCTGTTCCTGTTCACAAAGACCTCGTCGACGTCGGTGAAGTCGGAGTCGGCGAAGATGCCCGCGTACTCTCTCCTGGCCTCCTCCACCGAGAGCGAGGAAAGCCCCGACTCGACGCCGAGCTTCCTGTAGTTCGCCTGCATCTGCCGCGCAAAGCTGCTCGGCGAGACCCAGTAGACGCCGCTCTCGTGGTAGAAGGGCCTCCAGAGGGGGTCCTCGGCCCAGTGCTTCTTGGCCTCGAGGGTGAGGCGCATGTACTCGATGTCGACGTAGTCGGCGCGGACGACCTTGTTCCAGTCCCAGGAGGCGGCGACGCGGACGGGGGCGTCGAAGGCGTTGCGGTCGACGAGGGTCACGCTGGCGTCCGGGCGCGCCCTGATGAGGTGCAGGGCCGTGGAGGCGCCGAAGACGCCGGCGCCGACGATCAGGTACGAGTTGCTCTTTGTCTCGGTCATCGTGTCTTTTGCAGAACGCAGTCAAACGGTCAAAGTTAAACCTAATCCTCTATTCGCGACACGTCGAAGAGCAGCAGCTCAGTCCTTATCGCCGTTGTCGGGATGCTGCCCGCACTCCTGTCCCCGTCTTATGTCCTGGCGTCATGTGATCAACTCGGCACTCAATTGGCGCTGTGGAAGGTTCTCCGCAGGTCAGAGAGTGGCAGAGGGTTTAAATAACTTGTGTGAGCGGTGTCGCGTCGATACTTCAAGTCATGATTCTGCTATGAGTGGAATACGCCACAGCTTCTGCTTGACCGCCCAGCAGATGGTCGTCCATGACGCATCGACCAGCCAGAAGAATTCGATCGATAATGAAGGGAGTTTACGGAGGGGGAAAAAAAGAACTAATAAAGTCGAGCTCTCTGCATCAGTCCACTCTCTAAATGGAAATGGCCGTCGGGTTCGCTGTGAACAGTAGCATTTCGCCACGTTCATGCACCGCCAGCTCGATTACAAGGATGATGGAGGTGTTACGGTTCTGCTGAATTGAAGGCTAAATAAAGGGGAACTTGAACATTGGGTGAAATGAGATCGGTCCACCGGCATGGACGCTGCTTGATTTGTGCCGATGTTGATCAGCACAACAGGCATCTTCTATCACGTCTCTCATTTGCCGATACGGGGTCACGAATGCCGCGGGGAACAATAAGATATCTTCTCTGCTCGTTATCGGTTGCGTCAACCACTTTCAAGATCCCCGAACATGAGATGGTTTTACCCTCATGGTTGGCTCTTTCACTGTGATTTGGAACGGCGCTGCGTGCGAGTCGGAAGACGCTCCGCCAACACCGGGGAACCCTGTGATAATGGAGCTATCCTATTCCCTCCTTGCTAAAGTAAGCTGTGTGCCTCGCTGATGAATACGCGGCAGCAGTAGGGGGACCAACGGAGCTTACTCATATGCTCTGGCAAGGGTCTGTTAAGAAACAACTTGGACGGGCGACTGTGTCAGGCGTCTAACTCGGCTTTGACAAGGTACTGTGATAACAGCCCTCATAAGCTCGTCAATCTCGCATCCCAGTGCGATCCCCAGGCGCCGGGCGAAGCACGCTTCGGCTGAAACACCCACATGTCCTCATCAGCATCGTTACATAGTATGTAGGAGCCCTCCCTTGGCTGACTGGGGCTTGTCCGACGGACCCGGCGTCCGTCTCTGGTCCGTCTCGTATTTCTTGCTCTCCCAGCCGTTGCCGATGGCACTCATCAACCCCTCCAGACCAAAGACACTGAGCAAAAAGCAAGGAAGAGCAAGTCAAGACAGATTGTCATGAGAGCAGCAAGATGACACGTCCATCTGACGAACTGAAGGCCGACCACTACCTCATTAGTGCTTACGCGGTGCATGATGACGACCTCCTGAAGGAGGACGAACCGGAACTGTTCCGTAGCTCGTCCCGCTGGCCGCGACGGTTCTCGGCCCGCGGATGGGTCGGTATCCTCTTCCGCCTCGTCGCGGGCGGCCTGCGGGCGGGTTTCCGGGGGCTCGACGGGCTGCTGACGCCTTTCCGGGCCACCTCGCCGCGTGCCGTCATCTTGGTGCTGGCGCTGCTCAAGTTCGCCCTCACGTACAAGCTCACGATCCAGATGATGCCCATCATGCGCCTCATTGAGGACCACATTTGCCACCAGCACTACCGGCTGGGCCCGGAGGCGCGCATCCCCGAGATGAAGTGCAAGGTCGACGACGTGCAGAGGGACCTTGCGTGGCTGCAGGGCTGGCAGGCCCTCTTTGGTGCCGTCGTCAACATGACCGTCGCGTTCCCCTACGGCGTCCTGTCTGATAGGTCGGTGTTTCCTGTTTCCAAACTCGGTGATGATGATGATGATGATGTGTGTGTGTGTGTGTGTGTGTGCGTGTGTGTGCGCGCGCGTATCGAGACTGGCTGACAGGGGAAACAAAACCAACAGGATCGGACGCAAGGCGGGTATGCTCCTCGCGTACATCGGCACGCTGGGCGCGCTCATATGGGGCCCCCTCTTCCTCGGCCTCTTCCCGGAGGCCAGCATCTACCTCATCCTCCTCGGGATCCTCTTCTTCCTCATGGGCGGCGGCGTCGTCGTCTTCTTCAACAACCTCTACGCCATGGCCGCCGACGTCAGCACCGCCAAGGACCGCGCCTCCAACTTCGTCTTCCTCTCCGTCGGCGCCGTGGCCGGCGGCCTGCTGGGGCCCCTGACGGCGGGCTTCATGATGGAGCGGCACGGGCCCTGGGCGCCGATCCGCCTAATGTTCCTCGTCGTGCCCGTCATCTTGCTCCTCATGATGCTGCTGCCCGAGACCCTCCGCAGCCGGTCGGCCGGGTCGCCGCCCCGGAAGCGGCTCGCCCTCGGCGCCGCCGTGGGCGAGGCGCTGGACAACGGGCTGCACGAGGTGCGGGAGTATGTCGGCATCCTCCGGGATCGCAACGTCATCCTCTGCCTGGCGCCGTCGCTCGTGCAGGGCCCGCTCAACGCATCGAACGGCCAGACGCTCCCGCAGTACATAAGCAAGTACTTTGGCTGGACGCTGGCGCAGACGACCTTCCTCATGTCGCCGTTGAGCCTGGGCCATCTCGCCGTCCTCCTCGCCCTGCCGTGGGTGTCGCGGATCATCACCGATCCCCGGGGCCGCTTCCGCCGCACCGGCTGTGGCAAGGACGCGCTCCTCGGCAGGGTGTCGTACTTCATGATCGCCAGCGGCGCCCTGATCGAGAGCCTCAGCCACGATGTCGTCGTCTTCGCGGCCGGCCTCGTGGTCACCACGCTCGGCTCCGCCAGCTTCCCCGTCTCGCGCGCGCTCATCACCGGGTTCGTCGAGCCGGAGCACACGTCGCGGCTGTACGCCCTGACCAGCATGGCCGAGACCCTCGGCTCGCCGCTCGGCGGCCCGGTGCTCGCCTGGGCATTCTCGGTCGGGCTGGAGAAGAAGGGAGGGTGGAAGGGGCTGCCTTGGTTCTACATCTTCTTCTTGGCAACGGGGGCCTGGGCGGCGCTGATGTTTGTGAAAGAGCCGAGGGGGAACGATGCCATCCGGCTGGAGAGCGAGGATGGCATTGAGGCAATGGGTTACGAGCCCGTCGCAGGAGATGAGCCGCGAGAGGCTATACCAGTCCGGGAATGTTCTGTATAAGACCAATCACTGTAACTCCATGTATTTCTGCGTAGATCAGGCGGGCGCTGGCTGGGCATAATGGGAGTTTTGGATCTAGAAAAATATGACTTGCTACCTTATCATGAGTTCACAGCAGCAGCTTGGATCGGTACAAGAAGGGAATAGACCACAAGAGCGTGTCACCGTCAATCCCGTAGTCATCACAGCACCTACCTACCGCGGAGAGGATTCCGGTTGTTATGCGACCAATCCCCAGTCGCCGACGACCAGTCCGGGAAGCGTGCCTGGGCCAATGCCGCAGGGCATGACAGAAGCAACGAGGTTCATCCCGGGCGACGGCGGTGATGTGGAGGAGCGGACAACCTCGCTGGCGGTAGACGATACCAGCCATCGCTCGCCACGTAGCGGGGAGGGGGGCCAGAGCAAGTCACGGAGAAGGATAACAAGGTTGACCTGAAGCGCGTCAAGTCTAGATATCGTACGGGGGGATCCTACAACGCAAGTGAGGGGGTTTTGTTTGAGTTGTTTCCCACGATAAACGAGGTCAATGCGCATGAAAGCGGCCGTCTCCGATGTTGACGTCTGGGTTGTCGGGCATCGTCATCCATCATGCATGCCACGGCTTGGCTTGCGCCTTGCTGCACTTCCCGAAGCCGACGGAAGAGCCAATGCATTGCAGTCACGTTATCTATCACTCTATGCTCAGAGTCTTCTGCGACGCCAAAAAAGGGAGGGAGGGGCAAGTTGGCAACAGAAGTGGAAGAGCCGACATGAACTCATGGTCTTTGGCCGAGAGGGAAGAGAGGGCAGATTCCAACGCATCAGCCACATGCAAAAGTTCCACCCTCCCAATCCCTCTCTCTCTCTCTCTCTCTTGGCCCCCTATCAAAATTGACAAGTGCCATCGCTGGTAACGAAGATCCCTGCTGTTGAGGGGTTGGGTGTGACCCTCCGGGGCAAAGACATGAGCATCATCCCAAGAGATTTAGCGGTGCTGACACCCCTTCCCCCTTTACCGGCCGGATCCTTGGTTCTTGGCATGATTCTAGCGGCGGTTCTTTTGGGACGCGAGACTCGTTTGCTGGCCAACAAAAGCCGTCTGCCTGGTTCTGTCCCACTCCTCTCTACGCGGAGTGAACAAGACGTGAGATTCTTGTACTATGCTATCCTGCCGTAGCTCAGTCCGGTACATGGCGGCGGCGGCGGCGTCAGCGACAGAGCTCGCCGTGCTGGTCCGTGGCGCATGTCTACAAGCACCGATGATCCCCGCCCAAGCCCGTCAGCAGCAACCCGGACCGGGCGTGTTGTTCGACACATCACACACACACACACACACACACACACACACACACACACACACACACACACACACACGCCATACCATACCATGATCCACGTTCATATTTGCGACGGTCCTTGGTGCGGTGTCGTAGCAGAGGCAACCCGGCCGGCGAAGATCGAGGGATCTGATGTCATTGGCCACGCATGCCACATGCCCCCCAATCACCATCGTCATGCTACAATGATGTAGAGGATCGATCGCTTTGGTCTGTCTGCGTCCCGTCTTACTGATATCTACTACTATGTGCGTATACCCACCTCTGCCGTGGATCGTCATTGCAATAGCGCTGGTTGACAGGCGCCTCTTATCCTCCCCGCCAAGGATTGCTGGACATACATATAATGCTCAGTCAACCTCCGGGGAGGGTCTCCCTGATGGTGAATCCATTTTGATGACGAAGCCATTTCCCGTATTGTTGTTTTTATGGTACAGTTGTCGCCAATATCGACTTGACTGCCACACTCCTATCTTATACACAGCATACACCTTTTCCTCGCGTGGAATCGTGCAAGTTTTGTTTCGAAACCTAGCGGTATACACCTCGCGCCTTTGCGCCGGTATCATCGCCTTGAGAAACACATTGAGAGAAACTCTTGAGGCACCCTTTGAGATTACCCTAGACAGGAGGGCCGCACACGCATTCCATCGCCAACGCCACGACGCCATCACAATGTCCTCCGACCTGGAATCCAAGATCCTCCAGGCGGCCGTCCGGAACCGCGAGCTCCTCGCCGTCCTCGCCGAGACGGACAACGCCATCCCGGACCTGACGCAGCAGCGCCGGCTCATCGCCGACCTGGACCGCCAGCTGCAGCAGTCCGACAGGGCGCTCGGCGCGCTCGAGGCGCGGCGCAAGAAGGAGCTCAGGGAGCACGAGAAGTACCGCGACAGCGTCATGCGGCGGTTCGTGCACAAGGCGGTCGGCAAGCGCGGCAAGTTCGACGAGCGCGCGGCGTGCGAGGAGCGCGAGTACTTTGACGCGCTGCAGGAGGAGCACCGCGAGAAGGAGCTCAACGGCAACCTGCGCGCGCAGCTCGCGGCGGCGCGCGAGGCCGGCGTGCCGCTCGAGGCGGCCGCCCGGCGCCACGACGAGGCGCAGTGCGACCTCGACACCCTCTACGACTCCATCTTCGCCGGCCCCACGACGACGACGACGACGACGAGCTACCCGGACGAGGACCGGCTCGAGCGCGAGGCCGACGACGCCCGCCGCGCGTACCACGACACCCGCGGCAAGGCCGAGGCCGAGCAGCACGCCGTGCGGCTGCTGGCGGCGGCGGCGGGCCGCATGGGCGACGCGCTGCGCGGCATGGACGACGCGCTGAGCCGCTCGCGCGTCGACATGTTCGGCGGCGGCACCATGACGGACATGATGGAGCGCAGCGCGCTGCAGCGCGCCGAGGGCGCCGTCCAGGAGGCGCGCGGGCTCGTCGCGCAGGCCGGGCGCATGACGCCGCACGTCGGCAGCCTGCCGCCCGTCGCCATCAACCACGGCGGCCTCGTCGGCGACGTGCTCTTCGACAACGTCTTCACCGACATGGCCTTCCACGACGAGATCAAGCGGTCGCGCCTCGAGGTCGAGCGGTGCGCCGCCGCGCTGGGCGCCATGCTGGGCGAGACGCGCGCACGGCGCCGCGAGCTGATGCGGCGGCTCAGGGCACAGGGCGCCCGGCTCGAGAGCACGCGCACGGCGCTGCAGAGGGAGAGGGAGAAGGTGTTCGACAGGATCGCGGGGGGGCACGTCGGTGCCGAGGGCGTCGTGGCGGCGTCATCGGCGAGCGGCGGCGTGCCGGTCAAACATGAAGAAGTAGGACAGTGACAGGGCGCTCGGCCGGGACATCTCGCGCCGCGCGCTGGGAATGGGTGAGCAAGGAGAATTGGGCGGGATTAAAGGAGCAGACGGCAAGTCACAAAAAAGGGACCTTGTGTCTGTCACTATTAGCAATGTATGATACCTATTTGCGCGTCATATGCTTGGTCACGTTGCTCATGTGTTCAACAGTAAATATATCTCATTTCATCGTGCTATTTATGTGTCTGTCCGTTACAGACTCGTCATCCCTACCCGAATCTAGTAGTCCGTCGACTCGTGGCGGCCGCGCTGATCACTACGGACATTATCAGCTTCTCTGTCTTGTTTGTCGTCGAAGCCGCGCCTCGGCAGGGCAGGAATGTTAACTCACGGGTTGTACTCATCCATGTCGCCGTACTGCTCCTGGTACAGGTGCTCGGCCTGCTTCTCAGCGTGCCTCTTGGCCTTCTCGCGGTCGATGTAGTCCAGTCCCTTGGTCTCGACCAGCTTGTCGACCTCGGCGCCGGCGATGCCGGCGATCAGCTCCTTAGCGAAGGCGTGCTTGATGGGCTCTCCTGTGTCGCGGAAGACGTGTTAGTTTTTGGACGGAAGATGGACGGGCTTCAGTAGTGGGGGAACGCACCGTTCTTGCGCTGGCGGTCCTCGAACAGCTTCATGGCCTCGAAGGCAGCTCCGCCAGCGAGGACCTCGTGGCTGAGCTTGCCCTCGTGCTGGTCGTCGTAGACGGCGTCACGCTGCTCCTTGGCCTCTCCTGTTCTTCGAGTCAGCGATAGTGACCGATGTGCTGGGCATGGTAGCACGTACCGAATCCGAACATGTTGGCTTGTTGGGGGTTTGGGTAATAAGAAAAAAGTAGGTATGTGTTGATAAGTAGGTATGTGTTGATAGGTAGGGTGTTGGTATTGGGATCTGGTTGAGAGTGATGGAAAGTGATAGCTTGATATTCAAGCTGTGAGGGGCAGGCCGAGGGGTTCTTATCCCCCTCTCCCCCCTCAACCCGAGCTCTCATGTGATCATAGATCGTCAAAGGAGGGGGAGGTCTCAGCTAAGCTTGATTCATTCAAGCAATCTGCAATACCTACGTTGAGCCTTTGCCCCTAGTCCCCATGCGTGGCATGATGGAGGTGCCGCACCGCCCCCGGATCGCCCGCAGCTGGACCGAGAATGCGCGTTTCTCATTCATTCATGCTCCAGACCGCGTCCCTGGAACAGAGTCGACGCTCCGGAAACGCTGGAGCGCAACAAGCCTGTTGCGGACAGAGAGAGGGTGTTGGGGCAGGGGGACCAGCCAGCCGATCCCCATCGAAACCCGCCATTGGGGCGGGGATCGTCCGGGCTGGAAGCTCGACAAGCAGATGGGGACGGACGCCGGTTTGCCGAGTTAGTCTTGCCCCGACACGACCCTGACGTAGTACGTATGATCAAACAAATCGTGGATGCGGCATTTGCCGGTGGTGGGGAGTCTGGCTTGGTCTGGATATCAGCAGCGTCTTTTTGGACCCCGCGGGAGGGCACTGCTTTGTCCGCGCCCCCTCCCAATTCCGTGTGTCGTCTAGAGAGAGAGAGAGGAACACATGGTTCGAGCAGAGGTCCGAGGATCGAGTTAGGCCTTCTGTACGAAATCGAGGCTGGCCGCCGCCCAGTCCATTCAGACTACCTAACTAACCATTGAGACAGACCATTGAAAGCCATTGGGGGCCGCCACTGGGAAAACATTGGGCAAAGACCAAAGGGCATTACTGAGCAACACAGGACGAACCCGGGCTCACAAAGGCTGTGGTCCGAAGTATTGCTCGGATGGGGAATCTGATAGGTAGGCATGTGGAAAACTCTCCAAGAGGACGCCGCTTGCAGCGAATCTGGCCAAGCCAATCCCCTCCCGCCATATGCCATGTAACACAGGGAGCTTCGGCATTACTGCGTCGGCCACCCCTGCTGGGCTGAAGAAGACACACGACTGGGGTGGGGGAGGGGAGGATTAGCGTCGAAGCCAAGAAAGCTTGACCGTCCCGGCTAACCGGCAGCGAGAGCTCCACGGCCTGGAATGCCTTTAATGTCGATCGATTTCAGTTCGTGGTCCTCCTCTAATACCGTATCCTCTCGTGAGATTGATAAAACGCTAGTGGGAAGGCTAACTATTAAAGGCAATACGCTAGCCAAAAACCGCTAGCGTATATCCACTGCGCTAAGCTTTATTTAGAAAGCGGTCAACTGGCTGACCCCACCTACCTTCTTGCCAGCCAGCCAGCCAGCCCATCCAACCTATCCAACCTATTAACCCATTAACCTATTAACCTACTACAATATTCACAATGCCTAACTGCCTACCGCTGGGCAAAGTTAACCTAAATACACTACTGTTACACAAGAAAATAGGTAAAAATCCTACGCCTATTATTAACTAATAATATACACTAAAAAAGCCTATCTAATAAGTTAAATAGTCTTATTTTTAGTAAAAAAAACAGAGGTATTAATTTACCTTAAACACTACTGCTACCTAATTAATCTATTATAGCAACAGTAATAGTAATAGGCTAGCAATATCCCCTAGACCTAGCTAATAGCCTCTACTACTTAACCTTATAAAAGGCTACTGCCTACTTTAAAATCCTTCTCCTAATAATATCTAAGTAGTATTAATAATAAAGTATAATTACTAGTATAAGCCTCTTTATTTATTAACTAAAGTAGCTAAAGATTAAAGCTAAACTATATAGCTACTTTTAGTAATAATAAGCCTATAATAAAGTTATTACTACTAGATAGTTTAAGCAGGAGGCCTAGGCCCTTTTTACTGCTAGATACCTTAACACCCTTATAGCTAGTAATCTACCTACCTATACCTACCTCTTCTAATTTTTTACTAGCTAGTTTAATAGCTTCCTTATATAATAAAGTATTTTATACTACTAGCTTATAAAGTAAGCCTTAAAGCTACTTACTAAATACCTTATAGTTATTACTAGCTTTTTTTACTTTAACTAATATATTAGCTAGCTATTACTAGCCTAGTAGTAGCTACCTATTAGTAGCCTTTATTTTTTACTTAACTATATTATTAACTTTAATAAGACCCCTATACTTTTTAAATACCTTAATAAATCTATATAAGTAGCTAAAAGGTCCTATATAGTAGCTAGTAAAAGTAACTATAGTAGCTAAAGTAAGCAGTAAGCTACTCTTATCTTTTATATCTTTACTAATAAAGTCTAATAGCTACTACTAAAGCTTATTTTTTATAGTAAGCCTATTAGCCTTAGTAGCTAAATAGAGGTATATAAAAGTAACTTATATAGTAAAAAAGTAATAGTTAAATATAATAATATAGCTTATAATAATAAGTACTTTCTTAGGTAGTAGCTAATAAATAAATTTTTTTTTTTTATAATAAGGTAAAAATACTTATTAGTTATAAATATTATAACTTTTTATAAGACCTTTTTTATACTATTATAACTTTACTTTTATTATATTATACTTAGCCTTATACTACTAGGTATAACCTTTCTTTTTTAACCTTTAGATACTATTATTAATAAGCCTTTTAAGTAGTAGTTATCTAAAGTAATAGATAAATATATATAGTAAATAAAGTAAGCTACTACTTATTAGCCTAGCTAGCCTATTTAGCCTATTTAGCCTATTTAACTTATTTAACCTAGCTAGCCTAGCTAGCCTATTAAGTAGTCTATATTAATAAAATATATTATAGTTACTTATACTATTATAATAGCTACCTATTGCCTAGCTAAAAGGGGTAAAATAGTCTAGTAATCCTTTCTTTAGTATAAGATTAATAGTAACCTAAATAAAAGTAATATTAATAAGATTTAGATTAAGGATATACTAAATAAAAAGATATTATAGGATAGTTAAAATAACTTTAACTATAACACCTATATAAAGAAAAAAATAATATAAAAAGAGATATTTAATGTTAATATAAATAATAACTGCTAAGAGTATATATCTCTAGCTAAAGATGTCTAGTAACCTATTAGAAATAGTTTAACAAGGCTATAGGAGATCTAGAGTGGGAGGGAGGGAGGAAATCCAATGTTAACCATAAGTCTGTTTGCTAGCCCTTGCCACCTAACTTGCTGCTGACGTACATGACTAACCCCTGCTTTTGCTACTTCTAGATCCCTGTTTCTGCCAGCAGACTATACCCCTTACAGCGACCGTCAAAGCGGCCGCTATACCTCTTGCCGACTAGCGTTTTATCAATCTCACGAGAGGATACGGTACCGTCCTGTACCAGTAAGTATGTAAACTGTATACATCGGCCCTGCATATGTCACAGGCTCCTCACACCGACATCATGTCATGACGTGTCACTGAAGCCCCTTTCCCCCTCCCCCCGTACAACGAGCGTCTCAGAGCACCTTTTCCCCCAAAGCAATACGAACAAAGGCGGGAGGGGGAATGGGGGGGGCCTGGATGATGAGGGGTACTGTACGTAGGTTCGCGATGTATTACGAGATGCTTAAACCCCTCACCGCACAGGTCAAGGCCACTTCCGGACATTAACGGAGGCAGCTCGTCGCCGCGTCATGCTGCGTGCCATGCTGATCTGGCTAATTAGAATCCGGTTTACTTCGCATCATCTGCCCAAGCTTTACACCGTGCATTGAACCCGTCACACCTTTGATACCATACCCAGCAGGACTCGATGGCAAAGCTCGGCTACCTGTACGAGCTACGCGCTGACCGGTGCTCGAGATCCCCGGAGCCTATCCGTCCTACGAGCCCGGTTTGACGGGTCCCTCGTCCAAGCTTCTCGTCACTGATGATGATGATGATGATGATAATGATGATGGTGATGATGATGGTGATGCTGCTGCTGTCTAGGAGACGGAGCGGCTCTGGAACGAATCGACGCGGCCGACGAGAAGCCAGAAATCCCCCTTCCCTCCCCGCATGATAACGTAGCAGCCACCCATGAACCGGGCAGAGGCGATCGCATTTCTTGGCAAACAAGCGGGATCGCGTACCGACCGGGACCCTGCCCGGCCTGGCAGGGTCTAGTTTCAGGGGTCCCGGCGTCTTCCCACCCGCGCCGCCCCAGCCACGAAGCTTGAAGCTCTCTCGTGCTCATCCATCCAGTCGGTCTCTCCGTCACGTCACGTTAGCTTCGGTACGCCACAAGTGCACGCCGCACCGCGAGAGCTTGTTTGCTTGCTTGCTTGCTTGCTAGCTTGCTAGCTTCCATGGCTATGGCTCAAACCCGTTCCCATGTGAACTTTGGCGAGGGCCTCACCGCTACGAACTAGGTAAGCGTTCCCTCTCAATCGTGTCCTCACAACGTCGTTAAATTGCCTGCTTTTTGAGATGCTAACCCCGGCCCCGCCCCCGTCTCTATGATTTACCGCCACCAAATTTGACCAGATACTCCTCGTGCGCCTTCTTTTGGCTCTGCCACTGCTTCTGCAGCTTCTTGAGCTGGCTCTTGGGCACGTCGCTGCCGTCCTTGAGCTTCGTCGGCAGGCCCTCGGCGTCCCACCCGGCGTACTTGTCGTCGCCCTTGAACATTTCCGTGTGCGGGAGTTTGGCCTTCTCCCACTTCTCCTTCTCCGCCTGCTCGCGCGCCCGCTTTGCCTCCTCCTTGGCCCGCGCCTTCTCCGCCTCCTTGGCCAGCTTCTCGTTCTTGGCCGCAATCAGCTCGCTCGCCGGCACAAACTTGATCAGAGACGACTTGCCGTCCGGCCGGTCGTCGAGATACACGCCCAGGTTCGTGAGGTCCTCGTCGCGGATCCGGTCCGTGAGGGAGAGGATGGCCTTCTTCGTCTCGGGAGACACCGTCGACACGATGCGTCGGAGCTCATCACGCAACCTCGAGGCCGCCCGCAGGTAGGGAAGCGCCAGCTGTTCCGGGTCGCGCACACCCTTGTCGGCGAGGGATGAAAACTCCGCCTCCGGGTCTTGGCTCAGCAGCTTGGAAACCGAATCGGCCGAAAGCTCGAGCGCTTCCACGTCCGACTTGACGCTCTGGAACACGGCCGCGTACGGTTGCACGACTGTCTTGGGGTCCAAGCTCGCCTTGGACGCGGGGACGGCCCAGCCGAGGCCTTCGTACGGCGCCGTGGCGTTCTCGTCAAGGCCAAAGGTTCCGAGAATCTTGGTGATCCAGCGGGCAACAGCAACAAGCGCCGGCAGGTTCGCCTCGGCCTCCTGGGAAACGACAACCTTGTTCGCCTCGCTAACAAGCTCCTGAATCACGCGCATCGCCTGGGGGGTATCAAAGGAATTGGTAAGGGCGGTGTGCAGGTCGTTCTTGGCCTTTTCCAGCTCGGACACCAGGCCACCGGACGGCTTTTCGGAAATGGAGAGGGATTCGACTCCAGGCGTTGACGCGCTTACGTCCGCAACGAGGGCCTTGACATTGGTGAAGAAGTTCTGCGAAACGGTTAGGCATCATCTAGAGTTTAGTTGGATTGGGTAGGGCGGCACGCACGTTGATTGTGGCTTCCCAGCTGGAAGCCTGGGCTCTCATGTCGGGGGAGATCTCGACGCCGTCGTTCCACTTGCCCATGAGGAAGACAATGCGCATCCCCCTCGACGTGTACGTCGTCGCGAGAGCATCCTGGATGGTCTGGAAGTTCTTCAACGACTTGGACATCTTGGACCCGGAGATGGACAGGTGGCCCATGTGCAAAAAGTTGTTGACCCATGTGTGTTCCCCCTTGGAGTTGTCGACGTAGTAGGCCTCGCTCTGGGCCAGCTCGTTGTCGTGGTGGGGGAATGCCAGGTCGACGCCGCCAGAGTGGATGTCCATCTGTGCCCCGAGAATGTCGGAAGCCATGACTGAGCACTCGATATGCCAGCCGGGGCGGCCCTGGCCCCATCTGCTGTCCCAGTAGGGCTCTCCCTTCTTGGACTTTTTCCAAAGCGCAAAGTCCCCCTCGTTGCGCTTCTCGCCCAGGTTCTTGGACAAGGCACCCTCTCCGTCCTCCTGCAGCGACTTGTCGTTGCGGTTGCCCGGGCGCAGGCGCGCGTACGTGTTGCCGGCCTTCTCGAAAGCCGCGATGTCGAAGTAGACGGAGCCGTCCGATTCGTAGGCGAATCCCTTGTCGACAATGCGCGCGACGAATTCGGCAATCTGGGGCACGTACTCGGTGACGCGGGTGATGACGTCGGGGCGCAAGCAGTTGAGGGCGTCCATGTCGTCGAAGAACTCGCGCTCCATGCTCTGGGTGAGGTCGGTGAAGATGGTCTGGTCACTCGTGTCGATGGTCTCCTTGTAGAGGGAGTCGAGGTAGGGCAGGAGGATCTCGTCGATGCCGGGGTAGAAGTTCTTGTCCTTGATGGCAAACGCCGCGTTATCCATATTGCTGATGTGCATCTTCGTCTTGGCCTCGTCGTCGCCGGGCTTGCCCTCTCCGGTTAGGGTGCCGCCCGCCAGAACCTTGCCATATGCGCTGTCTCTCCGCTCGAGGTAGTTGTTTTCGTCGAGATCTGCGGATTGGAGGAGGGGCAAGCTCTTGTCGGCGTATGCGCGGAACGCTGTGAGAGCAAGCTTGGCCAGCTCATCTTGGGAGTAGCTCTTCTGCTTTTCGAGTTCGAGCAAGCGTTGCCTGCGGGCCTTGATGATGATCTAGAACAAGACAATAAATTGTCAGGAGCTGTGGCCGGGAAAAAAAAGCAGTTCAGACAGAAGAGGGACCAACCTTGTCGTCAACATCGGTAATGTTCATGACAAACTTGACATCGGCGCCAAAGTAGTGCATCATGATGCGCCGGATAATGTCGGTCGAGACATAGTTGCGCGCATGGCCCAAGTGACTCTTGTCGTAGACGGTAGGTCCGCAGGCGTACCACGAGACCTTCCCCGGGTTAATGGGCGTGAAGGGCACTGGCTGGCCAGGCTTCAGCGAGTTGTGCAGCTTCAGCGACTCCATCGTCGCGATGGTGGCGCAGTACCTCCGAGAGAAACGAAGCGTGGGTATCTGAGTGGAGAGAGTAACCGAAAACCTGGTGAGTCTAAAGAGGCGATTCATCCAGTATAGAAGAAAAAGAGAGTCAGGGACGACGTGGGGAAGAACTTGGACAGAAAGGAGGAGGAGGGGGAGAGGGAGGGGGTTCGAGGACTGAGGGAGGATCGTGGTGAGTGACTCAAAATGCCGGGGGAGGGAGGGACGGAAGGGAGGGGACCGGCCGAGAAAAGAGTATCAAATAAAGGGTGTGACACCATCTTCAGCCTTGCAGCCGGTGGGGCTGTGGCGTTGACATATGAGTGGCTGGAACCCTTGAAGGGATGGCCATCAGCCACATGTGCCCCGCGTCAAGCCACATTGTGACTTTTTTCCTCAGCCTCGCGAAGTTTTTGTCCCAGATGCTTACATCCGACCTTTTTCGTCCCGTCTGTTGCTCGCTCTTTTTTTATTTTATTTTTATCATTCAGGCCCGAGCAGCACTTGGTCTCGGCCGTACGAAGCATCATAATGGCGAAACCCTCGCCTTTCCTCGAGCCCGGTTCTAGGACATCGGCCAATTCCCTCGCCATCGTCCAGCTCTCGCGCGACAACCTCGTTCCCCTGATCCTCCGAGACTCGACCGGTGCCGTCGACGGCTACGCCGAAGGTGCCGTCCTCAACACCCGGTTCGGGTCCTTTCCTCACTCCACCCTTATCAACGTCCCGTGGGGCTCGCAAATCCGCGCCTCGGTCGTCGATACCGGCTCGCGGGGCCGCAAGCGCAAGAGAAAGGAGGACGAGACCGATGCGTCCACGCCAGCCGCCGCCGACGACGCCGAAACCGAGTCGAGCGCGCCGGTCAAGAAGGCCCCTACCGCCGCCAGCGGCTTCGTCCACATTCTCCAGCCCACCGCCGAGCTATGGACCGCCGGCCTACCCCATCGGACGCAGGTAGTCTACACCCCCGACTACAGCTACGTCCTCCAACGCATACGAGCCCGTCCTGGCACGCGATTGATCGAGGCCGGCGCCGGCAGCGGCAGCTTCACGCACGCCTCAGCACGTGCCGTCTACAATGGCTACCCCGAGAACGAGACGCAGCGCAAGGGCAAGGTCTTCAGCTTCGAGTTCAACAAGGACCGGTACGAAAAGATGCAGGTGGAGATCGAGGCGCACGGGCTGGAAGGCATCGTCAAGCTCTCGCACCGCGACGTCTACAGCGGCGGGTTCCTGGTCGACGGCAAGAGCCCCGAAGCCGAGTCCGTGTTCCTTGATCTGCCCGCCCCCTGGGACGCCCTCCGCCACCTGTCGCGACGGAAGCCCGCCGCGCTCCAAAAAGACGACGAGGACGCGGCGGCGGAATGGGTCTCGCCGCTGAACCCCAAGAAGTCCGTCTACATCTGCACCTTCTCGCCCTGCATCGAGCAGGTGCAGAAGACGATCAACACGATGCGGACGATGGGCTGGGTGGACATCGACATGGTCGAGATCTCGCACAAGAAGTTTAACGTCATCCGCGACCGCGCCGGCTACGGCCAGCCCGAGCGCGGCATCCCGCCCGTCGCCCGCGACGTGAAGGAGGCGGTCGGCAAGCTGCGGGAGATTGAGCGCCGCACGAGGGAGTACCACACCTCGGCGGACCCCAACTCGGCGGAAGACTCGCCGGCCGCGGGCACCGCCATGGACGTGGACCAGGCGGTGGCGGCGGAGGCGGAAGCGACGAACGGCGGCGGCGGCGGCGCCCGAGAGGACGACCCCAACGCGGGGAAGCCGTGGCTGCAGGGCCGGGTCATCCACCGGGCGGAGCCGGAGTTGAAGACGCACACGTCCTATCTCGTGTTTGCGGTGCTGCCGCGGGAGTGGAGCGACGAGGAAGAGGCCGCGGCGCTCGCCAAGTGGCCGTGCGGCGCGGAGACGGGCGTCATCGGGGCCAAGGACAAGGAGACGCGCAAGCAGGAGAAGCGCGAGCAGCTCCAGGGCAAGGGCAAGAGGAAGAAGAACAAGAAGGCCGAGGCCGCGTAGGGAAATGAACGAGGCAAAAGATGGGATTATTCACGGCTTATTTCGAAGAAAAAAAAAATTGAAAAGAGGAAAAGAGAATCAAAGTAACGACGGGAAATAGTAGATACCCTAGCATCATCGTCTGGACTACGTTTCGGGAGTACATAGGTGGAAAATAATTCAAGTATTTCGGAGCCACGAGCCATTTCACACCAGCTTTTGGGCCTTTAGTCACATGTGCGATCATGAATGACCTTATTCACGGCTACGATGGATAATGGACGGGAGAACCGCTAAGCTTACAAATTTATTTACTTCTTATTCCAGTGGGTTTCTTTTAGTCCCTGACCACCATGGCCTCCGGCTGCCTCCCCTTGCCCTCGACCAGGACGCTCGCCTTCCTCAGGATGTCGACGGTGCTCTGGACGACTTCGGGCTTGACGCCCTCGACGCCGTCGGTGAACTTGACCGTCTTGAGCCACTCGCGGGCGTCGGCCTCGGAGTAGTCGAGGCGAGTGCTGATGTACTTGACGGCCTCGTCCTTGTTCTCGTTGAAGTGGCGGATGCCGCGGTCGAGCTTGGCGAACAGGTCCTTGACGCGCGGGTCGAGCTTCTGACCTTCGTCCTTGGCCAGCGCCGTGGAGGCGACGATCTTCCAGCTGCTCCAGGGGGTGTAGATCTCGCCGACGCGGCGGATCTCGCCCGAGTCGTAGTAGCGCTTGGAGGTGAAGTGCTCCCACATGAAGAAGTCGGCGGCGCCCGAGTTGACGGCGTTGCGCAGGTTCTCAAAGTTGTTGAGGATGACCGTGTCGGAGAAGGGCTGCGGCGACGACGGCGTCAGCCAGCCGTGCTGGTCGGCGAGGACGAAGCCCATGATCTGGCTGCCGGAGCCGATGCGTGACACGCCGATCTTGCCGCCCTTGAGGGACTCGACGGACTTGATCTCGGGGCGCTGGGCGCCGGTGGAGATGGCCCAGCCTGCGGAGGGGGGTCAGTATCCATACCGAGTGTGTGTGGTCGGTGATTGCCTCCAGAAGAATGGAACATGCGACTTACACAGAGGGGTGTCGACGTAGGTGCCGACGAGACGGTAGCCGCCGTCGCCGGGGGCATCTTCCTTGCCGAGACCAGCGATCCAGCCCTCGGTCAGGCCAATTGCGACGTCGATCTCACCCCCGCGGATTGCGGTAATCATGTGGCCGGTTCCGGACGGGAAGGCGATGAGGGTGGCGTCGAGGCCGAAGTACTGCTTGGCGAAGTGGAGGGGGGTGGAAAAGTGCTCGGGCACATAGCCGATTCTGAGAGGGGAGGCCATTTTTGAGACGGTGATTTGAGAGCACGAGCACTAGCAATGAGGCAAGACACACGAGTTTGTGAGTTGTGGGCTGGTGTTTGTAGAGGGAAGAGGGAGCGAGAGCGTTTATGTATATGAACACTTCTTGAACTTACTTGTATGGTGCGGGGTCCCCGTTTCCGATTCTATGCGCTCGTTAGTGCCCGCGAGCTTCATCGGCAAGGGTGTGGCGGAGCCATGGTGGGGCATCCGCGCCCGCTCCCGCTCTCACCCCCACTTCCGGCGCCTCCGTGCACCCGGCACATTATTACATAATACATCGATAAGGGTGGTTTACGTAACTTGCCAGCTTTAGTCATCCATGAGCCGAGCTAAGAAACCCCCTTATGTAAGCAAACCAGAAGATATACACCTCCTCATCTGTGCATATATCTATCTAGTATACACTCGCCGGCAGACTTGCGAACCTCTTTGACTTCGATTTCATTCGGTTTCAATCTCTTGTCAAGCCTCGAGTCACAATTTATACAAACCTTCACCACGCCGATCTTTTTTGGATATCTCTTCACTGACCACTCAACAGTGCGCTTTCGACGGACGAACTCATTGTTTGGAACTTCTGCGGCATTTTCGAAACTTAAAAAGGCCATTTTGCCTTTCTTGGGGGCTCTACACGTAACATCGCGCGCCGGCGGTGCCAGTGCGGTAACAAGGCAAACCCAGAGACCACAGGGAGGGGAAGATGTTCAGTCCCTGTTTCCGTCCCGAAAGGTATGTTCAGATGCATCGACACGGTGTCCCCATGCTGCGCCATCTGTATCCTTATCGAATCTCCCCTCTGCGTCGTTCCAGGCCGGGGACATGCTCACACGACAGACACGTCTCAACATCAGTCCAGCATACGGCAAGCAGCGAGATAGTGGGACACAGTCCGATAGTGACCCATTCATCGGCCCATGAGCCCTATATGCCTGAGAATATCATAGTATAGTTGTAATATAGGTCAATTTCTCTGCTCCCTTCTCTTCTTTGATCTTTTCTCCTGGGGACGAAACCGAAACATACGACCTGTCGACCGTCTTTGGAGGATTTGTCACCAAAGCTCAGTGCCATTCATTTCTATGGAATCAACGCCTTGTCTCCAAAGAGGCATTTCTCTGTCCTGGACTCATGGCATTACTCATTCTTTTGATCATTGCCTGGTCTCTCGGGAGGGGCCATGACCACGGTCTACGAATGGGCCTCTTCTCCTAAGTCGTTTCTTCCTGAAACGGGCCGAACGGTCTCGAGACCGGTGTGGAATCCAGAGGTTGAATAACAAGAGATTACACTAGATACCCGAACAAATAGATGGCAGAAATTTCAACTGTTAAATATCTGCAAAGCCTTCCATCTCTACATGTTTACGATAGCAGACACAGAAAGCCAAAGCATCCTCCTTCTTGCAACTCATCTATAAACCTGCCCTTTCATCTTCGGTTTCAGAAGCTTCGCTTTGGCGGTCGAATCTTCTACCTTTACTACTGATTCACCTTCCACTTACGACCACACCGAGCAGAGTACTAGGGGGTTGAAATGGAAGACCAGACTGCCGAGTTGGGCAAATACATTGCAAAGTGTCGCAGCAAACGCCACCCCGCCGTCTTCAACACCGATAAGCAGCCTCTCCTGAAGAAAGGACAGAAGAACCGAGTGCTGGTCTATGCAGGATGCTTCAACCCCCCTCACCTCGGCCACTACAACATTCTCCGGCGCGCCTTTGAGGGGAGCCGAGACATCAACGTCATCGCCGCCATCATCCTCCCCCTCGACGACAATTCCCTGGAGGCCAAGTGCAAGAGAAAGGGCCAGAGCCTCGTGCTGTCAAAGTCCGAACGGGCACACCTCTGGCGATCGGACGCGAGGTTCATGCCCGAATGGTGGGTGCACAGCAGCAGCACGGACAGGTGGGACCGGCTGCGGAGGAGACTAGAGAAGGCGGTTGAGGTGGACGGGTTCGAGATCCAGTTCACCGCCGTCCTCGGGCCGGACTATGTCGCGCGGTACGAGCGATACGACGGGTATTGCTGGGACTGCCACGAAACCATCACCAGCGACGCCGGCAGATCGAGCGACCTCCTCAAGCCCGACGGCTCTCTCTTCAAGCTCCGCCCCTACTTCACGCCCTAGGAGGACGTGGATGTCGCCGGGGAGAGCGTGGTAGATGAACTCTCGGACGACACGGATCAGGACTCGTTCACGTCGGCGCTGCCGGCGCAGGACGGAAAGACGACAGTCAAGACCTGCCATCTCACATGGGACAGAAACGTGTGGGTGCGGTTCGTCCCGGCTGACGCCAAGCCTTTGGATATCAGCGCAACGGAAATCCGAGACCTGATCGAGCGTGACCGGGAAAGCGATCATCTTTGCGAGAGCCTGCGAGGGCTGGTCCTGAGCCCCGAGATCCTGACTGGCATCGTCCGGCGCCGCGGTGTCTCTGATGAGTTTGAAACGCGTTCGATGGAGCAGATTGTGAAGGAAGTTGATTGATAGGAGTTTGTGTACATGGGGGTCGGAGATTGGAAAGTATGTTGCTTTATCAAACGACGGTTCTCTCCGTCTTGGTATGTTTCTTATTCTTTTTTCTTTTCTTTTCTATTTTTGTACTGTTTGTTTAGTACTTGGATTAGCCGAGTTAGGTAGCCTCATTCTCAATGTCGTTTGCATAAAGCCCGGGTCTAGATTAACATAACGTTACCTTACAGCCAGAACCTAGATGTCATACGATCCCCTCACTCACACGCAGCTGCCAGCTTAGCAAAGCCCATCTGGAGCTTTCATCGATTGGAACAGAAAGTGCCATGTCCTCCCAAAAGGTTACTCCTCTCGGACTAAAGTGTCGCGGTTAAATGCCCCCTGCCTTGGCTCTCAGAACCGGGCTCCGAGGCCCAACTACCGACATGCTGAAGTTTAGCCGCTATACACTGGGAAATCATGTGGAAGGCGGCGCTGTGGAAGCAGTTCCTTGACATCCGGGTTAATATGTACCAGGATAACGATACATAGCCACCGCATACAGTTGCTTTATTGCGTGCTGTTCTGGCGACCTCGTGTTGCTAATTCGTAGCAACGGATTGGGCGACAAGCAGATGCCAATACTGAGTGTCGACCGTCGTGTGATGGCGTACAGGCCTAAATAGATATCAGATAGACCGTGAACTAGCAAAAGTCAAACTGCTCCTTGAGAAGTCGGAAACAAAGCTGCAAACCGCTTTCTTTATCTCTTGATACTCGAATCACCAAGCATGCCGGCCAGACAGCCTCTTTTTCATATGCTGCTGGCCATCCCGTCAACAAGCCGTACAATGAGAGCACGCCGGCCTCGGAGCTGTTTGCGGATTCCGGGGCTTGCATGCTGACGCACGAGCAGGCCGAAGACCCTCTATGTAAGAAGCTCTCACACTCTCCAAGAGGTGACGCTTGTCTCGACTCATCTTTCAGATGTCAAGGGCGAACAAGTCCGCAGAGAACTGACTGAGGGCGAGAACGGCGTCAAGATGACCGTCGGCATCCAGGTCGTGGACGTCAGAACTTGCGAGCCCATCGCCAACGCTGCCGTTGACTTTTGAAGCGCCAACTCGACTGTAAGTCACGAGCCTCTCAGCGTTCGTAGAAGACGTTTTGGACGTTTGCGAATGGGCTCCAGGGCGTCTACGGAGGTGGCCTCAACTACCCCAGCAACGGCAACCCCAACGACCTGTTCCTCATAAACACCACCGCCCTTAGCGGAGTCCAGTTCATCGACAACGAGGGCACGACTACATTCGACACCGTCGTTCCGGGTCACTACGTGGGAAGGACCAACCACGTTCACGGTCAGTATACTCTCGATCAAGGCCGTTGCCTCGTAGCAAAGTCTGACCTCCATCCAGCAATCGCCCACATCGGCGCCGCTAAACAGCCCAACAACACCATCACCGGCGGCAGGGTCGCGCATATCGGCCAGATGTACTTTGACCAGAAGCTCCTGAACGCCATCGAGGAGCTGCCGCCGTACTCGATCAACCACCAGGCCGTCACACGGAACGCGCAGGACAGGCTGATGATGGCGTCCTCCGGCGCGGAAGACCCGGTCGTGCGCTACGCCCTGGTCGGCCGCGCCCTGGCCGACGAAATACACGCCGGGATCCGCTTCGGCGTTGACGCCGGCGCCGACCACACGCTGAACCCGGCCGCGTGGATCAACGAGAACGGCGGGCACTAGAGTAAACCCAACTCAAGGGTGCCGACGGTCCCGGGCTGACCCAGCCGCGTCGGAGAAGGAGCAGAGAGTAGTGACTAAGGGGGGAGGGGGGGTAGGGGTCGTGAGAACATGTGCCAGGGTGGCCAAAGCAATGCGCTTTGGTTCGATGCGCCATCTTGGGTCATCCCGGGTATCGTTCGTGACTCTCGTTTACAATTGGGCCAAGCCAATGAAGTGGTTTCTTTTCTCCAATTGGGCAACCCATTCACTGTCTGATAGGGTATTTCCCAACACTGATACCTTCTACATAGTATATAAACACTGAGAATCGTTGGGTGAACTGGACCCCGAGGGGGTTCAACATGCCCCTCAGCTCTATTCTCGCTGACTGGCCCGGCGTTATGTCGCATGCTGCTCCAAAGTAGCCATAAAACCCGGCTATCCATGCAACTCGCCAGGCTTTTCTGCGTGATCCCGGCATGGAAGCAAGCGGTAATACTGCGTAGCGCGGTGCGGCTGAGAGCACAGCTTGTCAACTCTGACATGCTTCACTCCAAACTGTCCCTGCACCTTGTTCGGATTTGCCCTTGTCATGGTTGTAAACCAACATACCCCGCAGTAGCGCAATCGATAGTTCAACTGACGCATCCAAAGCGGAACCTTTCAAGACCCCGATCTCGGTCGACATGACACCAGCCCTACCGCATAGCAAAAGGTGGCGTGTGTTTACACGGAGGGGGAGGGGGGGTACTTGAAGGGCAGACCCTGCAGCTCTCAACATCACACTGTCCCCCTCTCTCCCACTTGCGCTTGGGCGTTCGTTCCCTTGCGTTGTTCGACCTGGAATAGCCGCGCCAGCTGTGTTGTCCCATCGCCACACGTACGGGAGTCATGGCTTCCGTGCCGAAGTTGCCGAGTCGGCAGAACTCTGTTCCTCACTTTAGCTACGACCGGGTACGCCTACCCTCGGCATCAACCCACATCAGGCTTCTCGAACTCTATCCGTCCAGACACGCCACGGGCGCCGCCATAATATCTAGGGAAGACCCTCCCCCAGACCAGGACGACACCGGACGCGGTGCGCGCGGCCCAAGCCCGCTGCGGTGCGTCGTCTCGACCACCCCAATCGACACCCCGCAGCCCTACAGGGCGCTCTCGTACACCTGGGGTCGGCCTGACAAGTCCCACAGTATTGACGTCGGGGGCACGCGTCTCTGGATCACGGCCTCCCTCGACACGGCGCTGCGACACATCCGTCGAGAAGACGAGCCCGTCACGCTCTGGGTAGATCAGATCTGCATCAAACAGGAGGACGCAGCGGAGAAGAGCGAGCAGGTGCCGCTCATGGCACAGATCTACAGCAAGGCCGAACTCGTCATCGTCTGGCTGGGCCCCGCGGCCGACGGCTCCGACGCGGTGATGGAGTGCTGGGGGGACGTCGGCCAGGCGGCCCGCGACTTGGGCATCGAGAGCTACCTCACCAGGGAGCGGCTCCCGCTCCTGTTCCCGGTGCTGGAGAACCGCGACCCCGGGGACGAGGTGACGGCGTCGTTCCAGGCCCTGCTGCAGAGGGCGGCGCCGGCGTTCCAAGCCGTTCTCGAGGCGATGCTCGCCTTCAACGAGAGGCCGTGGTTCAACCGCGTGTGGACGATCCAGGAGCAGGCCCTGGGCGCCAACACCTTCTTCCTGTGCGGCTCCAAGACGCTGGACATCGACCTGCTGCCCCCGGCGAGGTTGATATACGACCGGTGCATAAGTATTCTGTGCCGTGAGAACATGGGCGACCGAAATTACCTCAATCTGTTAGACAAGGCCCAGGATCAACGGTTCGGTCCACTGATGTCTCTACGGCGGCGGAGGCGCAACTTCGTCAAGGGCGAGGGACCCGGGGACGACCTCTACACCCTCCTGGGGAGGACATACGTGACCGGGGACGCCGAGGCGACCCTGCCGCGGGACCGCATCTACGGCCTGCTCAGCATCGCCGTGGACGCGGAGCGGCTGCAGATCGTCCCGGACTACGCTTCCCCAGACTGCCATCCCACCTTCGTGGAGGCCGCCCGCGCCCTCGTCCGCGCCGGCCATGTCCAGACGCTCTCCTTCTCGCAGTTCCCCAAGGACATGGGCGGTCTGCCGTCTTGGGTGCCGGACTGGAGGCCGACGCTGGCCCCCTCGTACCTGGCCGGGTTCGAGAACGCGGAAGGGCTGACCATAGGAGCGGCGGGCGACAGCACGGCCGAGGTGGTGCACACAGAGGACCCGTGCGTGCTCGGGATACGAGGCCTCGCCGTCGACACCATCGAGGAGACGGGCGACGTGTGGAGGCGGGAGGCGGACAAGGAGGCTCGCCTCAACCACCTGCGGGCCGTCAAGGCCTTCTGCGACAGGTCGCCCGCGGCGGGCGGGCACGACGGCGACGTCTACGAGAGCAGCGAGAGGCGTGCCGAAGCCGCGTGGAGGGTGCCCGTGGGAGACCTGTACTGGAACAGCACGGCCGACTATCACCGCGCCACGCAGGCCGACAGGGGCGACTACGAGGTCTGCCTGGCCGGCCTCGCGCTGATCGTCGAGCGCTTCGCGTCCGTCTCGCCCGAGATACGCCAGCAGCGGCTGGGCGAGTTCAAACGCCTGGCTCGGGTGCAGGCCAGCTACAGCCTGAACATGGACAAAATGACGGGTATGCGCCCGTACGTGACGCGGCTAGGGTACGTGGGCATGGCCCCGGGCGGCGCACGCCCGGGCGACGTGGTCGTGGTACTGTTCGGCTCTCGGATCCCGTACGTCCTGAGACCGTCCAGAGATGGGACGACTTCCCGTTTCGTCGGCGAAGCGCACTGCGACGGGGTCATGGATGGCGAGATGTTGACTAAGCGGGCACACGAGACCTTTCTGATTGCTTAATTGGGGTGTCATGTCATGCACGAAAGGGGTGTGCGAGTGTGTGTGTGTGTGTGGGTGTGTGTGTGGGAGGGAGGCGGGCAAGAGGAACACGTCTGAGAGTTGGGGTCAGGAGGCGAATAGAATACGTCGGAGCAGCAAGTTCTTGTTTTATCTGGAGTAAACTTCGTCGAGTGTTTCCTCTATAGGCGTGCTATCCAACGCGTCTGATCTCTCTAGTGTGTGAAGTAAGTCTATGGTGGTGCGAAGACCCAAACCGGATTCCCTCCCCCGGCGTTTCTGATGGTATGAGTTTACATACTCTCGGTAACCGAGAAGGGGGATCCCGAAGACATCGACCAAATACTAAAAAAGGAACTAAGACAGGTAGAGAGCGTGAAAGGGGGTATTCAGATATATGTATAAAAAAAAAAAAAGAGAAAAGAATCCAATTTGGAATCCGCGCGCTTCTCTGACGCTGATGATGATGATGATGATGATGATGGTAATATGCTGATGGCTTCGTTCTCTTTCCCCATCTTTGCCAATAATGATAACGCCACTTCGCTCAGCCGGAGCGGAAATATTGCCATGAAAACCCTTTCCCAGATCCAAGCTCTGGTTGCTGTGAACATCGGAATGAACAGTGAGCTCAAAAACAAACCGCTTGTGACCATTTACCCAATCTCGTATTCAGTCTCCGGTGGACGCCCACTCGCCCCGTGAGGCCGCCCTTTGTCGACACCATTTTTGCTGCCGTCCCCCAAAAACATACACACGCACACACGCACACACACACACACAAACACACCTTCCACTTCGCTTGGTGCTTTAGTGGTCGTTGAAGTCCTCGTCTCTCATGGTGTACATGATGTCTTGGATGACGACGGCCCTGATGTGGTGGTAGAGGACGTACAAGTAGGTGAGGAGGAGGCAGACGCTCATGCCGGTTGAGAACCACAGCACGGCTTCGTTCCCGAGCTGTTTGCCGATGGTGATGGTGGCGAGGGTAAAGCCGGTGTTGGGGAACACCATGGCCCACCATCCCAGGTGGAAGTAGACGGGGGGCGAGGAGATGACGGCGATGGTGGCGATGCCGAACCACCAGGCGGCGAGGGCCCAGAGGAAGATGGCGGCCATGAGGGAGATGGTGCGGATGATGCCGGCGTCGATGATGATGCCGTCGCGGTCGGGGTCGAGGTTGTTGGGCAGGCCGTTGGCCATGCCGATGAGGGCGAGGGCGGTGAAGGCCGGGGGGCCGACGTTCATGAACAGGCCGGGGCGGTGCTCGCGGTTGGGCAGGCCGGCGGACATGAGACGGCCGACCATGTGGGCGTACATGAGGACGGCGACGGACAGGCCCAGGCCCTGGCAGGTGAGGCCGGCGACGACGATGGGCACGGCGGTGATCTCGGGCTGGGTGTCGGCGATGACGGAGGCGATGGTGCCGGTAAGCATGATGGGGAAGATGGGGAGAATCCAGGTGGGCATCATGGTCTGGAGGCCAAAGTTGTGCTTGGCGAAGACGAAGCTGTACTGGCCGATGGCGAGCATGAGCGTGACGACGAGGTAGCCCCAGAAGGCGACCTGGATCGCCCACACGAGGGTCTCGTCGTTCTCGGGGATGGCGTAGCGGCTCGTGCTGGTGATGAGGGTGGCGATGGACAGGAAGAAGGTCGGGAAGAAGAAGCCCTCGCGCTCGTGCGTCAGCGACCTCTTGAAGTCGCCGGGGTACAGGAGGAAGCGGGCGAGCATGACGGAGCAGATGAGGGTGAAGATGATGAGGTTGATGACGTAGATGACGGTGCCGATCTGCCGCAGGCCGGGGAACTGGTGCGGCTGGGCGAAGATGAGGAGGGCGAGACCTCCCGTGCTCATGGAGAGCGTGTACCACGCCCATGTGAAGTGGTGCAGACGCGCCTTCCAGGTCATCCTCGGCCGGTTCGGGTCGTTGATGTCGACGTGGCCGTGGCCGTGGTTGTCGTGGACGGGCGAGGCACCCTTCTCGATGATGGGTGTGACGTTTGTTTCCTTGTCATGCATCTTGCCCTTGTCGAACTTGACGTCCAGAGGTGCCAGCCTGGGGGAGCTTGGCCTTGACGTTTGCCATTCCGCCGAGTTCTTGCGTGTTGACACCGCAGACTCCGTCCAGGCCGAGCTCGTCGGGTCCCTGTGATCCATCTTGGATTGTGTTGTTGTCTTCTTTTCTAGTTTTTTTTTTTGGAGGTGTTGCTGTTGTATGAAAGCACGTCGAATCTCGCAGAGAATAAGTCGTTTGCTCGTTGGGGGATGGAAGAGGGGGAGGGAGGGGGGGATAGGGTAATAAGTGGTCAAGCTGAGTGAGTGTCGACTTGTTCGGGGAAGAGGACGAAGCACCTGAGATACCACGGGAAAGGGGAATGTTGATATATGTTCTTGAAGTGTAAATAAATGTGGGTTGATGATGATGAAAACTTGGCAAGGGACTAAACAGGTACTTAATAAAGATAAAGTTGCTTTCGCTGACCAAGGGGAATCCAGCTCCGGTGGACCAAAATTTAGTTTTGTGGCCTTGGACCAGATGATATATGTCCTCTCGAGCGACTGCAGGGCGTGCCACAGGAGCCCAGATCTTCAGACCAAAAATGCCAGCGTTTCTCAGAATAGATACCGAACGGGACTGGGTTTGAAGGTGCCAACAGGGTATCAGTCCGGTGGAGACGCGAGCGTGCAGTTCGATTTGAGTGAGGGAGCCAGGGGGGAGTGTGTGAGTGAACGGAAATACACCAAGTGTGCGTGTATGAGACGACTAGAGACAGAATCTGGGAGAGAGTGTGGATGCGTCGTGGTTTGCAACCACCCCCTGTCCGAGGCCAACTGGGATGAGTAGGCTTGGCGGGGGAGATCCCTCTCTCTCTCTCTCCATGTGTCCGTGTGTGTGTGTGTGTGTGTGTGTGTGTGTGTGTGTGTGTGTGTATGTGTATGCTGTGTGGCTGCGTCTCTCCCTCCATGAACATACATAGTACTCATCTGCTACCCTCAAGGTGTTTGCCAGGCTCCCTGACCCTTGAACGGCTGTGCGGGTACGAGAGCGCAAGTCTCGACACCAAATTGGGGTGGAAGTTGGGATGAGAAGACCCGCCCCACGACCATGCATCCGCGCCAAAGTGCCAATCTGCCAAGACCAGCACGAGCATCAGAAGGTTGCTTCGGGCTGTGATAATGGATCCGCGGCCGGCGAGAGAGGGGGGGAGAGAGGGTCCCACAGACATAAAGGTTTTCAAATTGGCCCGGCGGCAATACCGGGATGTAAGTCCCATGGAGCTGGAGAGATGGAGACAGAGAGAGACACAGAGAGGGAGAGAGAGGGAGAGAGAGGGAGAGAGAGAGAGAGAGAGAGAGAGAGAGAGAGAGAGAGAGAGAGAGAGAGAGAGAGAGAGAGAGAGAAAGATGCGTTAGATTCGGCTCGGGCTCGGTGGCCGAGTGCTGAGCCGGTAACCCATATGCCGGACAATAAGAGCAACGCCTGCCGCGCCGCTGCGGTCCACATTGTTTAGCTCGGCATCGTTGAGGCTCTTTGAGAAGATGGCGGGCTGGCGTTTGGACGTGTGTGACGTGGCGGCGGTGGCGGCGGTGGCAGCCCTCGCAGGTTTCCAAGACTAACTAACCCCCACGGCCAGACACACAAACACACCTACACACACCACACACACAGCATACCCAGTACGCCACGGCAGCCCAGAGGACCCAGTTGGGCGACGAGTGCATGCCAAAAGAGGAAGGATGTCGAGGTAAAGGGGGGGGACTGACCCGGTAGACGACATGCAAGGGGTGTGGCACAAGGGGCCGGTATGTTTACCGTAGCAGGGGGGGGCATGTAGGTAGACTAGGACTAGGTATCCTTACACCAAGACACTAGGGGAGACTGCGGTTGAAGAATGATGATGAAGGGCGCCTACCGTCCGGATGTCTCAGACGAGGTTCACGAATGCGGTAGGTGATGTACACTGAGATGAAGGAACCTGCGGTCAGGGTCAAGGCGCGGGCTGGTCGATATGAAGCGCTACAAGCGTCGAAGTATTTCGAGCCCAAGGGGTACCTCCTGAACCGTCACATCTGCTTGGGAGACAGAAGACCACAGTTCGGTCGCAGCCGCGCCAAGGCTTGGCATTGTATCTCTTTGCCAAGGGGAAGAAGACGTGCGGAAGATGGACTGGAAGAAAGCAGAGAGGGGGAGGGGTGTGTGTGCGTGGCATGACCGTGGCCAATCGGGGGGTCGCCAGTATACGCCCTTTTGGCTGTCCTTTTTTTGCTGGTGTACGGATACAGCCTACAGGTCTTGCTTCTCTGCTTGGCACTTTGGTTCCTAGAGGCTTCCTTATCTAGACGGTGTAATTGAGATCCATGGGTGCCATCTCGGCGTCGATCATCCACTCAAAAGGATGTCTGTCTGTCCTTTGCAGATATCTGTGTTGCGGCCACTTGGCCTGCGAGAAAGACCCGTGGGCATCCGTCTGGGGGGGGTGGATAGTACAGCACAGTACTCCGTACTATCTTTGGTTTACAGTGTCGGTGGGGCATATTAATAGCTTCATGCAGCTTGGTATTGTATTTTGCTTCAGGTCTGTTGGAACGAGATCATCGTAGACTCGATGGGGTTACCCAACGTACTCACTCACGTACGTACAATATGACATCAAACTGCAGTACTCGGGTGTACGCAGCAAGCCATCATCAGCAATGGTGGCACGAACAAAGATCAGATTATGAAAATTCGGGATCGTCAAGGAGCACGCACGCACACACGCACACGTACTGTACCCACACGTACACACACGTCAAGAGTTCGTCGCTGCGGTCCGCCCTTTTCCCCTTCCCTTCCCGCTGCCGCCACCAGACGGGGTGATGCCGGCAAGGCTGCCACAGCCACGAAGCTCCTCGAAGGGCAGGGGGGAGGCCTGCCATGAGAACGGAGGGCTCGGTGCGGGTGTGTGGCAGGCCAGGGGGTGTGGCCCTTCGGGTGTCCGAGTCGGGCAATTCGTTTCACGATCTGAGAGCTCTGGCCGCCAAGAGATGGGAGGACCCGCCCCTTGGACCTCGAAACAGGTTCTGGCAATGACGGGATTCGCACCCGCACAGCTTTCCCTTCCTCTCCTTGCTCTCCTTTCAAATTCGCTCGTGGTGGTGCAGTGTAGAGGTGCGCTAAGGCCAAGCCACGCCAAGCCGCCTGTCTTCATTGACGCTGGGCCGCCGCCAGCTCGTGGTTGCGATATAGGAAAGTCGGAGGGCGTTCGTATCGTGATGCTGCGCATCGCTGCCAAGCCTGGCTTCAGATTGCCATTGATATCATGCCCCAGAGCCTGTAGGCTTGTTGATGGGAAAAGCTCCCCCCTCCCCCTGTCTCCTAATCATCGCGTGTCGGTCACAGCGTGCGCGCGCCCAAACTCTGTCTCGTTAGCATTTTTTTCTGCGTCATGGGGGACGATACGTCAGCGGTTACGCCTCGTTATCGATGCGCTCTCTGTCTCTCTTTCTATACGTAGTATCCGTACTCCTCGTGCTCCTCCCCCGCGGATCAGCCACATGTCATCGCAATCACGCTCAACCTTAACTACGGAGTACACAGACAGATAGACAGATAGACAGACAGGCGCGCACATACAGTTGGCGCTACCCACTTGCAATGGACACGAAAATGGGTCGGAACCACAAAATACTCGACACAGAACGTCAACTGCAGCAGAAAAGCGGCCGGCGTTGCAGTGAGGTGACGGGAGGGGAAGGGAGAGACAAGAGCCTGGACCGGGTTTATTTTGGTAGCCCGCCGTGGTTTGTGGGAACGGGGATTCAGGAGACGGAACCCACACGGGCGAAACGCCGCTCTGGCCGGACATGTGAGGAAACCGACTAGGGAGGCGACTCCGTCTCCGTTTCTAGAGAGCCCGGCGATAAGGGACGCCCAAGAACATCACTCAACTCGCTCGCTCTCCAGCTGGACTGTCCGCTATTTCCCTAGATTAAAGTTTCCAGTCGTCCCCTCCCCCACCCCTCTCTCTCTCTCTCTTGACGTGTTCGCCTGTCAAGAGCGAGAGGGGAGCATCACCCTTGAACGTCAGGGGAAGCCTTCGCGGTTATCACTAGTATATTGAAATAGAAGTAAAAAAAGAGGGTCATCCGTCCCGTCGTCTCCTATGATTTCCTCTTCAAGCGACCCCTCCCCCCAACCCGGCTTGGAAAGTCAGAAAGTCTCACCTCCCACACCCCTGGGTTTGTCGGGTCCGTCCTCTTGGGCTCGACACTATAGGGTTTTGGGGCTGGTTGACTGGACTCGGCCGGGTCGCCAAGTCCTGACGGCGAATGCAGGTTTGGAAAAAGACACACGCCGTACCGCTCAGAGTAATGATGCCCATGGGGAGAGACTTCTGCTGATGTTTCCTGATCGCGCCCACTTGAATCCCCCACTACAGAGCCGTGCAGTCCGAGGCTACCTAGCTCCCCGTCCAAGGGAATCTGTTCATTGTCCATTGTCGGGTCGGTGATCAAGTGCTTCTGACAGCGGGTCGAGGAGACAAAACACACACACACACACACACACACACACACACACACACAAATACACACAAATGGCCGCCGCCAACCAGCGTGGCCAGCAGTACAAGCCTCCTTGGCCCTCCTTGGCCCCCTTGGCTTCTTGGCCTCTTGGCAGTTCTTCATGTGCCACCCGGCATCTATCATCTATCCGTCTTATCAGACAGGGAAGACTGGGTGTGCATATGCGCAACCGCACATCATAAGTGGCTCTGTGTGTGTGTGCCTTCCAGGGCTTATCGGCACAGGCGCAGAGCAGAGCCTCTCTCATACTCACTGCGTTTCCCTTGGGCTCCCGCAGGTCCAGACGGGACGTGATGCCGGATCGCCGTAGCGCACAAAATAAAGCGAGCGAGCAGTCCAATCCCACTTCGGACGAAGAGGCGGATGGGTGGCAAAGCGTGCAAAGCGTGCAAAGCGTACAAAACTCCTAGCCGCCCGTTGCTATTCTGGTGCATGTCTTGGCTCTCGTTTCTTCTTTCACGCCATTGCGCCGTCTCTTCCCCTCCCCCTCTTCTCCTCTTGTTCTCCAATTGCGATCGATGGATTGGAAAGCCTCGACGGACGGCCATGGTACCAAAAAAAGGTCCGAGTTTGGCCTCCTCCTCATCATCATCATCCGTCCCCCTTACTCGACGACTTGACCGGTACCACCGTGTTTCCTCGTATCTCGCATCGCCTCGCACGGCATCGACGCCCGATGATGCCACCGAGCAGCAAAGGGCCAAGACGATGCATGACGGACGGAATGCCCACTAAATGAGGGTGGAAGATACGCAACCGGGGATCCCGTGGCAAATTTGCCAGTGACAGAGCCCGGGCCAGCTTGCGCTCCTATGCCGGCGAACATTCTGTTGTTATCTATCTACATAGTAGCCCGCCGAGTTGGCTCTCGACAGGGGCGCCAGAGGAGACAGAGAGAGAGCAAGCATAGCAGTCTGCATCACTGGTGGGCGTCTTGGCGACACGATCTACCGCCGAGTCGCCAAGCAGGAAAATCCCTCTTCTCTCAACGGCGCTATGCGAAGTTTGTGTTGCAACGGCACACCAGGCACGTGTATGCCGCTGAGGTGTCGACGCAAGCATGCATGCATGCACCACACATACGCCCCCCCCCCTTGCCGTTGGACTTGGTCCATCACATCTGCCAAGGCGCGCCTCGAAACGTGGCCGCAACCGCTTCCGTGGTTGGCGGGACGCTACAAACCTACACCGCCCGGCGCTAACCACTGCACGCCGCGGCCGGGCAGCTCAGCTAGCTCTTGCTCCGGGCCGTCGACAGCGACGGTGCCGCGTCATCGTCGTGGGCAGCCAAGTGTAACTAGCTATCTACTGTTGTTGCTTCATCGTTCACGCTATGGCAGTGCTATCTATACTGCAACACCGGACCCACGGATCTTGGCGAGACCCTCACTCCCCCCCCCCCCCCCCCCCCCCAACCGGAAGCAGAGAGAGATAGAGAGACATGTTTTTGGAGGCTTTGCTTGCGAAACGAAGGCGTCCATGGAGAAACAAGAGGAAACATCAATGTCTTTAGACCGTCCGTCGCACGGATCGCCATCATCAACGTCAATACCGGGCGCCGGATGACGCGTTTGATATCGACTCGCCCACCTAGCCACCGCCCTAGCACGAGAGACAGTCTGGCCTCATCTTCGATTCCGATCCGGCCCGGTCGATTCATCGATATTCAGTCGACGATGACTCCTCTTCTCGATTCTCTCGCGCATCTCCGCACCATTCTGGGGCAAGCACTGCGCCTTCAGCGTGTCATCCACAGTGGAACCTCTCATCAGGTTTGTAACGGAGCATCTCGTCTTGGCGGGACAAGCGAAGTCCAGGGCAAAGCCATAAGCCTGTTGCAGATCCTTCAGCCGCCCATGAGTAGAGCAAATTGCCTAATCTCTTGAACCCCCCACGCATCTCAGTCTCCCTCCCGTTCACTCGTCTCTACGGCCCTAGAAATCCTATATTGCACAAGGGGAGCCCGAACCCACCTGTTAGGGCCGTGGGAAGCCCGAACCCACCTGTAAGCGCCGTGGGAAGCCTGATGGCCCTGCGCATGCTCGCGAGGCTATGGACAAGCGACGGGACTCACTCACGGACCACGAAATAACAATTGGGGGATACCGGAGGAATAGCCATGCCGGGACCCGGCCTATAACACCAGAGAAGGTATTTGTCTGGGTCCGCCGGCAAAACGAAAAGGTGAAGCCCCCAACGTTGGGCCAAGACGCCCGGTTCCGGAAAACCCCGAGGACCAGGGGTTGAGTGTCATTTATTTTCTTGTCTAACAATTCAATCTGACGTCGGTTCACATGCTGGGGTTATGGTGATGCAATTTAAAAAAACAAATCGAAAACCGGAAGGAAAGGAAAGCAAAGGATGGAAAAATCTTCCATGGCTATAGCATGTGATAACGACCAGGTCTGGAGAGCCTCTACCCACTCTCTTGGTGCCCGATATCCCCTCTATGAGTCAACGAACCCGTCCCAGCTTGTGACACCCATCTATCGCCCTCCCCTGCTGGCTTCCCACCCTCTCCTCCCATTGCCCTCATGCATAGGGCTGGAAGGTGTCGGGCCCGGGTGTGACCGGTCGTTCGGCGGACGTACCTACGGCCATCTCGAAAGCCAACGGACTGCGGTCGGGCCGGAGATATACTATTATATATATAAGGTTTCGGCGCCGCCTTTTCCTCGCATCGCCCCCCCCGAGACGATGCCGAAAACGGGCACTACGTAGACGTAATTAGATGCTTAAGCTTCACACTCCCGCCACAGCTCGCTCTCCGGTTCTCTTTTTGCTACGCCGTCGGCATTCGTCATCAGCCCGACATGGTCATAAGTGATCAGACAAGCTAATAGTGTCCCCCCTCTGTTAACCCAAGAGTACTGTGCATAACAACTGTGATAAACCTCAGCAGACAGTGGATTTAGTAATAACACAACTATCTTAGAGGTAAAGGGGATAGTCTTGGCTTACTGTAACCTAGAGCGTAGCATAGGAAGCAGGGTAGGTTAGTACTATTCTACCCCTCCCTAGTAGAGCTATTTTAGAACTAAAAAATCTAAGAAATCTAGATCTAAACCTGTAGCCTTTAGGATATAAGGTTTCATTACTGTTATTATGCATAGTACTCTCAGGTTAACAGGGGGAAGACACTATCAGCTTGTCTATAGACTCTATAGTCATGACTCATCTACTCTTGTGCAACTTTTTCTGGGACCTAGGTAATCCTTAATTAAATCTTATTAAATTAATAGCTAGTAGTAGAAGCTCTGTCTTAGTAAAGTAATTAGACAAGCTAATAGTGTCTTCTTTATGTCTATCTAAGAGTACTATATATAATAACTATAATAAACCTTAGTAGATAGTAGATTTAGTAATAATATAACTATTTTAGTAAAAAAAATAGAAGTAAAAGAGATAGTCTTAGCTTATCTTAGTCTAGAGTGCAGTATAGGAAATAAGGTAAGTGTTATAGCGCTGGCATAGGCAGTGCCTATGTGCACCTACCTACTTAAGTATAGTTGTTCTAAGACCTTCTAGTCTTAGAATTCTGTATCCTTTTGCGTAGATGCCACAGTGGAATACGCACAGCTAAGGACACGTCAGCAGTGTGACTACCACTGTAGCAGCCTGGCTGCTCAGTGCTAGTACATGACATAAGTTAGTACTATTCTGACCCTCCCTAGCGGAGCTGTTTTATAACTAAAAAATCCAAGAAAACTGGATTTAAACCTGCAGCCTTTAGGATTAAAGGTTCATTACTGTTATTGTGCACGGTGCTCTTGGGTTGACTAGACTTGCGGCAGAGGCTCTGTCTTAGTGTCACCACTATCAAGGGGTACCTGTCAGTGGAAACTACACTAGGACACATCCCCCTGATTGACGCTTGGCGAGGGCTTGATGTCGAATTGGCGCATGCGCCGGGAGGCACAAAAACGACTCAAATTTGGTAAGGCGTGAAGTTTTCTATGCATCAACATACAGCTACAATGAAAGATAGAAGAAAAAAAGAAGAGAGGGAAAAAAAAAAAAAAAAAAAAAAAAAGGCTGGTTGCCGGACTCGACTTACACGCAGGATTGGCTATTTGTGGCTGTGCGATTCAGCCAGCTATAACGCCCAGGGGTTACGAAAAGTCTCGCTGGTCACATTTGTTTCAACTTGTTATGACCATAGCAAAATGTTCTCTCTCTCTCTCTCTCTAGCTTCGTGTCTCACTTGACACGAAGATACAATATCCTAATCCCCGTTCCCAAGACGGCCGCAGCAAAGACCAAATAGAACAGAAAAGATGCAAACGCCCGCCCGCGCGCTAGTTCAAACATGGCGGCGGATTCGCCTGCATGCCCCCCAGATATCTGCAAGAATAGAACGAAACAAAAAGGGAAAATACTAGAGAAAAGGGGAGGGGACCGAGGGGTGAAGGGCCACGCAGAAAAAGAAAGAAAAAAAAACTACGAGATCTAAAACTCGTCAAATCCTCAGATTCGGGAAGGGGTTCAAATATAGAAACGTCGGAAAATTACGAAACGGCGTCCACCCCTGTTCCGGCCGCGTCTCAAGGAGGCACGTCTTTTCGACCAACAAAACCTCGGATCTCATCACCACAGGTCTCCACAGCATCCAGTGGACGTGAGAGGCCCTGCTTTCTGGTCTGCATATCTTTCTTTCTCCGGAATATATGCACACGCTTATCCGGAGAGCTTACCGCGTAATACAACTTTACACGCCCCCCCCTCCCCCACGGTCTGCCCAAGGCCCGCGGACCTCTCAGGCGTAAATGTCTCATCTCCGGGTTATTATTGGCCTCTTCCCCCGCGTCTCCGCGATAGATAAGCCAAAGAATAAGGGGGAGGGGAAGCGATGTAGATAAAATAGATAAAGGAAATGAAATCACTGGGAAAGCTATCGTGAACCGGCCAGCGCCAAGCAGTGAGACCCCACAGGCGGTTGTTAAGGGGGGTTGAAGCGGTTTGTGACCTCTACAGTCGCAGCTATTTCGAGAACTACCAAGCTATTTCACGGTTAAAGAAAGAAAGCAAAAAAAAAAAAAAACCGGCAACGGGAGCGGACCGCGATGAAAATACACACTCTGGACAGCGACGTCTTGGTACGGGTCGACGGGCTTCCGTCCATCAAAGCTTTTGTTTGCAACGTTTTGAAAACACCGTCTTCCTTGGAACGGGTTTTCAAATAATCCCCTCGTCGGTTAAAGCCTTGCGATCCGATGGCCTCGTCTAAACTAACAACGACGCGGCGAGAGCGGTCATGCACGGAGTGGAAAATTGCGAGACCCTTAGAGAACGTACGTACATTAGTTGATTTGCTCTCTATCCTTGGAGCCTCTTTGCACGGTGGCATTGGTCTGACCTTTTAGATTGGAATGTACATGATACTGCTTCGCCTCTGGAATCTCGCATGGGGACAATTCGTCATCCGAGGTCTCTCATAATACCGGCATCCATCGTATGGTTGGTCGGCCCATGGCACATTGCCATAATGTCTCTTACGTCTCTTGCTACGCTAATAAACCGTCCGCTTCGGGTTAAGCCGAGAAATTCGTCACTCATAGCTATATTAGGAGACGGGAAGTCTGATGTTTGACCTCAAGACATCATGGCCAAGACGGGAGGAACAAAGGTATCCTAAAACCACCCCAGGAAGCCTAAGAGATATACTTACACCTCCATTGGGGTTCTACATGCTAGCGTTTTGAATCCATTCAGAAACCCACAAGAAGGTTGTTTTCCTTACGATTTTAGAGTAGCAGTACCTCCGCAGAATTACACAACCTCTTAATTATATCTCTAGAGCAATGTTATCAATATGAAGAGTATTTACTCTTACTCGATGATGAGTATGAACAGGGTGTGCCTCTACATGCTTATGCGTGGGGCTGGTAATAAACTGACATTTAGAACACCGACTGATTGGATTTGCGAGCTGTTCTGTCTGGGCCGGATGTTACGGAACGAGCTCGGCGTCTTCGAAGCCGGCCGAGGATGCTGGCCACCGTGTCAGCCCGGCAGCCTCGTCACTTTCATCAGGGGAGAGCAACTAGTGAGTGTCGATCTTGGGTCTTGCATTCGTTAGTCAAGGATTACATACCCTCTTTTCACTACCTCAACTCGCCCACTTTACTATATGAGCAGTGGAGCACCAGATGACGCCTCACCAACTACACCGTTTCAGTGGCCATGTGTCTTCTAGGTAAGACAATGTCCAATTCAACAAGACTTCAATCTGTGATACGTCCTACACCCTATATTCCGACACCCCGTTGCGTTACGCAACCATTCCCATGCCCCTACAGACAGAAAGAGGCAACCCGCTTTTTCACACCTCACCACATCTGGCAAGTCGGCTTCTTGTCCTTGCACTGGAAGCTCTCCTTGAACTCACGACTGTTGGCCATTGTGCCAAGGATACGGGCCCACTTGGGCGCATGAGGATCAGTGTAGATACGATTGATAGCCGTATCCTTGCGCGACTTGCCACACCACCAGTTGGAGTAGGTGACGAAGAAGAGCTGATCCTGCGTGAAGTGCCCCAGACCCGGCAGATCCTTGTTCGGGTGCTTGTGCGCCCGGCGCTTCCACGCCTGGTACGAGGCCGAGAGCCCCCCAGCGTCGGCAAGGTTCTCGCCCAGAGTAAGGCGGCCGTTGACGTGGAGCGGCTCGTCGTTGGGTCCCGGGACCGTGAAGTTGTGGTACTGGTCCACGAAGCACTCTGCCCTCTCCTCAAATGCCTTGACCGTGGCGTCTGACCACCAATCCGTGTAGTTACCGTTCTGGTCAAAGTGGCGGCCGGTGGAGTCGAAGGCGTGGCTGAGCTCGTGCCCGGCAACAGACCCAAAGGCGCCGTATGACATGTAGGCAGGGACATCGACGTCGAAGACCGGGAACTGCATGATGCCGGCCGGGAAGACAATCTCGTTGCCAGGAGGGTTGTAGTAGGCATTGACCGTGGGCACTGTCATGTCCCACTGATCACGGTCGACAGGCTTGCCGAGGGCTGACCATTCGTAGTCGACCTCGAACTTTCGCGCCGCTAGGGCGTTCTCGAAAAAGGTCTCGGGGGTGACGTCAACGGACTTGTAGAAGTCGTTCAGGCTAGGCGGATCCATGATATTTGGGCTCTTGGTCGGGTAGCCAATCTTCTGGATAATGTTGTGGACCTTGTCAACTGCCTTGGCAGTCGTCTCCTTGTCCATCCACTTTGCGGCTTTGATCTTCTTGATGAACTCTGTCTTAATGTCGGTGATGATGGTGTCGCCAAACTTCTTTGCCTCGGCCGAGAAGGCTTTCTCGACGAAGAAGCGGCTCAGAACCCACCCCAAACTGTTGTCGACGTGACCGACACATGTACGCCACCTTTCGGGGACGGACTCGGGGTCCTGCAATAGTTAGCAAAGGAAGAGACTATAAACGGAATCGGAATAGCTGACCTTTCCGGCAAGCTCGTTGACAAAACGCCTGTAGGGCTTGACAGCGTCTGCATCGACGTAGGAGGAGAATGACTGAACGGCCTTCCAGATGAAGTAGTTCTGGATGATCTCCTTGTCGGTTTCAGCAAGGATTGTAGACAGCTCCGACATGTACTTGGGTGCCATGACAATGACGCGCTGCACGACGAAGCCTTCGGGGGCCAGGTCGTGAATGAGTGCCGTCAGCTCGATCTCAGGTGTGAGCGCAGAAGCCTCATCAATCGACATGGGGTTGTAGTATTTCTGCCGTGGTGTTAGTGGACACGCAAACCCTGGTCTGGTGAGCAAAGTACTCACAGTGACGTCTTCGAGCTCCTCGGTGCTCGGGGAGGCAGCCGCCAGAAGCTTCTCGAAGTCTGCAACTTTGACAAAGTTGTCCTTGTTCTGGTCGGGGAAGAGGTTTCCGAGAACCTCGACAGCAACGCCGCGGTATTTCTCGAACAGCTTATCGTCTTCGTAACGCTCCTTGGAGGGGAGTCCCAGTCTCCCGGGGGCAACAGATACGACAACCGTGTCGGGGTCTCTGTCGTCCGCGCCAGTGCCCGTCGAGACGAGCGCGCTGACGCCATATCTGGCGAGAAGAAGGATGGCATCCTTGGTCGGCCCAGGGACTGAGGCAGCACCCTCAATCGGGTAAGCGTTCTTGATATCGTCCAGAATGCGAGAGAGCGGCTCGATTCCAATGCTCTTGATCTTTTCCTCATTGATACAGGCATCATAGACGGCCTTCATCTTATCAAAATTCTGCTCGTCCGCGGACTTGTCGGTGGCGTCGAGCCGGAGTGGCGAAAAGTAGGAATGCTGATGGAAGAGTCGGTCAGAGTGTTTTCGGACATTGGCAGCAATGGGATTGTTACCTGGGAGTCCTTGGGGTAAGGAGCCTCGAGAATGTGACGAAGGAGGAGCTCCGAGTTCTCGGACATGATGGTGCCAGTAAAGGCATCGCCCTGATCCGCACGAAGATCATGCTTCTCCCTCCATCCACCGCATACCATCTCTTCGAAGTCGGTGCATGGGTCGAGCTGCTTGTAGTCGGGGGATAGATTGTATAGGATTTCAGAGGCGGCATGAACACAGGCGGGAGTCATGCAAACCGGAGTCTTGCTCTCGTGCAAGTCATGCTGGGCTACACAAACAAACGTCAACAACCTGCAATGGAGACTTTGAACGGTTTACCAACCTTGGGGGAAGTGGGAGTAGAGGAAGCCGGCAGCGGTAGCAAGGACAAAGACCTTGACGATGACTCTTCCAACGGAGCACCGTTTGGCGTACGGGCACCGCGTTGTCGGCGGATCGTGGGAGACGCGTTGCTCCGAGATGAGAGGTGCCTTCTCCGACATGGCGACGGGGGTTAGGCGAGAGCTGTATATTGGCTAAGAAGACGATGAGACGGTCGATTGGTTAACCCAGCCAGCTGAGTATCGAGATATGGTGGTAAGTGAAAAGTGATAGAAACAGATCCAATCCGGATGGTGGGTGGGTTGACACAAGGATGGTGATCTGATGGGGGAGCTCTCGGAGCTTTCTTTGGCGGAGCTTGGGGCTCGGTTGAGCACGATGATGCTTGGATGCGGCGCAGCATCTGGGGTGCAGCTGGCGGGGGTGATCTATCCGAAAATACTTTGACTTGCACACAAATCTCGCTGATGATCTAGTACCTACTGATAAAGCAAGCTTGCATACCTGTAACGGCCCGTGCTGGGGAAACTCCGCATTCCGGCACTTGCCCCTTCAACCTTGTTTTCTAGGCTTCTCACTCTTACTCTCACTCTTACTCTCACCCTCACTTTGCCTCTCATTCTCAACTCACTCTCTGTTACCTACCCAACAACTACTCACTTGAAGCTCACATGTCCACAGGCGCCGGGCCTAGTCCGTCCGCCTAGAGCACGCCTGTTCCCGCACGAGCTCTGTCATCTGTGCCTAGCTTTAATCAGTAGCGGTGGCGCTTGTCATCGAAGCGCCGAATCACCATGCTCGCATAACGATTCTAGCACAGTTCCAAAAGGACCCTTTGTTTGATTCCACCTCGACTGCAAAAGCGCCGTTCCCTTAGTGAATCGAACTGCCGAGTTGTCCGGCCGTCCTGGATCAGACGCTCGGTGATTCCCACGTCCCCGTGTCGCTGCGCCAGTGACTAGCTCAAATGCTCTGGTGGCGGCAATGATGTGAATGTAGTCGTCCTGCTTGAACCCCCACTTCGTCCCGGCTCCGTGATATTCAAGGAATTGAACCAAAAAGCGTCAAGTTACTGGCGACGTGAGTGACTACGCACGCCAAGATTTACCCCACGCCCGAGGCCATCAAGGAATGAACCATCCCTCACTGGCAACCAATCCTCCCAGAGATGTAAGCTGCATCTCGACCACCGCGAATCCCTTCATTCTCCGCTTGCTCACGTTGCATTACATGAACGCTACTCCAGATAGGAAGCTATCATGATAAGACGATTGTTGTTGCGGTTGCTCGGAGGCCGGGCCAGGGGAGTGTATCCCCGGCGCTGACTGGCGCCATCGACCGCCCTCTGCTTTGATTGCGCTCGCCTATTTGGCTTCTGGGAAGCTCAGATAAGGGGTTGATGATGATAGTACAGCGCGGTAGCATTGAAAACCGCCTATAAATACCGGTGGGTGGGTGATCCTCCTATGGCTGTTGAGAAAGTCCGGAAACACCTAGGATACAGGATCCGCGCTACCATCCCATACACGGTGTCATCGGTAACAGCCTAAGAATGCGTCGGACTCTGATAGCTGTCGCCTTTGCGACTACCTGCATCGAAGCTTGCCAGCGTGACTGGGATGCCCTCAACCAACGTATCAGCAGTCATAGTCACCGTGGCCATGGACACAAAAAGCGCGATCTTGCTGTTGAATACCCGCCATTGCTCTCAGAATATGAGACGATCCTCGTAAATTCATTCGACAGTAAGTCTTTGGACGAGTGGTCACACTACTACACGTCTGGCGATCATCTGGGCGGACACAACCGAACCCAGGCCGAGTGGACACAGCAGAAATGGGCCGATGCTGGGTGGAACGCATCCATCAAGGAATACTGGATCTGGTACACTGCGCCAATAGAGACCACATTGAGGCTGAACAGGCCAGACGGGAGCATTCATCACGTCAGTTTGATAGAGGATATGCTGGAAGAAGATCCCACAACGAACTACCCTAACCGAATCCCTGCTTACCACGCGATGAGCGGGAGCGGCAACATCAGTGCCGAATATGTCTATGTTGGGTAAGTCTCGCTCAAAAAGGCCTGGAGCCAATATTCATTGACTGACGACTCGACTCGTATTAGCCGTGGCCAGAAAGCCGACTTCAAGGCCTTGAAAGATGCCGGTATAGAGCTGAAAGGCAAAATCGCGCTTTCCATGTACGGCGGCATTTACAGAGGCACCAAGGTCAAAAACACCCAGGTATGGGTTCCCTGCGAAGATGCCGCGCGTGGTTGCTAACACGACTTCTTCAGGACAACGGCATGATCGGAGCGGTCCTCTTCACCGACCCCCTCGACGACGGGGAAATCACAGTCGCCAATGGTTATCTCGCATACCCAGGTCAGCTTTGTCCCTGGTTTCCCAACTAATTCGCAACACCAACAGTAGAGCTAACGAATGATGTTCTGCAGACGGCCCCGCTCGGAACCCTTCCATGATCCAGCGAGGCAGCGTCCGTTTCTCTTCTCTATATTCTGGCGACCCCTCCACCGTTGGCTATGCGTCCGAGAAAGACGGCCCGAGAAACGACGTGACCCCTTACAACCCAACGATCCCGTCCGTCCCCATCAGCATGAAAGACGCAGCCCCCCTTCTCGCCGCGCTGGACGGAAGTGGACTGTCTGCAAAGCAAGTGAACCGTACCGGCTGGGTTGGCGCGCTGCCGAACATCACTTACAGCAGCGGGCCGGCGACTGGGGCTACCCTTGACATGGTGCATTTCATGAACCAGACTGTGGCGCCCTCATGGGACGTCATTGGCATCATCAACGGAACTCACCCCGACGAAGTCCTCATCATCGGCAACCATCGCGATGCGTGTGTCATTGGTGGCGCCGCGGATCCCAACTCCGGCTCTGCGGTCCTCATCGAACTGGCCAAGGCTTTCGGAAAGCTCGTTGACAAGGGGTGGAAGCCTCGGCGAACCATGTAAGTTTCGCCGCCTCTGACACTATAAGATCAATATGCAGTCCGACTAACACGCCTCGCAGTATCCTGGGTTCCTGGGATGCCGAGGAGTTCGGCTTGCAGGGCTCGACCGAATGGGTCGAGAGTCACTTGCCCTGGCTGGTAACGAACGCCGTCGCCTACCTGAACCTGGACGTCGCCGTGTCGGGACCACGCACGGCACTTTCCGGTTCCGGAGAGATTCAGACTATTGCAATCGAGATGATGAAGAAGGTTATATTCCCTGAAGGTTGGAGCGTCGGTCCGACCCTGTACGACATGTGGTTCAACACGACCGAAGGAGAAATCCCCCCTCTAGGAAGTGGAAGTGATTATGCCGCCTTCTACCACAATGGTATCAGTGCTGTAGGTTAAACACTGACATTGCGGCTCAGTATAAGACACTAACCTTTCCCCGCAGATCGATATCGGGTCTGATGGTGGGAAGACTGATCCCGTGTACCATTACCATGGGCAAGTCTCCGCAAGCGTCTGCCGGAGTGCTTGTAGTCAGGCTAACGCGGAACAGACATTATGATTCATACACCTGGATGACCAAATTTGGCGACCCTGGCTTCAAGATCCACCGAGTGATGGGCCAGTGGCTCACCTTGATAGCTTACCACATCGCCGACGATGTAATCATTCCATGGGATCTCCCCAACGCCGGCCGCGTGCTGCGGACTCACTACGACGACCTGAATGAGACCCTAGCCGGAGTCTACCCCGACCTTGACCTCTCCCCCATTGGCAGTGCCATCGCCGAGTTCGAGTCAGCCGCCGAGCGCATCGCCACCGTCGCCAACCAGGCCCGCGCCTTCAACGACACGGCCCTCATCAACACAATCAACGGCAAGTACCGCGACTTCTCCCGCGGCTTCGCGAGCGCCGGGGGCCTCCCGGGCCGCCCGACCTTCCATAACGTTATCAGCGCTCCCGGATTGGACAACGGGTACGGTGCGGACGTCTTTCCCGCCGTGTAGGACAGTCTCAACTCCGGCAACGAGGAGCAGGCACGGGAATGGGTCGAGAAGAGCGCTTTGGCGGTGTCTCGCGCCGCCGAGATCCTGCGTGTCTAATTGGATATGATTGAATTGCAACTACAAAAGAGTTTTAAGAATACTTTGTAGATAATGCAATAAGCAGTTATCTACGACTGTGTAATAATAAAAAAGACGGGGGGGAGGGGGGTATTGCCGAAGGCCTTTTCTCGAGCCCGCGTAGTCGTCATAATGCCAAACTCATAGTGTTCTGACTTTCGCTACCAATTACCAATCGCTCATCTTTCTGCCCCTAGTCGACCCGCCGTATAATGACTGAGACGGCTCGCTGGGCATGATTTCCGGAACGCTGTCCGCCGTCAGTCGCCGCAGGGGCACGCGGTCTGGTGTCACACTGCCGAGGGAGCCCTTCTTCCTGGAGTTTGCGGTCGAAGACTCGGGGACCTCGTCGGTGGCGATCGTTGCAATGTCTTGAGAAACAATCTTGACGTTTCCCGACGCTCTAGTCGATCCCCTGTTAGTCGACAGGTTGGCGACGTAGAGAAGGTCTGGGAAGAGGCGTCTGGCCAGGGACCGGGCCGCCGGCATGCATGCGACTACCATGCCCACAGACAGCTCGATGTGTGACCAGAGTGCGAGGCCAAAAAAATCATCTAGAAATAGCGTGAGTTCGGCGTCCTGAACGGGGCATCCGTACTGGTACTTACACGTCGGGTTCCATGATTTGCTAAAGACCGACACGCTTCTTAGACGCACGGCGCTGACAACCGTGATACTGCTGTGTGTTAGACCCACGGATGAGAACGGAAAGGGCATAGATATGTGCTCACAAGATACCGAAGCCAAACATGGACATAATACCAGCCTTCTGCCTCTTTTGCAAGTTGAGTTTATAGATCTGTGTTGCCGGGAGAACCAGCATCCATAAGTCGATGGCAATGTTCAGGGAAGCGTGCGAGAGCGTCATGGCGGATAGATCGATGCAGTATCCTGGGTATGTGCCGTCCCATCCGTACCAGAAGTAGCTGAGAGGCTTGCACTGATTGATGTTCACAATGATGAACGTGATGCATACAGCGACGTTGAAGATTTGTGTGCCCCAAAGAATCCGGCGGAATGTATCCGTGATGGCACCGAATATTCGTAGGTAGAGGAATAGGATCGAGGCTTTTATAACTGCCAGAGTCACAAAATACATGAGCTCGAATGCGAAGAAGCCCTTGGATCCAAGGTCAGCCATACTGATCGTACGCGCAGGCGTGGCGCTGCCCTTACCTTTATAAAGGAGGTGATTTGTGACACGGTAAGCGCCCAGATGTCTTTTCCGAATCCTTCTTGTCTTCCTACTATTGTCGCGACCAAAAACGCAATCATCATGACCTATTCAACTGATCGTCAGCTGTCGTGTCACTTTTGCCTTTCGCCCAAAGGAGGCCTCCACGTACGTATGCGAACAAGATGGTCCAATCGTCCCAGCCCCACGTCGAGAGGCCCATCCATTTCGTTACCAACCGAGCCACGAAGAATAGGGTGACGAAGCCAAAAAGAAACGCGGGAACCCAGTAGATCGTGGCGCCTTCATCGTGGTATTCGAGCCCGCAGTCCTGCCAGGTTTGGTTCTTCGTCTCTGTCGATGCATCGTCAGTCCCGACACACCACAGAGTGGCCACGGAGAGACCTACTCAATGCCTGCTGGACACTACATTGCACGCGGACGCAATGGATGACGGCCATGTTGTAATTCATGTCGAGGCATAGACATGTCGAGTTCGTGAAATCGCATGGCGTGTGGTCAAGCGGTTCAAAGAGACACGGCTCCTAGACAATGACTGTTAGAATCAGGCCGCGTAGGACTGACATCAGAGACTCAAGAAGGACAGGACAGGTCAGGCGAACTCACAGCGCATTCTGGAACATCTTCGTATAGGCCGTGCACAAGCGACAGGCAGGATAAAAACGAGAGGACCCAGATAAAGGGCTTCATTGCAAGTAAGTTCGCTGGGGGGTATCAGAATTTTGCGACAATCAAAACATGACGGACAGGAGGGAGATTTGTGACTCTACGGAGCTCTGGTAACGAGACCAAGTCAGGTGACGGTATCGCGGGGAAGAGGAGGGAGGGAAAGACTTCACACAAAGCCGAAGTCTAGGTAAAGGCAACAAATATGAGCAAATATTCGGCTCGAATCAGCGGTCGCGGATGAGGCGGCTTCGTGTAAGCCACGGTAGGACGGGGCGGAATGGCTTGCCGGATGCGGAAGACCCGGCCAGACCTTCTGGGCCGACATGATCGGATTCTTGTCAAGGTCTAATATAACAGGCAGAGCGATCCCCAGCAGATTCATGGTGCCAGCCACCTCCTCGTACTCTTTTCGTGATTCCGACAGCGGCCTTCTACGCCGCTAGATAGACAATCGTCGGAGTTCCCTGACACCACGGCTCCCATGATAGGGCCAAGGGTAGCTATAGATGCCAAAGCTACGATTCTTACCTACATACCGCTGGAAGCAACTGATGTATGGCATCCAAAAACCATCGTCTGTATTGGGTCGCCAGCGCTCCGCAACTCGAGGATTGGACGAAGGCATGGATGGCAACGTGGACAAAGTCCCTTTCCGGGCAAGTTCTGAAGTCGAAAGCAATCGAGCAGGTAGTGACAGATCTTCTGATCGGCAATTCGTGGGCCATCTTTTGGGGCTTTGGCTTTGGCTTATAAGGTAACCGCATGCGTCATTGAGATGCCCTAGAACTCCTGGGGACTTCCACTCCATCATGTGCCTCTTCCAGGGCCGAGAACAGAGCGGGGGGAGAGGTCAAAAGCCGGTTCTAGTCTCGAACGGTATTTAGTGGCAAAAGAACAACGGGATTTGAGGGGTCTGAAAGGAATGCGTTGGGGGCGCCTGTGGAATTTTCACGCTTCGAGACATGTTTGTTTTAGTGCTGAGAAGTCTAGCCCTCTATTCCCACAATTCCGAGTCGTTTTGGGTGTTTGCACATCAATAGTAGAAACCCTTTCGATGATTGGGAGGCGGCGTCGAGGAAAATGACGATAATGGCCGTTTAACCACAGATCTGGGATTTTTCAGATTTCCATCCGGGGCTAGGTTGACGACAAGCAGAAAGATAGCGTCGCCATCTTTTGGGATTTGGACGAGTTACTGCTGCAACGCCTTGCAGTCTCTCCCTGACATAATCCAGGTTCTACTGCAACTTGAGTTGTCTTATTCTCTACTCCTTTCCTGCAGCAATGAACATCTAATACATCATTCTTGGGCTCAGGCAGATATGGGAGCCGTGACAGAGGCAGTCTTCTCGTTTCACCGCAAGAAAAACCAAAACGAAAAAGCAGGCCTCAGTTTTGAGTCTCGCCGGGCACTCCATTACCACGTCGCCAAACAATCGCCGGCTGCTATGACGATTCCATACCACCGCAAATGGAAGAAGCCTACTTTGAGACACCCAAAATTCACGGCCGAGTGACCAGAACCGCCCTCTCTTGGCTCAGCAGCCTGGCGGTCCTCCACGCACCCGGCCATTTCCTCCTACTTCTGCATCGCAAGCTTGACCGAAACCGTGTGGAACACCGAGTACATTTTGTTTTACCATAATTTCACCGGCAACGTCGATCATCATCGATCTTATGTAACAGAATGTATCGAAGCAGACAAGAATGTTAGCTTGTCTCAAAGGCGCCCTACTTCCCAACTAGAAGACCGCTTTGGGTACTGTTTGGCGACATATACCACTCCGTTCACGAAATCAAATAATTGTGTACCGGATGGGCTACACTCTACTTGTAGGGCATGAAATAAAAGGCTCAGCCCTATGCAATAGTCCACACTGGCCATTCCCAATCATCTGTGCCACGAGTCTATCTGATGCCGAACTACCGGACCGGTGGATCGGCTCTTTCTGTCAACGAGATATTAGCAACACCACACGATATGCAAGCGCTTCTTAATCACTTCAGAGCTTACCCAAAAGTGATCACTTTTGATGTTACTAAGAAATACCCAAGATGAGCATGGTAAGCACCATGGTAAATTTACAGCACTCATTATTCAGGCAATATGCTCTGTCCAAAAACTCGAATCCGCTCAACACCCATCAAAAACTGTCCACATGAAGTATAAGACACGAGATTATTCCCAATATCCCAGGGAAACCTCTGTCAACTGCACATTCTCCAAAGAGTTGGCTAGCTTCACAGTCACGACCTCTTGAGGGCAAACGCCTTGCACAAAGCCCATAGGCATTGCCGATAATATGTAATCTTCAGCCAACACGCCTTATGATTCGGATTGAGTTACCTAGGGCAAGGCTTTACAGATAGCCTAGGATGCTGGTCAGCCGACAACGGCCAGTGTGTGGCTTTCGGCTCAGGGTAAGCTATAGTGAAGAGTGTCCCCTTAGGGTGAGTTATAAGAAAGCAAGGTGCGTAAAGCTAAAATAACTAGTAGTGTAGAGGATAGGGGGACTTTAACGTGGTTTTTATAAGATACAAAGCAATTCTTTGTATTCTAGTTCTTCTTTCTTTCTATGGCCTATCTATTAATTTCTCAACTTACTAGTAGATTTACTACCTTATATCCTGCGTACTACATTCTTTACTACATTCCGTATAAAACTTTAAAAAACACCTCTTATTTTACTACTCATATTGGATACTGAACTGAGGTATTTTCGACTTAGAGCTGTTGAAGACATGCAACCGAGTTTCTACTGGCGTTGTCCTAAAGTACTTCGCCTCAACTGAGGCTCAATGTAGTCCTTAGGCCCGGATGTTGCTGTCTCAATCATAAAAAAGCGTGTTACGAAGAATCCATGACAGTTTCCTAGCCTTCTACTATCTAGATCGAGGTTTTTCTGCCCTGTGGGGAGTTCTTCCAGATTGCGACACGGTAAAGGTTTCCTTGGTCGACCTATCCGGCGGCGGGACAGCCCTGGCCAAGGGGTCGAGGACTTCGGAGAAATACCACCTCTCATAACTATGTTTGCCCAGGAACCCCCACCACGACTTCAGGAACTCTTGAATACGGATCCGCGCACGATTCGTCTCAAGCCTGCAAATGGCAGGCGACAGGAAACGCAGTCGGCGCACGGGATGGCTCATCGGTCCGTGAGACAGGACGATTCAGCGCCCGGTGAGGCGTGTCCATGCCTCCGAAATACTGGGCTACTGTGGGCGGATCAGTGCCCAGAACTAAGGTTTCATGAACCGATGATACTGTCTTTGTCATCCGCTTGACCGAATCGTCTCGAAGACGATTATGACTACGGAGAAGACAGAATTGCAAGTGCTCCAGGGGACCATACGTTTGACGGTTCTGATGGCCTTCGCGGCCTGAATAGCTGGTTGAGCCTAATGTGTTCCCATTGGTCAACCAAAACCCTACATTATTCCTCAGTGTCGCTATGATTCGAGTTTCCAAGGCGTAAGGCGGCTTTTCTTGTGTTCTGCTTTGCAATACTACCGACCAAGGACTTTCAAATTCACATCATACGATACCAAAACATACGGATAATTGAATAGCTCAGCCATATGTTCCAGTTTCAAAACCATGCATTCTAGCTGTCTGGACGAATGCGGCACGGCTGGAGGCACGGGAACGCTTGTCGCGTGTTGCGTGAGAAGTAATGGGTGTGCGGGGAGTCCCGTCGCGGGTTGGTTTCCTCCTATGCTCTAGCCGAGTGGCTGATGTCTTGAACCCCTCAGTTATCCCCCATGCCACAGAATGACATGATGCGCGAATTGAAGCCAAAATGCCGTATACATCTTCATTCGTCGGAATTGCGCAATGTTTAAGGTCAAGAGCTTTCAGGGACAGGGAGTAGAGACGGGAGCTGAAGACGGGCCGCGTGCCTGGTTTCTCCCCGCGTGGAAGCCGGAAACATGTGCTTGGTAGATGGCCCAACTAGTGAAGACAAGCTGCGGCTGAAGTGTAGACCACAAGTTGTGCCTTCAAATGAGGTGGCTGGAACAGGAGGCGTCTATGGGATGTCGGTTGCGATGTGTCTCTTAGCATATCATACGAGACGATCCTTCATTTCAACCACAGGTGGATGGCGATTCGTGATCATGGCCTCATTTCTACGACCGAAACCTTCGAAACGTGGCTGGCTGAAATGCCAGCCGAAACTATCTCACTCACTGAGTTGCAATGTTTCGGTGTCCTGTCACTCGCATCCTTCGACTGAAGCGCCATTACGGTGGCTTTTGACGAATTCAGCGACAGTGTTTTCCGTGGTTTGTCAGCCAGAGAAGTCATCGACAGCATCTTCTCATCGGTACTTATTGTGAAGACAGGCCCTCTCTGATATCCGCATTCTATGCTATAAGAAGCAGGCCTATGTCGGCATCAAAAAGCTCGACCATGACTCTCATCGACTCAATCACAAGCCTGACTTTCCACAAGCCCGTCCAAAGCTCTCAAGAAACTTCACCTTCGTTGACATCATCCTCATCTGACACCATGGCCTTCCTCGTTCCTGTCAAGGAGTCTGATATCTCCGCCTTGTACGACTCCAACCATCGCAAGCTCGTTCTCGTGGCCAAGGGTGAGATTCCCAAGGTCTGGTTCACCCCTTTCTTTAAACAGGAGACTTTGCTCGGCGGCCTGAGCTTCTCCATCCGCGCCTTCGCCGGTGGTGTCCCTGTCCAGAAAGGCGAGAAGTCTTTCGACATCTCGCTTGACTTCCCGGTCAACTTGCCCATGCAGCACTTCAACAACAAGAGCGTCCTGATCGAGACGGCCAACGGCAGCTATCCTATCGAGATCAAGTATACCGGCTTCGCGCCGGGACCCGTCATCAGCGGAGGCAAGGACGGCGAGGAGAATGGTACTACCACCCGGAGCGTCTTGCCTCCGGTTCAGGAGTTCCTACCTGCTGGACAGCCCTTGCGTATCACCGCGCAGATCCCGAAGGTTGAGGCACCTGCTTCTGTCAACATCGAGCCTTCTTATAACCCCAAGTTCCTTGAGTTGATTCACTCCACGGCCCAACATGGAAGCGTGTCCTGGACATTCAAGTGGAAGGAACTCCCCACTGAGGAGGGCACGAATCCTCAGCTGATCGAGATCACCACTCACCAATACAACGGTCTCGTTGGCCCTGCAGCCCGCAACTCCTACGTCATCCAGGGCTATGTTGTCCACTTCGTCGTTTTCGAGAAGAAGTAAGGATAGCCACACCCGACCTCTGAGTGGCCTTTTCAATGGAATTCACATGTCTACTTAGGGGCATCAACGTGGTTCGTGGCGGGGATGTCGTTGAAGGCGGTTGGCATGTGGTGTGAACCGGTCGTGGACCTTGGCTATTATTCTCAAGTTGGAAACCAACTTGGATCTAGTTATCTAATTGACTACTTTTCTTTTGTGAGAGACTCCCTCTGCTGAGATGGATCATCGACCAGATGCCGCGTATTTCAAGAAAGTCCATGGCAACTTATTTGACGACCAACTACTAGTATGCAACTGGATGCTTGTGTGTACCACGTAATTTCTGTAGACTCTCCTTGACTGGCAAAGACAGTTCTATAGGGGTTATGATTAGGAGATCTTTTGTTTTCCATATGCTAAGACCGCTACTTCCCTTACGTGGTCATTGATTGTCATTACTGTCATTTCCGCCACTATTATCACAATGCTCACCGTTGTTGTGGTTTACAATTAGCATATCAATTTACACTTACCCTTGATCGAAGCAACCTTTTATATCCATGGGCATCCAGTACGCGGGAACTACAACTAACTACCCTGACTTGGGAAAATCAGGGCGTGGCCTAGGTAGTATGATTTTTCCCCTCATCGGCCCATCATTTTCAAGAAGTCATCAGTCCAATTGTATTGGTTTACAGGGTTATGATTAGGGGATCCTGTTTGCCAACGCATGCTGTGTTACCACACTTTCGCCTAGATGCATACCGTATTTTATCGTGGCCGCCGATTTGCAGACGAAAGAAAGCAACAGAAGATCACAATGGTTCCACATCCTTTCTGGAGCCAATGAGGGCAATAAACTTGGGGTTCGACCAGAGCTTGACTGGTTAGCTGTTGGAACTTCTCAGCCTGACAGTCTCAGTATCCAATCGGCACCGAAGATGGGCCACATAAAGCTAGCAGTAAGCCTTCCGGTGCATTGTCTCCGAATTGTTGAGAAGTCGCTGGTAACGACGCAGGAGGCGAAGCCATTCCACACCCTGGCCATGGCCCCCGCGACCACGAGTCATCATGGGAGCTCGCCAAGGCGAACGAATCCTCCGATATCAAGACCTCTACAGCAGATATTCTCGGCTTGGTCTCTCAGAGAATCATGATTGTACTATGGCTATCAACGGTCTCCAGGACCGGGTTCTCAAGGCTCTTGGTGTTCTAGGAGGTTACGGCATTTTCGACGAAGGAGACGAAGATGGCAGGAATCGTGGGTTCCTCCGACGAACGGCAGTTTGAATCCAGATCTCCAGACCGATAAAAGGGGCGGGAATGTGGCTTTGATTGCAGAAGCGAGAGACTACAATGCCCTCAATCTTCGCAAGGGGCAAGGTGAGATCGTTTTGGATCGCCCTAGTGGCTCTCAGCAACCTGCCGCAAAATGCGTCGTGTTGGGAAAACAGCAGGTCAGCGCTGCTTTGGGGGAAGACATGAGAGAGCACTACCTCCTGATTGTGGCATCAACAAACAAAAGAGACAGAGATGGGCACTTGATATACGAACGTATGGGGGCAGGATACTTGCCTGGCAAGCTCATCGCATCCACTGGTGAGACGATCAGAATCCACTGAGATGTTGTCACGCTAAAAACGACGCCGTTAGTTGCGGCAGCACAACTAACGCCTTATATCACCCCGTGACAGATGTGCTCCGGCCACTATTTGGGAGTTATGAAGCGACGGAGACAACAAACACGACTGGCCCATTCAGCATGGTCCCGAATGAAAGTTTCTGGCTCTGGGTGGCCATCTGTAGTTCCTGAGTCTATTCGTACTCGCTTATTCACTCACTTACAATCATTCATTGATCTGGAAATATGAAAAATGTCATACGCGACAAAATCGCTCGGTGAACCATCTATTGGGTGTATAGCGCAGGTCTGTAGGACGTTTGGAGATGCCAAAGATGCATCTGAGTCGTCGGGAACCCCTGTAAACTTGTCAGGATGTGAACGCGCCTCAGGACTAAAAAAAGATAAGACATTTGCTGGTCCATATTCTGGAAAGTATCCCAGCGTTTCCTCCTTTCCGATGCACTACATCTCTTCTATAAGCCACTAAACGTAGGCGTTATTAGTGCATTCTCTCTTTAAGATTTGTCGTGTTACCAGCAGTTCTGTAAGAATCCGGCGATGATACACATTCCCTCGCACTGACTTGAGAATGAACAGAACAATATCATTACATGTCCACGTAACTATTTATATCCCTACAACTATCATAACAACAAACACGGCATACTGATTTCCTATCCTAGCAAGCCACCTCCACCTCCTCCGAGCAGGCCTCCGCCGCCTCCACTCTTCTTGTCACCGCCGCCACCACCCCCAAGAACTCCGCCTAGGAGACCGCCGCCATTGTCTTTTCCTCCTCCTCCAACGCCGCCGAGAACACCTCCAAGAAGACCTCCAACTCTGCATAGACAGTCAGTTTCCCATAAGGATACGATAATAAGGGGGATGTTTCCCAAGTACGGTAAACATCGTGGATTGTTTGCTTACCCGTCGCCGACACCCCCGACAACTTCACCGACACCCCCGAGCACATCTCCCTTGCCAAGTCTGCCAACGCCCTTGCCAAGGCCACCGGTGATACCAGTGACGGCATCACCGGCGCCCTTGCCGACGCCGCCGACAATGCCCCCTACCGGGCCGCCAACGGTGTCGCCTACGCCCCCGAGGGTACCGCCGACAGTGTCGCCCTGATATCGTTAGACGAAATGCTCCCAAAATGGTCAAAAGGAATAAACTCACCAGCCCCTTCCCAACACCGCCAACGGTGTCGCCAACTCCGGCAGTGGCACCGCCAACAGTGCCCATGAGGTCACCTCTTCCGAGCGCGCCGGTAGTGTCGCCGAGTGTCTTGCCGACACCGCCGGTCGCAGCTCCGAGGGTGTTGCCCACGCCGCTGGTGGCACCGCCGACCGTCTTTCCGAGCCCGTCCGTCGCACCGCTGACACCCTTGCCGAGCGGGCCTCCGACCGTGTTGCCGACCTGCTTGCCCACGCCCCCGGCGACACCGCCGACGGTCTTTCCAAGGCTGTCGACAGTGCCCCCGGCCGACCTGCCGACCCCGTCGACAACGCCTCCGGCCGTCTTGCCGACTCCGCCGACGGCCTTGCCGGCTCCGCCCACGACGCCACCAGCGGTCTTGCCGACGCCCCCGACGGTCTTGCCGACGGTGTCGGTGACCTGGCCGACCGGTCCACCAGCCTGGCCGGACCTGTTCGCGGCGCGCTTCGACTCGATCTCGTGCGTGGGCACCAAGGCACTGGGGTGGTATGTCTTCTCCTTGGACCCAGCAGTCTTGGCGGCAGCGGCCTTCGCACGCTTGGCCTCAAGCTCCGCAGTCGGCACCAGGGCGCCCGGCGCATAGACCTTCTCCTTCTTCTGGACCGGCGAGGAAGAAGCGGTCTTGGCCGGGGCCGGGTTCGCGGCCGGGACGTTTCTCAAGGGCGGGGCCGGGATGACGGCGGGCTTGACCGTCTTCTTCACAGGCGCCGGCGCGGTCTTGGGAACCGTGACCGGGGCCCGGGGTACGGAGGCCGGCTCGGCGGACACCTTGGCGGACGACGTTGTCTTCTTCGCTGCGGCCTCGGCCTTGGCCGCGGCGGCCTTGCGTGCTTGGATCCTCTTGACAATGTCGGAGCCCGTCGTCTCCGAGTATTGTGGGTTCTTCTTCTCCTGCAGCCTCTTCACGATGTCTGCGCCGCTGCTGCCGCCCGCGGTCTTCTGAGCAGTCTGCGATGCAGACTTGACCGGCTTGGAGGCATGCGAAGCCGTCTTGTGCGCGCTTGATGTCGCTGTTTTTGAGGCTGATGACGGTGCGTGTGTGGTGGAGGCCGCCGGTTTCGATGCCGATGAAGACACCTTCTTCGCTACGGGCGTCGTCTTCTCCTTAGTGGCGGCCGCGGCCGACTCTTTCTTGGGGGTCGCATGTGCTTTGCGCTCTTCGACCTTGGCTGGCGTCGCCTTCTTGGTGGCAGACGACTTGCGTGGGGTTGAAGCTGGGCCCAGTCGTGTTAGCCCGGCGCATGCTGATCACCTCCTCATACCATGACAGGGGGAACAAGACTAGACTAGACATCTCACCTTCCAAAGGAGCACTGTGGTGCTTAACTGACGATGACATTTTGCTGAATATAGTTCAAAGAACAAGACTGTACCGCAAAAATACTTGTGGTCACGGTATACAGAGGTAATATTGCCAGAGATCCGAGTTTACACAGAAACGGGTTGGGCAGCGTGTGGCTTGTACTCTATATAGATGAATAGGTATGCTTCTGCTGCAGCTGTTGGTAATGACGTACGTAGATCAGAGTCTGGATGAGGAGGTGGTGTGTGAGCTGACGTGCGTCCTCGGTCAGTGACGTCGAGTCTGGGGTTGGCCTGGGGTCTGATAGGTCTGGATCAGACACAAGTTATGCGAGACACCAATCGACCCCAGAACCACCCGCCACACATGTGAATACGTATGCAAAGCCGACGCACGATGATAGGAGGACTGTTGCGCCTTTCTTTTGCTCATCTGCTCCCTCCCAGCGACTAGTCTACCGTTCCAACGCCGATGACGATGTCTGGAATAACATAGCATGACTGAGGATCCCTGGTTTTTTTTTTTTTTTGTTGCTTTTTGGAGAAACAGTCGAACCCATAGAATCCCTGAAAGACCGTCGAGACCACCACCCTATCAAAGTCTCAAAAGGGCCAGATAACTGCGAAACAACACCCTCTGCGAGGACCTCTGCGTGAAGGCTGGCGCACGGTTTTTTCGGACTGTCTCGAAGTGACGCCAACCGGCAGCCGCTGGGAAGGGTTTTGTGCTTCGTCTGAACGATCCGGCGCCCCTCTTTCTAGTTGTGGCCTAGCCTCCAAATGCTAGGCCGGGATGTCATTGCGGCTCGATACCCACAGACGGCATCCTGCGCGGGATCGTGTCGACATTGTGGAGAGGGAATGTCGGTCGACGCCTTCGTTGCGGAGTAAAAGAGGTGGACAAGAAGAAGTGGGACAGGATTGCCTGCACGTCTCGGCGAGCTCGGAGAACAATGCGGCGTGCCTTTGCCTCCCATGCGATAGGTTGCCGGCGGCGTTTACTGTGTGCAGCTAGGCGTGCCTAGTGTAGTGTACCTCACGCCATCGAGATCCTAGCAATCCCGGGTGGCGGCGGGCCCTTACCTAGTCAAGGGATGAGCGGGCACGAATTAACTGACAGCTCCAGTTAGTTTGGGGTGAAATCGACTTGTGGTTGTCCATCCCTAATGATACTTAGCTGGCAGGCTGGCAATTGTCATCTGATGAACGGTGTGTCGACTGGTCTAGTTTCCGAGCGTTATGTTCTTTGGTCTGAATGCTAAATGGTTAAAGATGCCGATGAAACCCTTCATTTCGAGGACGCGCCCTGTTTTGTAGGTAAGTAGAACGAACGCTTTATCGTTCGCCCTATAACTGTTTAGTCCACCTAGACACTGGTGAATGACAGTAGTAGTCCAGCATACTAGCGGGGGATACACAACATGATGTAACATTCCTAAAGGACGTGCAGGTACGCAGTTGCTTCGGGAGTCTTGAGTTGCTTTGCCTTGGAATGTTCCGTACTGTTCTGTGCCATACAATCGCTCTCCACGGAAGAGCATTTTGAAATCCGAGCGGCATCCGAGCGAAGTCTTCTGCATAGTAGACAGGGATGGGAGAGGAGAAATTGCGATGAGGGGGAGGTTGCGACTGAGCCCTCGAGCGTGTTCATCCGTCACATCAGCCTTGCTGGCTCGAGCATCTTGTTCATACACTCATCCCATCCATCTCGCCGACCCCTTCAAATCAGGTACGACCTCCACCAGGCCTCCTCCTCCTCGAGCCACAGCCTCGGGCTCCCGGGCTGGCCAAACATGTGCCCCTCGCCCTCCACCTCCCTGATGCGCACGTCCCCGCCCTTGTCCTTGACCGCCTTGTACACGAGCCTGGCCTGCTCGACGGGGACCACCGTGTCCGCGACGCCGTGCAGGAGGAACAGCGGCGCCCCGACCCGGTCGGCGTGGAAGAGCGGGCTCCGCTCGCGGTACCTCTCCTCCTTCTGCGCCTCCGTCATGCCCGGGTCGAGCACGAGCGCGCCCATGTACTCGGACTCGAGCTTGTGCGTCGACTCGCCCAGCTTTTCGACGTCGCTCACGCCGCACACGCAGAACCCGGCGTCGAACGCGCGCGGGTGCCGCACGAGCGCCTGCAGCACGTTGTACCCGCCCGCGCTCGCGCCGACGATGCCGACCCGGCCGACCCGCCCCGCGCTGACGAGGTGGTCGGCGACCTCGGCGGCGTCGTCGGCGTCGACGACGCCCCAGCGGCCGAACAGGGCCTCGCGGTAGTCGCGACCGTGGCCGGTCGACCCCGTGTAGTTCAGGGCGAGGTAGGCGTAGCCGCGGGAGGTGAAATACTGCGTGCGCAAGTTGAGCCCGGAGCCGGTGTAGCTCGTCGGCCCCCCGTGGGACGAGATGACGAGCGGGGGAAGCGTGTTGTCGGGGGCCAGGAACTTTGGGTTGCGCGGCATCCACAGGGTGCTGTAGACGGTGCGCGACGGCGAGCCCTTTGACCGGAACTTGACCAGCTCCGGTCGCGAGAAGAGGGAATCGTCCAGCTTCTCGTCCGTCGTCTCCCGGATAGTCGTGGTCTCACCGGTCGAGATGTCGATCTTGTACAGCGCAGGGGGTGTCGCCGTCTGGTCGGCAACGAGGAGCAGGGACTCGTCGCTCATCCGCACCATGGCGTCGAACACGACGCCGCAAATGTCGGGAGGGCCGATGGGCTTCCAGTTGTCCTTCTCGAGGTCGATGAGGATCAGCTTCGCCTGGCCGAAGACGATGGCGGCGGCCGCGACGTAGCGGGCCGACAGCGGCGCATACGTGTTGCTTGAGAATCAACTGTTAGCATCACCGCGTCGGCCAACCCCGGACGGCCCGTTAGGTCACCCACCTTCCTTGAAACCAGCGGATCTCCCCAATCTCGGCGTTCTCCAGCCCCTCGAGCTTGACCTGCGATGGCTTCTCGGCGCCCGGGGCCAGGCGGAACAGTTTCCGAAACCCGTCGGTCTCGATGCATACGAACAGGCTCCCGTCGGGACCCCATCGGGGCTCGGCGGCGCCCTCGCGGTTCTCGCCCGCGACCAGCACCGCGTTCTCGACGCCGGCCGAGGACGTCCAATCGGCGGCAAAGATCTTGGCGGCCGCGAAAGGCAGGTTGGGCTGATCCCACTCCATCCACGTCAGCCTTTTGCCGTCGACGCTGAACTGGGGCGTGTAGTAGAAATCAGCCCCCTCGACGACCCGTTTGACATGGCCGGTGTCCGCGTTGATGGCTACAACGTAGTTCCGTATGCCCTTTGGTGTGGGGATCGCATGGTCCTCCTCGATGGCCAGCACCCACGGGCTGTTGGGGTTTGCACTGAAGTTGGAATACCGCAGCCCCGAGCTACCGGCCAGATCAGACACCTTGCTGGTGTCGGGATCTAGGATCTTGACGGTGTTGTCCTTGTGGGAGAAGATGATGCGCCCGTCTGCGACTACGTCGTAGGCAGAGCCGCCATACTCATACACCGTGTTGCTGGCGCTGTAAGGGGCCGGAAGCAAGTCCCTCGGGCCATGCGGCGTGATCTCCACGATGCCTTTGCGGCCGTCGTCCTTGGACTCGATGAAGAAGGCGCGTCCAGTTCCGCGCTGGGGGGAGGGACGAGGTCAGTAGGTCGAATCACGAGTCTTCAAGACAAGTGACTCACATGCACCCGTGGCGAGGCGACGGTCCGGCTTTTGGAGGTGACAGTATCGGCTGTGATGGGGCTCTCCCAATCGCCGTATCGTACAAGTCTTTTGATGGCCATTCTATTCTCCTCTTACTTGGAACCACCCGACGAGGAGGACGCAGCAGGTCGTGAATGCAACGGGCTTCTTTGAGCTGTTGCAGGTGGGTGTGAAGGCGGAGGTGACGCCGAAGTGAGGGGCTGAAGATCTGACGCACAGTCAGACTGAAATTGAGAGTCTGATTAAGGCAGGAGCAAAGCGTGCCGTGAGCAGCCGGAAGCGAGCCCGGTTCCGACCGGTCTCCGTCTCCACTTTTGTTTGTCCTAAAGTCGGCTCAAAGCGCCGGTGGCCGTTTTCTTGCACGGCGTTCCTGGGCCCGGATTTCAACACGAACCGCCATGGCTCTTGGTGCAAGTGTTGAGCGTGGCGGTTATCCATCTCATCCCCAAGCGGCGTCGATGCGGGCAGCGCAAGGAGGTCTTCGCATCTCCACAGAACCTTTCTCAGGAACCAAAGCATTGGGTTTGTCAGTGTGAGAGAAAGGTGCTGCACGTAGTAGTATGGGAGGTCGAGCCGAGAGACACTCGGGCTGGGCCGTGGGTGTCTGTCCATTTGCTTGAAATGAATCTCTGAGCCTTAAACCCAGCTAGCCGACGTGCAAGCCTCCGCCAAGCCCGGCGCCTCCTCTGAGGAACGCATTTATTTGGCTCGCAGAGCTGCTAGTGCAGCCGAAGACGCGGCCTTACCAAGGCATCACTGAAGCCAAGCAAGCAGTGCTCCTGATTGCGCGCGCCTGCGGGCCCCCGATCCTGGCCGTCACCGGCGGAAGCGCGCACGGGGTGGTGGAGGGAGGGCCAAGGAGATGGGCAAAGCTTCACTCTGCCGGGATACCACCGCATATGGAGGGACCGAGTCAAAAATGGGCTGACTGCCAAGACGAACAAAAATGCCGTTGGCCAAGTGGCCGTCGTTGGGGCACGGCGAACCTTTTTTTCTTCCTTTTTTTCCCTTTCTTTCTTCCTCCATTGACGTCTTCTTTAACTCGGGATAGGACGAGCATGTATTTGAACGAAGCCATAGTCTCGAACCTCTCTCTCTCTCTCTTGTCCTCTGTTTTCAATTTACGAGTATCAACCGAATGAAAAGGCGATAAACTTCATGATGACCCCTGCACCGATCACAACCAGGCAGCCAACTAGCCGTGTGGTGTCTCTGCGCCGTGGTGTTTCAGTCTAGAGCAAGTTCAGCCGACAGCCCTTCCCCCCCCCCAACAGAGCGCTACGGACATAATCTCCGGAGAGCCAGCCAGCCATTCAGTCGCATGACCGCCCTGTAGAAGAGTTTGTCGGCGTGGAGGCAATGCGAGACGAGAGAGAGAGGGACCTGGACATGGACAGGGGGTAGAGGCCTCTCCCGCAAGCTGATTCGACCGCCGGAGGAAGCACGTTTGAGAGTCTAAGTTTAGCCCATACGACACCTGCCATCCGAGACCCGCAGGCAGGGGAACGCCCAAAAAACGAAAAAGCAGCCGAAATTCAGGGCTGATGGATGGATGGGTGGGAGGTTCGGTTCGGTTCGGAGTGGTGAAAACAGACTAGTTTCCACCGAGATGGTCCAGGGCTTCCCGGGGGGCCACGAGACGGGGTTGATTGAGACTTAATGTGTACAGTGTAACTGTGTAAGTGGCCACAAGCACCACTAAACAAACATTGACGTTGATTAAGCTTAGATGCTGGCTTTCCAGCCCGTGCCGTGAACTATACGGCATGGAAGAGAGAACCCAGCGTTCGCCAGCACCAACAACTCCCCTCTCTCTCTCGTCGTGCACTCGTTGCACTCGTTCCATTAATCGACTGTGCAAATCCCGACTTGTCTGACGTAGCCAGGTTGGCCCTCCCGCCCCCGCATGAGCCCAACGTCCATTAGAAAGAAACCGTCAAGAAGAGACGAGCTGCCACATCGCCAAGCGGCGCCAATGCAGATGCATCTCGAAGAAAACAGGCATGACCAGCCGCCCCGCGTGTTGTGCACTGCAAAAAACCGCTGCTTACACCCTAGCTGTGAGGCTCTCTCGTAAGGGGGAGGGGGGGGGGCTGCTCGACGAGATTCCCCTTGGCGAGCTTGGCGGTGCGGAACGTGGGAGAGGAGGCAAGCCCATCCGTCCTAGTGGTCTTATGTCGGGTTTCATGATACCGCAATTCTTGGCAAAAGGTGGTCGACTTTTGCCCTTCGTCTAAAGGAACGAAGAGACATCCCCCTGTGTTGACCACGAGACTCGCGGATCGGGGAAGCGTTCGCCGGGGACATATAACCTCGTTGGTCTCCGTGCCTGCACCGTTTCCCAGTACTGTTTCTTCCGTTGCGCGCTTATTCATTCCTTCTCTTTTCTTGATTATTCATTAACCAAACTCGCCTTGTTCTCTTCTCTTCGCGGCCAGTCCGTCCGATTTTACAACGAGCCCGACTGCGTCGGTCCTCTATCCCTTCCTTTTCTATTCCATCACGCCATCCCGTTGCATCTTTCACCGCCGCAATGAAGTTCTCGACATTGGCCCTCTTCTTCTCTTCCCAGCTGCTGCTGGCGACCTCGCTGCCCCTCTCCGCCAACCCTGCGACCAGCCTAGTCCTCCGGAACGACGCCCCGGTGGCGGGCTTGGGCATGGCGAAGCGGGTGCCCGCCGAGGCCGCTCCCGGCAAGGCCGAGGAAGAAGCCAAGGAGGGCGCCGAGAAGGGCGCCGAGGAAGAAGCCAAGGAGGGCGAGCAGGAGCTCGAGGGCCAGTTCACCGTCGCCTTGCGGCTGGGCGGCGCAAACGTCAAGCAGGACATCCTCTTTCCCCCCGGCGTAAGCAACAACACCCACCAACACGCATCCCTTCCCCTTTGAACCGACGCGGCGAACTGACATCTCTCCCCGCTTCCCCCCCCTTCCAGACCAACGGCCGTCTCGAAGTCGAGTTCCAAAACTCCGTCGGCCGCACCCTCACCGTCACCGAGAACAGGAGTCCGGCAGCCGCGCCTCCGGGCTTCGTGGCCGTCGAGCCCGTCTCCTACAGCATCAACCTGGCCGAGGGCGCCCAGGGCCTGACTCTGTCCAAGGTCGACTACATCATCAATCCCGGCAGTGAGTTTCCTCTTTTTTTGCTTTCTCTCTTTCTCTCTTTCTCTTTTTATTTTTCTTTTTCTTTTCCTTCTTCTTCTTCGACCGGACTTGACCCGAATGGGATGGATGCCTGTTGTGCAACGTGACTGACACTGACACCCCCGCAGACGCGTTGGACATCAGCAAGGGACAAATCGGCCGCCTCTTCAAGGAGATCAACGCCTTCATCATCGACCCCGCCCTCGGCGAGCTCGAGTTCGAGGCCGAGGAGAACGAGCTGACGCTCACGGTCGCCAACATGAACGGCGAGTTCGCCATCTTCGTCCCGCAGGCCGCTGCGGCCGCGCCTCCGGCCGCAGCGCAGGCATAGACGTCTGGAAGGGGGAGGGAGGAGGGAAGCCAAGGAAACAATCACGTCCTCAAGGGCGTGGTAGCAGGCTGTCTGGGCTAGTGTGTGTGTGTGTGTGTGTGTGAGAGAGAGACAGAGAGAGAGAGAGAGAGGGCGACGAGATGGAAAACTTTTGCCGAATTCCTTATTTTAATCCACATCAAAACACTTTTTTTCCACTTCGCCTTCAACATCTTACCTGAGGTTGCCTCTTTCCGCTTGGATGAGATCGAATACGAGACGGGCTCAACTGGTGAGACTTGATACTGGGCAACCAGTATGTCTCACAAGCTGGGTTCCAAGTCCACAACGCCTCCTGACCATCGTCGCATTGAGTCCATCTAGCTTGATCGCCACATCTTGACGCTCTTCATCTTCAGAATTCGAAAATTTCCACACACACTTGATGGCATCAATTAGGCGAGCGACAGCACGTCATCGAGGCTAATCCATGCGGATAGCCCGAGTGTCTGGATTCCATGCAAGTTTGAAAATGGTCCAAGTCTGTGCTGTACAGACACCATACCTATTGTAATGGCCATCCAAGCATCATGTTCTTTTGGCTACCAAGCTTCTCCAACATCCTACGGGTCGGCGGGCACGGCAACATGTCCATCTGCCAAGGATTGACGGCATCTTGGCTTGAGTTGGTAACGACAAGCCTACAACTCGGCCTTTTACTGCCTGGTTGGGTTGTGCTAGCCGTGGCGACTGTTGCACATGCTGCTATTTATTGGGCCGAAAAAGCCAGCGTCTCGTCATCTCAGCATTTCCCGACAGACCTTCAGCCTGTCACTGGCTTCCCTCAACAACTCCGAATGAGACTGCTCCAATCTCGTCTTCAGCAGGTCCAGCAGTTCCGGCAACCTCTCGTTAAGGTCTCGGGTCGCTTCGTCGGTAAGCTCCTCCAAGCTCGCAAAGTGCGCCAGGTACCGAGCAATCTCGCTATATCTCCCGGGCGGCGCGTTCCTGCTGGGTATACCCAGCGCCTGCACAAAGGACCAAATCGTCAGGGCCGCGTAGTACATGATCCACGGCCGATGGGGGTCCGCCTCGCTGTGGCACGAGTAAAAGACCGACACGGGTTCCGGTAGGGAGCCGAAGCTGCTCGTCCGTCGCTTGGGTCCCCTATGGTCGACGAGGACACGATATAGGAGCTTGAAGGCGTGGAGGACGGCGTGGCGGGTTGACGGGGCGTTGGACCAGGTCCGCATTCGCGCAACCGCGTTGGAGTGGTCGCGGGTGGAGACTTTGCGACCGACGAGATATTTGGCTCCGGCGTATACCTGGCAATCGACAATGTCCACATGGAGGCTGATGTGTGCCAAATGATGGAGCACGGCGGCTGATTGGATCGGCCCGTTCGAGCTCGACGGCTGCCCTGGATCTTCGGACGTGTCGTTCGCTCCCGCGGCGCTGTCGAAACTCTCTTTCCACTCGTCGAACGCACGGAGAAGAATCTTTTTCCACCCATCGTGCGTCTCCGTGCTAGGTGTGCGCAGATCGAGCCACTTGAGATGGGATTCCCGGTGGGATAGATGCCACCCTACGCTGAGCAGGCCCGACATGATGATCATGCGCCCAAACGTGTGCGTCTTGACTTCCTGGCCGTGCAGGGCACTTTTCAGCCCGTCCAGGAAAGACACCTGCTTAATGCCATACATCCTGTAGTTCCCGTCGAGATGGCGGAAGGCATCAGGAGTCGGCGCGGTCCAGAGGCCGTCGTCACACGGCAGTGGGAGCCGGATCTCGTGAGGGGCCATGTTGGCAGCGTGTCCAAACATGGCTGCGTGAACCACGTCCATCATGAAGGCTGCGAAGACAACGCGGTACATCGACTCGCTCTCCGCCCACCTGACCCACCATGTTCTCGAGTCAGACGACACCCCGTCGTTGGCTGTAGGAGCTGCTTCTTCTGGGGGCGATTCACTGCCTCCTTTCCCGATCAGGGGGCTACCTCTTCTCAAGAGGGTCAAAGTAGCCGAATGGTAGATGTGTGCCCTTTCGTGCATGCGCCTGGATGAGAACATCTTCTCATAAAACTCGAGCAACAACAGCGACTGGGCGATGTATAAGCCCACTGGGGGCGAGGCCTCCTCGGCGGTGAGGATTTCCCATCGAATGCTAGAAATGATGACATCAGCAAACCCTCCATATTGTTCCAGATTGCCCGTCGAGTCCCTGCTGCTGAGAGATGCGGCTCCAAGCGCAATCATGACCATCAACAAAAAGATGGGACAGCGGTTGGATGAAAAGGTTGGCTGATGTATGATGGGCAGCCTCGGCGAGACATTCTTCCAGTACTCTTTCAAACAGTCCCTCATCATGTCCAGGTTCAGAGCAGGCAGGTCTCCGCCGCTCTCTTGCACCAGGCTCACGATACGCGGCTCGTACTTGGGCTGCTTCTGTCGGAAAACCTGAAACCATCGAAGGATCTCTTGCCGGCGATGCTCGCCGATGAGTCCATCACTGACTTCCACTTGGCGTGGCGGGGTAGAGTCCAGCTGCGACCGGCTCGTGAGGGAGTCGTAGTCATAGTGGATGTTGTTGTTGAATGTCGACTCGAGGCCGCCTTCAAGAAAGGGCAGATTGGCGACACCGTTGAGCTCGGCGAACGTCGCCTGGGGGTCGAACAACCACATGGCAAAGTTCTCCCTTGACAATGCCTCGTTGGACTCAAAGCCAACCGAGGTAAAGGGCGGCATGATTGGCGGCGCTTCGGACAGGGACGCCTGCTTCGGGCGCATGATATCGACAGCCATGTCGTCGATGGATGGCCATGTGGACGGCTGGCCGATCCTCGTCACCTGTTGGGCCATGGAGAGGTTTGGTGCGGCCATCGTCGGAGCGGGCGTCGCGTTCGTGTCGGGAGTGAGAAGAATGGCGGCGTCATGAGGCCCACCGGACGAAGGCAAGTGGAACGTCGTCCGAGGCGGAACAGCCGAGGTGGGCGATGAGACTGCTGCGGAGGCGACAGAAGTGCCGAAGCTGGGGGCGCGGTTCCGCGGTATGTACGAGGAAGAATGGCGCTTCCTGTGTCGCGAGAGCAGGTCGGCGCGGACGAACTTTTGGTCACAACCTGGGATGTCACAGACAAAGATGTCTTTGGGGTTGTCTGATGAGTCGCGTCAGTCGCGTCAAGGGTGACTAAGGTAACCCATCTCGGCGTAAGGTCTCACGGTTCAACTGGTGTCTCTGAAGGTGCTCCGCCCTCGAGTACAGCTTATCACAGCCCGGATGATCGCAAGGGAAGCGACGCGGGGCGCCCTTGCGACTGGCGCGTTTGTAGTTGGGCCCAGCACCGCCATGCTGACCGGAAGATGGGAGGCTCGCCATCAAGCGCAGTTACGGGAGCATCGTCGGCTGTTCTGTCTGGGTCGTCATCCGGAGGCAATGAGATGCTGTTCGGGTAGCCTTAGAAGCCAGACAGCGCACTCCTCATCCGTGAAAGGAAGTGGTTTGCGCCAAAGATGTCGCGATGGCTGGTAAGATTGTTTCCGACGGTGCGAATTGGGATGAGACGGGGATCGGGTTGATTGGCAAAGTTTCGCCTTAGGCGCCAGGGACCAACGCGGGGCGAGATGAGGGAGCTCCTTCCCCTTCTCCACACATCCCTGTGTTGGTCTCTCCTACCAGGAACGGGAAACATGGAATGAATGGGGAAGTTGCCCGTCCCCCACGCGCTTACTAAGCCACCTGTCTGAACTACATTGTATTTACCTATTACCTAAGGTAGCAAGGTAGGTAGCAGAATGTATTAAATACTGTGTCATAGTAGGGTGCATACAATATAAGGCGTTAATTACTGCCTGCAATTAACAGCGTCGTTTTTATGACAGTTATAAGCCTAGTTATCTACAGCTGTTGTGCCTTAGTAGTATAAGTGTGGCTTTAGCGTCTAAGCGTTATACCTAGACCCTGTAGGTTTAAATACTACATAGGCTATAGACAGGTTGTAATAAACTCCTACTAGATAAGTTGGACAGTAACTATAGAAGGGTTGTAATGAGTATCTACCCTAGGGAGTGTAACCTAGGGGGGCTAAGGGCTTCCCTGTTAATCTAGTGATTATGAAGGCAGTCAGACTAGACAGATAGAATCTCTGCAATCTAGGGGGGTGTGTCGTAGTGGGGTGCACACAATATAAGGCGTTAATTACTGCCCACAATTAACGGCGTTGTTTTTGCGACATACCGGCAATAGGACCAGAAGGTTAGTCTGGGTGCCAGGCGGAATCCTACACCAATCTCCCCGGCACACGGATCGCGCCATACAGCCGCCCTCTGAACTCATTTTAAGACATGGGTGACAATAATCGCGAAGCGACTGGCCATGATCTCAAGCAAGTGACACGTCCGACTTCGCCCACGAGATACGGCTACACCAAACAGCGACATGCGTGTTTGCAGCTGAGCAATCGCAGGCCGTTGGATGATGACCTGAAGGCGAGACACCACTAGTGCGAACTATCGTCTTTTGTCCTACTGGGGAATTCCCAACGAGCAGGGTAGCAACTGAGACTAGACGTTTCGGCAAGGCAAATCTTTGAAGATTCCCCAACGTCCTCAGTCTACCTAGTTTACGTAATTAGCCTAGTTGACGTGGTTGCAACCATACCTCGATTAGGGTGACAATCTCCGTCTTATGCAAGAGAGGAAAAAAAGGATATTACTATAAAAACATGTTTGTTGGCCGAGCAGCATTGGCAACAGCAGAGGTGAGTTTCTCGGATATGAAGTAGTCAGAGTTTATAATATATACTATGTAAAATTGTAAATGATGATTTGAGAAATTTGGCCTCTCTATCATTCAACGTCTTTGCCATGCAACATGGCTCACAGATCGTCAGGTCTCCTGCCGGTTTTTAAGTGCATCCACCACTAGCACCTTACTTCCTCCTTTGTATCACCACTCACAGGATCTGGCGGAGTTCTGGACACGGAAGTCGACGGAGAGGCCCGTGTCACCATGTCCGCTGCAAATCCCACCGGTGCTAAGAAGGAGTAAGCAACAACTCTGACTGACATTACTATAGCAGGCAGGGGAGGCGTAGAAGGGTCGATGCAGGGCAACTGTAGGATAACACAGCGGGAGAGGGGCAAGTATGCTCACCAAGATGACTTTCCACCACAGCACTTGTCCCGAACATATCCCATGCCCCAGCCCACCTCCCATTCCTTGACGTGGGTGTTGTCAGAAAGGTACATGTTGATAGCGCAGACTTTGGCGGTGCCGATACTCCATGAGATCGAGGACCACGCAGGCAAATAGGCCAACTTTTCGGGGTTGTAATTCTGCAGCTGTCGCTGGAGCTCGTTCGCATCAGCTGTGTTGTAGGACCCAAAGCCGCCGCCACACTTATCGGCACGCTTCTCGAGGCCAGTGGCCGGAAGCTCGCTTTGGGGGGCTGCGGTGGACTTGGGCCGGGCGAGAGGGAATGGGCCATCCTGGATCATTTCAGGCGTAGAATGGGCCGCAGAAGATTCCAAGGGGATCGCGTTGGTAGCCAAAGCTCCCAAAGCGATGGTGAGTAGTGGAGAGAGATGCATGGTGAGAGGCTTGGTTTCGAAGGGATGGAAAACCTAGGATGATTGATGAGTGAGGATGCAGTCGATGGGGACGGCGCGGTGCAGCTATTTAAAAGGAGTTTTGCCAGATGTTCTTTCACGGGACCCGCGGTGTCGTATGTTACTATTCGCAATCATCTCCGCATCAGGCAGCAATAACGAGGGGATCGTCAAAGGTAAACCCCGTATCAAGTTTACCGCTCCTATATTGAGCACCACCACCACCACCACCACCACATGGTCAAGAAACTGCACATTCTCAGTCAGCCACCAAGAGCTGAATGGCGGTATGAACTCACGGAGATTGGAACCAAGACTAAGTCGGAGAGGCTAGCCGAAGATGTCGACTTTGAACGTGTTGCTGAATAAGTTCAGGTGGATAGGGTGGGTAGGAAAGCAAGGATTCGTGCTAAACGCCGTCAGTGATGATGGGTGATTGGCTGAATAGTTCCCAAATAGGCACCTTGACTCTCATGACTTTTTTGAATAGGTCGGTCTAGGCAGGGCCCACTGTAGACTGACCTGGGCTTTCACTGGCTGGGTTTCGCATGGGTGCTTACACATATATCATAATGATATGGGGATGGGCACCAGGCAGCTGCCAAGCCTTATTGAATTCTCTTTCTGTAACGGACTTTGTGAAAGGAGTTAGTTTAAACGAGAAAGTAGACTAGTTAAGAATAAAATGGTTATATATTTACTGGTCGTCAAGTAGCAGAATCACTTCATCACTCAAGCAAGCCCCTCTCATCACTGCCTTGCAACAGAAGACTAAGCTATCATTTCGACATGCGTCCTCAATCTGTTCTGGCAGTCATTGCCTCAGTCGTCTGCTCTGCGGCTGCGGTTCCTGCTGAAGACCATCCGGAGTCTGCCTTTTCTGGTCCTTTCAATATCACCAATGCAGCGGAGACGGACTCATTGTTCGCTCTCGACAAGCGAGACGACTGCGGCACCAATGGTCCCCTATTCAGCAAGGACAGCATCAACAACCTCATTCGGGACCTTCAGAACAACAACCCGGATGGGATGACTTACGTCCCTCACAACAACCTCGTGAGCTGGTCAAACGGCGACGCTCAGGTTTGCGTCAAGAACACTTATGCTTTTGAGAACACCCACGTCAAACGGTAATTTCGTCCAAGCCTTTTCGTGAAAAGCTTACTAACACACATTTCAGGTGGGAAGTTGGTTGGGCTGTTGGGTACATCCGCGATATGTGCTGCACTGCTTCGGGGAACCCACAATGGTAAGTTTCTTTCTTTTCTTTCTTTCTTCTTCTTTTAGATGAAACTTTCTACAGCAGAGTTGAACTAATCTTACAACAGCGAGGGAGGTCAGGCTTTGGCTCATGGTGACAGTGGTCTGGCACTTGTTGTGTATCTGCGCTCCAAGTCTCGCAGTTGTGGCGCAAACACGAACTAAGACATATTGGGGACTGAACCTTGTAGAGCAACCTGATGCTAGTGAAGCATAGAAACACAGCAAATTTGAACGCTTATATCTCGTCCTTTGAATACTATGAGTGAAGTTCCGATTGATGTGGCGGCCCTGTCAATAGACCCCTTGCCCCGGGTCTACCACGCCGGCGAGGTCTTTGCACATGATGGATGCCGCCCGAAGAACGTGGTTGTCGACATAAATTGTTCTTCTGAAAGCCTATGTCCATGGATTATGCATGTAGGCATGCAAATCATTGAATTGCCTCAGGAACCTGAACTATCCCTTTGAACAAGAGCGCTAGCTAGGTATTCTAGTGTTGCTGCTGCATCACCTGGATCTGGTTCTTGGCCTCCATCATGCAGTTCCGCTTGAATGTTGAATGCCTCCATCTGCTCCGGCGGGATGCTCTCTACAGCACTGCCCCATTGTGCTGCGAGATTAGCAATCTGCTTGTTGTAGATCGCTTGTCCTTGGATTTTGACCTGGTTCGTAAGCGCATTGTTTGTCGCCTGTTGCTGCAGGAACTGTTGCTGCTGCTGCGGCGTCATATGTTGCGGGTTCATGTCGTCGTTCATCATGTTACCCATGCCGTTCTGCATAGCTGCCGCCATTTCGACCGGTGGTGAAGTGGAGCCGATCCGTTCAGTCAATAAGTCAATATACGCCATTGCTTTGGTGTCTATCATGTTGGTGTGAAAATCAAGCTGTTGCTGGTGTTGATTCTCTAGCACCGGTAATGTCTCAGGGACTGATGCTGGTTCCGCTTTTGGTTGTCGGTTGCGCTGGTGATTACGTAGACGTCGGTCGTCGAGAAGGGAATCCAACGTCATTGTAAGGACATCCCGCTTCTAGGCATCTGAGTCGCCCTTGGTGACGAGCCTGGTGCTCTTTCAGAATTGACGCTGATGAGAACCCAATAATCGCTCTTTCGCATCCTCCGGCGGAGCAGACAAACGCGAATTGCTTGAGTTCTTGTTTGAAGGAAATCATATCGGTTTGTGACAGCCCAGGATATTGATGAGCAAGAAGCTGGAGAACAAGATTATGATAGGCGTCCCGAATTAGGGGAAACGTGTTCAGATCCTCGTCACCTTCTTGGGCTTCTATTGGCATGTCAGCTATATCTTTCTAGGATGTGATTGTGGCAGCAGATGTCTTGCTATAGACATGCTGCGCCATTCATCTACCTGTGGTGGCGGGTAATGGTACCCAACTGACGCCAAGGCAGACTCCTACAGGCAGACTCGAATTTCGAACCTGATGAGCCTCCATAGCTCCATGACTTGAGGACATTCTCCAGAGATACAAGACCTTGAATTAATACACCGTCTTTTGATCATTGCCTCAGTTATTGTCCTTGATATTAGCCTGCTGGTTTACTCAGCCAGTACTTCGGGGAATTGGTCCCCAAATAACTCTATAAGCAATAATCAGCCTGGCCCCGGCCCCTGGCAAACCTCATTGCCATGGACGATGACCATCGTCCCGTCAAACGAGCGCGACGTCACGACGAACACTCGTTGTACGGGGAGGAGACACAACCTTGGCTTTTGCCTCTGGCACCGGAGAGCACAGTCGAAAGCTCTGCGAGACCGTATCATCCCTAAGATCTACCCGCTACCGGCGCCTATGATGGAACCTGGTTTCATGACGACGACTTTTTTCAGTCACACCTGTCGGGATCGATCTCATTTGGTCCGTCGACTTTGCCACAATACGCCAGCCACCACCCTTCAACAAACATGAACCCAGACATAGCCTTTGATGCGCAACAACTTGGCGAACCAGTTCCTCGCAATTCCCACTCAGCAGAACTCGTTTATGGTAGTGAAGGGTTTGCAACATCATATGTTCTCTCAAAACAGGAGTGTTGCCAGCTTTCCTGCAACGACCCCAATCGACAAAACACTCTGAACTTCATTCATGCTATTCATCCTTTGAGCGTTCAGAGTCCGCTAGACAAGATAACAACTCTCCCTCATTATTTCCTTTTGCAGTGACAGAGAGTGAGGAACTCATTTGCTTTGGAATGGTAAGCTGATTTACTCATCAAGTATGAAAGTCGATGTAATTGAACTAAAAACATTTAGTTAACGACGCTGACCGCCCACGTTGTTGACCCACTGCCCCTAAGTAGATACAGAGAATCTGAAGCTCCCATTCACCTGCAAGGTGATCGGAGCTTGGTATTTTCTGACTCGGGGCTAAAGTGTGGGAAGATCGAATCCCGTGACAGCCAATTACTCCAGTTACTTACGAATGAAGGTATTGAATTTGACTTATTATATCTTCATCGAGACCACCACCTGTCGCCTGACTCCGTGTCAATATTGGCCACAATATACGGGCCTCGTGAAAAGGCCAAGAGTCTCGGGGTAGTTTTGCAAAGCTTGGATTATTACTTGCAAGACCCCAAATTCGCTGTCAGAGACTTGGAGTATTTTAACCCACACCGCTTTGCAAATACTCCGGATGCTCGGGCAACAGACTTCCGCACTACGATACCCCTCGGTGAAAGTCTTACTTCCGAAGATGAAGCTGTTATTTCTGTTGCAATCCTGGACACATTTACAACTCAGTTGTCGTTCCCTACTCAGCTCGTAGACCCACCTTACCTTCTCACGCAACTCAAAAGGTACAGTTCAGGGCTCAATAAATGGCTGAAAGGCATTTGCTAACTACTTGTAGTCATCAGAAGCAAGCCTTATGGTTCATGGTTCAACGTGAAACTGGTTGGAACATGGGTGAGCATGGAAAGGATGTCTGGTCTCAACAACACGATTCCCACGGGCAGGCAATGTGAGTTTAGAATGTGGAAGAGATTGTTTTTTCTTCTTCTTTTGTTTTCGTGCACTAATCTCTGGCGAGTCCAGATACGTTAATAACATTGATTCCTCGCTGCACTACTCTCCGCCCAAACCTTTCAGGGGCGGCATTCTTGCAGATACGATGGGCCTGGGGAAGTCTCTTAGCATGATTTCTCTCATTGCTCATGGAAAATACTTCAACAATTAGAAAGAGAATACTCCTTCTGGAAGTGGTACACTGTTAGTTCTGCCGTATTCTCGTAAGATCACCCAGCCCCTGTACCGCCAGACCGAAGCTGACACTGCAAGTTCTTCACAATTGGGAGCAGGAGCTACGCAAGTAAGTGATTCCATGTTCCCCAAACTATCTTTGATGTCAATTCAGATTAAAACTTTCCGTAGAAATCTCTCTGATAAAGATTTTGTTTGGCGACTCCATCATGCCCGGTCTCGAATCAAGGACTTCACAGTGCTGAAGGTCCACGACATAGTACTTACCACCTACAGTACGCTTGCCAAAGAGTGGCAGTCACCAGATGGGAACCATCAAATATTCTCCCATAAATGGCACCGTGTCATTCTGGACGAAGGCATGGGTAGATTTTGATCGAGATATTCACAAGAGTCGCTAATGTTTAATCGTGAACAGCCCACGAAATAAAAGACCCTAAGACTGCAAAGTCCCAGGCAGTATTTGAACTAAGATCACACCGAAGATGGGCTGTTACCGGAACGCCCCTTCAGAACCGGGTCTCAGATCTCTTCAGCCTCTTTCAATTTCTAGAGGTTTTCCCTTACTGCGAGAAAGACACGTTCAAAGACCACATTATCAGCCCCTGGTTGCGAGGAGAGGATGCCGGACATTTGGCCCTGAAAAGGCTGCTGGGTTACATTATGCTACGGAGATCTACAGGGACGATTGAGCTTCCGCCGCGACATGACATTCGACGAATGCTCTCTCTGAGTGCATCTGAGCAACAAGCCTATGACTTGGAAAAGGCAAAGACGATAGAGTATCTCGACGCTGCATTGGCTTCAGCAAAGCCGCGAGATGGCTACAGAAACGCGCTGGAAAAGGTTAACGCCTTAAGACTCATCTGTGAGCTTGGCTGTTACCGCAAGGAAAATAAGTTCAAGACTTTGGCACCCCAAAACGGTAGAGCTAGGTCTCGGTCGGCTCCTGGAACACCAGTTGGACCGTTGACGCCCATGACACCGACCGAGGAAGACGAAGACAACGACACAGGGCTAGACACCGACCTAGCTTGGAGGCTCGAGCAATGTTTCCCATCGTGTAGCGACTCTAAACGGAACGGTTTCCTTGCCTCTTCCCGTGGCCAGCCACGCACAGAATCAATTGGAACTATACCGCCGCATCTGTTGCCTACCAAGGTCAGGGCTCTATTGGTAGACCTCCAGCAGTGCAAAGAGGGAACGAAGAGGTAAGAATGGGCGTCAAAAAGCAACACCTCAGTTCTCCAAAGTATTGACAAGTAAAAGCGTCGTATTCTCATACAGATCCACCATCCTTGACGTAACAGCTGCGGCTCTCAACGATGCTGGTATAAGTTGGGTTCAAATTGATGGCAGGGTAGGCCATAGAAAGAGAAATAGCATCATCGAGACCTTCACGTCAACCACAGGCACTCAAGTTCTCCTTCTTTCCTTGGGTTGCGGCGCAGTTGGGTAAGAATTCCATACATGGCTTCTGTGCCGGCCGAGGGTCTTTCGAAAACTGAATGAAATGTGGTTGCTTACGGGTGAGTAGGCTCACTTTGACCGCGGCCTCGAGAGCGTACTTGTTGGAACCTCAATGGAACCCCGCCATAGAAGAGCAGGCACTGGCACGCATCCATCGCATGGGACAGAAACAAGAGATAACCACAATACGGTTTGTGATAAGCAATTCTATCGAAAAGGTTGACACTCAAAGCGCTTCACGTTTCTTCAAGGGGCAACTGCTGACATTGCGCATGTAGTACGTCTTGGATATACAGGACGGGAAGCGAGATCTTACGACCTTGCTTTTGAATGCCAAAACAAACACGGATGGTCAAGTCATGGGAAAATTGAAGGTGTGTTGAGGCATTTCCCATTTCGAACCATTGCTTAACGCATCGAGGCATACTGATGACGAAATGTCAAAAAGGAACTTCGCCAGCTATTACATTGACTCTTTTATTTGCTATGCTGCTATCTTTTTTAGAGGATATTGTTATTTCGGAGCCAGAGTTCAACGACGCAGGATACCGCATGTTATCAAGGCAGTAACCATAGTTCGGCTTGAATCTAGTCGAGCACGTGCATGCAGTCTTCATCGCGTGAATTTGATTCCTGGATAAGCGCCACCATGTTGATAAACGTTTCTAATGCACTCAGGAAGTTGATGGCCATGAAGTATATTCATAGCAACGCCAAGTCCGCTTCTATTCGCCCTTATGTGCATATGAAAGAGCTTTTGTTGCTGGTTATTTATCAGACAGGTCTTCTTATCTTTTGAACCAGATACAGTGGGGTGCCATAAGTCTCCTGACAGCCTATAGTGCACCACACAGAATTCACTAAACTTAGTACTTGTATATGATAGTATCTTAAAAGTCTTAGTGTATAAAGTATATATATTTTACTATATATAAGAGTCTAAGTTACTATATTATAGCTCTATATCTAGTTATAACTTATATTTTTAATATAAAATTTAAGTACTAGAGTTAAGTAAAGTAAAGTCTTAAGGTGTTAAAAAAATAAGTAGATAGATACTAAGATAAGTAGTATATTTTCTGTAGATAGTTTAAGTTATAATTTTAACTTGTCTAGAGAGTATAATCTTTATAATTAAAGAATGCCTATTTTGGTGAAAAGACTGTGGGCTGTCAGGAGACTTACGGCACCCCACTGTGTAAGGGGTTTTGTCTACATACGCGCCAAGATTAGGGAGGATTTATTCCAACAGGGCGTTCGTTTTCGCTCGTTGTTGCAAAGAAAACACCAATCTTGAGTTGTCCAAAGTCATGTCTTCTCCGCTTACGTTGTCAAAATTTCTCCTGTTCTTGTATACTCTCTTCCCACTCACGCTCGCTATCCAGAATGAGTGAATAGATGAACCCAGCCCCCCTACGGAATACCGTTCCGGGCCCTATTCGCGATCCTCTTCAGCGCAACGGAATCCTTCTCAATCTTCTTAAAGTCAGCGCGGTGGGCCGCGGCCGCCGGGCCGAGCACCTCGAGTAGCCGCACGCTCGGCATCCCGTACCGGCCCTTCGGCTTCCCTGGCACGCGGTCGTACCGCCCGTTGCGCACCGTCACGTTGTCGTCCGTGTACCTGTGCAGCTCCGCCGGGATCCCCCTCGCGTTGCCGCCGCCGCCGCCGCCGCCGCGCGCCTGGTGCTCCAGCACCTTCATCAGGTCCACCCACACCACCCGCGCCGGCGTCTCGATGCACAGCGACTCCATCGCCCGCCGCGTCTCGCGCAGGTCGTACCCCGCGATGCACACCGTCACGTACTCCTTCGCCAGCGTGTCGAACGTCAGCGCCGCCTTGAGCCGCGCCTCCTGTGTGCACACGTCGAACCGCTCGTACGACCGGTGCTCGAAGTAGCACGGCTCCGGCACCGACCACTCGTTCCCCTTGGCTCGCTTGGGCTCGCGCGTCTTCTGCTGCTGCTTCTTCTTTCTGTCAGGGCTCCCCGGCGCGGGCTGCTCGAGGGGCAACAGGGTCTCGACGGTCAGGACGGAAGAGTTCATGTAGCTAGGGAACCTGAAGTTGTCGGCTAGTTCGCATGTCGCGATGGCGACCTTTTGGCTCTCCCAGCATTCTGCTAGTTTGGCGTTCTCGTCAGCGCAGTCCTCGGCCCTGCGGAGTTCGGCCTCGGTAAGAGGGCGCTTCAGTGATTGTGCCATGGGTACCGACGGGCCTCCGGCTGTGCAGATGCTGCTTGACGTTGAGAGCGTGGATATAATGCAAGTACGGGTTGGAAATCCGACCGAAATTTTGGTTTAATTTGCCGGTGCTACAGAAGAGCAAAGTGAAGCGTGCCTTGTCGTTGTTCTGGTTGTTCTTGTTCTTCTGGATAAGCCCAAACATTGCGGATGCAGCCGCATCAAATAGCTCGCCGGACACCGCGAAACGCATGCTACGATTGGCGGGCTGCCTCCGCGCAGAGTCACACCGAGCGAAGCATAACCCTGGGTCCGCGATGCGGTGGCTGTGTGTCCAGTCCAGCGATGGAATGCCATGGATGCGCCGCCGGAGCAACATGCTATTCTCAAACCAGCATCGGGTACGGAGTACAGGCGACGGCATCCGGCCCCAGAACCCTTGATGCGGGAACACTCCTGTACTGGACGGGTGGCGTCAACTACCTTCTGGCAAGCCCACCCCCGGTAGCCCTGCAAGCCGAAGTAAAACACACAGGGTTACACCGCCGTGTGACTGACTCGGGGGCACTCTTCGGGGCTCGGTTCTAGGAGTCTTGGTAGCGAACAAAGAAAAGACGAAGATTACACCGAGCCTATTCTTGTGCAAAGTGTTGGACATACCCGATAAACACTCTGATCTGAGGTTTCATAAGCTCAGCCCACCCAGTACAGGGGGGTTGAAGAGTTGTAGTACCTATATTTCCACAGTATACTTTTCAAGTGGGCCAGTCAGCATAAAGCATTTCGACGTTGACAATATACTTACAGCGTCTACGGACACATCTACAACTCCCAAGATAAAGAGACCGGCTTATCGTTACTCACCAGCTTTCAGTTTCAGTCTGCCACCAAGCTCCTTAATCCTCTATTTCCAAAGTCTCATTTTTCAACTGTCGATCATACATCTGGACCGCCTCACTCCACCAGCCCGTAGTGTGTTGATTCATTATCATTTCGTTCCTTACAGTCCCTCTGGTCTCCATTATGTCCGGGGGCGGCCGTGTCGAGGGAAGTATGAAGTACGTAGGTTGTAGACCCCAAGAGCCATGCAGGGCTCACAGTCTGGCCCTTTTCCCCGTTGAATGTGTATTGATATCTTGGATGCTAGTGAGATTCAAAAAGACATCAAGGGTGAAAGTCGGATTAGAAATGGATGAAGGTAAGGGCTCTGCACCATCTTCTCGAGCTGATTCCCTTATGAAGCTCTTGGTTTCTTAACGCTCCTCACTACACTTTCACCGTGGAACCCAAAGATCAAAAACAAAACAAAAAGGCCCGAAAAATGACGTTCACTCGTTTTGATTTTTTTGATTTCTTTTCGTTTCAACTCATAAAAGGCTCAGTTATGAAGCTTTGCTGCCCTCCCCGGCCTTCTTCTCCTCCCCCTCGCCATCGTCCTCGATCTCGACCCCCGCCGCCGCGCCGCTGAGGCCCTCCTGCTGGTTGCCGCCCTCCATCTTCTCCGACTGCGCTAGGAACCAGTCCGCCACCTCCCTCTTGCCGTTGAAGAGCGCCGAGTCGAGCGGGATCTGGTCCTTGTCGTTGGCCGCGGCCGGCGAAGCGCCGCTCGCCACGAGCAGCTTGACGACCTCGAGGTGGCCACCCAGGCAGGCCCAGTGCAGGCCCGTGTTGCCGAACTCGTTGGCCGCGTCGACGTAGGCCTTGCGCTCGTCGACGGGGCGGGAGTCCAGGGCCGCGATGAGGGCCTTGACGACGTCTGATGGGTGTCAATCCGAGGTTCTTCTCTTACGGTGACAAGATCGGGCGTGATAGAACATACCGATGTGGCCGTTGCCCGCAGCCATGTGCAGGCAGGTCGACTTGCCCTCGTCCTTGGCGGCGATGATGACCTCGCCGACGGAAGCGTTTTCGCGCTCCGACAGGGACTGAAGCGTCTCCTGAAGATCGACGAGCTCGCCGGCTCGCGAGAAGTAGATCAGATCATCGATCTCTTCTTCCGAGAGTTTGGGGGCCATTTTCGGTGGTTTTTGTGAGCGCTGTTTGAGGGCCTGAATGAGTCTTCAAGCAAAGTAGAAATTTTCGAGTAATGTGTGTGGAGGTACAGTGTGTAAACTAACATCGCGCACTACGCACAGTCTTCTGCCATTTGTTTAGGTGAATCAGAGCGACGTGCCAGCCAAAGTGAAGTCTGCACTAAATGGGCCAACCAGTATCTTACCGGGAGCCAAAACCATCCGGGCGGCTCTAATTAGTGAATAAGTGATCCCCCATGTTTCTGTCAAGCCAACTCGACATGTCACCGGCGTCATCCACGGCTTGAATCTCGGCCTTGATACTCAGAAACAACATCACCTGCAGCTCCCGTCTGCACATAATGTCGCAATCAGCGCCGTCTTCTCCAATCTCCATGATAATCCTGGCAGCTGATTTCCTATCCTTTTTTGTCAGAGAGCTCGAGTGCTCGAACAGGCTCGTTCTAGGTGATCTTTGGCTGCCAGCAAGGACCTGTACTTGGGAGTAGAGCAGGCCCGATTGAGGGGCAAGGTCGCCGCTCTTGATGCCGAGCCATGAAATGCTGGAGACGACTGTGTTTCTTTCGTGTGCATGGCCACGCGAGCCATGGCTGTAACAGCGCATGATGGCAATGCCATCCGAATCGTAGTCCACAAGGGCCATGATTGGAAGCTCTGGCTTCACGTCATGGATGAGGTGGAGGAATTGCTTGGTGAGCAAGTCTGGATAGCCTTTGCCCTGATTTGAGTGTTAGAAGAGGGGGCCTACTAATCGAAGTTGAGCTGAACCCAGCAGGATCTACACACCGTGACAAGAATGCCGCTTCCGCAGGTAGATGTCTCCCAGTATCTAGCGGCGGCCAGCGTACGAAACGTTGCCTTTGAAAGTCAGAGGGGGTCCGGGAGAAGAAGGGTATGGGGTCTTGCGTCTTTTTCAATGACTAGCACCCATCGCGCGTGGCCGAAGTCAATCTGGGAGATGTCCCTTGCCGGAGGTATGAGGACCCCCTGAAAACTCGTTAGTAAATCTACCCACACAAAGTATGGCACCACCCGGCAATCGTACGGCTGCGCTCGAAGATGCGTCGAGATTGGGTGGCGCCTCCGAGGACGAATTGAAAGCGTGATGGGTCTTTGCACGAATCAGAATCGGACCTGCGACCAAGCCTTTACCAGTAGCAACCTATTCTCAGAGTGAGAAAGTACTAATTATCGGCGGCATGGGGCCTACCTACGATACCAAGGTCCTCCCGACCAAGCCCGAGGGTGTAGGCTAGATCATCAACGAGATTGTCGACGACGCTTTGCTTCTTGAAAAGATCCTCATCTTGATAGTAGATGTTCCTAGGCCCTCTTGCCTTTAGCAACGCGGGAAGCAAGCAAACGGAAGGGTAGCGATGACAAACCTCTTGGTGATGGTGCGGCCTGCCATGAGGGCGCAGAGAGACATTTGGAGGATCCGCATCAATCGGCCTACATGATAGAAATGTCAGAAGACCGTTACCTCTAAAATGCCCACTCACGCACTGAACTTGGTGGCTTCGTGGACCGTCCGGCCAGGAAAGCGAACAGCAGACCGGGGAGTTCGAGAGCGGGCTTGGTCGGCTGCTGATCGACTAGCCGAAGAGGGGCGAGATCTGTAGGGAATAGACATCTCTTCATTTCTAGACAGTGACTCTCGGACGGCGACGAGAATGTCTTCCAGCTTGGCGATGGCAGCCCCTGTGGTATTCTGCTGAGGATCATGATCAGGGATGGTCACCACGTTGCTTGAATGACTGAGGTCGGGTGTTAGTCGGCCCTGCTGGCGGCCGTTGATCATCGGAGATGTAGCATAGTCCATAGAGAACGTGGTCCGAAGAGCCCGCGGTGTGCGTAAAAGGACAGATACAAGACGCCCCGTACGCTGCGGTGATGTGTCTTCTCGGCTTGGACCTGGAGAGATGTCACGATCAGGAGAATTACACTGGCGCCGAACTTGGAGGTGGGCAAGTCGGTCCCACATCGAAGCCCCATTGACAAATGAACCGTTGGTTGCTCAGCGCTGATCAGTTCTTGTCTTGGACTGGGACTTTTGGAAGGATCGGATCGCCCACGGGTACCTACGTACCTGTAGCTGTAGGTACCTGCCTCAGGAAAACGATGGGTGCCAGACGGTGCTCCCTTCAGAGGTCGCTTATCTTATCGGCAAGTGCCTATAAGCTTCGACCATCCGAAACCCCTAAACTCAATATTTAAAAGCTGTAAGGGTCTTCGTCAATCTACCTTATTCCACCAGTGTGAAAGGTTACAACTCAATGGAACTGGGGTCGGCTTGGCAAATGGCAAAACTTCTGTGTAGCTCGACTTCGAAATTGCAAATAGTGGTGCGTCTGTACCTAGTTCGTGTTCCGATAGGTTTTAGCTAATCACATCTCTCCAATGGGATAGGTACGTACCTAGGTAATCTAGATAGGGGCGCTGTGCAAGGGTGTGGTGGGTTTCTCCCGCCCATATGCAGCTTGTCGCCAGCGTTTTTTTGGAATCTGGACACCGCCTCGAAGAGGTACGCAAGGGGGCACGGGACTGCGTCTTGACTGGACTGGCCAATTCATAAACGCACTTTGGCCTCCACCTTCTGGTACGGCCTGAGACCTCGGACTCGTCTCTCGACAACGCTCCTCCCGCGCATTCTCGTCCAGAGCGACAACGGCATAGCAGCATGGTTGTCGACAAAGCCTCGTCTCTCGCCTCGAGCAATAGCACTCTTCAGGCCGACTCGGTCCAGTCTCGCAAGCGCGTCGCTGAGGCCATTGCCGAACAAGAATGGCCCAAGAAACCCCGTATCGACGCAAAGACCGATCGCACGAGATGGCGCATGAAGGATGAGGATGGACGGCACACATGGCAGTACTTGGACGACGATGACGAGGCTGCGAAGAACTGGCCCCAGACCTATGCCGACAAGTACTACTTGGGTCTTCCCCTGGTCAGCTCACTCTAGGCTCACGTACCGTGACTTGTGTTTCTTGTTCCTCTCATTACTGACCATCCTCGCATACACAGGACCTTCCAATCCTCCCCGAACCCAAGAGCCCTCTCGACGCCTCCCGCAATGGCCTGGAATTCATAGAGAAGCTACAACTGCCCTACGGCGACTGGGGATGCGAGTACGGCGGACCCATGTTCCTTCTGCCCAGCGCCGTCATCGCCTGGTATGCCACCAAGACGCCTATCTCGTCTGCCTTCGCGACCGAGATCAAGAACTACCTTTTCGCGCGGGCCCACCCCGAGCTGGGCGGCTGGGGCCTCCACACCGAAGGCATCAGCACCGTATTTGGCACCTCTCTGAACTACACGACCCTGCGACTTGTCGGCGTCGATGCGGACGAGCCCATCATGGTCAAGGCCAGAGCGAGACTACACGAACTCGGGGGCGCCACCCAGGCACCCCATTGGGGCAAGTGGTGGCTCGCCGTCTTGGGCCTCGTGGACTGGGACATTGTCAACCCGGTCCCCGCGGAACTCTGGCTGCTGCCCAAATGGGTGCCTATTCATCCAGAGCGATGGTGGGTTCACATCCGCCAAGTCTTCTTGCCCATGTCCTATATTTATTCGAGGCGCTGGAGCTGCGAGGAGACGGACCTGATTCGATCGCTCAAGAAGGAGTTGTTTCCCGAAGACTGGGCGTCCATCAACTGGAAGGCGCACCGCAACAGCATCGCGCCGGGTGACAACTACTACCCCAAAACATGGCTTCTCAACACGGTCAACTGGCTCCTGGTCAATATATGGAGTCCATATCTCCGAACCAACTATATCAAGGAGAAGGCCGAGGCATGGACCAGCGAGTTGATCGACATGGAAGACGCCAACACGGACTATCTAGGACTGGCACCCGTCAACGGCCCCATGAACCACGTTGTTTGCTACATCCGGGACGGACCCGGATCCTATGCCGTCCGCAGACACGCCGAGAGGATCATGGACTCGCTGTGGGTCAATGCTGAGGGCATGCTTAGCAACGGAACGAACGGCGTCCAGTGCTGGGACACGTCTTTTATGATCCAGTCCGTTGTAGCGACTGGCCTCGAGACCGACGACAGGTGGCGCCCGATGCTCGAGAGGGCTTTCGGGTTCCTTGACAGGCAGCAGATTCGCGAGGATTGCAAGGACATGGAGAAGTGCTACCGCGAGCAGCGCAAGGGTGGCTGGCCGTTCAGTAACCGGGATCAGGGCTACGCCGTGAGCGACTGCACATCCGAGGCGCTCAAGTCCGTCATAATGCTGCAAAAGACAGAAGGCTATCCTCAACTCCTCGAGGACCAGCGCATCTTTGATGCCGTCGACTCCATTCTGCTGTACCAGAACGAGACTGGGGGTGTGGGTTCCTACGAAAGACGACGCGGCGGCGAGTACATGGAAATGCTCAACGCCGCCGAGGTCTTTGGCCACATCATGATCGAGTACGACTACCCAGAGTGCACGACCGCCTGCGTCACAGCCCTGTCGCTCTTCCAGAAGTACTGGCCCGATTACCGACAGGACGACATCCGTATCTTCATCAAGCGTGCCGTCAACTGGATTCGGTCCCACCAGAACATTGACGGTTCGTGGTACGGCAGCTGGGGCATCTGCTTCACCTATGCCGGCATGTTCGCCTTGGAAAGCTTGGCAAGCGTGGGAGACACCTACGAGACTAGCAAGGTCTCCAAGCGAGGATGCGAGTTCCTCGTCTCCAAGCAAAGAGAGGATGGTGGCTGGTCTGAGAGTTACAAGGTAGGATCCCCGCAAAAGCCGCCTAGAACGGGCTTGACTGATAGCAATAGGCGTGCGAGACGATGCAATACCACGAACACCCCAAAGGGTCCTTGGTCGTACAGACGGCATGGGCCCTTATCGGCCTCATGGAGGCTGAATATTCCCACATGGAGCCTCTCCGCAAGGGAATCCAATTTCTCATGGACCGCCAGCAGGCCAACGGCGAGTGGCTTCAGGAGACCATGGAGGGCGTTTTCAATAATAGCTGCACGATCGCTTACCCCAACTACAAGTTCACCTTCCCCATCAAGGCGCTCGGCATGTTTGCCCGCAAATACCCCGACGAGAAGATGACCCCTGGCATCAGCGAGAAGGAAGATGAATAAGACCCAGACCGTCTTGCTTCCTAGATTTCGACTACATGTCCGTAATATACTTACTTATATTAATGAGAGATGCGAATTTTCTTTTTTTGAAGAACAGCAGAGAAGAACAGCAGAAAAAAAAAGACAGAGAACCAAATCTGGGTATATTTACTGCATTGGTCATGGTGGTCAGTCAGTGGTCTATTTGCCATGAATGCCAGGATAGGTCTGTCTGCGTTTGGGTTGTCCTAGTTGTAGAAGATTGGTTTTGTAATCGCTATGACCTGAAGTTCAAGGCCAATCCACCAAGGCCAAGTAGATGTGGACCATCATTACCGCCCCCGTGGTTTCCTGTGGTGTCCTGTCTTTCACGAGTTTCCGACATGAAGGTCCGTCTGTCGGGCTTTGTGCTTGATAAAGAAGGCGGTGAGACGGGGGGTGCGGAGTGACCCACAGCTGGGGGGGGGCGGGCAGAAAGAGAAGGCGATAGGCGGTTGCCCCACCACAGCTTCCAGAACAGTCCGAACCTTCAACCCGCAGCTGCGTCACAGTCCGCTGTTTAGTCTCCTCCGTTTGGTCACTTCCCAACCTCAAGACACCACTCGATTTTCGCAGCAACGCTTTCCCCAAGCTACGACTGACTCTTTCCAGCACACGATAAGCATCACCGCTAATCGCATTAGCCCCGCTCAGGTACATACCCGCCCAATCATGTCTGAATACACGGCCGGCCAGGCGGGCATGGACGCCGTCGAGGCCAAGGACTGGCCCCTCGCCATAGAGAAGCTCTCGACAGCCCTCAAGTCGACCAAGTCGCCCAAGTGGCTCATCGGCCGGTCTAAGGCCTACATCGGCACCAAGGACTACCGCCGCGCCCTCCGCGATGCCGAGCTCGCTTACGCCGCCGCCGCCGCCCGCGGCAACCGCGCCTTCATCACCGACGCCCAGTACCGCCGTGCCGTCGCCCACCTCCGCCTCGGCGAGCCCGCCAACGCCGACGCCTGCGCCACCTGGGCCCAACGCCTGGCCGAGGGCAAGACTATGTCCCTGCCCGAGTGGAAGGAGCCCAAGGTCGACGCCCGCGGCTTCGCGATCACCACCAAGAAGGAGCTGACGGACGAGATAACGGCCGTGCGCGCGACCGAGGACCCGGCCACAAGTAAGTACGGTGCGCTGTGGAACTCGATCTGTGCCCTGCGCCTGCAGATCCTCTCCGGGTTGGAGAAGCTCGCCCAGGACGACGAGAAGAGGAAGGTGACGGTCAAGTACGATCCGGGCGTCTCGCTGGACGCGCCCGAGGAGGACGATGAGGAAGAGATCACCAAGGAGGAGGTCCAGGCCGCCGCTGCGGCGGCTGCCCAGAAGCCAGAAGTCAAGAAGGATGTGCGCGTCGACTTCTTCCAGAGCAACGCCACCATGTCGGTGTCGGTGTTCGCCAAGAACATCCCCAAGGACGAGTTCAAAGTTGAGTATGATGACCAAGAGGTATGGCCCCCTATCCCCCTCGAACCGAAATGCTGTCACCGAGAGCCGGCATACTGACTTTTTTTTTTTTTTGCCTGATTGCAGATCCGCATGACGCACATTCCCGGCCACGAACCCTGGTACACGATCCCCCTCTGGGGCCAAATCGACCCGGCGGGCTCCAAGCATACCGTCACCGCGAACAAGGTCGAGTTCTCCCTCAAGAAGCTCGAGGCAGGGAAGTGGCCCACCCTCCAGCGCTCCCAAGGGACCGCGCCCGCCGCGCCCAAGGCTGCGGCGCCGGCTCCGACGCCCGCCGAGCCTTCAGCACCTGCAGCCCAGAAGTCCGCCGCCCCGGCGTACCCGACCTCGTCCAAGTCGGGCCCCAAGAACTGGGACAAGCTCGAGGGCGCCGACGACGAGGACGAGCGCGACATCAACGCCTTCTTCAAGACGCTCTACAAGGGGGCCACGCCCGAGCAGCAGCGCGCCATGATGAAGAGCTTCACCGAGAGCAACGGCACCGCCCTCAGCACCGACTGGGACGACGTCAAGAGCCGCAAGGTCGAAACTGTGCCCCCCGAGGGCGTCGAGGCCAAGAAGTGGGACTCGTAGGCCCGGCGCGCGGGGAACCCGGGGGGAGAGAGCAGGGTTCCATTTAAATCACAGATTCGATTCCGGGCAAAAAGAGTCTTGATGACAAGGGCGTTTTGGGGAGGGCTCATGGGACATATTTTTTCTTCTTCTTTTTCTATGAACCAAAAATGTGGAAAGTTGGGGCCTCGTACGGGGTCTGTCCACTGTTCTCATCGATTGCATGGCGTCCGGTTTTATTTACACAGGGGGCACGGGAGCTTGGGTGCCTTGCCCAGTAGATCATCATTATTGGTATCCTATCGTGGCTGCAAACAACAGCAAGTGTTAATTCTAGTGCGAAGACGTCCATCCTGGACTGCGGTCCAACAAAATTCGGCTTCGAAATCGGCCGGGCGTGTGGCCCGCTATGGCCCTCCCGTCCGGCTGACCCCCCTCGTGACCTCGTTGGAGTGTTCAAGCATCATCGTCGTGTAACCCAGAAATTAAGGAGCACATCGTGGGTATCATAGCCCAAAATATAGTGGTACTTGAATAGCATGAAGGTGAATTTAGAGCGACTCCATTTCGCCCTCGAAACAGGAGGGGCTAATTTCCAGCCCGCGGGATGGCTCGCAGGGTGCTCCTAAAGTCCTCGTCCGCGACGTAGGTGCCCTTGAGCCAACGGCGACCGCTCCCCGTGTCGAAGGCGCGGCGGCCGTGCAGCACGCGCCGGTTGTCGAAGAGGACGCACTCGCCGGGCCGCAGCTTGTGCTGGTAGACGCTGGCCGGGTCTTCGAGGACGGCCTGGAAGGCGCGCGCGGCGTCGAGCCACCGCGGCCAGGCGGCGGCCCGGGCGGCGGTCTCGTGGACGGGGAAGGGGGCCTGGAAGGGCGGCGACCACCATACCTCGCGGAGGTCGGGGTCCTCGGCGTGGCTGACGACGGGGCGGGCCTGGCGGTAGAAGAAGCCATTCTTGCTGTAGTGGTAGGGGACGGGGACGGCGCAGAGGGCGTCGTAGTGGTCGGGGCGGGCGTCGCGGAGGCGGCTGACGGCGTGGAAGGCGTCGCTGAAGATGGACTCGCCGCCGGAGCACGAGTTCTCGAGGCAGTGCAGCAGCTGGATGCGGGGCGGCGAGTCGAGGTAGAGCATGTCGGAGTGCAGGCCCAGGTAGGACGAGGTGTAGGCGACGTTCTCGGCGTCGGGCTTGGAGATGACGTCCCAGGTGCGGCCGTAGAACGTCTCCTTGACGGCGCCGAACCTGAGGGCCACGTCGGCGACCGCCGTCTCAGTCTGTGGCATGCCGGTGAGGAAGACGAGGCCGATCTGAGACAGCGAGAGGACGGTGTCTCGGAAGTGGGCGCCGCCGGCGACGAAGTCGTCGTAGCGGATCCGCAGGAGGCGCGGGGTCAGGGTCTCGGTCGTCCAGCCGAACCTGGGCACGCGGTCGGGCGCCCAGTCGTGGCGGGCGAAGAGGACGGGCTTCTCGAGGGCCATGGCGCCGAGGGCGTCCTCGCCCGTTGCGGGGAAGACGGAGACGTGGTCGATGGCAGCTGCGCGCGGGATGTCGTTGGCCCAGCGGATCTGGACGGCGCCGTCGGCCAGCGTCCGGACCTGCGAGAAGGCGATGTCGCGCGGGATCTCGGTGGTGGCGAAGGACTTGTTACCCGAGGACGGGCTGACGCAGTGCGGGCATGGGCAGCGGTCGCGGAGCCAGGCGGCGTCGAAGACGGCCGCGGGCTTGCCCGTGCTCGCGTCGACGATGTGGAGGAGATGGGAGTCCTGCGCCGGGGTCTCATAGCGCAGCGCGCGCGGCGAGCGGCGAAGGTCGTTGATAGACGGTTCCGCGGGCTGGGAAACTTCGGTTTGGCGGAGCGCGGCGGCTTCTTGGGGCTTGGGGGAGGTTGTGTGTACACATGCCAAGGGGATGCGTGGGGTGTTTTGTCGGCCGGGGAGGCGGGAAGATAGAGACGGCCTCATGGCAGATCTGAGGAACCCCGCCGCGCGCACCACAGGGCGAAGCGCAGTTGTCGGGGCCATGACCGAGGCGGATATGAAGGATCGAAGTAAGTACTCGGGAGAGGGCTTACTGCCTGCTGAAAGAAGACGGGATCAAGTAGTCTGCGACAGCTGCTGGGAAGCCGTTACAGCGACGAACAAAGAGAAAGCTGAAGAAGACGAGGGGATGTTTAGCTCCGATAAGGCTTCATTATCTCGCGGAGAGTCGAACAAGGGGAGATTTAAGTTGTCCGGGGGGGAGATGCGAGGGGGGCATTGATCCGATTAAGGCGTAGGTACGATCAATAAGGACTACAAGACAATGGTGACAAGGGTTTGTTTAGTCCGATGTCCCAAGAGCTTCCCTCCCTCCTCTCCGGTTGGCAGCGGGACGGGAGCTCCCAGAGTTTAGTGACAGGCAGGGGACCCTGCCAGGAGGGGACGAGCCTCGGTAGGACGGCACATGTACTTTGTATACTAATCTAGTATGTAAAGTACTTAACGTGCTGGGTAGGTAGTATCTATGCAGGAGCTAAACTGGGACGGTGCGGGGTAGGTAGCTTGAGACTGTGCCTTCATCCGTTTTTTTTTTTTTTTTTTCGTCTTCTTTTTCACATGCATTTTCATCCTCTTCTGTTTCTCACCCCACCTCATCCCGTCCTGTCTCATCCGTGCTGCCACACGCGCACATCTTTTTCCCATGTTAACCAAGCTCTCATGTGTCTCGAAATTACATGGTTAAGATCGCCAGCATTTTCACTGAAAGCACCTCTCGACATGCCAGCAAAGCCCCGGTACGTCCATCAGCTATTTGCCCATGAATTTTGACCGAGCAAGACGAACCCCTTGGCAGTGATGCGATTTCACATGACACTGCCGCAACTCGACCCCCGCACCAAGTCCGCGGCCCCCGTGACCTCCTTCCCTCCGCCCGGTGGCCCAGCCGGACGACGGGAATCTCATGCGGTGTGGCTTAGCCTCCTTCACATGGACGTTGAGGCTTTGGAACTGTTAGCTTAGGCAATATGCGCCTTCCGTTTTCTGTTTTTCCCTCGTGAACCCCGCCATACAGCCCCAATACCCGGTCTTGCCTGCGGCTGAGGCGGTTGTATCCTCCAAGCAGACAGAGCTACTATTGAATAACTCTCGAGGTGGAACATTGTTGAAAGATTTCGGGGTTGACACTGATACGTTAATCGAGGGCGACGGACCGATTGTCCATCGTTACTCCAACATACGAGACTCCCAGCAAACCCATCGACTCGGACCCGGAGTTGAACGCCATGCAATCGCTCACCATATCGGAAAGACACCCGAGGAATACTGGCAAGGGTAGTTGAACAGTGAAACAGACCGGCGCTACACTCAGCCTACATCACCAAACATCCCCTTCGACACCTTTGTCCCCACCCTACACGGGCGAACTGTCGATCGCCTTCCAGATCTCGTCGCTCAGCGCCTCGTCCGGCGTGAACCACTGCGCCAGCTGCGGCTCCTCCCGCAGCAGCAGGTCCGCTACAAGGCGCCCGAACACGACGCTGCCCTCGTCGTTTAGGTGCGTGTTGTCCCCCGGCGCGAGGTTGTACGAGTGCGCCTTGACCTCGCCGACGGCCTGCACGTACTTGCGGCTGTTGAGGTTGAGGTCGACGTACGTCGCCCCGGCCGCCGCCGCCGCCGCAATCGTCCGCTCGCGCTCGTTGGCCAGATTGTTGGTCACCACGCCCGCCGAGTCGAAGCTGCGCCGGGTGAGGGGCGTGACGAGGATGGGCGTCGCACCGAGCGCCTTGATCTCCCCGGCGAGGTTGGCTAGGTTGGTCTGGTACTGGCCGAGCGAGATGTTCTTCTCGGGCTTCTGGTCGTTGTGGCCGAACTGCGGACGGGGGGGGCGTCAGCACCGCGCTTCGAGATGGAGACGGAAGACAGAGAAAGGTTTAGAGGGGAACCGACGAACCTGGATCGTCACGTAAACGTCAAAATCGCCCGTGTTGGCCTTGACGGCACCCTTGACTGTGTCCCAGTAGCCCATGGTGACGTAGTCCACCGTCGTCCGCCCGTTGCGACCGTAGTTCGTGCCGAACGCCGGCTCCTTCAGGAAGCCGAGGAACCCGTTGCCCCAGCCGCCGCCGCCCGTCGATTGCACCGCCGTCGTCGAGTCGCCGGCGAGGAAGAAGGCCGGCGGCTTCACCGCGTCGGCCCTCTTGTCTGCGGGAGTTGCCGTCGCAAAAGCCGGCGGCAGCAGGGCCGCCGCCGCCGCCGCCGCCGCCGATAGCAGGGATTGAGGCTTCATCGCGCTCAGTTCGCTGTCGTCAACGGGCCCGTCTTGCACTTTCGGTGGTGCCTGCTGAGAGCCCGGTGGCGAAGGTCGTGAAGCTAAGGCTGAAGCTGGAGCTGGGGAAGACGAGACCGCGCGTCGCACCGGCCGTCCATCTTCGTAGACGAGAACCATCTTTGCAGGTCCCTTTTATACAACCTGCAAAAAACAACTGGCTAATTAAACCCTGCGTCGTTCCCTCCCCCTTGTAAAACCGAGTCAGCCAAGTTTCCCGGAAGAGTGGTTCCACGAGGAGGCTGTAATGAATTACACTGCACGTTCTACCAAGCGATGCTTAATCCCTGACAGGTCCGGGATGATACTGGGTGCTGGTCGACAGATCACTTGCCACTCTCGGTAGTGAGCTCGATTTCTTCCGTCAATGGGGACGAGGTTGAGGTCGAGTAAACCTAGATCAGACCACATTTCCCCGCCAATTCAATTCCTCTCTCCCCCTCCCTTGTCAGGACCCCGAACGAGACCAAGCTTTTTTGGGAGGGGAGGGGAACATGTCAAACAAAAAGTGGACGAATGCTCCAGCGAATCTCCGAGCATTTCAGCTTTGTCTTGCGCTGGGAGTATTGCATCATTTTTGAGGACAAGAGGTCCGGGCGGACTGTCTATCTATCGCGCCCTATTTGGTGCCATCACCGACACTGGCAAGCGGACGGCACTAAACCCGGTCAGATCTCTTGGAGATCGCGGGTTTCCGGGCTAGCCGGCGAGAGCCAATGCATTTGTTCATGGGCCTTCCAAGTCGAGCTCGTATGGGCATCGCAGCTTTGGCCTGGCCAGCCCTGGAATGGGATTCGCCGTTGCACTCCGTCCGAGTAGGACGTGAAGGTAGGCAGGCCTACCAGGTACCGGCAGGATATAGGCATGGCCATGGACGTCCCTGAAGCGAGAACTCAGGTAGATTTGTGCGTGCTTAGCGTATTGTTTGTCTTCGAGGGTCTCAAAAAAGACAGGTTGCTTCGTCATCATCGTACATTTGGGGGGTATTCTAGTGTAGTAAGATCTCCACGGCGCGGCGCGAGCCAAAGATGCCGTCTTCCCGAGTTTCCCGTTTTTTACTCATACAAGGTAGCGTCTCCCGTTGGTACTTGCCAACATCATCAAACTTGCAAGTACTCGTATACACTCGTCCCATCCCTGCGTGGGCGCAGCCCTAAGCCCAATACACTCCAAGCATCCCTTGCTTGTATAAGAATTCGTCTCTCATGTCCTTTGCAACGCCGCCTTGAGCCTTAACGGGGAAACCAATCATCTGTTGCGGTTGCTAGACCACCGTTTGACCATGACCTCGCGGATCTTATATAGCTTGAACACCTCCGCAGGACCCTTCTTCATCGCCTCGTCGAACTGGGGAGGCGGCGGGACGTCGACGTACACCAGGACCAGGCTTTTCTGGACATGCGACAGGACGCGCACGATGCCGTGGAGCCAGTGCCACGTCTTGCGCGGCAGCCGGCGGTCGCTCTCCTTCCACCACTGGTCCGAGTAGGACGGCAGGATGATGGCGCCGAACTCTGCGTGGTCGAACACGGGCCCTCTGGCGTAGAGCATCCAGTCCACGCCAAACTTGATGCCGGCTCGGGGAACCCATCCCAGCGAGCGGAAATGGTGGTATACAGCGTAATTGACCAGGAACCCGTCGTCTGGTTGGAGCTCTCCGACGGCCCGCGAGGGGAAGTAGGAATACGACCGGAACAGGTTGAAGAGCTCGGGGGTCGGAATCGGCGCCTTCGTGGCAGGGTCGATGACTCGGAGGGCACCCATTCCGAACGAGAGGAAGAAGGCTTCCTCAGAGGTAAGCTGGAGGTGCTCCTTGTTGACAATCTCGGTAGTCACGGCCTCGCTTTCGGTCATGGGCTCGAGCCGGTTGCTGTTATCAGATTTTGCAATGTCTTTGGTACCCGTCTCCAGGACACCAGGTCCGAGCGAAGTGCCATTAGCAGGCGGTGCTGCCTTTCCGTTGGTTCCATTGAACATGGCCAGGCTGGGACTGGGAGGGTCGGAGTGTTCGAAAGTGGTCGACTCAACCTTGGGCGAGAAGCGAACGCTCTTACGGCGCTTGCCGGACTTCGGCGTCAACGGAATTTCGGTAGAGGTGGAGGCAACCGCCGCCTTCGCTACTCCGTTCAACCCGTTCAGATGGACCGCTTTGTCGCCGTCGACCAGATCGTTGATCAGGTGCCCAGATCCTGCGCGGTTTCTACTCTCCGATTCACTGAAACTAGTATCCTCATGGATCGTTGACAGCTTCTGCGACCCAGTCGGAGAGCTTTCTGTAGGGGAGGTATCAAAAGTGTTGGTGGCTTCAGCCGATGTCCCGTTGATGAGCGGTGTGCTCGCGTTAGGTAAAGACAGCAACTCCAACGGCCCGACGGGAGATACAGTAGCCGAGGCCGACGGCACAGAATCGCCATTGGTGGCTGAAGGTTGAAGAACGACCTTGGGGTCGATCACAGCATCGACGCTCTCCGAGACATCCTTGGCTTGCTCAACGATGGCCACGAAGGCGTGGGAGTTGGGGAGAGTAAGAAGTTCCCTCGGCCCAACAGGAGCCCGGGCCAATGCAACTGGTGTGGGTAGTTTATTGACTGTCTTGGGGACGATTACTGATTGAACAGTAGGCGAGGCTTCCTCTCTTGATTGCAGGAAGTCACTGGGCTTGACGATCTTGGCGGAACTGATGTCTGCTTCGAGATTTTGCTGGGGCGCCGAATGGGCTGCAGTAATGCTTGCAGACGTGTTGTGCGACGATGACACCCCATTGATCAATCGAGCGGTAGTCTCATTGCTTGTAGGTGCATCGTCTTCAACGGACAGATCAAGGACCTCAGGTTCGGCGCGGAACGTGATTTGGTGGGCGTCTTGAGGTACTTCAGGTACGTCTGTCTGTACGGCGTTGGCCGCAAGCTCGGATTTAGGCAGTGGAAACGTTGATTCAGGCACGGGTTCCGCGTCCGTCGACGTTTTTCGGGCAGGGACATGGTTGGATAGGAGCTTTGGTGAGGGCTCTTCGGCCTCAGCAGCCCAAGTTGACGGTTTTACTGTATCAGCGGATGCCACTTGAGCGGCTAGTTGTGCTTCTCGGATCCGTAACTGTCTGATGGCCTCTTGTTCGGACTTGGCCCTCTCCCACTTCATCTGCTTTCGCTCTTCACGTCTGCTGGCCGTCACCAGCTCGCTGACCTGGCCCGGCACCAGCCCGCGCCTAACCTGCTCGCGCTTCAGCCAGTTGGGTTCACTCCTACTTAAGTTGCCCTTGCCGTAGAACCCTTGTTCCCACAGCGCGCGCATGGACTTTTCGTCGGTGATGTTGACAGATTTGGATTCCGGGGACCAGATACCCTCGTGCACAGTGGACGGCTCAGCAGGCGGTGGGAACAAGGATTGTTTCGTCCATGCAAACAGAACATGTAAAAGAGAAATTGGATTATTCGGGTAGAAGCTAGGGAGCGGAAAGGTCCGTATGGGAGCAGGCAACTCGTAGATCTTGTACAACGGCAGGCCCTTCGGCCGCGGCGTTGTCGTGGAGCCCGAGGCGCTCCGTGAAGCATCAGGCGTCATGACCTGCGCAGTCGGCAGAGCCGTACTCTTAGTTTGCGACATTGTGCTAGCATGTCATGTCTGTCTTTGGAGCAATGGTTAGCTTGAGAGTCCATTGCAAAAGCCTCGCAACATTAGAGAAAATGATTTTCCATGTTTACATCAGATACCGTTGTAGTCTATATTTGTGGCATCATCGAGGTTCAATGAAGACGCCTCTTCGCACAAATGGGTAATTGGTGTCATCATAGTAAACAGCAGGCGGAAAAGAGCGGAAGAGCAAGCAGGATTTTTCTCTCTAGTCGCAACCGAAGATTGCGGCAAAAAAGAACAAGAGCCATGCCCATCGGCTACCACCACCAGGGACGAAGGGAAGAAACCGACAGAGAGAGACGGGCAGCGACTTACTTGTTTGAGGAGTTTTCCACCCGTCTGACCGACAGATCACCCGTCAATTGGGCCATTCAAGCCGAAAAAATCACCTCACTTTTTCGACGTAGCTTGATCCTGTGCGGCAGACGCGTGTGGTTGGAGGGAAGAAGAAGGACGCTTTCTGTTGGCTCTGTGCAGAAAATTTCAACGTAGAAAAAGGTCTCCGCCGTATCCATAGCTCGCTTCCTCCCCCCGCCGTCTGACTCTTCCTCTTCCCAGGATGCGCCTTCCGTCCGGAATAACTCGGGTGGAGACAGATGAGACGGGTGCGGCTGAAAATAGGTCCGAATCAGCCACATCAGAGACCCCAACTCGTCGCATAAGCTCCACCCTGTGGCTAGTGCATATATGTAATTTCGAGCTTCGTCCAGTCAATCGTGGTGGGGCTTGTGGGATTTCTATGCCACGCGACTTTCCTTTCCGGTCCTACCGACTTTCTGACAGTGATCCCTCGCCCTCGTCCGCTTCCGAGATAACCCAATTTGCTTTTGGGACCGTCTTGTGGCGAGATTTTTTTTTGTCATGCCTACATCCTGCTGACGGCTTTTTCTCCCTCCCATGGCGTCTGACAGTAGCTAACAACTCTGTCTTGGGTCTCATCTTGCTTTTCCACACGCCCATCTCGCACCTAGACGCCATGGCAGACTGGTCCTCAGCGGTGCAAGCCATTGCTGTTGTCTGCGCTGGCTGGAGCACTTTCGTTTACATCGTCCAATCCATTGGTATTATTAGAATGTCAGCATGATACCAGCCCCTCGCTGACCAAAACTGACCCTGCCTAGCATCTTCTCGTACTCTTCGCGTCTAAAGCCAGCCATCTCCCCTTCGCTCAAGAAGCAAGATGTGCCGCACATCACCATCATCCGTCCTGTAAAAGGCCTCGAGTATGGTCTCTACGACTGCATCGCATCTTCGTTCCGACAAGACTACCCACGCGACAAGCTGACGATCCGCCTATGCGTGGCCGACCAGAGTGACCCGGCGTACCCTGTCTTGGTGCAACTGGTCAAAGACTTCCCAGGCTTCGATGCGCAAGTGCTGGTTGAGGAGGAGGACCCCCTGCTACACGGCAGCGGTGGCCACGTCGACAATCTCGGGCCCAACCCGAAGATCAGGAACATCAGTCGAGCATACCGGGAAGCCAAAGGCGATATAATCTGGGTTATGGACTGCAATGTCTGGGTTGCCAAGGGTGTCGCCGGGCGCATGGTGGACAAGCTTTTGGGATACGGGCCCGGTGGAAGCCGAGTCAAGCCCTACAAGTTTGTTCATCTCCTTCCGATTGTTGTTGACACAGTCTCTCCCCGAAGCATCTCGACGGAAGCACACTCACTATTGTCTTCGGAGGGAAGCTCCTCGCAAATCAGAAGCCCAGGCCACACCTCCTCTCTGCTCGACTACGTCAAGAACCAAGGCGGCGGTCGCCTCGACGAGATGTTCATGGCCACGAGCCACGCCAAGTTCTACAGCGCCATCAATACCGTGGGCGTTGCTCCTTGCGCCGTCGGCAAGAGCAACATGTTCCGCAAATCTCATCTGGACATTGTGACGGACCCGTCACAAAACCCCATCTTGCCCTCCGACAAGAACCTGCCGAGGGGAATTGACTACTTCTCCGAATACATCTGCGAGGATCATCTGATCGGAGACTTGCTGTGGCGGTCCAAATTTCCCGGCATGAAGAACCACGGCCTAGTCATGGGTGACCTCGCCGTCCAGCCAATGGCCGGCATGTCTGTGCAAGCATATTTTGCGCGTCGCGCCCGCTGGCTTCGTGCACGTAAGTGGACGGTTCTTGCCGCCACGCTGGTTGAGCCCGGTGTTGAGTCACTGTTGTGCTGCGCCTACTTTGCTTTCGCTGTCACCACCCTTCCCTGGTTTCACGATATCTTTGGCACCGCACAGACGTGGAGTGCCACGGGCCTGTACTGGCTGGCATTTGTGACCATCTGGATGGTGTGTGACTGGTTTACCTACAACCGTCTTCACGCCGGCCATACCATGGAAGTCGACGAAAATACCCCCAAATTTGCCAGAGGCACCGCGACGCCTAGCGGGGCCCCTCCGAGGTCGTTCTTGGAGTGGTTGCCTGCTTGGATCGGCAGAGAGTTTCTTGCCATGCCCATCTGGACCTGGGCTGTGTTCTGCGGTTCGACAGTGAACTGGAGAGGCCGGACGTTCAACGTTCGCTCGGACATGAGTGTCGTGGAAATCGGGTCGCAATCTTCGAAGACCTCGCACAGCAACTTGAATGGCTCTGCCAACACAGAAGGTGGCCTACGATCGAGAAGCAAAGACCGCATGGACTAAGTCCCCATAAAAGGATATATTGTAATTACTTAATGACTAAACTTCATAATGACAGCTTTCTGTTATACCTCATTTCCTGCAAAGCTCTCCGTTGTTTGCAGATTGGAATAATGCACTTGAATTGGCTCATTTCTAGAGGAAACACACTGTGCACGTTGTGCTCGAGTCGCCCGGCCTCTACGTTGGCTTTCTTCGTAGATATCCTAACCAAAGTTTCTCATAGCACAACCATTCGCGTTGGCCCTCATTTCTTTCACAATTCTACTCAAGCCGTATCATGTGATCGAAATTAGACGACTAGTCGTTGTATTCCCTTCGGAAGATCGGGGCAGGTTCTGTTCAACAGCTTGGAGGAAAGCTAGGCAGCTTTCTGGGAACTGCTTGCTGTTCATGTCTGGCCGTGCTGAAGCGAAGACATGCCCACGTCGCAAGTATCTACCCGCCTCTTTATCCAACTCCTCCAGAAGCAGGCCCCTGAGCTCGGAAAACCGCTGGTGCATCACTCCGGTGTCCGGTCCCTGCACATCGAATACGGGAACAAAGAACAGAGCACCTGCTGCATCGACGGCATCGGCCGTGTCCAGTGACAGATCAACCAGATGCTCCATTCCAGGACCGATTAGCCGAGGTTGAGGTTGGGCCTCAAGTGTAACGGGGCTCAGCACGCCGCGGAGCCAGATGCTACCTTTGTTGTCGGTCTCGGCTGTCTCATCGACATCGACGACCTTCGCAAGAAGCCTGACGACATAACGATCGTACTGGTGATGCTGCGGTGTGTCGACGGCGCAGTCGACGCTCATCCACGACCACGATGGCGCAGAGGCGTTCCGCTTCGCCGCGCTCGACCCCACCACTATCCAGCAGAGCTGCATCTCCATCTGCGCCCTCCAGAGACCTGCATAGAATTTGTCTCTTAACTTGAGCCTCAAGTAATCCACCACGCCGGAGAGGGCAACGACCTTGTCCGAGGGGACTGTCAAGTGGCACTGAGAATACGCTTTCACAATCGTTCCCCACTGGCCGAGGGCCCGGTCCTGCTCTGGCGGCACCTTCAGCAGGCTCGATCCGCGCTTCGGCCCGATACCCAACGGGACCATGCGTGGCATCGCCTGCGCGCCCGAGGGCACCGTCTCAGCTGCGGTGAGCTCGGCGCAGTCCCAGATGACCTGGTCCGAGGTGAAATGAGCTACGCGGGGTGAGATGACACGCTCCTGCAGGACCCAGCCACGGGTGTTGAGCGGGGCATTGTCCACCGCAGCAGTCCAGTACGGCTCGTCCAGCGCGGCTTCGACGGCGATGAAGGAGCCGCTGAGAGCACCGTTGGAGATGGGGAACGGGCCAGAAAGCAGACTCCCCGGCGTGCGGTGGACGAAGAGGCCGGTATGGCTGTTGCGGGACTGGGTGGCGGCGAGATTCAGGATACTGTGCTGGTAGACGTTGAGCATCGTCTTGGATTCGGCAGCCCAGTCAGAGGGGGAGTCTTGGACAATACACAGAGAATCGATCCAGATGTAAGCCAGTCCGAGGGACCGGGTGGCGCTGAGGGCATCTCGGAAGGTTGCGGGAAGGTCTGAAGCCCGAACCCCCTTTCGGAGCTCAGGCAAGGTCTTTTCGGTGCATTTGATGATGTCAGCGCCGCCCCAGCAGTGGCTGAGCGATATATACGGACCCTTGGGCGGGGTCTCCTTGGTAACGATCAGTCTAGCATTGGGCCCCTCGATTTCAATCAGCCGGGTCGGAAACCAGGCCTCTTGGGCTCTGGACGCTCTACAGACTTCATGGTTGGCCAGGCAATGTTCGAGACAGGATGTTATAAAACGTTGTGTCCCGAGCGAACCGGTGCTCGTGCTTTCCACCGGTGCGAAAAGGCTCTGTTTCTCTATAACACAAGAATAAAATAAGCCGATGGGGAAATTGAAAGCCACTGAAGCATCATACCTTGGCCATCGACCTGCTCCAAAAGTATACAGGGGCAATAGAGGTGTTTCTGAGATGCTGCGTCCGAGACGTCAAAAGTCGCGTACGGCATTGACTCGAAGAGGCCGTCGTGCGTTCCGGGGCTAAAAAGAATGCCTCTCAAGCTCAAGGGTCGATCATCCTCGAGCTCTAAGTCGGCTTCTCGGAGTCCACGCATAACGGCGTGGCAGGCAACGCACGTAGCGCCGTGGGCTTGGATGGCGGCAAGAGACGTGCTCCAATTCGATTCAGCAAACCAGCGGCCACCGTGGCCGTGTTCCGCCTTCTGCTCAAACACGCGTTGGCAGTCGCCGCACAGCATCTTCCAGGTGAGATACCTACACTACTTATCAAAGCTTGAAGATGTTGGAGTGGGCCGGTGACTATAGTACTTACAAGAAGCTCACCCCGCTCGGCTTATGTTCTACGACTCTACCTACGGCGGGGTTTGCTCCGGATGATGGAAGGGTTTATTGGTCGACAGGCGCAAGTCTGCCTTGCTTACCTACCTCGATGGGAGGTGCACTTCAACGGAAGCCTTGGCTGACCAAATGTTAGCAGAACCGGCCTTTTGCGTAAGCATCTTTGGACAACTACGTTTCTGACAGGGGCCGCAAAACCAACGTCCATAGACATCAGCTTTCCAGTCACGGCAAAATCCATGCCAATTGTCAACAATTTCATCCCGAGAGTTATGGGCGCCGAAATCTTCGTTAAAAGAAAGGCCTTTGATGAGATGAAATCTCAAGCGGAAAAAGTGAGACAAGTAAGTATCTTGGGCTCAAGGCAGTTAGTTGATGGAGACTGACATCGAAACGTTCTCGTTTATAAATGACTATTGTTCCTTTGCTTTCACCAAATAGATATATGGCACAACATACTCGGCACTCGCTCGGCTTACCCATATTTGCCCGTCCCGTGCGATTCTAAAGGGGCTGGTTGCAGCACGTAGCTTATCCTTTCAATCAGCAGCACAGCTGGGATGGGAGGAAAATCCGCCCACTCGTTGCTGGGTGTGGCGGATGAGTTCGAAACAAACAAATGATCACAGCCAGGATATAAGGGTAGCATTACGAGGGTCGGATACGTCCGTTTATGATTCAGCACCTGGCAAGGGTACCCCAGATGTCAGCCACCTGGAGATCGGTTCTGCAGCCGGAATGCCCCTTAATATGCCAAGCACATTCATGCACGGAGCTGCCTGAACGGAAATACGTTTTACCTGTCCTACTGGGTTGTCAGACCTGGAAATCCTAACTGCCAAGTTCTGGGTGGCAGATCCCCCTGGATGTGGTATTCAGAAAAATAACCGCGCTGTCAGCCGTCAAAACGTTTAAGCACCCACTTCCATAGACTGCTTGGCGTAATATCAGTGCTCATGCCCCGAGCGTCGAGAACAAAGTAAGGGTCTCCTTGCCATTATATGAGGAGACACGAACTGTTTACGTGGATGACTGCCGCTTTCTGTATCTCCGCTGTAACGTAACTTGAACATATATGGAGTCCTGCGCCGAGTTTACCCCTATGATTAGGTAATATTGAAGTAGAGGCGGATTTTCGTAGCATTTTTGACCCATATCGCGGGGAAGTATCCTTGCACCATACCCGGAAACAAGAGTGGGAGAAGGCGTCTCTACCGGGGGAGTATATCGGCTAGCTGCTCGAAAGGGGTCTGATGATATGAACCATTGCGGGTTGTCCGACCAGTCTCCACGATCCACATTACCGTGCTAAGGCACCCATTGGGTGTTCAACTAACATGGTCTGACAAATCTTTGACGACTTATATAGCAGTGATATCGATGGACCATGTGGAATACTACACCTGTCGTAGAATAAGACCCATAGAAGTGATGCGTCGCTCGGTGTCCCATCCCACTCCGCGAAATTATGTATATGCTGACTTCTCGCAATATTAGTTCTGCAATAATTTACACTTTACATCTCGTTAATCCAGTCACTCACTTATTCGTTCTTTTCAAATCTTGGCCCGTCTCCCAATATGCTGCCGCTGGTGCTTCTTGGTGCTCTAGCACCCGGCGCCAGAGCTGTTGGACCCCTGGCCAAGGCTAATAATGTCACCTTTGAGCAACAATGTTCACAATTCGCAAGTTCTTTGCAGATCCCTGGCGCAAATACCACAGCCACTGAGTACATTCCCGCCGGAACTACCCTTCAATTCCCCGGCTCGGATCCCACCTGCACCCGTCCCTCCCAGAATGTCACGGCAAATCTCTGCCGTGTCACTGCGCGCATCGCGACTTCAGTTCGGTCCGGGATCAAATTCGAGGCATGGCTGCCCGAGAACTGGACCGGTCGTTTTCTCAGCACTGGCAATGGCGCACTCGGCGGTTGCATCCAGTACGAGGACCTTGACTACGCGTCCTCTCTTGGGTTTGCTGCCGTGGCCACCAACAATGGTCACGACGGCATGAGCGGAGCCTCTTTCATGAACAATCCCGATGTCATCGAAGACTTCGCGTACCGCGCACTTACTACTGGCGTCGTAGTCGGCAAAGATGTCACAAAGGCCTTCTACAACAGGCCACATACCAAGAGTTACTACCTGGGCTGCTCGACTGGTGGACGTCAAGGCTTCAAGCAAGCGCAAGCTTTTCCTCACAATTTCGATGGCATTGTAGCTGGCGCCCCTGCTTTGTCTTTCAACAACCTCACCTCATGGAGCTGCCACTTCCTCCCCCTCACTGGCCAGCAGGGCGCTGATACCTTCATTCCCATGTCTATGTGGCCCACCATTCACAATGACATCTTGAACCAGTGCGACGAACTCGACGGTGCGAAGGATGGCTTGCTTGAGTCCCCGGACCTCTGCGATTACAACCCTGAAAGCCTCCTCTGCGGCGTGTCCAGCAACCAGACAGCCGGTTGCCTCACTCAGAAACAAGTTGAAACCCTTCGCGGCATCTACTCTCCTCTGATCGACGCATCTGGCAGTCTGGTCTACCCGCGTATGCAACCCGGAGCCGAGATGACGGGCGCCTCGGATGTCTATTTCAGCGGCCAGCCGTTCAACTCTACTGACTGGTTCAAGTACGCAATCTTGAACGATCCTAACTGGGACCCGGCTACCATAACCTCTGAAGACTACGTCAGGTCTTCGAGCATGAACCTCTTCAACATCGAGACCTGGGATGGTGACTTGTCAACATTCCAACAGCGTGGTGGTAAAATCCTTCATTATCACGGCCTCGTGGACGGGATCATCTCCAGTGAGAACTCCCCAAGGTACTACGAGCACGTTTCGCAGACAATGGGGCAGACCCCGGCAGAGTTGGACGATTTCTATCGTTTCTTCCGTATTTCCGGAATGGCTCACTGCAGTGGTGGCCCTGGTGCTGTTAATATTGGCAACCAAGCCAAGAACTTGGCTAGCTATGATCCGGAAGAGAACGTCCTGATGGCCATGGTCCGTTGGGTAGAGGAGGGGATTGCCCCTGAGCACATCACCGGAACTGCCTTTGTCAACAATACGAGAAGCGCCGGCGTCGACTACAAACGCAAGCATTGCCGCTGGCCTACACGCAACGTTTTCAACGGGAAAGGGAGCTACAAGGACGAGAATAATTGGGAATGTGTGGCATAATAGAGGACAACGGGGCTATCTAGTCGTCGAAAAGTTTAGTCGTCCAGAAAAGTTCAAATGAAAGCCTCCATAACGCAGTTAAAAGCGAAACTCATCTTTGACCATTCGAAAGCTGGTACACGACCGTGCCTGGTCTCAGACTATTATCATACAGACAGGTTCAACGTCAACCTCCGCGCTGCAAAAAGTCTGGTAAACTTCAAACCCATTCTTTGGGCTTCCTGAGAACTTCGAGAAGTTTCCCTTCCGGGCTGTCAGAGTCCGGCTCATCGTGCATGTATCTCCACTGCGCCGTTATCGGAAGACTGATGAGGATGCTCTCAACCCTCGAACCGGGAACATTCAGACCGAACGCTGTTCCCCGATCATGCACAAGGTTGAACTCGACGTACCGTCCCCTTCTGATCTGTTGCCATTCCTTCTCCTGGTCGTTGAACGGCATATCCTTCCTCTTCTCGACGATAGGAATGTATGCTGGCAGAAGGGCGTCCATGGCCGATTGAGCAAAAGCGAAACCTTTTTCAAGGTCCACACAATCTTCATCGAGGTCGTCAAAGAAGATGCCGCCAATGCCCCTCCTTTCGTCCCTATGCTTGATGTTGAAGTACTCGTCACACCACTTTTTGAACCTAGGGTAATATGCGGGATCGTGTTCATCGCACGCCTTCTTCAGGGTTCTGTGAAAATGTTCAGCGTCATCGTCGAACAGATAGCTGGGTGTCAGGTCGCTGCCACCGCCGAACCATGCCGTTTGCGCTAATCCATCCGATCGGACGGTCTCGAAATATCGGCCGTTCATATGTACTGTCGGCGCCATTGGATTTCTGGGATGAACGACCATGCTCAGGCCTAGTGCGTAAAACCCCAAGTCTTGATCATCCGCGGGCAACCTTTTGTGATTTTGCCGCATCTTTTCGATCGCCGCCCTGTCAAGCTTCCCATGCACGATACTGATATTCACGCCCGCCTTTTCGAAAACCTTGCCATCCTGCAGGACGCAAGTCCGACCTCCCCCGCCGTCATCGGGCCGCTCCCATTCATCTGTTCGAAAATGTGTTCCGTCTACTTCTTCCAACTTGGATATGATCTCTTGTTGTTTTCGTCGGATGAAAAGTTCCATGCGGGTGCGCATGGGCAACTGCTGATTATCTTGTAAGGTTGGCTATGTGTCGATTGTGGTCAGCATGGCCTCGTGCTTTGCCCCCTGAAACCCTGACAGTACAAACCATGGTGTGTTTTCACTGTTTCAGGACGACAACGCCATAGGATAGCGCTGCTTGACTTTTCCGGATCCCTTCAGGAGGAAAATCTGGCGACTTGTTTACCTACTGAAGGATATATTGGCGGGGTCATCAAAAGCTTGACAACAACGCTTATCGGCCAATCAACAATTGCTTCTGTGGCGCAGTGATTCTCAAACAACTTCCACCTTCCTTCCACCTTCCAACTTCGGTAAGGGAAGAGATAAATTGCTTTCGGTGGCGTGCTATCAACAAGCAGATTAGCATGGTGGTTTGCAGCCATTAGAGTCCGAAAAACTTCAAGTAATTAAGTGAATAGAACGGTGAGATAGCAGATTATTACACAACTTCACTTTGGCTACATAATCTCGAGCTATCTTCTTAGTTCATCTGCCATGCCGTCCGCTCATTATGAGTGGAGACGGGCATGAGGTCCCAAGCCAAAGGGGAACTGTCACAATTGGCGAATCACTATATGATGTTCTAAGGAAAAGGCAGCTGCGGTAGATTTGAGCCAACTCCTAAAACTCTGTATTAGATCAAAGAATTGGGAAGTGAAGACAAGATCTCGAGCCAACTGACTCTGCATGAATATGATGATGCTAAGACTCAGATCATCTCAACCTTTCCCTGTCGACTTGATAACTATGTGGCTGAAGATCATTGTGGCGTAAGCAAAGACCGCCCCGTCGGATTTCAAAGCACGCGATAACGCCCCGCATGTACGCGATAGCGAAACCGCTATCAATTAGTAAGAGTCCGAGTGCCGAACTCACCACTGACAACTCCACTGGAACACCTTCAGAAACCATATCACCCAGCCAGCAATCTCGTTGCTTTGCGTTGAGACCATGGCAGCTCAAAGAGATTTAGAAAGCCAGAGGAAACCCTCGGATGAGCGGACCCCGCTACTGGGGACGTCCGCCGAGGACGAGACAAACCAGCAACATGCCCGGGATCGGGGTGACGACGACGACCGCAGTGGGGAACACGAAGACGCAGAACAGGTTCCTTTGATCGCATCTCAGGATGAGGAGGGAGAAAATAAGCGCACGACCGGTTGGTGGCTGTGGAGAGCTTTTTGGATCGTCCTTGCGATTTTCTGCTTGGGCATCTTTATCAAAGGCTGGATTGATGCCAAGGACACAAATGTGAGTCGCTCAGCTGTTTCGTATACATCTCTCGGCCCAGCAGCTAACTTCGATGCAGTTTGATCTCAAAGCAGCACTTAAAAGGGCCCTCGGTGGTGGGTTGAGCGGTGCTGCGGCTATGGTCTTGCAAGTGTTGACTCTCATGGTACGTATGCACTTTTTGATAGCTCACCCGCATAGCGTATAGTCTTGTTATGGGGCGGCTATTGCTAACCCAGGATCTTGCATAGCCTATAAGGACGATCATGAACTATCAGTACCGATTCGGGACTGGATTCCAAGAGGCTGTCAGCACTCTTTATCAGGATGGTGGAGTGCGAAGATACTACCAGGGTATTGGGGCTGCCCTCATTCAAGGTAAATTCCTAAGCACATATATGCGCGGCCTGTTCGTGCTATCTCTTTAATCGGGTGCATGCGGACTAACCTTCGTAACGATAGGACCCGTATCTAGGTTCGGCGACACCGCTGCCAATGCCGGCATTCTTGCCCTCCTTGAGTCGAATTCCTTCATGAACCAGCTGCCTACGCTCATCAAAACAATCTTCGCTTCTCTTTGGTTAGTCTAAGCTTACCGGTAGTGAGCCATTCACAACTGTGCCGATACAAAACTAACCGGATTTTGTTATGAAGCGCTGCTGCTTTCCGCATGATCCTGACGCCCATCGATACTCTCAAGACCACACTGCAGGCTCAAGGCTCCAAGGGTACCGCGATCCTCCGCAAGCGTATCAAGACGCATGGCGTTGGAAGCTTATGGTGGGGTGCCTTTGCAACAGCCGCAGCGACATTCGTTGGGCATTACCCCTGGTTTGGAACAGTAAGCAGATCAATCCCAGCCGCTACATGTGCAGCGGTGACTTACCGACTACCATAGTACAACTACCTCTCCGCCAACATCCCTGAGCCGGAAAAGGGCCAATTATTCTTATGGCTTCTCCGCCTGGCTTTCATCGGGTTTTGCGCTTCGATCATCTCGGACTCTGTGTCGAATTCCCTTAGAGTAGTGAAAACTTACCGGCAGGTCAACGACACCCAAGTGTCCTACTGTCAGTCTGCCTTTCATTTATCCTTACTCTCCTTATCTATCTGATGAACATGGGTCATTTTACTGACTTCCTCTTGCTCCCATACGTAGCAAAGGCAGCAAAGCTTGTCATCCAGCGGGACGGGTTCCTCGGTTTCCTTGGGCGTGGCCTCAAGACTCGAATTCTTGCCAACGGTCTGCAAGGCATTCTTTTCTCCATCTTGTGGAAGCTTTTCCTTGACCTGTGAGTTATGAGAACGTGTCGCAAAGCTGGTTCGAGACAAACTAACTTATGATTGCAGCTGGGAGAAGAAGACGCATTCTTAATCTTGCCCCGATTCCATTTACTTCCAGCTTAACCTGACATACTGGCTATTCGGTGGAATAACAGTTTCACAAAGTTCACATAGTAAATGAGGAGAGTGTCTGGCGTTTATCTTTGAAGTATTGCTTCAGCCTAAAGCCGGCTTATCTCGAGGGGACATTGGGATTTATCATATAAGTATGCACATTAGGAGCACCGCTGCGTCTGTTGGTAAAGAGTACACACATAGATTAACCTCCAGCAGACAACACAAAGCCTTTTTCGGCTTTTAAGCCATAGCCTTTTCCCAGTAACTTGACTGCGGTTTGATCCTATGTCCCGGCAGGAACAATTCATAAGGATCGTGTCACCAGCTAGAGCTGATTATGCGTATGCTTGTTACAAACACAATGGGCATACAACGCAGCTGGGAGAGTACATTTGAAACATGATCTACAGCAGTAAAACTATTCATTTATTGAAAAGAGATCATAAACTCTCCAACATTCTATTTCCCCTTATCCCTCAGGTGTACCAGGTAGGCTCGGGGATCTCACCTAGAAGCTGATACCTTCCCAACTCCCGGTTCTTAAAAGCCACCGGGTCGTGCAAACTGTGTGTACGGATATCCCTCCAAAACCTGTCCAGGCCAACTTCCGTCGCTGTAGCCCTCGCCCCGGTGACTTCAAAGACGCCTGCTGTCACCCGCAGGCCTGTGTCTGTCGCGGTCACCTTCACGCTTGCAACCCACTCAGCCGCCTCTCCTCGAGCCTCCGCAGTTACGTTTGCCCTCTCTGACGGGTCTCCTGAGCTTCTGTACAGTTTGTCGATCTCAAGACCAGCCTTGTCGGCCAACGCTTCAGCGGCGCGAAGATGGGCAAAGAAGTTGCCGTAGGTTGAGAGAACGTAGAACTCATCCACTGCTTTCTCCTTGTTCTTTATGTGAATTTCAGTGCCTGTCTTCCCAGCAAAGTTCTACAACGGATACTTACATCACCGCCAAAAGGCCAAGCACGTGTGTTCCGTTTGGTGTAGGCCGAGGCAAAGTCCAAAGCACCCCAGGCGATGCCGATGTAGAAGTTACTGAAAACCAATTGAATCCTAAGACATAGCATCAGATACCGTCAAGTATCCGCATTCCACAAGAAACCTACGTCGGCAGAAGCAGAGTCGCGAATGGGATGCTCAGAATTGAGGGGTCTGGCTTCTTTTTGCTAGCATCCCATCCCAGGGCGTCAGCCCAAGGCGCTGTGACGTTATCAATAACGACGCTTCCGGATTCGCTGAGACGTAGTCCGACGTTATCCCAATTATGGAGAAATCTGACCCCTGCCTGGTCCGTCTTCACGATAGCGTATAGATGATCTTCCGTGCCCTCCAACACACCTTCGAGCACTGTCAAATCAGAAATGACACCGCCTGTGTTGAAATGCTTGAGACCGTTGAAGATGATTTTGTCGCCGTCCGAAGTGATCCTGTGGTCACTGTCTCTAGGGTTCACTGCTCCTCCGACGAAGTAATTGTTAGAGATAATTAGATCTTGAAAGCGGTCTGCTTGCTCTGGGCTTCCAAGGACGTTTGCTGTAGTTGACCAGAGCAAGTGATAACCCAAGAGCATTCCAATTGAACTAGAACTGCTAGTCAGAACACGGAAGTGTGTCAATTAGGTCCATCCTTACCCATCTCCTTTCGCGACTGTGCGAATAACCTTATAGCCAACGCTCCACGGCTGCTCGCCGCCACCGTACTTCTTCCAGCCAAGGACCTTCAACAGTCCAGAATGTTTCAGAAGCGCAATCTCAGCCCGAGGTGACTTATTCTCTCTCTCACGTAGTGCGGCATCTCGTGCAAGAATGTCTGCAATCTCCTGAGATCGCTGCAGCCACCCGGTCTCGTCGGTTGGGAGGTCTGGCCATCTTGTCTTGTACTCATCGTAGACCTTGGGGTCTGTTGAGGGCACGTCGTGGGCGTTGCTGCTCATCGTATCCGGCTCGAGCACAGACTTGAACAGATACGTTGAAGTATGTTGAATCCTATATCCCTAGTAGTTGGATGATATGACAAGAAGAGAAACAATCAATGCTTGGGGAGAAAAGTCTGCAATCAAGGACCATGTGTAAAGGTTTTGCGAAGCTGAAGATTGCCTATTTAAAGCCTTTTGATACGATGCGAATTTAACGAGCTTGAGCAATGGAGTTCGACCCCTTATACTATCGGAAGGCCGACTGAGCGATGATCACCGATGCTCCCTGTCATTGACGCAAGTAGGTTGTGATATGTCGCAATCGCTACTGGTGCGTTGCTCCAATGTCACACCTTCAGCTCTTTACTGCATGTATTGATACTTCCAGTTTTGTAGGATACGTATGTACAATGTTGTACTTCTACCACTTTCTTAGGTACCTCTACTGCTTCTAGACAGATGTTATAAATGTGTAGTTGGAGGTGGTTAAATGTTATTGATACTGCTAGCTGATGAAATTTCAGCCATTTAGGCAACAAGCCTAATGTAGGCTTACTTAGAATTATGTACAGTCTGTTACATTGGCAGCGTCCAGTTATAGCCAATCAGAGGCCAGGAGTGGAGAATATTATTGACCTCTGATTGGCTTGGACGCTACCAGCGCAACTGTTGCATTAACAGCGTCCAAAACCCTCGCGTTGCGTTAGCAGCTTCTAAAACCTATATCTCTATTAAAAAAAGTCTAAATAAGTAAAAGAATACTGTGTATATACTTTTGTATATAAAGAATCTTTTAAGACTTATTTTAGAATTAATAAGATAGAGGTGGTTTAGATATTCAAGAGGGAACTTGGGTGCACAGACATTTTTAGGTTTTGGACGCTGCCAACGCAACGGACTGTACTCTAGGCAAGTATTCAGCTGCGTTACATAATCAGCATATACTGGGCTATCTAGTTACTAGTTGAATAATGTAGCGTACAGCTTCCTTGATCCATGATGAGAGATATTGACCAAGATATAACATCATAAACTTTAATGTTCCGTGATTAATCGAAATAACCAGCCCCCTTCCCCTCCCCAAGAACTTATGTTTGTTATCCTAGGACGCCATCATTCTATATTCTTCCGTGTCTTTGGAAAATACTGAGACGTGTCTCCTAATGGTAGCTCCAGTACCGAGTCCTTCAGCAGTAGGTGAAAAGTTAGATACCTAGAGATGTTAGCTGTCCAGTTTCCTGAAAGTGTCAATCAGTCTCACCACCCAACAAGCCCCGCAAGAAAGGCGAAGACGCCGCCAGTCTTCTTTAGTCCGATTGAGGCAGTATGGTTGCCATCTGCTGCAGCAAAGTAACTCGCAGCGACAGTCATAAAGGCGAGTTCTACGAAGACAAATATCAAGATGTAAACAATGTTCGTCGGGAGAGATGCGACCAAATATGCGAGAACGAAAACACTCCAGACTGTTCAAAAGCAATATAGTCAGTCCCATCCGGAAAATCTGTACGTTTCATGGCTCACTAATCATGAAAAGACCCAATGCATTGTTGAGCTGCTGAACGTCATCGCCGTATGCAGCAGCCACCCCGAATGAAGGAGTCAAGATGGCTCCGTAGCCCGCGTAGAATAGTCCTATCATATGCGTGAGTATTAATGAGTTGCAAAATCCAGATTTGTTCCAAAGCGACATACCGAAGGCGCTGAAGACGCTGTAGCCGAAGCCATTTCCAGCAGTAAGCTCCCATTGAGCCGAGATCAGGAGTCCAAACGCGGCGAGGAAGAAGAAATTAGCGATGTAGACATTGGTAGTAGTGACTCCCCGCCATTCCATCAAGCTAAGCGAAAGTGTTGTCAAGGTCGTCGAGAAAGCCCCAATGGGCAGCGAAGTCTGAAATATTGGAGGTCAGAAGCCGATTCATCTGAGGCATTGAAGCAGTTTCGCTGGCCGAATAACAAACTTACTGCTGCGGTGGGAAGTGGTCTCGGTACGGGAACCCGAGATGCATTGATTTGAACCGTTTCAGAGCTTTGTACAGTCTTCTCGGCCCTCAAGGGCTCGATTCCTGTCTCATTTGCCCCATTTTGGGCTGAAAGATAGGGAGGCATTGTGAATAACTAGTTTTCGACGAGGAATTTTGGTCGCATGCAGTTCATGGAGCAATAGCGAGATGAAAAAGGGGAAGTACGGCGTTTTGTGCCACCTCAAAACTGCTCGAAGACTCAAGGCAAGCGGAAAGATGACGAGTATTGACAGTGCTCTTCAAACTTAACAGTTCTCTAGAACTTGGTTACATTGATCCCTAACCACATAGAAAAACAAAAGGCTCGGAGACACTAAATCTCAGAGTCGCCATCAACTAATTAGCTGAAGCAAGTATTCGGATAAGGTTTGCAGATCTCATGGGAATCACACTTCGCGTCATTCTTTAGAGCAATAGAGTGATGGATGGGGTAGTATCGACCCCACACGCAGGTCGTCAGAATACTACAACGTCTCTCTACCGTTCATGAATCATCTTGCTGCTTTTTCCTAGCCTCGAAGATCTTGGACGAGGTGGAGTAATTGGAAGAAACAAAGAGACGGAAACTTTCGCTGGGTCCATCGTACGGCCTTCGTCCCCCAATCAGTTGCGAATTCTCAGGCTCGCCATTGTGCCCATAATGATGTGATTGCCTCAGAGAGAGGTTGATTAAGAGGAGCAACTGTATCGATCGGCTTTCTATCTGCCGTTATGTGCCGTGGCATTCCATGATTGGGTTAAAACGCATCTATCTGAACTTTGACATGCATCTGTCGTTGCAATCCAAGATCACGCCATAGCTTAATATCCGATCAGTGATGCAGCTCCTCCAACCGGACCTTCCTGCGAGATGTCGATCACTCAGTCTTCCATGATGACAGAAAAACTAATTGAACAAGCTCGCCATACTGTAACCTGATTATCTTATAATATGTCAGATGCCTGAACACCACAGTCTACGCATAGCCACTGCGCAACAGCCTGTGTTCGGTCCACAAAATCTGGATAATTCTTCAATTTGAGCGCTGCTTTCAAAATCACTATAACTGGCATCTAGAGCGAATTGCCTCAGAAGCTCACAGGTATCCGCGCATCTATTATTGACATTCTACTCTTGGGCTGGCTGTTCGTCATTTGTCAAGATGTCAGCTCAACCGCATCCCCTCAATACCGAAGCTGACAGATTACTCTTCGCGTAAGCTTTATTGTCTCAAAAGAATCATACACCGATCACTGACCTCTTGATTAGTTACTGGATCCCGAATGTTTCAGGGGGCCTGATCATCAGCAAAATCCCCCAGAAGACCAACTGGGATCTAGCAAGCAACGTCAAGTACGCCAAGGCGGCGGAGAAGGCTGGCATCGAATACGGCCTGACCCAGATCCGATTCACTTCCGGATATGGTGCCGCAAACCAGCACGAGTCCGTATCGTTCTCCCAGGCGATTCTCCAAGCCACGGACACTATCAAAGTAATTGCCGCTATCCTTCCCGGACCCTGGAATCCAACGACGGTGGCGAAGCAGATTGCTAGCATCGACCACTACAGCAACGGCCGCATCGCCGTGAACATTGTCAGTGGCTGGTTCAAGGGCGAGTTCACAGCCATCGGTGAGTGGTGGCTAGAGCACGCCGAGCGCTACCGCCGCAGCAACGAGTTCATTCGCTGCCTAAAGGGTATCTGGACCGCACCAGATGACACTGGATTTACCTTCGGCGGCGACTTCTACCGCTACCGAAACTACGCACTCAACCCAAAGCCAATACAGAAGCCGCACCCAGAGATCTTCCAGGGTGGCAACAGTGACGACGCTCGGAACAATGGCGCCGAAGTCAGCGACTGGTACTTTATGAACGGCAATGACCTCGACGGGTTCCGCGCCCAAATAGAGGATGTCAAGGCTCGCGCCGCCAAGGTCGGTCGCGAAAATGAGGTCCGCTTTGCCGTCAACGGCTTCGTCATCGTCCGCGAGACCGAGCAGGAGGCCGTCCAAGTGCTGCAAGAGATCCAGGGTCAGGCTGACAAAGAAGCCGTTAACGCCTTCCGCGACTCTGTTCAGCAGGCTGGGGCCAGCACCTCCAATAAGAAAGGCATGTGGGCCGACAGCAAGTTTGACGACCTCGTACAGTACAATGACGGCTTCAAGACAAAACTCATTGGAACGAAGGAGCAGGTCGCCGAGCGTTTGGTCCTCTTGAAGAGTCTCGGGGTTCACCTTGTTTTGACAGCTTTCTTGCACTATGATGAGGAGATTGAACAATTCGGAAAGCATGTTCTGCCACTCGTTAGACAATACGAAAAGGAGGGCCGGGGCAAGGACGTCAACTTCGAGATCGAGAGGACTGGGGATGTTTACAGGAAGAAGCAGTAAATGAGTACTATCAATGCGCTGAATGGATACTTAAATACTTCTCATTCAACCGGGGTCTGCTCAAGAACAAGACGATAGATTATCAAGCAAGCTTTCGTTCGGATTGTCTCACATCTCTCGAACCCCCCGACCCTAGACTCGCAAGGTTTCCCGAGCCTTGTTATATTCATCCAGAACTCGTTTTGCCCTTTCTGGACTCCTTATCTTGAATTGCATGGGGAAAGGCAACGGCTCGAGAATGACATTCGAGTTCGTCGCTTGGGTATCGAAAGTCACGTCTTCGCCGGTAGCCGGGCACTTCTTCAGCCCCATATCGAACGCCCAGCACACGCCCGCTCCCGCGATGAACATTTCATCGTCGACGAGGGTCTGGCCCAGGCAGGTCCGGCGACCCCATCCGAATGTGTGCATACCTACGCCATCGCGGAAATTCGGATAGCGCGTCAAGGGTTCCTGGTAGGTGGGAAAGCTCGGGTCTAGGTAGCGATCTGGACGATAGTTATCGTAGTCAGGGTACCTTTCGGGGTCGCGGTTGATGTTCCTACGGAACTCGTGTCAGCAATGCTTTGTTAAAATACAGGTGGGCATGGAATACCATTCGCAAGCAAGGATGATGGTGCCTTTTTCAATCCGGACACTTTGGAACTCAGAATCCTTCTCGCACTGGTGAGGAACCCCTGTACAAATCTGTCAGTTCCCAAGTCTTGTCATCGAACATGCTCTGCTGTCAGTCTGACTTACCGAGAGGGACTCCAGATCTCCATCGAAGAGTCTCCTTCAAGCACGCCCTTACAGTCGGCAGCTGGGCAAAGTCATCCCGGGTTGGCATCCTATCGCCACAGGCCCTGTCGATCTCATCTTGACACTTCTTCAGCCACTCGGGGTGAAGCGCCATGCACATCAAGAAGAATTGCAAGGGCCCGGAGATGGTCACTACCCCCACAAGACACTGGAACCCGAGCATGCAGGCGGCAAAGTCCTCCTCCTTCCCGTCTTGCTCCAGCGTCTTATTTCCGCCGGCCTCCAATTGTTCAAAGTACCTATATGCCCAAGTGTCCACGGGCAAGTCGCCTTTCCGGAACCTTGCTTTGGCAAGACGGAACGACTGCAACCACCACGCGCGCTGGTTATTGACTCTGTTGACTTCGAATTTGCGCCATGGGTTGTACCGGACAAAGTCTGCGAGATGCCACAGTGGCGTGATGGTGTTGACAATGGGACCTGAAACTGACATTCGCGTCAGTGTCTCAAGAGCGCTGTCCCCGTAGGCTTTCCCTTGTGTGGAGTCATCCCAAGAAAGGCGGCTCATGATACGGCCTGTCATCTCGCGGGTGTTGCTATGGAACTTCTCAGGGTCCAGCAGGAGAGTCACTAGCCACCGTTTGACCTCGTTGTCGATGTGCCCGTAAAAGTGGTGCTGGTGGGCGGCTGCCATGGCAGCGTGAACCCATTTCCGCTGGTATTTCCATGTTTCTACCCAAGGAATAAGGTGTAAGTGTCAGTAATCACCTCCTAGCCGTGTACTTGGTCTATACAAAAACCACTTACCGTTACGGTCCATTAATGCAGAATACGTGGGTCCTAGCTTGTGGTCGATAAGAGCTCTAAGCTGAGGCCGGCCCGCGAAGTTGTTCCCATCTTTGATCAGAACCTCTTGCGCCATCTTCTCATCTGAAATGACGACAAACTTCTGGCCAAGCATGCTCGTCTGGTAAATTGGTCCGAATTCGTCCGCCCACTCCTTGAGCTTGAGCCACATGCCGAATCTGGGCAAGTCATGGACGCGTCCGACAATAGGATACTGTTTGGGGCCGGGGAACCTAGTGCGCTTCTGACGTGCCTTGTCGTCTTCGCCCCTGCGGCTGGTCCATAGTGAGAAGCGGCGGAACGAGGAGAAGAGCAAGCCCGGCACGACGAGAATGCCGAGATAGAGCCAGAGCGAAGAAAAGCTCTCCATATCCGAAAGTGTCGATGTGGACGAAACGTGGGAAAGTAGCAAATTGCTTATTGAAGAAACTCGGATAACGACTATGGTAAAGAAACAATGGGGGGCTGAAGATCATATATGTAGGTCTCAGTTATCCTACAATGTCACATGCAGGACTGACAGGACTGACAGGCATCCATTAGTCGCCTGCTGAGTCTGGCTATTCAAACCCGCTCTTGATCCAGCATTCAGCCACCCAGTAAGTCGAGGGCAAGAAGAGGATCGCATCTGCGCTAGCCAACAACAGCATCCAAGCTAACGGCCATGGGATTCAGCCCCCTACCAAGTGTCAAGTATGCCAGCAGCTGGGACGGCTCTGACAGCATGCCAGCACCCCGGGCCTACCTCTATCATGGTCTGCTTTATTCGTTTCTCAATAACCAATAAGGCGGGAAGAGAAGTGTAATGAGGGTGTACTACAGAAGCACCTACTCTCCTCATGCTTGAGCTTTATTATTGCAAACTCTCGAGAACTCTTCAAGTTCACCATTCTCGCTACCGGCTTCCCGGACCAAAAAAAAGTCGGCATATTAGGGACTTAATTCAAGATGCTCCTCTCCCCTCTATCGATCTGACCAGTGACAACGCAACAAAAGAGCGCATCTGTTGTCAACTCGGTCAACAAATGCTTTGGGAGAGGATGCCACAGCGCAATTGTGATAAGCACGGGCAAGGCGCCACCGGGCAGGATCGTCGGCAAGATCGTAGGCCGGAATAGCGCGAGCATAGGCTCCGCAATGCTATTTTAGCGTTACATCGTGGCTAACACACAACCTTACTTCCAAGTTCCGATTCAACGGTGCATGCTAGTAATCGCTAATGCTCCTGCCTATGGCATGCGCTTGGCGGCCGTTGTGAATCATGGCTGCAGGATCACTTCGGTTGAATTGGCATTCGATACAAAGCTATGAATTCCAACCCCAACATTCGTATCAGACATTTAAAGCTGGAGATTAAGCCTGGCGTCGAAAGGGGCGGGTAAGCAAGATGCAGAATCAGTTATGGATGAAGTGGGGGGTTGGTGTGCGTGCTGTAAACATTGACAGGCCGCACAGCAGGGCATTGCAGCGGCGTTCCCAAACTGGTGACCTCCTCGTTCCCACCTGCGCTTATTATGCAGTACGATCCAAGAAAGCACCGCTAGTGGGTGAGATTGGGGGCCTACATGTCTTACCTGTGCGGGCGCTAAGAAGAACACCTCGTCAGGATCAAGAGTGGGTGGAAGCGGCTGGTGCCTAGATTTCTCCTACTAGTCTCTTGACTAAATGTTGGGGAGATCGAGTGGCGGCTCTTGTGACGTGTGTAGCGTACGCAGACAACGTTGAACAGTAGACGTGACCTGTTCATCCGATGTATTGTGAAAGTCAACTGTAACATCCTTTCAGACCAAAAAGTTCTCTCCCAAGCATCTTTCACTTCAATCCGAATCATCAGCAGGAACAAATTTTCATAGAAATTAAGTGTTCAAATCATCGTAAAGCCGGCGCGGAGCCCTTGGACTCACTTCATCGTTTACTTCGGTCAGCTTCCTGGGAAGATGTAGTATCACACATTCCGGCGATGTATTTCTCTCATCTCCCGCTGTGATTGGATATCAAGCACAGGGCTATTTAGCTTTCAAATTCTAGGATCAAGAAGGCTCTGAAAGATAAAAAATATCGTTGCACATATCAACCGGCTCTTACATCAAAGGTCAGCTTGCTACCTTGTATCACAGACTTACCGACCCCCCCCCCCCCCCCCCAGCTGCCCAAGTAGCATTCGCTGGAACGAAGCCAGCTGTCTTCACTTTTCCGGCCCGCGTGAAACCTCGGCGCGCCATGCATTCTACTAGATAACTCCATAACCTGACCCGCTTCATGGGTCGATGAAGGGCGGCACCGGTTGATCGGGGTGCTTGTCCTTGATGTGCTATATCATGAACCATGGTCAGCAGACACATTCTGTTCCTTCCCGAGTTTGCCTTCAGAATAATATCAGATAGGGGAAAGGGGGGGCTTACCCGAGTGCGCGTCCATGCGGCCGTGTACGACTTATCGCAGCCGGCGAAAGGGCAGCGAAAGACGCGCCCACCACGCCCACCACGCCCACCACGCCCACCGCGTCCACCGCGTCCACCACGTCCACCGCGTCCACCGCCCTTACCTCGCTGGCCGGCGCCGCCAGAGCCGCTAGGGCCGGGTGCGCTGCCGCTGTCGTCGTCCTCGTCGTCCTCGTCGTCACTGTCATTGTTACCGTCACCGTCACCGTCGTCTTCGTCTTCGTCGTCCTCGGCGTCCGGCATATCAACGTCCTCTTCCATCGCCGCCGCCGCCTTCGCGATCTCGTTGCTCATCTTGGCGAGCGCGTCAAGCGCGGCGCACTCGAACTCGTGCCAGTCGGCGGGTGAGCTATTATAGACCCCGACGAGCGCGTCGCGGATGAGGTCCGCGAGGGAGTCGTTGGAGGAGCCGGGCGATGACATTTTCTTTTGCGCCGTCTATTGTCGTCAGGCTCGTGATGATGTCCGATACCAGTTGGACGCTAAATACCACGAGATTATGAAAGAAAAGATGCTCTTCGTTGCTTCTGTATACAGACTTTGTTGATGAGGAAACATGGAACTGTACGGTCGAGTCTGCGGTCTTGATTATATAGTCTTCCGGTGCTTCCATCTCAGTAACAGCATTAAGGGAGTTGTTCTCGCCAGTCCAGTCGCCATCAAAGCCTCGAAGCCATCGGGAAGCCCACAAAGGCGGTTTGTGCCCTGGGCCTATTGATGCTCGAGGGCAAGGGTCGAGTATAACAATGTAATCACAAAGAAAGACTCAACGGCGAGATTTTGAAAGCCGACGACGAAACATAGCACTCATTGTTTTTCCCTTTCCCAAACTATTACCATGGTAAGCTCAAGTGCTCAAAAAGACAACGGTGTGAACTTGGTCATGATTAAAGCAAGCAAAGGAGTCTGGCCAAGAAAGTATTCAATCTTTTACCACCTGTTCACGGAGAGTTTGGATTATCTACAACCACAAAAGGGAGGGTCGGATAGACTGATCTTTGACCGTTACCTTGGGCTTCTACCGGGCCGTTTCGGCCGTGGCCGATGGAGTATGCTTAACAACCATCATTGTCGTACTCATCACTGTATCCGTTATCATACTCTTCATTATCATACTTACCGGATCTACTATCAAAGTACTCATCACATCCCTCATGGTACCCATATTCCTCCTCATGATTCACTTTGCGCTCCTCCTCTTCATCACCGTACCCTTCCTTGTCCTCTTTGGGTTGGTGCCTGTAGTATCCGTGCTGATCCAAGTCCTAAAACACACAAGCAGCCTGTGCTGTGCAAACAGTAGATAACAACTTGTCTTCCAGCTCAGCAGAAGCAGGAAGAGGAAGCTCATGCAGCCGATGTGACGTCTGGTAAATGTGTTGCGATGCCGGGCCTATCTCTAATAAGCTCCTCTACCGCCCGAGGTATCCACCGCGGCGGTGGCTATATATAGTCGTACTGCGTTTCAAACAGGCAACCAACCTTTGCTTTAATACGTACAATTGAACCAGTGCCCCGATTATCCGTCACAACTCGACCAAGGTCATCGCCCTTCTAATAAAGAAACTAAACAGCTACACAGCAAAGGTGGAGACGGCGGCGCTCAAGTAGCAGCGACAGACACACTTAAGCAGTATAGATAGATGCAGCTGCAGCAGCACTTAAGCAGTAGAGTTTACAAAAAGAGTTCTTCAAGTGGAAGATTCTTGTATTGAAACTACCTACTTGTAGGTACTTGCCAGATGTAGCGTGGTGCGGTGCAGTGTGGCACTTGTCTCAGCCCACGGTGGCTGCTTTTCTTCGTTACGCATTACAGAAACCATTATCCCTTATTATCCGTCACCAGTTCTTTGCAGGTCACCATGCCTGTGATACCAACACACACAATAAGCGTGTGCAAGAGCCCACGACATCTCCGTCTGGATACACTTGCTAGTATGTTTTATCTGTAGTCCCATGGGTCGTCGCCCCAGTCATCCCCAGAGTAGTCGACCGCAGAACTTTTTGCCCACTTATCTTGCGGTCCAGGCCCTTCATTGACCGGGACAGGACTCACAGCCGTCTGTGAATGAGGCTTTGAAAAGAGGGGCGCTACAAAAAAGTCGCTCTCTGCAGGAACCCTCGCCTCGTTATGTGTGTGTATCGTGGATGGCAGTTGAGGCTTCTGCATTAGGGTGGCAGCCTGGACTAGAGAGTCTGGCTGCTGTTTTGAGTGGACGATGGCTTGTTTTCCAATAGTCACCAGTTGCGGTTTCAAAACTGGTTGTATCTGTACCTCCGAGACGTCCATGGTAGAAACTGATGCAGCATCTGATAAGTTGTCAACGGTCTGGTCTTTGGACGGTCCTGTGGGCGGGACCAGTCCGACAGGCGGCACAGTTGTTGGTCGCTCTTCCACCTCGTTTGGTTGTTGAACCGCAACTTCTGTGCTAAATTGCGGCGTTGTAGCTGAGTACGGCTTCTGTTGAAACGGAGGATCTTGCCTGTGGAAAGGTTGGTGAGAGCTGCTGAAGCCTTTGCTTTGAGACACGGTCTCGTCGACTAGTTTTGTTGACAGATTGGTTGGAACGGCAGCAACATGGCCCAACATAGACCCTTCTGGACTGTCAGCTGCAATTGAGGCGGCCGGTTTATCGACGACTTTATCGTGAAGATGGGTATCAGCTCGGCCGTGCGGGTTGTGCATATTTATCGGCGGTGCAGCTGGTGGCTGGTATTGTAGTCTTTGAAATTGCTGCTGCTGCTGCTGCGGCAGGATATTGGACGGCGGAGGAGCGACCTGGGGTGGGTTATGTGCTGTTCGGAACTTTTGCTGCTGCGGGGATGGTGTTGGCTGTTTTTGGAGGACCGATGCCTTGTTGCTCTTTATTAACTTGGAAAGCCAACCTCCTTTGTCTTTGTCCCTTGTCGAGGTTTGCATGACTGGTGGCGTCGATCCCGGGCGCACAACATTTTGAAATGGTGAGCCGCTTATGTTGATGGGTGAGTAAGGCTGAAAAGGATTGTTTGCCACCGGCGAGTAATCTGGATGAGACGGCAGGCTAGCAGAGTTCATCGATCGGAGAGGTTCGGATATGGGCTTTTGTACGTTCGCCTGACTCTGGGCTGCTTGGTTCATCAGCCTTTCAGCGTTGTAGCCTCGGGAGGACTCGGCAGATGAAGGATAAGCAGATCCGGTCGACAAATTCAGACTAGAACCTTGAGAATAGCGGCGGTTCTCTCGAGAAGTAAGACTTATGGAGGCTGCTGGAGGTGTGCCTGTAGAATTGTCGTTTTCTAAGTGCTCTTGGATAGAATGTAGGACATGCCCCGGAGACCTGATAGGTGTCGAGGGGCTCGTTGAGCCATACATATGCTGCGAGGGCGGTATTACTGTGGGGCGCATTGGTCGCTCTGATAGAGATTGGGCGGTTGAACGGCCGTTCTCAGCTGGGTACGGTGGTTGCGAACCGAGTGGAGGCGGGGTCGGATGCTGGTTTTCACTCGGGAATGGTGGCTGTGAACCAGGCAATGGTTTAGGCCTGGAAACGTTATGAGAAACAGATGTGATCGCGTCAACTGGACCGGAGCATTGGACTTGAGCAAACGGAATATAAGGTTGACCATGGCTTTGGCCAGACAGTCGATGCTGTCCAGGTGATGGTCCTTGAGAAGGAGGCCGGGCCGCAAGACTGGCCAAATTATCGGGAGGCAAAGAGTGACGGCGACTCGATGCTGGCGAACTCGCGCTGCCGGGTGTTTGTTGACCAGATACTTGCTGGATGTTGCTAGTCGAAATGGAAATAGGAATCTTCTGGGGTACCACGGAAAAATGTCGGCTTGTTGTTTGTTTAGCAGCTTCTGTTTGTGCGATTGGGGGTAGCCCAGAAAAAGACGCAGGCCTCGAGCCTACAGGTCGTACGGGAACGCTCTGGCCGGCAGGACCTGTAGTGGATCTTGACGAGGAGTCGGAATAGGTTCCAAGAAGGAAGCCAGACGATGAGCGTCTGCCCTCACTCTCTAGGGGCGAAGGTGTTTGTAGAGACGCGGAAGACTGGCCACCCGTCGGTGGGCCAAGGGACGAGACTTCACTAGAAGCATACGATGTTTGGCGTGCTAATTCAAGGTTTGGCGGCGGCGAAGAAGGATCCAACGACTGTATGCCCCTCGTTACACTATTGAGCGCGAATTCCAAGTATGCCCGATTTTGTCTGGACGAGCTTTGCTGCTGGCGTACGTCGCTCTGAGCTCTGGGGCGCTGCAAGAAGTCAGGCAAGGGTGGCGCGGATCTGTTGGACAACCCATAATGGGACAAGGGAGGCTGTTGCTGGTCTGTCGACGACTGTTGAGGCGCTGTTTCGACTCTGTGAGCCTGGGGCCGAAGCGCAAGAGGTAACTCGGGACCACGAGTTGGAGGGAGAAATTGGGACTGAGATTGAGGCAAAGCTGGACGTTGAGTTGCCTGAAATACATGGGATTCTTGAGTATTCACACCCCCGGGCTGAAAGGCCGTATACCGCAATGCGTTCTCTGCGATCCGGTCGGTAGGGGCTTGGGAAGTCAGTTGAGACGAAGGCGAGGTGCCCGAGATGGGGTGCCTTGGATTGCTTGGCCCTTGAGCAGCAGAAGGGGGCGGCAGAGGCAGAGATTGCTGAGATTGGCCTTGTAGTTGCCCCCTCGCCGGCTTCAGCACCGACGGGACATGCTGTAAACCGCCATGCGAACCCCTCCCTAGGGATTGGCCAACACCTGTGCCAGCAATTGATCCTTGAGTGCTACTCGGGTTCATCGACAGTGATGCCGGGCCTGCGTCTTGATGTGGTGAGGGCTGGTTGGGTTGAAACGGGACTTTGGGTGGCACTTGCGGAGGCTGCAGAACGGACGGCATGCTTGCTTGATCGAGGCTGGGGCGCGGGCCCATCATCAACGACATTTCTCTCGACAAAGAGTTGCTTTGGTCTCGGGGCTTGAAGGTAGGCTCTCTGCTTGACTGAGCCTGAGTCACGCTGCTTGTCACACCAGGAGCATAGGGCTGATACTGGCTTTGGCGGGCTACTGGATTCGAAGGTTTTCCCTTGATAGCGAACGTATTGTTGTTGGCATCTGCAGGCAGCTTTTGGGTCTGCTGGGAAGCTTTTGGGGAGGGCGAGCTGCCAGGCCTAGGCCCGGGTTGCACAGCCTCGGGATGGAAACCTGGAGAGGCTTGTGATGCGCTGGGTAGCGACGATTTCTGGGGTCTTGATCCTGTCCCAAATGTTGCCCCGTACAAAGCTTTGTCACTCATATTGGTTTGGTGAAGGAGATCGTGAGTTGATTGGGCTGGCGGCCTGGGCTCTGAAGGACTTGTGCGTTCGGGCAGTTCGGCAATGCCAAAGTCGACGATTCGCGTCTCTATGGGGGCTAGTACGGCATTATCAGCCATTTCTACGGGGTCTGGATGGGTC